ATCACTTTAATTAGATCTACTGTAGTTGGTCAATGTAATTGATCACTGTAGTTGATCACTGTAATTGATCACTCTAATTAGATCTACTGTAGTTGATCACTGTAATTGATCACTGTAGTTGATCACTGTAATTAGACCTACTGTAATTGGTCACTGTAATTGGTCACTGTAATTGATCACTGTAGTTGATCACTGTAATTAGATCTACTACCTATACTTTAATTAAATCCAATTACAATTCTTCTCAGTTAAAATACTTCTAAACCCAATACCTTTAGATCTTAACTAAAAATTTCAAAATCGACCAAAAGAAATGAGATTTCTTTTTTGCAACTCAAACATGATTTCAGAGAAAAACGACATCTAACAGCATACCAAAAAGACGATTTTCTTTCTTTTTTCTCATCTTTGAGTTCGTTTCTTTCCTTTTCTTTTCTTTCATTTTCTTTCCTTTTCTTTCCTTTTCTTTCCTTTTTCATTTGTTTCTCTCTCTTCATCGAATAAGAGTCGCTTTTTTTAAGTGAAAACCTTGAAGTTCCCTTTTCCCTTCCCTTTTTGTACCTTCTGACTCATCAAAATACAGTGCCGAACTTCCTTTCTTGAACAACATTTACTCCATTTTTAAAATCGAAACTTAATTAGCCTTTTTTTCACTCATTTACTTGAAACTTTGCCTTTGTACTCTCACACATAAAAAAAAGCAAAAAATGGATACGAGTTTTGAATAATTGACAAGAATTGGCACGCAGATTCGTGACTTGATCTTCAAAAAAAGAAATCTTAAAATTTCCAAAAAAAAAAAACTCAGAAAAAATTCTCAAGAAATTAGAAATTAGATCCAAGGGATTTAGGCGGATTTGAGCAAAGATTTTGTTGGGTTTAAATTTCAATAAAGCTGAGGGGAAAGAAAAGAAAAGAAATTGGAAAGACAAAGATTGTGCGGAGGGAAAAGGATTTAAAGGAATTGATTTCAAAAGAAAACATAGACATTTTGCTTGCTTGCTTGCTTGCTTTGCTTGCTTTGCTTGCTTTGCTTGCTTTGCTTGCTTTGCTTGCTTTGCTTGCTTTGCTTGCTTTGCTTGCTTTGCTTGCTTTGCTTGCTTTGCTTGCTTTGCTTGCTTTGCTTGCTTTGCTTGCTTTGCTTGCTTTGCTTGCTTTGCTTGCTTTGCTTGCTTTGCTTGCTTTGCTTGCTTTGCTTGCTTTGCTTGCAAGAAAAGAAATTGAGAAGACAAAAATTGTGCGGAGGGAAAAGGATTTAAAGGAATTGATTTCAAAAGAAAAAGAAAACATAAACGTTTTACTCGAGCAGAAGGCAGAAATTGAAGAAATTGAGGGAAAAGAAAGAATTGTGAGGGCAAACATTGAGGGTGGAAGGTCCTTCTTTTCTTTTTCCCTCAAATCCACCCACCCACTCCCCAATATTTCCCTTCAAAAATCTGTTAGAGTAAAAGAGAATCAAAAAAAAAGAACGAGAAAAATACGTCATGTTTGCATTTTCCTTTTTTGATTTATCTAACTCGTTTGCTCTTTTCCTTTCAATTCTCGCGTTCAGTCGTTTTTTTTAGAGCTTTGGTCAAAAAGTGTGGCCACAATTGGGCAATTGGTGGCTTGGCATTCAAAAAGAAAAAAGAAATCCAATGCTTCAACTCTTCCGCGCTGTAATTTTATCAAAACTCCATTCATCGCAATTCAATAGTTGAACTTAGGTTAAATTTTTCACTTTTCAAAGCCTCAAATATTAAAGATCTTGCTCAATTGTTGGACAAAAGATCTTGCTTGCATTGCTTGCTTGCTTTGCTTGCATTGCTTTGCTTTGCTTTGCTTGCATTGCTTTGCTTGCATTGCTTTGCTTTGCTTGCATTGCTTTGCTTTGCTTGCTTAATTGTTAAGCAAAAGATCTTTCTCAATTATTGCAAAAGATCTTCCTTAATTCTTAACCAAAAGATCTTGCTCAATGCAAAAGCAAACCTTCAGATTCATTATTCAAAAAAAACCTTTAACGAAGAATAAGTCAATTATCCAAAAATGGGAAAAAATGTTAGATTGTTGGGAGAAAATTGAGAGAAAAAGAGAGGTTTCTGAATAATTACTGAATGAAAACGAGTAAAAGAGGGAAAATGAGCTTTGATCTAAAAAGAGATGCAAAAGAAATACCAAATTGGAGCCACTTTTTTGAATTTAATAGGATAAGTTGAGTAGGGGAAAAAGGGCAAAAAAAAATGAGCCAAAGTGGGCCTTTTCTGGATCGAGATCGCCAATGGCATGCAATGAGCCGAGCGAATTTCCTCCCTCCGACTTAATGCGTTTTTCTGTTCCCCTTCTCCTTTTTCTTTTTTTCTTTCAATCTTGACTTTGCAAGTTTATAAGTAATTTCCGGAAATCGCCGATGAAATGGGGGAAACAAAATGGAGGAAATTCTTTTGTGAACTGTGGAATCATTTTGAGATTTATTTGAAATCAAAATTTTAAAGGGGATTTAAAAAAAATTTGAAATGAAATGTTGTAAAAAAAAAAGATTTCAAACATTAATCCTCATACAATTTTCTCTTTAACCTTTTCAGAAGCCATATTTCTAATCTGTTTTTAGATTTAGAAAATTGATAACTAAATGCTAAAGTTGAACACGTTTTATACTAAAGATATTGCACGAAATTGTGTCTGATTTCAGTGTTTAAAAATATTCAAATGGTTATCTAAGCAGGAAGAGTTGAAGAGTTGAATGAAAGAGTTGAAGAGTTGAAGGAAAGAGTTGAAGAGTTGAATCAAAGAGTTGAAGAGTTGAATTAAAGAGTTGAAGAGTTGAATTAAAGAGTTGAAGAGTTGAATTAAAGAGTTGAAGAGTTAAGTCCAACAAAAGCCGCAATGAAATGTGATCGACTCATCGTTTACTTTCAAGAACATTACAAAACAACTGAAGAAACAGTTCAAAAGAGAAATTGTTCTTAAAACAAGGAAAATGGAGACTGAAATGTTGTGTAGGTGAAAGGAAACGGTGTAGATTTCACGGGAGAAATGAGTCACGGTGAATCGGCGGCAGCGGCGGAATGACGCGGAACCGGAGAGCGAATGGAGAAAAAGGAAAGGGGTGAATGACCGGGCGAAAGGGAAATAGATCGAGATGTGAAAAGAGAAAACACAGGCAAAAGCAAAAATAGCCACATCCATTCCTATGGAAAGTCTTCTCTGGCCACTCATCCCCCCACCACTCCACCTCTCGACATTCTCGTAAATTTTGTGTTTTTGCGAATCCAAAAGGTTTACTTATAAGTAGCTTTAGATATTTGAGATATTGGAGAATTTTTCTTGAAATATTTTAAAAGATAGATTCATAGTTTACTTCCAAAAAATAGAGAATTAGAGAAAAATGAAAGAATTTTGCTGGTAAAGAATGATCGTGAAAGAATCAATCAAAGAATGATCTTGAAAGAATCAATCAAAGAATGATCTTGAAAGAAACAATCAAAGAATGAGTTTGAAAGAAACAATCAAAGAATGATCTTAAAAGAATCAATCAAAGAATTATCTTGAAAGAATCAATCAAAGAATGAACATTTTTATCTCCTAGAATGATAAGAAAATAAAATTCAAAACTATCCTAAAAAATTTTGATGGAAAAAATTTCTTGAGAGAAGGGTTTTGAAAAGGATTTTCACCGAGCATCGGAATGGGGCAAGGCACGCGGACGAGCGGACTCTCCGTCCGAATGGAAAAAAGGGGAAAAAAAGAGGAAAAAGGGGCAAAGTAAACATCGATCACACAGGCATCCGGAGAAAACGATGGGACTCTTCTCAAAAGGCACCAATCGGTGCGATAGTGGATAGGAAAGGAATTCGAGGAGACGAAGAAATCCTTTCACGGACACGAGACTCGGATCAGACGGGAAAACGAAAAATGGGGAGAGGTGAGGTTCCGTGTTTTGCCCACTATTCATTCATTTTGAAAATTTTCTTTTGTTTGTACAAAAAAGGTTTTAAACAACTATGGGGCTTGGGAAGAAGATACTTTTGAGTGAGAAGTTTCACAGAAAATTGAGAGCTTGTTCTGCAAATGTAAAATTGAGAGCTGAAAAGGAAATTTTTTACACTTAAAAGATCAAGCTTTTTTTTTTACTAAAAGTTGAAAGTAAAAGCTTGAAAGCAAAATTTGTTTAAAAAGCTTGAAAGCAAAAGAATGAAACGAACAAAATGAAAGGCTCAACAAGGTTTCAAATGACAATGTTTAAAATAAACAATAGCAAATAGTCTTTCCCAAAAGTAGAGAATCAACAAAAATTTGATCTATCAATTAATGTCGAATTCGAATTCTCTTATCGCTTGCTCAAGCGACACATCTTTAGATTACATACCGTAAATACTGTAATAGTACCCCACCGCCCTCGTACAGTCGCGTAGTCGCAAAAGTTTTTTAGTATTTTTTTCATTTTTTTCATAGCGCCCGTACTTTCAAAAAATGCGTCTTTGGCATGAAAAAATAGCTGAAATTCAGGGCTATTTTTTGATAATTGTATTGCTATTGTAGCATAAACCAGTGTCGAGAAAAACTCGTTCAAAGCTAGACTACGCAACACTCCGCACCGTCATTATGGGCGGTGGGGTACTATTACAGTATTTACGGTAGTTTAAAGCTCTAACAAAATCTGAAGAACTATAAATGTTATAGATAGAAACTGTATCCATAGCTAATTTTAAGGATCCAAAATTTCAACAATAAAATCAAATACATGTATGATTAGAGTCAAAATTTAGAAAATTTTTGATTCTTTTTGTGACAGCCCAAAAAAAAAGTAGGCTTATCGTAACCAAAAATCCCCATGCCTTGAAAAACGATCAAATTCGCATATGATTCGCATAAAGCTAGACTACGCAACACTCCGCACCGTCATTATGGGCGGTGGGGTACTATTACAGTATTTACGGTAAGTGTTTTAAGTTCAAATAAATCTATTAAGTTTAAGTCTATTAATCTATTGATTTTATTAAGTTTTCATGAAGAAAACTTACATTATGCGTGGAATTCGGCGCTAGAAGAGTGGCTGGAGTGGTGGGAGCGGCGCTGGGAGAATCGCCCGAAGACGACATCCTCGCTCACTCGACCGAACGATCCTTCTAAAAAGAAATATTCTCAATATTTTCAAGATTAAATCATTTTGTTCATATCAAAAAAAAAGTTGAAGCAATTGAAAAGCATAAAAGAAAGAAATCAATTTAGATTTTAAACGATTCAAACCTCAAACATTTCCTTTCCAAGAATCTTGATAAATTTTCTCTCTAAAATAATCAATAGCTGTGTTTTTTTTCTTTAAAAATATACGATTTTCAAAAAAAAAAACTATTACATAAATAAAGTTGTTTCTAGAAAAGCGTAATTTTCATTGATTTCTTCGTTTTTCTAGCGTTTTTCTAGCGCTCTTACATAAAAATCTTCTACATTTATTTGTTTGTTTTCAAGCTATATTCTAAGCTTTTTAAAAAGTTTTTAATTTAATTTTAATTTAATTTTAATTTAAACTTAATGTATTATAAAAACAATGCAATGAGAAAGGTAAGAAATCGAGAATCTCGGGGTGGGCATGAGTCCGGAGGTGTTCTTTAAACAGATAACCAAACCAATTGGTTGTACAAAGGAGCTTTCGTTCTTCTCTTTATGATGAGTTTTTCCTCTCCTTTTTCTTAACACTTTTATTATCTTTTTAAGATTTTCTTCTTTTTTAGAGATGTCTGAGATTCCAACTGGAGAGTATGATTTGAAATTGGGCACAACATTCACAGGAAAAGGAAAGGACACTGCTGAGAAGACTTTTCATACTTTGCGTTACGATTTTAAACCGCAATCTGTTTCAAGTGATACTGATTCGTTTATTGCGATTGGATCAAATGGAGATGTGCAAGTGGTAATGCCGACTAGTAGTCATGATCTGACTGTTTTCAAAGGATCACAGAAAGCAGTGAAAGCTGAAAAGGAATGCTTATTGTTTTTCGATCCAGCTACTGGGAGTATTCGATTAGAGAAATTGAATAGTAATATTACTGTCAAAAAGACTAGAGATCAAGAATCGACGGAAAATCTACGAGCTGAAGTCGAGAGATTGAGAACTCCAAAAAAGGTTGTACAAGAAGTCTTAACTCAACAAAAGGCATTGCCTGAATCGGATTCGAGTGATTCGAGTGATGATGATTCATCATCTTCATCTTCATCAAGTAGTGTGAAGAAAGCAAAGAAATCATCTTCATCCTCTTCGTCTGATTCTGACTCAGCTCCAGGAAAAGACGAAAGTAATAGTGATGATGAGTTGTCAAGAGCACTGGAAGACAAGATTCTGGCAAAAGATGAGCAAGAAGTTAGAAGCAAGATTCACGATCCATTTGCGGATCTTGATCAACCAACTCAAGTCTACAAACCGGCACCTGTACACAAATCAAAGACAAAAGATTTAATGCACGATCTTCAACTCAGCGAAAGCTCAGATGAGGATTGATTTAAAGTTTATTGTTTTGTATTTTTTTAATGGAACTTTCGGTCTTTCATATAATTTTTCCTGAAAACCTGTGATTGTTTTACTATTTCTGTGATTATCGTACAAAATGCTAATTGGGTATTGATATAAATTATAGCGCTGAAATGACGCTCAACTATTCGAAGAACGGTGTTGAACTACAAAAGGCGTATGAGGAGGTGGTTGGTGCATCAAATCCAAACGAGAAATGGTAAATAATAAAAGAGTAGTGTCTGTCTGTCCGGACATTTTCTGTATTTTATATTTTGAACAATAAAGCTAAAAGCTAAATTCTGTATTTTGAACAATAAAGCTAAAACTTCTTTAGAATATTTTGTAGTTGTGGCATCTAGCATAAAAAATCAAAAGTCAGAGGTGATGGCACTACCAGGGGTCGAATCCGGGTCGTGTGGGTCGTAGAAATGGGCCCACTCGACCGCACCACGGCAACATAGTATGCCGGGAGAAAAACCCAGTTCTTAATAATAAAACTGTAAAGGAAGCTGAATTCAGGGTGATTTTTGACTATGAAGGAACGGCTAATGTGCTTCGATTGGGTGATCAAGGAGGTGAGATCAAATAGATTTAAATAAATGCAAATATAAAATTAAAGATGTACAATTAAAGATATAAAATTAAAGATGTAAATTCTTTAAATAAAGTCATTTTTAAGCAAATTCAAACATTTTTGAAAAAGGCACTCGAACATGGTTCAATGTTTTGAAGTCAGAGCTGATGACACTACCCGGGGTCGAACCCGGGTCGTGTGGGTCGTAGAAATGGGCCCCCTCGACTTGTTTTGAATTGGTTCAAAACGACCAATTTTGTCAACTTTGAGTAACTTTTAGACAAAACGGTTTGACGGATTTTGTAAATTTTACTGAATATGTAAAAGGATCTCTTCTTTCTTTTGCGCAAAAAAAAATTAAGAATAGCTTCCAATCAAACAAGTGATCTAGCGGGCAATTTCTGAAAACGACTATTTTTGACTACTTGTCTACTTCTAGACGAAGGCCTTGACGAGTTTGCTGCCAGTTTCAATGCGGGTCGAGTGCAATTCGGAATTGCGAAAGTTCAATTTGATCAAACGGCTTTACCAAAGATTCTTCTCGTACATTGGGTTCGTATCAATAATAATCAAGATTTTAGTTTTTTTTGAAATGAAAAGTTTCATTTTAGCAAGGTGAAGGCGTGCCCTCGAGTCGACTAGCCACCACAACTAGTCATGTCAGAGATGTGGAACGATTTTTAAAGGTTTTCTTTAACTAAAAAAACTAAAAACTTTCAATTACGTTTTAAAGAGAAATTGTTTTCAGAAATTGTTTCTAGAAATTGATTTAAATTATTGAAACAATTCAGACAGTTCATTGTGTGCTTCATGCAAGAAGTGAACTCGATGTAGATGAGAGAGAAATTCGAAAAGCGCTCTCTAAATTGCCAAGCTTCAGCTCGAGTAATGTAAGTGAAAACTTAGGGAGTGGGACAAATGCGACCTTTTTTTTTGCGCACCTGGACATTTGCGCACCTTTTTTTTTGCTGGAAAAGGCCTTAGGCAAAGCCGTAGAGCTTCGAAAATATTTCCATATAAGGGAATCGTATGCGTAGATTCCGAATTTCGACAAATCAGACCTCGCTGACACGTCAAATTTGGGCTAAAAAGGAAAAAACTGCGGAAAAGCGTTAAGTTGCGTAGTTTTTGCCTTTTAGCCCAAATTTGACGTGTCAGCGAGGTCTGATTTGTCGAAATTCGGAATCTACGCATACGATTCCCCTCTATGAAAACATTTTTGAACGTCTACGACCTTTCCTAAGGTCTTTTCCAGCAAAAAAAAGGTGCGCAAAAAAAGGCCGCATTTGTCCCACCCCCAAAACTTACAAATGAAAAAAATTGAAAAATAGGCAGTTAAAATATTCATCTATTCACCAAAAAGACTTTTATAAGTGTTCGACTTTCAGGTGGAAACTTCATATGCAAATCCTGAGCCAGTGAATTCCGTGTATCGTCCAGTGAAACCGTCAAAAGATATCAATGCCAAAGAAAGAGAAGATTTCTGGAAAGCAATGGAAATAGAAGAAAATCAACGTAAAAGGTAAAGAATAGATAGTTTTAAAAAAAGAAAGAGCTCATAACGTTTTAGGGAAGAAATCGAGCGGCAACAACATGAGCGAGAAAAGCAAAAGAAAGAACAAGAACGTGAAACAAAAGAAAGTGAAATAAAAAGGGAAAAGATGGCACAAGAAAGAGTTGCAGCAAGACCACCAGTACAGGATAATAATCAAATGGTATCAAACTTTTAAGTTTCAATTAATCCATTTTATTAGCATAAACCATCGAGTATTCCATCGAAGTTCAACCTTTGCGACACTAGAAAACAACTCTTCGAATCGCAAATTGATCAATCTTTACCAGTTCCAAAAGTGAGTACTTTACCAGTTTCAATTTCGGTACTTTTCCAATATCGGGGGAGCGGAAGAATTATCGGGGGAGCGAAAGGAAAATCGGGGGAGCAAATTTTGCCCCCTCGAAAAATGCATTTCCTGCATTATTTTAACTGCAACATTTTTTTAAAACTTTAACGTTAACGACGTTGCGGTTCTCCGACATTTGTGCGTTCAAGGAATCGACGGCAATCGATTATTTCGTCACCAAAGGAGTCATCCAGTGGTGGATTTGCAACTGTGACGAATCGATGAAAGTCCGCTCAAAGGGAAAAGATCCATTTCGCTGGGTGTTAGATATTTAAGTCACTTTTGTGATCTAATATAAAGGTTGTGAGAATAACGGGTAATTCGCGGATTTTATGGCGGTAGTTTGTATAATATAGGACATATGTAGCGCTGCCAAAGTTTGCTCCCCCGATTTTCCTTTCGCTCCCCCGATAATCGGACCGCTCCTCCGATATTGGAAAAGTACCTCAATTTCAATTTCCTTTTTTAAATCACATGATTTTTCAACTTTTTAGACACCTTCAAAACCAATGCCAAAGTCTCAACCATCTCCCGTCATTTCTCCATTCAAGGCTCCTTCTTTCGAAAAGAATCAGGAAAGCGATGAAGATAATTACTATTCACCTCCTGCTCCAGCTTTACCTAAATTTGAGGCTCCAAAGGTTTCAAAAAAAATCATAATCAGTGAATTTCAGCGGCAATTTCAGATATCGGCTGCAATCCTTCCACCAAGCGCGCCTCCACCGAGCATTCCAAAAGTAGAATCACCGAAAATTCTCGAAGTATGATTTCAATTAACCAACCAATCAAACCAATCAATCAAACCAATCAAACCAATCAATCAAAACAATTCTCAAAAACTTTCAGTCAAATACTCCGACAATGTATGATACAGTTCCTGGTGAATTGCCAGAGCCTACATCGAAAACCCCACCCGAACAACATTATCATCACGAGGAGCCACCTACTTTTCATCAAGTAAAGAAAATTCACTAAAACAAGTACTAAGAAATTTTGAACAGGCTCAATCAAAACAATTCTCAAAAACTTTTAGTCAAATACTCCGACAATGTATGATACAGTTCCTGGCGAATTGCCAGAGCTTACATCGAAAACCCCAACCAAACAACATTATCATCACGAGGAGCCACCTGCTTTTCATCAAGTAAAGAAAACTCACTAAAACAAATATTAAGAAATTTTCAACAGGCTGCACCTTCACTATACGATACAGTACCCGGGGAACAGCAAGGGATGAGAGCACGCGCCTTATGGGATTATCAAGCCGGTGAGTGTGCTTAAACGCTGAATATTTTCCCTAAGCTTTGCTTAAATTGCTCGAAATCTCGAAAGGCGCTTATTGGAACCTATCGGTCGGAAAATGTAGCTGATGATGAGATCTTGTAGGAGATTAGAGTGTTGAGCTGCTGTGAAAACTTGGAAACTGTAAAATAGCCATCAATTCGGCTCACTACTATTAGGGAAAATACGGTAAATATTGTGAATATTGTGAATCAGTTTTTTTGGATCGAATTTGAGTAAAAGAACAACGAAAGTTGACCCAAAGAAATCTTTTCAGAAGATGAAACTGAGCTAAGCTTCGATCCTGACGATGAGATTACCGATATAGAGCAGGTATAAAAGAACCTTCACATAAAAATATCTTTAAGATCTTGATGAAAAGCTCAATCGTGTCAAAAAGTGTCAAAAAAAAAAAGTGTTCTACCTGTGTAAAAGAATTTTTAGGTTGACGCTGGTTGGTGGAGAGGACGAGCGAAAAACGGGAAAATCGGTAAGTTTTCTCGGAAAAGAAATGAGAATCCTTGAATTTTAGGCCTTTTTCCTTCGAACTACGTGCAAATAATCAACTAAATTTTTGTGAATATTAATTCTCTGTGTAACTTATGTATCGAAAGATTTTACTGCAAGCATTTCTCTCAAATCTACGTCATTCTTTTCCATGTGATACCTTGAAGGGTTGGGATGAAATGGAAATTGAAATGGAAAAAAGTGAATTGAAAGTATAACTTGCTTAATTTCATTCCCAACTCAATCATTTTCTAGTCAAAAAATCTTGCAATTATCCAAGTTCATCATTTTTGATGATTCCAAAATCTCATTGTAAAAGTTGTGATCGAAAAGTGCCTGGCTCTTCCACTTACTGCTTCATAAAGTGCTTCACTTTGTTTATTTTGCTCTTTTAATAAATTTTTATTTGCCAGAGTGCACAAGGTAATTACCGTAGCTAATGATAGTTTATAAAGTTGCATTTAAAAGGTATAATCATATAATCATAATCGATACTGATGCCTATGTCTATTAGATTAGCCAATATACCGAATCATAATCGATATTGATTAGACTTGGCTATCGATATTATCGATATTTTTGACGTAGTCGCGTAAAAATCCTATAACTTTGCACAAAGCTACTCAAATGCTCTGAAACTTTTACCATTGGAAAGCCAAAAGTTCAAGCTTCATTTTGGTACCTAATACTTAGAAGAGCACGCAAAATGCAGCTCTAAAAACCTAAGCGTTACGCTATCGACAATCGATATAATCGTATCGATAAGGTTTTTTTGAGATGTATTGTTCTTCTGACAGTATGTATTAGGTACCAAAATGAAGCTTGAACTTCTGGCTTTCCATTGGTAAAAATTTCACAGCACTTGGAGCTACAATCACAAAGCTATGTCCGTTTTAACGCGAGCACTCCAAAATATCGATAACCAACTGATGCCTATGGCTGTTGGATTAGTCAATATACCAGAATCCATCAATTTTCCTGTGGATTCACTAGTTTTCATGCAAATCTATCAGCTTTTCGGATTGCGAATCAGGATTTCTATATATTAACTTAATCTAATAGACATAGGCATTAGTATCAATTATGATTATATCAAAATGACCAAGATTCAAAGGAAAACCAGTGAATTTACATGAATCAAGTAATTATAATATTAAAATGATCACGATTCACAGGAAAACTAGTGGATTCTCATGAAATCTAGTGAATTACCGGAAAACGGGCACTGATTGACGCTCACTGATTACATTACGGAGCAAATTTTCTCTAAATTTTTGTTCAATGATGAAAAGCAATTTGATCAACATTTTATTCAAGTTCTTTTATCAAAAGACATTTACTTACCTAACTTTTGAGGGCAATTTCACTCATTGAAAGCCAGTGGTGGTTTATTGAAATAAACACGTCAGGATATCTGCATAGAACCAGTGCTCCCCTGTAGCTTGTGCGCCTTCAAACTTTAGTCCAATAAACTACCCTCTTCCAACGATATGATTATTACTAGATGGATAAATTATTTATATTTCATACCTTGTTTATGTTTTTCAAAGTTTTTTTTATTCTAAAATATGATTTTCGATTTAGATTCTGATCATTTGGCAAAATGACGGACTCCAAGTATTTTACCACCACAAAGAAAGGTTTGTTTTACGTTCTATTTTGTTCTTATGAAATTCTTTAGGTGAAATCTTTGAACTAAAGACGGAATTGAACTCAGACAAGAAAGAAAAGAAACGAGAAGCGGTGAAGAAAGTGATAGCAAGTATGACAGTTGGCAAAGATGTCAGGTAAAAAGTTGTATTGTTCAACGTTTAACGTTTTTTGACACTTTAGTGCTCTATTTCCTGATGTAGTCAACTGCATGCAAACGGATAATGTTGAATTGAAGAAGCTCGTCTACCTGTATTTGATGAATTACGCAAAGAGTCAACCCGATCTTGCCATTATGGCGGTGAACACCTTTGTCAAGGCTAGTTGCATCTTTTTTGAAACATTGATAGTAAATAATTTAACAAAGCAAACTAGTTATTTGTACAGTTAGATGATTTGTTTCCTTTAGGATTGTGAAGATCCGAACCCGCTGATTCGAGCATTGGCTGTACGTACTATGGGCTGCATTCGAGTTGAGAAAATTACCGAATATCTCTGTGAACCATTGCGGAAATGCATGAAGGTATTTACTAAATCACTGGTTTAAACTAAATAAAAAGCATTCTCATCTAGGACGAAGATCCGTACGTTCGCAAAACCGCTGCCGTTTGCGTTGCCAAGCTTCATGATATGAATCCTACTCTTGTTGAGGAGCAAGGTGTTTTAGTTTTGCCATAAACTTGTATAACGTTCGATTAGGATTTGTCGAGCTGTTAAATGACCTTCTCTCGGATGCTAACCCGATGGTTGTTGCTAATGCCGTTGCCGCTTTGACAGAAATCAACGAACAGCGACCACTCATTGAGGTTTAAAGTTGTGTAACTGTTTCTCAGAGTATCTTGTAGGTCAATTCACAAATGGTCAACAAGCTTCTGACTGCGCTCAACGAATGTACAGAATGGGGCCAGGTTTGGAATCGTTTTTTTCAGTATTTAATGATTTTAGGTGTTCATTCTTGATGCTCTTGCCGATTACAGTCCACGTGATGAACGGGAAGCACAAAATATTTGCGAACGGATCTCACCTCGTCTTGCTCATGCAAATGCTGCTGTTGTTCTTTCTACTGTGAAGGTTTTTATCGTCCCAATGATGCTTTATCATTTCTTTTTAGGTTTTGATGAAACTTATCGAGCTTCTGCCAAATGATTCGGAATTTATCACTCAATTAATTCGGAAGCTTGCACCTCCGATGGTAAAATGGGTTATATTAGCAAAGAAACGTTTATTTAGGTTACTTTATTGTCTGCTGAACCAGAGATTCAATATGTTGCTTTGCGCAACATTAACCTGATTGTCCAAAAGCGACCTGACATTCTCAAACAAGAAATGAAGGTTGGTATTCAAAAATATTTGCAATCCTTATTTGTTTGAAGGTATTCTTCGTCAAGTACAATGATCCAATTTACGTGAAAATGGAGAAGCTTGATATCATGATTCGTTTGGCGCAGCAGAGCAATATTGCTCAAGTACTCTCCGAATTGAAAGAGTATGGAGCTTATCGTTGATTTTTATCGCGCTTTTAAGGTATGCTACGGAAGTTGATGTCGATTTTGTTCGCAAATCAGTCCGAGCCATTGGGCGGTGCGCCATCAAGGTCTATTTTTTCATAAAAATGCAATTTGTTTTCTTTAGGTTGAACAATCATCAGAACGTTGTGTGGCTACACTACTCGAACTAATTCAAACAAAAGTCAACTATGTGGTTCAAGAAGCCGTTGTCGTTATCAAGGTTAATCACACTTTATAATTTCTGATTATTTAATTAGTTTAGGATATCTTCCGAAAATATCCAAATCGCTACGAGTCCATCATTTCGACTTTGTGCGAAAATTTGGATACACTTGATGAACCAGAAGCTCGCGCTTCAATGATTTGGATCATTGGTATGTAGTTTAAAAATATTCTTAAGTCAACTTGTTTAGGTGAATACGCTGAACGTATTGATAACGCCGATGAGCTGCTAGAAAGCTTCCTTGATGGTTTCCACGATGAAAACACTCAGGTTTTGTATTTAGAATTGTGTTCACGAGGCTTGTTTTTTGTTTAGGTTCAACTGCAACTTTTAACAGCTGTGGTGAAGCTCTTTTTGAAACGACCACAAGACACGCAACAACTTGTACAGAAGGTTCTATCGTTGGCCACACAAGATAGCGACAATCCAGATCTACGTGATCGAGGGTACCTTTTATAGGCAATCTTTTTATGACTGTTGTTTCAGTTACATCTATTGGCGACTTCTCTCTGCTGATCCTGTTGCAGCCAAACAAGTGGTTCTAGCTGAAAAGCCATTGATAAGCGAGGTTTGTTTCACTATTTTCACTAAAATGTCTAGTCTTTTTTAGGAAACCGATCTCTTGGAGCCATCGCTTTTGGATCAACTCATTTGTCACATTGGATCTCTTGCTTCGGTTTACCACAAACCACCGAACAGCTTCATCGACGCTGCTCGTCAACCTTTACGCCAAATCAACAAGTATGCCCTGCATTACCTTTTGCTTTTAAAAAGTTGACAATTATAGTGGCATTTCATCTGGAGCACCTACTGGTTTACTCGACACTGTTGCTCATTCTACGACCTCAACCACAAATTCTGCCCAGCCTACTGTAATCCCAGCACAGGTTTGTACAATTGACTTTTTAAAAAGTATTTATGCGCAAATTTAATAGAAATGTTTTGTTTGGTTTTTGAGTGACATTAGTCTTGACTTTACTAGTTGACAAAGTGGGTGTTTTAGGATCTTTTAATTCTGCTCTGAATGAATGCGGATTAATTGTGCGATTTTGAAATAACGAATTGATCATTTGTGACTCGTTAATCTTTAGAAATCTTTCTTGTGGCATAGTCTTTTTCTTGTGTTCTTTTTTTAATAACGTTTATGTTACGATATTTAAAACTAGTTTTACTCATTGCTTCTGTGTTGTTTGTGTTCCTTGTATATTTTTGATTAGCAACAAAGCTTATTATCGATTCAACGGACTGAAGAATCAACTGAAAGAGGCTGAATATTTTGAAGAAAGACAGATTTGAAGAAATGGATTCACTTTATGCGATCAACTCTTCTTCACAACGAAATTCACTAATCATTTTGAAACATTCGCTACTGATTTTATTCAAACGGACAATATCGACCTACTTTTACGAATTTTCGATCCGAACTGTGTTATGAATTCTTCTTGATTTTTGGCAAGGCAGCTTGAAACTTTGAAATCTGAAATGTGTCTTGTCTTGTCAGATTTTTTAATGCGTTATTTCCATTTTATGACTCAAAATGATTATGAAACCTAAACCAAAGGACTAGTAATCAAAAATTGTTAAAAATATTTGTAAGTAGAGGAAACAAAACGTGCATATTTCAGGATACTCTAATCGCTGATCTCCTTTCTTTGGATTTGAATTCATCGATACCCACTGGAGCCAGTGCGACAGGTTGATTTCCCTGTCATATGGGTATAGACAAAATTCAGGCGGATTCCCGGCTCCATCGGCTTCCGGTGGTTTGGAAGATCTATTAGGTGGAATTGGAGGTGATGGACTCATGGGAGATAATTCAAGTCCTCAGGTTTTAAAATAACAAAATGTTTCTTTGAAACTGAAACCTTTAGGATATGGGGCATGGTGCTGCAATGGCTGCTGCCTCGGCAAATGCTGGAATGGGTGGTTTAGCGGATTTGTTCGGTTCGACGATCCCCTCAGCAACTGGTGGATTGAATCTCCCCAAACAGTTGTGGCTTGATGCATCGAAAGCAAAGGTTTGGCAAAAAACGATTTCTCTCCTAGCATATATAATTGAGTCAGAAAAGCAAACGCCTGTCTAACCATGAAATCTAATTTGATCCAATTCTGAGGCTCGTTTATACCATCAGGGCAAAATTTAGGGAATGCAACTCGAGGGTTCGGTGATTCGACGAAATGGTCGCATTCTCATGGATATGACAATCACAAATAAGGTATTTGAAATTTGAAATCGAATACTAATTATAAGCTAATGAGATTCAAATTTACAAACCAAATTCACAGGCGATGCAAGCGATGAGCGGATTCGCGGTTCAGCTCAACAAAAACTCGTTCGGCCTGTTCCCCGCCGAAGCTATACAAATGCCTGCACCACTATTGCCTGGACAAAGCATCAATGTAAAGAGAAAAATTAAATTTTGATGGCTGAATGTTAAATGTTTTCTAGGTATCAGTACCCTGCAACACTGGTGGCCCTGTTCAACGAATGGATCCACTCACGAATCTTCAGGTTTGACTTAACATTAAAAATAGATTTTTGGCTCATTGGCTTGGTCGTATGCAAATTTTTTCATGAATCGACAATGAAAAACATTTATTGAGCATAATACCCTGTATAAATTAAAGTCGCCATCAACATTTTTGTGGCGGCACCATCCCTTGGAAGTTAGACGGCGGTGTTGGTGGGAAAATTGGATGGGGGAAAACATTTGTAAACTAGAATCTCTCTAACGGCTATGTGGTCTCTTTTTTTTTCTAAAAGATCCAAGATGCCTGATCGATTATCGTATTCGTGATCTCGTTTCGAATTGCGCCGAATAGCGTGTCCATCAGTTTACTGTCCACTGCACATGTGTATCTAGAATTGAACTTTTATAGAAGTGAACTTAGAAAAGGCTTGAGAATTCTATTCTATGCAGCAGGCTCTTTAGAAATAGTAAACCACCCTTTTTGAATCCAAAACTCACTTGTGATAAACCCCTTTGTTTCGCTTCAGTTTACTCGATGAAACAACGTGCGCCACTTTTGCAGCCACACATTTTCGCATCGAACGATAACTGTAGTCACCAGTCGTTTCCAATTTGTCTTTATCACCCTAGATTTCTCTGTTCTCCTCAAAATTTTCCCCTTCTCATCACAAAAAAAACCTTTTCCATATATTTTCCTAGATATTTGATGGTCTCTCCTCGAACTTCTGGTAAATCTTTGCATCGTTTGATCTTATCCTTGAAAATGTCCTCTTTATTCAGAAAGATCATCACACCGCAATTCTGTACCGGTTGTAGCTCCATTATTAACTGAAATATTTGGGTAGAGAATTTGATGTGTTTCCTAAACCTCAAGCATCTTGAGACTCTCGTCGAATAGGGTCAACCCGTCGTGAATCGGATGTTGCAAGTTGTACTCGGCCATTGAAACAATATACAAAATGAAATTACGATAGTTTTGTCGATCTGCGGACACCCAATTGTTTATGTAGTTGACGGTTTTTGCCTGGAAAAAGTTGGGATTCTTTTTCTTGGATCTATTTCATTTCAACGTACTCTTTCGACTTTTTGCCCACCAATGTCGTGAATCATGATCTTCATCTCGTTGATTGAGAAACGATAATCGGTGATACCCGTTGTGGGATCCCTTGCATGTAAAATATCATCATCAGATGGAGAATAGGAAGAAGAAAAGATCTAAAAAAGCCATAAAAAAAATCCTTCTCTAATTACAAACCTCTTTGATTTTAAGATCACTCAAAAAGTACAGCGTACCGTCAGTCAACTGTAGCTCACCCGTCATTTTTGCTCGTTTATCATACGTGTCTTGGATCTAGAGAAAAATAGTTACTCAAAATTTTCAATTACCGTTGAATCGTTGAATAGATTCACGAGTTGCTCTCCCAATTGACCCATTTCATCGCCTTGACTTGGCACGCTGTCTATTGTAAAAATTTTCTCGGCGAACTCCCGTGCTTTCTCGTTTTTAATCGATAATGACCAGGCATTGGCTTGCTGAAATGGAAATCCCCATTTGCTCAGAGAAAATTCATTTCAAACTTTGACGAGTATTTGCAAGGCGTCGATGATGTTCTTGCGAATGATTCGCGCCCAACGATGCAACTCGTGCTCTTTAAATGTGTGATGAATCGGTTGCCACTCCTCGTCGTACCTAATTTCATAGCTAATCTTTAAATAGAATTCTTTCTCTCTACATCTGATAATCGGTCGGCCTTAAATGGCACAATTTTTGTAGCTGTTTGATGATTGTCGATTTTCCTGCCGATCCCATTCCGACCATGAAAAAGCGCACAATTTCCTCGTCATCGTCTCTGGTTATCGTTTCCTGGAATCGAGATTTCAAGAAGAAAATTTTACAACGAATACCTCAAAATCTAGATTTGTAAAAAAAAACTATAAAAACCTTTTTATAATTGTCAGGCGATCGATCCTGGGCCGAAAAGCAGGTGCCCATCCTGAATGAAAAGGGTGAGAAGAGTGATAAGGAAAGAAGAAGGCGAGAAGATCGTAAGGGAGGGGAGGAGGGAAGAAAACTCCCTCTAGTTTTAGTTGCAAAAAAAAAGAAGAGAAGAAACCTTCCTTTCTTTCTTTCTCTCTTTCTCTCTTTCTTTTTCTTTTCACCCAATCAAAGTCCCATTTGAGGTCAAAGTAGTGCGTATCTCTTTGAAATTGGCGATTAATCGAGCAAGAATCAAGGAAAATAAACGAATAGGCTGAATGTGTTTTCTCCTTTTTGCTTTAAAGTCGTATCTCTTCTATGATTTTGTTTACTTTAGGTTGCCGTCAAAAACGATATCGATGTCTTCTATTTCTCGGTCGTTGTACCATTGCTCGCCTATTTTGCCGATGATGGACAAATGGAGAAACGCGATTTCCTTGAGATGTGGAAGGTGAGTGATTCGTTTGTAAAAGCAATTACAATATTCAGTAGATATTTGACTATCTTTTAGCATTTTTATTGACCCTTTAGTGAGTCTTATTCTAGAAATGTTCTAGAAACTTTGTAGCCTTGCCCTTAATAAAGAAATGACTCAATTTTCTATTTTAGGAGATTCCTGAACAAAATGAGCAACAGTTTCAAATCCAGAATGCACAACGGCTGAGTGCTGGTAAAAATTGACGAACTATGGCTTTATTGAATCCCATTTTTAGATCAAATATGCGCAAAGCTGCAAGCGAACAATGTGTTCACCGTGGCTCGTCGATCTGTTGATGGACAGGTGCTCAAATCAATAATATAACGTTAAGATTAAGTTCGCAAAATACTGTTGTTTTCTCGGTTGAATAGTTTGCATTCAGGTGGTAAAATGTGTAGTAATTTGTAGTAAAATATAATAGTTAGCTTATCTGTTGAGAAACTTAGATATTCGTTTTGATAATCGAGTCGAAAGTGAGACGAAACTTACCTTATTGAATTTAAAGCCTTACAGCAAAAGATATTCGCATCTTGGCTAATTCTAGTAATAAGAAATTTATTCCAGGAGTTGCTGTACCATTCGATCAAGTACACAAATGGTTTGTACGTGCTCTCCGAGTTGAAACTTCACCAGGGACCTCCAGCCCTTACGGTAAAGATAATGCAAAATAAAACTAGCACCGTAAAACAAGTTTGCAACAATACAGTAATACAAAAGTCCAAACGTAATCCCGTAAATTTTTAGCTCTCACTGAAATCAAGCCATCTGACTGCGATCGCGAATCTCAATGAAATGTTCCAATTAATCCTTGCGAATTAGAAAAAAAAAATTGTAATACAATACTAGAGAGATATTTTATCACACACCTAAAATTGTTTTTTTAAACTAGTTTTTAATTTATTCTTATTTATTGTCCTTTAAAATTCCGTTATCATCATTGCATAGTAAATTATTGTATCCTTTAATAAAATTTATATTGTTACGATTCATTTCCCTCCATTCATCATTAGGTGATTTTACTGCTCTGTGTTGTGATTGTAAAATTTTTGTATTTTCTTTTCTGACCCTAGCTGTGTGTATAATTGGATTTGGATCTTGCTGATGTTAGTATTTATTATTTGAGAAGTAAACTTTGTGAGAAATAAAAATTGAAAGGAAGAAATCGATACAAGCAATGGATTTATGCCTTGATTATGAATTGGAAATTGAGAATTGAGAATCAGCAGGAGAATCAAGTATTCAAATTCTAAGTTTCCTTTAACTCTCCTAAAATCACTGCCTTTATTCTGTTATAATATTATTAATAACAAATATATTGTAAAGTACCAGCTTGTGATACTATAGTGATCTATAGTATCACAAAAATTTTACAATCACAACACAGAGCAGTAAAATGACCTAATGATGAATGAGGGAAATGAATCGTAACAATAAATTTTTTTAAAGCCTTGCCAGAATAAAGGCAGTCATTTTAGGAGAGTTAAAGGGAACTTAGAGTTTGGATACTTTATGCTGATATAGTCTCGAGATAGGATACTGTACTGGAAAGATATAAAAGTTGATAACTAAATGCATACTGCATTAGTGCTTATGCTTGTGATGATGGGGAGGGGAACGGGAACGGGAATGGGAATGGTGGCGGTGGCGCTGGTGGTGATCATGATCATGGGGATGATCGTGATCATGGGGATGATCGTGATCATGGGGATGATCGTGATCATGGGGATGATCGTGATCATGGGGATGATCGTGATCATGGGGATGATCGTGATCATGGGGATGATCGTGATGATGATGAGGCCCGTGATGAGGTTTTGAATGCTTCCCATGCCTTTTTTCTGAAAAATAAGATTAGATCTTAACAGTAATCATCTAATAGTATTACCATAGTGCGTTTGATAGTGCCCTGATTGCCTAGCTAACGGCAGCTCTTTACGATCTTTACGATCGGCTAATGGCTTTAGATTTATCTCTTTAAAGAATAACATTTCTATAGATTTTATAATTTTACAATGCAATAAATAATAAAATGATTGTTTTCAAAGAGTTTTCTATTTGTTACCTAACCATTGTGTGGATGCATGCCAGGCGCTGCGCCACCACCGATCCCCGAATCGCTAGGCTGTACTCCTTGACCAATTCCTCCTGTAAGACAATCGTTAACTGAATCAATAAGAAATAAAGTCGACGCTCGATAGTAAATCACTTTTGAAAAATCCCGACAAAACGCTTAAGAAAATCCAAGGGCAAAAAGCTCGATAGTATTAGGTTGGTGAATTGAAAAGGATCGGTATATATGGAAAAGGATCGGTATTATTTCAAAGATAAAACGTCTACTTTTTGTCGTTCAGATGTGGGGAACCTATTTCAAAATGTCAGTGTTTAGCCGGTTTCATTGGAGATGGACATAAAAAGTGTGAAGGTGAGAGTTGAATACTTATAGCTTTTTGGTAGACAAAGCTAAAAGATTGGCTGCCTTTCCGACTATCTATTGGGTTGGTGAATTGAAAACTGCGGGACTTTGAACTAAAATTTATTGAACATAAAACCATCAATTCATCCGAAATAGTTTCCACTATTATTGACGACTTCTGCCCATTTTACAGGCAATTTGCGGATTCCACTTTCGTAGTAGGATTTTGGTTTGTGTGTGAGACAAGTGTGAGACTCAAAAATCGAGGACTGTTCCAGTTTGAGCATTTGAGCACTTTCTTCAAAAGAAACCCATTTTGGTATCAATAAAAAAGTTGTAGAGAATCAAAAATTAGGCTTATAGCCAAATTTCCAAAAAGATACACTCAGTAGTTTCGCTTAAAATGCAAGTTTTGTGAAAATTCGTAAATTTGGCATTTCTTGAAAACCAATTTTTGAATCGTTCTGAAAATTCCGATATAAGCCTGATTTTTGATTCTCTAAAACTTTTCCATTGACAATTGACGAATTTGAAGATTCGCAAAGAGCCAGGATCTCCATTACGGGGCGGAGAGGGGAGAGGGGAGGGGGTTATGTAAAAGCCCTGCGCCAGACGACGAGCGATTACGCGGCCGCTCGAAGAACACCCAGTCATTTAGACAGGGATTTCTCTTTTGCTTTGAAATGGCTTTAAATAAAGATATTCGAATTTTGTCGAAAAAAACTGTCACATATGACAATAGCCCGCAGTTTTCAATTCACCAACCCAATAAATTACTTTTGGAGAATCCCTTCAATGGAAAACACGTTTATTTAACGCTTGATAGTAAATCATAGATTTTTAAGCAAAATTCTGCATTTGCAGCTGCAAAATTTACATTTTATTTACTATTCAAGCAAAATATTCAGCCAAAGCCGCCGTAGCCGACCGGATAGGAGTCTTTTCTTCTAGTCTGGAGGTTAAGGGTTCGATCCCGGCCCCTAGAAAGATTAGCTCTTTTTCCTGTTATTATGGGTTTTTAGTTCTTAACAACATTTGGGTAATAGGGGTAAAAATTTCCTCCTTTGTCTTGTAATTCATTATTCGTGTCGCATAAATATACTTTTAAACGATTGAAATCGAAAGGGAAAAAGAGCGAGCATCCAACAGCAAATTCATTCATTTAAATCCATTTCATTACATATTATTAAGAGTTTTTTTAGTAAGTAAATCTCATAGTAAAAAAGAAAGAACTTTTGCCAAATTACGCATATTTTACTAGAAAAGCTTACAACTTAGATTACAGAGCTGACAACGACTTAAAACAACTTACAACCGCTTAGATGCTTACACTGTTGCTTACAATCAGCTGCTATTCGAATTTTCTAGTCATTAAAAACAGTTTTGAAAAGTTGAATTCCCGCAAAGCCTAGTGTTTACTAGTGTTTAAGCATTTAAAGCCAAAAAAAATGGTGTTTATCAGCTCATTCACAGTGTTTTTGATGTTTTTAGGACTGATTAGGCAAAACTCTCGATAGTAAATCATTTTTGGAGAATCCCTTTAATGATTTACTATAGTTTGACTGAGCTAATATGAATATTAGTTGACGATGACGATAGTTTGAGACTCGTTCATTTTCGATAATGAAATGAAGGGTGCAAGACTTAGTACTCAACCTAATATTAACTATTTTCTAATCAGCGGAAAACGCTCACTAACGTGCGCATTTTCCACCCAGCTAAAAAAATGGTGTTTTTGATGTTTTTAGGACTAATTAGGCAAAACTCTCGATAGAAAATCATTTTTAGAGAATCCCTTCAATGATTTACTATCGAGCGTCGACTGTAGTTTTACTGAGTTAATAGTTATAGGAAATATCTACTATATATAAAGCAAAAGAGACGTCTATCCGTCTGTCTGTGCGCAGCCATTGGCAAAAAAGGGGCGGGGCTTAGATTGCGTGGAAAATGCGAACGTTAGTTTCCGCTGGTTTCTGCTGGTTAGAAAATAGTTAATATTAGGTTGAGTACTAAGTCTTGCACCCTTCATTTCATTATCGAAAATGAACGAGTCTCAAACTATCGTCATTGTCAAACTATCGTCAAACTATCGTCAAACTATCGTCAAACAAACTCAAACACAAACAATCTCAAACTATCAAATACCCAAACGATTTCTTTCATTGTAAATCTTTATCGTTTTACTTTTTGTCATTTAAAAAATTTTTTTTAATATTTTTGAATAATCTGCGAGAACGAAAAATGAGATTTTAAAAAATATTGAGAGCATTGGTTAATCTACATTAAAATCTTTAAATTTGGCGCTGTTTTGAACGGCGCTATTTTTGTATGGGCGCTGTTTTGAACGACGCTGTTTTGAATGGCGCTGTTTTGGCGGCGCTATTTTGACTAGGTCCCTGAAAACCGCTAAACGGATTATTCTGAAATTTTCGTTGTAAACCTGACTTTTTATGGGCTATCTTTTTGAATTTTTGACCAAAATAGGTTTCATTGGAAGAAATGATCTAAATCGAATCATCGAAGCTTGTCCTTTCTGAACACACAGCTTCTTGCTAATGAAAAACCCTTCAAAACAAAGCTTTTCAGAAGCTTTCAAAAGTCATTTGCAAGAGAAATCATTGGGCTATCTGATGAAAAAAAACCATATTTCATTTGATAGCTTGAGACTTATTCAATTAAAAAATGAATTTCTGTGAAAGACTCAACCTAATAAAAGCTTTTGATAATAAATCGAACCACCAACCAGAGTTGGGGACAGGTGCAGCCCCACCGCCAATGCCATAGGATGATTCTGCTGGTTGCGCTCCGCCACCGATTCCGTGACCGGCTGGAAAAGTTTAATTGAGTATATTAGAATATGAAAAAAGTTTACTAATTAATAAATTATGATAAAATAAGATAATAAAAAGATAAAGGAAAAGTACAAGACCTGGAACTGGTTGCGCTCCTCCACCAATGCTAGCGCCGGGTGTTGCTCCACCGCCGATTTCCTGTAAAATACAAGATTCACCAAAGCAAGAGATATTTCTATAGTAATTCTATAGGATTTTAATCACTGCTGATTCTAAGCTTGGTTAAGAAACTGAGAAACTTACTTGGTTCCCGTGGTTACAATCACCTTCACAATGGTGCAAGGTTTCCATAGCAAATAAGTAAGAGTAAGAAGAGTAAGAAGAGTAAGAAGAAAAAAGAACCTGAAAACTAGTAAATACACTTTCATTTACAGTAAAACTTATAAAAAATTAAAAATAGCCGGCAGTTTGGCAATAGCCGGCAGTTTTCAATTCACCAACCCAATAAATCACTTTTGGAGAATCCCTCCAATGGAAAACTTAAATCGATCGAATAAGTAAAAGGTAAAATTATTGGTACAAAGATGATTTCAAAATTTGTTTACAAAAAGGATTTCACTGAATATAAGCTTTATAAAGTGATAAGTTTAACTTTTGAACGAAAAAGATGAAGGGTTAAAACTTTTGAGGCAATTTGGAAAGAGAGATGTTTGCGCAGACTGAAGGGGGAAACTGAAGGGGAAAAAAACCTTCATCTTTTTCGTTCAAAAGCCAACGCGCAAACATTGATGGGAAATCGGTTGATCTCAATAGATTCTTTCAAATGCCTTGACCTTTCCCCCATCATGATTCACCCCGTTTTTACAGAATAACGAATTCAATTCTTCTTCAATGACTCATAAGATCTGTCTCATTTTCTCGTTTCATTTTCTCATTTTCTTTTGAATCATTTGGGCGTGATCGTCTTTATTTGGATCGTCTTGATTTATTACAAGCTGGCCGCGAATTATCGTGACAAATTTTTGAAAAAAATACCTCTGCGAAATGTCTAATTTATTTTAAGAGTATCAAAGGTTAGATAGGGAATTGTAGCCCTAATTCTCCGTAATATTTAGCAAGCTATTAAGCTTGCAAGCTAGTAAGCTTGCTAGTAAGTTAACTCTAGAGAAAGCTAGTAAGCTAGCAAGCTAGCAAGTTAACTCTACAGGGTGACCAAGAATTACCGCAACAACTTTTTGGACAAGTATCTGGGAAATGTCTAATTTATTTCAAAAGTGGCAAGTGTTATACAGAGAATTGTAGCCCTAAATCTCCGTAACATTTGCCCTAAATCTACCGAAAACTTCCTCATTGGACTTATAAAACTCATTTAAGAAGCGCTTGAATGAGCGCTAGTCGACATCTCTTCGATGAATCTGTTATTTGGTTGCTTTTCTTTATTAAAAATTGTTAAGAAAAGCTTTTCAATAGTTCTTTAATGCAAAAATAGTGTTTAAAATCACTTAATAACACAAAGAAACATGCTTACCGTATTTCTTCGAATAGAAGACCGGGTAAAGAGTACTCCTGCGTACCCTTTACCCGTACTCCTGCGTAGCGGCCCTTTTTAAAATTTCTTTTCTGCATAAAAGCTTTCAATCAAGTGCTATAGAGCTGGAAAATGGCTCAAAAATCTGTTAGCTCATGTCGTATTTTTGAGTCATTTTCCAGCCCTATAGCACTTGATTGAAAGCTTTTATGCAGAAAAGAAATTTTAAAAAGGGCTGCTACGCTGGAGTACGCGATGATACTCTTTACCCGGTCTTCTATTCGAAGAAATACGGTAAATGTTTCGGCTAAACTCCTCAATCATAGATCCACACCAAAACCCTAAACGTCATTGTCATTTTCAAATGATTTTTTGACAATTATGTTGCCTTCCCATAAATTTTGTGGAAGATAAGGCTAAAGAGTAAGTTTTTTTCTTTTTTTTTTCTTTTTGTGGGTGGTGTTGAACAGAATGAGATAGGAGAAAGAAAGAAGATGTGTCATCGGGTCCCTTTTCTTATCTTTTTTCCATTTTTTTCTATTTCTCCCTTTCTTTAATCCTTGACTTTTCTCTTCTAAGTCATGCTGATATCGGTGAGAGTTCTGGCTGATATAAAACGATTTCCCGTTTGAGGAAAGCAGCCCAACTTTCAAACACTTTCACTTCTTCGTTTGTTCGATTTTTCAAAGAAAAAAAATGGTGAGTCAAGCTTTTGTTATAAAAATTTTAAATGACTTAAATCAATTTTAAATCTTCAATCTGAATGAATTGCTTTTTTTTAAGAGCGGAATCGGACATGGTGCTCAGCCAGGAGGTTGGGGAATTGGACAAGGTGCACAACCGAATCAATGTCCACCAGCTCCCGGAATTGGTGGTGGCGCTTGCCCAAATCCAGGTGATTATTGAAAGATCAATTACAATCAATCTTGTAAGCTATCTTTTGACTTTTAAAAATAAAACCCAACAAATCGGGCAGTTACGCACTGACGGAAAAACAAATGGAAAAACGAAAGCAAATAGCAAATGGGGCAGCTACGTTTTTCTGTCGCAGTGCGTAGATGCTCGATTTGTTGACTTTTTATTTAAAAATTAAAAGATATTCAATATTTCCTGCAAGCCTCGGCTACAATCAAACCTTTTTTCTTAAAAATTACTTTCTATAAGACATTTTGAGTCTTTCAAAGCATCAAAGCTCAGTTTAATCATTTAAAAATAATACTTGAGCAATACTTTTTTGCTTTCTATAATATCTATCAATTTTATAGAATATTTTCCTTTCAGGAATCGGTGGAGGAGCTCAACCAGGAGGTTGGGGCATTGGACAAGGAGCCCAGCCGTCCCATTGCCCACCACCCGGCGGAAACCCCGGACACTATGATCCTTATGGAAACTCGACTCAACACGGGCATCACCATCACCATCCGCATTAAACGTTTCCGAGAGCTTTTCTTTATCCACAATTACACTGAATAAATGCTTTTGCTCGTATTTTGTCGAAAATATTTGAAACAAACTGAGAGGCGCTTTTTCCGCCCTTAACTCCGCCCCTTTTTCAGTTCATTTTGCCGTTGGCAATCTACGGATTTTCCTCGTTCTTATTTTGTTGATTTGAAATTTCCAATACGGTTCCAATACGGTTCCAATACGGTTTCAATACGGTTCCAATACGGTTCCAATACGGTTCCTTTTACGGTTCCAACACGGTTCCAACACGGTTCCGATATGGTTCGAATACGGTTCCAATACGATTCCAATATGGTTCCAATACGGTTCCTTTTACGGTTCCAACAGGGTTTCGGGGGGGGGGTGTTTGTTGGTTAATACGGTTCCTATTTTGATCTAATACGGTTCCTTTGAATTTCCTTTCCTTGACTCGAAATCAAATTTTCTATTGAATGAAAGAAAATTCAACGTTTTTCAAATAAATCCAGTTAAAGGGGGACATAACGAAGAAGGCCGCCCCCACCCCCGGAAGAGGCTGAGGGGCGGAGGCCCCCCCCCCCACCAAAAAAAAACCCATAGGGAGGCAGAGGGGAGACCGGTTTTTTAAAGTAAAAGCAAAATAGACTGAAAAAGGAGTGGAGTTAAAATGGAGTTAAAATGGAGTCAGAAAAATGGTAATCAAGAAGGTCAAAATGTCGAGGAATTTGGCGGATAATTTAACAAAAAATAAGATAAGATAAAATAATTTATTCAAAAATCTGAATTGTTTATGAAGCGACCCGATAAATGGCAAAAGAAAACCACGAAAGAAATCGAATTGGAATGATCGATGAAGGAAAGTTAAATGGAAATCTTTAAAATAGAAATCTAAAAATTGCAATTGACTTTAAAAACGGCGAGCTTTTGAGCATCTTTTTCAAAAAGTATCGTGGCGAAGATTTATCTAGAAAATTGCACTTTTTTTGGTCGATAAATGGAATGCTTTTGGGGAAAGATATAAATAAATTTAAATATAAAATAAAAGCACAAATTTTGTGAGCAATGCGTGATAAAGTACATAAAAAAAAATTGACTTATTGAGTAGCAAAACAATCATTGTTCCAGATTGGCGCATCGGTGGGTTTACGGAAAATCGTGAAGAAAATGCAAACGCCCAAGAAGAGTAAATACAGTCCGAGACAACACCATTTCACCACACGTTCCCAGGTTCGTTCCTAAAAAGATTAGCATTTTCATGATTAGCCAAAAGATTCAATATAAAAGATTAGCCAAGAAAAAAAGAGCAAACGAGTGTATTCCTTTCAGAAAAAAATCAAAAATACACCATTTGACACACTCAATTCTTCAAGTTATTCAAGAATATTCGACTCAGAAATAAAAATATTAGGTAAATGCATAAGAAATGCGGATTTGAACATTTTCATAAATTTCCAACGATAGAAACCTGATATCGATGAATGTTATACTATTTGTTATACTATACTATTTGTTATACTATAATATTTGTTATACTATACTATTTGTTATACTATATTATTTGAAAGTTGTAAATCTCCTCTACAAAATAGGCTAAAACGTGTTTCAATTGATCGAAGCATTGAAGGAATTTCGAGGGCGAAATGCGAGTGACCAGAAAAGGAATCGAGTCACTTTAGGGACAAGTTTAGTGTGGTCAACTTTTTGTCAAGGGCACTTTTTGAAAACCCCACTTTCACAAGAGTTCGGTTTTGACTATATAAGGGAAAATGACGGCCCTAAAATCATTAACCTAAAAATATCATTCAAAACAATTAAGAGTTGGGGTCATTTCATGGGAAAACTTTGTTTTTACAATAATTTCTCTTTTTTGTGAAAAAGCCGTTTTTTTGAGAATTTTGAGGGTTTTGAACTTAGGCTCTATCTAAATTTCTGTAAATGCATTTCCGTTTGACTTTTTTAATGAATTCATATATAGTTATCCTTTTTTAAAATCTTCAATTTTGGGAAGCTAACTCAATTTTGACCACACTAAACTTGTCCTAAAGTGACTCGATTCCTTCTTTTGGTCACTCGCATTTCGCCCTCGAAATTTCTTCAATTTCTTGGATCAATTGAAACACGTTTTAGCCTATTTTGTAGAGGAGATTTAGAACTTTCAAATAGTATAGTATAACAAATAGTATAGTATAACAAATAGTATAGTATAACAAATAGTATAACATTCATCGATATCGGGTTTCTATCGTTGGAAATTTATGAAAATGTTCAAATCCGCATTTCTTATGCATCTACCTAATAATACATTATTAAACTAAAAATTCTAAGAAAACAAAGATTCCAAGACTTTACACATTACATACCACCATATTGTAAAGAATGAAAACACCAAAACAGAAGCCTGTGACCCCACCAGCGATATGTGCTGCATGTGAGACCTGTAAGATCGATCGAAATTGATGAACTGAGGAGATTCATTGATTAACAATTCCTTGATAAAGTATTCTTTATCAATTAATTGTTAAAAATGCTTTTTCTTGCTTACTTTATCACATGGATTTTCCCAGAAACGACGATACACTGTGCCTCCAATGTCAAAGCATAGCCAAACGGCGATCACTAACAAACGTAGCCATCGAAATGGCATCTCTGCCCAGTTCTAGATATATTTTATTGAAATTTAGATGATTTTCTAACAAGACAAGGTCAATTGGCTGCATGCCAAATAAATGGCAAATGGAATGGTAAATGCTATGCCAAATGGAATGCTAAATGCTATGCCACTAAATGCTATGCCACTAAATGCTATGACACATGCCAAATGGAATGCCAAATGCTATGCGATCTATACCATTCAACGAAGAATTTGATGCTGATTCTGAATATATATTCCGTTTTTGTTAAATGATAACCTACCAGAATTTAGAAGCCTTTAAAGTTTTGTTAGAAAAATGTGATCAACGACCTCCTTGCGCCAGGTTAACGGCCTCCTTGCGGAACCGACCTGCTGCCGATGTGGCCTACTGGTACAGCGTTCGTTCAAGACCTCGCAAGTTCGATTCCCGCCTTGGGCTTTGATCGCCGATCTTTTGCTTTTTCTCAAGAACTAACTAGTGTAACTAGTGTTCTTTGCGCGCGCACACAACATATTTCAGCCATTTGACCTTCCCTTGTAAATCATTGTAAAACTTACAATAAAAACATTAGCGAGATGTGCTAGAATTAGGGCATAGACACCAGCTGAAGCTCCAACAAGCAAAACGCTTGGATCGAGGGGATATTGTAGCAAAGCTCCTGAAATTTTCTCAATCATTTTACCAATTTCATTTTTCAAACCAGCAATCACCGCCATCAAATATAAAGGTCCTATTCGCCAGATTTTGTGTACAACCTAGATTTTTGGAATCTTATTGTTAGAAATGGCTGTGTACCTCTAACGGGATTCCGACAAGCAATTGCATCACAAGATTTCCGATCAAATGGAGTAATCTAAAATGAATTTTGTTTTTGAAGTTTCATGATTTCTTTTTACCCTGCATGTAGAAACATGTACGTGACAAAGCGCCAAACTTGTTCGCGAAGTTTTGGAACAAACATCAATGGGCCTAGCTGAAAAGGATAGGATTTAAAGGAAAAAAAATACATTTATTTACACAAATAATACAAAAGCAAAACCTTAAGCCCTAAATGTAGAGAAAAACCAATATATATATGTCGTAGCCGATGAAGGATTTCAGCCGAAGACTCAATCGGCTAGCCGAAGAAGTCTCAGACTCAATCGGCTAGCCGAAGAAGTCTCAGACTTCTTCAGGCTGAAATCCTTCATCGGCTACGACATATATATACCGTATTTTCTCTAAAAGTAGTGCACCATGAGCGTCGCCTAAATTCCTCGAAATCTCGAAAACCGCGGATCAGAACCTATCGATGTGGGGTCGGAAAATGTAGCTGACGATGAGATCTAGTGGGGATTAGAGTGTTGAGCTTCCGCAAAAGCTTGGAAACCGTAAAATAGTCATCAACTCGGCTCGGGTGCACTACTATTAGAGAAAATACGGTATATGGAAAAAGAATCAATAATCTAGCTGGTGGGATTGAACTCGTGACTAGGATAGGATTTAGGATCTTAGCCAGTCGGCTCGTTTGCGGTTTACCTGATTTCCCACATAACATCCCGCGCAATAGTCATAGATTTTGTGATGTGGATGAGCCGTTGTGTAGTAATAATAGAGGAAAATGATGACCTGGAAGTGATAAAGATCTACGATATATAAAGTGATAAAGATCTACGATTTATAAAGCAGAAGCAGGACGTCTGTCCGTCTGTCCGTCTGTACGTAGTCATTGGCAAAAAAAAGGGGCAGGGCTTAATAAGTTTTCTTTTTCTGTGCTTCTTTCGCTTTTTAAGTTTATCTTAGAGGAATCCCGTTAGAGGTACACAGCCAAAGTTTTTCTTTTTTTTGTCAATGACTACGTACAGACGGACAGACGGACAGACGTCTCTTCTGCTTTATATATCGTAGATCTTTACCAGCGGCAAAGTTTTCCTGGTAAAGATCAACTTCTCAGCCTTCTGCCTTGCTACAGTATCGAAAATATTCAAGACTGAATATTCTCTTCTATATTAATGTCTAGATTTTCTTTATTTACTGTAGATAGATACTAAAATGTTATAGTAATTGAAGATTATACTTCAATTACTTAGAGATTATTTAGTAATTGAAGATTTACCTGGAGAATCGAAACGCTGACAATAAAAAGCGGTGGTGGACAGCAGTTGAAAGCGTTCAAATAAGAATGAACCTAAATTTTGAAAATAAAAATCAATTATATATGGAATAGATATAATAATATCTTATATAACAATAAAAAAGATTCTAGAAAATCGAAGCTTTACTTCAATTCTTTGCTTTGGAGTGATGACAACATCAGCCACTGTGTACAACGCTTTTTTCATCACTGAAGCTTGAGCCTCGTGATCGATGCACTAAAATATAAAAATAAATGATAATAATAAGATATTTATTTGCTATTTAGAAGCTATTTGTATTTGAGGCTTATTTCGTTTTTAATTCTTGAAGATACTCACGAGCTTTCCAAATTCGGCATCAGTGATATACCCATCTCGATTCTTGTCGGCTTCTCGAGCCAAGTGCCGAATTTGAGTGGCCGTCAAACTAAAACAGAAACTAATAGTGAAAAACTAATAAAATTTGCCATAAAGGAATCGAACTCGAGCAAAAAAACGTGACGCTCGTTTTGTACGGCAGAGCTTTATCCACTAGACCACCGAGCCACGTTGGGCACACTTGAGAGTCCCGTTTTAAAGGCCACCGAGCCACTAGGCCACCGAGCCACTAGGCCACCGAGCCACTAGGCCACCGAGCCACTAGGCCACCGAGCCACTAGGCCACCGAGCCACTAGGCCACCGAGCCACTAGGCCACCGAGCCACTAGACCACCGAGCCACTAGACCACCGAGCCACTAGACCACCGAGCCACTAGACCACCGAGCCACTAGACCACCGAGCCACTAGACCACCGAGCCACTAGACCACCGAGCCACATTCGCCACCCTTGAGAGTACCGTTTTTTCCAAACTTTCAAATTTCTCCCTAAGACTTAAAACCTTTTATAGAAAGCGATTTTGCAAAAACAAAAAGCAGATTCAGAATTAGTGAAATTCTGCGTTGAATGGTCTGTCTGTCGTATGGCTTGTCTCATTACTATTGCCTTTCCCTTGTAAAAAAAGTGATTTGATTCTAGATTAGACTTACGCAAGTTCTTCCCTTCTACTCGATAATCTCTCGACGAAAAGCTCACACGAGATCCCTTGTGGTCCATCATGTTCACTTCGAAGCTGAAATTTTCGAATTTCAATAATTTCTCTTTTAAGCAAGATTCGTTTAACCTGATTTAAACAACCTGTGGATATATGCTTTGATGCCGTTGCATCGAGGGATTTTTGGGAAATGTTTAACTGAAATCTATGGCACTAATGGAAGAGAATAAAGAAAATAAAGAAAATAAAGAAGTTGGAAAGGAATCAGGTGAGCGCTGTGAATGGGCACAAAAACAGGAAGTTGAAAAGAATTGGGTCTTTCGTCACAAAGCAAGGGAAAGTCCTTTCTACAACAGAAAGTCCTTTCTACACCCTTTCTTCATTCATTGTCAGAAATTTGATCACGAGTATTGAATTGTAAATGCTCGTGTAATGTAAATCTAAATGCTAATTTAGATTTGTTTTCTAGTTTTCTTGTTTCTAGTTTTTAGTTCCAATGAAAACAAGTTTTCTTATTTGAATCACTGACAAAGCCTTCGTTTTACATGCAAATTTTATAAGCTATAAAGATTTTATAAGCTCAAAAGTAGTTCTTGATATTGTAGGTTAATAAATTTTAAACATAGTCGAAATTTAGATATTTGAGAAGTTTTCAATGATGGAGACTCTTTGAAGACACTTTTTCAAGGTTAGTTTTACGGAAAAAGTAGTTCTTGAAGAAAAAAAAGCAAATAACTGCAAATTTGATCTTTTTTGGAAGGATAAAAATGATTTGTTAGATTTTTTAAATTTAAGAAATGTGCTAAGAATAAGAAATCTTAAATAGAGACCTTCAATAGAGATCTTAAATCAATCATTTAGAGAATCTCATGTTTCAGAAGCTTTCAAAAACCACTTCTAAATTATTCTAATCATTCCAATTTCAATCGTTTCTTCTAAGGAAACGATTAGAATTTTGTGGTTTGAATTTGAGCAATTAAGAAGAAAGCAGAAAGGAAGAAGCAGAAGGAAGAAGCAGAAAGGAAGAAAGCAGAAAGAAAGAAACAGAAAGAAAGAAATTGAGTTAAAGAATCAGCAATCAGAATCGATAAGTTTGAATGTGAAAAAAGAGAAGAAATGGTTGAAAATAGAGGATAAATAGGGTATGCAGCTGCGGGTGTGCAGTGTGCAGCTAGAAGGGATGAGGGGTGAGAGGGTGAAGAACGGGGAAAGAGGAACTGTTCTAGACACTTGCGATGAGACTGGATTTTTCCCCTGAAAAAAGGGCAAGATGAAGAGAGAAATCTTCTTCATCTACACAAGCTGACTCATTTCTTTTTGGCCTTTAAATGAATGTTTCGTTCTTTCTAAGTCCTTCTTCAATGTCCTTCAATTTTAAGCAAGAAAATGATGAAATTTTGTAAAAAAGCGGTTAAAATCTTTCATTATATAAGCAAATTGAACTTAAAATCATGTTCTTTTGCTTTAAAACAATAAAACAAGCTTTCAAATGATTTATGGGAAATTGGGCTATGGAGAAGAATGAGAAACAAAAGAATTTCAAGCCACCCACACCTGTTCTATTCTAATACGGATTTTCGATAATTACTGAATAATTACTAGATAATTTGATTTGTAAATAGCTTTATTTATTATTATTTTTTATTATTTATTATTATTTTTTATTATTTTTTATCATTTTTCTAATTTCACTCACCTTTTGAAATTCAACATTGTAGAAATGGCGAAATTTGTTCTTTCCAATACCTAATGTCGGCATTTCTGTAAAAGAGAGATTTGAAAAGACATTCAGAAGAGAATTCAGAAGAGAATTCAAAAATCAAATTCAAAAATCAAATTCAAAATTCAAATTCAAAATCAAATTCAAAATCAAAAATCAAAAATCAAAAATCAAAATCAAAAATCAAAATCAAAATCAAATTCAAAATCAAATTGTAAACGTAAAAAAAACATATTCCATATGCTAAAGAAATCAATAAATAAGAAAAGATCGTAGAAATATTGCGAAGAAAATCAAATATTGCGTGACTCATCAATGATGAGCAAAAAGGAATTCATTGGAATTGATGATCAATAAATGGAACTCATTTGGGGACATCAAAAATGGGAAAACGTTCGAATGGAATGAAGGGGAGACTCACTATTATCTCTTGATACACTCACACACATATAGCACTCATATTTGCTCTTCTTTTTGGGAGAAATGGGAAAGACTTATCTCTGCTCGTACCCCTTTTTCCTTTTATTCGAATCTGTAAGCTTTGGCATGACTCGATTTTCTCGAATTCTTGAATTCTCGAATTCTTGAATTATAGACATTTTTTTGAGACACCTATTTAGAGTAATTGATTGGGGAAAGCTATTATCATTAATTGGGGAAAGCTATTTAGAGTAATTGATTGGGGAAATGGGAAAGCTATTATCAATTTGGTTTAAACAATTTTCGTTTCATTGCAAGAATTTAAAGCTAAAATTGAGTCAATCCTGGAAATAGCTTATGAAAATAGTGCGAAAATAGTGCGAAAAGAAAATAGTGTGAAAAGGAAAAAGTGAACTCATATAAAAAGTCCAGATACAAGTGCTTTTTGTTGTCAAATTATCCCCCCAAAAATGTGGTCTCCTGAGTAAGGGTTGACACTTGGCAAGGTCATGGCAAAAAAAGGAAAAGGGGGAAGGTGTGGGACACAAAGACTTGGTGATTTGAGAGGCGCAAGAGTCACCGCTTGTCTTATTTCGCTCTTGGACCCCCCAGTCGCTGCTCTCTCCTGTCTTTGTATTGATTTAAAAGAGCAACACTCACACCGCTCCTTGCCCCTTTTTTTTGACTAAAACAAAGGCAAAAACGATGCAAAAACGATGGAAAAAAAGAGTGTTGTCTAATGGTGTTTGTTGTGTGTACAGATGCTTTTTCGTATTTCGTATTTGCCGCTTTTCTCTCAAAAAGTTTCTAATCTTCAGAATTATATTTGTCAATTCCAAAATGAATATCACAATTCGAGAAATACTATGCGTAGCTTTTTGTTTTTTTTTAAATTAAACCCATAAAAATTTTTGAAAGATTTCAATGGCAAGTGAAAAAAAATTATAATTGATGGGGAGATAAGTAATTTTCCAAAAAAACGGAAACGGAAACAGTAAAGTCATGGACGAAGGGCGGGAAATGGCAATGCAAAATTGCATACAGGATAAAAAGAGAGAGAGGAAAGAGGAGTAGAAATTAGCATCCTTGCATCGATTGAGCGTGCTGTCCTCGTGAGCCGAAAACCTGGAAAAGAGGTGTTTTTCTATATCTAAAACTATATCTAAAGCTATATCAGATTAGATTTAATATTCTATCTACACTGAAACATTTTCCGCACCTCATTGAGCGGCGGGATTCCGGTGCGAGCGATGAGAATGTGCAAAACGGGCTCTCGCTGAATGTACTTCACCGCTCGATCGTGGGTCACCATCGTGAAATCGACGCCGTTCACCTAAAAATTCTATGGATTTTTAAAAACAAAGCCGATATATTACATTATACAAATAGCCAGAAAATAACTTTAAAAACGAACCCTCAAAATCTTGTCGTGTTTCTGCAGACCGGCTCGATCGGCCGGTGATCCCGGCTCAACGTTTGTGATGTAAATTCCCTAAAGAACGTTTTTGTTGGATGAAAATTGTCATATAATTATTACTTAATACGCTTTAAGATTAGGAAAAAGAAAATTTTGTGCTAAAATTTCCTGAACTTGAATATTTCTTAAGGTTTTCTTTCAAACCCTTACCGTATCTGGATACAAGAATGGTGCACGAGAGGGATCCTGATCGATTCCACCACCAATTTTGAAGCCAACCTAAAAACATTTATCGATTTATCGGCAAGATCTCTGATACTCGAAACACTGGATTCCCATCCGCGTCGAGCACTTGTTCTTTCGTTAATTGAATCGCCAACGAAAGACATTCCAGCGGATTCCCGGCTACATGCCCATAAGCTTCCATGCTAAAGTTGGAAAGAATTGTCAAAACTGGAAAGATAATTATTGACGAAAGAATGCAAGAAACTCACTCCTCCCCACTGTCCACTTGACTATACGTATATCTTGGTAAAGCTCTATCAAAATCATGATCCATTTTAGATAAATAAAAGAGAAAATATTGTGCTTTGAAAAAACGGGACTGAGGGAAAGCTTATCGAGAAAAGGAATGGGTGGAATGGATCGGGAAAAGAAAAAAAAGGTACAGTCTTTGAGTCATGCGGTTTGAGTCGGATCAATTCTCGGCCCTTTAGCGGAAGCGCAAACACAAACCCTTCTCTTTGTCGCTTTTAAAAATCTTCCCTTTGAAATTTGTTAAACTTAAAAGTTTAACGAAAAAAAAAAACTATTTTACAACAGTCCTAGGACAGTTTAAGATTTAAATCTACTTGGGAACGAATACTGCACAAAGAAAGTCCTCTACAACATAGAAAATATCAGATTATAGTTAAAAAGCAGAAAAAAAACAGCAAAACACAAATTGGCAGCGCGTATTGGAGGGAATTGGGCGTTATGTTTACACTTCGCTCGAATGTCAATCTCCTCTTTGCCTTTCGGTGGAGAAAAGCGAGCACATACCGAAAAATCTTTCGCAAAATGCTTAGCTATGAGAAAACGATAAAATAATTCTTGGTGAGAGGCTATATTTCATCAGAAACGGGGGAAATGGGGGACCCTGGAGGATGAGTCATTTTCGATTTGCATTTGTGTGTGTGCCAGTGGTCTCAAGGGGGGACAAGGCTCTCTCATTGTTAGAGAAACTAAGGGAAATGAATAGGAAATGAGAAAAATAGACTAGATCTTTCCTAAAGCTTTAGAAGACTAGTATATTTTGGATTAACTTGAATAAAAATGGGATCGAAAGAATCTCTAGAACTAAAAATTCAAGAAAACATCTGGAAGATGAAACTAGAAAAATAGTAAAGGTGTTTTAGATGATGAGGCTGAATAATTTCTGTTGTAGTCGTAGATCCTCTGTTGCCACGTGATTGATTTGCTTGTGAAATCACAATTAGCGTTTATCCAGAGTAATGAAGGAGAATAAATGAATCACAATCGATCCGTATACAAAAATGTAAAGAAAAACAATGGGAGAGAGCGAAAAAAATAAAATAAAATGCCAATAAAACGGCACAGACTACGAGACATTTCCAGTGACAACCTAGACAGACGGGAAAAGGTGCACTTTAGAAAACGACAATTTTGTGGGAATTATAAAACGCTCTCTTCGCAACAATTTCGGGGTAGGCTACTTTGCGCCAAATTTTTTTGAGTCATTTGAGCAATTGGGTTGTTTGCGCAACTCGCCATAACTTTCTTCTAAGTCGGTCAATCTTTATGATTTTGGTTGCACTTATTGAGATCTACAAAATGAAACCAAAATCATAAAGAAGAAGAAAGTTATGGCGAGTTGCGCAAACAACCCAATTGCTCAAATGACTCAAAAAAAATTTGGCGCAAAGTAGCCTATCCCACAATTTCTGAAACAGAGAGCTTCTTGTGGAGTTGAAAGGAAAGCAAAACATTCACAGTGATTTCCTTTTGTTATTGAGAATGGAGACTTTTCTCACCTTCAACCCCCACACACACTTCTTTTCTTTTCACTCATGCATGACACTTCTCAATGACCTTGGCCCGTCATTTATACTCGCTCGCTCTCATCCATTCACCACATAAAACGATCGCTTTGTCTTTCGACTTGGTCGATGTCCTTCCCAAAAAAAAGTGCCCTTTCTACCGTATTCCATTGAGCTGGCAACATTTCAAAACGATTTTTAATCTTTATCCTCGTGTAATCGGTGGCAAGTGCGGGGGGAAAAATGAGAATAAGACATTATTTTCTGAAAAATTTTGACTTCAAGTCATGCCTATTAGCTCAAAAGATGTACCCAGTCTGCCAGAGAGGGGATGCACTGAAGTAAGGCAAATTTTTAACAAAAATTTCCATTCAGAAGCTATTTAGGCTCCATCCGATACATTTGATCATCAGAGATTTGATGAAATGCTTGTCCACTTGACACCGCTTGGGTTCGTAAAGCAATGCTTTGAGTTTAAAAAAATAGAGCGATAAAAAACAGCAATGTAGCTATAAAAATTCCAGCTGCACTATTCCCTATAATGTAGCATATGATGGAAATGGGGACATCTGGGTGGCTGGTAAAGGTAGAAAAAAAAAAGCTAAAACTCGTCTATTTTAACATTCAGGAGGCTTGTTCAAGATTTGCGGTCAACGAAATTTTCTGCTTTGGTCGGCGAAGAATGATTTCCCGAAAAAACAGGCAGCTTATCCACAAGTTGTCGTTTACAAGGATACGATCATTCATACAACTGCTGATGACAATGAAAAAATTACTGAAATGCGCTTTTTCGAGTATGATGGAACAAAAAAGCATGAGCAATTCATTGATGGTCTTATTCAGGTAAGAAAATTGATGTTTTTTTTTAAGTGTCAAACTCTTTTCAGAGTCTCGTCGTATCTGAAAGTGGAATCATGTACATTACAAAACAATTAAAATTGCATGGAGAGAGCTCAATTATCTACAAGTATTAAACATCTATATATAAAAGAGCTGTCTGTCTGTCTGTCTATCTGTCTATTTGTCTGCCTCTCTGTCTGTCCATCTGTCTGTCTGTCTGTTTTTCGGCTGATTCGTAGATAATTCAGCTTTAAAACGTTTAGAACATCGATCGAAACCCCATTAGGATGGGAGGAGTTGTGCAGTGATGACGATCTGGCATTTCAGGTGCATAACAATAATAAATGAAATGAAGAAATTTTCTTGTAGGCACTTTGCAGCTTCGATGATTCGTTATTGATCAGTGCTTGTGCGAAGATGCCTGTGAACATGTACAGCAAGTGAGTCCTCTTGAAATTCGTTTTGAAATTAGATTCAATTGAAATTCAAGGCAATGTTTGAAATGGATTGATGCAAATACGGGTGAAACGATAAAACGAGTTTCGGTGGAAGGGAGGAAACCAGGAGAGATTTTCTTTCCTCGAAAAATTCATAGGTTAGTTGATGAGAATGTGAATAGCTACAGTATCCATAGGCTGGCTGAAGATATTGTACTTATGGACAAAACGGGTCGCTTTTTAAAGTTCGACAAAACTGGAGAGTACATAGGTTTGTCGGGGAAAAGTTTATAAAGCGGATAAAAACTATTTCAGGAGTTGTTGCTGAAATTGATGCATATCTGGCAAACGGTTTCTGCATTCAGGGAAATGAGGCCACAATTGCGTGTAGTGGAATCGTGCAAAATGATGTAATTTTGAAAAAAAATTTCTTTACATACAAATCATAGGACAAGAGAAGTCTTTGCGATGATTGGTTAGAGAATATACGATTGGATGGATCATCGTGGAAACAACAAAGAGAGAAATTGGCTCAATAAATGAGCAATAAATTACCTAGCTGAAGAATTTCAATAAATAAATAATTTATTATGATATGATGAATAGTGATTCAAATTTTATTCCTACCATTATTGACAGCTTGATTGGCAAGGTTGACGATTTCGAGCTGAAAAAGAAGAGGGTTAGCTGGTCTTTAGAATTGTGGAACTTACATCAGATTGCACACTCGGCTCAATGCCCATCACTTTGCAGAAAAAGTAATAGGCTCCCTCGTTGGCCTCTTTGACGACATTGGCATTGCGGAAGCCATGCCCCTCACCTGAAAGCAATTCTGACTTGAAGATTTTTCATTTAATCATGTAACACGGGATAAACCAAGGCTTTTTGCAGTTGAATTGGATTTTTTAAAGGATGGGTCCAAATCAAATTATTGGCTAGGTGTAGTAATAGAATTTACAGCTAAAATCATTAGCAAGTTTATTGAACTTAAATTTTTTGGAACAAAATTAAATGGAACAATTTTTGCCTTAAATTTGGCTGTATTTTAACCACAAATAGCTTATTGTTAGATAATTTTTTCTCTAGATTAATTAGAAAAATAATAAAAAAAAATAATGATTTGATCTGTCTTCGCACTTAGCGCAGATCACAACCCGCTTCCACATTTACTGAGGCAGAAGTGTAGTTGTCGTAGCCGATGATACTCCGATGGCCGGGCTGGGGCGGGGGGCCGGGGTCGAACCCACGACTAACCCGCGCCGACGTTGCGATTAATTAGAATCGATCCCAATTTCGACCCCCTCCCCCCCTACATATCAACAGTTTGGTTATTTGTTTCTGTAATGGACAAATTGAAAACTAGCATTGTTTTTCGTCAGCAATTACCTGGGAACAGCTTCAGGGCAGTTGGAAGTCCTTTTTCCCGTAAAGCTTCGAACATTTGGATTGATTGCGATGCGGGGACAACGACATCGTCCGTTCCGTGGAAAAATGCGGCTGGTGTATTCAACCTTAAACTTGTTTTGTGAAAGTAATAAAAAATTTTTCTGCTACCTCTCCACATGGCGAATTGGAGACCGCTCGTGGTAGATGTTGATCTCATCCGGATATTTAGCGATGCACACTTCATTGTAACCGAGTTCGAATTTGTGGGAATCCTAAACATTTTTTGATAATCTTAAATAATAAAATATTTTTCTGATATGAGCACTTTGTACCTTGACTAGTCCCTCCAAATCAGCGACTCCATAAGTCGAAACAGCGGCCGCGAATACATTTGGCTCGTGAATCAAACAAGAAAGAAGAAGATATCCACCGGCTAAAAGTATAATAGAATTAGTAGTAAAGTATAATAGAATTAGTATAATAGCAAATTCTAAGTAAATGTATCCCACTAACCAAGCTTAACTTAAGCTTCTTACGAACAAATGACCCTCACCCGAGCTTCCCATAATGGCCACTCGTTTTGCATCGACGAGACCCCTTTCGATTAACATTTGTGCACCGGCAATCATATCATCACGATCAACAATTCCCCATTTTCCATACAATCTAACAAAAGTTTAGTTTTCAAATGAGAATTTTTGTATTCAGCTCACTTGCGACGAAACTCGGTTCCGAATCCCGTTGAGCCTCGATAGTTGACATCAAAAACAGCAAATCCGCGAGAAGTGAAGAACTGCTTTTTGAAATCAAGCGCATTCGTAGCCGGTGCTAATCGAATAATCAAATGATTTTATTTTTTGTCAACTTCTCAAACCTGTGGGTCCTCCGTGTCCCATAAGAATCACTGGTGGGAGGGTTCCAGGCAAGCCGCTGTACTCATCATTCTGAAATCAATATCATTTTTTAGGACTTTCTAATCAATATACCTTTGGTGCGTAAAACCATCCAGACACGGTGACGTCATCGCTTTTGAAAGAGATTTTCTCGGGAATCGAGATTGGAAAATCTTCGATCTCATCTGCATCTCTTGCCTCACGCAAAATCGAGCAATGATAATTCTCACTAAAGTAATGTTTAGCCAAAAGTTTCATGTTAAACTAACTCATTCAGTTCGATCTTCAACAGACTTGAGGCTCGCTTTGGTCCAGAAGCGATACAGTAAGCAACGTCGTTTTCTAAAAGATAGTAAGATCAAATGTTATGTTTTACAAACCGGTTAAATCAAGATGTGAGAAATCAGTGAAGTCTGGGAGATCGATTGACAAGACTAGATCGTTCGAGCGGAATTTGAGTTCACCATTCACATTGAAGAGCGTATTTCTGAAAATACGAATGTAAGAGTTGCTAAGCTGTTGTTAAGATCTGTCTTTAAATATGTTAACAGGGTTACCAAATGGCAAAAACCGCCGTAGTAAAACGAGTTACAACCTTTGTAAACAAAAATTACTAGGGTTTTAAAACATTTTACCCTTGTAATCCACTTTACAAGGCTAGTAAAACATGCTACAAGGCTTATAACCAAAAGTACATGGGTCGCAAACGCTAGAAAAATCAAAGAAAACACATTTACAACCCTAGTAAGTGTGAGTGTTACTCGGGCTGTAAAATGTTTTACTTGTAAAAAACTTACCGTCCATTCGTGGAAAAAGGTGCATTCGCGAATTGCCAATGTGGATATCCGATCTCGGCATCGATTGGAAAGATATTATGCAACGAGGCTACAATTTTTTTCATTTAATAATCATCAAATTTTCTGAACCTTGTCCATTTGCATCGGTTTTATTAAGGGCCACACGGTAAACATTCCAGAAATTCGTTCGATCACTCACTGCCAGTAATTCTCCATTTGGTGACCACGCAGGGCAGTAGTAATTGATCTAAATCTTTTATTTATCCACAAAAGCTTTTTATATTAAACTTGAATATCTAATTTTAATTTTTGAACCTTTTGCCCAGTTCCGTCTAGCAGAACTCGTTCGTTTTCGAGATTTCCCTCGTTGTTGATGGTGGCGATTCCAATCATCGTTTCATCCCAAGGCTAAAAATTGTTGTTCATATTTATTCTTCATTCATTCATCTACTATATATAAATTTGTACGTCAGGTTTCTTGTCCAATAATCTAACCAAAATCAAACCATGTTAATATGATTCCATTGCATCCAAACTAGATGATTTCCCTCGCGATTCACGCGCGGAGAGGCATAAAAGTCGCAACCTTTCACCTAAAAAACCTTCTAGTTAATTTTTTTTACAAACTTCTTACCACTTGGCGAAACGTTTTCTCTTGGACATCGATCTGAACGATGTAATTTTCGGGTAAATGTCCGCCTGAGTGATCCTCACAAACGGCGTACAGGAATTTCGAATGAGCGCTGAGATCAGCAAAGCGGAAGGTTTTATTCTAAAAAGAGTAGATTTTAAGAAAAAAAAGACTGATTTTACTTGTCCATCGATAATTTGATCAACATCTCCATTTGCGTTGAGTCGAAAAACTCCGTCATTGGTGGTGAAAAAGACGGTTCCATTCGAGTGCAATGTCAATGCACCGCCGCCGTACTCGTGAACTTAATATTTGATAGTTTAAAATATAACAAAAGCGAATAAACTTACCAGAGTTTTGAACACTGTACCCTTGAGCTAGAGGAATGTCCTTTCCGTGATCGAAGGGTTCGTAGTGTCTAGAAGTTGAGAGTTCATCAAATAAAGCCTTTTTTATACCGTTGAAATAGTTCACGTTTTCCAGTCAAAATATTTTGCTCGACCCAGTAAACGCCATCTAAACACGATAGGGGTTAGTTTACCTAGGAGCTGGTGAAAACAGCACCGTCTACAAACAGCGCCAAGGCAAAAATAACCCATCCGCGGTTAAGTTTCTATGTGTTTCTTATTCTTATTGAATACAGAATAAAATTATCTACATTTTGCATACTTTGGGATCACTTAAAATAGAAGTGGTGTCGAGAAAAGCTCACTTAACCTCTTTTTGGCATTTTCTCATCCCAGATTTGTTCTAAACGGCTCGAAAAAAAATCAGTAGATAGCTAATCATTTTCTATATCCAATGAAAATAAGAAACACAAATAAACAACCGCAAACGCATTATTTCGGCCGGCACCGTTTTGATCTCCTTACCGCTGTTCGCTTGCAATTGGCAGATCGCTTTCGCGTTTCCTTGAGAAAAGACTTCCGGGGTGATCGTTGATTTCCAAGACCCTAAAAAAAATTTCATTTCTCAATGTCATTTAAAAGGCATTTATTTGTTTATACATGTAAAACTCCTTACCAAATTCTGCTACTGTAGCCATGCTACGGAAGGAGTTCGAGAAGCGCCGCAGTGCCTAGAATTTAAAGAGATATTGAAGAGATGAAAGGGGAAAAGCTTGTGGGCAATCAAAATCGAAACAGACAAATAAAAATTTATCACATTTGACATAAAAAAGCTTTTCCCTATCAATAGTCTATTAATTTTTTTTTACTTACTATTTTTGCACCCCTGTTTCTGATTTAAGATGATAAAATGTCAAGGGTCATTTCTGGGAATACCGTATGCGGTGACACGAATTCACACATTTTAGTGCGCATTTTTGTCACTAATGTCAGATCAAAGCGGGCACTGATAGGATCAGAAAAATGGCAATGTGATTCACGTAAAGAAGACGGCGAGCAAAGGCACAAAAAAAGCTGTTTGTGACTTGGCGATAGATGGAATGAAGGCAAAACAAAAATTGATCTGATGAATTTGTTTATCAGACGAAAATTGAAAATGTTCAAACATTAGATTTATGCAATGCTAGAAAAATATGGCTTAGTTAACTATTGTGAAATACAGATGAGCAGCAGTACTAACCACTGCATAGAGAATATATTGGTTTATTCAACCAATCCAAGCAATGAATCACAATACAGAAACAAATCCTATTGAAACCCTAACGTAAACTACTTAATGCCATAACAGGACTTCAAATTCTTAACTTAAGCATAACTCTTGAAAGTCAATGGTCATTATTTTGTGGGTGACGATGCTGGTCAATGAAAGGAAATAACCGTTTTTAATGGCTGCAGCTTATGTGCAAACTAACCCGTAGTTTAATTTCAACGGGCACATTGCTCTGCGCTTGGGATAACTCCGAACCTGCGACTAACTGAGCCCAACGTTGCTTAACTTGGCAGATCTGACGGAATGCCGTGTTTCAACGTGGCGAGAACGTAAACTAAACTATGTTACGTAAACGTAACACATCTGAAAAAAATCTTGAAATACTAAAATGGGGAAATTCTATTTGTCAAATATTATCTGACACTAGGATAACGATGTGTAAAGTACTTGCGATTTAGGAAACCGATAGATAAATCAAGGGTTCAATGCTAAAAGTGAAAGGAAACCACTCGCTCTAGCTTCTGATAAGTGTCGTTATGGTCAAATCTCTATGTATACACGCGGCTTATCTCTTCGCATCCTTTTTTCCGTGCGCAAATGCAAAAATTCACGCTAATTCTGATGAAATTATTCTTGCTTATCAGTTGCGAAGCTTGAGGTCATTTTTGGACAATAGAAAGTCATGCCATCTATCATTTGGAGATCGTTGAATGGTCAGCACTTATAGTAGCCACTGAATTTGGTAAAATTGAATCAAAATATCATTTTCGGTATTGATTTTCAATCTATAATCAACTTGAAAATGCAGATTTGATTTCCCAGCGTTGATCTCGGGTATACAAACCTCGCAGCGAACCAATGCTAATCAAATTCGAAATTAAATAAGATTCAGTGAAGAAAAAGTGTACTTTGTTGGGCTCAAGAGTGCCTATTTCGTTTCTTCCAATCACAACACTCCACTCTGAAAATAATCAAGTGGAAAAAAGATGTAGTATGTGGTCAGCTGAAATATTTTTCCGCCCAGGGATGTGCGTTCGCGTTGCGGTCTCTCTAGATTGTTTCTATATTGACGAACAGAACATTTTGGCTACTCAATAGAACCGAAATAATCCTGGCAATGAGAAGTTTAATGTTTTCATTGGGTAATCTTCGATATTATTTTGCAGTTTATTTTTAAGAACTTTGATGTAGCGCTTCTTGTTTCATCTGTTTCTTTTCGATTTTTAAAGTTATGTTTATATATTTTAGTTTCTCTATTCACTCAGCCTCTTGACGGATGATTGCAAACTAGCCAGCAGGTAAATTTCTGATGTTATGTAAAGGAAATTTTGTTTGTTTTAAGTGGATTGGCTTATGAGATGGGTAACTTGTTGTGCTGCGTAAGGGAAACGACTTCTAATCGCGATGATAAACAGGATGAGTATGGAAGAAATCACACCTATGAAGTAAGTGTTGCCTTAGCTAATTTCTGATATGAAGATTTTAGTTTCAGTATTACAATCAAACGTTGCAGCGTGAAGACACATCACAAAATTTCCTACCCCACATCAGTGAAAGAGAAGCGACCGATGGTGAATGAAAGTTTTGATGCTTTTATTATTCTGTTTGCTTTAGATTGTGAAGATGACCCATCAATCCATCCGACAGTGCGACCGACATTTATTGAACGCAGTCGATCGGAGATGAAAAGTTTGTGACATATAAAAACTCTTAGGTGAGCCATTTTTTAGTTAAAGATAATCGACGGTCATGTTATCGACTAGATGCTCTGCTCGCAAGTGGCCAGCCGGGGGTTGATGGCAATTTTATAATTTTTTTTATAAAAGCTTTTAGTTGGGGAATTCATTGCGAAAATCATCTTCGTGCTCTACCATTTATTTGGACGATTCGACGATTTCACAGCCAAATTTGAAAGTAATGTGCATTTATTTTTCTAAAATATTGTTATTTTAGAACACGATTAAATGTATCGCCTTGGCTATTTACTATCACATCGCGAATCGCAAAAATCGAGGAAATGAGCGCTTGATGGAGATTTTCGAGGAGCGGCTTCATCCAATCACCGTATGTTTAACACTATTCTAATAAAACGTGAATTTAAGTTTGCGCTACGAATTAATACTCTTTAAGTTAAGACCCTTTGCAATTCTCTTTTGTTTAGCGCGATCCGTTGCCGCCCGAAGTGGTCACACGCGATCCTGATCATCGTCAAATTTATCGATTCGTTAGGACACTATTTCATTCAGCTCAACTTACTGCGGAATGTGCAATAATTACACTGGTTTGTCTAGTTTTGATATTCGATTTGTTTATGGAACGGTTCGCGATTATTAAACATAATATTTCAATTCCAGGTCTATATTGAACGATTACTCAACTATGCAGAAATGGATTTATGCCCATCAAATTGGCGTCGGGTAGTATTAGGTGCTATTATGTTGGCTTCAAAGGTTGTTTTACATTATTTTCGCATTTATAACTCTTGTTTTTAAGGTATGGGACGATCAAGCCGTTTGGAATGTTGATTATTGTCAAATCTTACGGGATACCAACGTCGATGACATGTAAGTTTTGTATAAAACAAATAACATTTAATTGAATTTAATGTTGAGTTTAATCTTCTCAATTTTAGGAACGAATTGGAACGACGTTTCCTTGAATGTTTGGATTTCAACATCAACGTTCCATCTTCGGTTTACGCCAAATACTACTACGATCTACGAACGTTGGCTATTGCTAATGATTTGCAATTACCTCTTCTTCCATTGTACAAAGAGCGTGCTACGCGATTGGAGGTAGATTTCACCGATTTTAAGATCAAAGCAGTTCCTTTTAGGCGATGAGTCGGGTGTGTGAGGAAAGAATGGGATCTCTTAAGCGCAGCATTTCCGCCGAAAAACTTTTCTACGAGCATCGAGCGCCGGTTGTGATCTCCTAGACTTATCTCCAATGAAATTGCATCGCAATCTTCGGGTGTAACGCTACTCGCTCAGAACATTGACTTGTTTGTTTATGTGCCATGTGCTCGCACTTTGCATAATCTGCCAATACTGTTATATTGTCTGTGTTATTATTTCTGTTGCTATATATTGGTGCTTCTGTTGATTTACTAGTTCTGTTATTTTTTTCCAAAGATATCATTGATTATAGACTATTCTGTGCATTATTAAAGATCACAATTGATCTACTCTTTTCTAAAAGCAATTTCCGGTGCACTATACTACTAACCATTCAGACTGAAATAGCTTCTGATATCTAGAGTCATAGCCGATTGTTTATTTTGATATTTTGATTAAAAATAAATTATTTATACCAATGCTATAAGCTAATCGCAGGTAGAAACACGAATTTTACTTGAATTTTTGCATAATGGACGACTCCAAAACAGGTTAAACACTTAAAGAGGTGAGGCTAGTGTGCTATATACTAAAGACGCAAAAACAAATGGCATTTTACGTAATAATTTAGAGATGTGTGATCATCACGGACACGGTGAAGGTGGCTGCTCGCATGAGGTTGTACATTCATTCTTTACAAAAATAATCTAACTTTAGGCGACTGGAGTTGTGCATGCCGAGGAAGGAACAACGTATGACATGAGTCGATTTATCGACTTGGATCAGGTTTGTAATCCTCTCATACATATGATTGATCACTCTAACGTTTTATAGCTTGTAACACTAAATGAAACAATCGAAAACAGCGGCCGAGGAGTCTTTCGATCATGGATGGCACGAATCGATCCGTACTTTACATTTTTTTGCAATTTATTTTTTAATTTAGTAACAAATTTGTGGAAAGTGATACAGATGAAGAGCTTCTCTTTCGGATACCGTTTACAGGTTTTTATTTATTACGGCTGAATAAACTTCAATGATAGGGTTCAGGTACTGTGAAAATCACTGGAATGGTGGTCATTAGCGATGGCGACGAAACGAGCCCGGCAAAAGTGCGATTATACAAAAACAAAGAAAGTGTGAGCTGCACCTTGTGACTTGGTTGCTATGTAATTTTATTCGTAGATGACCTTTGATGATTGCTCTATTGCACCGGAACAAGAGATTAACTTGAAGCAGGATACAACAGGTTTTTTTTAATGGTTAAAAATATAAACATATGCGATATCAAATGCAGGTGTTGTTGACTATCCATTGAAAGCGTCAAAGTTCAACTCTCTACATCATCTCACTATACACGTATCGGATAATTTTGGTAAATTTTGAGTTACCCCTTGTTTTTACTGATCGTTCTAAGTTTAGGAGGTGAAAATACGAAAATAAATTACATTGGATTTCGCGGGGAATTTCAAGAAGAATTTCGAGAAAGGGTTTGTTTTTGAAAGAGAAAAGAATTTAAAAACACGTTTTTACCACAAATTTTAGGTCGTAATTGCAACGTATGAAGCTCGTGCATTGACAAAAGATCATAAAGGCGAAATACCGGATGCTGTAATGCGTGATTTGATGTAATCGAAAAAGTTTGTTTGGATATAATTGGTTTTTAAGTTTGCGGTAATATGCATTGTGATCTAAGTGGATTATACATATTTTGGTCTACTTTGTTTAAACGTTTTTATTATACTCAATAAATAGTAAACAATATCTCCCGCATAACATAATTCAAGGAGTCTGAAAAATTGGCAAGAGTAAAATAAATGAGATTGAAAAGAATAAAGCTCGAATCGACTACGTGGCCGCTATAATTTTTGGATTGTGGTAGCTATAATATTTGAAGAGAGTGCAAAATTTCTTCTCCTCTTGGTTCTCCTAAATTATTGGGTGTTCTTTGATGTGAGTGGTGGTGAGCTTTAAAGAGAAAGTCGAAGGAGAAAAAGAGACACTTTGGGACGCCACGGTTTATTTACTTCTTCCCGGCGGCAGCGGTTGTGGGATTTGCAGGTAGTGCTGGAAGCGAACTTGATACACCCCCGCCCGTCACGAGGCTCGCAATTGCGGAGTTGATCTAGAATGTGTTATTGAACTTATTGTTTTATGAAGCACTATATCCAGGCGAACACTTGCCGAGCATTTGCATTCACAAAAAGTTCCGGCCGTAAGTGTTACAGTAGTCTGAGCACCCGCGTCGGTTCTCACCACCTCGACGGTTCGATGACCCGTTGTGCATACCGCGTATCCTGAAATGCAAGTTGCATTTTTTCATTTGCATTTCTCAATTTCTATTTTACTACCTGATAAACAGGAAAAGTCCGAGTCGTCGCACACGAGTTCATTGATGTATTGAGGGCTAAAATATCTCTGTAACCGTTATCTATCGATTTTTCTGCTACTTATAGTTATCCGGAAGCTTTCTCCAAACCCAACATGAGCTACATAAAGAGACAAAACCACTCGAATCGACCGTAACCCCTTTCGTTGTACAGGAAAGTGGATAGCGTGTTCCTATAGATTTTTTTTTTGATTATTATCAGAACTTTAGTTAAAGTACCTATTAAAGTTGAACTTGAAGGCATTGTGCTCACTCCGGTGGTGCTTCGTCTTCGTCGAGCTGAAATTTTTGCGTATTTTATTTCCCTTAAGCTACAATAAGCCAATTAGAATAATTAGAAGGTCTTTAGTTGTAACAAGCAGGAAATTGAAAAGGCTGTGTTAATGCTGGCTCTAACCTGAGTGCTTTTTGCGCTTCTCTTCACTATCTGAAAAAGATTTTAGAAAAAAAAAACCTTGAGAGTTTTCGTTGTTTTCGTTGTTTCCTTTGCCTGGTGGTGGTGGTTTAGGCTTCTTTTTATTCGCCTTCTTTCCAGTTTTCTTATTCGCATTCAGGGGTTTTTCCGGAATATCCATTTCAACAAATGATTAAATGATTATTTAATTAGTTAAGTTTACTTACCTTCTTCCGGAGAGCTGTTCGAGTTTTCGCTTGAATTCGAACCCTCCTATAACTTTTTCGTTTTCAACTCTGAACCTCTATATTACCAATTCTCCATAATCTCGAATCCCACTTTCCTTTTTCGTAAAACGATATCTAAAAAAAAAAATAAGAAATCTAAAAATTTCTAAAAGTTAAGCTTGTAACTTTTAGAAAAACTTACCGAGGACAAAAAGTCACATTGTTGGCATTATTGTTGTTTATCGAATTGATATCCACTGGTGTTGTTAGAAGACCTACCTAAAGTTTAAAAAAAAAAATTATGATTTCAATGATTTCTATAAACACTCAAACAAAGATCTCAAAACTTCTTCAAAACAAAAAAAGACACACAAAAAGGCATAGTTCTTACCCCTGGCCGAATTCCGATCTAAAGAAATAATAAAAATTGAGTTGTTTTTTTAATTTCTTTATTCTTTGATAGAATTTACCGTATTTCTTCGAATAGAAGACCGGGTAAAGAGTATGATCGCGTACTCCTGCGTAGCAGCCCTTTTTAAAATTTCTTTTCTGCATAAAAGCTTTCAATGAAGCGCTATAGGGCTGAAAAATGACTCAAAAATACGACATGAGCTAACAGATTTTTGAGCCATTTTCCAGCTCTATAGCACTTGATTGAAAGCTTTTATGCAGAAAAGAAATTTTAAAAAGGGCTGCTACGCAGGAGTACGCGATCATACTCTTTACCCGGTCTTCTATTCGAAGAAATACGGTATTATTAATTTATTTCAATTGTAAAACCTGTTCGAGTTTAATTCGTAAATCATCTTGACATTTCTGACATTCGGGCGTTGTACAACCGACCGTTGTCTGAAAGGACTACACTTTTTGTGTTTTCTTCTTTGAAAGTACAAAATTCTCTGCAAATTTCCTTGTAAATTTTCTCGAAATTTCCATGAATTCAGGTCTTTTTTTTCGACTCATTTTCTCTCACACGCTCACGAGAGTACGATTGTTTTTTTTTTGCACAAAGCACAACACACGAATGAGAATACCCACAATTTGCGAATACATGTGCAGCTCTGTCGAAACATAAGTCTATACAAGATTTTGACATAAAGACAAAAACAAAAACATTCATTATTTTTTCCGGGCACTTACCGTTCCAACACCGTGCACTTTCTCGTTAGCCAATACTATCTTGAAATTTTTTTTTCTAATAAGCGTTTTTTAAAGCTATGCAAAACTATTTTCTAATCTTCTAGAAATCTTCTAGAAAAAGCTATCGTAATCCGAATGGCTTTTGGTGAAAGCAGTCAAAAGCGCTTGTTAGCTTGTACCCAACTGGATTACGGTAGCTGTTTGTGTCGTTTAGAAAGCGCTTTAGTCATGAGTAGTGTTGTTTTTTTTTGGAAAAGTCGGTTTTACGTCACAATTCAATACTCTTACATGCAATGGTTCCTCGGGAGTGGTCTCGTTTCGATCAATTGAGAGATCGGGGAATGAGAGCATCGCCTCGTCAAGGGTCGTCGCCTGAAAGCTTTGCATAATATTTACAATTTCGAAAACCACACCAAAATGCGTAGACGATTATGCAAATTTTATTTATGCACAGAAAGTTACTGCTACCTGGAACCGCGTGTCATAGGGGAGACATGTGTTCGAGTTTGTGGCCCGTAAGCAAGGACACTGAAAGTTTTTCAATAAATTTGATTTTTGGAGCTTTGATAAAGCTAAGAGTTAGATCTAAAAGAGTTTAGTACTATTGTAGAATTGTACCTGTAGTGTATTGTATGGACTCTGGGTGACCGCCGAGTTCGAATCTTGAGCGAAAACGGCCGCCACGGCCACCGTAATTGCGGTCAACATCTCATCGAACTTAAAAGAAATTTTTGAAAACTTTAAAATGTATACAGTCGACTCTCGTTCTAACGATTCGTTCAAGATAAAAAATTTCGATTTAACGATTCTAAAACGTGCCTCAAATTTCTTGCGTAGCTGCCGAACGATTGCATTTGGCTGGCCAGCTACGCAGAAACCAATCGCATGTTTTAGAATTTCAAAATCGTTGTATCAAGAGTCGACTATACTAAGAACCCAAACATGTCAAGAGCTTTTGAGAGACAATTCCGGAAATCAAAATAGAAGAATCGACGAGAAGTCACACCAATAAATAGTTAGGGGAAACGTGCGAACAAATTGCGGGGTTCAAAAAGGGTAAAACAGTTCGCAGAATCTTTAAAAGTAACGCTTTTTTCAGTTAAACAAAAAAAGCGCAATTAATTGGTGAGAGAGGAAATTTGAGGGGAAAAAGGGGCAGAGCAGAGACCTTTTCTTCATCGAGTACAAGTCTTGTCACCTCGAGGGACCATTAAACTCTTTTTTTTGTGGCTCAAGGGAATTTTTAACTTTTGAAAATCATGTACGTCAGTGTTTACGATCGAGAAAACTCCATTTTTGAAAAAGTCTCTTCTTCAATCTTTTGAATGCCAATTACCGGGTGCATGTGTTTGGAAGAATTAGGCATGGTAACGACCGGTTCACTTGTTTACCTTTATAGATTTTTATTAACGGAAATTACTAGCTTTTGCACGTAACGAATTTTAAAATTTCAATTAAAAACTCCATTTTTGGGTTCAAATTTCATTTTTCGCTAACGAAAGATGAGTTTTGTGATTTTTATAGAGGAAATTAGAAATTTCCTTTGGTAGGGAGGAATTTTAAAAAAAGCTTTCAAAGCTCGATTTGAGGATTTTTTTCTTTAAAGTGAGTAATTTATAGCATAAATAGCCTCACAAAGAAAAGTGATTTTTAAAAGTCGAGTTACTGAACTACAAATAACTCTGATCAGAATTGTAGTTGAGCGAAAAAAAAAGTGGGAGAACTTTTTGTGTGGGAGGAAATTACAATTTTCAATTTGTCACTGAGGAGATGTTTGCAGAAGTTTTAAAAAGTACAATTTAAATTGCAAACGAAAATGAGTAGCTTTATGGGGGCGGGTGTTACGAAATGTACTTCAAAGCTTTGAAAGATTGGATTAAATCATTTGCGAAAAGATAAAGGTTAAAATAAAGTTTCTAAAAAGTAAAATTGAAAACTCGTTGACTGTTTTTTTACTCCAAATGATCAATTTTCGATGAATCATGAAAGAAATCGAGAGATCGATCAAAGACCTAATCATTCGGGGCAAAAGCTAAGTCAATAGAAATTTTCAATGAGTTAAAAGAGAAAAAAAAGTCAACGAGTCAACGACTATCAAGAGTATCTAAAGGAAGAAAATGGAGAGTAAATAGTTAGTAACTAACTCCCTTATCTAACACTTCTCTAAATTAAGTTGACACGAAACAAAAGACAAGAAGACCGCGCCATGGCAGATTATTTAGATTTGCGTTTTAGTTAAAAGAAATTGGTTAAATTTATACAGCACGTACAAAAAGATTCGAGGACAATGGAGTAGAAGGGAGTCGAGAAGAAACGAATTAGAATAATTTTAGAAATTTAAACAGAAAACAAGAGTGGAACAATATAAAAAGGAGAAAACGAACGAGGGGAGAGGGAGTACTTTAAAAACGCGCTACAAGAAACATAATAGATTTTACGTACTTGTGAATCTGTTGCACGGGAATTTTTTTGAAAATTTGCATATAAACTATTTGAAATGAATCTTCTAAAAACGTTCCGAAACACCCTTAACCCTTAGTAACTTACGTTCCCCCAGATGTAAGAATGTGGTCCGGGAATGGCGCATCACGTGGTTTCCTAGAGCACCTGCGGTGGGCCAATAAAAAAACACGGTGTGACGCAGATCACTTCCCAGCCGCGCATCAAGGGTTAGCGCGGGCGTCGTCTACAGCGCAATTTAAAAGCCATTTGAAACCTTTTAGCAAATTTCAAATGCATATTTGCACGTATTATATGTGCAAATTTTCAAAACAAATGCTAATTAGGTAATATGCGTGCAACAGATTCACAAGTACCAGATTTTACGAAGGGGAAGAAAACTTGGCGGAACTCGGCCTGAAAGCCGGACAACATTCACGATTCACGGAATGCCGGAAAATGGGGGGATGGGACAAATACGACCTTTTTTCGCTGGAAAAGGCCTTAGGAAAGGCCGCAAAGCTTCAAAAATGTTTTCAGATAAGGAAATCTACGGATACGATTCCCTTATTTGAAAACATTTTTGAAGCTCTACGGCCCTTTCCAGCGAAAAAAAGGTCGCATTTGTCCTACCCCAAAAAAATGAAAAGAATGGCAAAAGGGCGATTTTGTGCGGGGTACGGTGGCGTATCCAAGCCTTAGAAAGCGCACCGCGCCGCTTTTGCGCCAGTCTCTTTAAACTGCACGTAAATAGGATTCTAATGAAAGAGAGAACTAAATGGAAGAGTTTGTTTTGTAGAAAATGTTGAACTATGAACTTATAATAGGTTTATATGATGATAGAGTTATCCCTGTGATTAGTGTAAGATAAAGTTTTTGAATACCTTTAAAAGCTAGAGTAGTTTGATTTGTTTGTACCGTAGCCATATTTTGCGTTTTCTATTTTGCGCTATTTTCTAGAGCATTTAAAGAGAATGCTCAGAAAGAAGGGGGTGGGACAAATGCGACCTTTTTTTTGCGGACCTGGACATTTGCGCACCTTTTTTTGCTGGAAAAGGCCTTAGGTAAGGCCGTAGAGCTTCGAAAACATTTCGAAAATATTTCCATATCAGGGAATCGTATGCGTAGATTCCGAATTTCGACAAATCAGACCTCGCTGACACGTCAAATTTGGGCTAAAAGGCAAAAACTGCGGAAAAGCGTTAAGTTGCGTAGTTTTTGCCTTTTAGCCCAAATTTGACGTGTCAGCGAGGTTTGATTTGTCAAAATTCTGAATCTACGCATACGATTCCCCTCTATGAAAACATTTTTGAAGCTCTACGACCTTTCCTAAGGCCTTTTCCAGCAAAAAAAGGTGCGCAAATGTCCAAGTGCGCAAAAAAAGGTAGCATTTGTCCCACCCCCAGAAAAACAATGAAATCACTATAGACAAAAAGTAGTTTTGCGCAATTGTTGAGGTATTGTTTTCAAAATAAAGAACAAAATCAATAGTATGAAGTGAATGGGAGAGGAGGGGACTGTTCTCGTTTTGAGGATTATGACTCGACCTGTGTTGTTGGTTGATCGTTTTGTGGTTTTGTCTGCTGATCGAGTAGTTGAGTGGAGGGAAATGAAGACCAATTGAGGCCTCTGCCCGATTTCGAAGGCTCAATAAAACATTGCGCGAAACAGTTCTAGACAATCCGATCATCCCACACTACTCATTTCAACAACACAAACGTACACAATTATGTCGATCCTTTTTGATATAACGGTAAGATCAACGATCAGTGAATCTAAGCTAACGAGCAGTTTTGATTCCTTCTGGTGTTTTGTCGACTAAGTCATTTTGTGTTTTGAACAAAAGAGAGTACACTTGAGTATTGTTAAAGCTCAGCTCACTTGAGTTAAAGCTCACTTAAAGCTGACTTGAGTTAAAGCTGACTTGAGTTAAAGCTGACTTGAGTTAAAGCTGACTTGAGTTAAAGCTGACTTGAGTTAAAGCTGACTTGAGTTAAAGCTGACTTGAGTTAAAGCTGACTTGAGTTAAAGCTGACTTGAGTATTGTTAAAGCTCAGCTGACTGTTTGAAGCTTGAAGCTTGAAGTTTAAAGTTTAAAGTTTAAAGGTTGGCTTATAAAAGTTTTCCTGTAAACATTTGCCTAACTTTCTTAGACTCAGCACAAAAACGAGATCAAATACGTTTATTGTTATTGCTTTAACTATAGCAAAAACTTTTTTATCCCTTTTTCATAGAATTTGAACAACTAGCCGACTGTTAACGTGACGACTCGACCAAAAGCTATGTGGCCTCAATTTTCCGGTTACGTTCAAATCCATTTGGTGAATGAAAAGGGGGTTAAAAGAAATTTTCGATTTTCTCAAGGGGTACGCGATTTTTACGCGCGATCTCGCATAGAGACACTTTGTCATCAGGTGGATGAAATGGGAAAAGATCTCTTTCTCCCAAAATCTCAGGAAATACAACTGAAAAAACCTGAACCTGAAAAAAAACGTTTCTTTTTTAGGAAGTGTCTTGAAAGCTACATGAAAAGCTGGATGGCTAGAATTTAGTGAAATTTAGTGTAAGCTTTTATTAAAAACTTGCTTTAGAATCGAAGTTTATCAAGTTTTCGTCGAAATCTTGCAAACATTTCGATTCCGTTTACTATCTTTGTTTCAAGAGCGAATTTTTTAACGAAAATTTTATGATATCCAAAATGTCTATTGTTGGGTGGACGGAGTAAACGAAATTTGAAAGCAATTTCTGTTATTGTCCTCATGAAGTAAAACAAAATTCATGCAGTTAGACTAGAAAGATGTTAGACTAGAAAGACGTTAGACTAGAAAGATGTTAGACTAGAAAGATGTTAGACTAGAAAGATGTTAGACTAGAAAGATGTTAGACTAGAAAGATGTTAGACTAGAAAGATGTTAGACTAGAAAGATGTTAGACTAGAAAGATGTTAGACTAGAAAGATGTTAGACTAGAAAGATGTTAGACTAGAAAGATGTTAGACTAGAAAGATGTTAGACTCATTATCACTATTGTGTTCACGATGCTGTTTGAAGGCTTTTGAAGCTTTTCAAGGCTTCAACTCTGTTCAAATTTTGATTAAATGTTAAGAATTTCTCATTAACTTCAAATGCTATCACTTCTTTGATCTAAATCTTACAAATATCTAAATCTATTAATTTCTAAAACCACTTCTTTGCTCTAAATATCTTTGAGGTGTTAATTGTTCCGAAAATCCGTGTACAAAAAGTTTTCGATATGCGAAGAAGAAAGAGAAGTGCGTTAGGTCGAGATTCCCCCCTTTAGGCGCCATGTTATTGGACTGAAAATGTCGGCCGAAAATTGGGATCCAAGGTGCGGAGAAGGGGAGGAAAATCTTTCCCTTTTTAGAGATCTTTCCCTTTTTTTTGGTAGACAGGATGAGCCTTAATCCTAGAAAGCTTTCCCCCCATCCCATCCCATATATAAGATGACTCGAGTCTCTTTTTTTTCGAGAAACGTACACCTCCGCTTTCTTATTTATTACCCAATTGGATTGTCTAAATGTTTACTTGCGGTTCTTTTTTTGCAAAAGCATATCTTAATCCCGTTTTCCTCAAGTAAAACCATTTATAAAGAATTTGGAAATTTAAGTGTTTCTTGAAGTTTTTCTTGAAGATTAAACGATTAAACTTTAGCCGATTATGTTGGGCGCAACGGGAGGAGCGCTTGCTTTCTCAGGTGCAACTCTTCTCATCTCACTCTTTGCTGCTTTTTCCATCTACAATGATGTGAGCTCACTCTGGCGAGAGCTTGACACTGATATTATGCATTTCAAGGCAAGTAAACTCAGATTTCTATTTACTTTACACAAATTTTAGTCAATGACTGATGATTTGTGGACTGATATGGTCATTCTTGGAGCGGGTGGGCCAAAGAATCGAGAAAGGCGGCAAACATATGGAGGATATGGAGCAGCACAGGAAAATCTTGATGCTCCATCAGGTGACTTGAAATCAAAACTCTCACCTCAAAATTTAGAGTCTGGATTCCCAAATGTTCGAGGACCGGCAGCGGCGGTGAATGGAATGGCGCCTCTTCATTGTCAGTGCACGATGGAGAACAGTTGTCCACATGGACCTCGGGGATTGGTAAATGCTTGAATTCACAAACAGAATTCAACTCTATATAGGCGGGTGAGCAAGGGCCGGATGGTCTTGATGGAATCCCTGGACAAGATGGAGTTGACGGAGCTGATGCTGAAGATCGGCCTAACTCGATGACAGTTGGCTGCTTCCACTGTCCACCGGTTTGTCATTTTAGAAAGCTCGCACTCAAACATCTCAGGGTCCACCGGGAGAACAAGGTCCAAACGGAAGACCGGGAATGAGAGGAATGAGAGGATCACGTGGACAAGGAGGGCATCCTGGAAGAGACGGATCACCAGGAATGCCAGGAGAAATGGGACCACCCGGTCCACCAGGTGAAGATGGAAAGCCTGGAGAGCCGGGACTGCGGGGATCTGATGCTGAGAAACCGGTCGGCCGTAAAGGACCCAGGTTTTTATAAGATTAGAAGCATTAGACAACAAGTTACAGAGGTCTTCCTGGAGATGCTGGACCTGAGGGACCTATTGGTTTTCAAGGAAAGCATGCCCGTCCTGGTCGTCAAGGGCCTAAAGGAGAAGAAGGGGCGTCTGGATTCCAGGTGATTACAAAAAAAGAAATTCTTCTGAAATAGATAGAACTAACTTGATGATGCTAATCTTTTATCTAAAATCTACATGAGCCACTTAAAACTACAAACGGTCATAACTTTTTTCTTATTGGATATATTTCTAAAATTTTTTGATTAAAAAAAAAGAGAGACTCGAAAGCTTTCGAATGATACTAAGTTTGTACAGAAATAAATATAAATAATTAAAGTTTAAAGCTGTTTTATGTAGAGTACAAAATAGAGCTTGTTTAGATTTTTTAAAAATCTTTTTTTTTGTAGCTGTAGTTGTAGTTTATAGTAAACTCTAAAACTAGAAAATTCATTTTTTTGTTTATAGCGTCTATGTATAATCTAAAATCTTTTTTTTTTCAGGGAGCTGCTGGTGCTGATGGTGAGAAAGGTTTAGAGGGTCGAAGCGGCAGTGTTGGCAAGGACGCCGAGTATTGCAAATGTCCACCAAGAGAGGCTTTCGGTAAGAAAAGAAGTGAAACATTTCAACGTTTCAAATCAATTTCAGTTGGTGCAAATGACAATGGTCGCACGGGATATCGTCGTCATCGATATGTATGAAAAGGATTGTAAATAACAAAGGATTGTAAATAACAAAGGATTGTAAATAACAAAGGATTGTAAATAACAAAGGATTGTAAATAACAAAATTTATTCTTATATTCGTAATATTAAATAAAGGCATGGCAATAGAAAATGCGCAAATGAAAATGAAAATGATTGGGAGTTTTCGATTCGCCGACTTTCCGCTTTTGTCGTTGTGGTTAACTTGACGAGTTCGGCTTGAAGAAAAGATATCGTGAAGTTCTGAACGAACGAATCTCGTTTATCCACGGGCAATCGCTTCACAACATTGTATGACATTTCAGCGATTGGACCTAAGTTTTATTTGTTATCTATTGATTATTCTTTTATATGTCGTAGCCGATGAAGGATTTCAGCGGAAGAAGTCTCAGACTTCTTCGGCTAGCCGATTAAGTCTCAGACTTCTTCGGCTAGTCGATTAAGTCTCAAAAATAAAATCTTGAGTTATGTATTGACTCAAGTCAATACCACAAACCGAAGCTCTCTAAAAGGCGCTTAAAAGCTAAAAACGCATTCTAGTTGCAGTTGCATTTTTCGACCAAACTAAACAACAAAAATAAACCGCTGGTATTATTGTCTATTTTTGTTTTATTATTGTTTATAAACTCGCTTTTTGATATTATGGTACTATTACAGTATTTACGGTAATTACTATATTAATTTAGATATTTAAACATTTAAAACTCTCTCCGTACCTTTAATAAACTCAATAATATGTGGGAAAAGTGGTGCCCATTCATAGGCACAATCCGAGTCATTGTGCACCGCGTCATAGACAGTGAAAAAAAGATTTAAACTCTAAAAGTGTATTGTAAAACAAAGATGTTTTACGGTAAATACTGTAATTGGACCCCAGCCCCCTCGTACAGTGGCGTAGTCGCAAAAGTTTTTTAGTATTTCATTTTTTTCAAAGCACCCGTACTTTCAAAAAAAATGCGTTTTTGGTATCAAAAAATAGCTGAAATTCAGGGCTATTTTTTGATACCTAAGCGCGCATTGTAGCATAAACCAGTGTCGAGAAAAACTCGTTCAAAGCTAGACTACGCAACACTCCGCACCGTCATTATGGGAGTGGCATAAGTGAGTGGATGGGGTACTATTACAGTATTTACGGTAAGCATTCAAAAATCTAATCATATGAACATTAGAAAATATCAAGTAAGACCATCAAGTAAAGCACAATACATACCGCAAATACTGTAATAGTACCCCACCGCCATAATGACGGTGCGGAGTGTTGCGTAGTCTAGCTTTGAACGAGTTTTTCTTGACACTGATTTAAGCTACAATAGCAATACAATTATCAAAAAATAGCCCTGAATTTCAGCTATTTTTTTGATAACTAAGCGCGCATTATAGCATCAACCAGGGTCGAGAAAAACTCGTTCAAAGCTAGACTACGCAACACTCCGCACCGTCATTATGGCGGTGGGGTACTATTACAGTATTTGCGGTATGTGATTTTGTAAAATTGCGATTGCGTAAGATTGCGCTAACCTGCTCAAAAACGCTTAACATCGAGTAGGTTTTTTGACCGGTTGGAGCGTCATAAAGATGCATGAAAGCGCTTTCAATCTGAATACATTTTTTTTGAATACATTTTCTCACCGTCAACTTTTCTCTTACCATAACCAATTCATTCGCACATCGAGCACTTAACGTATAGTCCTGAAATTGTTGTTTAAGATCTTTCAAAAGCTTTTAATAGTTTTACCCCAGTGATTTCTCCTTGAGAAACTTGAATAAAGAGATCAAAAATGAAGAGAACGATTATTTGTAGCATTGAGACATCATTTTTCTTGAAAAAAAAGATTATATGAGTAATAAATAAGTTCAGAAAAGGAATGCCGAGACAATTCAACAACAATTCCCTAAAGAACAAAATGATGAGAGAAAAGGAAAACGAGAAAAATTTAGTTAATCGATTTCTTTTCGTTTCCGAATCTTAAAAAAGTCCTTTCTTTTAAAAAACAAGGGAGTGGGACATTTGCGCACCTTTTTTTCCGCACCTTGCCCATTAGCGCACCTTTTTTCGCGTTTTAAAAAAGCTCTAAAACGCTAATATTAACCAATTTCTATTCCAAATGTTGTTTTTCTAGGTAATTTGAGGGCGTAGAATTCAAATTTTGACATAGCAGAGCGTGTGGAACCAATTTGAACGACAAAACGGCTAGATCAAATTACAGAAAATGATTTTTCTCTTTGTATAACTCCGTCCGTTTGTTTCCACAAGCTCTGTTATGTCAAAATTTCGATTCTACGCCCTAAAACTACCTAGAAAAACAACTTTTGGAATAGAAATTGGTTAATATTAGCTTTTTAGAGCTTTTTAAAACGCGAAAAAAGGTGCGCTAATGTCCGGGTGCGCAAAAAAAAGGTCGCATTTGTCCCACTCCCAAAAACAATCAATTTTAGAACTCTCAAACGTTTAGAATCTAAGTATTAATTTCTAAAATCGTTTTTTGAGTGTTTATTTTTGTAATGCGTCATGAATTGGGATTTTTAGAGGCGTATTCGCCCGCAAAAATACGATTATCGGTGTGGTGTCGTTGAGCGAGCATCGGTAACAACCTTTCCCGGAAACAAATGTATTAAATATTGTGTCAAAGTGTTTCCAGCCTTTCTCAGAAACGCACGTCTCAAATATTGTGTTAAAGTTTATTTTGAGATCATAAATTCAAATGAAAACGATAATTTCTTTAAAGATTTTCTTTTTTCTCAACTTCAATTTCGCTCTTGATACTTTCAAGCCAAGGTGCATCAAAATTTTGATATTTTGGAGTCGGAAAATATTTCTGAAAACATTTTTGTAAGTTTTTTTCTTTGAAAATACCGCATTTTCTCTAATAGTAGTGCACTAAATTCCTCGAAATCTCGAGAACCGCTTATCAGAACCTATCGATGTGGGGTCGGAAAATGTAGCTGACGATGTGATCTAGTGGGGGATTTGAGTGTTGAGCTTCTGGGAAAACTTTGGAAGCCGTAAATAGTCATCAACTCGGCTCGCTTGGGTGCACTACTATTAGAGAAAATACGGTAGTATAAATTTGTTTTAAAATTCACCGATTCGATCGGAGAAATCGCTCCCATTGCCACTAAACAGTAATAAGTCAAATAAACGATCAGAACACCATAGATTACGAATAAAACAGCAAGTGTAGATAAAGAAGCCGGCTAAAGTTTCATTGTTTACAGCTGACTTTTAGTTTTCTTTTCACCGTCCATCCAAATTCATCGCCCACCCATTCATAAAGGAAATAAATATTGATGAAAAGAACAACAAGGGAAACCAATAAAGCAAACCATTTTTGTAAACTAAAATAAAGATTTTGATGAGTACAATTTTTATAAAAAAACGTTGAGCAAGCGAATTCGCCCATGATTTTTGAATCGGCGACAAAAGTGAGCAATGGAATTAGAGCAAATGGTAATTGCAACATTTGCACACAATTCAGGAAATCATTTAAACCTAGAAATTTGAGAAAACTAGAAATTATTGCTAATCGAATCATAGATTACCTGTAATATGTTGAATACCACCGCTGAAAATCGTCACCGCAAGTGTGGGAAGGATTGCGATGGAACGAGTTAAAAGTAACCGTTTCCAAGCCGGCATTTCCAATTTGATAAAACCCTCCATAGCGAATTGACCTGAAATCTTTATCAATAAAATTCTCCTTTACACTTTTGAATAAACCTCTAAGCAATTCGTTTTGTGCAAAGAAAAACAAAAGCTTTACATGTACGCGGAATTGAACCCGGGGGCAAAATTAGGACCCCCGTCCGATAGACTAGCCATTTACCCACTAGGCCACGAGCTCACCACTGCCTTGCAACGAAAGAAGTCTTATAAAGCAATCACTTCTGAATCCCTTTGAATCTAGCATGTGATTCCTTTTGCATTCCTCGCATTTCCGTGGCTATTAGCGGTGGCTGTGCAAAATATTACACTGAGAAATGTTAAAGTGTGGGAAGGATTGCGAGGGAACGAGTTAAAAGTCTACCTGCATAAGTGCCAGTCATCGTCGAGCTCTGACCAGCCGCTAAAATTCCGATTGCCCAAACGTATAAAGCACCAGTCCCGAATGCGCATCCTTTAAAAAAAAGAAATATTTCTGAAAAACTTTTCTTTTCTTTTCTTTCAAACCCAAATATATTCCAGCATGATAAATGTCTGATTCTGCATCATCTGTGTCATTTTTGTAGACATCTCGATAGAATTGAGGCATACCATTGTCGTTCGTTTCACACATGTCTCTCTAAAATTCTTTAAAACACAATTAAAGAAAAAAAAACATTTGTGACAGGAAAAATGTGGTATAAACAAGCACAAGCCTAAGCCATAAATGTAGAAAAAAAATCCAGAGAGGAAAAAGATTCAATAGACTAGCCGACGGGATTGAACCAGCCGCGGCTAGATTCAGCGCCTGATGTCTTGATCGGCTAGATTCAGCGCCACTGAATCTAGCCGATCAAGACACCAGGCTCTTAGCCAGTCAGTCATGGCGGCTCAGACAATGACTGAGATTTATTGACTAACTCAGCACAAACCACTTGTTGATTAGTTTTTCCATAGAGTCCCATGGCAAACACGGCCACCACCAAGACATTGATGATAAAAGAGCAAAGAAGAGCAAATGCTGATTCGATAAAATAGTAGAAGTTGGCCTCTTTTACAGCGCTTCGTTTCTCCCGATTCACTCGTCTGCTCTAAAAATCAGTTCCACTTTTTTTTTAAAATAAAATTCTTGGATCTACCTGGACAAGAGCCGAGTGAAGGTAGAAGTTATGCGGCATGATGACTGCTCCCAGAAGACTTATGCCCTGTAAATCATAAAGTAAAACAAACTTTTCGAAGCTGTGCAATCTATTTAGAGTCAAATTTTCTGATCATGATTAGATTGTAAATAAATTCGTTAACTCTTTGAAACCTGTAATAACTGATCACTTCGACAGTCTTTACACCACGGAATCACCATTCCTTTGAATAAGCCAGCCTAAACACATATGTAAATCTTGTTTAAGTGATTTATTTACAGCATCCGGTGCCGCTTTCACAAATTCGAAACCAAACGAGGCAGCCATGCAAGAAATGAGGAAACAGAAAAAGAGCTCAAAATATCGAATTCCATATCTGTATATAAAGGTTTTCAAGTATTCAAAATGGGGAATGGGACAAATGCGACCTTTTTTTGTGCGCACCCGGACATTTGCGCACCTTTTTTCCGCACCCTTTTTTCGCGTTTTAAAAAAGCTCTAAAAAGCTAATATTAACGAATTTCTATTCCAAAAGTTCTTTTTCTAGGTAATTTTAGGGCGTAGAATCGAAATTTTGACATATCAGAGCTTGTGGAAACAAACGGACGGAGTTATACAAAGAGAAAAATCGACAATTTTCTGTAATTTGATCTAGCCATTGCTTTCAATTGATCTGGCCTTTCAAATTGGTTCCACACGCTCTGTTATGTCAAAATTTGATTTCGACACCCTCAAATTACCTAGAAAAACAACTTTTGGAATAGAAATTGGTTAATATTAGCTTTTAGAGCTTTTTTTAAAACGCGAAAAAAGGTGCGCTAATGGGCAAGGTGCGGAAAAAAAGGTGCGCAAATGTCCAGGTGCGCAAAAAAAGGTCGCATTTGTCCCACTCCCTTCAAATGGACTAACCTTTCCAAAAACAGAAACGAGAAAGTATCACAGATTGTAATAAGCACACCAACCCAAAGTGGAATGCTAAAGAAATTGTATATTAATCTATATTAATCTATATTAATCTATATTAATCTATATTAATCTTATTTGAAACGTGGCTTACTTTCCGTTAGAAAGAAGATAAAGAGAAATCGCTGTGCCAATGACTTCTTGCATATCTGAACCAATAATCGCAATTTGGACCATAATCCATAGACAAACTCGTGGAATCTGTGATTTTCTTTGCTTTAATTAATGAAATTTCTTTTTCTAATACTTTTGTATAATATGAATGCGCTATTTGAGCCATGTGTTGACCACTAACAACACCGATTCGAGCTGATAATCTTTGCATGAGAAGACCCAAGATATGTGCCATTAAAAGAACCCAGATTAACTGAAGATTATTTTTTTTGAATCTAGTCTATTATGCTAAACATGCCTTATACTGAGCAATTGCACCCGACTGTAGATCGCTTTCAATGTTGCCTGGATCCAAATAGGCGATTGACATTAGAAAACCCGGTCCAGTGAACTTCCATAGCTTTCGAAATGAGAATCGTACCTATAGAGTTATCTATTTAGGGGTCAGATAGCGTCTCATAGCTTCAAGATCTATACAAAGCTGAGGGCTCATTTTTGCCTCTCTGAAGGCTGATCAGCATTATTCTATAAATTTACTTTTTCATCAGGCTCTCCGACATCAATTCTTGTCTCAGCAAAGTCGTCATCTAATGTTTCTCGAAATGTTGGCTCTCGCTTTCGAATCGAGCTTTTTTCAGCTTCAAAACCACCATTGTCCTCACCACTCATTGTCTAAACCGTGCACTAGCATTATCAAAAGTATCGCTTATAGTAAAACATAAATACTCAAAGCTAAAGTAAAAATGCAACTCCAAAGAGGTTTATATAAGAAACAAGGCGATCAAAAAATTATTGTTCAAAAAAATATAGTCAGCTCTAAATCTGCGCCCATTATCTGTTTCCCATTGAGAAGAATCAGTCCCGCCGCTCAAAAACCCATCGTTATCTTGTCTTCCCCGGATTCAACTTTCAACTTTGGCGTCGAAAATAGTGGATTCAATGGCGAGACACTTGATCTCTAGGTGGTTAACCAAGATGACGCAACAAGAAAAACTTCAACCCTAGCTGCACTCACAAAATTTCCGTGAATTTGTGCAAATTTTTTAGTCTGATCCCATTGCTTTGGAGATAAGAAGTTGAAAGTTCAATTGCTGATAGCGCTTTTTCCCCTTCGGTAGAACCGAACCAAAATTTATGATGAATCAATAATTGAGTAAATCGAAATCAAATTAATGTAACATACTATGTACTACTATATACTGAAAATGCAAATAAAACGTCACACACAAAAAAAATTTGTAAATATAATTGTTAACTCCGCGGAATTTTATATTCAAAATGCAAATTTAAAAAATGACACGATAAGATGTAAGTTATACTGAGCAATTGCACTCCGCGGAATCATGATCAATTGTGCGTCAACATGGACCTGTAGTTGCTCATGTGTGAAGTGGCTTTCACCCACACGTGCTTGGCGATGAATCAGTTCGAGATAGCTTGACGATACTATTCCGGCTAGGGAGAGCCACTTTGGCTCCACCTCATTATCTACCGGTGCTTTTCTTATACGTTTTTGAGCGTTCCGGAGCTATCAAACGTACTAAATCTATTGAGAATATTTTTAATAACTTTAAATAGTTATTTAGTTCCTGAGACGAGCTGTTGGGAACATAACCAATATAGAAAATAACCTCTGGTAGGCCTTACGAGGTCGAGCTAAAGTGACCCATCCCAAGACTCAGTTTCGAAAATTTTCATACGAATAACTACAGGTACACGTTGATTTGCTCAATGATCGAGTAAATCAAAATCAGAAAAAAAAATTATATCAAATTTTAATTAAACCTTGGAAGATTCGAAATTTGACAAAAGAGAGACATCTTAAATGTCACAACCAAATACAAATAATAAGTAACCAGTTGCAACCAGCGGGATTATCCTCATCTAAACCAAAGTAAAATTCGCAGTGTGGTATGGGCCGTCGAGTTCATCCATGGTTGTCTAAAAAGATCAAATCTAAAACTCAAAAGATCCTCCTTTTTTTCTCGGTGCGGGCATAACAAATAAAGTTTGGTACTTGTTTAGTATAGGGGGGTGGGCGGCAAATCGTAAATTTGGCTATATAAACATCATTTATGATGTGAAGTTTTTGTTTCTCCCTCTTTAATGTACTGATATTTACCTAGGCTATGGCTCCGCACACCCAAAGACCTGATCGGGCATAGGCTATCGCCCGATTCACCCAGCTCCGTAACCCTAGCGTTGTAGGTCGTGAGCCAATCAGGTTACGGAGCTGGGGCAGTCAGGTTATAGCCTGTACCCAGCCAGGTCTCCCAAATACCAATGCATTAAAGAGGGAGAAACAAAGACTGAAAAAACGATGTTCATATCGCAAAATTTAGGAATAATTGTATCAACTATGGGAGTGGGACAAATGCGACCTTTTTTTTTGCCTGGACCTGGACATTTGCGCACCTTTTTTAAGAAAAAGTCGGAAAAGGCCTTAGGCAAGGCCGTAGAGCTTCGGAAATATTTCGAAAATATTTCCATATAAGGGAATCGTATGCGTAGATTCCGAATTTCGACAAATCAGACCTCGCTGACACGTCAAATTTGGGCTAAAAGGCAAAAACTGCGGAAAAGCGTTAAGTTGCGTAGTTTTTGCCTTTTAGCCCAAATTTGACGTGTCAGCGAGGTCTGATTTGTCGAAATTCGGAATCTACGCATACGATTCCCTTCTATGAAAACATTTTTGAAGCTCTACGACCTTTCCTAAGGCCTTTTCCAGCAAAAAAAGGTGCGCAAATGTCCAGGTGCGCAAAAAAAGGTCGCATTTGTCCCACCCCCATCAACTATTATTTCATTGCAACCCGATTAATTTTGTTGAATTAAAAAAAACTAACGTTGTGAGATTTATAGGCATCACGAAGCATCATCCCAAATTCATCGTTGCTTCGCTTTCTTTTGTAGCTTTGCATCAAAACGTAGGAGCACATGTAGCAGCAACACAGAAGTATTAGCAAGGTTGAGATAAGTAGAAGAAGTATTGACATAGACCTAAATAAAAAGATTGAAAACATTTTTAGGTACTATCCTAGTTCGGTCACTTTTTTTCCGAAAATTTCATTTTTTCTGGGGTAACTTTTTATGCTGATCATGAGTTTTCCGTTTTTAACCTAAGTTTAATTATGAAATATTGACTTTTTGGCACTTTGAAAATAACAAAATAGGCGTTTTTTGCCTTTAAATGCAAATATACTGCTCGACATAGTTTTAAGAACACTTGAAATTTTGCGCTTTTCTTAAAAACTATTGATTAAGCGGTAAACGGTAAGTCGCATATGATTTTCACTAATATTTAATAAATAAAAACGGTATAAAACAATGAGACCATCGGCGAAATTCTTATTCAGCACGATTTTCTTCAAAAATCCCATTTTTTAACTGGACATAATTTTAGGAACACCTTTGGAAAAATAAACTTTTTGAGTAGTAATAAAAACCTCGAGAAACGTTTTTTAGTTTTTTCGATAGTGCTGATTTCAAATGTGGAAACCATTTGTCGATAGCCCTTACCGTTTTCGAGATCTGGAAACTCGATTTTGGATACTTCTGCTGTTTGTCCCCCTAAAATCAGGATGTCCCCTAAAATTGGGCATTTTTCCACCAAAACGTTCAAAAATTTGCATAAAACACAAATTTTTTTTCATTTTCAGTTCTTCAAGAATATGGAACCCATCGCTCTTTGTTCACGTATATTCAGCAGTTCCTCTGGCGAAATATGTACAAAGAGGGTAATGCGCTCTTTCACTTATGGAGCCAAATCAAAGTAGCTTATCCTCTCCAAACCCGAGTTTTCCATTTGAATCTGCCGCGTTTTAAATTTTATTGCATCGTTTTAAACATATATACCATTTGCAGCATTCATACTTTATCTTTTAAACATCGTTAATAAAATTTTTTATGACAGCATTATGCTATTTCCCTGTTAGTTCCGTTTATTTGTTCTTAATAAATAAAATTTTAGAGAACCGACCGATCGTCGCGAAATTTTTGCTGGCGGAAAAAATGCCTAATTTGCATTTGAAAAAACAGCGAAAAAATCTCTGATCAAAAGCAAAAGGGGGGGGGGGACAAACAGCCAAAGTACCCAATTTTGTATGGAAAAACCAGTTTTTCTAATAAAATTTTTCTATAAGCATCATGATTTTCAGAAATTAGATCAAATGATTCTTCTTTGGGAGTTGGAGGATTCGATGAATAACCACGCCGGAAAGTGAAGATGAAGCTAAAGAGACCGAAAAAGACCCATTTCCTGTGTAAAATAGCTTAATTTTGGGTAGTTTTTCTTCATCTCCACTTTTCGACGCGGCCATTGATCGAATCCTTCAACTCCCAAAGAAGAGTCTTGTTTAAATTCGATCAAATTTCTGAAAACTGGTTTTTCCCCAACTAGAATAGTACTCCCATTTTTAACAAAGTTCTTACCCTGTTGTGACCTGCAAACTGAAGAGTTCATCGATTGCCGTTGAGAATCTCATACCCGAGTGGAAACTGCCGAGTTTTACTGAAAATTTCACGTAAAGGAAAATATGTAAAAAACGCAGAAGACAAGAAACGGAAAAAGAAACTACCAGAGTCACTATTATTTAAAAGATAATTGGGGCACATGTTAATCAAGCCTATCAAGCCTCTTATCTGGGGTTGATAACGAATTTCGCAACTTTATATTACAAAAATTTCCAATTTTCAAAAAAAACCGGAGCAAAAATTTATCATGTGAAAGTAATCAGCGCAACTTTGTGCCCAACAAAAAAGAGAAGGCAGAAGAGAAAAAATAGCTACTTTTTGTACCGTATAAAAGCTACCGTATCTCCGTCTTAAAGTCGTCGTAAACGGTTTGTCGTCGTGAAATAAACTCCGATTTTTTAGCTCCATAGAAATTTTTGATAAGAATCAGTAACCGTTAGTTCCTAGACTTGTCATTGTTTTTGCGAGTATTTATATTGCCAAATAGCTAGTTTATTCATCTTTATCGACGGCTTCATTTCATATGCTTTATTTTTATTTCTTGGTTACTCAAATTCTTGATTTCAGAACATGGGTCAATACGAAGGCTGGCTTATGATCCGACTCGATCCGATGTGATGATGGCCTTGAGTGATGATGAAGCCTCATCGGCACTTGCCTCCATTTCGAAGGGTAGTACCGCAATCAAAGGAACCAAAAGGTACCGGGAAAACAAATAATACCCCACCTAACGCGTAATTACAAACAACGCTTTTAAAGCGGAAAATTTTGGGACCATGACGATTGCGCCGCAAGCCAAAAACGAAAGTTGAGCATACGAAATTTGCGCACGCGAATTTTCCGCCGTGAAGATTGCGTAAGCCAAAAACGAAATTGCGCCGACGAAAATTGCACCGAACAAACAAGCGCTAACCCAGTACTAGAAACAACATTTTTTGTCTGTTTCTGCATTTTTTTCAGCACTTTTTACTGTTTTTCTTACTTTGTCCCCCACTTCCCCGAATTCCACCAAAAATTTGACAGCCCGGCACTTATCCTTTTGACTTTGCTGCCTTGTTTTTATCTTATTTTATTTCACTATAAATTTGCTATTATCAGTGTCAACTCTCGGTTAAAAGTGTCTCTTTCGGACGTTCCCTTGCACATTCGATGGGGCAGGTGGTGTTTATCGCATTTTTGATTAGAATAACATAATAATAAATAAATGTGTGATGATATAATTGATATAAACGATAGAGTTCCATTATTGGTCACTTGGCAACCGTCTGTTTTATCTATTAAATTTTTCTAATTTCAGGAGAGAAATCTTTCAACAAGTGGAAGTCTCTTCATAGTTTTGGCAAAGAACCAAGTAAGAACGTTTTTTCTTGATTGATATATGTTTCTTATGTTGTTACTATTTTTAACGCTATAAAAAATTGTTTTTTCTTGTCGTGCTCTTTTCACTTACAGTTATACTAGTTTTCTTTGTTAGTAAATTTTAAAAGCTCATTTTTAAAACGCACTATAATCATTAAAGGTCTTACGAAATGCGGAAAAACAAAGAAACACCAACATTTGAGTAACCTAAACACTAACAAACAACAATGTTTGCCTTTAAAAACATTTAGTCGTGATTGAACTTACATTCGATTTTGCGTCATCAAAAAACAAGGTAAAGTCTCAATGAGATAACTCAAATCTTTCGGCGCAAAATTCGTCGGCGCATGTTTCGTTTTCGGCTTGCGGCGCAATCGTGATAGTCCCAACATTTTCATGTATTTTCGGAAATCGTTTGTATTCATTTTATCCCATAAATTTGTTGATTTAAATTTTTTTTCTCTTTTGCTTACTAATTTTATTTTTTCAGATATGGATCTCGATGGATTTGGGGAATATCGGGCTCGTTGTGAATACGAAAAACACATGGAATTCTTCAAAAAATCGCGTGATGAATGAACCGAACAAGATGCCAGTGGGAACTTCGTCAACGCCGGAGCTGAAGGATCTTCAAGTGAATCGGATGAGTCACCTGCAAAAAAAGAAAAAGTCCAATGATGTGAAAACGAAATTAGCTGTTGCAAAGGTGGGCAAGGATGTTTCGATCAAAGCAGCCACTGCATTCTACAAGATGTGGGGGTTCCTACATCAAACAAGAGGTCGAGCTCGAGAAAATCGCAAGAGACTAGATGGAGCCGGACGCCACTTGAACTCGGAGGAGATCGATGTTCGGTTTGGCTGAATGGATGGATACAAGATCGTCGAGCCGAGAAAAAATGAGTGATCCGTCGGATTATCTGGAATGAAGCGAATTGATTCGAAACAGCTGGAATTTCTTTGAAAAGAAGTCATGGTTAGATTAAATATGATTAATTATCATATTTAATCTATTGTACTTACAGGCGATGAAGAATGCTCGAGAACAGAGAAGAAAATCGAGGATCTCTTGGGGCCGCTTGCATCGACGGGATTTCAGTATAGTGATCGTTTTTTCGCCTTTCGCGGGACATCAAAAACGGTCGCTCTAATTTGCCCCCCCAAGTGTAGTAGCACCGGCTGTTCTCTGACTATTAGCGTGTAATGGGTCTTTCTGTGGTGCTAAAAGGTGTAGATACGACAGTAGACCTTTGTGGGTTTAAGAACGCCCGTACTTTTACAGCAAATAATTTTTTGCTAATGCATAAAGTTATAGCTAATTGTAAGCTGAAGAATTAATCTTAAGCTCGAAGTTTTGAAGTTATCAATTACGTTTTATTCAACATAGTTTGTCTTTAATTTTTATTATTTGGTTGATTTTATGCTTGTTTAGCTGGCAAGAATTTGCATTTTTAAGAGTATAAAACCTAATGATGAAATATTGGAAACATTTGTTATGATTGTATAGTTTTTTTTTCTAATTAATGTCAAGTAGTTATTTTAGTTGCGAGTGAGATGTCTGTGGGAGGCAACGTAGTAGCTGATGAAGAAGTGGATGCTGTTTCCAGTGGAGCTCTTGAAGTGAGTAAAAGCTATTTTTTTGTAAAGACAATTTTTAGAAGTCCGCAGACGATGTTAATCAAGATGTGGGAATTGCAGCTGGTAAGAAGTTACGCGTCCTATTTCTTCAAATAACTTTAATTTAGTGGATGGACCAGCAGAGCTAGAAACTACGGAAACTTCTATTGGTGAAGAATTGTTTCGTTTCAAAGTTGTGGCTCCAAATGCAGATCCTTTTGAATTACAAGTAATTTGTGTGACTAGAGTTAAAATACCTTTTATTTTTAGCTGAATTCCAGCGAGATGTTTCATGAAGTGAGCCAAGTGCTTCTTGATCGGGAATCCACCTGTCATCGAACTTGTTTTAGGTATTTGTTTCTGACTTGAATTTATTAAACTTGTGATTTAGCTTGCACCTTGATGGAAAGCGTCTCGACAATTTTACTGAAATACGTTCTGTTGAAGATGTCAAAGATGGAGCTACTCTTCATGTTGTTGAAGGTAGGCTAAATTAATTTTTTGTATTTATGATTATAAATAGATCCATACACTTTGCGAGAGGTGCGTGTTCACATTCGCCACCTTCGCGAACTATTGCTTAGAAATGGAACTGAGTTCTCGTTCGAGGTATTCTTGTTATAAGTTTTAAAGTGTGTGAAATTGTAATTTTAGGCTGCTAATGCTTTAGACGGTTTATCGCTAACTTATCTACCATCTTTGAACCTTTTTGAAAAGCGGGGCGAGGGACGCTTGATTGAACTTCCTCCTGACTACATACAGCCAGGATCAAAGGTACTTTAACTGCTTAATTAAATAAAAAAAATACACTTTAGGAACGCCCCTTGGGACCATTGATTCAATCTCCAGCTAAGCCATTACTGCCTTTTATAAATCTCTCGCTTTCTTCATATAATCCTCCAATTGGACCAAGGAAATTGAAGGTTGCTTTCGTTCTATTGCCTAGTGTAGCATAGATGATCAAATTTTGGTTCTTATTTTCAAATTATGTTGTTTAGGGTGATCTGCTTTACATCGATGTGGAAACCGTTGAAAAACGTCGAGTTCATATAACGTCCTCGGTCAAAGGCTTTTACGTAAATGCAAGTACGGATGAGATCTTTCGACCTACTCCTTCTACTCAACTCAAAACTGTGTACCATAGGTATTCTTTTAGTCAACAATTTGAACATTGCGCTGTTTTAGTTTGGTTGAATTGTTGTCTGCTGTATCAACTGGTTTTCGCAAGGCGTACAGTGCACTTATTCGACGCAGAGTGGACAAAAATGTCTTGGAACGACTGCCGACCCCATATCCTGTAACATCGTGGTTTGCAACTGTGCCAGAGTTCACTCAGGATGGATTGAGGTATTTTCAGATAAGTTTTAAATCGTCAACAAAATAAATAATAGAGCTGAGGAAACCACACAACCACATCGAGTTGGATACGAGGATCAGCTTCCTGGACAACTGCGCGATTGGAATGAAGAGCTGCAAACAACTCATGAAATGTCACGCAACACTATACAAGAGCGAATCATTCGTGATCGCTCAGTCTTCAAGATCCACTCCGATTTTGTGAGCGCCGCACTGAAGGTTTTTTTTCACTCTAGCCTATAAGTAAAATGAAATTAGGGTGCCACTGCTGTTGTTGATGGAAACGTGGTTTCAATTAACCCAGCCGACGATCCAAAAACCCACATGTTTTTGTGGAATGACATTTTCTTCTCGCTTGGATTTGATGTTAAAGATCATTACAAAGATATTGGTGGCGATGCTGCCGCTCAAGCTGGCACGGCGGCCGATCTTCAGGTTTATTCAAAATTCGCTGTGAATTTTTCGTTATTTGTCAGGGTGTACGCATCTACTCGGCATTAGATGATCCACGGCTTTGCACCTTGGGAATGGCTGTCATAGACTACAAAGGGTATCGAGTGACTGCTCAAAGCATCATTCCCGGAATTCTCGAGAAGGATCAAGTTTGTTTTGTTTGTTTTGAGCAAGCGTCAACTTTACTTTGTAGGAACAATCGGTTGTATACGGTTCTATTGACTTCGGCAAAACAGTTACAACCAGTGATGCTTATGAAAAACTTTTGTCGAAGACGGTGGATGAATTGAAGATTTTGCCCCACGAAGTTATCACAAAAGATAAAGATGGAAAAGAAAGCACCGTGATGCTCTATACATCCTACGAAACAAAGGTAATGTCGTTCACTTTTGTAAAAGCATTTTTTTGTAGGGAATCGTTGGCAATGATTCACGAACATATGTGCTGGATTTGCTTCGTACCATGCCACCTGATGTAAACTATATGGAAGAACCCACATTGTCAGATAACGTAAAGGTAGTTTCTTTAAAGATTTGTTCGAGCAACAATTTGACATAGGAAATGGGCTATCCACGGAAGTTCCCTCATAAACTGACAACGCTTCGTCAAGAACTTGTGGAAGCTTTTACTGAGTAAACTTTGAATAGAAAGATTTAAAAATCTATTTGTTTAGCGCTCGCTACATGCGCTTTATTCAAGTTGCAGCTATGCATGTCAAAGAGTGTAAATTCAGCGAGTCTTTGGAAGCCAACGATGCCGAACGAGAAGTAGGGCTAATTGATCTTTTTAAAAAGCCACATTTAAGGAAACTGCGGTCTCCGACAATCAATTACCAAGCGAACAAGAGGCATTGAAAATTGTGGATGAGGCCATTCCTTCCAAAGAAGCTGCCGCTGCCAATCAAAAGAGCTTGGAAGTTATTGCTAAGGTTGTTTCAGGCACTTGTAGCGCTAAATTAAGTTTTAAGGCTGCTGCTCAAGTTGGATCGCTCTCTGATAAAGTATTCGATATTCGCTTCAATCCGGATTGCTTTGCACCAAATGTTCAGCATGCTCCAACGGAAGACCTAGAAAAACAACGGAAAATTTTGATTGATGCAGGAGGTATTTTTAATCATTTTTCCGAAAATTAAAAGGAACGTTTTAGAGTTTCTTTTAATCACCCAAATTCCTTCGTTTATCGACGAATGTATGAATCATGTTGTGACCCCTATTGACGGTGAATGTCTTTGTGAGCTTATGCATTCGAAGGGTATTAATGTACGCTATTTGGGACAGCTTCTCAAGGACAAGAGAGTATGTTAAAAAATTTCTTTGCAAGCAATGACAAATTTTAGGTCGATAAAAACTCCTATCTCAGAATCATTATTTCATCTGAAATCGTGCTTCGATCTTTGAAGCACATAATACGAAAGATTCTTCAGGTAGTTTTTTATAGTTCCTTTCTGTACATTTCCAATTTTTAGGATGTCTCAAGTGATCAAACGGGTCCAGCAGTTGCTCATTTGTTAAACGCATTTTTGGGTTCAGTTACCTTTGTTGTGAAAGAAGAAAAAGCAAATAAGAAGGTATTGAAATTAGAAAAACATCAAAACTTTAGCATTCTAGACAAAACGTGGCTCGGGAGGGCGTCGAGGCGGCGAGTCGAAGTGGGCTGATATGAGCACAAAAGCACTATGGTCGTCTATCTGCTCAGAGGTTGACTGAAATTTACTTCTTTGTTTAAGAAAAGTTTAGGCGGATTCATATTATGGCTTCAAGTTTGATCTTGCAACAGCCGATGAAATGTTTGAAGCTTTTGGTGTGCAAAAAGTGTCGCTTCTACGTCGGCTTTGCAAAATTATGGGAATTCAACTTCAAGCTAAGGTAGTTTTAAATATTTGTACCAATGACGAAAACATGTTTAGGACTATCAACTTGAAAAGAAACCATTGCCTTTTTCTGATGACGATATTCTCAATATGTATCCAATCTTCAGACACAAGAACCCTTGGGCTCGTAAGTAGTTTATTTTGGGATTTCACTCTGACACGATTTTAGGTGATGCAAAGAATCTATATGTTCGTGCACAAGCAGAAACGTCTCATGGAAGACTTCGAGAGGCTTACGATTACGTTGCCGAATCGGTGAATTTATATTTATAATATGGCATAGGCCATCTGTGGTTAGATTATCTTCCTTTTAAGAATGTATTTTTAGGTAAATCTTATGACGTCAGTCTACGGAGCTTTGCATAGCGAGTTGGGACAAGCTATGCGGCTGCTCGCTCGCCTTGCTTACCTTCTTGGAGAACCAACCGAAGCTTTATCTCTCCAGTACAAAGCAACACTTATTAGTGAAAGATGCAATGGAATCGATCATGCTCTAACGATTGTTGAATATGTGAGTAAAATTTCTTTCTAAAAGGTGCTTATCTGGCAATTTTAGATCAACCTTGCTCATTTCGCCTTTGCTAACCTATACATCACAGCGGCTTTGAAGCTCTTATATCGTGCAAGATATCTTCTGCTACTAGTGCATGGTGAAAATCACCCGTTAATGGCTCAAATTGATGTAAGTTAAATCTTCTCTTGCATCAAAAGTTAGTAGCTGGTTCCTCTTTAGGGTAATCTGGGAACAGTCCTTTACGCTGTACAAGAATACGATATGGCTGTGAAATTTCTGACTGCGGCTGATGTTCTTTCTACAGCACAAGGAGAATCTAAGCGTTTGAAGGTTGATTTTAGGGTTGATGTTTTTTTAATTTGTATTCCAGGCTGCTCTGCTTTCCCATATGATGGCTAGAGCTCATTCATGCCGGGGTGACTTCAGGGCAGCCCTTACTGCAGAGAAGGAAACTTATGCTATTTACCTGTAATATTATAAATTAAATATTATTTTATTTTTTAATTTTAGGAAGCTTTTTGGTGCAAAGCATGAGCGCACTCGGGAAAGTGGTGATTGTTTGAAACATCTCACTCAACAAGCTGTGGAGTTCCAGAAGCGGATGCACGAGGCAGCAAAGGGAAATGAAGTGCACAAGCTTCTTCCACTTCAAGTTATTCTTTATTTTAAACGAAATATATGTAACTTTAGGCACCACCCCCAATGCTTCCGGCTGTTCTCGAAGTCTTGAATGCCTTGAATGGAATCATCATCATTTCGTTCCCGGCTGCTACTGCACAAGCAGACGCTCCAGCTACAAACAGCATGCCGAATACCGCCCAATCTGATTCAAGTGTTCCAGCTCTTCAAGAAGAAGCCCTCGATTAAGGTTTTTGATGTTGTTAAATTCTAGTTTACATTGATTTCTGGTTGAAACTTCAGGTTCCTTTGCCTTTTCTTTCTGCCTTATGATTGAGATACTGTTATTAGTTTTTACATTGCAAATTCCTAACCCCATTTTACGTTGTTTGTTAGGTCAAGTGTGACCAAGGCTTTCAAGTGGATTCTATGTCCTTAGCGAGTATCAAACTTTAATAGTTAGATTAGGAAAGCTAGTGTTTAGTTTTAGTTTAGGCTCATAGGCCAATTAGTTTGTTGTTTCCTAGAAATTCTAGGCTTTTGTTATGTTTTCCAGTATGTTGCCCAAATTGGCTCAATTCATGATAGATACCGTAATACCTGCAATAGTGGCCCCAATGATTTTTTAAACGCGCTCAGATTTTTCTAAAATAAACTGTAAGTACCAAAAAATTCTTCGCTTCAAGCGCTCTCCTTTGATATCTATCTTTCGTCGAAGCAACGCGGAGAACTGAGCGTCACAAAATTGTGTGTTAGACTACGAGACTGTACGGGCAGCGCTACTATTACAGGCATTACAGTGTTTGTTTCTTTTTTTGTTGAGAAGAAGGTGCCCTTTGAATGTCTTTGATTATTGTTTTGTTAAATAAAATTTTGTTTGGATGAAACAAATAACTTTTAAAGAATTTATAATTGACCCGCAATGCGAAAATTCTAACAGATTCCCTAACTAAATTGAGAATCAAGTCCACACGTGCGAAGATTGCATACAGAGATATCGGTTTTAGCAAGTTGGAGTGTTTCGGTCAAAGAAAGTGTCACCTGAAAGCTAGTGATCTTTTTTGACATTCTATTTGATACCGTGACAGATTTGGAAACCATTGTGAAGCCATTATCCGAAAAGGAGCCCAGAAACTCTTTGTTAACGGATAGCCATGTAAGCGGGGAAATGCCCGACGTTTCAATTCCAATTTCGTATTCGACATCGGAAATCTGCTTGAAAGAGGAAATCCGAACGGTGCCCATTCGATCAAGATTCACCTAGAAACATAAATTTCTCAAATTTCAAAACCATCACACTTTGTAGATTTTATTGGGGATCACGATGCTGTTTGTTCCTATCTGATCTCCTTTTTTGTTTTTCCAACGACCGACAAAAACGAAGTCCTCGGGTGCTGTCATCGGTTGCGAACTAAAATCTCAAAATTATTCGAAACCGGATGCTGGATAGTTGATTTTCTCAATAGACATATGGATAAGAATCAGAATCAAAATCAGAGTGAGAGTTAGATACTTGTCTCTAGATACATAAATGGAGTTGATAAAGATGAAAACTGCAATAATGGAATGCATTTGACTGAAGCGGAAAATTGTAGGAAACTAACTTGGTGAAATTTCAGTTTCTGAGAAAGTTTAGAGCAGATTGAGAAACTAAAGTCTGCTTAAGCTAGAATAACGAATGCTTTTCATGTTCAACGTTTCAACAATAGTATCCGTGATGCACCAAGAACTACCCAAAATCCAAAATTCTGCCTAAACAACTGAATTTCAACTGTTGAAAAGAAAAGAGAAAAGGCTATAGGCTTCAGTTTCACGTCACAAAAACTCCCCGATAGATCAACTTTTTTTTTTCAAATCTCTACAAAAAAGAATTGAAACTGTTCAAGGAAGATGAAGAGTCGAAAATTAGTTCATTAGATTAGATCGAAAATTAGATCACTCAAGAAAATTCCCTACAACTTTCCCTATAACCTAATCATTTTTTTTACTAATTTTATTAGTAATAACAGTTTTCCCGGTGGTTGCAGAGTTGTGGCTTGATCGGCAGCAATTGTCACATTTGTTTCCCATGTGTAAACTGGCTGCAAATAAAAAAAACGCTACAATCACTTTCAACTCCACAAAGGCAAACCGTAAAATTAGAATCCCAGGTAAGCATCGAAATCTCGATCGTTCCGCTTTGATCGGTGTGAAAATCGTTAATAACGGTCACTTGTAAAGCGTCGTTCACGATGTACTAAAGATCGCTTTTGTTTCGATTTTTTTGCAAAAGCTTTAAAGAAAATGCTAGAGAAGCTTTTTTTCTCTCAAGGAGACACCTCTTCACTCTTTCGAGAAACGAGAAACTCACTAGTGCAATGTGAAGTGGCTCAAAGAATCGTCTTGCCTCATAGTGAACCATTTTCCACCTAGATTCTGAGAATTGCCTTACAAATTGCCAAAAAACAAAACCGCAAATTTGTGTCCACCGAGGCCCACGTGGGAGCGGCCCAGATGTCATTGAGTTGCCAGTACCTATTTTGTAATTTACTTGAAGTAGAATTGAAAAAAAATACATTCCACACATTGTATTTCCTCGCCCATCCGGTAATAGTTGACCCATCATTCTAAAATTTGAATTTGAATTTGGAATCAAGGGAATTGAACTCATAACCTTCTGCTTACTGGGTGATCAAGAGAATTGAACTCATAATCTTCTGCTTACCACTGAGACCTTTACCATTGTGGTATTGGCGATTGCTTTGATCAAGAAGAAATAGGAAAGATATGGAAGAGAAAGAAAGAAAGGAAGAGAAAGAAAAGAAGAAAGAGAAAGAAAGGAAGAAAGAGAAAGAAAAGAAGGAAGAGAAAGAAAAGAAGAGAGAGAAGGGTTGTCAGAGCTACTTTTTAGAGAATTCTTTCTCTAAACCTCTTTTCACCTCTGTAAACTCTTTAATCTCACCTCCTGTAATGCTCTGTTTGTACTTTGTATGCGATTGCTTGATGTGCTTGCGAGAGATAGGCAAATCGATGCATGAAAGTCGTCGTATTCGCAAAAGCGCATACTTGCGGTAGATTTTCGGGAAGTGTCCCGTTCGCACACTCGGTTGGAATCAAAAAAAAATATGGGTTACTTACGAAAGTAAATCAACTCGCTCTTACTGCGAAATGTGAGAAAATCATTGCCAAATTGTTTTCAGTGCCTCCCGGATGGTGTTGCCGATGCAACATCGCTTTGCTCATGTAATTGATGTCCTTTTCTGGTAGTGCTTTTGCCAATGTGTAACTGAAAAGCGAAACTTATCGACTTTACTTTACGAGTTCGCTTTACCCGCTCGGCCAACTTTGTACTCCGTATTCAGTGGCACATCGAGGCGTGCTGAAAAGGTTTCCTATTTGGTTCCTATTTGGTTTCTTTAAAGTTCCTTTATAGTTCCTTTATAGTTCCTGGATAGTTCCTTTAAAGTTCCTTTATAGTTCCTATTTGGTTTCTTTATAGTTCCTGGATAGTTCCTTTATAGTTCCTTTATAGTTCCTTTATAGTTCCTATTTGGTTCCTTTATAGTTCCTAGTCCCTTATAGTTCCTTTTTTTGTAACTTCAATATTTGTTTTTCTTAAAGATACCGATAGCTAGCATCACTCCAAAGATCGATATATTCATTGTAGAAATGAATGTCGCCATAGAATTCCGAATTTGGATCACTCGAGATACCGCCTTCTCTAAATATTTCAATATTTCGTATTTCAATATTCTTTTGTCACTTTCAGGCTTATACGAATAAAGTATAATTGTTTAGAATTGAAAAATGAAAAACTTACTCAATGCTTTTAATTCCTTCACTTGGTGAAGACATAACAAAAGCTCGTCCGGGATCTAATTGAGCAATCACTGTCTCAGCCGTTGTCTTGTAAAGACGAAGATATTCATCTGTTTGAGTTTCTAAAGATCCATTGTATTTTCAATTCTATTTTTGATCTCTGTTTTGATCTTGCTTTTGATCTACCCCTTGGTGCTCCTGAAAACCATCCATCGTGTAAACCAAGCTCATTCTCGTTGTTCCCAGCCCATAAAAGCATTGAAGGATGATATTTGAGTCGATTCACCTATATTAGAACTTTTGAGAATTGAATTAAGTTCAAAACATTGTAGATCAACTCTTGGCGAACAGAGTCGAGAAATTCGGGATGAGCTGGGTAAAGAGAACAGGCGAACATCAAATCCTCCCAGATTAGAATGCCGTACTCGTCCGCTAAGCTAAATTTCATTGACACGTTTTATTTGATTGAATAACTCGTATAGGATGTCCTCCTCATATCGTCCGCCACCCCAAACACGCATTGAATTCATTCCTAAAATGATCTTTCAGCTTTCAGCGGTAGCGCAAAGCCAGTGTGACTGTCTCTGGAATTAGAGACCCAGGTTCGATCCCGTTCCTGACATAGAATGGAGTTCATGGCCCAGGTTCTTAATGCTTGAAGCCTATTCAGTCTCTTCACTCTAGAACTCTGCACTTCACTCTAGACCTCTAGAACAAGCTAACTAGAGGTCGTCTAATAAGAGTAGAGAATAAGAATTAGTTCCATAAGAATTAAAAAGCATGTATGGATGGGTTAAGTTAATAGCCTAGTATTGTGTGTCAAATTGTGATTATCGTGTCGAATAAACGACATTCAGAGTTCTCGGTGTAGATCTTTTATTCCCCTTTTTAAACCTACCGACTTTCCTGGCTGAATCAAGTAAAAATCGATAGCGACGCTCGTTTGAGGGCTGAGCCGGGAATGAGGAAACCGGAATCCAATTTGTTCCTGTATTTCACTATATTAGTTTTATTTTCTTTCTTACCTTTCAGAAAAATTGGTACCCCATTGACTTTAAAGTAGAAATGACGGCCTTTCTCTTTTTTATTTTCATCAATCCAATCTTGAACGAGTTCCACTGATCGAAATCCGACCTTTATCTTCTTCATCGAGTTTGCTACTGAAATAAATGTTAGAAACTTATTGAACTTTTCTTTAGCTCTTTTTCTTGTTGTTATAATTGTTTTGAACTTATTTCAACCTCCAGCTAGTTGACCGGTGATTGTGTAAAGAGTTTGAGTGCCATGCCCATTCGGCCACCAAAGATCAACAGCCAGTTTTGAAATATTCACTTCAATAAATGCCTGAATAAGAAAATCATGATCGAAATTTCATTTTTAAGAGATTTATAAGTGAGTTTGTTAAAATTTACACTCCCAGAGCTGGCATCAGCGGTTCGAATGATACCGAGCGGGTCGATAAGAACATTTAGTCGAGTGCCAGCCATTGCATTTCGGACATTGGCCTCAACTCGAACTGTGAATTGATCTGGACATAAATTTTATAACATAAACTAAAAGAGATTCTCTTTTCTACCATTCACTGGGTTCACGGTAGCAGTGAGCATAGAGATCTGTGCTGTGTTTGTGATGATCAATCGAGCTGGCCTCGAAACGCCGACCGTTGGGAAAGCCGGTCCCCAATCCCAGCTGAATGACGCCTGGATCTTGCTAAAGTTTGGAAATTGATTGATTTGATTGATTGATTTGATTGATTGATTTGATTGATTGATTTGATTGATTGATTTGATTGATTGATTTGATTGATTGATTTGATTGATTGATTTGATTGATTGTTTGATTGAGATTTGATTGATTGTTTGATTGATTGTTTGATGTGATTTGTGTTGTGTGGTTGTTGTTGATTGATTTGTTGTTGTTGTGTTTGTTGATTGTTGATTTGGTGTTGTTGGATTGATTGATTGATTTGATTGATTTGATTGATTTGATTGATTGATTTGATTGATTTGATTGATTTGATTGATTTGATTGATTTGATTGATTTGATTGATTGATTTGATTGATTTATTGATTGATTTGATTGATTTGATTGATTTGATTGATTTGATTGATTTGATTGATTTGATTGATTTGATTGATTTGATTGATTTGATTGATTTGATTTGATTTGATTGATTGATTGATTGATTGTTTTTTGATAGCTTTAATCATTTTACCGAATCATATTCCCATGGCATTCTCCTTGATACATATCAGGAGGGCACTCTGGCCAAATCACATGTGAGTAGTTTGCCTGGAAAACAAATCGTTTACAAGTTCATCTTCAGCTCAGATTACCTTAAACGAAGCGGCTTCTGCTTCAGCTGTAAGCACTGGAGATGCAAACAAAATCACCAAATTGTTTGAGCCTGAATGGGATCGTTTTGTAAAGTCAAGGTTTTATAAACCTTTTATGGCAAATTTCGTGACATCAAATGCATATTGTACAAATTGATTCTTCGTTGAGCCGACAAGTTTTTCATTTAAATAGATAGTGGAGATTGTGTCAAGACCATCAAACTCGAGCACAGCTTTTTCCTACAAATCTTTTGTCAGCTTTTTCAGCACAGCTTTTTCAGCAAAGCTTTTTCTCAAAGATTTGAAAATAGTTACCGGTTGTGCATCAAGAACAAAAGTCTTTGTGTAGTTCCAATTCGTGTACGCAACCCATCGAGTGTCGATGTCATTTTGGCCGAACAATGGATCACCGATTTGTTCTGCTCTTGCCAAATCCATGTAAATATCGCCTAAAGATGATTTGAATACTAAAAATTGATGTCAATATAACATTTACAGTCATCTCTCTTTATAACGGAACTTCATATAGTGGAAAACCATTTAAGGGAATGGAATTTTGGTCCCGGCCGACCCTAAGCTATATAACGCTCTATATAACGCTCTATATAACTTTTTTTGTTCCCTTCCATTCCGTTAGAGAGTTGACTGTACTTAAATTCAAATCTGCTTTAATTCTCAAAGCTTACCAGGCACTTGGGCTTTCCCTTTGAATGAGCCATTCGCTGAGATGAAATCCCAATCTCCACCCAAATCAATGACATTATCCGCAGATGCAGAAGTGCCACCTAAATACTTCTGAATTAAAATTAAAATACTAAACTAAATCTATTACACTATTACACTATAGTTCCTTACTATTATTAAGCGCTTGTTCATATTTTATTTTGATCATGCTTGGCCACTTCTTTGATACAATCCATATCTCCATACACAATGTTTACTCAGCCAGCATTTTACAAGCTTTAACCAATTGGATTTTTGTCAAAGTCGTACTATGAATGTTCAAAAATCTTTAAGAGACTCTATTTAAGAGAATCAAAGATGAGTTTTGTTTGAGAAACAAATTACAGATAATTTTAGCTCAAAAGAGTTATTGGATAAGGTTCGATTAAGGATTAAGATGGATTACGGTATTCAGTCTAGATTAGGATATTCAGTCCAGATTAGCTGGAGTGGTTTTGGTGAGTCGATGATGAGTTGAAAAGAGAAAAAGGCTTCAAAAGATACTCTTTTTCTTTGAAATTTTCACTAAAAACACCTCGGTTTCTAGGGACTTTTCAGTGTGTAGAAAGGCATGAAAACATAAAAAACGAGAAACGAAAACGAAGCTCTTTGCATGGCTCTGTGCATGGCTCATTGCATGACTCTTTGCATGGCTCATTGCATGACTCTTTGCATGGCTCATTGCATGACTCTTTGCATGACTCTTTGCATGACTCTTTGCATGGCTCTTTCCCCTAATTTTTCTATATGAAAATTGACTTTTATCTATAAAGTTACTGAATATGTTTTAAAAGAGAACTGATTTAAGATATAAAAAAGTGCTTACTAAATGGAGAGGCAACAAGGAAAAAAGCGGCCACGAGCAACATCCCCACCATCACTTTCCCACTCGGCATTCGCCGCCACTAAAAACTTTTTGAAATTAACAAATTACTAGGAAATGTAGAAAGAAAAATCTTTTTCTAGTTGTACAATTTTTATCAAAACCTGTACAACAATCATCATCAATTTTGCGATTGGCAAAAAACAACTTTGTTATCATTTTCTTTCGTTTCATTGCAAAAAAAAAAACACTTTTTATAAGTAATATAAGCCTTTAACTTAAAAATATAATATAAAAGATCTTTTAGAAATGATCTTTTCAAGAAATTCTTGACCAATTCTTAAAATAAGACCTGATTTATGAAATTGGCATTCACGAATCGAACACCTTTACGATAGCCGGGTTTCATTCGCACGCGCATTTGGGAAAAGAATAAAAAGAAAAAAATCGATGCAAATTTCCTCTAATAAATCTCAATTTTAGTAATTTATTGAAAATACAGGAGATCTAGGCAGTGAAAAGGATTATAGTGCGGTTGTAGAGGGTGGGGCTTTTGAGGCACTTCTCATTGTCCCTTTTTTGTTCAGCCGTCCTTTCTCTTCATCATCGTCTATTCCCGATCTCTCTATTTCTCTATCTCTCTCGAATTTCCCTCAAAAAAAATTTTTTTCCATTCTCGATTTGTGTAGAAAACTTGCTTATTAAAATTTGTTTAATAAAAAGTTCGATTTTTGGTGAACATTTCTGAAGCAACAGTTTTGTTTAAAGGTACATGCATTAGGTACATGCATTAGGTACATGCATAAGGTATTATTAAGTTTTTTTGTTTTTCTTTTTCTTTTTTCTATTAGGTAAATGCATAAGAAATGCGGATTTGAACATTTTCATAAATTTCCAACGATAGAAACCTGATATCGATGAATGTTATACTATTTGTTATACTATACTATTTGTTATACTATACTATTTGTTATACTATACTATTTGTTATACCATACTATTTGAAAGTTCTAAATCTCCTCTACAAAATAGGCTAAAACGTGTTTCAATTGATCGAAGCATTGAAGAAATTTCGAGGGCGAAATGCGAGTGATCAAAAAAGGAATCGAGTCACTTTAGGGACAAGTTTTGTGTGGTCAAAATAGAGTTAGCTTCCCATAGTCGAAGATTAAAAAAAAGGATAACTATATATGAATTCATTAAAAAAGTCAAACGGAAATGCATTTACAGAAATTTAGATAGAGCCTAAGTTCAAAACCCTCAAAATTCTCAAAAAACCGGTTTTTTCACAAAAAAAGAGAAATTATTGTAAAAAGAAAGTTTTCCCATGAAATGATCCCAACTCTTAATTTTTTTGAATGATATTTTTAGGTTAATGATTTTAGGGCCGTCATTGTCCATTATATAGTCAAAACCGAACTCTTGTGAAAGTGGGGTTTTCAAAAAGTGCATTTTTGGTCACTCGCATTTCGTCCTCGAAATTTCTTCAATCGTTCGATCAATTGAAACACGTTTTAGCCTATTTTGTAGAGGAGATTTATAGCTTTCAAATAGTATAGTATAAAAATAGTATAGTATAACAAATAGTATAACATTCATCGATATCAGGTTTCTATCGTTGGAAATTTATGAAAATGTTCAAATCCGCATTTCTTATGCATTTACCTAATAGAAGTGCATTTTAATGTCGATCAATATACCAATAGTTCAGGCCTAATGCAGTTCAAATTATGAAAAACGGTAAAATGAAATAAAAAAAGATGAATTTAAAGTTCAGAAAAACGTTTCAAAAAAATCGTTTTCAAAAAAAGCTATAGTGCTAAAATGAGAATGAATGTAAAGCATTTGACACCACAAAATGGTCATTTGAGAGAAGAGTAGATTGTTTAGATTAAAGGAAAAAGGAGAAATCTGATAAAGCAATCAAAACCGGCCCGTAAAAGACCTATGACCGTAAAAATCAATAAAATAATGACCCCTAAACACATTGAGAAAACTCTTTGAATTGAAAAATTTGATAGCATGAGACATTGTTGTTGTCTGAGACATCTAAAGTTGTCTCAGACTCAAAGGAAAGTTTAAAATACACTCGAATCTCTCTATAACGATATTTAAGGGAATAAGAATAAATTTTCTCATATTACTATACAGAAAATCATTAGGTAGAAGCAAAAAAATTCATATGGTTTTTAACCAAATTAAACCAGAAGCTCCACCAATTAATTTACCGTATTTTCTCTAATAGTAATCTCTAATAGCCGGCGAGCCGAGTTGGTGACTATTTTACGGCTTCCAAGTTTTTGCAGAAGCTCAACACTCAAATCCCCCACAAGATCTCATCGTCAGCTACATTTTCCGACATTACATAGTTTCCCAAAATTTCAGAACAATCCAATCTTCGGAAGGTTGATTTTCAAATTAGGCTCAAAATGCACTTTTGGGGGGTAGGACAAATGCGACCTTTTTTTGCGCACCTGGACATTTGCGCACCTTTTTTTTCCGCACCTTGCTCATTAGCGCACCTTTTTTCGTGTTACTAAAAGACTTTTGCGACTAGGCGACTGTACGAGGGGGGTGGGGTACTATTACGGGGGTGGGACAAATGCGACCTTTTTTTGCTGGAAAAGGCCTTAGGCAAGGCCGTAGAGCTTCGAAAATATTTCCATAGAAGGGAATCGTATGCGTAGATTCCGAATTTCGACAAATCAGACCTCGCTGACACGTCAAATTTGGGCTAAAAGGCAAAAACTACGCAACTTAACGCTTTGCCGCAGTTTTTGCCTTTTAGCCCAAATTTGACGTGTCAGCGAGGTCTGATTTGTCGAAATTTCGGAATCTACGCATATGATTCCCTTCTATGAAAGCATTTTTGAAGCTCTACGACCTTTCCTAAGGCCTTTTCCAGCAAAAAAAAAGGTGCGCAAATGTCCAGGTGCGCAAAAAAAGGTCGCATTTGTCCCACCCCCAAAAGCTTTCAAAACTTTTCATTTGTTTTAATCTTTTATCGAACTGTTTTTAAGTCTAAATCTTTATTTATTAAAATAATATTTAAATAAAATAATATTTAAATAAAATGATATTCAAATAGCTTTATTTATCATCTTTTCCGAATGATGGTAACGGGATATGACATCGATGTTGAGCACAAGTGCAATGGCCTTCGTTTGGCATAGCTTCTGAAAGTAGTTCTATTTCTAGTGTAAGAGATTTGAAAATAAGTGATCGATTTAATTATTAGGCTGATCTGTGTTTTTTTTTCAAAGTTATTAAAAGATTGCCTAAACAATGGGTAGAGGTGGCAAAGCTGTGGCGCAATTGTCGTAATTTATGCAATGCTGACGCACTTCCGTCGACGGGGCCGAGGAAACGAGGACGTCGATGTTGTTCCGATAAACATTCTAATATTAAAGACCATCTAAATTTTATATTTAGCTATTTAGCTATTTACCGTAAGTACTGTAAACACTGTAATAGTACCCCACCCCCTCGTACAGTCACGTAGTCGCAAAAGTTTTTTAGTATTTCATTTTTTGCAAAGCACCCGTACTTTCAAAAAAAAGCGTCTTTGGTATCAAAAAATAGCTGAAATTCATTTGTATTGCTATTGTAGCATAAACCAGTGTCGAGAAAAACTCGTTCAAAGCTTGACTACGCAACGCTCCGCACCGTCATTATGGGCGGTGGGGTATTATTACAGTATTTACGGTAGCTATTTGGCTATTTCATTTTTTTAACTTACAATTGTGCTGGACAGGCCGACGGATAGGTGAGACCACGATCTGGTTCTCGATAACAGGCCTAAATAATAGGTTGATGCATAAGTGTTTTTGTTCCTTTTCGTCTGCCGTTTCAAGCCAACAAATGCACCAATTAAACTACGGTTGATTTCATTAGAAAAACCAATTATTTTTCTGTAAAATAACATTAAAACGAGTTTAAAAATATTTAATGCCTGGATTTTCTTGAGAGTATGAAGTCGGGTAGTCAAAAAGGGCTAACTCGATGATGCGGTTTAGACACCTTAGCTAAAGAAAACCTATCTTCGTGTCAATAGATAAAAGATAGAGAAAAAAAACGTTTGATATTTCGCCAAAATTTCAGAGAAATTCATTCAGCCAATTTTTCCGTAGAGTTTTTTATCGATTTTTACGAAAAAGGCGTTTTTCACTCTCGAATTTGCTTGAAAGTGAACCGAAATTCATTTAAAAAGATGCAAATTGAACAAAAAAACACTTTTTTTATAGAGCAAACTATAGATTAATTGGTGAATTTGTTACTTTTTAACAGAAGTACGAAAAAAACGAAAAGACTTATGCATCAACCTAATATATATAATAATGTTTAGAAATAGTCAAATTTTACAAAAATCAATAAAACAAAAGAATCAAAAGCTCATCAAGAATCAATAAAACTCTTTAATATTCTAAAAATAGCGGTGAATGATGAAAGTTTGCCTCAAAAATAAACCTGAATCTCTCGAATCGTTCGCTGATAGTGTGGCTCGGCTCCTAGAGTCACGCATTCCCAGGCGAGAACCCCGAACATCCTAGAAATTATTTGATTTATAATAATGCTGATATTTTCATATTTTCATATTTTCAAAGCTTACCAAACATCGCATTCAGTTCGATGCACGGGATTCGAGTCCAACGCGCAAACAATCTCCGGTGGAAGCCATGGCACCGGTAAACGAGGCCCGAAATCGATTGGGAGCCCGAAATCACCCAATTTTGCCACACAACTTAAAACTTTCAAAAGAAAACTTTTATTTCTAAATTTATCCATTACGTGTCTAAATGTTTGCTCGTAAGTAGGACATTTCTTGCTGCTACATCACCGTGTGTTAGCTCTTGTCCTCGATCATCTCGACTGTCATGCAGATATTTCAGTGCTTCACCTACCTAGAAATTTCTTGATTTTTGATTTTTGATTTATAATTTGTAATTTATAATTTGTAAATTGTAATTTGTAATTTGTAATTTATAATTTATAATTTGTAATTTGTAATTCGTAATTTGTAATTTGTAATTTGTAAATTGTAATTTGTAATTCGCAATTTGTAATTTGTAATTCGTAATTTGTAATTTGTAATTCGTAATTTGCAATTTGTAATTTGTAATTTCAAGTTCTAATGATTCATTCTAAAGCCTACTTGTGTGAGAATGCTGATTATACTCCGGACAAACACTGGCGCTCGTTCATTTTCCTCTTTTCTCTAAATCGATGTTGAAAGAAAGATTTCTTTAATGAAAACGAAATGCTAATAAATATTCAATGACAAACCCGGATCTCTTCTCGAAAATATTCAGCAAGAGATCCGCCGGGTAGCCATTCCATCACGATGAGCGGCCGAAATGCGGTGAATGAGAGCTTCGAGACGGCCAATAGAGCGACAATGTTTGAGTGCTCTAACTAGATTCGTTTTTCCTCTTTTCTAGCGCACAATAAGTTTAGAGAGAAACTGTGCCAGAAGGGGTGTTTTTTTTAAGCTCAAAGAGCACTCAAAAGGCCTGGGAGTGCTCTTTAGAGTTAAAGATAATTTTTTTTTGGTCTACCTAGTTTCGCCATTCGACACGCTTCCTCGAGAAGACCCATTGATTTCAAAGGAATCGGATAACTCATCTAAATTTGGTAAATTTTAACAATTTCACCGTAACACATGTCATTTTGAGCGTACACTCGCGTAGTTGTTAACTATTTTACTGATAAAGTACCGTATTCTCTTTATTAGTAGTGCACCCCAGTGAGCCGAGTTGGTGACTATTTTACGGTTTCCAAGCTTTTGCAGAAGCTCAGCACTCAAATCCCCCACTAGTTCTCATCGTCAGCTACATTTTCCGACCCCACATCGATAGGTTCTGATAAGCGGTTTTCGAGATTTCGAGCAATTTAGGCAACGCTCAGGGCGCACTACTATTGGTGAGATACGATAGCTTTAACTAACTTTAACTTTAACTGAAAACTTTGAAAGCCATAAGTTTAAGGGAGTTTTCTCACTAATAGTAGGTGCACTACTATTAGTGAGAATACGGTAAATGATTTAAAGCTAAACGAAACGAAAATGACGATTTAAAGATAAAAAAAACCTATTATAAGTCTCAAAAAAACCTATTATAGCTCTAAATCCCCTCTTAAAAACTAGAAAAAACTTATCAAAAACTTTCTGCGAAATCTATTTAAAAAAGTCCTTAACTTGACATCAAAAATATTTATTAGCCGTACGGCTGATCGGTGGATTGGATCGTCGTGAATATGTTCTCATACCTTTATAGCTGCTGCAAGTTTTTGTTTATATCGATTCTGTGTTCGTGGATAAACAAAGCCTAGAAATACAAACGAGTAAAAGGATTATCAATTCGATTTTTACCTTTAAAAACGAAACCCACCGCACCCTGCCCCAATTTATCATCGGTGATCTCAATGAAAACGTCGTCGACGAGAAATTTGCCAAGCTCTAAATTTGGACGCTTTCAATTTAGACGCCAATTTTTGCTTCAAACCTCTTTTCATTGCTTTCAATCGCTTTTGATAGGGAAATATGGTGTCTGGAGCCGGTAAACACATCTTTTTTCCATCTAAATGAAATGAATATAAAAAGCCAAGAATCGTTTTGATAAATATAGGCTAATCAAAGTATTTATAGGAGAGTATAGCGTATGGCGGATAGCGTATGGCGGATAGCGTATGGCGGATAGCGTATGGCGGATAGCGTATGGCGGATAGCGTATGGCGGATAGCGTATAGCGTATTGCGTATTGCATATAGCGTATTGCATATAGCGTATAGCGTATTGGGTATAGCGTATTGCGTATAGCGTATTGCGTATAGCGTATAGCGTATAGCGTATTGCTTATAGCGTGCTAATAAAAGTATTTATACTATAAGATAGCGTCCGTAGTGTTCATTTAAATTTTCAAATATCTTTTTGATATCTTTACCTATGTTTTGCTCTTTATTTTATAACAAAATCTAATATCTAATCGATTCACTTAAAAAAAACAAACGTTTACAAAACCATAGAAGCGCAAGAGAGTAAAGGGCACTCATCGCGAGAACAGTGGCCCATGGAGTCATATAGGAAATCGAGCAATGCTCCGTGAACTCAGAACCTTGATCCACCAAAACTCCTGCCTAAAAATACAAAAAAAATAACTAAAACTTGTCTTTTATTATATCTAGAAATCGATAAAGTAATAAAATTTGTGATCTTTATGATTTAGAAGTTTATTTTCTCTTTAAACAGTTTAAATTCTACCATAGCATCAATTCTAAAAAGTAAGTTTGCCTGGAATTTCCTCAAAATCTGTAGTGGCTCGAATTTCCTCAAAATTTTGAAAAAAAACACTTTTGGCACCAGAGTGACCATCAAGTGCCACTACAGATTTTGGGGAAATCGAAGATCGAGGTAAACTTACTTTTTTTTCGGACACCCTGTAGATGTTTTTTATTTAATATAGAAAATGAGATCTAATTTTTTTTTAATATAGTCTTAACTTTAAGATCTCAGGTAAAATTTCATCAAATTAAAAAAAAAATCAAAATTTCATCAAATTTTGCTGTAATCTTTGCCATTTCACAAACTTACTTCTTTTAATTGCACATTTGGATTTCGAGCTTCATGAGCCATCCAAAAAAATTGATCTTATTGAAAGAAATTATTGAACTCTTGTAGAAATATAAAAGTAAAAAAGTAAATCGTCAAGAATCAATTCTTGAGTTGTATTTGTGTCGAGAGTGTTTCTTTGTGTTCTTTTAGAGAAAACTCCTTTCACGAAATGACCTTCACGCCAACAAAAAACGGGTTTTTTTTTTCAGTTTCTCTCCCTTTTTTAATCAGATAGTAAACTTAAAATCTGGTATAGTTATATACAGGGTGGCTGAAAATTACGTGCGCGCAGCATCAGCATCATAGTTTTAAACAATGTATAAAGCATTACTACTCATCTTTTTGTGTTTTAATATTCTTTTTATCGTTGTCGAATAATTTTTTATTAAAAAAGTTGTACATTAGTGTGCAGTTTGTGAGAGAATACCGATGGGGGCAATGATTATTAGGTATTTATTCCGAATCTAGCACAATACTAATCTAGCGAGAAAATACAATAAAATAGAATCAATCGTTGGTTCAGTGTTTCATAGCAATACGAAAAGCAATACGAAGAGAATATACGGAAAGAGCCTATAAAATGGGCTCCGTCCCTTTTATCCGTCCCTTTATCATAAAAGCGATCTTTTAGAGGCGGAACAAGAAAATCAGATATTCAAATCAAAACATTAAATAAGATTTCACAGAAAAGAGCCACTTTTCTGCACAATTAGATATTACAATCTGGTGCAAAAGTCTCACTCAACTTTCTGGAACATTTTATCAAAATTCTAAAAACTTTCAAGAGAAACTTTTTAAGTAAAGGGGTTTTTTTTAAACATCAAATTCAATATCAAAATAAGCTTCAATATAAAAAAGGTTTCAGAGTTTAGAAATTTAATACAGAAAAGAAAATAATAAATAGTTTAACCTCGAAAATTATCTGGTCTTGTTCCATCATTAAAAAAGAAGCTTAGATTAGGATTTTGTTGGTCCTTTTTTAGCCGAAATCACTGCTTTGAGGCATCAAAGCGACCAAACCACGTAGAAAAGCTCAAAGAAATTTGTCGCCAAACGTTTCTGATGAAGCTCGACCTTTGTGTTAAACCTCTTTCCCTTGAGTTGGTTCTCTAAATGAGCCCAAATCTATTCTATGAATTCAAATCCAGAGAATATGGAGGAGCTTTGATCAATTCAACACGGTGAGCAATTCAATCAAGTAGTCGAGCTCTAATTCCATTTGCAAGCCGAACAACTCGGCCCATCAGAAGCTGACTTTTGTGGCATGGGGCGTTGTCTTGATATAAAGCCTATCCCCGGGGCATATTGGCATTCGAAAATTGAAACAAATTGTTTTCCATGATCGATTTGTATCCCTGAGAATCCAGCGTTCAGTTGATGAGCGCCAGGGGAACGGGTAAATCTGATCATCGAGCCTGAAAACACGTACATCATAAAGCATATCAGCGAAAACACTTACCCCATAGGTGCTACCACCGCCGAATTTAACCGACGGCTTGACATATTTTAGCTTGTATTCTTGTCCAATTGGTCTTCGGATCAAATGATGGCCGTCGGGATAGTACTTATTGATTTTAGTCTCATCGGTGAAAATGACTCGGGCTCAATCATCGGAAGTCCAAAACTCGTAGCTCTTTGCAAACGCCACATCTTCCGGTTCTTGGAAATCATTAATGGTGTCTTTGCTGGTCTTCTTGCATACAATCCTGATCGAATCAAGCGCCTGTTGATGCTCCATCGAGAAATATCTTTGTTAGAAATGACCTTCAACTTCTTGATTCCATGGCTCGAAGTCAGACTTGGGTCGATTGTATGATCCCTGATGATTACTCGATCTTCGTTCCTTGCTGTAATCGCTGGACGACCACTTTTCGAAGCTCCATGAAGACCTGTTTCCGATTTTGATGCTAGTCGATTCACTATCCTTTTATCGCATTTGAAGAGCGTCGCAATAGACGACGATGAATATCCTTCGTTCTTGGCTTGCACAATCTTCTGCTTATCAGGATTTGACAGATATTTGTGAGACGACATCTAAAAATAAAAATATAATTTTTAAAAATGCATGAGAACAAACAAAGGTAGAGAAAAAACAAAAATTTTCTTAGTAAGACAAGACTTTTGCACCACACTCTAAGCAATTTCTATGATAAATTGAGCTTTTCGTGAATAAAATCCAGATATAAACTCGTTGGCTTCTCACCGAAAGAAATCCTGTTTTTCTGATTGCATTTTTACAGTTTCCTCTTTCAATGAAACATTCTAACAGATCACTCACAGCGTCACTTTGGGAATAATTTCTTAATTGGTTTTCCCCGGACGAGAAAATCCTTTTGAGCTTGTTGTTTTTAAAGCAAAACGGGGTTCGTTTAGTGGATCCCCCTCATCAGTGAGAAAATGGAGGTGAGAGATGAGGAAATGGAGAGAAATCAAGTGAAGAGCATCAGCTGTGCCTGTGGAGGTGAGGAAGGGATGGGGAGGTGGCCCCCGCAAAGCCCCGCCCCTCCTTTCCCCTCTCTACCTCTTCCTGCCTCCAGTTACCTACTCTCGTTTTTTTATCTCCCAGTATCATCATTGTAAATTTGTAATATCAAGTAAAGGCCAGTAAAACTCAACCTACTTCTAAAGAGCTTTTCCATAGCATTATCTTGAATTAGTCATCTTGAATTAGTCAAATTTTCACTTTTCATATGTAAAAACTTTTATTTTTGATCTTTTTTTAATCTTCTATCTTTTTTTTAATCTTCTATTTATTTCTATATCTTAAAAAAACAAGTTAAACTTTTATTTCTAAAGCGGAAAACTTTTTTCTTCATCTCTGAATTGAAAAGAAAATTTAGGTATTCGTTTGAAAGAATTCATTAAAGCAATTCGCAATCTACGTTTTCTAATTTCTAATTTCTAACTTTCCATTCTCAAGTTTCAAAAACAAAACCAAAAAAAGTATCAAATGGGTTGTGGTCAATCGAGCTCAGGCCGACCGCCTCCACAATCATCCACTGAACTCAGTGAGTTTTTCATATTATATATATATATATATATATGCTTTATTCATGGGGCGAATAGAAGCGAATCAGATAATCATAACTGCATATAACATATTGCTACAATATTCATCTTTAACTCTAAAATTTTTAAATCCTAAGCAAGTAAAACTTAAAGTTAACGAAGGAAGTTAACGAAGGAAGTTAACGAAGGAAGTTAACGAAAGAAGTTAACGAGGAAGTTAACGAAAGAAGTTAACGAAGAAAGTTAAGGAAGAAAGTTAACAAAGAAAGTTAAGGAAGAAAGTTAACAAAGAAAGTTAACGCCTTTTTACTCACATTTCCTCTTTTTTTTTAAACAGCTATATTTCATAAAAAATAGCGAAAAGTTGACTACAAAAAAGTTTCTTTTTTTACTGAATTCTCATGCTCTCTAGAAATTTCCCTCCGATTATACGTCATTGAAACAATAAGCTTATAATCCCTTTTCCAAAAGTACTGGTAAGTCAAAAGTTTTAAAATCTAAAATATTTGTTTTCCTTCACTCATATTTACAAAATTTTTGCATGGTGAGTGGTAACAATTTGCGAACGAAATTGAATCATTTACATTCAATTTTTAAGTCTCTTTCAGCTCTTAACCTTTACGAAAAAAGCTAATTAGCTAAAATTAACTGCTTTTGAAATAATCTAACATAAAAACCTTAATGATTTCTTGAAGTCAAAGAACTTTAGAGCATCAAAATCATTCTCAATCGTTGGATGTGCCGACTCCAAGGAAAGAGTCATCGGCGAGGAAAGCGATCACTCCACCGCCACCCGGGCAACGCCAGGCGAAGAATTCGAAACGTGCTCCATCTCCACAACCACAACTCAGTAAGCCATCAATGAGAAGAACGGGACTTGGCCGAGTGGCACCTTTGGAGGAGAGATCTTTGAGAGACTCTCCCTCAACAGTGTCCCCTTGTGAAAGTCCAATTTCTTCTCCATCTCCTCATCCACCACCACCTGCTTTCACTCTACCGCCTCTTCGTAAAGGTCTTTCCACAAAATCTTTCTTCTCCGAGCCGGCCGAATTGGTTGAATTAGAAGAGCAAGTGCCAGAGATTGAAGAAGAGTATGAGATACGAGAGATCATTCATCACGACAATCCACAGCCACAAAAACGACCAGGTTTTAGGAGAATGGTTGATTGTTTGGAGTGATTGTTTGAAGTGATTGTTTGAAGGGATTGTTTGAAGTGATTTTAAAGCACAAATCTCAGTATTCTTTCCTTTCTTTTCCTTTTTTAGCGTCGTTTTAATCACGTTTATCGAGAGTGAATTCAATTTTTCAATTTTTCAAATCAATTCAACAAAGTATGCAATTTCTTTCAAATTCTAATACAAAAACTATTCAAAAAATAGATTTAAGATGAAAGATTCGATCTTTTACATACATATCTTTCGATCTTTTTGCTAATTAAAACTCTACTTAGAATGTTATAGTTCTTAGAAATGATGTTCAACGTAAACGAATCCCTTGAGAGCACTAAGATCATAGATTTTTTATTTTTTTTTAAAATTTTCTTTAACAAATGATTTTTTAGCAATAAAATCAGCGATATTGATTCAAAAATGGTATCGTCGATGTGCGGCAAGATTGGAAGCAAGACGGAGAGCCACTTGGAGTATTTTCACCGCTCTCGAATACGCCGGTGAACAAGATCAACTCAAAGTTTGTTGGATTCTTTAAGCTGTTGATCTTTTCAAAATCTAAATTTATTTCTGAACGTAATCAGCTATTTTTTTTAAAACTCTTTTTATGCTCAAAGTCTTCTAATTTTTTTTGGAAGAGATGAGCCACATTGTGCCCTCAGTGATCTTGTTGCAATTTGACATCAAAATTTGAAAAGAATCTTTCATCTGATTCACTCAAGCGTCAATAAATGTTTTATTTTTAGAATATACGACTAATCCGTAATATTTTTGAGATAAAAACAATCAGAGCATCCCGGAAGATAGAAGAAGAAGAACGAAGACGAAGGAGGAGAAGAAGAAGAAGAAGAAGAAGACGAAGGAGGAGAAGAAGAAGAAGAAGACGAAGGAGGAGAAGAAGAAGAAGAAGAAGAAGACGAAGGAGGAGAAGAAGAAGAAGAAGAAGCAGAAGAAGAAGAAGAAGAAGAAGAAGAAGAAGAAGGAGAAGAAGAAGAAGAAGAAGAGGATATTCTAGAGATAGGAAAATAAGGAAAAAAAAGATCACTAATCTATCCTTTTTTCCCCTTCATTTTTCATTTTCAAGATTCTCTATAGCAACGAGATCACTGAGGGCACAATGTGGCTCATCTCTTCCAAAAAAAATTAGAAAACTCTTTCAATAGACAAATCCCTGTGTTGACGTTAGTTTTGACTCTTCAAGTTAGAGGAAATCAAGTAGAAATTGGAGAAAGTTTCTGGGGAATGATCATACTTTTATGTAAACATTGTAATTTGTAAATAGTATGCCATAAAATATTCTTTAGTTGTACGATTTCTTCAGCGATGTGATCTCGACAGTGTTGGATGAGGAAGGGAAAGGCCCGCATGGACAGGGTCCTCTTCTCGCTGCTCTCAATCATCATTGCAATAAACCGCATGGAGGTTTGATAGTTTTTCTATAGCTTTTATAGCTTTTATAGCTTTTATAGCTTTGCTTTTATAGCTTTTATAGCTTTTATAGTTTATAGTTTTTATAGCTTTGCTTTTATAGCTCTTATAGCTTTTATAGTTTATAGCTTTTATGGCTTTTATAACTCTTATAGCTTTTATAGCTTTGCTTTTAAAACTTACTATTACATTTATTCTTCTCTGCTGATCATTATTATTTTTAAATCATTAGGAAATTAAGTTAAAACAACTCTTGAGAAAGCATAGACTTGAAGTTAGACTTAGTATGAGATATTTAGCAATCAATTAAATATATTAACAGGTTTAAACTATTCTAGCAACTACTTAAGCCCTGGATTCGATTTTGGAGTATCGTCATCGTCATCGTTTGCAAAAGAAAAAACCCCAATATTTCTGTCAAAGGCGCGAATTCGATTACTCGCAGAAAAGAGCTAAGGGTTTTGTGAAAGATAAATGATCTTTATCGTACTCTTATGCTATATTATTGAGTTGGAGACTATGAAAATGGCGCTGACTTTCAAAAATCTCCACATCATTTATTAATTTTATAATCAAAAAATCTATTATTGCTCGAGAAAATGGCTTTTAAGAGATTTTGAAAAGCTTTTGTTTTGTGGATTTTATGGCCTCCTAAATGTAAATCAGTGAAAAATGAGGAGTTTGTTGCTTTCCTTAACCCTTAACGTTTTAGAACACATTTAATTATATAAGTAACTCAATTTTTGTAATGATTTTATCAGTCATTTTCTCTAAATTTCTCTAATTTATCGATTTTCTGAAAAAATAATTGAATTGAGGCGCTTTTTCAGTTCTATTTCTACCTCGATCGAATTCGCGCTTTTGACGAAAATATTAGGGTTTTGGCAAACGATGACGAGAGATTAAAGAGATCCAAGCAAAAGCTCGTGATCTCATGGAAGGGGAATTGAAAGGAAGGAGGAAAACAGGTGGTGCTTCGATGCGGAGGGGAAGGGGAAAAGAAATGGCGATTGATGAGCCCATCATCAGAGTCCCTTATTCTCTTTCTGACTCTTTTTTTTTCGCCCAAAATATCTCTCATCCTCCTCCAACCGGGAACACTTCAAACACTACAATTGAGGAAATTTTTGACTTGATTAACCGCAGCTTTTTGAGGCTTCAAAGTTGGGATTTGATTTGAAATAAGCACTCATAAGTGCGGAGTGAATTCTGAGCCGAACCTAATTCCATCATCGTTTTGCTCGGCCGTTTCTCTGGTGATTGCTTTGAAATTTTGTCTACAAGTTGAAAATGTCGATTTGTAGAAAAAATTTCAGGGGAATCGGTCAAGAATTGATCAAGAATTGTTCAAGAATTGGACAAGAATTGTTCAAGAATTGGACAAGAATTGTTCAAGAAAACAAAGGTAGAATTAGGTTCGAGTTGGAATTTTCCCATGTTTAGTGCATTAAAATTGATGCAAGACTCTTCAAAACCTCATTTTCTTGGGAAAATATCTCTAAGATCATCAAAACATTTCCCATATTTATAGTTGAGTTTAAATGTCTCTATTTCGAGAGGAAAATTACAAAAGTGACTTTTCTAGCGCCAGAAGACGATGATGCGATCCGGAAACTTCTTGATGAGACAAATCCAACGAGATTCCCTCTAGAGAAAGGTTTTTGAAATGGTTTTCGAGGAAATTTGACTCGAAATTGGAAAATCACTTGATGATTGAATTTTAGGATATAAGGGACCGCATTTGCGACTTCCAATCGACAAAGCGCAAATCGTTGAAATGATTGATGCTTTTAAAGTGAATAAGGTGAAGTTGATGGAGAAAAATTATCATTATAAAGACAAAAAAAAGACTATCGTGTTTTCTCTAATAGTAGTGCACCCGAGACGAGTTGATGACTATTTTACGGTTTCGAAGTTTTCGCAGAAGCTCAAAACTCTAATCCCCCACAAGATCTCATCGTCAGCTACATTTTCCCGACCCCACATCGATAGGTTCTGATAAGCGGTTATCGAGATTTCGAGGAATTTAGGGCGACGCTAGAAGATCTAGCCTCTAGAAGATCTAGACCTCTAGAAGACTCACATTGATTTCAAAGGAATCAGATAACTCATCTAAATTTGGTGAATTCTAACAATTTCACCGCAACATATGTCATTTTGAGCGTATACTCGCGTAGTTGTTAACTATTCTACTGATGGAGTACCGTACTCTCTCTAATAGTAGTGCAGCCCGGCGAGCCGAGTTGGTGACTATTTACCGCTTCCAAAGTTTTCCCAGAAGCTCAACACTCTAATCCCTCCCAAGATCTCATCGTTAGTTACATTTTCCGACCCCACATCGATAGGTTCTGATAAGCGGTTCTCGAGATTTCGAGGAATTTAGACGACGCTCTGGGTGCACTACTATCAGAGAAAATACGGTATACTCTTTAGTAGTTTTCTTTAAAAAATAACAGAAAATCACTTTTCTAGGTTCTTCACCCACGCTATTTACTTCTAGTTTTGCATGAGGCTCGCAAAATCCTCAAGCAAACCCCCACCGTCGTTCATTTAAGCACAGCCATCAGCAATCAGGTTTCACAAATTCGTTTTCAAAACAACAATCACAATATCAAAATCTCAGATCACAATCACCGGCGATTTACATGGGAAATTTGATGATCTATGTATTATATTGTACAAGGTTTGTTTCCCGAAAGAAATCACTTGACACTTTCTTCAAATGACTACTAAAACTAACTCCCCAAAGCGAGTCAATTTTTTCTGAAAAAAAAATGACACTCAGTCACGCGAAATTCACTCCTAAACACTTCGCAAAGAGTCAATAAGAAATTATTTCGAAACACTTTCATTCCTCCGTAGTATAGTGGTTAGTATCCGCGTCTGTCACATGCGAGACCCGGGTTCAATTCCCGGCCGGGGAGAGGAAGTTTTGGTTTTGGGTTTTTATTGATTTCATTGAACGTGATTTCGCCAATATTCGTCTTTTGGACTATTTTCGAAAAGTTTAACGGAAATTGTAAATTTCCTGTGATTCGGATTTTTGTGAACACGTTCTATTTCGGTTTATTTCAATTTCGTCATTTCAATAAGTAAAACTGTTTGTTTTCTATAAAGATTTGAAGTCGAATCTATAAAGAATAAAGAAATTTTCTATAAAGAATTTTCTATAAAGATTTCTTTCTATAAAGAATCTTTTAAAAGTAATGGAGAGTTGTTTTGTCGGTATTTTTTCAGCGATTTATCAGATGAAATGAGTGGGAGAGGTTTTGGAAGTAAAAGATCGTGAAAAAGACGGGCTGGGGTGTGAGATTAGAGGGACTTCTTGAGTATTGATCAATTTCGAGAGGTGTTTCGACCCAAATCCGAGCTCATCATTAAAAAAAATCGAAGCCCCATCGATTCTGGGAAACCCATTTCCAAGAATGCACTTAAACTTTTGATAAAATGAAGTGAAATTGTTAGAGTGATGAATTTAGAATGGTTATCCGTCAGTTGAATTTAGAATGGTTATCCGTCAGTTGAATTTAGAATGGTTATCCGTCAGTTGAATTTAGAATGGTTATCCGTCAGTTGATAATCCGTATATCTTCAATGGAGATTTCGTGGATCGGGGTGGTCAATCAACTGAGGTTTTTAGAGTTTTAGTTTTCTATGGAACTTTGAAATTCTAGGTACTTGTAACATTGTTGAGTCTTTTGGTGCTTGACCCGATGGCGGTGACATTGAATCGAGGAAATCATGAGGATCATATTATGAATTTAAGATACGGCTTTGTTAAAGAGCTCATGACAAAATATAAGGTTTATAAAAGAAAATAGAAAAAAAGAAATTAAAAACGTTTAGGAAGCAGCTGGGCCGATTGCTCGTTTAATGGAAGAAGTCTTTGCGTGGCTGCCGATATGCACTGTTGTTGATCGAGAGATTTTCGTTGTTCATGGCGGAATCTCGGATAAAACCGATCTTCAGGAATTGGAAAAAGTGCAAAGGAATAAAGTAAGCATACCGTATGTCATGTCTAATAGTAGTGCAGCCGAGTTGATCACTATTTTATGGTTTTATGGTTTCGAAGCTTTTGCAGAAGCTCAACACTCTAATCCCCCACTAGATCTCATCGTCAGCTACATTTTTCGAGGGTTACTGGATAGCAAGTAGAGGCTTAACTCTCAACTATACAACAATCAACTAAAGAATCTGTGGACAAAGTCCTTGAAAAAGATCAATTCTAAAAAAGGTCATATGACAATGCCCGCCACACTGTTAAACTTGCTTGCTTGCTCTACAATGAAAAGCCTGGACTGGGAACTTTTCCCCCACTCAGCATTTTCCCTAGATACCGTATTCTCTCTAATAGTAGTGCACCCCAGTGAGCCGAGTTGATCACTATTTTACGGTTTCAAAGTTTTCGCAGAAGCTCAACACTCAAATCCCCCACAACATCTCATCCTCAGCTACATTTCCCGACCCCACATCAATAGGTTCTGATCAGCGGTTTTCGAGATTTCGAGCAATTTAGGCGACGCTCAGGGTGCACTACTATTAGAGAAATAGTTATTTCTTAATATTAGATTGAAAACTTGAAAATTGGGTACACTTTTGCGTATTTCCCAGAAAAAATATTTAATACGCCAATTGAATTGAACTTCTTTTAGCAAAAATTACATATTATTTAATTTTTAAAATGCTTAAGCAAATTTAAGCAACTTTTGAAACGAATTTGAGCAGAAATTCAAAGTTTTTCTGAAAATTCTTCAAACAGACATATAACTAAAGAAATTAGACAATTAGCAGCTTAGGGTGCACTACAATTAGAGAGAATACGGTATATTAGATTGAGAACTTAAAAGTTGGTACACTTTTTCACATTTCCCAGAAAACGCCAATTGATTACTTTTTCATATTTCCCAGAAAACATTTTTAATACGCCAATTGAATTCAAATTCAAATTCTCTTAGCAAAAATTACATATTATTTAATTAACAAATAATATATATATATATATATAATTAATTATTTAAATAACGGTAATCATAAATTAGTTATAGTTTCTGTTTTCAGTATGTTTCCGTTCTTCGGCCACCGATACGGAAAGAGGATAATGGGAAACCGAGTGTGAATATGGAAGAATGGAAATTGGTAGTTTCTTTTATTATCGATCTTATTTTAAAGCTTTATCTTAATCTAAATTACTTTTAGATACTTGATGTTTTGTGGTCAGATCCAAAGCAACATAAAGGTTGTTGGCCGAATGTTTTCCGAGGCGGTGGCTCATATTTTGGAGCAGACGTCACGACAACTTTTCTAGAGAAGTCGATTCTTTAAAGATTTAACGATTAAAGCATTTAAAGCTTTTAAAGATAAAGATAAAGATCGCTAGAAATGTAAAATTATCAAACTTTTAGAAACAACTTTCGTTTAATCGTTCGATCTCATGAGTGCAAATTTGAAGGCTATGAATACACGCATAACAATAGGTAAAATGCAACAATGGCAAAAGGAAATCTTCTTTAAAATCCTTTTTGATTTTAGTGTATTGACTGTATTTTCTGCGTCAAACTATTATGAAGTAGGCTCAAATCGAGGCGCTTATGTAAAGTTCATTGGAAAGCAAAAACAAGCACACTTTGTGCAATACATGGCCAGTAAAACGCATCGGAAAACGACGTTGAGACAAAGGTTTGACAACTTATCGTTTTTTTTGATTAGATTAAGAATTAAGATAAAGATATTTAGGAAAAAGGCAATTGCCTTGTCAATTGACAATTGTCTACTTTCATATAAATTACTGTAGTAGTATTTTCTAAATTTGTAGAGTCTCCGCAGTGGAAGAGTCCGCTTTGAGAGATCTTCGCGACAAACTCAACTCATTCGCCTCTCAATTACAAGCCGAATTCCTCAAATGTGATCCCGATAAATCGGGTATTATTATATATAAAAATTAAAATATTTCGTAAAATCGATGATCAACTCAATTGTCCTATTCCAGGCAAAATCTCCGTGCATCGATGGAGTGAATGTGTCGAGAATGTTACCCAATTGCAGTTACCCTGGCACGCATTGGCTACAAAGGTTTAAATCTTTAAAAGACATTTGTATAAAGATTTAGATAATGTCTCGTAAATGTTGTATTAGGTGCTGTATTAGATGCTGTATTAGAATGACACTCCCGAAAGCTTGACTTTAGACTCCCCTTGTGGGGGTTTTATGGATAGATCTAGAATCTAAAACCTATTAATATCAGCAGTAAAAGTTAAAAAGCTATTTTTAAAAAATACAAAAATATATATAAGGGTCCCGCACATGGATTTTTTTGGAGATTTAAGGGAGTGGGACAAATGCGACCTTTTTTTTGCGCACCCGGACATTTGCGCACCTTTTTTTCCGCACCTTGCCCATTAGCGCACCTTTTTTCGCGTTTTAAAAAGCTCTAAAAAGCTAATATTAACCAATTTCTATTCCAAAAGTTGTTTTTCTAGGTAATTTGAGGGTGTCGAATTCAAATTTTGACATAACAGAGCTTGTGGAACCAATTTGAAAGACAAAACGGCTAGATCAAATTACAGAAAATTGTCGATTTTTCTCTTTGTATAACTCCGTCCGTTTGTTTCCACAAGCTCTTATATGTCAAAATTTCGATTCTACGCCCTAAAATTACCTAGAAAAACCACATTTGGAATAGAAATTGGTTAATATTAGCTTTTTAGAGCTTTTTTAAAACGCGAAAAAAGGTGCGCTAATGGGCAAGGTGCGGAAAAAAAGGTGCGCAAATGTCCGGGTGCGCAAAAAAAAGGTCGCATTTGTCCCACTCCCAGATTTAAACGGGGTCGCGGGTAAGAAACCTTTTTATAGGCCCGTCGTGCCATCGCGACGCGTCTTAGGCTACGGTACTTAGTGCCTTTTAGAAAGTATCGTATGGGAGGTTAAAAAAAAGATGTGGCTAGTTTTGGCGGAAAATAGTATTGTTGAGCTTTTTAGCTTCATCAAGTATAATTTCACTTTTAAACATGTTTTTTATACGCTTTAGACAAAGGACAAATTTAGTTTAAAATTATTTTTAACAAATTCTAAATTTTTGATTCATGTATTCTCCTCCCTTACCTACTTTTTGAATCGGCCGATTTTGAGGGCTCGACAAATAGAACGACATGCCATCCTAATACAGCATTTACGGTATTTTAAATCAAAATTTTCAGTTAACCACTGTGACAGACGATGGGAAATATGTGCTTTACAAGGAGGACCTTCCAGTAATTGCTGTCGGGAAAAAGCAGGCAAAAGATGTTAGTGTTTTTTCTTCGTAAAATTGTTGATAGTGAGGTGGATAGAATTTGTGAGTGGGATTGGTGAAAAGATGGAAGAGATAGACTCTCATCAAAGTCACGCAAACCCTTCACCCATTTGGGTTTCCACGAGAATTCGGAAACAGGAAGTTTCACCTTTCGAAATCTGCTAGGGGAAAATGGATTCAGTTTTGAAATATTGCAATATCTGAGAGCTCTAAAGGAGCTCTCAGATGCTCTGCTCTCAGATGAAAATCATAAAGGGGAAAAGGGGGAAACGGGGATAAGTTATATATCAACAATTGGATATATCAACAATTCGATTCGATTTTTAATTCCAGGATCGTGACGTGGTTGAGGCTTTGTACAGACACAAGAGCACTCTCGAGACACTCTTTCGTTTCATGGATAAAGACAATTCGGGAAATGTTTCAATGGCTGAATTCATTGAGGCAATTGAGGTGAGTTGAAGAGAAAAACTACCGTAAAAGCTTTAATAGTAGCCTCTTTTTTTTCTACAGCTATATTTTCCGACCCCACATCGATAGGTTCTGGGTATTTTTTTGCTAACCCTCTAGGGGGGCTACTATTACAGCTTTTACGGTATACATCTAGAGGTCAGCTTTCCGAATCCAAACCAAAGCTAAATGACTTGTGAGCAAGTCACCAAAGCTAAATGACGATGGTGTTTTTAGTTTTTGCCTAAATGATCTAGATTTCTGTAAAAAGTGATTTAAAATTTGAATTTACGATTTGACAGTGAAATGAAAAATGCCCGGAGTGACTTATTAGTTTGTAAGGGCTATCGTCGTTGAGCGAGCAAGGCACACGACGGGGTAGTGGTAGTGATCTTGGCTCCCGTTCAGGGCTCCCATTGTCATCATCCTGGTTCGATTCCTCTTGGACAAATTTTTAATTTTATTGGATGTTTTTTTTAAGGTTTAATGGTATTTAATGTTCTTTAGTGGTATTTTTATTTCAATTTTTTGAGCAGTAAAGTTATGTTTTGATTAGCTTTGAGCTTCTTTAGCTTCTCTAGCTTTAGCTTTGAGCTTCTCTGGTTTCTCTAGCTTTAGCTTTGAGCTTCTCTAGCTTTAGCTTTGAACTTCTCTAGCTTCTCTAGCTTTAGCTTTGAGCTGCAGTCAAAGCAAAGACTGCATTCGAAAAAAGACTTTTTATATTTCTATTTGACCCTATTCTATTGTAATATCCTAAAAATTGAAAAAAGAATTGCGTAAATCATAGAGCTTTTGGTTTGGATTCGCGTTGAAATCTGAGTATTCTCTTTTTTACACTTTTCATTATGATTATACATTTCATTATTGACTTTTGACATTTGACATTTGACATTTGACATTTGACATTTTGACATTTGACATGACTTTTGACACTGACATTATTGACTTTATTTACTACCGACTTTCAGGTGATTGGCCAATACACAAAACGAGCTCTCTCACCAAATGATATTCGACAAATTGCGGAAAGTATCGATTTTAATAAAGTGGGTTTTAATAATTTCAATAGAAAAATTACTAGAGAAATTTTAGGACGGGTTTATCGATTTGAACGAACTGTTGGAAGCGTTTCGAATCGTTGAAAGTCAGGTAGAAAGGAAAAAAAAGATTAAGAATGAAAAACATAAACACACAATTCACAATCATCTTTTGCATATCCATAACGAAATCCTAGGCTCAACCCCAACAAGGACTCGCGCTAATGTTGGGCGCTGGATCGGTGAGCGATCCAGCGAATGGTTCCACTCCGCAACCGCAACTCGCTAACGCTTAAACATATGCAAATGTGACGCGAGTTTCATCCAATCCAATTCCCTTTCTTCAAATCCTTAAACAAACATCATTTTCTCATTTAACCATTCTCTTTTTTCTAAATCGAAATTTTGTCATCTCCTACCTCTTCTCTTTTGTTCTTCTTGATCCTTTCTTTCTTTCTTTCTTTCTTTCTTTCTTTCTCTTCTTCTTTTTCATTTCCTTCAAAATGTTTCCCGTTCATCAAATTCTCTTTTTTTAATTAGATCCCGGTGTCATTCATTCAAAATAAAGCCTTGATTTTTCCCTTCGCTATCTATTTTTTTCTTCAAACGATTTCTATTTTTTGATTTTGATCTCTTAATTTATTTCCTTTTCTGATTTTTGAATTTTAAAAAGTATATTGCCGCAATGCTTTTTTGAACTTTGCAGATGAAAGATAAATTGATTCTCTACAAAGAACAAGCGACTAAAGCTATAAAAAAAAAGATGATGGTAACGAGAGTAAAATAAAGTAGACAGACAGTGTTTTTCCCTTCCATGATGGGTGGATAAAAGCTTTGTCGACAAAAAGTTGACTAAAGTCTTGCTCATTGCTCATTGCTTAATGCTCGTTCACGGTATTTTTATTTTCATTTATTTTCATTTGATGTGCTTCGCATAAAGTACTGATAGTGAGTTATTTGTAGAAAGTTTGCGAGTCTTAAACTAAACATAAATCAGAATCAAATCAGAAAATAATCTATTTAGCTTGCCCATTTTGATTGATTTAAATGACTTTATTTCTGTTTTGAAATTGATTTATTTATTGGCCAACTCAATAAGAGTTTATAGTTTATAAAAACCAAATCAGAAATAAATTTATAGATTATTTTCGGTACAATACTTTGAAAAACGCTAATCATTTGAAAAAGTCCATAGAACCAAGTTTGTTTGTGGGGTTTTTTTTCCTTTTAAATGCATTTTTAGATGACTAGGGTGAATTTGAAGATTTTTGAACTCTCTAGACAAAGCCTAGACAAAGCTAATGCCTCCAGGAAGCGCTTTGATCTGGGAGAAATTGGGAGAAAGGGATTGGAACACCCACTCAATCCACTCAACTCACTTCATCTTTTCCCCCATTTCAATTCTTTTTTTTTTCTCCAATCCCATTGACAGACATGAACTGAAACAGAAATGAACTCAAAAGGTTTCTTTATTGAAAAGTTGCTACGTTTTTTTTTCACTTTGTTACCACCAATTTTCTATTTTCCTCGTTTTTTTCCCCAATTTTTTCACCATTTTTCACTTTTAATCTTTTTCTTTATAAATATCAACAAAGAATTCTTAGAAATAAATTTTAAATCTTTTTTTTTTAATTTTTTTTATATTACGAATCGATCTCTGAACAAGAGAAAAAGTGCTCTTTGCAATAAATAGAATAAATTAGTTTCATTTTAAGGGCCACAGTCCTTCTGTGACCACCAAAAATTTCTGCACAAGGCAATTTAACGATTTTTTTTTTTTGAAAGAAACCCCATTCTTACCAAGAAATTGTGTACGAATTTCTCTGATTTGTGGCGTTACTAGATTCGAGTAATGTTTTCTTTGTTTTCAAAGAAGAATTGATTAACGAATGCCGAGAATTTGATTGACGATTTAATCAAAAAAAGAAAAACGACTTTATTTTGAAAGCCCTTGTGATGTGAAGAAAGTATTTTCAGAAAGGAATTTTGAAACAAATTTCAATTGTTCAAATTCTTAGTTAAAAGAGTTTCTTTGAAGTGTTTTACTAGGGTTTTCGACCATGCTGATTCCGAATTTCGACATCCAAGATGTTAGTTTTTTTTCCGGAAAAATTTCCTTTTCATATTGGTTTATTCTGGTGAAAACATGCAGCTAAAGTCAACAAATAAGCCATGCTGTTCCTAAAAAGCTCACCTCTTTATGTGTTTGTTATTTATCTGTTAGGAAAACAAGCTGGTATTTATGTTATTTATCTGTTAGGAATATTATATTTATTTATAATATTTATCTGTTATGTTATTTATCTGTTAGGAAAACTCACACAAAAGCTATCTTTAGGCTTTAACAGACGCAACCTTTCGTAATAGAAAAAAGAAAAGGGCGACAGGAATGAGAAAAACTTAAAACTAGCACTTAAGATGTCGAGTTTTGAAATCAGCATAGTCGAAAACCCTAGCCTCATTTAGGCCTTTAACGCAACCCTTCTTAGGTTTCATTTCTGCAAAATTCTCTAGTATTCAATCTTCTAGTATTCTCTAGTAGTCAATCTTCTAGTATTCTCTAGTATTCAATCTTCTAGTATTCTCTAGTATTCAATCTTCTAGTATTCTCTAGTATTCAATCTTCTAGTATTCTCTAGTATTCAATCTTTCATCTCATTCACTATCCAAAGCTAATGTTTGAATGGATATTTCCGAAAAAAAACTTCTGTTTTCATATTTTTGAATTCTTTTTTCATTTCTACTCTACATGTTGCTCTAATTCTTCCCTAGATAAAATGAAAAAGAAAGAGTTGATGGGGGTTCGAATTTCGTCTCATCTTTTCCCCCTTTTTGCCTCCTCCATTTTCACATCTTCTTCTTTTTTTTTCATTGTTCTTGATGAGGCTAAAGTTCTTTCTTTTTTGATCAGCTGTGAGTTTTGTTCTTTTACTTGTTTTCTGTGAAATTGAGCTTTTTTTAACTCAATTTTTCTTATGCCTTCTTTTTTTCTATTTTTATTAAGTTAAAACATTTGAGAACTATCTTCTGAGTATCTTTTTTCTTTCAACAATAGCTTGATCAACGACGCATTGCTCATCAATTTCTCCAATTTCATCAATAGTTTCTTCATTTGAAATTGAGCTTTTTTTAACTCAATTTTTCTTATGCCTTCTTTTTTCTATTTTTATTAAGTTAAAACATTTGACAACTATCTTCTGAGTATCTTTTTTCTTTCAACAAGCTTGATCTTGATAGCTTGATCAACAAAACATTGCTCATCAATTTCTCCAATTTCATCAATAGTTTCTTCATTTGTTTTCTCATCCCAAAGCCATTACTCAAAAGCATTTAGCAAGGGACAATCGCCCTTTTTGCGTATCCGGTTTCCACAAAAAAAGTTCAATCAAATATTTCTCCTTAAAAGTTGTTCTATTGATTTCATCAAAAATGGATGGTTTGGAGTCGACAACTTGTTCAACAACAATGCCACTTGATACAACTACTTTGTTACTCGAGGCACTCAATCCTGTAATGATCACGCTAGCCACGATTGCTTTATTTGGTAAAAAAGGATTACTTTCTTTTACTAAAACTTTCAATTAGTTCTTTTACAAAAATTTCCTTTAGCAAATGTGCTTTTTCTTCTTTGTCTTCTTGTTGGAGTGCAACGGCGAAACCTTCCAGTGAAGGTTGGGGAAATAAATCTATTTGCAATTCTTAGATTGGGGAGAAATTCTTTGCCGATTTTTTTGGGAGGTATTAAACTTTCCGATTTGGAAGTGTAATAGCTCATTCGAAAGCTAATTTTCTAGCGCATTGGATAAAAAAAAATCGTTCTTTAATATATCAATTTCCAAAGTTTTTGCAGCCGTTCTAGTGAGGGGCGTCAGATCCAAAATTTCAAGAAAATGAATTTTTTTTGTTTTTTTATACGGAAACCTAGACTGAAAGCATGTTTTTCGGAATCAGCATTGAAAATTACCCTAGAAAACGCAAAACTCTTTCTTTTAGCAAATTTTTTTTTTTAATTTGCCGTGCGCCGGAGTCGAACCCTCGACCCTCAGATCACTGCTTGGTATCTTTAAAAAATCTTAAATCACCAAAACGACCATCACCAAAAGCTCTTAAAAAAGGAAAATTCAACAAATATTATGAAAACAATGAAAGCAAACAAACAAATAATGTCTTAAAATAATTAAATAATATAATCGCCTTGTTTTTTCAAGACTTCGCTCACTTCGGTCAAGGTTGACTTCCAAAAAAATTGGCAAAAACTTTTCTCCCCAACCTAATATATCGTACAAACAATTCAGCGTTTCCTCTTCGTCGCCAATCGTTCTTGTGCCGATGTGGTGACGGCAGTCGTCGTTTTGGTGTACCTTGTCCTATCCAGATCATCAGTTTGTCACGATATTCATCTCGGTTGCACATCCGATCAACCCGCGGCAAACCCGTTGCCTCTTCAGGTAAAATTTAGAATACGGTTTACTGTGAGCTATCTAATAAGACACTAGTTAAAGTGTCTTATTAGATAGCTCAGTTAAAGTGTCAAAAATTAGAAATATTAATAAGAAAACAACATCTTGTTTAAAAGCCTTTTCTCGCGGGCCGTCGAGATGAGCTGGTGGTCTAGCGGATAGAGGGCTTGTATACAAAGCCGACCTTCGCCATTTTTGCCGGGTTCGAGTCCTCACCTCACCAATTTTTTTCTGTCTGGAAATCGGCGGTACTTCCCTTGTAAATGCAAACTTTTCAGGTGGTTATAACGCTCGATTATTGGGCGGTGGCCGGGAGCTACAGTGGGATCGCTTTACTCACCTGGTACGCGGTACGATCACCGCTTGGATACAAGGTAAACTAGATTTGTTGCCTGAATATCTTCATAAGCATAAACTAGTTGAACTTTACAATATGTTTAAGCTCCACCTCACTTCTTCATGGGTTCTTCGCTCACTTTCTGTTGGATGGGCAGCAATGAGTGGCTTTTTGGGCTCAATAATGTTGCTTACAAAGTAAGATTTAACAAAGATTTCTGAATTTTCATTCTTAACTATTTTAGAGAAGATACAAACTTCGATAGCAATGGAATGATTTATGTGATTTTACATCGTTTGCGAGCGGGTTTAGGCTTAAAGAATGACGAGGTTTACGAGAAAAGAAACCCTGATTAAATTAGAACTAAAAGAAGAGTATTTTAGGCTCTATTATGGTATGTTGATTTATGTCACAATCTCTCCGAGCGATCTCAGCCACAGTTCGGTGGAGCGATCGCTCTCCTTTTGCCCGTTTTCGCATACGCTGTTTCTTTTTTCAGTTATCTACTGGTTTATCATTTATATTATCATCTTTTTTTACATATTCTAGGTTTCTTTTGTTCTTTACCGAAGAAGACAAGAGACTCGGATCTCGAAAAGGCATTTTGCCTGCGTTTGGAGACTCGGAATGCATATGGGTCTATTCACTGTCACTTGCGGTTATTAACTTTAAAAGATTTCAGTTATAGAAGTTAAAAGTTATATATGTTACATCCGAATCTGAGGAGATTCATTCTCCTCTGAAACGGACGTCCATCTCTGAGTCGGACGTCCGTTTCAGAGTCGGACGTCCGTTTCAGAGTCAGACGTCCGTTTCAGAGGAGAATTGCCAAACCGTACAATATTACCAAATTATTTGGGAAGAAAAAAAAGTAAATTGAGAGAATTTCCATTTTAACTTCCTTTTTCATTTGTTTTGTTCAAAACATTGGATTTTGCATTTAAACTATTTGTTCTCAAGATCGGACGTCCGATTCCGAGAAGAATGATCATTCTCCTCCGAAACGGACGTCCGGATCGGAGATGAACGTCTCCTCAGATTCGGACGTAGCATATACATTAAAAAGTACAGTCAAGCCTCGATTTAACGATTCTCAAGAGACCGGGATTCTCTATCTTTAAATTGAGTAAATCGTTAAATCTAACGTCTTTATAAGGTAAAGAGCTTTCAAGAGACCAAAAATTGATATCGTTAAATCGAGCGAATCGTTAAATCGAGAGACTCGTTAAATCGAGAGAATCGTTAAATCGAGGTTTAACTGTAAATAGATTTCAGCTCTAATGGCAGTTTCTTATTATGCAACTGGACCAATGAAAAATTCGTGTCTCCAATTTCTCGATTCTGTTGAAAACGACTCAATGGAAATGGAAGAACAGGTGATAGTGATAGAATTAATATCTAATAGAAAATAATATATATTATTGTTGAAATATTTAATCAACAATGCTTTGCCAGGTAGAAACTCCTTGTCTTTCTCCATCTCTCCTTCGCTATTCACTTCTCTGTTCGGTGGCATCTGTGGGATGGTTTAGTCGAATGTGTCTTGATCCGATCATTGATTTGGTGAATCAAAATCTAGATATAGAACCCTAATAGAAAGCCACTTTCTCGTACAATCGCGTAGTCTAACTTCTTTTTAGAAAACCCAATTTTTCTCAGCCTCTAGCCTTTCCCCGGTTACACTTTTAATACCAAAAAATACTAGATTTCAAGAGCTATCATTTGACACCAAAACGTACATTGTAGCTTAAAGTAGTGCAAAGAATTGACCGTTCTAAAAGACTAAACCAAATATTTCAAAAAAATGAATTTTAGATGATAGACAGCCATTTGCGGAGAACGATCTTTTTCCATGTAAGTTAAAGTTGTATTTGTAAATTTGAGTTGTAAAGAAAGCTAAAAGATAATTCCTACTCCGATAAACTTACTATAGTTTTATGAAATTTCAATTCGAAAGCTGTAAGCGTCCAAAATTCTTTTTAAAATTTCAGAAGAAAGAGAAAAGATATTGCCTCGCGCGAATGTCGCAATCGCAAGTCAACGAAACAACATCGCAAATCAGCCGATACACTGGCGAATCGGCTTTTTAAATATATTTCTAATATTGTAAGACAATTTTTGCAAGTATATTTCTTGTTTTTCTTTCTTTCTTTTTTTTGTTTATTTTATCGTCCATATCCATTTTGATGTGTTCAACGGGTTTCCTCTTCGAATTTTGTCTGATCTCCTCAATCAAATTTATTTCTTATAAATGAATATTTTTTGATAAATAATATCTAACACATAAAAATTAAATGCAAAAAATTAAAGAAAAACTTTAAACTTTTAGTTTTCAAACTCAAAAACTTTTTGAAAGCTCACGAATTCAGGCGCACTTCGCTCAATCATTATTGAACTTTCAAAGCTTTTTATATTTATTTTATATTTTATTTATTATTTACATCTTAAAGGGTTTTTCTATTTTAATCATTCAATTTTTCAAATAAACTTTTTTATTTTAGGGGCGATGACTAGAAAAGGAAAGAAAGATTTGGAAGACACATCAATGGAAGAGATCAGGGAAGGACCCACGCAGAGTTGGCAGCTCAATTCGGCGTCGCGAGATCGACCATTACAAAATTTTCGAAGAAGTGCAAAATTCGAAAGACCATCCAAAAGCGCCCACAAATTGGTCGTTCAAGAGTTACAACTGCTGCGATGGATAGGAGGATCGTAAGGGAATCACGCAAAAATCTGCGTCTTACTGCTTTTGATATTTTACGGGAAATCTCAGCTTCAAACTCGACAAGCTCCTCCAGAAGAAAACTGTACAACGACGGTTAGAAGAAGCTGGCTTACACGGACGAAAACCAACTAAAAAGCCACTGATATCGGAAAAAAATCGCAAAATACGAGTGGAATGGGCAAAGAAACACGTGAGTTGGACACGTCAACAATGGGCGAATGTTGTTTGGAGCGATGAGAGTCATTTTGTTGTTTGGGACAGATGGAATACAATGGGTGCGTCGTCCGACTGGTGTTAGATTCGATCCCAAATATCAATTGTCAACAGTTAAACATAGCGGTGGTTCTGTTATGGTTTGGGGTTGCCTCAGGGCACAGGTAACGTCCGCTGCGCCAAATTCTAGGAACTATAGATCGTTTCGGTTATATCGATATTTTAAAAAGTACAATGTATCCTTATGCTTATGGAATCTTTGTAAATAATTTTGTATATCAAGATGACAACGATTCTAAGCATCAGTCGAAAGATGTTGAGAAGTGGTTCAATGAGCAAAAAGTTTCACGTTTGGATTTGCCAAGTCAATCCCCTGACTTGAATATTATAGAACACATGTAGCAAGAACTTGAGAACAGAACAAAGAATCTCCGTGCCCGTAACGCTAATGAAAAATTTGCACAGCTTGAAAAGGCTTGGAGTGAGATTCCCCCTTCTGTGATCAATAAATTACTCGACTCTCATCCGCGTCGTTGTCAAGCCGTTATCGATGCCAAAGGGTATCCCACTAAATACTGAATCTCTACTCTTTTTTTATTGATTTTGTGCACTTTTTCTGGTTGGCGCCTTTAAAATTTTGTTTTGCGTTTTGTGATTAAAAAAGTTTCAATTATTTTGCTCAAACTACTATATAATATCAATTAGAAGGTCCTCTATCCGAATATCAAATAAAATCATGTACTTAGAACTGCAGTTTTTTTTATAAAAACCCGTTTTTTCGGCGCTGTGTTCTCACACAATTGCGCACCTTCTGGCACACGGCATTTTCTTATATAACTCTCTTTTCTTTTCATATTTTCACATCATTAACAATGTTCATAATTTTCATTTTAAAATCTAAATTTCCATTAGAAAAGCCGGTGAATGAAGAAGTTTTTTTCGACTTTCATTGCAGCTTTTTACAATAAAAAGCAAAACCGTCGAAATCCAACAAGAGCCAAATTTTCTACTCAAAAATTTTATTATTCACAAGACTTTTCAAAAAAAACAACTTTTCGTCCGATACAGAAAAGCTCAAAAATCAAATAAATATTGTGGTAAAATTATTTGCGTATGCATCAAATTAAAGAACACAAAGCTTAAAATCAAGGTACAGTTATGAAATGTGTTGTTAGGGTTGATATCAGCTTTTGAAGAATCAATGACGCTCCACCAGCCTCAGCAATTGCTGTGGAGACGAGTGGAGTAGCGGCTATACCGGGACCAGTTGCAACGAATGCTGCCGCTGCCACCACTCCCGATAGCCACACTCAACGCCATAGCATGCGTGGAGTTCCATTTCCCCTGAAATTCAATTCAATGAAGGCCATAATTTAATTCTATTTGTAGCAGTTTGAAACTACTGACGTGAGTTTATTGCTAACTAGCATTCTACAGATTGATATACCAACATTCTTTTAATAGGAATGTTTTAAAGAAGTTGTGGTATTCACAGGGCTTTTGTTTAACTGTTGAATGTGCTTAGCTGTTGTGCCGATCAATTCGGTCAACATCTTTTGACAAACCTTTTGACAAGCATCATACAGTTGTGCATTAAAGGTTTTCACATTTTTGCATGAGTTCTAAAAGGAATCTATTTGATTAGTAAGCATTCATTCACCTCCAGAAGTTTCTGAAATTCATCCAAGCGACTCATTCGTTCGTCATTTGTTCCAAAAGTGAAAAGACGATTCGATTTGAATTCCTGAAACGACAAACATAAAAAAAGATTCAAAATTACCTCAATAGTTTTTTGAACAATTGGCTGTAGAAGCTTCTCATATTTCGATGGCTCAAATGGGGTCTCGTTGTTGGATATTGCTAACTAAAGTTACAACTAATACAATAGCTAATTAGTATTCAATTTAGATTATGTACCTGTTGAAGACAAGCTTGAAAGTACTGATGAGCGTCTTCTTGATTTTGTGACGCATAGTAACGGTTCATTGCCTGAAAATTTACAAGTTCAAAAGTACTATCGTTTGTTTAAGAGAAAACTTTTAATCTTTCAATCCAGCTTTAAAGTCCACCAACCGTATTGATCCCAATTACCGTAATAATTCTAATAGAAGACCAGTCTCTAATAGAAGACCAGTCTCTAATAGAAGACCACCCCCCTGACCCCTTGAAATCGGGACTTTTTAAAACTTCTTTTTAAGTAGAATGATAGATTTGGGTCCAGATAGTAATATTTTAGCCCCGGCAGTTAAATTGGAGACGTAGTTTTTGAAAAAATTAAAAAATAACTTTTTGGAAAAAATTTTATGTGGTCCCCCACATGGATTTTTTTGAAAGATTTTCTATGGAGTCCGGGCAAGAAAATAATTTCACTTTTAGACATGTTTTTGGCATGTTTTGGGCCAAGGGCTATCGTTTGAAATAGTTTTTAACAATTTTTAATTTTTTGATTTGTGTAGGGGACCCTTACCTACTTTTTTGACCGATCAATTTTGGGGGGTTGAAAATTAGAAGACCATGGTCTTCTATTAGAATTATTACGGTATGTCCATTTGATTATTTTGAAAATGGGTGGCAAGTGCCTGAAAACTAAGAGCTTTATAAGGTTAAATATCAAACTGTTATATAAAGCTTGAGACTTTTGCCATTCAACGCTGTCCCATCAACTTTCTTTGGCTCAGATCTTCGGATCACAAAGTCAGCTGCATCACAAAGACTATTGAGGAAGTCTTCTTTCTCACAATCTAAAGACTGTTAGTGTACATCTGAATTTTTCATATTAAAAACCTTTTGCAAGAATCTCTCGATCGGCTTGAAAGACTTTCAGTGGTGGTGGTGGAATATGGTAGGTGTCGATTTTCGAATAGCCACCGCAAAAGTCGTGGAGTAGCTGTTTGTGGGCTTGAATTCGACCAGCTTGTGCCTAAAAAAATATATATGAGATGACTCTTTTCAAATTTACCTCTAACACTTCCAAATGTCGATTATCGAAGCCTTTTTGTGGCGAGTCGCGAAGCAAGAAAAGGAAACGCTAAATTTGACTGAACTTTGAGATCTATTTCGAGTAAACTGCTTGTTTGGTTGTGAATAAATTTTTAAACAAAACTATTACCAAGATTTATGGGCCAACCTAATAGTAAGTCAACCCAACAACAAACCCAAAATTAGAAATAAATTCCGAGTCTTGTGTCAAAGATAAAGCTCGATAAACACAAAAGCTTTACCTGCCCAAATATTTGCCCATGATGACGTTTCAATGTTTGAAATTGATTGCAGAAAGTGATGACGAGCTTCATCTTTTCCAAATCGGACAAGTCAACTTGTCCTTTTGCATTCAAAACCTAAAATTCTGTGGTAGAATTTGAGACAAGTCGATAATTAAGTTAGTCGATAATAAACTAAGTAAACTTCTACCAAAGTCGAAGAGATAAGAGCTGTAATGACAACAAGTTGCGTGGAGATGGACTGGTCACAGCTTGGATCAAAAGTTCCCTGAACATCGATGAGCAAATGAGCTTTCTAAAAAATAAAAATGATTGTTAGCTTGAGGTCAGATTTAAAAACCCTACCTTATTTCCAAGAATGTCCTCTTCGAAGAACACTTCTGGGTAAATCATAACGCCTTTCGTGTGTCCGAAAGAACCCGATTTGAAAGGAATCATCCCGTCACCACTAAAATCTGTGTCAATTTTAAGAAGTAAAAAGTTGGAATTGATCATTCTTTACCTAGAATATCAATTCTAGTTAAAGGATGATCAATTCCATTATCCTTTTTGTCCATACCCAATTGTTTCCTCAGATTCAAATCGTGATTCGCCCGTCCTCAACTTTTTTAGCAAGCAGTTCGCCCACAAAGTTTTTCCCTGTCGATATCTGCCAATCGTTGATGTGATCGATACCTGAATTTGAGTTTACTTCTTTAACACAACACAATTTCGGTTGTTTCCTCAACACATCACATCATCCGTCACTCAATATCACCAACCGGACTGTCGCCAATTTGTTCACACAGAAACTCGAGCAGTTTCACATTCAACTCTAGCTTTTCGTCTTTTGTATCGAACAGGGTAAGCATTTGAAATGTTGACTAAATAAACAAGTTAAAATCGAGCTGTCACAGTTAATCTAATCATGTATTAAACAAATTTCCTGAGTTATAAAATAAAAACCTGTTTCTGTGTGATATGGAAGCCTTCACCGTGTCTTTTCATTTGCTTCTTGTAATTGAGAATTTGTGATGTTTTCTAAAAGAAACATAGACTATAAGGTTAAACGTAAATTTAAACCTACATCTTCTTCAAACAGTTTAATCAGAGATGATTGTTGATTTTGGTCAGTCAATTTGTGGAGCAGAATTCTAAAATATTTGACGTTTATGATTGATTTATGATCAATGAACTTTCATTTAAATTGTTCTCAAAATTACAATTTGCATCAAAAAATATTTTAAACTGGTTATCAAAACTTTATATCACTTATTTATGTTTATTAATAACAATAAGATGAGTGTTACTTTTCTTGCCAATTCCCGTCGAGCTGCTAGTACCTTTTTCTCGTGACGATCATCCGTTTCATTGTCATATTGCTGAAAGCTGTAATCCTTATGACAAAAAGAAATGTGGAGCTTAAAATGCGGAAGTTTTTATCACTAGTAAATACATTTCTTTTTATATTTACCAAAAACAAAGATCAAACTTCAAAAGCTACCTTTAGCCTTTCAACAAATTCCTTATAGCACTGTTCAACGCTCATTTTCCTCTGAAAAAAAGGTTTAACATCGAAAAATGAACGAAATTAAAATTAATATAATAATTAATTAATAAAATAGAAAAGGTTTTAAATTTAAATGCAAATTTAAAAATGAAAGAATGTTTAAAACACTAAAATAGAAAGAGAAAAAAAAGCTAAATTTTGTTTCGAAAAGAAATTCAGGTATTTTTATCTCAAAAGAGAAGTCTAGAATTGGGCGAAATTGTAGCTGATGGGAGTGTTCTTTGAAGAATCTTCATGAATCGATTGGGGCTCGTCTTTTTTGATTGCAAAAGAAAAACTGAAAAAAAGGAAAGTGAGCTAAAAAAGCTAAAAAACGTACGTTTTTTTGCAAAAAAAAGGGAAGATACAAGTCAACCAAAAAATAAAAAGGGAACACAAAGAGTATTTTGTCGACTGATCAAAGAGATTGTTTCGAAAAGATCTAAAATCACTCAGAAGTCACACAAATCTAACAAAGTCTACAAAATTAGACGTTTAATTTTAATTTTAAACTATGTAAGTAGTTTATTTAAAAAAAAGGAAAAAAAAACCATTTGACCATGCAAAAACGATAAAATTTTTTCACGATTTCTCTAAACAGGGTGCGCCATAATTGTCGCAACAAGATAAAGTTCTGATTTTAAGGCAGACAAGCGTAAAAAAGACAATTTTTTTTACTGAATAACATTTACCGTATTCTCCCTAACAGTACGGCACTTCCTAACAGTACGGCACTCTCTAATAGTGCTGTAGGATAGGAGGGGGTTGAAAAAATAGTACGGCAGCCTTTAAAAAATAAAAGCTACAAATTTGCATTTAAAGTTTCTACGAAAATTTGCGGATGTTTAAGTGGTTCAATCATTAATGACTTGATCTTGATTGTTTAAATAAAAGTTAAAAATAAAAAAAATTCTTTAGTCTGCATTTTCTGCATTTTTTTTTCACCAGCTCGTAGTTATTGTGTAGTATACGTCATGTTTTATTGTTTAGCATGTTGATACTTTCCACAAATTGCGCGTAGAACATCCAATGAAACGTTTCTTTGCCATTTGTTCTTAAAGCACTTTTCATTAGTAGTATTTTTGTTGAATTTGCGCAAAACTATTCAACGTATTTATGGAAGCGTAAAACTATATGGAACTGGCTGATTGGATTCGAGAAATGTGCTAAGAAAGTGCTAGTGACTCAAAAGATAATTCAATGTGAAGCGATGGTGATATGGAAAGACGATGAGGATTTTTATGCATCAGAAGGATGGTTGAATCGATTTATGGCGAGACACGGACTTTCGATACGAACTCGAAATGGAAACCCGGCTCCCCCACCGATGGACACTTACCTTGAGTGGGTTTGGAATTCATGAAGCGAGCTCCGAAAGAACCTCATCATATTCTCGTTCAAGAATTGCGCGATTATAACGGCTACAGATGGATCAGAAGACAATCTCACTCATTGCTTCAAGAAAGAAAGACCGAAAGTGCTAAAATTCTCGCCGATGCTCGACTCCAACAATCAATCAATGGAGTAAAGGATCGGCTTGGAAATATCGAATTAGATGGAGAGGATAACGAATTATTGCATAATTAACCACTAAAACATTGTTCCATAAAAACATTTCTGAAAAAGTCATTTCTTGAGAATGAAGCTAGTAAAATGAACATTCTTTAAAGTATTCGACATATATTTCAAATCCGTAAAACCCTTCTCATTCGCATGCTCCAAAACAACGAAGCCATCTTGGAAGGTCTTTAAGATGTCTTTACTTGACAATCGATTGATTGAGTGTTGTATTTCAAAAGAACCACCGACTTCACCCGCTCGAGATGCTGTTGTTTTGTGGGATCAAAGGTGTGTATGTCAAGAATAATGAAAAACTCCTTTCAGCAAGTTTCAATGCGCCGTGGAGCTGGAAGCGGTTCTGAATGAGTCGCACGGACTTTCACCAAATGATTGTTGTGCCCAGGTAACAGAAAGAAAAAAAGAAACCAGCTAATCATTCATTAAAGAGTTGCTCGGGGGAATCCGTTCTTATCTTTTCACTCCAGAACTCATCCCTTTTACTTACCTCGAATTTTAGCTCTTGAATTTTAGCTCTTTACTCGAAAGCTCAACTAGTTTGACTCAAAAAGCGGCTCACGAATCCAGGCGCACTTCCGGTCAATCATTATTCAACTTGCAAAGCTCTTCGAAAGCTTTATTGTATTTGTTTTATATTTTATTTTCTTTTATTGATTATTTACATCTAAAATTCTCTTTATCCAATGCCCAATGAGGGATTTTCGCTTTTTCAAAAGAATCGCTTTTTCCGCCGATTCATCACTTATCGAAAGAGTCTCTCACGTATTGATAACAAAAGTTCCAAGTTTGTTTTTAATAATGCTTATAAAATATTCAACAAATTTTAGATATAAATACAATAATTTAAATTTATTGGGTTGGTGAATTGAAAACTGCGGGACTTTGAACTAAAATTTATTGAGCATAAAACCATCAATCCCGTCCATTATTATTGACGACTTCTGCCCATTTTACAGGCAATTTGCGGATTCCACTTTCGTAGTAGGATTTTGGTTTGTGTGTGAGACAAGTGTGAGACTCAAAAATCGAGGACTGGAGATGTCCCAGTTTGAGCATTTGAGCACTTTCTTCAAAAGAAACCCATTTTGGTGTCAATAGAAAAGTTGTAGAGAATCAAAAATTAGGCTTATAGCCAAATTTCCAAAAAGATACACTCAGTAGTTTCGCTTAAAATGCAAGTTTTGTGAAAATTCGTAAATTTGGCATTTCTTGAAAACCACTTTTTGAATTGTACTGAAAATTTGGATATAAGCTTGATTTTTGATTCTCTACAACTCTTCCATTGACACCAAAACGGGTTTCTTATGAAGAAAGTGCTCAAACTGTCACATGACAATAGCCGGTGGTTTTCAATTCACCAACCTAATAGCCATTCAGATTACCCTGATTTGAGGAGAAGTCAATGTCGAATTTGAGGATTCGCAAAGGGACAGGATAGATTAGAGAGCTGAGGGGGGAGGGGGTTATGTAAAAGCCCTGCGCCAGACGACGAGCGATTACGCGGCCGCACAAAGAACACCCAGTCATTTAGACAGGGATTTCTCTTTTGCTTTGTAAATGGCTTTAAATAAAGATATTCGAATTTTCACAAAACTTGCATTTTAAGCGAAACTACTAAGTGTATCTTTTTGGAAATTTGGATATAAGCTTGATTTTTGATTCTCTACAACTTTTCTATTGACACCAAAATGGGTTTCTTTTGAAGAAAGTGCTCAAACTGTCACATATGACAATAGCGGGCAGTTTTCAATTCACCAACCCAATAATATCTAGATTTTTTCTATTAATAGAGATGCTGTGTGCGATCGCTTCGAAATCATCGAGAAACAGAATGAAATTGAGACGATTTTCCAGAGGATTCTCGATGAGAACCGCGATTTTCTCGATTTTCTCGATTTTCTAAAAGCAATAGTTTGATTTAAAAATATTAAAATATTAAAAAAAAGAAAACAATACCTTAGAAAGCATCAACAATTCACGAAATTTCTCTTGAAAAGTCGAGCATCAAAGTTGGCAATGAAACCTTGAAAAACCCTGCAAAAAGCGATGATTCATCAATGAATTTTCAAGAAAATACGTACATTTTTCAAATATTCTTTTCAATTTTTGATTTTAGTGACATTTATGAAGAGTTTTATACGATTTTCACCCAAATCAACCAAGAAATCGCCGATGAAAAACGGGTTTGTTTATTTGTTTACACAAAATGGCACCAAGATTTGCTTAAAAATCAATAATGATTTATTTTAAAGGCTGAAAGCACTAATGTGTATTGTTTTTAAAAAAAAAAACCCCCAATTTCAGAAAGCAATCCATGAAAATAAAGAGAATTTCCTTGAAAAGCTTCAATGGAATCAAAGAACCCAAAAAACTTTTTCGAATCGCGAATCGGCTGTGTAAATCAAGAAAATTTCAAATCAATAAATATTTTTTTGTTTCTTTCTTTTTTCTAATGTCAAAGATCGAAATCATGTGCTTTTCACAAAATTGGAGATAGTTAAGATCTCGTGGGCTTTTTTTTTTCACTTAAGAAAGAGATCTTTTATAAAGAGAAGAAAAAGAAACGATGAAAAATGACAAGTACATGAAAAGGGTTGATTTTCTCTCCGTTTTTATCGAAATGAGAAATTCCAGATCTCAGTGACGCATTGGAAAATTTATTGCAATAGCTTTTCGAAAAGTTGTGGAAATTTCGAGAAAAATTTACCGATAGATATGTTACGTCCGAATCTGAGGAGACGTCCATCTCCGATCCGGACGTCCGAATCTGAGGAGATTCATTCTCCTCCGAAACGGACGTCCGACTCAGAGTCGGACGTTCATCTCTGAGTCGGACGTCCGTTAATGGATATTATTTGATAATTCTCCCCTGAGTTATTTGAAAAGGTATTAGAAATGTATTTTACACTAAAAAATGGAATGATCGATTGTCGGCAATGCATAGAGAAGTTGGGAAATCCGTCTCAAAAGTTTATTCAAAAATTTCAAGGTTGGCTCCTCGTCAGGCGCTCACTCTGGACTTGGCTTTCCCCTCTGGCATAGAGAGTTCATGAAAAGGTATTAGAAATGTATTTTATACTAAAAAATGGAAACGCACCCCTTAACTCGGCTATCTAATAAAAAAAACCGTATTTCATTTGCTAGCTTGAGATTTATTCAATTAGAAAATGAATCTGAGTGAAAAGCTTTGTACTTAACCTACCGTAATACCTCTAATAGTAGCGCCCCTTATGACGGCCGGAGCGTCGCGTAGTCTAACTTTAAACGCATTTTTTTCAAAACAAAACCCGTATTTCATTTGCTAGCTTGAGATTTATTCAATTAGAAATTTTAATTAGACATAGATAAATAAATAAAGAAATTCTTTCACCTAAACACTCATCAAAAAGAATTTAGCCTTTACAAACCACTTTTCTTTTTTTCTTCCCAAATAATCATCGAGATGCTCTTTTTCTTCTATTGTTGTCATGATCTATAAAGCAAAAACTTCTTTTCTTTTTTATAAGAAAGTTCCAGCTTTCTTACTTCAAAATTCTCAGTTTCATTTGAAAAAAAAAACATTTCTAACTCTCTCTCTCTCTCAGCTTTTCTGAGCGACAAATTTGGAGAAAGGAGATTTGTATTTTTTGAGAAGAAGAAGAGGGGAAAAATGGATAGTTGAGGAGTCTTCTTCAGTAAAAAAAAAAGCGCAAGCTTTTTGCGGGGGACTTCCCAAAAGTGCCAAGTGGAGGACCGCGAAGGTCACTCTCCCCAATCCATCCCTCCCTTCCTTCCCCAATCCATCGAATCTCCAACTCTTGACTCGCTATTTCTCCTCCCATCTCTTTGATCCACGAATTTGTACATCCTCCACTGTTTCCCTGACTTTTTATTAGCTTTTCATGGGATTATCGCTTGTTGATCTCAACTCAAATCCTTAATCTAATTTGGTTTCGATTTTTTGTCGATTTCAACTCGTCAAGACTTTTGAGTTGTTTTAAAACAGTTCTAAAATTGGTAAAATTACTAAAATTTACTAAAATTACTCGAATTTTGGCTTTCTTGTTCACTAAAATTACTAAAATTACAAAAATTTAGCCTTCTTGTTAAAATCATTTGCAATTCTACAATCCTAAGTTATTTAGTCCAATTTCTTTGATCATTTCTAGACTTAAATACTTTAAAAAGTACTACTTGTATATAGTCATGTTAAACTTTAAATTAAAACAATTAAATTAACAATTGATAATTTAGTTGAATGTGATTCAAATTGATTCAAATTTATCGTTTCCTCCTTGTCCCCTTCAATGCAAAGATTTAATCCACAATCTCGTGTGATTAAAGTTTGGAATGCCCTTCCCGACAAGTTGCGTTTGATCTCCACCGTGTGTGATTTTAAAAGGGCTACTTCGTTGCATTTTAAGTGACTTTGTGATCTTTTATCTGGTACATTTTTCATGTCGTTTTCGCACTTTATTTCTTTCTAAATAAAGTATTTATATATATGTTGTGTCCGATTTAGATTTCCGTCCGATTTAGATTGAACTTATCGCGGACGTCCGATTTAAATTCAATCTAAATCTTATATAGATTGAAGAATAATATAAACATGCTTAATATATGTTCTTAAGCGTTTTCTGTAGTTTTCTGCATTTTTCAAAGGTCTGTTACTGTCTTTTTCTGAAAAGAAAACCCAACTATGAAACAATTTATTAGCGTTAACAGAATAGATGCGAAATTACAACATACAACAACAAAAAACCAACAACAACAACGAACGAGTTAAAAATTTCTATTTATTTTTGCAGCTTAGGCTATTGTGACATCTTGAATTGCAGAGTCGGCCATCCTTCCGATATAGACTGTAATCTAAATCGGACGTTCGCGATAAGTTCAATCTAAATCGGACGGAAATCTAAATCGGACACAACATATATAAAATCTTAACCTCCAATCCAATCACTTTCGTTCAAAAGTTCAAAACTCTCATCTGAATAAATATTATAAAACCTTTTAGTTTTATTCTTTTTCTGTTTTTCTGTTTTTCTGTTTTTCTATTTTTCTCTTTTTCTTTTCCATTCGTTTTCATTTCTCATTTTTACTGGTCACTAGACGATCATTCTTAGATGCCGAGTGACCGACTTTTCACATCAAGATTGCTCATTTCCCCCTCAACAATTTTCATTTTTCATTTTCATCACTCATAAATTTAAAATCTTTTACTAATTGCTTTGAAATTTTCGAATCATATAAATGATTTGCCCAACCCAAAATATCCAAGCGAACCCCAAGAAAAACGGAATTCGAAACGAGGATTGTTTTTTTTGTGCCTCCTCCGAGAAAGAAATCCCAAAGATTTCAAGGTCAACAAGGGGTGGATCGCTTTTCGATAAAACTTTGTTTATCCCAACACAAATTTGAGCTATCTATCAAGATCTAGTAAAACGCTAAACAAATCCCATTCCCAGACAGCTCTCTTTCGATAAAAATCGTTTTTTTTTATGACCCCAGACGGACAGTTTTTCTCTACCTGTTTATTTTCTTGTTTTTTAAAACTTTTTATGCTCTTTTGTTAGAAAGCTTTCTAGATTATTGACGCTTTTTTTTAACAATTTTATCTTTGAGATCTCTGTATTCAAATGTTATTCGTTATTCTAGAATAGTTTAGTTTATCTTTTTGAAAATCTCTTCTTTTACATCAGTTAGAAAGCTTTAAAAAGAAGAAAAGCATTCTAGTAAAATGAGTTTTGTTTATTTGTGTTTATTGATGTTTATTGATGTTTACAGTACTGGACAATGAAATATGATATTTGAAAAACGATCGTCACTTTCGCGCGTCTGTAACTCCCTTGTCTTTGAGTTTAAACTATTAGTGTTATACATTTTCTGAAAGCTCTTTTCAAGGGCTACACAATGGTAATATTAATATTTCGAAATACGGTAAAGACAAGGGAGTTACAGACGCGCGAAAGTGACGATCTTTTTTCAAATATGATATTTCATTGTCCAGTAGTGTATTTGTGTTTATTTGTGTTTATTTATGTTTATTTATGTTTATTGATGTTTATTTGTGTTTATTTATGTTTATTGATGTTCGTGGTCGATCTGTTCGCACAATTGTACAAGATTGAGAGGGAAGACTCATCATTTTCTCTTATAAATTTTGTGCGAAAAAAAGAGACTAAAAAGGGAAAGAAGCAATAGAAATTTTAGAAGTATGAAGGGAAAAGGAAATTTGAAATTGCTGTACCGATCTTCCCTCATCATTCTCTCCATTTTCCTTCAAATATTAGAAAAAATTCGAATTTTTCCTTAGGAATTCCTTTTTAAATGAAAAAAAGTCAAAGAGAAACGTGTTTGCGGTTGAAAAAATACACTTGAAATTCGAAAAATTTGAATCCCGAGCCAAAAAAAAGCGAAACGATTCGACCAAAGTTCAATCTTTACAAGAAATTTGATCAGCTATAAAGGGAAATTTTCATTTTTAACCGGTGAAAAGATTTGAAATCGAATTCGAGAAATATTTCTTGGCAGCGTTGATTTGGAACGATTTTTGGCAAATTTGGCATCAATTTGCTTGTCTGCGAATTGAGATGAGTTCAATTTCCTCGAAAAAGTGGAACCAGTTCGTTATCCATTTTACTTTTCCCTCATTTTTCTCTCTGTTTTCGATTTTTCTTCATTAAATTAGACAAAAAAAACAAGATTTTGTCATGTGTTAACTAGATCAAATTACAATTTGATCAAGCAAATTACAATTTGATCAAGCAAATTACAATTTGATCAAGCAAATTACAATTTATAGTTAACACATGACAAAATTACTCAATTTGCTTGATTCAAATTGTAAAAAAAGATACATTTTTGAGAAAAACTTCAACATTTAGAAGCTTGTTAATCTCATTTTTCCTTGTGAATTCAGTTTTCAGTTTAGTGTTTTAAAATTTGAAAAAATCATAACCAAAGTTCAGATAGACGCCCACAAAATGGGCATTGATGTTGCTATTAATTGATGTTGCTATTGATGTTGCTATTAACTAGATCAAATTCCCCAATTTGCTTGATTCAAATTGTAAAAAAAGATAAATTTTTGAGAAAAACTTCAACATTTAGACATTACATAAAGCTTGTTAATCTTTGTTAAAGCTTGTTAATTTTCCTTGTGAATTCAGTTTTCAGTTTAGTGTTTTAAAATTTGAAAAAAAATCATAACCAAAGTTCAGACAAATGCCCACAAGATGGGCATTGATGTTGCTAGGATTGGCGGGATTCGCCAAGGCGCAAGAACACTGCAAAATGGCTCCATCGAAAGGTTCAAATTCAAATTCAAATTCAATTTTTACTAGAAAATCTCATAAAGTTACAATTCTTAGAATAAAGTTTATGTAAAACTTTATAGATCTACATACCACTTGTAAAATGATGCACCAAATGGATATGATGGCGAGGAAATGGATTCGAAAGAGGCAAATCTTTGAGGTGTTCTTGGTTTTGATTTTTAATTTAGAAATTTATAAGGTTCTTCTTTTTTTTGTTCTTTTTTTCTTTCTTGTTTAAGTGCAAAATAGAAAACAATGGTAATAGAAGTTTTAGCGACAAAATCCCGTGTTTGCGCCATTTGTCTTTGGAGCTGGTGTCTCTCCAGCAGTGCCTCCTCCATTCGCCCCATCGGCTGAAGCTTGCATGAACTATCAATGTCTTTGCCCGTATTTTCGAGTAAGTACAAATATACAATAGTTCAAAATACATCAAAATTTTGTTTCTAGGGAAACCTTGGCCCACAAAGTCAATGCTTTTTATCGAATGGTTACATGTTGGGGATGTCGACTCGTCGCGAGTATCGAATGCTTTCCGATAATGAACGATTCAGGTTGGGGGAAATTTCTTTTTGACAAACAGACTTTCAAGATTTCACAATGCTCTCGTGCAATTGAAAAGATCCGGTGACTATGATCGATTGTCGGCAATGCATAGACAAGTTGGAAAATCCGTCTCAAAAGTTTATTCAAAAAAATTTCAAGGTTGGCTCCTCGTCAGGCGCTCACTCTGGACCTGGCTTTCTGCCCTGGCATAGAGAGTTCATGAAAAGGTATTAGAAATGTATTTTATACTCAAAAATGGAAACGCACCCTTTAACTGGGCTATCTAATAAAAAAACCGTATTTCATTTGCTAGCTTGAGATTTATTCAATTAGAAAATGAATTTGAGAGAAAAGCTTTGTACTTAACCTACCGTAATACCTCTAATAGTAGCGCCCCTTATGACGGTCGGAGCGTCGCTTAGTCTAACTTTAAACGCACTTTTCTCGCTATCCGTTTATGCTACAGTGTGCGCTTAAGTATCAAATGAAAGCTGAAATAATCAGGGCTATTTTTTGATACCAAATGCATTTTTAAAAATTATGGGCGCTTAGAAAAAAAATGATTTAGTAAAAAATTTTTGCGACTACGCGACTATACTGGAGACGGGGCGCAACTATTTAAAAAGGTATTACGGTAATAAATAAATTGCTGATACAATAATGACAATTGAGTGTACCAGAAAGGAAGTGTTTAAGCATCGAGTATGACCATACCTAATAGTACGGCGCCGTACTATTTTTTCAATCCCCTTCTAGACTGCCGTACTATTAGAGAGAATTGAAAAAGGATTAGAAAACGACAAAATATATAGTAATTTCCCAAATAATTCTTGCAAACAAAACGATTTTTTTCTAAATTTATTAATTGATGTTTTAAAAAATTAAATAACAAACAGGTTAACTAATCAAAACATCAATTATTGAATAATCACCAGAATCGTTATTCTCTCCATCTAAGTCGATATTTCCAAACTGATCCTTTACTCCATTGATTGATTGTTCGAGTCGAGCATCGGGGAGAAGTTTGGCACCTTCAAGAATCGGCCTTTCTTTCTTGAAGCAATGATTGTCTTCTGATCCATTTGTAGTCGTTGTAAGCGCAAAATTCTTGAATCTTGATTCGTTTCGCTTTCTTTTCTTCTTTCTTTCACTTTCTTTATCTCATCCTTTCTTGATTGAACCATTCTTGAAGGATGCTTCGACTGACTCCGAACCTTTGAGATGCTGCAGATTGATCCTTCATCTTATCAGCGCACTCGATGACCATCAATTTTGTCCCGACGACAAAAAAAATCGTTTCTTCTTTCGATCCGGTTCATCCAATTCACTCGACGACATTCTAAATAAAAAAGTTATAGCAAGTTATAGTGTTATAGCAAAAAATGCGGAAGCAAATACCGTATTTTCTCTAATAGTAGTGCACCCTGAGGGTCGCCTAAATTGCTCGAAATCTCGAGAACCGCTTATCAGAACCTATCGATGTGGGGTCGGAAAATGTAACTAACGATGAGATCTTGGGAGGGATTAGAGTGTTGAGCTTCTGGGAAAAATTTGGAAGCCGTAAATGGTCATCAACTCGGCTCGTTGGGGTGCACTACTATTAGAGAAAATACGGTATAAGCAAAAAGCAAATGTTCAACATTAAACGCTAAATCACGAAAATTTATATAATTTTACGTTTTAGATCGCTTAAAATTAAGAAAACTAAACGTCATCTATTCAAAAAAAAAATTCCATAAATACATTGAGAATCAAGTTTGGCGCAAATTCAACAAAAATACTATTACTGAAAAGTGCTTTAAGAACAAATGGCAAAGAATCGTTTCATTGGATATTCTACGCGCAATTTATGGAAAGTATTAGCATTCTAAGCAATAAAACATGGCGTATACTACGAAATACCTAAGAGCTGGTGAAAAAAAAATACAGAAAATGCTGACTAAAGAATTTTTTGGAAACTTTTATTTAAACAATCAAGATATTCAGTTATTGAATTACTTGAAGTTATGCAAATATAAATTTCCAGCTTTTATTTCTTTTTTAAAGGTTGGGGGAGTGGGACAAATGCGACCTTTTTTTTGCGCACCCGGACATTTGCGCACCTTTTTTTTGCGCACTTAGCCCATTAGCGCACCTTTTTTCACGTTTTAAAAAAGCTCTAAAAGCTAATATTAACCAATTTCTATTCCAAAAGTTGTTTTTCTAGGTAATTTTAGGGCGTAGAATCGAAATTTTGGCATATCAGAGTTTGTGGAAGCGAACGGACGGAGTTATACAAAGAGAAAAATCCAACAATTTTCTGTAATTTGACCTACCGTAAATACTGTAATAGTACCCCACCCCCTCGTACAGTCACGTAGTCGCAAAAGTTTTTTAGTATTTCATTTTTTGCAAAGCACCCGTACTTTCAAAAAATGTGTCTTTGTTATCAAAAAATAGCTGAAATTCAGGGCTATTTTTTGATACCTAAGCGCACATTGTAGCATAAACCAGTGTCGAGAAAAACGCGTCCAACGCTAGACTACGCAACGCTCCGCACCGTCATTATGGGGGTGGGGTACTATTACAGTATTTACGGTAGCCGTTTTGCCGTTCAAATTGGTTCCACACGCTCTGTTATGTCAAAATTTGAATTCGACACCCTCAAATTACCTAGAAAAACAACTTTTGGAATAAAAATTGGTTAATATTAGCTTTTAGAGCTTTTTAAAATGCGAAAAAAGGTGCGCTAATGGGCTAAAAAAGGTGCGCAAAAAAAAGGTCGCATTTGTCTCACTTCCAAGGTTGGCGTATTATTTTTTTTACAACCTCTTTCTAGATTGCCGTACTATTAGGGAGAATAAGGTATCTGTAATTTTTTTTGTCCAGATTCGAGATAGCAATTCGTCTCATCGATCCCGGTTTAAATATGCCCTATTGGGACTCGGTCATCGATTCATATCTACCCGGTATTTTATCATAAAAAGTCTAGAATTTATATTCTAATAGATCCACGTGATTCGATTATGTTTACTACAATATTTATGGGTGATGCAGATGCCACGGGACAGGTATGGATAAGTTTTCTTTTGTAAGTGATACATGGGATTATTGTTTTTAGGTGGTACAAGGCCCATTCGCTAGCTTCAGAACCCTTGAAGGAAAGCCAAATATTGTCAGGTGAATAGAAAAAATAAGGATAATAATCAAGAAGATTCAGAAAACCCGGCTCCGAAGGGAAACTCTTCTCCGAGACAGCGATATCAAATGCTATTTCCAATCCCGATATTCAGAGTATTCTCGCGTACACAGCGCCGCAAGCAGGTGAATCTTAAACTGTATATAGATCACATAATATTATAGTATTTTAAAATTTATATTGATTTTAAAGTTTGTGCAGTGCGTGAGAGGGTACCGATGGGGCAATGATTATTTAAATATTTATTCCGGATATAGCACAATCACTAATCTATAAGGATAAGGAACCAAATTTAGATAGATAAGGAACCAAATTTAGAGAGAAAAGGAACCAAAATTGTAGAAATACAATAAATAGTATCAATCGTTGATTCAGTGTGTCAAAGCCAAACAAAAGCAATACAAAGTGGGCTCCGTCCCTTTTTATCACACAAACGATCTTTAGAGGAAGGACAAGAGAATCTGAGATATTCAAAATCAAAGCATCAAATAAGAATTCACAGAAAAGAGCTACAAAACACAAAGTTAATTTAAAAGTTTCATCTTAAGGTTGCCCCTATCGCCCAAATTTTGCCGCCTTGGAGTACGCTCATTCATCCGTACATTTATGGATTGGTGGCGATATGAAACCGCCAACAACTTCAGGTGAGAAACATTTTAATTTTAATTTTAAGCCAAAAAAAAATCAAATCTTTCAAATCACAGCCAATGATCCGATTTTCTTTTTACATCACACTTTTGTTGATTACATTTGGGAAATCTATCGGCAAACACGACAAACACGAGGACAACGGGAAACAGTCAGTTCAAAGATTTTTAAAACAAAATCTATTAGGTTGGTGCAGATGAAACTTCCGTTGGAACCATAAACAAAATTTATTATAAAAATCCTAATACAGAACCTCAATCCAAAAGATATTCGCCATCATTATCAATGACTTTTTGCCATCTTCCACGCAGAGAATGGATGCCCTTTTCGAAGAACTCGGGCAACTGCGACTCGAAGAAGTTGGACACCAAGATTTCAACTTCTTCGCGGTTTTTGAATTTTTTTTTTCTGCTAAAGAGTGCTGCATCGATCGAAACAAGTGGTAGTCGGACGGGGCCAAGTCCGGGCTATATAGCGGATGAGGCAGAACTTCCCAGCCCAATTCCTCGATTTTCTGCTGAGTGATCTTTGCGGATATAGACAAACAATTGTGACGGAAGTTTCATCTGCACCAACCTAATAGAATGAAAATTGTATCTTTCCATTCTAGTTTTTCCCTTTTTCTTAAAATTTAACCTTTGAACTCAAGGCTTAAACCGCATTTTTTTTGCTTTTAGGCATGGTCACCAGATGTGGCTACTTGCTCGAACACTCAGCACTTCTCCTATGCTCAAATGAGACCATGGGAGAAATTAAACAGAGATGGTATTTGATTTTTTTTTCTCTAATAAGATCTAGAATTCTTTAAACACTTGAAAAATCATCATTGTTTAAGGCCTTTCCAATGCTTACACCGATTACATGTACCGATATGCTCCTCGTCCATCTTGTTCGACTCAATCACCAACTTGTGGCAGCTCATATCTCTTCTGTGACACTCGTGGAAATCCACACTGTGTTTCGAAAGTGAATCGAAATTTAAACTTTAAGCTTTTATCTTCATTTTTAGGTGAAAATAAATGGAAATTGTCGTGGCTTTGAGTCGTTCGATAGCTGTTATCAGGGACAATGTGTGGCTGGCTTTTGTCGACCGGGACAATTTGCACAGGTTGGCTCAGTGCTTCTTTGGATTGCTTCTTTGGATTTTAAAGTTTATTCAAAAGCTATCGTAAGCGTTTCTTAAGTTCTCTAAAAGCAATTCCTCATTCTCAGGGAAAATTCTCACTTCTCAGGGAAGAGATATGAGCGAAAGTAGTAATGCATCTTTTAAGAAACGTTTTAACCAACTTTCTTGACTCTTTAACCAACCAAAAACCAACCAAAAACCAACCAACAATATTCAATCTCTTGATCTCTTTTAGCCATCTCAAACAACCGCTCTTCAACCGTTTTCTCAGCAATCTTTCAGCAATTCAATCACCGAACAAACTCCAGTAAGTTCTCTTCTCTTCGTTTTCACTCATCCCAACCATTTCAGCCTTTTCGCAATAGATTCCGAGTAAAGCAAAAGCAAAGACAATGGCCGAGTTCTCAACGGCACAGGGTGGAGATAGAAAATAGTTTTTAGTTGTTGTAAAATCGTAGAGATCACTGTATTGGGGCTTTTTGGAGTGTCGTGTGCTTCTTGTCTGCCTCTTGTAAAAAAAGAAAAAAAACTTGTGCCGCTATGATCCTTAAAAGCTTGTCCACCGGGCCGTGCAAGAAAAGCTTTATGTGTAGTTGTCATCTCAGGCACCAGCGTTGAATCGTCAGCTTGGCTCAACATCGAGCAATTGTTACAACGATGATCCCTGTTGTGAAGCATGGGCAAGAAGTGGTTCGTTATTGTTAGCTTTTCTGATTTTAAGCTTTAAACTATGATATTTAAACTTGTAATTTGGATATGTAATATGTAATAAAGTTAAATAAATTTGTAGGAGAATGCTCGATCAATCGCAACTACATGAGTCGCTACTGCAGAAAATCTTGCTTCTATTGTGCGAGTGCTGACACAAGAAATGGTAGAGTTTTTAGTTTTTTTTAGTTATCGAACCCTTTTTCCATTAGCAATCTAGCTTTTAAGCTCATATTTCTTGGTGTTTAGCTGTTCAATTCAATAAATTCTTGATTTCATTAGATGCGCCAAGTCTTTCTCTATCGATTGATACAAAAACTATTTACCGTATTTTCTCTAATAGTAGTGCACCCAAGCGAGTCGAGTTGGTCACTATTTACGGCTTCCAAAGTTTTCACAGAAGCTCAACACTCAAATCCCCCACTAGATCTCATCGTCAGCTACATTTTCCAATCCCACATCGATAGGTTCTGATAAGCGGTTCTTCGAGCATTTCGAGCAATTATTTCGAGCAATTTAGGCGACGCTCAGGGTGCACTACTATTAGAGAAAATACGGTAAATTGAAACGCCCAACACCAAGAAATTTGAGCTCAAAGTTGAAAGAAATGGCAAAGAAGCGAGGCACGTATCAATTGCTTCAAAATCACAATTTTTACGTCAAAAACTAAAAACTAATAAACTAATAACTTTAAAACATTAAAAAATTTTTTCAGGATGTGTGGATCGACATGTCTCATGCACTTTCTGGCAAGCGCAAAACTTTTGCACCCGAAGACGACAATGGATGGCTGAGAATTGTCAGGTAAAAGGATTCGATGGGAACTTTGTGCTCTGATAAACGCGCACATCTTGACAAAACTGATTTCAAGTTTTGATCTGGTTGTTGTTAATCTTTTTGCTCGAAACTGGCTGGCAGACTGGCTAAGAGTTTTGTATCTTTGTGCCGTTTTTCAAAACACAAAATGCTAGGGAAAAGGATCAGAAAAAAATATTTTACTGGAATACTGGAATACTTTAGAGATGTTTCTTTAAAAACTTGAATCTTGAATCTTTAATCTCTAATCTTTAAAACATTTACCAACTCGTTTTAGGCAAGTTGTGGTTGGTGCAATATCTCCAAGCAGCAATTGTGCGTCTCAGTGGCTCGAATGAGCCGAATGTAGAAATTCTAGCTCTATTTCCCCTTTACTTGTAGGCTTTAAGTGCCATTTTCTTTTCATATTCTCTTGAATATTTACATATCTTAAACCTTTTCGAGAATTTTTCACAAGACTCTTGATTGAGTCTCATCAAAGACCATGTTTTTCTTGATTTATTGTAAAAAAGAAAGGTTTTTATAGAAGAATACTGTAAAGAATCAGACGTAAAAACTACAGTAGACAGTAAAAATGGTGGCAAGGTTGAGTGTTTAATTGAAAAAAGATGAAAATTGTAGCTTAACGGGGTGGGGGCAAATCATTAACACGGGGGAGCACTTTTTTGCCAACTTGCAGCTCATTTTTAGACACGTTAAACTTATCAGAGCAGAAAATTTTAATAAGATTTAGATAGTTTAGAACGTCAGCTTTCAGAAAATATTTGTTTTATTAAACGTTATCAACAAAAAACTTGACTAAAATACAGAAAAATAACTTGAAAAAAAGTGCCCCGCTCCGTTAAGGTACAAGATTCAAAAAGATATTTAGCCTTCGTATACTGTATGAGATTTGTGGCGTTTTTAAAGAAATTTAGGGGGTGGGACAAATGCGACCTTTTTTTTGCGCACCTGGACATTTGCGCACCTTTTTTTTGCTGGAAAAGGCCTTAGGAAAAGTCGTAGAGCTTCAAAAACGTTTTCATAGAAGGGAATCGTATGGGTAGATCCAGAATTTTGACAAATCAGACCTCGCTGACACGTCAAATTTGGGCTAAAAGGCAAAAACTACGCAACTTAACGCTTTTCCGCAGTTTTTGCCTTTTAGCCCAAATTTGACGTGTCAGCGAGGTCTGATTTGTCAAAATTCTGAATCTACGCATACGATTCCCTTATAAGAAAACATTTTTAAAGCTCTACGACCTTTCCTAAGGCGTTTTCCAGCAAAAAAAAGGTGCGCAAATGTCCAGGTGCGCAAAAAAAGGTCGCATTTGTCCCACCCCCAAAAAAGTGCCCCGCTCCGTTACGGTACAAGATTCAAAAAGATATTTATCCTTCGTATATTGTATGAGTATACTGTACTATTGTGGTGTTTTTAAAGAAATTTAAGATAAAGAAAGAAAAACATCGTCTTTTTTTATCAAAGTATAGCAAGATTTGATGATCGAAACGTGTACTGAAACTCTCGCTTGCCATGATTTCTTTTCTTTTTTTTCAGGATTTCTTTAGCGTCACTGCCCATTCCCATTCCCAGTCGTTTCACTTTTCACTGCCTATTTTTTATTATTTTTCTAGTCTTGTCCGTTTTCTTTTCTTCTTTTCTTCTTTTTTTTTCGTTTATGAATCAATTGATATATTTTTCCCTTTTTCCCAAACCATTTGTACACAAAAATTTCCCCGGGCTTAAATGTAAATTTAGAAATAAAATTCATAATATAAATGTTTATTCAAAAAAAGATAAAGAAATTTACGTAATAAGGCAACAAATCGGGTACCCATGGATTTGAACGATTTCTGGGATTTATACCGTAATTCTAAAGTGATAAAATTTATATAGAATTACGGTATTTGAGAGCTAGATAGGTTGAAACAAGAAAATTACAGCAGTTGAAATGAATACCGGTCATTTGGCGCTTTTTTTTATTGTCATGTACTACCTGAACTTGCACAGATCGTTAAAGAAAAGGAAAAATATACAAAGGAAATATCTATGAAAGCAAAAAAAAAAACTAAAGATTATGACAATCAATGAAATGATCGAGATCGAAGCGACGACAAAATCGCTCTAGTTCGCCCAAGCGGTGCTTTTCAATAGTGCTCATAGCGGACATTCTGAATTTCGAGATGTTTATTAATGCCGTAAATACTGTAATAGTACCGCACCCCCATAATGACGGTGCGGAGTGTTGCGGAGTCTAGCTTTGAACGAGTTTTTCTTGACACTGGTTTATGCTAAAATGCGCGTTTAGGTATCAAAAAATAGCCCTGAATTTCAGCTATTTTTTGATACCTAAGCGCACATTGTAGCATAAACCAGTGTCGAGAAAAACGCGTTCAAAGCTAGGCTACGCAACACTCCGCACCGTCAGTATCTTTGGTATCAAAAAATAGCCCTGAATTTCAGCTATTTTTTGATACCAAAGACGCATTTTTTGAAAGTACGGGCGCTTTGAAAAAAATGAAATACTAAAAAACTTTTTAGCGACTACGCGACTGTACGAGGGTGGGGTACTATTACAGTATTTACGGTAGGTATTTTGAATTGAATACCTGACAGTGAAATTGTTGCATGATTTCTCGTCAGATGTCCATCGCCAATCGAGATCGATTCGGAGTGGAGTGATTGCCTCAACTTTTACTGGAGCTCGTCCCATTCCTGGCAACGAAAGCCGCACATATTTGCTTTCTGTCTAAAGTTTTGAAAACAGAATTGAATACAGAATACAGACGCATACTAGTGACTTGAAGCCATTAGTTTAAATATTTTTCGTTCAGGGTATTGGTCTCCATAGCTGAGTGGCTAAGAGGCTTGTGGGTTAGTGGGTTAGATTCAATCTCGCGGCAGGTTCAATCCCACCGGCTGATTAGTTTTGTTGACTAGTTTTGTTTTTTCTCGTTTTCTTCCTACATTTCGGGAAGAATTGTATTGTTTGCACTACTTGTTTGTATTGTTTGTATTGTTTATACCACATTGTCTATTGTTTGTATTAAATTCGTGTGAATAAATCGATTTTTAAGCAAAACAAGACAATCTAACAACTCTATTCTGTGTTTTTTTGATAATGATTGATTTCAAATGATTCAGAAAATCATAAAAAGCAATCTACTTACTTTATTTGGTAGATGCACATAAGTGAAAGCGTTGTGCCAAGACGGGAATCTCGATGGTTCCTCTTGTGGCCCGGCCCAGTCGATCCCCGTCTCGCATCTCTCTTTTCCCGTTAGCGAGCCAGTTGTACAGAAATGCCATCTGAGATTTTAGTGGATAATATAAAATTTACCCAGCATAATCTCATTTCCTTTTTTACCTAATCGCGACTTTATCCCAGTGCCTACATCGTAGTACCTCATCACCACTCCAATCATACGTACGCGATCCGATCAGCTCCCAATCGGGGTTCTCTAACTAGATTTTTGGGTTTTATTTTGTTTATCTTAAAATAAATCTAGTAATTTGATGTCTGTATAGCCTGTGGTCTTAAAAAACAGCTAAAAAACAGCTTTTTCTCATTGAGAAAGCCGTTTTCTTAGGGGTGAAAGAAAAAACGGTGAAAGAGAAGAACGTTGTGTAACGTGCTGATTCCCATAAGTCCCCCAAAGATCTCCTTTTTTTTTCTTTCACTTTTCTCAATTCTTTTCTTTATCTCCTTCTCTCATTGATTTTTTTAAAATCTAGGCTTCAATTTGACTATTTTAGCTATAGCTTTCCTTGTTTAGATTGTCTTAATCGATAGTATCGTTCAATTTTCAACTTTAATCGTTCAATTTTCAGCTTTAACACTCTTTTATTGATATATATAATATAAGATTCATTCAATTTTATAGTATTATTCTACTAGAAAGTACAATTTACATATTATATCATTTAAATCTAGACAAAATGCCACTACCAAGAAGTCTCGGATCTGATGGAGAAGTGGTTAGACATAAAACGTAACTTTTATTTTACGTTTAAAGGAAAATTTTTCAAAATTTTCTAGTACCTCAAACTATTTGGGTTGGACAGAAAGGAAACCACGTGGATTTCATGATAAAGTTGGTTACAGTTTGAGTTTTGAAAATTTCAAATCCTCAATTCTAGTTCGATCATACCTCTTTACCCGGTGGTGAGGCGACGCGCTCATATGAAACTTATGTTAAAGGGATTTTCACTCCCGGACGTGTCAAGGTTTAAAAACAAACAAAAAATTCGATTCTATCTTTTACTAAAAACTATAAAAGAATTTCTTTGAAAAACATTAGGACGAAGAGCAAAGGAAACGGGATCACGGAGTGTCTGCGCAATCGATGATGCGAATGGAGAGAGCTTATGGCAGATATGCTCTTGATTCTTACGGTAAAAGAGGCTATGCCATGAACAGAAATAAAACTAGAAACAAAAGACTAAAACTAAAACAAAACTTCACGTAGCTATCTTTTGAGAAATGTGGAAAGAATGCGAAAGAATGCGAATGATCAAATGGATGAATGACAAAAAACGAATCCTTTTAACGAATCCTTTATTGCTAAAAGAGAATAGCTTTTTGGGGCGAATTTTAGAATTCAGCTAGCTTTTTTGAAGTGTGGAAAGTCGTAATGTTTGTTATCGAAGCTAAAATTATACTAATTTTACTCGTCGGGATACGATCGTCTGTTTCTTATCGAGATTTTACTTTATTTTAATCTTACCTTTAAGAAAACTTATTCAAAAAAATGAATCAAATTGAAGCAAATTGGATCAAATCAAATTCAAATTTGTTTTTTAGAGGATGAGGATTTACTGATGAAAACCCCGCTCGAGCGAATGTACATCGAGTTGGGATTGCAGAGTCCAGAGGTTTTTGAAAATTAAGTTTTAAGAATAAAGATCTGCAAAGAACTGCAATAAAGATCTGCAATAAAGAACGAAATCTGCAGAATATCTGTAAGGTGCTTAAAACAATTGTTGGGCTTATGATGAATTAGCAGTTAGGTGCATGAGAGTCTCGACTTTCCCCGTTATCATCCAAAAACCAGCTACGAGTGGGTGAGGGAAAAGTTCTCGGCACGAAATCGGCCCCGACCCTGGGATGTGGGTGTGATAGATTTGATTAGATTTGTTCTCACTCCTTACTCCTAGCTGAAAAGATTTTCAAATAAAACGTAGATCTAATTTACTTGAAGACAGCGCTAGCTTTGAATTAGCTTTGCTTTGCTAGCTTTGAATTTGCTAGCTTTGAATTTATTAATTTTAAATTTCCTCAACTATTACAACATTTTAAAGCAAGAATTTCCTTTCTAATGTACTTTGTGCTTAAAAGTGTAAACGCAATTTGTCTAGCGCATTGATTTCTTAAACTTTTATCTTACGAAAATTGATTAAAACAAGAAAAAACAGAACTACCGTAAATACTGTAATAGTACCCCAACTTCCTCGTACAGTCGCGTAGTCGCAAAAGTTTTTTAGTATTTCATTTTTTTCAAAGCGCCCGTACTTTCAAAAAATGCGTCTTTGGTATCAAAAAATAGCTGAAATTCAGGGCTATTTTTTGATACCTAAGCGCGCATTGCATCAGAAACCAGTCTCGAGAAAAACTCGTTCAAAGCTAGACTACACAACACTCCGCACTGTCATTATCTTTGGTATCAAAAAATGCGCACTTTGGTATCAAAAAATAGCCCTGAATTTCAGCTATTTTTTGATACCTAAGCGCGCATTTTAGCATAAACCAGTGTCGAGAAAAGCTCGTTCAAAGCTAGACTACACAACACTCCGCACCGTTATTATGGGGGTCGGCTACTATTACAGTATTTACGGTAAGTTCTCTAGAAAGTAAACGTTTCTATTTTGAACTAATTACTTCAGAAAGCAGAAAGTATGCTTTTTCTATTTTTAAATCGAATTGATAAATTGATTTTCTTGAAGTTTATAGTATAGTTTTCTACAAATTTTATTTATAGCTAGGAGAAAGGAGTCACAGAACAACACCTAGTATCACTTTCAATCCAACATTTTTTTGTTTAGCCAGTACTTCCCTCGGAAATGCTTCAGGTATTTGTCATTTGCATAGAATCTTTTCTCTATCTCATAGAATTCCTAACAAAACATTATCTATACATTTTTATTTTGAATTTTATAAAAAATATTAAGATTGTCCATAAGTTCTTGCGGTTCTTAAAAACCAGCCAACAGTTTTATCTGTTATTTCGATTAAATAATCTATAAGTACACTACTGGACAATATCATATTTGAAAAAACACTTTCGCACTTTCGCGCGTCTGTAACTCCATTGTCTTTGCTGTATTTCGAAATATTAATATTACCATTGTGTAGCCCTTGAAAAGAGCTTTCAGAAAATGTATAACACTAATAGTTTAAACTCAAAGACAACGGAGTTATAGACGCGCGAAAGTGACGATCGTTTTTTAAATATCATATTTCATTGTCCAGTACTGTATATGTTAACTAGTAATCAAAATATGATAACGATTGCTTGGTTGAATCAAGGAAAGAGAATTCGTTTTTGTTTTAGTAGAAAGTAGAAATTTCAGATGAAATTTTTGGTTGCTTTTCAAGAGATCTTTTAAGAATCGCAAGAACTTATGAACAACTTTAATAAAAATCAAAGAAAGGGTTTAGATGCCGACAAACATTCGCCACTACTCGCTTTTCCGTGAAGGGAATGAAGATGAGTGGAGAAAGAATAACAAACAATCGCTCATCGATTACAAGGATTTCAAGAGGTGAATAAAGCAATCAGCTAGAGATGGGTTTTTTTGTGGAAAACGAGTCACTTCCACCTTGTTCTTGTTTTCTAAAGCTCTTTTCCACAGCAAACAGCTCTTGTTTTCTAAAGCATGGATACAATAATATTTCAAGCTTTAGAAAACAAGAGCTGTTTGCTAAAACGTGGGACTGACTTATTTTCTAGGGGTAGGCTGATTTATTTTTTTTTGCGTAACTAGATCGTTTGCGCAACTCGCCATAACTTTCTTCTAAGTAAGCCAATCTTTATGAATTTGGTTTCATTTTGTAGATCTCAACAAGTGAAACAAAATGACACCAAAATCATAAAGATTAGTTGACTTAGAAGAAAGTTATGGCGAGTTGCGCAAACGACCCTGTTACGGAAATTAGCCTACCCCATTTTCTATAAAAAAAACCCATGTATACAATGGAATTTAAAGCTTAATATTTACCGTAAATACTATAATAGTCGCGTAGTTGCAAAAGTTTTTTTAGTATTTCATTTTTTTCCGCTCGTACTTTCAAAAAAAATAGCCCTAAATTTCAGTTATTTTTTGATACCATAGCCTGCATTGTAGCTTTAAAACAGTGACAAGAAAAACGCGCTCAAAGCTACACTACGCAACACTCCGCACCGTCATCATGGTGATCATTTATTCCAAACACTTTTCAGCTCTCCTCTTTCACCGTATCTCTACAGAGAGCACCCATACATTCGAAGCCAAGACACGCGAATTGTCGGCTCGAATTTTGTTCAAGTCACCACGAGACCAAAGGACAGGTGACGGTTTGAAAAGAATAAATATTTAAAGAATTTTTCATTACTGAATAAACTCTTTAAGATTCCTTGAGAAAGTCGACCAAACATTGGCCGAGGTGCGAGCGATGCCGCGATTTGGATAAATATTCATTTCTTGTTTCAAATTCATTACTTTTTTTTATTTCTTGTCAAACCGGTGCCCGTTTTAATGAATCAAATCCTTTTTTTTTAAAATTTAGATTTCTAATAAAAGCGTTCAACAACTCACCAATATTTCACAGCCGACGAGCAGCGAAAATGAAGAGAATAGAAATACATTTCGCATTGTTGCTTAAATTTGGTGCCAATATTATTTTCTGGTTTTGGAAAATGAAATCTAAATTGAGATGTGAAATTTGTTTAAAGGAAGATTAGAAAGGAAATGGTTGGCGGGAAGTAAAGTCATGAGTTGCTTTAACAAATGGAAGGCTTATAAAGGGGTGAAAATTGATGTACTGGGAGTATCGAAAAGAAGGGGAAAGCAAAGAAGAAGAAGAGAAAGAAGAAGAGGAAGAAGAAGAGGAAGAAGAAGAAGAAGAGGAAGAAGAAGAAGAGAAAGCAGAAGAAGAAGAGTGAAGTCAACCCAGAGTAGGCGGAGGGGAGTGGAGGAGATCCCCATCGGCCATCACCCACCCCATCCCTTCCTTTACCCCAAACGGGCATCAACACGAGTGCCAAGTGATATAGTGGACGAAAATCGAGTGATTCCCCCGGGGATTTCGAATTTTTCACATCTATCGTTATCTACTCTTCACAAGTTGAACTTCGAAAATCCTTTTACACATTCTAAACCAGTCATTTATTGAACAATTAAAACTAAGTGATTAAAATCCGTTTACCGTATTCTCCCTAATAGTAGTGCACCCTGAGCGTCGCCTAAACTACTCGAAATTTCGAGAACCGCTTATCAGAACCTATCGATATGGGATCGGAAAATGTAGCTGACGATAAGATCTAGTGGGGGATTAGAGCGTTGAGCTTCTGCGAAAACTTTGAAACCGTAAAATAGTGATCAACTCGGCTCACCGGGTAATAGAGAGAATACGGTACTTTATCAGTAAAATAGTTAACAACTACGCGAGTGTACGCTCAAAATGACATGTGTTACGGTGAAAAAGTTAAAGTTAGTTAAAGCTATCGTATTCTCTCTAATAGTAGTGAACCCAGAGCGTTGCCTAAATTCCTCGAAATCTCGAGAACCGCTTATCAGAACCTATCGATGTGGGAGCGGAAAATGTAGCTGACGATGAGATCTAGTGGGGGATTAGAGCATTGAGCTTCTGCAAAAACTTCGAAACCGTAAAATAGTCACCAACATCAACACCAACCGGGTGCACTACTATTAGAGAAAATCCGTTTAATCGCTCAGTTTTTGTAAAATTTGAAATATAATTGTTATTATTTAAAAATTATGATGCTTGTAAAGTTTGCAAATTAAATAGAAAAATCTAGGCAATCATTATTTATAAATTGAGAGGTTAAAGAAAAAGGAACACACACGTCGAATGACAAAATTTACAGCTAAAATTGGAAATGAATTTGATATATGGCAAAAAAAAAAAAGGTTATCTAGGCGATAAGGGGCCCACTGAAAAGGCTTTGGGCCTTTTTAAGCCTCATCCCCATTCCATCCTCCCCATTTCTTTTTTTTTTCGATTTCAAATTGCAATTTCTTTGTGGCTTCTTTCTGGAGCCAAAAAGAGGGGAATGGATGGGCCATTTTCCTTTAGATCTTCCTCAAATTCTACTACAACTAAACTTCATTTCTTTTTCTTTCATCTCCACTCTTTTGCATATAAAATTGGCTTCAATTTGGCTTCAATTTTTTTTTTTTTGTAGATCCATTTTTCATTTTACATGCTTTCAAAAGAATATGAGATTACTGAGGCAATCTGAGATAATCTATCGGATTTCCTGGGAAAGTAAACATAAGGATTAGAAAGCTCTCGGATAAACACGCCAAAAAAAAAATGTCAAGAAAATTCAAGAAAAGAGAAAGAGTTGAAGTAAATCAATCAATGGTGAGACGAGAAAAGATGGAGAAAAGAGAAGATGACGATGAATGAGAAGAGGTGGAGAAAGATTGGACAGAGTTTGTGTGTGTGCTTGTGTGTCTTCCCCATTCCCTTTTTATCTTTTCTCTTTCTCGATCGGCTTTTCTCCAATCTCAACTTCATGTGAGTCAACATTTCGCTCTTCATGTAAAGCATTCCATTTTCACTTAAATGTGCCGACAAAATGATTACTTCTCACCTATGTACAATGAAAGCTCAAGATTACTTCAAAAATGAATTAAATCTAAATATCTATGAGGTCTGCTGGAACCCCGGGCAATTTTCTAGACTCTAGAATCTAGGGTATCGTGTACTCGGGTACTTTTAGAGTACTCGTTAAATCATGAAAACTTATTATCTTTATTACTCTTTATTACCTTAGTATCTTCATGTACAGCATTCCCTTTTCACTTAAATGTGCCGACAAAATGATTACTTCTCACCTATGTACAATGAAAGCTCAAGATTACTTCAAAAATGCTTGAGCTTCCCCCCAAAAGGCTTACTATTAAGTTAAATGATAAAATTATAGCATAGCTGTGCAAAAAATGAGTTAAATTTAAATATCTATGAGACCTGCTGGAACTTCGGGCAATTTTCTAGAATCTAGAGTATCGTGTACTCGTACTTTTAGAGTACTCGTTAAACCATGAAACCTTATTATCTTTATTACTCTTTATTACCTTATTATCGATTCTTTATCTTACTCTTTATTATATATTTCCATTTTCTAAAATTAGCAAACCTTTTTTTTGAGGTTTTTCTCTATAAGACTCATTGACTCATTGCAGCCACTCCCCCAGTAAAGAGAATCATTTCGCAACTTATTCATTTAAACATTCAAAAGATTGAATGGCATTCAATCTTTTGTTCAATTCAATCATTCAATCAATTCAAACATTCAAAAGATCATCTATTGAATGGCAGATTTTTTAAGATAATCTTAGCTTAATTGATAATAAATCTTTCGTAAACTTTAGATTTTATAAAGTGGATTAAAATTGTGAAAAAAAAACAAATTGAAAGGAGTTGGGGTTAGGAGGGATAGTCGAGAAGGGGAGGGAAAATCTCAAGTGCCACTCTCCAGGGAACCCGGGCAGCCTGAGGACGAGGATTTTTATTTTCTAGAAATTCAAAAGGAAAAATGAAAGGAAACACTTTAAAATTTCCGTAAAAAGGGAATGAGGAAAAAATGGTGAAAGCTGAAATAGAAAAAAAAGAAGAGAAATGTTGTTGAAGAGGGGAAAAGAGAAGTGAAAGACTCCTCTCACTACTCACGCAATTAGACTCGCATTTATGCATGTCTCCCTTCTAGAAAACCCTCTTTCCACTCTTCATTCAATAAATATTACGAAAATTGAGAAGAGAACAGAATAAAACGCAAATTATTCATTAGATAGCTATGAGAATGAGAAAAGGTAACTTGAGACGAAAGAAAGAGAAAGAGCAAGAGATTTTTGCGTCTAGGAATAGTTTGTTTTTAATTTAAAATAGTCTAGCTTTTGTTGGATTCATTTCTTGAAATGATTTAAAATGAAATGATTTAAAATGAAATGATGGGGTGGGACAAATGCGACCTTTTTTTTGCGCACCTGGACATTTGCGCACCTTTTTTTGCTGGAAAAGGCCTTAGTTGCCTGAGCTTCAAAAATGTTTTCATAGAAGGGAATCGTATGCGTAGATTCCGAATTTCGACAAATCAGACCTCGCTGACACGTCAAATTTGGGCTAAAAAGCAAAAACTACGCAACTTAACGCTTTTCCGCTTTTAAATTATTTAAAATGAAATGATTTAAAATGAAATGATTAAAAAAGAAATGATTAGACTTTTTAAAAAAAGAAAGTCAATGAAAGGGGGATTACCATAGGCAAAAATCGAGAGAGAAAGCGTGGAGAAACGAACGGTGAAGGAGAAACGAGATTTACGAGGATCGGGCAAAGTGAGGAGTGATTTGAGGGGGGAAAAAGAATCAACAACGAGACATAATTTATCCGAAAATCCGCATGATTTATGGAGAAACGGGTTTTGCATTTTGTGCACACATGTCCACACTCCTCCCCAATTAATCCCACAATCGCTTTTCCTTTTCGAAAATCCTCTTTTCACCCATTGTCACTCTAATTAACCCTTCTCGATCAAGTTTTTGAACGAAATTTGGAATTTTTTAAAAACTTTTAGGTAAAGATTAGATTCCTTTCAATTCTTAAAAGAAAAAGTCAATTTTTTAGCAAAACTACAACTGTTTTTAAGCTTTTAAGCTTATGTAAAGATTTGATTCCTTTCAATCTTTACATAAGCTAAGCCTTTCAATTCTTTAGCAAAAGAACTACAATTGTTTTTAAGCTTTTAAGCTTTTAGGCTGTTTTTAAGCTTTTAAGCTTTTAGTTTTTTTAGTTCTTAAGCTCAACTAAACTGCAACCTTGACACTGAATTTTATAAAATCTTAAATCTAGCTTTTAGTTTACTATTAATAAACTTTCCTAAGCTTTTTACTAAAGAAAACTTTTCCGGAAGTCTTTAAGAAAAGAACAAAATGTTTCGACATGCCAATTTTCAAGGATTTAAGAAAAGAAGAAAAAAAGAAAACCGAAAAAATGAGAGGAATTAGGGGAGAAAATCGGCGGAAGTTGATTGGCGGTAAGTGGGGTGACGAAGAGAAAAGAGTCAAAGAAAAAAAAAGGACAAGAAATGGACAACGAATCGAATCACTCACCAATAAATTCTTTCATTTTATTTCTTCTAACACCTTTCTGCTCGTTTTTCTCTCATTCACTTTCAAAAAAAATGATTAATGGAGGCTCGAGGTGAAAAGTTTTTGATGGAATACAATGGAGTTGACCTAGAACGAGTTAGGACAGTGAAATGAATGAAATCTTTTGCAACTTTGAAATCCCAATTTGTTTAGGTTCCAGTCTGTTTTTATTTATCATTACTTTATCAGTATGTTTATTTTAGAATTCTTTTAAAGTTTAGCCTTTAAAGCTTGCTTAGCTTAGCCTTTAAAGCTTAGCCTTTAAAGTTTAGCCTTTAAAGCTTAGCCTTTAAAGCTTCTAAAGCATTTACCTCTAATGATCTAATGATTGAAAAGTAAATAATTAAAATTTCGTGAACAATGGACCAAAAGAATTTACAACTATAAGATTAGATTGTGTTTAGATGAAATTAAGTATTAAGTCTTACCCTTTTCCCTTTTATTTCTCTTCTCAATGAATCAAAGAACGTCAATCGTTCCGCTAACCTAATGAATTATTTGAATCTGATTCAAAAATCATTCCCCCATTGCAAAAAAAGACTTTTTTTTAATCTTTTTGTTGCAAAAGAAGAAAATTCTATCAATTCATCAATTCCTAGAAGAATTTGTCTCTACTCTTAATGAAAATAAAACGAAATTTCGGAGAATCGACCCCTCTTGGGATTTCTCGAGTGTCAGTTTTCAGTGTAAATCTTCTTCAACAAAAAAAAAGATAGATATAAAGCTTTCTTTATAGAAAAATTTATTAGAGAGAGATTTATTTATTCAAGTAAATTTTTACAAGCATGAATTAGTTAGATTTGTTGTAAATCTTTGAGCATATTTGGGAAAAGTATTCATATCAAAAAGCCAATAAGCCCAGGTGTTTAGATTGAGCACGGTAAACATAATGCAGAAAATGTTTAGGAAAATTCCACATGATGCCTGAAAATTGAATAATATTAATAATCTTTTTGATGAGTTTTATTTAAATGACTTATGATGATCTATTTTATATATATGTCGTAGCCGATGAAGTCTCAAATTTTTTCGCTAGCGAAACCTTCTTCGGCTAGCCGATTAAGTCTCAAAAATGAAATCCTGAGTTATGTATTGACTCAAGTCAATACCACAAACTCAAGCTCTCTAAAAGGCGCTTAAAAGCTAAAAACGAATTCTAGTTGTAGTTGCATTCATTTACGAAATTCAGCCGCTAACGAATCATTCGTTAACGATTTGCGATTTGAGCTAAGCTAGATAATTGCGTCTTGCATAAAAAGTTTGAAATCAAAAACTCATTTAAATCGAGCCATGTTCGTAGAAGCCGATTACAAATTGTACACGGCTAGCGAAAAAATTTCATTCGTTATCGGCTAACCGTTAACGAATCATCGTTCATAAAACAGAGCTTTGAAAATACAAAACTAACAAAACAAACAAAACAAACAAACAAAACAAACAAACAAAACAAACAAAACAAACAAACAAAACAAAACTAACTCACTAACAAAAGGCCAGCAACATGGGCTTAGGAGAAGCACGATAATAATGAATAATTTGCAAGTCTGCGATTGTTTGACTATTTTGGACTGAAAGTTATCAAAATAGTCTAGTATTGGACCTTGAATGTGAAATTTGAAAAACTTTGATAATGGTTCATTGAATCTAATTGTAAATTGACCTGCATTTTCAAGAAATGTCCTTCGATTTCTGGTCACAACAGGAGGAAAGTGATCCATTTTAAAGATTATAAAGTTAAAATAACGGCTGAATTTCGTAAACGGCTACGACATATATATGTTGTGTCCGATTTAGATTTCCGTCCGATTTAGATTGAATCTAAATCGGACGTCCGATTTAGATTGAACTTATCGCGGACGTCCGATTTAGATTACAGTCTATATCGGACGTCCGATTTAGACTCAATCTAAATCGAACGTCTTATATAGATTGAACAATAATATAAACATGTTTAGTATATGTTCTTAAGCGTTTTCTGTAGTTTTCTGCATTTTTCAAAGGTCTGTTACTGTCTTTTTCTGAAAAGAAAACCCAACTATGAAATAATCAATAAAAGACCTTTGAAAATGCAGAAAACTACAGAAAACGCTTAAGAACATATACTAAACATGTTTATATTATTGTTCAATCTATATAAGACGTTCGATTTAGATTGAGTCGTCCGATATAGACTGTAATCTAAATCGGACGTCCGCGATAAGTTCAATCTAAATCGGACGTCCGATTTAGATTGAAAGATTAGATTCAATCTAAATCGGACGGAAATCTAAATCGGACACAACATATATATATTCTTTATTCAGGGGGCGAATAGGACCGAATCAGATAATCATAACCGCATATAACATTTTGCTGATCTTTTTTGTGAAATATGATAGCTGATTTTGTTTTACTTTGATCTAATAAGATATCTTTGTAGTTTTTTTTATTGTTTTTGAAATGAAATCTTGTTAAAACAAAAGATCAAATTACAAATTACAATAGATTTTTTACACTTACCATATCCATGACTGAAAGAGTTTTCGTTTCATAAACAATTGCGTTCGATGAGGTGGCCATTGGGAGCATAAAGGAGAATGATGGACCGATTGCGCATGGAATCGAGAAATATAGAGGATGAGCACCGACTTTCTCTGCCTAAAATTGATTTGAATTTTTAATATTTCGACAATTGTTTGACATGTAGTTACAGTATATACAAGAAATTACCACATTGAATGCTATTGGAATGAAAATGCTAGCCGTTGAAGTGTTTGTCGAGAATTCGGTCATTGTCACGACGATTAACGAAAGGATTACCTGAAAAGGTGTTGTTGAACAAATAGCTTTTATTAGCTAAATAGCTAAATAGCCATTTTCATTACTTGGCTTTTATTATTTTCATTACTTAGCTTTTATTACTTTCATTACTTAGCTTTTATTACAAACAAATAACAAATAGCTTAACAAATAAACAAATAAACAAACAAAGAAACAAATAACAAATAGCTTAACAAACAAAAACCCTAGCTTTATTACTTTCATTACTTAGCTTTTATTACAAACAAATAACAAATAGCTTTACAAACAGAAACCCTAGCTTTATTATTTTCACTACTTAGCTTTTATTATTTTTATTACTTAGCTTTTATTACAAACAAATAACAAATAGCTTAACAAACAAATAAACAAACAAACAAACAAACAACGAATAGCTTAACAAACAAAAACCCTAGCTTTATTATTTGATAACCAAAATTTCGCAAGTTCACCTGCATCCAAACATGAGGCAAATGCGACAAATGCGTGTCGATCTGGCAAGCAATCCATCCAGCCAAACCGGACATCTAAATGAGAATTCCAATTCAAAACATTAAATTAACCTATATGCAATGACTCAACAGAAATATTTATTCAATAAAACCATCTAAATCAAACAAAATATTGTAATTTCCATCTTTTTTCAATAACTTGTACTCATTTTACTAGTAGAAGGCTCCTTTCTCGTAAAAATCTTTCGTTTTAAGTCAAAGTTTTGTATCCATTTTTGGCGCCTTTTCAGCAGAATATGTCTATTTGGTAAATTTGCATTGATTGACAAAAGAAATAGTTAATAAAGTAATCAGAAAGTATACCAGATCAGTGAAAGTGTTTTTAAAAAAAAGGAAATCTGTCTTTAATGTGAAAATTTCCTTTCTTTTCTGTGACTGGTTGAATCCAATAATTTAAAGATAATTATTTACTCTTTAAATATTCTAATTTTCTCTGAAATGATACACCAAACCTTGACACTTCTACTAATCGCAAATCCGGCTCCAAGCAACAAAATGATTGACCATTGGAAACGTTGCGAGACGCGAGTCCAATCGAGAAGTGCTCCACGAGACAAAACTAATCAAATCAAATCAAATCAATCTTTTTTTTTCAAACTCACTTTTTTCTTTATAAGCCTCATCACCAGTTCCACTTTGAAAAATCAATGGCTTCTCTTTTGGCCAAACAAACATTAGAACAGAAATGAAGATCCCGGCTAGAGCATCGGATGTGTAACCTCTGCAAAAAAAAAAATGAAATTGAAATCGTTAAATAGTAAAATACTTTTTAAAAACATTGATCCATCCTGGGAACACTTTTGGATCGCATGTTATCCAAAGAACGATTGTGAGAAGAAAAAAGAATAGGCACGACTTTTCAGCGAAACTGAATTTGAATGAAATAGTTGAACACTATAATAGATAATAGTTGAACACTATAATAGATAATAGTTGAACACTATAATAGATAATAGTTCTACACTATAATAGATAATAGTTGAACACTATAATAGATAATAGTTCAACACTATAATAGATAATAGTTCAACACTAGAATAGATAATAGTTCAACACTAGAATAGATAATAGTTTAACACTATAATAGATAATAGTTGTACACTATAATAGATAATAGTTCAACACTATAATAGATAATAGTTCAACACTATAATAGATAATAGTTCAACACTATAATAGATAATAGTTCAACACCACCTCATTGGTCCCAATTCTTCGTAAGCTTTTGAAACAGCGCTTTTTGTTCTAAAATTGTTAAGTGACAAGAGTTTTTACTTTATTCAACCTTTTCTCTTCTTCAATCTCCTCATCAGTTGGTTGTTTGAATGCACGAAAAACGTAATCAACTCCGATAAATTGAATCTTAAATAGAAACTACTGTAATTAAGATCTGCTAAAACAAAAATAGCTAAAGTAATGAGAGCTTACTTGAACAACAAGCCAACTAGAGAGCATGTAGAGGATCATTGGTGGTATTTGAAAAGCCATCCAGGTCAAATAAGTGATACCAGTTTCTTCTGGTGGATATCGTCTAAACTTTTTTTATATTTTATATTGTATTCATTGATAGAATATTGATAGAATATTGTTAGAATCTTATATTAATAGAATATTTTCATCCCACTCACTCATAAAGTGTTTGTCGAAAGATAAGATTCGGGCCAGTGGCGTTGATTGTGCCAGTACCGCCGATGAGTGATGCGTGCGCAACGATTAACATCATTGCTTTGCAGATACCTGGATCAGCTTTTGCTATATTGCTATTGCTTGTCATCTTTCTATTATTGCCATCTTTCTATTATTGCCCTTTTCTTCGTTCTCTTCTCAACCTCGATCTCTTTTCGATAGCCGCTTCACATCAAGCACCTCAACAGCTGCACTTGTTGCTATTCCAACTTCTTCATTCACTCCAAACGATCCCTTCTTTTCTATAACCTTCAATTTCCTTATTTTTCATTATAAACACTTGTCATTCGTGGTATCATTATTGTTTCCAAAAGAGCAAAAGCAATTGGAGCCATTAGGGCAGCGGTAGCCGTATCGGATATCCACAGTGATCTGTAGACAATTTTTTTCAAAACATAAACATTCCTACATGAACCTACATGAATGATGTAATCGCCATAAAGCCAAACATTAACCTAAAAAAAGTGATAGTTTTTAGTCGTCAGTTAGAAAAGAAAAACCATTGCGGTTTTGAGCCAACATAGCGGAGAAATTTGAGCGCCACTCGGCGATGCAATCCGCAATCCTCAACAGCCAATGCAATCAACATTGAGCTCATGAAAAGGAAATTTGTATCCTGTAAAGGTGTTATTCATTGTTATTCATTTTTTTGTATAAAATAGTGCTCACATTCATGTAGGCAGTACTGGTGTCTCGGATTGTAATCACTCCGAGAATCGGCAACACGATTATTGGCAGAAAAGCCGTCACACCCAGTGGAAATACCTTGGAAAAGTTTATTAGGGAATCGTACTCCTGCTGAACATAAGTCCCTTTAAAATCACCACATCCCAAGGCGAGATGGCCGAGCGGTCCAAGGCGCCAGTTTTAGGCACTGGTCTCTTCGGAGGCGTGGGTTCGAATCCCACTCTCGTCAGAAATTTTTGCTTTTTTTTTCCTGATCGTCACTTTCAACTCCATTTCTTTTGTAGTTACCTCTACAACCCAATAAGAAGACATCAATAAAATACAGTAAGCACATCTTGCCGCCTAAAGTTGTTAGACTTGCTAAAATTTCTGAAATTACCGCTGTTCCGATGAAAAGTATCGGTAGAAGAAAAATGGGAGCTATGAAAATGAAAAAAACGCGAAAGTTGACTCGGAAGAATTGCCATAGTTTTTGAAAATCCATTTAATGTCTACTTTTGTTAGACTTTTACGATTCAAATAAATGTGAACTTTTTCAAGCGCTGAATTTTATGCAAATCTCAATCACTTGCATGAACCCGTTGATTCTTTTTTGCCATTTCAATGATGTTTTAACTTTTTTTTCTTTCTAATATTTATCACATCAATAAAGTACAGTAAGCATAGTTATAATCGATATTTACGATAAAATATTCAACGTAGTTTTTTGAGTAATAAAGGAATTGAGCATTGACAATAAATACCGTAAATACTGTAATAGTACCCCACTCCCATAATGAAGGTGCGGAGTGTTGCGTAGTCTAGCTTTGAACGCGTTTTTCTCGGCAATGGCTTATGCTACAATGCGCGTTTAGGTATCAAAAAATAACCCAGAATTTCAGCTATTTTTTGATACCAAAGACGCATTTTTTGAAAGTACGGGCGCTTTGAAAAAAATGAAATACTAAAAAACTTTTGCGACTACGCGACTGTACGAGGGGGGTGGGGGTACTATTACAGTATTTACGGTATGGCTATATGTACAAATGATTTCAAATCACATTGATTGGCGTTTATGTAAAAGGAGAGATTTTAAAGAAACCCAAAAATCTAAAGAAAAACATGATTCTTAATTTTAAAGTAAAAAAAGTAATATAAGCTCTAGAGTAGGATATTTTAAACAAAAAGAAAACTGGCTCTAAACTTTTGGAGCACCAAAACTAGTTACCTGATTAAAGAGTTAAAGAGATCTATATTATTATGATAAATAAGTAGTAAGTGAGAAGTTGATTATGGATTGTAAAATCTTCTATTTGGTCAATGATTGGAGGGAAAAGAGAAAAAAAAAGAGAGCTAAAAGGAAGCCGCGAACCATGACTATTAAAATAAACGACTAAAAGAGAAAGAGAATTGGTAAGATTATTGTAAAAAAAAAAAAAAGATACCATTACTAAATGTAAAATTAGTATATGAGATATTAATTATGTTTAGCCCGATTCCCGCGTGCATAGGCGGCCCAGCGTTGCGCGGTGTCGGCGAGAAGTTGTTCGCCTGTGATGATATGAAGCCATTCGATCAGATACACGTGTACTGCATGATAATCCCATCTGAAAACTGTTTTCAAACAACTTCTACATAATAAAATGTTTAAAAGTTTTAAAATTACGATATTAATCATATTTTTAATACTTTCTATTGATACGATTCGGTTTCGTTATCATCGTACTTTACAGCTATTTTAAATTTTTTATACTTGCTCGTCTTACCGTACTCACGGTTGTCTATTTTGTGGAGAAAAATTTTTGCAAAATCATTTCATTCTGGAGAATTTGGAAATTATCGCTTGTTCCCGTTGTCCCGTTTGTTTTATTGTTTGTTATATGTTTTATTATTTTAGTCCCGTTATTTTATTATTTTATCCCATTGTTTTATTATTTTAGCTCCGTTATTTTATTATTTTAGTCGCGTTATTTTATTACCAGCAGAAAACGCTCATTTCGTTCGCGTTTTCCGCTGGAGAGGCGGGGAACACGCATAGTTTAAAACGCCTATGTACAATAGGAAAAGAAAAGACCAAAAAACAGGAATTGTTTTCGTCGAGCGCGCAAAACTCTTTCAAATGACTAAAACTACCGTAACCCATGTTAAGTCCCGCCCCTTTTTAAAAATGGACCCAAAAGTCAAATTCTCCATAGCCGAAAGCCTCTGAAAGCCAAATATCGCGAGCAAAAGCTGAATAATTTGCCTTTTAACCAATAGAGCAAACGAAATTACGGAGCGTCGTGTTTGCGCACAGACAGACAGACAGACAGACGTCTCTTCTGCTTTATATATAGCAGATTTTAATCGCGTTTAGTTGTTTTAAATAAATTGTCCAAAACCTCTAGAGTTCTTTACTTAGTACGGTGTCTCTGAGTGTAGTTGAGCAGCTTTGTGCGTAGATTTTTGTGATTAGATTATCTTTGAAGCGAGATAAAGCTCGCAGATTTTTACTGAGCAAACATAATTGATAATTATTTGCATACCTGGCTAGATTTGGAGCCGATCCTAATCCGACATGCCGTAGATCATAGAGCGAACCGCTGCCAGTGTCGAAAAGTGGAAGAAGTGTCAATAATGAACGAGTCCCGTTGATGAACAATTGATTCGCTACGTTGATTCCTTCTAAACTATCTTTTTACTTTTTTTCCACTTTATCTTTTACCATCAACTGTTTTATTGAATTCCTTTGATGTTTCAACATTCGACAAATCGTATAGCCCAATTAAACTATACAGAAACCCGTTGAGAACGAAAGAGCCGGGAGTTGTTGGATACTCTTCGTACCTGCATTTAAAAGGTTTACCATTGAAATCTTTTAACTCACCAGTGCATATTTTCCAAAAAATCATTTCGAACTCCTCCATCATTTGCTAGCTAAAAAATTTTCGAATTGATTGATCTTTGAAGTTTTTTAAATTTATTTATCTATATATTTACTTTTAAAGGTAAATACCGTAATAATTCTAATAGAAGACCATGGTCTTCTAATTTTCAACCCCTTCCCCAAAGGGTCTTCTATTAGAGACTGGTCTTCTGTTAGAGACTGGTCTTCTATTTTTCAGCCTCCCTTCAAAAGGGTCTTCTAATAGAGACTGGTCTTCTATTAGAATTATTACGGTATATAGATAAATAAAACCACAACCACCCTGAAATCAGACCTTTTGGAATAACTCCATGCCTTTGACGGCTGATTGTAGATAGATTTCATTTTTTGTTACTGTCCAAGCTCGAGTGAGAAGTGAAAGCATGTGGCCTAAACGTTTGGTAAAAACTAGAATTTACAATTGTTTCTGCTTTTAACGATAGACTGTTTTTTTTGTCCTTTGTTTACCTTGAGCCATTGCCGAATACCATCCGGGTGGTAGTACAAGTTTTCGTTCAGCAATCGATCTTTCAACTGGAATCGACCAACCACCCTGAAATCAGACTTTTTCTGATTTTTGCAACTTGTTATCAGACCTTGCTGTCTTGAATTTGAACAGCCCAATCAGCTGCAGTTAAGAATAATTCTCGATGAGCTTGTGGCTTTTGGTAGATTCTTTGCAGTAGAGTGGCCTCACCTCGAAAACCAACAGAAACATATTTCAAGTCTCCTAAAAGTTCACAAAATATTATGCTTGTAGAGCAGCTTTGTTATTTTCAAACCTGGATGATAAATGACGTTATCAGTTTTCTTTCCCGCTCCAAGCGTGGTCATCGCTCTGGCTGCATCGACTAGAAGATCTCTTGTTACATTCGTCCACTCATTCGACGAATCTCCCAAAGCATAGGTGAATGAGATCTAGATTTTGTTTCCATTTTCTTTTCATTCTCTTTTCATAAGCTTCTTTACCTGATCTTTTCCCGCTGCCACTTTATCTGCCCAGACACACCGCGTATCCTCGACTTGTACATAGTTCAGTAAAATCAACGACCCGGTCTCCAAGACTTTTACCTAAAATAATCTCAATAGGCTTTTAAAAACACAATTCTTTTTCCTTTCAGCCAAACTTACGAGAAACGTGAAAGACGCATTCTCTGCCGGCCTCCAGCGAAAGTGAACCACATGCAAGTCAGGCTCATTTTTCAAATACACGTACACACCCGCATTTGTGAGTTGAGCTAAAGATTTGGAGGTTTACGATTGTTCAGATTGTTCAGATTGTTCAGATTGTTCCCTTACCTCCTGCACTAACATTTACGTATTCAACTCCAGTCTCATCATCTTTGAAATATGTTCTAACGCTACTTTCATGCACCGTTGAAGCCGAGCCCTGGAGATTTTGAATTGTCGAAAGCAAACTTTTTTTTACCTGCCAATCTCTATGCTCTTTGCCCAATTCGACCAGTCTGAGAGTAGACTCATTTGCTAAAGATTAATTAGAAAATTGTGTTTCTTTAGCAACGAACCAGCCAGCATTCGGCTGTAGTGTTGAAGGCCAAATTGTGCGATTTGAATTGGATAGTAGTAAGGAGTCGAATCCCATTGTGTTGACATGGGAATTCCTGAAAATATGCAAAGTGTTTCTGGGGAGAACTTTCAAGCGTACCAGTGGCCGGGTTTATGCACCGTACTCGATCTCTCGTCTCCACACTGTATGATGCAAAATGACCGAACTCGCTTGCATAAGTATACGTTTTAAATTCCGGTATTTTCACTCTTGCGTACGAGGTTGTCCACTCAAAGTTGTTCTCATCTAAATTCACCGTGCTATTAGGAATTTGTTTTGTTCTAACAAACCGATATCATGTCCCGAAACATCGAATCGTTTTTTGATTAAAGAGAAAGGGAAATAAACATCCTCGTCATCTTTCATGCATGTCAACGGTTTTCCATCGGCCGAGCAACGGATTTGTCGCAGATGGCCGTGTTGACCGTGTTTTTTGTCGACAAAATTCTCCCCGTTTCCCCCTTTCGGTTGATTATATGCTTGTAGCGGATCATCAGCGATTGGCTCTGATTATGCATTTGTTTTTTTTTATTTCTTTTCTTTTACTTACCTTGCGTTTTATTGACAAAGTAGAGATTTAAGACAAATAGAACCGCAATTGCCCCAAGAAGGTATATCGTTTGTCGACGGCCCGAATTGACCATTGAAAAATAATGATAACATGAAGTCCTTGTGTCCTTTATAAAACTGTCATCTGCTGTCTAAATAATTTTCTTTGAATAATTAATAAATTAGAATTAAGTTAATTGTATTCATGGATAAGGCTAATATCTTTTCAATGTCCAACTTGCAAGACATTCGCAAAGTTTTTAGGATTGTCACGTTGCTTAGAGTAAATTCAAAAACATTTTCGAGATGATAAACGAAACGTTTTAAAAGAAAACTATCATGTCACTTGTTTATTTTCACTTTCATTTCTTGATTTTCAAATTTGTTGTTCTTTCCAGTAACTTAAGGCGTATTAACATTGTTTAGGGAAATGTTTCGTGCGCTAACCTCAACTCGATCTGCGTTTGTTTATGGAGCGCAAGTGGCACGACTCTCGACAGCTAAAGGTTTCTTTTACATAATTTTGGTTAACTTACCAATTTTTCGATTATTATTGAGCTTATTTAATTGTTGATCGATTGTTGAACCTATCAATTTAGCACACGAGATGATTCACGTTGAACGAGTCGGCTTGAATGGAAACGTCGGACTTATCAAGCTGAACAGGCCAAAAGCTCTCAACGCGCTGTGCGGTCAATTGATGAGCGAAGTAAACATTTAACAATTCCATCCATTATCTAAAGTTTAGCTTCGAGTTGCATTGAGAGAATTCGATGATGATGATAAAATTGGAGCCATTATTCTCACTGGAAACGAGAAAGCTTTCGCGGCTGGAGCCGATATCAAAGAAATGGTAAATGTCTTTTGAGTATATTTTATGTGATAAGTCGAAATTTTGATATCCTTTCTTATTTTATTTCTTTAGATTAACAAGGATTTTGCTTCAACGTATAGTGGCCGTTTCCTTGAGGAATGGACAGCAGTTAGCGACACGAGAAAACCAGTCATTGCTGTTGTAAATGGGTTTGTTATTGAGTCAGTAAAAATTTTAAATATTATATTCAGATACGCTCTAGGTGGTGGCTGTGAGTTGGCAATGATGTGCGATATTATTTATGCTGGTAAATAAACAATTGTTTTTTTGTAAAAATCGATGTTCTTTAGGTGAAAATGCTTTCTTTGGCCAACCTGAAATTAATATTGGAACTATCCCTGGTGCCGGCGGTTCGCAGCGTCTCACACGCGCTGTTGGTCGGCTGTTAAATATAATGCTTTTATTTTCATTTTGTCAGGCAAATCGCTGTCAATGGAAATGAACTTGACCGGAAATCGCATTGACGCAAAACAAGCCCTTACATCGGGCCTTGTTTCAAAGGTGAATTTGTTTAGAGAAAACAAAATTGTAGAACTTGCTTTATTTAAGGTCTATCCCACGGATGAAGTCGTGAATAAAGCTATTGAATTAGGCGAAAAGATTGCTGCTCAATCACCGCTCATTGTTGCGATGTGTAAGGTTGGTACTAATTGCTAAATTGACTTTTTGTTATGAAAAATGTATTTTCCAAACATTTTACTATTGTCTTTATTTAGGAAGCGGTCAATTCGGCCTATGAAATGACTCTTCGTGAAGGCTTGCATTTTGAACGTCGTCTTTTCCACAATACTTTTGCAACAGTATGTTTTATTTCTATTACAAACTGTGACTGAGCGTACCTTGTAGAATTTTTCAAATAGCAAACTATGAAGTAGCAGCCCATCTGCTTGTAATCAAGCGCACAATAAAAATTTAACCTTTTTCACAATAAAGTTTTCGGTCAAATATAACGTTTGTCAAGGTTGAGGCTTTACGCGAATAAAAATAGAAAATATCTTTATTACATTTGTATTTTCAGAAAGACCGCAAGGAGGGAATGAGTGCTTTTGCTGAGAAACGCAAGCCAACTTGGACTTCTTCCTAAATGTCATGCCTGAAGGATTGAAATTAGGTTGAAACGTGTAATTATTCTCTTTGTAGATATTAAGTTATCATGTTTTTTTGTTTGTTTTTAAAGAGCTTTTTATCAGAATAAAGCATTTATTCATTGAAATTACGGCAAACGGCGTTTTTTTTAGGATAAAGGATAAGGGTTTCGTAAGGGGAGGTTTGTTTTGGTTGGCCTTAATTGCTTTATTTACGCTCCCGTTCTCTTTTGTTTTGGGGTAGGCGTGACATATGGCCAACCCATCTTCACTCCAATTCTATTTTTTGACTCTCTTATTTTTCAAAATTTTTGAAATCTGTGCTATTTCAGAAACCTTCTTCACGCTACTGATCTGGAATTGAAAATTCTTCAAATGTTTGAGGGCAAACTGTTGGAGTTGCCGTAGTTAGCGCCGACAAGCTATGAAATTTGCATAGAATTTTAGCTACAAGACGGTTGCTCTTGGCTTACCGATCTCAATGTTGGCAATGATTCTTTTATGTGTGTACGCTTCACAATGTTTGGTTAATTACACAAAGAATTCGAAAGTAAGTCCACAAAAGGATAAAAGGCATTTATCAGAGTGAATTGAACTTTTCAGAAAGATGTCGAAGCACAGACGCTTTAATACATGAATTTGTATGGCCAAGGAATATTTTAATAATAATATTTTAATAATAGATTTTTAGGGTAAGGAATTTTATAAGTGAACACAACAAAATGGCAGGATTTGAACTATCTTTTTTCGAGTTTTAGACTCATAACAATCACACGATAAATGACAAAAAAGATGACGAGTCTAAAGAGCTCGAAATAAGCCCGTATTTACATGTGTAAACAAAATAAGTGATTTTAAGGTTTTTTTAAAGCTTCTTCCTTTTATGCATTCTTATCTCCAGAGATCTGAAAATCGAATTTTAAACCTTAGACTTTTTTTGTACATACCTGAAAAATCTTGATTAGCATTGTAGTATTGTTGCTGCTGTTGGTGTTGCTGTTGAGAAACATTTTGACCCATTTGAGCCTGAGATTAGATTTCATTTTTTTTGTTTTCCCTTCTCAATCTTACCATCCCCATTTGATTCCCATAAGCCGCCATTTGTTGAATCGCCTAAAATTTGTGTACTTTTCACTTTTCAGCCACAAATCTTTCACTCACTTGTTGTTGCTGTTGAAAGGCTCGTTGCTGATTGATTTGTTGCTGATATTGTGCTGATGTTGGCGCTTGCTAAAATGTAAATACGTGTACAGTAAAACGTTTTCCATATACAACTCTCAAAAGCGCACCTGATTTGGGAATTTTCCATGTGAAGCTTGAAACCCGGAGCCCATTTGGTTCCCATTTGGATGTGCATAGGAAAGTGACTGATGCAATTGCCGTTGTTGGGGCGATTGTGGGACTTGTTGCTGCTGTTGATGATGATGTTGCTGCTGTAGTTGTTGCTGCTGTAGTTGTTGCTGCTGTAGTTGTTGCTGCTGTAGTTGCTGTTGTTGCTGTTGTTGCTGCTGTTGCTGTTGTTGCTGATGCTGATGATGTTGTTGCTGCTGCTGAGAATAACGCGTTTGTTGGGGTTGTTGGTATGCTTGGCTTAGCCCAGCTGTCTGCTGGTGAAGTTGCTGATTTTGATGAGCGCTCACTTTCTGCCCGCCATTTTGAACGCTTTGTTGGGTTTGGGTATGAGGATGATTGAGATTCCCGGAATGAGACGCATGAAACGAATCAGCGGAGAAAGTTTGAGTCGACGGACCAGCCGGACTTTGATTATAGCTGTGAGTAAAAGAGCTCGAATGAGTTGGGTGGTTGTTGAGCGGCTTGTTGTTGATGTTGGGTTTGGTGTTGCGGTTGACCATAGCTCATCGGCGATGGAGTTTGATGGGTGCTAAAGTCAGTATACAAAAGTTTCTTGATGAAAATTACTAGGCTGGGCTTTGCATTCCGTAGCTTCGCGCGGGTGAGCTCATTTGTGGCGATTGCACGGCGTTCATCTGAAATTCACTTGCTAACCTTTTTCCGAGGAAATCCTAGGTTGGTGTTTTAAAGCATGGTAAAATTGCCGTACCCCTTCTAATTTGCAGGTGTAAAACAACGGGCGCAATTTCATTCTTTCATTCTTGTGGGATAGGCTACTTTGCGCCAAATTTTTTGCGCAACTCGCCATAACTTTCTTCTAAGTCGACCAATCTTTATGATTTTGGTGTCATTTTGTTACACTTATTGAGATATACAAAATGAAACCAAATTCATAAAGATTGGCTTACTTAGAAGAAAGTTATGGCGAGTTGCGCAAATGCGGAAATTAGCTTACCCCATTCTTGTTTTTCATTCCATTTCATTATTTTTGCGTACTTTTTATGTGGTTTTTATGTCGAATAGTGGAATTTGTGGAATGATTTTTATAATTTATGATGCGCCAACCGAGGATTTTCTCGGAAAAAGGTCAAAAGTTGAAATTCGACTCCACTAATTGTGAGAATTCGATAAGTACCTGTTTATTGACGGGTGTATGTGGAGAGGATATTGAAGTAAACGGTGAAGCTGGGGTCTGAAAATGAGGAGTGCCCGCAGATTGGGGCGTTGTCGGCATTGAACTCTCGAGTGGTGGTGCTTGAGGAAGCATTCCAAAGTCCTGAAAGTCTCACTCGCATGATTGTCCTTTGCCAATTCAAACCTTGACGTCAATTCGTTGGCGCTGGCCGCTCAAGTCTAAGGTTGGAATGACGGGTGGCTCCTGCAATCACTTTATGATTTTATAATTATTTGTGAAAAAAAACCTTTCTAAGCACAGTATTAGCAGCGATCCGGGCGGCATTGCGCTGTTCTTCGGCACGCTTCAACTGAAAGTTGTCCTTTTTTCTAGAATTGATGAAAAGACACCCAAAATGAAACCAGACTAAAACGAACGTGCAAAAGTAAAACTGTAAAAGAAATTAGTTGGGTTAATGTCGATTGTTGTCGAAAATTGGGAGAGGGTTAACAAACGAAGAAGTCAAGCAGTGATTGTTACCCTTAAAGCCTCTGCCTCTCGCTCCTTTGCCGCCTCGATCTCTTCAGCTTCTTGAAGATCTTCAACGAGTGCTCTCATCGCTCGTTCTTCTTCCTGGACATTTTAAAACCACTCAGTGCACAACACATAGGTATAAACTTTTCGTGCTTCTGGGATTTAGGGATATTTTTAGACTTAAAACACAGACTTATTTGTACAATACATCAAATGGGGCATGCAAAGTCTTTATCTTTATCTTTATCTTCATTCTTACTACTGGATTGATTTTGTAATTGAACATGTTTTCATGCTAAAAGCTATGACACTAAATTCATTGCGCGTAACAAACCTCTCTCTGCTGTTGTTCTCGATGCTCATTCTCGAGACGAATTCGTTCAGCCTCCTAGAAAAGCTTTGGATTTAACGTTTAGTTCATTGTAGTTCTCACCTCTCGTGCGTTTTGTTCAGCCAATTTTCGGAGTCTTTCCGCTTCCTAAAATTCGATTTTCGTTAGCAGACTGGTTCAATTTCTTAAAAGTCTATGTACAGTTACCTCTCTTGCTGCCTGTTCAGCTAATTCTTTTCTTTTCCGCTCTTTTTCTTCTTGTTCCGCTAAACGACGTTTCCTTTCTTCTTCGGCTTTCCGAATCTAAAAACATTGCTTAAGTTGATGTCTTTTTTCTCCTCACCTTTTCTTCTTCCTTCAGTCTTTTCTTTTCTTCTAAAGCTTGCCGTTTAGCTTCAGCTTTTTGTTCTTCTTTCTAAATTTTTATTATTGAACTGGCCTTAAACTGGAAGTGACTACTTCTTTTCTACGTTTTTCTTCTTCTTCCTCTTGCTTTTTGGCCATAGCAGTTTGCATAGCGGCGGCTGTGATTGAAGCATTCACAGCTTTATTGCCGGCCATAGCTTGTTGCTAAATTTGATTTTGTTATGTAATACAACAACAAAACCAACCATCAATAACGCAGCTGCCGGGTTATTCATTAGCATTTGAATTCTAGGCGCCTGTTTGGGATCATTCAGCGCCTCGAAAAGTTGTTTACTCGATTGGTAGCCAAACATCTGAAATTTTGCATAAATGTATACGCAAACTTTACATATTATTTCTTAATTAAAAACCTTGGCTAATGTTTCGGCTGCCAGAGACATATTTTCGGTTGGAACCGCCTGCGTAACTTTACTCGTTGATGCTGATGTCTGGACTTGTGTAGCATTCGACGTGGTCGGGCCTTGTGATGTCTAGAGTCAAAATTGAAATTTAAAGAAAAAGAAGAAATTTCAGCCATCGCTCAGCACTCTTTTTGATATTATTTCAACGTTCACTGAATCTGCACATTCAGACCATAAAGTCGTGTTATTGCCTAGCGTTTGGGGGTGCTTTTTCTTATTGTATAATCAATTTATGCTTCGTTCTTCACAATCATACGTGCAAACGATTACTAACTTTATTCAAACAAAAGTAACGAATCGGTATAACCAAAAGTCGAAGAATGGATAAATGATGTATTCGTCTGTGCCGAGAAATTCTATATCTGCTAGAGCATGGATGATTTAGGTTTATTAAATTCTTGTTTTTTTTTAAATGATTCGTTACCAAGACCACTAATCCCATGCATAAAATGGCATTTTGTGCTGAACCCACTAAAACCAAAAACAAAATGTTGTGTAAATCAAGGGAAACAACACAAGCACAGACAACACTCCATCTATCCATTCCAAGAATCATTTTAATAAAAACACAACAAAAATAATTCATTCAATAGTACCATTATACGGACTTCATAGAGATAAGTGGAATTTAGTCAAACAGAGGTAGATGTAAATATAGTCATTAGATCTCGTTAAGCTTATTAGAGCATGGTTGCAGAAGGTTGCTTTGTAAAATTCGCGACTTTCATTTTTCCCAACATTTTCTTATCCTAGAGAAACAATTTACTATTAATTACATGAAGTTATTGTATAAGAGCTATACACATTTTGAACGAAAAAAAATTGTTTATCATTGAAAAGCAAAATTACCTGCTCACGATTCTCGGCCTGATCGATTCGATTAGTCAATGGTTTAGGCTTTGTTGAACTAGAACACAAATTCATTACGATCAGAAAAAGAAAAATTACATCTGAAGGAGTTCACTTTTCAGCAGCTCTTTAGCCTTGGGGCATTCTTTTGCCACATGCAGCAGAAATTCACTAAAAATGGTTTAAATGTGACAAATCAATAAGCACAAACTCTGTTGTTATTGGTCCCGGAGTTTCTTTCAAACAGCGCTCAAACATGCCGACCAATACCTAAAAAACGACTTTAATAGTAGTGCAGAAATATTTTAAACCTGTTTCAAAGACACATTTTTGCTTTCGTAAAATTTCGCCACTCCAATTGAAAAAAGTGACAAATCGATTAGGGCAGAACTAAAAAAACTGGGTCAAAATGCAAGGGTAAAATCAGCAACTTTAATTTGGCATCAAATTTGATTATCTTTTTCGGAACGGCTGTACTTCCTCCAATGCTTAACCTAAAAATGGCTCGATATTTGCAAAACAAACAAAAATGTTACTTGAGTTTTTGACTCATAAAATCAATTTCGGCTTTTTCAAGAGCTTCTTTGTACGCTAAATAATGATTAATATTAAACATTTCACCACAAGATTTACCCATTGCAAAAGCTGTGTAAACAGCTTCAAACTTTTTCTGAAGAACCTCCTGGGTGATGCCCGAAAGATTTGGAATGACCTAAAAATTTTAGATTTTACGAACGGATTTTGTGCACAAGTTACCTGATTTGTCGATGCTACTTTAGCGCCCTCCGAAAGTTGAATTATTTGTTTACTAAAAATAATTCAAATAAATTTTTCTATCAATGAATACCCATTTGTTTGCTGAGATACTGATCCATTCTGTTTCGCAGTTACACCATTTTGGTTCTAAAAAAGAATTAAACTAATAAAAACAACATCATTACCGTGTTTGAACTTCCCGGAACTTTGGTGGTTGGAGTTGATGTTACCGGTTTTGTTGCAGCTAAAATATTAATAGTAACTCAAAATTTACTCAAAATGTCTAACCTTTAGATGTTTGAGCTTCGACAACTTTGTTCTCATTTACCTAAAGATTCAAATTGGGATGCTACATTCGAAACGTTTACGGTTTTGACCACATTTGAAGTTGCACTTGATGTAGTAGGTGTTGCCGCTTCATCTAAAGAAAAAAATTGTCTTAGAAATTTTACGGGTCAAACTTTGCATAATAGATTCTGAAGCCGAAAGAATTTCGATGTCTTTCTTGCCCTCGTCTCGAATTGCTTTCATCCTGATTATTAACTTAACCTAATATAATATTTTTTTAAAAACCTGATATACAAAGATTGCTTCTGAATACCAATAAAATCAGCAATCCCTTGAATAACACGGCTTCTTTCATGGGTATTCATCTTCTGTTCCACCATTCTGTCTTCGATTCTAAAATTTTTAAAAACTATTAAGTTGAGTCTTTGTCGAACCCAATAAGCATAAGTACATGGTCACGTTGCAGGCGTTTCTTTTGTCCAGGTGCAGCAAGATTGTGGGTAGCCTAAATTCGAGTAAACCTTCAATTTTGTTTCGCAAACCTTCTTGAACGCATTAATCATCTTGTTCGTTTCATCATCAGGCTCAACTGGGCGTCTTTTAACAATACCACTCTAAACACAGTTGTGGAAGCTCGTCGTAATTGGAAAACCTGTTGACTAGTCGATGGCAAAGTTGCAGTCCCAGACGCAAAAGTGGAAAGTGGTAGATGATCATCATCCTAATTTAATTTTAAAAGTTATCCGACTTTAAAATGAATCTAGCCAACCTTATCAGCTTGAACTGGATTCGCCAAGAGTTTTGATGGTTCATTGATAGACGATGATTCTTTTAAAGTTTCGCTAAGAAGATTTACGTTATTACTAAAAAGACATAAGCACCTGATTGAATTATCTTGATTCGATGTTTCTGTTGGTATCGTTACAAGCTTTTTGGCTCTTTTCTGTTGAAGGCTTGATTTCTAAAAAGCAATGCTAAAAGTTGAGCCGAAAAAATGCTTACAACGTTAAAAGAAGCATCCGCCATTTTTGATTTATCTTCAGCAACGCGTCCATATTTTGCAAGTAGCTTTTCTTCTTTCTGCTTCTTCTTCATCAATTTCGCTTGGTCTTTTAGCCGCTTTTTCTTGTCATCAAACTTTTGTTTCTAAAAATGAACAAAAATAAATGTGTACAAAAAGGAGAGCATACCAAAATGTTACGCATTCTTTTAATTTTATCGTCATCGGGATAGTCTTTCGGTCTTGGTTGTGCAATCCTTTCTGGTGGTTCTTCAACTTCTTTCAATTCTGCCAAACCCCTAGATCATATCTTGTTGCAAGCAATGACATTATTAATCTTAAAGAGAGTACTGACCTGTTAACGTAGAAACCACCCTTTATCGTGTCCACGGAAGGTGGTACCGTTTCGTCAAACTAACATTGATTGATTAAATTTCATAAAATTGCAATACTTCTTCAGAATCATCGATGAAAGGATCATTCTTATCATATCCATCTCCTTTCGAAAGTTGATAAAATTTGGTGACGGCAGGTCTCTAAAAAATTACAAGAATAAGTGAATAATGAAATCGGTTTTGTGAAAGTAAATTTTTGTGACAAATCATCACATTGTGGTAAAATTATATGAGAGTAAAGAAATACTCACCGACTCCCCACGAAGAGCCCTTTGCAAATTTTTTCGAGCTCGACCTTTCTCTTCTTCATCTTCAGCTTTACGCACGTTTTTCTAAAAAAACAAAACTTGTAAAAATTTATTTTTAATCGTTTAGATCGCCATCTAAATTTTAATCGTCAAACTATAAAAAAATACCTGAAGTTCGGTGAGTTCTTGGAAGTCAAACTCTGGATAAGAGTCGTGAGTCGGTGGAAAAAGGTTAATCTCGAAATCATATGATGGTCCGGGGTTGAATCTTCGCTTTTTTTCACTAAAACAAAATGTATAATATAAAAGCAGTAATCAAACCCTAATTTGAATGAACCATCCATAATAACAGATGAGGAACCAGAATATTAAAGATGACGATTTTTTCAAGATGTCAATGTCAGCGATGTGATCGTTCCTTAAGGTGTAACTTGCATTCGAAACAAAGAGTTGAATTGAAGAGAGGGAAATGTAAAATCGAGCTGTGTATGGTCGCGTATTTCCTCACGATAATCGAAAGGGAACCTTTCTCTTCGATCGGCAAACTAAACCGCTTTAAGCGGAAACCCTTATGAAGTTTATAGTTTAGATGTGGCAGTTTGCCACGCAGATTAATTCAGAAAGTTTGATATTTTTATTTTGATTTTTAAGCTAGTCAAAATTTAAATCATTGATGTCAAACTGCAAAGTCGAACAGATCAACGCTAGCACTTTTAGGAATATTTTAGAAAAAATTTTCGCAACGTTTTCAATTTTTACTCTTTTGTGTTTTTGTTTGGTGGAGGCATTTCAATATTTTATAGCAAGTTTTAGAAAGCAAACTTGACTGGTTTAGTGAAAATGAGCAATTCGAAGGTACCAAATGAACCGCCATTCAAGGTAACTTTTTTAAGGAATATATTTCAGGATAGTTCGACCAAAATAAAAACCAAAAAATTGCAGGCATATGTTGGTAATCTACCAGAGGACACCGTACACGGGGACATTGAACAAATCTTGCGTAGTATCGAACTAGCGGATGATGAAGTAAACAAGAATCGAACTTTTCAAATTAATAATGCCATTAGATTCGCCTTTTTGATGTCCGACTCGTTCGGGATCGTGAAACAGATAATTTCAAAGGGTCAGTTTATAGTTAGAAATCACTTTGGAACAAACTGGGAATGCGATACCATGAAAAAAGTTTTAGCTTTGCATACATCGAGTTCAATACGCGCGAACAACTGGAAAAGATGCTCACATTGCACGGAGTGGTGAGGAGTAAGCTCTGAAAAAATATAAAACCAGTTGCAGGACTTTGCCGGCCGAAAACTCAAGGTTGATGTAGCCTCTCCCCCCAAAGCTCGAGATGGCTTCGGTCCCGGACGAGGTGGAAGAGGAGGATCTCGTGGGAATGGAAATAACCGAGGTATGCAAAATTATCTGTCTCAAACAACTCATGTGAATTCAGGACGTGGTGGTGGGCATGCTTCAGCCGATGGTTGGCAAGTTGCCGGCCCAACCAGACACAATCCTCGTGATAATCGGGGTGGACATGGCGGCGGTCGACCACCATACGACGAGCGTGGCTCGAAGGGAGAATTTCAAGACATCACATTACCAGCCGGTGAAAATCGTAAGTCATTGCAATTCTTTGAAATTAGCCTTTAAAATTAGAACTTGACTAAACTGATCTTTGGGTTGACTTCGGAAAAAAACGTGCACCTAATTTCAGCAGCACGAAAGCGACTGGAGCTGAAGCCACGGACAACGGACCCAGCAGCACTTGCTGCAAAACAAAAAGCTGAAGAGGAAGAGGAAGCAAAGCGTAGAGCCAAAATCTTTGGCGGTGAAGCAGCCCCTAATGCATAAGCATCCTATTTTGAATTCCCCAAAAGATCATATCACAGTTCCAAATTCCGAAAATTGTTTTTGTATATACCAAATTGCTCTTTTTAGTCCAAATTGAACCTCGTTGGTGCCTTCAATGTGGGATTCTAGAAATTTAACTTAAAGCTGTTTATCCTGAAACAACGTTTAGCCTTGCCGAGTTGCATTTAGACTACCACTATCTCTGGCTGGGAAATTAGAGTGCCAATTGATTGAGTCTGTTTCGCTAATTTTGTTATTTTCGAAGTTACCTACAATCACTGATTATCTGTTTTACTCCCTCGACATTATCAAGCTTTTAATTGTTGTTAATCTCTCTACTGATGTTGAATAACTAGCAGGAAAATTAATTTATCTACTTCTCAACGATAAATTTGACTTAGAAAAATCTATAAACTCACATGAACGAAGCCTGAGACAAAATATTACAGAGATGAAATAAATAATGCAACAGCACAAAACCAAAAACAAATCAAATTTGCATTTGTCTGCAAATTCACAAACTCGTGAACTGAATATTTTTTTGAGCAAAGCTCTCTGCGTTTTCATTTTGAATTTTTTTTTGTCATTTTGTCATTTCAAGTTAGTAGACATGTGCCCGCGAATCGAAATCGATTCGTATTCGTATCGAATTTTGATTTGATTCGTATCGAATCAAATCAGAAAATTCGATTCGATTAGACCCAAAACTGATTCGAGGTTAAATTAGCCATTGGTTGGGCGATACAATGGTGTTCCCCCCGCACATTTCACTTTCACGTTTAGAAGTTGCGATGGATTTTTCCTAATAGCGGCGGCCCCGGAGATTATCGGCGGCCCATTTTTTCAAGGAGGTTAACGGCTGCCCAAGATTATTGGCGGCCTACTACTTCTGAAGTTTCTCACACATTTATCCGATAACATTTAGACCTTGTAAACCAACGTAACATTTACACAAATATTTCTCACACATTTACGAAAAATGGGTCCACCGATAATCTCCTGGGGCCGCCGCTATTGGGGAAGAACCGTTGCGATATTTTAAACCTAATTTTGAATCTTTACTTTTTATTTTAAATTCCCTTTATTTAGTTGATTGTTTTCAGTGTTCGATACTTGACGTGTACAGATGATGGATAAATCAGCTGTCATGAATCAAGAATCCGGCACTGGTCTTACGGTTAATTTTCTCGTAACACATTACATTATATTGTGATTCAGGTCGTATTGCGTACCGATGGAAAAAGATGGGTTGGCTCGCATATTCGTTGTGCAGATAATTGCCCTGACGACAACCCAGCTTTTAAAAGGTGTTTCGGTTTCGTTAAAACATCTGCCTGCAATAATTTTGTTGCGCGCTCGAACTACCGTACTTTATAAAGCTGCGCTCTCTTTGCTAGCACTTCCTACATAGTTCTGCTCAATTGCCAGTCTTCGGTTGTTTCCTCGTTTTCACAATCCTTTCTTGTTAATTTAAGCCAATTGTTTTAGTTACAATCGTAAACAAGATACTTTAGACAACCGCTACACATCTCGCCTCGGGGAAGTGTTGGTTCACGCAGAATGAGCAATCTTGGGTAAATTTTTAAGTCTTTATGATTAATTTGGATTTTTTTGTAGGGATATTCCTCTTCCGGTGAACCCTTCGGCAGAAGCTACTATATGGTCACCATCAACATCGACGGCGGCGAGTGATTCCTTTGGCAATGGCGCTACTAATCCGGCAACAAATCTCTCGAGCATGCAAGAGTACCCATGGATGGCCTCAGCATTTGGTATGATGCATCCTCAACCACCATCTCGTTTTCATGAGTCTCCCGATAAAGCTGCATTTGGCAGGATGCAGCCTCAACCACCATCTCGTTTTCATGAGTCTCCTGATAAAGCTGCATTTGGCATGACGCAGCCTCAACCACCATCTCGTTTTCATGAGTCTCCTGATAAAGCTGCCAGCTTTTACAATCCATATTCAACGATGCCTTGGCAGCGACAAACGCCTCCTGGTTATAATGGAGCTTGGAATCAACAGAATCAGAACAACTATCAGCAGCAATGGAATCGTAATGGCTCAAACTACGGCAACAATTTTCAACAACAATGGGGTCCACAGCAAAGTTCCGTGTCGCAATCGACGAATAGTTTCAAGCCTTTCAAGCTCGGAATGAAGCCTTTATCAAGCAACTTTATTCCCAGTCAAGCTGCGGGACCTATTCAAAATGAGAACGGAGGCGGTTTTGGTGGCGCTCCAGAAAATGTCAAGTATGATTTTTGATCTTTGGTATATTCAGGTAGAGATTTAGTGGGTTTATATGTAAGCACTCAAAGTAATAGGTGACTAATTTTATTTAAGTGTTGGAGTTAAAGTGTGACATAATTCGTTTATAACGTTGTATAGTGAATGGATTGTTATACATAGTCTAATTATAATCTTTTTGCCAAATCTATTTATCAAAATATTAAAAGTTTCATTTAGGCGCTACATTCAGCGGGCGCGCATGGCCATCGAGCAACGTGATGAAGGCAAACTGACGGAATATCTGAAGAAACGTTTGCATCCGTTGATCAACTCGGGAGCTGTTCGGATGATTAATTGGGATATTGAACCTTTGCCTCACGAAGTTAACTTCGAAATCAAATCTACATGGACACCAGTCAGCCAACTTCAGGGTTTTATGCCCGAAAAGTCACACGGACGATCAAAAAGACCTTATGCTTATGGCTCCGCCGAAAAGAGCTCTGAAAATGTTCCGGTAGAGGTGTTGCATGAAAACGAGATAATTAGTGTTCAGAATTTTCATCATATATGGGAAAGAATATGCAGTTTTTCGTCCCTTAAAATTATGCACTAAACTGTTAAATCAGGGTTACATTAAACAAACTGTATGAAACTCAACTTAATCTATTATCATTTAGCATCCGAAGAAAAAGTCCCAGAAAAAGCCAGTCGCAAGAGGGGAAAGTCAATCACATAGTGCTGATATTTACAAAGCCAGTCCACAAAACCAGGTTATATTCGACATTAAGTATAAATATACTAATGTTTCTTTAGAAAGTTAAAAAAGTTCAAAAATGGAATCTTTCCGTCAGTGATGCCAAGAAGAATGAAAGGGCTTTACGGTTAGAATTTTTAAGAAACGATTTATAATACTTTCTAGGTTTGCTGAAAAGAGCAAGAAAACAACAGCACCTGCAGCGATTGATACTGGATCAGAACTACGAAATTTTCTTGTTAGAGGAACTTGTCAAACGGTCGAAAAAGCTTTCTTCAGATTAACTGCGGTATGTGAGATTTTATTCTATGTAAATTTGCTTTTTAGGCGCCTGACCCATCGCAAGTTCGTCCATTGGAAGTGTTGCAAAAAGCTCTCGAGCTAGTGAAGAAAAAGTATCGGGGTGGCGCCGAATATTCTTATCTTTCGAGTCAGTTGAGGAGTATTCGCCAAGATCTAACGGTCCGTCAATCTTTTAGTTCCTTTTTTTATACGCAATTTAGGTGCAACGCATCAGGAATTTGTTTACTGTGACAGTATATGAAACGCATGCTCGAATCTGCCTTGAAAATAAGGATCGCGAGGAATTTAATCAATGTCAGAATCAAGTATTGCTTAACTTTTTTCTTTAATATTTCTATTTAGTTGAAAGCCTTGTACAAAACTGTGGACAATGCCCCTCACAAAGATGAATTTACGGCATACCGTTTACTCTATTTTGTTTACATGCAAAACTCCACGGACATTCTAACATTACTGAAAGGTAAGTTCCATTGTTTCAAATTTTGTAATTACGTACTTTTAGAAACCAAGACTGCTCATAATGGTGATAAGTGCATGATGTACGCTTTAAAAGTGCGCGAAGCTTGGGCACGTCAATATTATCCACGATTGTTCAAATTGTATTGTGAGGCACCAAAAATGTGTGGATACATCATGGATATGTTTGTCGAACGGGAGCGAAAGATCTTTATGAATCACATTCTGAAAGCGTAAGGCGTCTTATTCCGCTTAGTTATTTTTTCTGACAAATTGTAGGCATCGCACTTCAATCTCCGTCGATGTGTTGAGTAAATGGATGGGTCTTGCAGAGAAGGAGTTAATCGAATGGCTTACTTCTTTTGACATTTCACTGCAAGATGGAAGCTTAGATTGCAAAACTTATGCAAACAAAAAGTTAGAATAGACTCTACTACAAGTTTTTTCTTTTAATTATATCGGTCGTTCATTTATCTTTTTGTTTTGATTTAATTTTCTTCGTTTGATTGAATTCCGTATGAGATTAGGATATTGCGATTTATTGCTAAACTTTTGAAACTTTAGCTGTTATGCGGGTCTTCTTTTTACTAATGTTTGTTTTCGGGTATATGTTGAACGTTGATATAAATATTGTTATTTGGATTATTGTTGATATACCTAAATGGAGGGATGAGAAAATCCAAAGCTAAATTTTTTGCAGGAAATGAATATCTAACTATTTGTATAAAACTTTTGCATCATCAACGCGAGAAATTCGGGAACTCGTGAACGCTGCAAAAGTCTTTTTACAAACGCGCTATCGCTATCGTAGTCTCATCGATATTTAGGCATCTGTCCAGAGAGATTCGAAGTAAAAATTGACACGTTTCTATGTTTTGAAGAGTTTATTGATATTATTGCTATCATTCTCAAGTAGAAAATTTTACATTTATGGTTTATGATAATTTGTTTTAGCCCTCTCAGGAATTACCTTTGAATCGTGAGCCGTTTTAAGTCACAAAGACTTACGAAACTTTTCTACCAATGCTTTTAGTTTTAAGGTTTTCGAATCATTTTGATCTTTAACCTTGATTTTTTTTTAAAGCTTCAAATTTTAGGAATGTGGGAACGCTATATCGTAGCGTTGTTTGTGCTTGTGCACGTCTTTCATGGCGTAGATGGAGACACGATCTCGCTCGATGAAAAAGTTCGCACGCTTCAGGATTGGCTCCACAAGAAACCACTTATGAACCTCAATATGGAACGGTTTGTTTGATTCTTATTACTTTGCTTATCTAGCATATTGGAAAACATTTTGGGCTTCTACGACCCTCTTGTTAGCATTTCTTATGTAGTTCTGTTTAGATGGAGAAATTTGGTGCGCTCTCAACCACGAAACTATTCGATGTTTGTAATGTTTACAGCGCTTTCTCCGGGAGTCAACTGTCCAATCTGCAAGTACGCTAAAAACTTTTTTTGACATCTATGAAGCTTTTATTTAGGCCAGCTTACGATGAGTTCCATATTTTGGCCAATTCGTTCCGTTACGCTTATCCTGAGTTGAAACAAGCTTATTTTGCAATTGTCGACTACGAAGAGGCCCCCAATATTTTCCAACAGGTATGTATACAATTGGAGCTAGATGGATTATGACTATTTTATTTTATTATATATTTAATACGTTATCAGACTATTTGCGTTATTCGTAACTAATTTAGATGAACCTAAACACGGCTCCAGTTCTGTATCATTTCGGACCCAAGCTCACTGGAAAGAAGAAGCCAGAGCAAATGGACTTCCAAAGACATGGAATTGATGCTGACGCTATGGGAAGATTTATTGCGGAACACACTGAAATTCAGGTTTGAAAATTTTGCTATTTGTGTTCTGGGACTTCTTGACCACCATACTTGAGTTTTTCTAATTTTAAGATAAATAAATAACTAATTGTAACGAGCATGCATTTTCAGTTTTCATTAGAAAAATTAGATTAATATAGAATTTTTGCCTTTTTTGAGTCAAATATAGAATTGCTTAAGATTCGTGTCTTGCGGCCTCCGAACTATGCAGCTCCAGTGGTTGTTCTTCTTTTGGTCATGCTCATCCTCGGATTACTCTACATGAAGCGTAATAATCTCGAATTTCTCTACAACCGGACTTCTTGGGGATGTGTTTGTTTGGTATTTGTTTAGTAATTTTTTGGTTTTATTTTATTTTTCTAGTGCATCGTTTTCGTATTTATGTCAGGACAGATGTGGAATCATATTCGCGGCCCACCATTTGTGATGACGAACCCGAATACCCGTGAAACATCGTTCATCCATGGTAGCACACAGTTTCAGGTATCTTTTATGAATTTAAAAATTATAATCTATTTATAGCTTATTTCTGAAACATACATTGTGGCTGTGTTGTATGCTGCAGTAACTCTGGGTTTCATCTTGATGAATGATCCGCTTGACGTGAAATCCAAATCAGAAGGTGATGCAAAATCACGCCCAAAAGAAAAGCCGACCCAGATTCTGCCTCCAAACGGTGAGACATGTCAAAATAAATCAGTGAAATAAGTCCTAGAGGAATTATGTCACTTTTTTCACTCAGATATTTCACCCAGCTATCGAATTACAATTTTCTTCTTGTTATATGGTGTCTTTTAGTAATGGTCTTCATTGGACTTGGACTAGTGGCTGTCTTCTTCTCGCTGCTCCTTTCGATTTTCCGATCAAAGTATCAAGGATATCCATATTCTTTCCTTTTCTCCTAAAACTGCAGTAAAAAGTCTGTGTTTAGGGTTTTTGTTGGTACGTTTTGTGATATTTATTTTTTATAATTTATTATAGTGACTTCTTAGCTTTATTGAAGGCGTTTACTACCTAATTGGAATTTCGGGAATCATGCTCTATGTGAATATCATTTGTTTCTCTTTCATTGTTTGATAAAAATAATTGTTTCGAATTTTAAATATGGCCTAAAAAACATGTTCTAGAAGTGCATCTCGGGCAACAGATCAGAATATGGGTACTCATTCCTCAAAAATCAGGAGTTTAAAGAGGCTTTAAGTATCATTTTGGCACTATCTTCCTCAAATGGCTACGGTGGTAACTAATAATGCGTTATAATAGCTAATAACTAATAATGAGTATTTTACTCGACATTTAAACACAAGTAGCAAGCATCCAGCCTTTCTTTTGCAACCGGAGCTATTTGATTGAATGTGGACAATGGTTTTGTTTGGCGGAGGAAGGCTTGTATGAGACTCGTTTCGAGGAAGCCAAAGGGGAAGCGGAGGGCACAGTTGATCAAACAGCCCATCCCGTCCATTCTTCAAAATCCCTTATTTCATTTCGATAATTATTCACAACTAAATTTTTTTCTATAAACAGACATAAAATGAGATTTCGCGTTCAACTTCCTTTTTTTGGTAGGGTTTATTTTTTTTAGAGCGCAGGTATAGCTGAAAAATTTTTAGCTTTTTTCTTGGATACAATTTTATGTACGATTCTATGTCCTGACGGAAGTATGCCCTATGATTTTGAAGAATGTAGCCAAGATCAGAGGTATTGTTTGTGGTTAACTTATGCAAGACGACCTACTACATATAAGAATTTTTTCATGAAGCCTCAAGAATATAGAAAATCAAGATCAAGACAAGAAAAGTATTTAAGCCTAGATCACAATGCCCTGAAGGCTTCACATGTCGAGATGGAACGTTAACTGATGCACCTGATCAGATTGTGCATGTCTGTTGCTCGACACTGAACATGAGCATTGGCGATTGTCCGTTTCTGTAAACATTACTCTTTTTGTTTGACATAATTTGACAAATATAATATTATATTATAATTATAGTATAATTATTTAATAGTAGACAAAAGTGCTACGGTAGAATGGCCAACAATTGAATTAGCACGAATCTTATCGATAAGCAAATCTACTTACAACCTCAACAACAAGTTTTAGGGCTCACCGAAGCCGGACTCACTCCCAGTCAGATTCCCTATATCCCACTTGTGAAACTCACCGCGGTTTGCTTTACTTTTTTTCTTTAGTGAAAGGAGTTGTACTTTGTTTAGATTTACATCGTGGACCCGTCGACAAACGCCTCTTCTCCACCAATTCACGTTGGAGACGAGGTTTGTTGGTTGAACTCAACAAAACAAACGAGTTTTTCTAGGTGATCGCTCTCTCCTATCCAAACTATGTTACTGCCTCGATTGCAGCGCTCACTTTTCCGGTGCCACCAGTGGGTGGCGGATTTCTCCATGTGTTGACATTGATTGGTAGACCTGCTTATCGATATTATTGATACAAACAGCAAGCTCATATTTGACAGATGTTTTCTAGAATAGCTATCAATCTGCAAATTGGTTTATTGGAAAGCCAATGAATGTCAGCTTTTGATTGCTATTTTATAGCATAGCGACGTTTAATGAGATTAATAGCTGTTCTAGAAACAGATCCGAACAGTCAAACATGAGCATGCCGTTTTTAGGGATAATATCGATATCGATATATCTATTGATTGGTATAGTTGGAAAAGCCGCTTTTGTTATGGGTTTGATTGGGTCTTTTATGGGTCGCGGGATTCGAACCCGCGACCTTTCGCTTATCGGGTAAACGCTCTACTAATGAGCGACACTGACACGTATCCCATTGCCGCCATTGCCGCCTTATACCTTACTGCTATATCTGTATATCTGTAACAAATGAAAAGAAAATAATCTCATTTTGCAGGAAAAAGAAATGACTATAGCTTGAGATTTACAGATGCTGGTGCTTATCCGTTTGCCATTCTCTTGACGGCGAATGTGTTGGCGCCGGCTTCGGTGAATTGTGTGGTTTCCAGTCAAAATGCACCAAATTTCTATTATTATCTCTCAAATGGAACGGTTCCAGCTGGATCTTTGTCGTGTGAGTAAAGCTCTATCAAATCTCTTAATATCAAACTAAACGCTAAACACTAAACGCTAAAAGACTTGATTTCATTATCAAACTCTTCCAGATAGACATCAATACGTGATTCTCGTATTTTCGACACCAAATCAGCTCCAAATCTCCTCATCGGCTTCTTTCGGCAATTCATTCACTCCTTCACAATCTTCGTTAATGGATGGATGCAGTGGGGTATTAAAGGGAAAAGTTTGCAGCTTAAAAAGCTTTTTCAGAATGATATCAGTTGCTTTTTCACGACTTCAACGATCGGAAGTCAATTGGGAAGTCCGCTTGCTGGATCGCTTCTTTATGCAAGTTTTTCTATAAAGCTTTAGAATTTTCATTTAGCTTCTCATAAAGTTGTATATAACTAGAGTGATAGCAATTTTGTGACTAATTTTGTGACTAATACGTTGATTTTTGCAGCTGACCACAGTGAGAAGCCCATTCCCCACAGGTCCCGACACCACCAATCCACAGCAGGATCAAGCCGCCTCATCTCTTCCTTTCCTCATCCCGCTCATTTACATCATTCTTTCATTTTTCGTTCTTTCACCTTTCTAGACAAAAATGTTGAAGAAATATCTGTACAGATGTCGAAATGTTTCTTTTATTGACCATTTTATATGTTGTAGCCCGATTTTGAATGAAATTTTTTGGCAAACCAGGCAAACCAAGCAAACCAGGCAAACTAGGCAAACTAGGCAAACCAAGCAAACCAGGCAAACCAAGCAAACCAGGCAAACTAGGCAAACCAGGCAAACCAAGCAAACCAGGCAAACCAAGCAAACCAGGCAACGGGCAAACCAGGCAAACCAAGCAAACCAGGCAAACCAGCAAACCAGGCAAACAGGCAAACCAGGCAAACCAGCACCAGGCAAACCAAGCAAACCAGGCAAACCAAGCAAACCAGGCAAACCAAGCAAACCAGGCAAACTAGGCAAACCAGGCAAACCAAGCAAACCAGGCAAACCAAGCAAACCAGGCAAACCAAGCAAACCAGGCAAACTAGGCAAACCAGGCAAACCAAGCAAACCAGGCAAACCAAGCAAACCAGGCAAACTAGGCAAACCAGGCAAACCTACAACCCTTATAAGGACAATATTATATCATTTTTTTTAGAACATTATCATCATTTAGGATTAAATTCTGCATTAATTGATACCAAATTTGTATGTTTTGGTGTAAAATTGCGGGCACTACAACGGGTTTCATTCAAAATCGGCGGGACTTCAGTAGCCGATTTTAAAATTCAGCCGATGTTGGATGAGTGGGATCTAGGCGCGTCCAATCATCAAGTGTTTGATATCATTCGACCCAAAATCATTGATAATTATGTTACATTTTTTAAATTAGAAAGAATGCAATTTCAATTCTTTTCTTTTCAATGACTCATCCATCAGCAATTTATTAGCCGATTTTGAATGAGTGCGTCTAAGCGCAAGAAAAAATTTAAAGCAAAAAAACTATTTGTTCGAGAGAAAACTTTGAAGCTCCATAAAATTTTTTCTTGATATCCAATCTTTCAAATTTAAAAAATTTAACATAATTATCAATGATTCTGCGTTGAATGATATGAAATACTTGATGGTTGAACGCGCTTAGACGCACTCATTCAAAACCGGCTAATAAATTGCTGATGGATGAGTCATTGAAAAGAAAAGAATTGAAAATGCATTCAAATGTCTATAGAGTAAGATTGGAAGAGATTCGAGCGAGAAACAAGGCCAAAATAAACATTAAAAAGTTCGTGGAGAGATTTGCCGAGTTGAAAAAAGAATTGCGCGAGAAGTGATGGTTGAAAAGAGAATAGAGAAACGAGGTGGATGTTTGTTTCTTGAAAAGTTGAAAAGTTGAAAAGCAGAGGGGAGGAAACGTTAGATAGTATCTCAAGAGTCACAAATATCTTCTGTGCTCAAAATCGTATTTTGTCTCACTGTTTTTTCTCTCACCTCGAACCGGGTGACATTCGTGAAATTGCTGAGTCCGAGCGAGGGAGAAAATCTCACAAATTTCTTTTTTTTCCCCGTGCTTTCTCTAGATCTTTGAAATGTATCGATTTCTTTTTTTGAAACAGTAAACAAAAAGTGAATTCGATTTATTACTGATAGGGAAATAAACAAGTATTTGATTCATTATTTAGTGATGAACGGATAGATGAATACTATTTTTCAGCAAACTTTTCAATAAAGCGTATTTTGATTGACTTGTCATGATTAGGAGGATCTACTTATATCTGGAGGAACTACTTATAGGAGCTACTTATAGAATCTAGAGGATCTACTTATAGGAACTATTTAAAGGAGCTACTTGTAGGATCTACCTGTAGGATCTACTTATAGAATCTGGAGGAATTACTTATAGGAGCTACTTATAGGAACTACTTGTAGGGTCTACCTGTAGGATCTACTTATAGAATCTAGAGGATCTACTTATAGAATCTAGAGGATCTAATTATAGGAATTACTTATAGGAGCTACTTATAGGAACTACTTGTAGGGTCTACCTGTAGGATCTACTTATAGAATCTAGAGGATCTACTTATAGAATCTAGAGGATCTACTTATAGGAACTATTTAAAGGAGCTACTTGTAGGGTCTACCTGTAGGATCTAGTTATAGAATCTAGAGGATCTAATTATAGGAACTACTTATAGGAGCTACTTGTACGATCTGCCTGTAGGATCTACTTATAGAATCTGGAGGATCTACGTATAGGTAAATAAATATGTATTGGATTTTAGAGTTTGCGTTTTCAAAATCTTAACTAACTTTTGCAACTTTATTTTGATCAGTTTGCACCCATGGAAACCCGATTCCACACAAGATTCCACACAGTAAAGAAAAGATTTTTAACTTTTCTAAGCTTTTTTCAGTCCAATTCTCGCTTTAAGTTTATTAACAGCAATTTGTTTGTCGATTCATTTCAAAACGAATTCATGTCATCAGTAGAATCATCATCTAAAATATGAATCAATTCTTCGCCCAACAACAAAAGCTAACTATTTTGTTAAATTGACTCAACTTCTATTCAATTTCAAAATGCTCATAAAAGCTTAAAAAGTCTATTTAGTTTATTTTGGAAAATGCGGGAAATTGGACTAAATATCTTCTTGATATCGTTTTTGCAATTTTGCGATGGTTTCAATGTCGGGTCACTGTTTGGAGGATTGGGAACGTAAGTTTAAACAAAATATTGTGATTGATTTAGCTGTTGACTAGTAGATAAGTTTATGACTGAAACAAGAATCGAATTAGGATCATTTCAGTGACAGTAAGGCATAAGACCCTAGCCATAGCGGCCCCGGACACGTGTCGGTGTGGCTCATTGGTAGAGCGTTGGGGCGGTAGGCGATCGCGGTCGCGAGAGGTCGCGGTTTCGAATCCCGGTCGCGGGTTACTTAACGGGTTATTTATCTTTTACTTAACTGTTTTCATTCTAGAACCCAATCTGCCGGAGTTCGAGGGATTTTGATGTGTGATGGGAAACCGGCGTCTCGTGTTAAAGTGAAGCTCTGGGATGATGATCGAGGTTTAAATCCTCACTTATTCTGTTTAAATTTTAAAGAACATTTAGTTTACAAATATTTACGATAAAGATAAGATAAAGAAAGATCTTTTGCTAAAGACATCATCTAGGAATTGATATGGATGACTTGCTTGACTCGGGCACTACCGACGCGCAGGGACATTTCGAGCTAAAGGGGTAACTCTAGGAATCCTCTAGGAGTCTAGGAGTCCCCTAGGAGTCTAGGAATCCCTAAATTTTAGTTACACAAGTGAATTCACAACAATTGATCCAAAATTGAACATCTACCACGATTGCAATGATGGGATAAAGGTGAAAAAACGATTCGAATCTTTGAAATCATCGTTTCAGCCGTGTCAACGAAAGTTCAACATCGAGATTCCCGATTCCTATGTTTCGGAGGGTCAAATACCGGAAAAGGTAGCGAAAAACATCATTTCCAGATCTAGAATTTGAGCTAAATGTGAAAAAAAAGCTTACATATAATGTATAGTTATTGCTTGAAGCCATTTTTAAACATTAAAATAGATCTACAACGCGGGCACCATTGAACTATCGGGTCGGATGAGCGGTGAGACGAGGGATTGCCTAAATCGAATGTGATCGAAATTATAAATAATTTTATAGAATTTCTTGTAAATAAAAACTTTGAAATCTTTTGAAATTTCTAAAATCCGACAAATCGATGAGTCAGACATCAATTCGGCGATCTATTTACCGAAATCGGTAAACATATGAAAAAGGAGTGTTTTGTCGTTGAACTTTATTTGATCTACCAGCGGAGAACGCTCACTAACGTTCACGTTTTCCACGCAAGCTAAGCAGCGCCCCTTTTTGCCAATGGTCGCGCACAGACGGACAGACGGACAGACGGACAGACGGACAGACGGACAGACGGACAGACGGACAGACGGACAGACGGAGAGACGGACAGACGGAGAGACGGACAGACGGACAGACGGACAGACGGACAGACGGACAGACGGACAGACGGACAGACGGACAGACGGACAGACGGACAGACGGACAGACGGACAGACGGACAGACGGACAGACGGACAGACGGACAGACGGACAGACGGACAGACGGACAGACGGACAGACGGACAGACGGACAGACGGACAGACGGACAGACGGACAGACGGACAGACGGACAGACGGACAGACGGACAGACGGACAGACGGACAGACGGACAGACGGACAGACGGACAGACGGACAGACGGACAGACGGACAGACGGACAGACGGACAGACGGACAGACGGACAGACGGACAGACGGACAAATCGACAGACGGACAAATCGACAGACGGACAAATCGACAGACGGACAAACGACAACGACAAACCGACAACGGACAACCGACAGACGGACAAATCGACAGACGGACAAACCGACAGACGGACAAATCGACAGACGGACAAACCGACAGACGGACAAACCGACAGACGGACAAACCGAAGACGGACAAACCGACAGACGGACAAATCGACAGACGGACAAACCGACAGACGGACAAATCGACAGACGGACAAACCGACAGACGGACAAATCGACAGACGGACAGACCGACAGACGGACAAATCGACAGACGGACAAATCGACAGACGGACAAATCGACAGACGGACAAATCGACAGACGGACAAATCGACAGACGGACAAATCGACAGACGGACAAATCGACAGACGGACAAATCGACAGACGGACAAATCGACAGACGGACAGACGTCTCTTCTGCTTTATATATAGTAGATATTTATCTATGAAATAGTTTATTAAATTGTTGATTTTAATTAGAAATAAGCTTGAATTCATCGATTTTTGGTAATCAGTGGTGTCGATCAAGATGAAGTTTGAGGCCAGGATTTGGCACTTTCGAGCAATCAGTCTCCAAAAGCGCTTTGCCAAGCTGGAAGAGTTATTAAATAAAAATATCGATAAAATATTTCAATCTTTCAAGTTTTTCTTTTACGAAATCACCTTATTACGCCGATCGTCGATTTTCTCGATCATTTCGCAATGATTCACTTCGAAAACTCCATTTTTGTTTAATCCACCTGAAATCAGCTTTGAATACAAATATAGATTTGATTTGAATTGATTAAATAAAAATTTCAAATTTACAAACCACTCAGCACATATTCCCCGGTGGTCAACTTGATCCCGCAAAGAGCCGAAGCGGTGAAGCTTTTCATTTTGCGGGGTCGTTCCTCGTTCGCCTCATATCTCGTGTTCTATGAGTATCGTTTATCAAGTTATAGTTATCCTTTATCAATTTATTAATTATTAAGCTATCTATCAGTCTATCAAGTTCCCACAGGAATGAATAAAGAAGTAAAGGAATTGGCAAAAACAAGGAGATATCTCGAGATGGGATTGAACCCTCGCTCCTTTAAACCATCCGGCTATTGCTCTAACCACTGAGCTATCGGGTACCTTCACTGTCGGAGAGAAAGAGGGAAACACAAGGGAGCTAATAGTAAATTAGATTATTATGTTACAAAACAAGTTTGCTTTTTAATCTTGTCTTTATCAAGCCAACCTGAATAACTTTGTGAACGGTGATCTCGTAGTCGATGTGTCGATCAAGTTTATGCCCCTCGGTCGTTTCTTTTGCATTGTCGACATCCAAATGCAATACTAGAAAAAGTTAGTTTTCTTATTTCTTTATCTAAAAACCATATGGAAGATAGCAGAATTTCTGTTGTGGAGTCAACCGTTGCACATCTTCGTTACAATCACATGCAAAAGTGACACCAATGAGTGCGAGTGTGAGTGCCAAAGCTCTCATCTCTTAAATGATTTATTCAAAACCAGTGTGAAGTTGGTTTGCGAAAAAGCATGTGAAGAGCACGGAAGTCTACGACGAGACGGACATTTTAAATGCTAATTTCGAGCACCCATAAGGTATTAAAGTCACTATCAGTTCCAGACCGAGCATACACCGTAGCGCTTGTCAATCTTTCATAGCAAAGATAACTTCTTTCATTAAATAACAAAAAAGCAAAAGAATGGGTTCGCTGTCCGAGCCCACGACCCTGGGATCTGGAGACCAGCACGCTATCCCCTTAGCCAAAGCTGCTCCCCTGCGGAAAATCTTCGTACACATGGACGGATAGACAGGCAGACAGTCCTCAATTATCTATTGTAGATAATTAAAAGCAAGCACAAAAGACGGAGCTTATTCTCAAAGATTGCAAAATCGTATGCTTAGATTAGAAATTTCAAAAGCTACGATGTTGTTGTTTTCAAAAATCAAAAGCTAAGCTGTTGTTGTAAAATACTCTCTATTGAACTAGATTTTGAAATAAGAACAACTCAAAACGAAGCAGAAAAACGTAAAAAACGAAATGCAAAAAATAAGCAACAAGGAAATGGGAGTAAATGTTGAGAGTGGATTGGGGGAAATTTTCGGGGATGAGCCGTCGAACGATTGATATCCTATCATCAATTTTCTTCATCCCTTTTTCGCTAAACTCTAAAAAACATTTCACTAGTTAATCAATTGCAGATTGATTGCAAAAAACAAAAATGCTAACTTTGTAAATGCTAATTTGCATTCGGATTTTTGACTTTTTCAATCTAGACATTTGACAGGGGAAATGGGATACGGTAGGGGTGAGTTTGGGAAATGAATGAGCATGCTGAAATCGGGGATGTCAATAAAACTTCGATCGGGGGTCACCTGTCAGTTTTTTTTCTCTTTTTTCTCTTTTTTCTCTTTTTTCTCTTTTTTTCTGCTTTTCTATTCCACAATTCCCAAAATGCCACCATTCCTTATCTATTCACGAATTTCTCAAGTAGATTTTGATCTCCCGGATTTTTGCGACACCATTTTTACACATTTCAACCATTTCAACCATTTCACTTCAATTCAAGAGATTTACATTTGGCTTTAAGTTTTTAATGAAATATTTCAACATTAGGCAATGCTTTTTGTTTTACAATTTTTTTGTAAAACATTTGAAAGCAATAATATTTAAATAAACTTTTAGAAAATTGTTTTGTTTTTTGTTTTGTTTTGTTCCGTTTTTCTATTTTTTTCAAATGAAAATCAAGGATTTTGTAGGACGCAAAATGAATATTTAGTATTTGTGCCGAGTTTTTGTTCAGTTCTTAATCTTTTTTCCTCGTTTCCCAATCACTACAGAACACTGTCGAATATCTATTTTTATCTATTATCTATTGAATATCTATTTTTCTGATAGAGAAAAGAAATAGAAAGAAAGAAAGAAAGAAAGAAAGAAAGAAAGAAAGAAAGAGAAAGAAATAGAAAGAAATAGAAAGAAAAAGAAAAAAAGAAGATAGAGAAATATAGCTTTAACTGAATAAAATTCGATTAAAACATAGATCTTTTCCTCATAGCTGTACAGTATCTAGTTTTTTTGGAGGCTTGGAGGAAACGAGGTGACTTTCGAAAAGCGAGATGAATAATGAAGAGACGTTATTTTTTTGCAAATTGCGGTTGACGCGTTTTTTTTTGGGGTTATTCGAGAAGGGAAGAAAGATAGGCAAGGTTGCGCGATGAAATCGGCGTGCGCGATCTCCCCCCCCTTTTTTCTCCAATCTTCATCTCCCCCAATCATCAATGGGGTTGACCACACCTTCTTCACCCACCAATTCTCAATCTCACATCTTGAGATCTCTTTATTAGTCGCTAGCAAAACAAAAACCATGCTTGATTTGGGATTCTATACTTTTGCAAGTCACTTTTCAAGGCTCTTTTAGATAAATTTTCCATTTTAACTAGTTTTTATCATTTATCTCTTACTACCGTAAATACTGTAATAGTACCCCAACTCCCCCGTAAAGTCGCGTAGTCGCAAAAATTTTTTAGTATTTCATTTTTTTCCAAGCACCCATACTTTCAAAAAATGCGTTTTTGGTATCAAAAAATAGCTGAAATTCAGGGCCATTTTTTGATAATTGTATTGCTATTGTAGCATAAACCAGTGTCGAGAAAAACTCGTTCAAAGCTAGACTACGCAACACTCCGCACCGTCATTATGGGCGGTGGGGTACTATTACAGTATTTACGGTATCTATATTCTGCTATCTATTTAAATTTCAAATCCAAAATCAAAGCTGAAAAACTAAAAGCAAAAGCTACTTTTTTACAAGCTTATCACAAATCTTTCATTGAAAAATCAAACCAGTCCTTTTTTTTACATCAAGTGATTTGTTTAGTCATCCAAACAAAGCTTGAGCTCAAACCTAATTAATTTGAGGTAACTCCGCAAAAGTGACAAGTGTTCGCAAAAAAAGAAACTGTCTCCTGGGCAACACTCACCTTGAATTGCAACTCCTCGACCATTTCTCTCTTTTCCTTTTTTTTCTGTTCATCCTAAATTCTTTTCTCTCTATAATTATCCAATTTGCGGCCAAGCCCAACGTCAAAAAAGTTTTCAAGAATAACTCAGAAGTTCAGATTTGAAATTTTGAAAAATTTGAAAAAGCATCTCATTTTCCTTTTCAACTTCTCCAAATGACGGGTTTTCACACCTACATCGCTCAAAATGGAGTGCCAATTGCGATTGACGTGAGTTACCGTAATCTTATTCTACTTTTCTTATGATTTTAGCCTTTTAATAAGATACTAATTTGAAAAAGGTACTACAAAGCATAAAAAAAGATTATAAACATGACGTGTTTACAGTTAAGATTGTAGATTGTAGATTGTAGATTGTAGATTGTAGATTGTAGATTATAGATTGTAGATTGTAGATTGTAGATTGTAGTTAGCGCTATATAAATACTTTATTTAGAAAGAAATAAAGTGCGAAAACGACATGAAAAATGTACTAGATAAAAGATCACAAAGTCACTTAAAATGCAACGAAGTAGCCCTTTTAAAATCAGATACGGTGGAGATCAAACGCAACTTGTCGGGAAGGGCATTCCAAACTTTAATCAAAAAATCAAAAAGTTAGAAAATCAAAAATCTGATTGAGAAAATAGGGAAAACGATTAGAAAACGAGGTAAAGAAAACGGATTTGATATTTATGTAATTACAAATTCAGCTTTCGACATTGCCTGAAGTGTTCGACGAGTTGGCGCGAATCGACGCCGAACTAGCGACGATGCGAACTCAAGTAACACATCTCATCATTGCCTATGAAACCCGGATCCGGTAAGGAAAACACTTAGCTTTATAAACTTTTTTTTGTAATTTCTACTTGAAATAAAACTGTTAAAGTGTTAAGAACAATAAAAACTAGAAATAAACAAAAATTGCTTATTAATTAGCAATAAAAAATAGCAAAAGAAATTTCGAGAGGCGGTTTATATGCAGGCTTTACCATAGTTATTCATTTCTTTGACTGAAATCTTTTTTTGAAAAAGTTTTTTATAAAAAGAAACGGGCGTGGGACAAATGTGACCTTTTTTTTGCGCACCCGGACATTTGCGCACCTTCTTTTCCGCATTTAGCCCATTAGCGCACCTTTTTCGCGTTTTAAAAAGCTCTAAAAGCTAATATTAACCAATTTCTATTCCAAAAGTTGTTTTTCTAGGTAATTTTAGGGCGTAGAATCGAAATTTTGACATATCAGAGCGTGTGGAAGCGAACGGACGGAGTTATACAAAGAGAAAAATCAACAATTTTCTGTAATTTGATCTAGCCGTTTTGTCTTTCAAATTGGTTCCACACGCTCTGATATGTCAAAATTTGAATTCGACACCCTCAAATTACCTAGAAAAACAACTTTTGGAATAAAAATTGGTTAATATTAGCTTTTTAGAGCTTTTTTTAAAACGCGAAAAAGGTGCGCTAATGGGCAAGGTGCGGAAAAAAAGGTGCGCAAATGTCCGGGTGCGCAAAAAAAAGGTCGCATTTGTTCCACTCCCATAAAAATGGCAAAAGAAATTTCGAGAGGCGGTTTATATGCGGGCTTTACCATAGTTATTCATTTCTTTGACTGAATATCTTTTTTGAAAAAGAAACTGAATAAAGTCGATTGAGTCAGAATTTAGAGCGTTTTTTAGAAAGCCGCATTTGACGTTTTTTTTAACGTATTATTCAAATAAAAGAATTATTTAACCAAATTTATTTAAATAATTATTGATTTGACACACTAATAAGAAATTACAGAGATCTCGAGAAACGTTTACAAGGAGAAAACGGGAACGCGAGCGATATCGAGAATGGGAATTTTCGGTTTGAAAATGAAATATTTATTTGGCAAATCTTTTCAGATTCCCGGAATGCGTAGATCAACTGCGACAGAGCACTTTCGAGAATTTGGGAAAGTTGGCGATCAAATCGTTTTGTGTGCCGCAACAGGTTTCTTCTGAATTTCACCTCACAAATCTTCAAAGAAATTCTATTTATAACCACTGAAAAGCCAATAATTTCTATACAAATCTATTTTGGCAACTTTCAAAGACAATTTTCCAAAGCAACTTTGTTTTTATGGAGTTTTTAGAAACAAAAAAAAGTTCTTGCGAAAATTGTAGCCCTTTTTCCATCATAATCCATTACATTGTGTGCAAAAAAAAGGCTTCAATTACTTCTAAAATACTTCTAGTATTTCTTTTAGTTTAGTTTAGCTTACAGTATTTGTTCTAATAGAAGACCGGGTAAAGAGTATCATCGCGTACTCCTGCGTAGCAGCCCTTTTTAAAATTTCTTTTCTGCATAAAAGCTATCAATCAAGTGCTATAGAGCTGGAAAATGGCTCAAAAATCTGTTAGCTCATGTCGTATTTTTGAGCCATTTTCCAGCTCTATAGCACTTCATTGAAAGCTTTTATGCAGAAAAGAACGGGCTGCTATACTGTAAGGCTTTTAAAAAGGGCTGCTACGCAGGAGTACGCGATCATACTCTTTACCCGGTCTTCTATTCGAAGAAATGCGGTAATTGTAAGATTTTAGATTTAAATTTGATCTTTTAGAGCCGAAGTGACGAGGAACAGATCAGCGAATGTGACAAAAAGAATAATGAAGAAATGAGAAAACATTTGCAATAGAAAGCAATTACCGTAATCTTAGACAAGTCTTGATTTAGTAACTTTATTTATTAACTTTATGTATTAACTTTATTTATTAACTTTATTTGAGATTAGTATTTCATTTTTTCTTTTTCCAAAGTGATTTTTCTTTCTTTCTTTCATTTCTATAGTCTTCAAGCATTTATTTTATCTGTATTTTTTTTTTGTGATTTGTATACAGCACAAACCAAAGATGTCTTTTAATAGCCGATCTTGCTATTATTATTTACTATGTCTTTTTCTCCTATTTGTGATGTTTTTTTTTTTTGAAAGTTTTCTTGCAAATAAAGTTTACTTTGAAATAGAGATTATTTAGCTTTTAAAACAAAATGAACAAGTAAATTTAAATAGAAATAAAATAAACAAGTGAAATCTTTCTAAGAGATCTTTCTATGAGATCTTTTTAAGATGGGAATGATTTTTGTTGCCCTTTCCAACAACCACGCATTCTTCCCCGACTGCGGCTTCTCTCACGACGCATTTTCTCTTTCACATCATCCGGCAATCCGTCAAGAAATTCCTATAAACGCTTAATAAACTTTTTTTTTATCTTTTAAAGATTGTTAGATATTGTTGTATTCTTAAAATTGATCTAAATTAAGCTTAAATGTTACCCTTTCCCTTGCTCGCTTCTCGCGAAAGCCGAGCGAAGTATCGCTGTGAACCGCTTCAAATCTCTCCTGAATTTAGCTTAATGATTTATTTAACTTAATAATTTATTTAACTTAATAATTTCTTTAGCTTAATGCTTCAATCACTCAGTTTAAATTCTCAATTTTTTTACCCGATCCTCGTCGGGCAAATGTTGAACCCATGGGGGCAATGGCGGAGCTGGGAGCTGAGCTCGGACATCTTCGGGTAAACTGTCCAACACCGACATGATTCGATCATGCTTTTCCTGAATTTTGTTGATTTTTAGCCAATTAATAGATTTCCTACATGACGACTCAGTGATTCATCGCTTCGAATCGCGTTGATCTCATCTCGCGTTTCTTCTGGGAGTGCCGCTTCAACCTCTGGCGGAAGTATCCACTGTTATTTTTGAGTTAACATGAAAATTAGTATGCTAAGGTATTTTAACATTCGGTAACAGCTTCGGTAACATTTAGGAAGGTAATATTCATAGTCAAGAATGAATCAAAGCTCGAAATCTTACCTTGAACCCATGTCCTCCGTGTCCTCTTCCCTCGTGTGGCATCGCTTAAATGTTGTCTTCTGTAAAGCCTTAAATGTACAAATTTGAAGAATGGTGTGGATGTGGTTAGAAGAAAGATGGGGTTTTAGCTTTTTCGTCGTTACGAATCACCTAGACGACTCTTTTACACTCCATTATTCATCCACCTCACCTCTCTCTCTCTTTCACACGATTCCAACATCTTTGAAAGTTGAAATAGAAGACAATTACTTGATAAAATAGATCAAAATAATCTAATAAAGTGAAATATTTCAATTTGCTAGAAGATTTCATAAAGGACAATAGACTTAACCCAGTCTATAAGCTCTGAAACTTTAAGTGAATCTATTGAACGCATTCTTTTTAGGCTATTGTGTCAGCTTTTAGAATCAAATGCCTGGTCATAGCTGCTAATATGGCACAAGTAAATCAAAATCTTATTCACATATATATATAGTGATAGGTTCAATCAAAAGTTGGATCAGAATCTGACACTAAAAACTTTAAAACTTTCAAACGCTCTTTGACTCTGCTCTTTGACGAATTGTTTTGTTCAACAGGATTTAACAGGATTTTGTACAACTCCCTGTGCCATATCGATCTGCACTTTATGCCGGTGAGAATACAGTACCGAGCAAAAGTCTTGCAACGTCACCTTTTCAAAAAAATCGATAAAATTTTTTTTTAGAAAATGCCACCCGTTCGTAGGGCTTTTTTGTTTTTAATTAGAATAATACATGTATACTTTATTTACAAAAACAAATTTGAAGTTCAGCGTAAAACAAAAAAGTAAATGACAAAACTACTAAAAAATATCCTAAAAACTGGGTGCAAAAGTCTTGCAAAATTCTATGTTTCTCATTTTTATTGTTTTCAAATTTATTAATTTACACTAATTTTTGTTTTTTTCAGATGCCAGGTACCTAATTGACGACTCCCGAAAAAGAAAAAAAATCATGAAAGCAAGAAAAAAAAGGAATTTCTCGAGCCGTTGTCTCTGATCTCTTCAAATGCGATCCTTCGACCGTTTCTCGCATTGTTTCAAAAGTAAAAACAACTGGACTTATGCACCGAAGAAAGAAAAAAGGACGGTCAAGAAGAACAACAGCAGAAGAGGATCGAATACTTGTGATGGCTTCCAAGAAGGATCCGAACATGACATCAACTGAGGGAGCTCGGCTGATCAAGGGTGTTGCAAACAAGGATATCACTCGATGGACCGTTTCTCGACGATTGACTCAAGCAAGACTGTATAGCCGGAGGGCTGTACGAAAGCCTTTGATGACCGCTGGCCACAGGAAACAACGGCTTCTATTCGCCAGGACGTACCAAAGTTGGACAAAGCAGGATTAGGCCAACGTGATTTTTGTCGATGAAATAAAAGTGAATATCTTTTCTCCAAAAGGCAACCACTTAATCAGACGACCCATTGGAAAGCAAATACTTCTTAAATATGTGCAACCTACAATGCGAGCTGGCGGAGAATCAAGCATGTGTTTTGGTAAGCCTAATTTCTAATACATGCATTAATTTGTTTTTTTCTAGGGGTGATGACAAAAAATGTGGCAGGTCCGCTCGTCCTCGTCCAGTCAACCATGAATGCTCGCCAGTATATGGAAATACTACATAGAAGGATGTCTACTTCCATTTGCTCAGGATCACATGGCTCCTGAATGGTTTCTCTACCAGGACAATTCGCCGGTTCATAAGAGCAAGCTCATGATGGGTCGCACGGTGAATCTCTCAAATGGATAAAGCTTACCTGTTTAGATGTGGTTTAGTGTTAACCGCAGCTCTGACAGGCTACGGAGCTGGGGTAAACACTGCTGAGATGGGGGAAAAATCTGTTATTCAGTAATTAATCAGTAGATATTCACTAACTAATTACGAGCTAGTAAAGAAAATTTGAGATAAGCTGGAACTTGGAAAACTTCTTTGGTCAGAAAACTTTCGTACCTTGGAGTGGTCGATCTTTACCTATTTTTCTGCCAAATTTGAACCAAACTTTAAACATCTTAAAATTAGTTAACAATCTTAAAATTCACGCGATTTGGAAATAGTATTCGGTTCTCAACTCTTTGATTAACAATTCCAGTAATTGCAGATGAGAGTTTCGATTTGCGCGACTCTGGCTGGCACTTTGTTTCAAAGAGTCAGATGAAATAGGGTGAATGGGGAAAAAAAACGGAAAAAGAGTTGAGAGAGAGAAACAATAAAAACACACAACAATACGATCATGATCGAGTAGACGAGTAACAGCAATAAAGGTAAAAGAGGAAGAGGCGAAAATCCGGTCGAGTCGGGAGGGAAATGGGAATGGGTAGAGGTAGTCCCCTCAGTCTCCTCTCCTAAAGGTTACCACTCTCGGCACTTCTATTGTTACTACACTCAAAATCCCTTCAATCGACAATACAATCCCCTCTTGTACAGATGATTTTTCCACTCCTCTCTCCGCAATTGTTGTTTATTTCAATTTCAATATTTCTTTTTTCAAAACTCGTACAAAATCCTCGAAATTCTAGAACTCGTTACTCTTTCTTGTGACTTTTTTTTCTATATAATATCTTCTATATAATATTTTTCTATATCTTCAATCAGGCTTCAGGAATGAATGAGGTCAAATTGGCGATATGGATGGGATTGAGTGGATGGATGATTGGTGAAGCGAGTGCCACTCCGTCCGTCTATCAATGTCCCTTTGTTGCCGATCCAAGAATGTTGCTCATGCCAGGAGAATAGTTTGTTTGAAAATAATTATAAAACTTGACAATTGTACTCGTACGACAATTGTACTTAAACTCGTACAATTGTCGTACAAAAGCCATGATCTCAAGAAAAAGATTAGTAAATGGTTTTCTTGAATCTTGAATCTTGTATCTCAATGAGTTTTCAACTCTAAAGAATGACTTCTAGTTGTGGTCGCGGCTCATTTCTACACTATTGGAGTTGCTGTGAGGACAATCTCTTTCAGTGTTGTTTCCATTTTGAAACCTGGACAATGTAAATCATTTCAAAGCTTATTCTAGCATTTCATTTTTTTTTAGAGTAATATTTGCATTGATTTGTATCGGCGCTCTTGCCGGGATGATCTTTTGGGTGATGCGAGCTTTGCTACAAAGTGGATCGAATTGAATGTTTAATCCAATTTGCCTAAAGCATTTTCCCAATGTACATATTTTCTTTGAGTAAAGTTTTGAAGAGATCATTTTTTCAAAAAAAACATTTGCAACGTACAAAGTCCCTTTGACTGGGGCCATAGATCAGAGAAGGTGCAAGTCCTGTACGAGTGGTGACGGAGTCGGTCGGTCGTTCCTTGGAGTCGGGTTGCCTGAGAACGCAGCCTTAAGCGGGTGGTAAACTTTATCTAAGGCTAAATATGGCTACGAGGCCGATAGCAAACAAGTACCGTGAGGGAAAGTTGCAAAGAACTTTGAAGAGAGAGTTCAAGAGTGCGTGAAACCACTGGAGTCGAAACGGATAGAGTCGACGTAACGAGGCAACGTACACTTTTTTTTTCAGCAATCAGTGATATCAAAAAAAAGAAAATCGAGGAGTGCTTGGCGTGATTCCAAGAAAGAAAAAGGGAAAGATGAATGAGATTGGATGAGAAAAAAAGAAGAATAAGAAAAAAAAGAAGAATAAGAAGAGAATTGGAGTGAAAGGGGAATCTAAAGGGGGATCTAAAGGGCCTTCTGTACACAGTGGTCCCTTCTCTCCCCTTCTAGCCGCTCTCATCAAGAGATGGGCTCAACTCATTCAACATGATTTTTTTTTCTACAAAGTCTTTACCGACCACAGCGTTGTGTTTTTTTTTTGCTTTTCCCTCATTAAACTGACAATTTGCATAAAAATATCTGATTTTGATTATCAGAATTACTTTTTGATACGTTATTTGATTACTGTATCATAGCCATTTGTCTTTGTTTACCGAAGTACACCAATGTTTGCTTTCAATCCCAAGTTTTTCATCTTAATATTAGAGCTTTTTCATCTTATTATTAGAGCTTTTTCATCTTACTATTAGAGCTCTAGAGATTTAATTGATTCATTGAATTAAATTATTCTTTAATATTGCTACAGTTTTCCTAAAAGTTTTTCCAACTACGGTTTTCCAAAAGGTATTTCTCAGCTTGGTGTGATGGCTCAATCAGAATGGATGCAGGATCCAGGATGGAAATTTCTCCGACAGAGCGACGAGGAGAAGCTACAAGTAGGTGACAAGACAAGAAACGAATAAAACGAATGACTGAATGACTTTCATAGTGCTGCTTTCATTCTAACTGCTTTAGCTTCAATGTACTCCGTTTTTCTTTAAGAATTTTAAGAACTAACTTGACTTCAACAGTTACAACGTTTTTTTGATAGTAGTTGTTTCTTTTCGATCAAGTAAATGGGGGAGCGTAGGCGGTGGGATGAGGTGAAAAAGAAAGAGAAAAGAAAGAGAAAAGAAAAAGAAAAGAAAGAGAAAGAGAAAGAGATGTATGTGGGCCTTTAAATCCCTCGACTTCTTCACATCCTCCCCCCAATTTCGAGTGTCACACTCTTCGGCAAACACCAAACACGACGCGCGCGACACGAAAAAGAGAAAGAGAAGGAAAAAAAATGAGATATGTGAAAGGGAAAGTTTGATAAAAAGTACTCCAGTTAAGCAATAGTTATCGGTTTTGCAAAAATGAAAGACTTAATTCATAGCTGAAATTCATTTTCATCAAACTAGATAATGAATTTCATTAAGCCTTTCATTAAGTTGATAGAAATGATCTGATTGAGTTGGATACACCGATCCGGGTTCAATATTATTTCTATCATAGTTAGTATTTAAAAGTTTTAGCCTTTAAACCTTGTTCACAGTTTACAAATGTTTAGGAGCAAGCGACTCGCAAATTTGACAACAAAACGCACACATGGATTCCTGATCCTGAAGAGGGATTTCTTATCGCAGCGATTGCTGTTGATGAAACTGATAGCCTCAGTGTTACTCTACCAAATGGCACTCAGGCAAGTTTTTCATTTTTTCATTTTATCAATGATTTCTCAGAAAAAGTATACACGTGATCAATGCCAAGAGATCAATCCGGCAAAGTTCGAGAAAACTGAGGATATGAGCAATCTAACAATGCTGAATGAAGCCTCCGTCTTGCACAATCTCCGACAACGATACAGAAATATGATGATTTATGTAAGAACTTGTCAATTGTTTATAAAATCATTGTCAATTGTTTTTTTTAGACCTATTCGGGATTGTTCTGCGTTTTCGTTAACCCATACAAGATGTTGCCAATTTACACAGACTCTGTGGCGAAAATGTTTGAAATATAAAGAATTTGAGAGACAATTGTTTAGGTATGTGAATCGCCGTCGTTCTGAAATGCCACCTCATCTTTTTGCCGTTGCTGATGAGGCTTTCAGGAACATGATTTCAGGTTTAATTATCAGAAATCTATAGTAAGAATGAATGAATGAATGCTGATGATTCAGAGCACGAGAATCAATCAATGTTGATCACTGGCGAATCAGGAGCAGGAAAAACGGAAAATACAAAGAAAGTAAATGAAAGAAAATGGTCAAAAGATCTAAGAATTTGTAGGTAATCTCTTACTTTGCAATGATTGGTGCAGGAGGACAAGCGGTTGGTGGAGGTGGACAAGCGTCTGAAATCGACACAAAGAAGAAAAGTGTACGCTTTCGCGATCACCTTGTAAGAGAATAGGCAAAGGAAATGATGAATTTTTTTTTGTTGTTTAGAACTTAAATAACGATTAGAAGATCAGAATATTTGAAATAATTTTAGGAAAACTCGCTTGAGAATCAAATCGTTCAAGCAAATCCAGCGATTGAGGCTTTCGGGAATGGGGCGACTGTTAGGTTTGTGGAAAAGTGTGGACAGGATTAAATTGTAAATTAGCATATAAAATGTTTAATAACTTGTGTTTTAATGTCAAATTTGAATCTCAGAATTATATGAATCGTTTTTTTTTAGAAACTATAACTCATCTCGATTCGGAAAATTCATCCGAATTCATTTTGATAAAAGAGGAAAACTCGTCGGTGGCGATATCGAGCACTGTATGTTTTGAGTTTTTAAAAACTTACCGTAAATACTGTAATAGTACCGCACCCCATAATGACGGTGCGGAGTGTTGCGTAGTCTAGCTTTGGATGAGTTTTTCTCGACACTGGTTTATGCTACAATGCGCGTTTAGGTATCAAAAAATAGCTGAAATTCAGGGCTATTTTTTGATACCAAAGCGCACATTGTAGCATAAACCAGTGTCGAGAAAAACTCGTTCAAAGCTAGACTACGCAACACTCCGCACCGTCATTATGCGGGTGCGGTACTATTACAGTATTTACGGTATATAACTATTACAAACACATTAATTATATATTAATATATGATTTTAGATCATAAAAAGTATAATAAAATATCTAGATTTGCTCGAGAAATCTCGCGTCATTAAACAAGCGCCCGGCGAGCGATCTTATCACATTTTCTACCAGATGATGACCCAGAAAAAGCTTAGAGGTAATGTTTAATGGTAATTGAAAATAACGAATATGAACTTAAGTAAATAAGTAAATTGTATTCAGATCGTTTCTCGCTTACCGACAACATTCGTGACTATAATTTCGTGTCTCAAGCCGAAATCACGGTCCCGTGTATGGATGATAAAGAGGAATTTAAAGCAACTAATGTAAGCAATTTGACTTATTAAATTATCTACTTAACATTGCTACAGAATCCTAGATATTCAATTAAAGTTATTCAATTAATTATCAAAAATTTAGACCGCCTTCGATGTGATGGGCTTTAGTGATTTTGAGAAAGACGAACTTTACAAGACTTGTGCTGCTATTATGTTTATGGGAAATATGAAGTGAGTGAAAATGCAAAACTATTTTCTTGTATGATTGAATTTTTCTAAAATTTTTCAAAAATTTCAACTAAACTCTAGATTCAAGCAAAAGCCACGCGATGAGCAAGCCGAAATCGACGGAATGGATGGTTGGTGAAAAGGGAAAGAAAAAGATGATGTTTATAAGCATTTTTAAATTATAAAGAAGAGTGAGCTTTTCTATTAGAATGTTTATATTTACCCTAAAATTCCATAGATAAGAGCGGTTTAATTTTTGCAAAATTTTTTTTTAAATATTTTAATTTATTATAAAACCAAACAACAACAACAACAATAATTTAACTAATATTTTCAATTTCTACATCGTCATCATCGTTTTAATTTTAATTTAGCTCCGGAGAAAGCGGCTCGTCTTTTGGGAGTAAACGTGGATCTTTTTATACACGCTCTCTGCGCTCCGAAGATTAAAGTCGGCAATGAGTGGGTGACAAAGGCTCAAAATGTGCAACAGGTTTGATTTTAACGTTTTACAATTAAAATCTAAACACTTTTCCAAAATTTGGTAAATTCTAGGTGGATTGGGGGGTGGGCGCGCTGTCAAAAGCGATCTACGCTCGCGTTTTCACTTGGCTTATCAACAGGTGGGCTTTTTCTTTAATTGTTTAATTAAAATACAATTGAAAAGATAAAATTCGAAACGAACCTTATTAGAAAATATTTTTTTTTCTCTTAAAATACATAAAAAAGAATGTTAGATGCAATGAGACATTGACTGGCCACCTCGAAGATGCGGCGCACTACATCGGAGTGCTCGACATTGCCGGATTCGAGATTTTCAATGTAAGATTTTCATTTTCATTCTTTAAGAAGAAATTTTTTTCAGCGTAACTCCTTCGAGCAACTTTGGATCAACTTTGTGAACGAAAAACTTCAACAATTCTTCAATCATCATATGTTTGTCTTGGAACAAGAAGAGTATCGAAGGTTGGTTTTTTTTTAAAAATCCTTTTCTACTTTTAAATAACTTTATAACTAAAATAAATTTGTATTTAAAGTTGTACTTAAAGTTGTACTTAGTGTTTTACTTAGAGTTTAAAACTCTTGGATTTATCAAAAAACTTTAAATTTAATATTATTTCATTTTAGAGAGGGTATCGAATGGACTTTTATCGATTTCGGTTTGGACCTTCAAGCCTGCATTGAACTGATTGAGAAAGTAAGATTTTAAACTTAAAATTTAGAACTTTACTTAGAACTTACTTTATTTTTTCAACTTGCAAATACCTCTGAACTAGTTTCATATGAAAATTGGGAATTGTATGCGGGGTGAGAGATGGGGAAAAGGGAAACGAAGGGAGGACCACCCATCACGTTTTCTTTCACCCACCGTAGTGTTGGCCGCCTTTTCCCGGAAATTTATCCAAAAAACACAATAATCCCCAAGGCAGATGCTTAAACGCAAGAAATTCACGGAAAACGTATAAAATGGATGATTTTCAGCCACTTGGAATCATTTCAATGCTCGATGAGGAGTGCATCGTGCCAAAGGCCACCGACATGACTTATGTTGACAAGCTCACCAATCAACATCTCGGAAAACATCCAAACTTTGTCAAGGTTAATTGGAAATTTAAGTTCAATAGATTTGCTAGTGATTTAAACCGATAAACAAAGTTTTGAAGCAGCTTAAAGATGCTGGTTGAATCAAATTCGTTGTGCTTTTTTTTAGTATTTTAGCTCTTTTTATTTGGCCACACGATCCTAGGAAAATCAAGGAAAAAGATGCTCGAATCAGATCGTATTGTTCTCTCAGTTTTGTAAAAAGAATAATACGAGTTTTGAGCGCCTGAAGCCAGTTTTGAAGCAAACTTTTAGAGAAACTAGGAAACTTATTAGCCTATTCATTCCCGATAACGAGCAAAAACCAAAATTTTCAATAGCTCATCAACTTTTTAGGCAAAACCACCAAAAGGAAAAGAAGCTCATGCTCATTTCGCGATCGTTCACTACGCGGGAACCGTGCGTTACAATGCCGAGCAATGGCTTGACAAGAATAAGGTTTAGAATACAAAATGATTATGATTATGATGAAATAGGATCCATTAAACGATTCGGCTGTTGCTTGTCTTAAAGCTGGAGGAAATCCGGAGGCGCTCGTTTGCAAGATTTGGTCTGATTATATGACAGATGTTGACCGAGAAGCTGCAGCGGCTAGAGGTTTATTTGAAGATTTGATCTATAAGTACTTCTCTCTATAAAAAACTGTTTAGATTATACAATTTCTAGTTAATCTATACGCTTAAAAATTTATGTACTTTTTTTAAAAGCTCCGAATCTTTTAGGCAAAACGGAAACTGGCGGAAAGAAGAAGGGAAAATCGGCGTCATTCATGACAGTGTCAACAATGTACAGAGAAAGTTTGAACTCTTTGATGACAATGCTTCACACAACACATCCACACTTTATCCGGTAACAGTTATGTAAAAGATCATTGATTTAAAATGTTTAGTTGCATCATTCCAAATGAAAAGAAAACTTCTGGACTTATCGAAGCGCCATTAGTGCTTAATCAGGTAGATATTGAATTGTCTAATCGTTTGTCTAACCGTTTGAATCGTCTGATTCAAATTTGATTTACAAATAAGTCAAATTCTGCACAATGAAAACATTGCCATCACCTAATCAACTTTTAAGCTCACTTGCAATGGAGTACTCGAGGGGATTCGCATCTGCAGAAAGGGTTTCCCGAATCGAATGTGCTATGATGAGTTCCGATATCGTTATGCGATTTTGGCTGCTGATGAGGCAAATGACAAAGTAGATTTTTGCATTATTGGAAAAACAAGTGTTGATTCAAATTCATAGGACACAAAAGTCGCGTCAATCAAAATGTTGGACAAGATGCTAAAGACTCAACTCCTCATCGCTGACCATTTCCGATCTGGAGCGACAAAGGTAAGATTTTGTTTTGAATTGGGAGATTAAGGAAGAAGTTTTCTAGGTGTTCTTCCGAGCCGGCGTTTTAGCACGTCTTGAAGAAGCTCGAGATGAAGCGATCGCTAAGTTCATTCTCTATTTTCAAGCAGCAATCAGAGCTCGGCTTGCTTTGGTAATAAAGACAAATAATTTGTTTTATAATTTGAAAAGAAAAGTTTCGTTTCGTTTAAAAAGATTTACAGTATTTGATAGAAAATTAAGATGAATTTTTTTAAGGACGACTATGCTTCGAAAATTCAACAAATCGATGCAGCTGGAATTATTCAAGAGAATGTGCGCTCCTGGGTGGTAGTTAGGTAAATAAAAAAAGAAAATCAAGTTGTTAAGATATTCAATTTAAAAGATCAAGTTGAATGGGGATAAGAAATTTTTGAGATAAATGAGATGATGAGTTTAAAGGTAAAGGGGATAGGGGAACGGGGAAAAAGAAGGGAAAACTGCAAACAGTGAACAGATTGGATGGGCGGATGCAATGAGTCTTCGTCTCTCGAAAAATCCCCATCAATCGTTTACTGCCGAAGAATTCATTGCATTGTTTCGTTTTTTTTTCTTTTATTTAGAAAAACTTGGTAATTGATTTAAGATTGTTTATAAAGTTTAATAGATTATTAAATGGAAATTTTCAGGAAGTGGCCGTGGTTCCGTTTATACGCAAAACTCAAACCACTTCTCAAAGGAATGAAGTCGAATGCAGAGATTGAAGCGCTTGAAAAAAGATGCAAAGTGAGTTATTTTAAATTCTATTATATATATGCTTTATTCATGGGGCGAATAGAAGCGAATCAGATAATCATAACTGCATATAACATATTGCTACAATACTCTCACCGAAAAAAAGAGAGAAAACTAAAGATAGTACAGTAAGAGTACAGTTAGGAAACACAGATACAAAAAGATTAAATATAGGGCAGATTTGACATGGCAATAAGATCTAATTCGTTCACAGATACTTTGACTTTTCTATTATTATTTTAAATCTTAATGCAAACCTTTTATTATTTTGTAAAAACCCTTTCATTTGACTTAAGCATGGTTTCAAAGCTGTATTCAAAATCAACTACTGTTTTTTTCTATTAAAAGATCCGGATTTTTTGTATTTTTCAATCATCTTTTATCAGAAAATGATAGAAAATACGATTTTTTTATGACCTATAGAATCTATCAATTTTTTAGGAGATCGAGGCAGCTCACAAAATTGAAGAGGAGACAAGGAAACGTCTTGAGGATGAGCTTCGTGCTAAGAAGGTTTGCTGTTCAACTTCTAAACCTTATCTGTTTCTCAAATTAATTTTAGGAAGAATGTGCTGACACTCAAGCGGCTTTGGATCGTGAACGAGCTGCTATTGAGCGAAGAAACAAGGAGATCGAGGTGACTAAGTTTTTCATACTCACAACCCATTCTTACTTGAGTCTTTCGTCTTTTCTTGGAATCTTTCCCTATTTTTGCTTTAAAATCAATCAATAATCTGCAAAGATCCTTTGTTTGTCGACTCTCAAAAGTTTTTTTTTTCGATGGAGAGGAGTTGCTGGAAAAGAGTTTGTCTCTTTTCATTTCCTCTCATCGCCCACACGTTTGTTTCATCTAAAAGAAATCAATTAAAAGGAAAATTTTAAAAGAAAGGCTTTAAAAGAAAGCCTTTAAAAGAAAGCCTTTAAAAGAAAGCTTTTAAAAGTTGGATAATTTTTAAAACCTAAATTCAGGAGCTGAATGCAAGCTTGCGCAAAGAGCAAGAGAAACTCGAAGAAGCGGATAAAAAGCAAAAAGATTTGGAAAAACAAAGAGAACGTGAAAGAAAAGAAGCTGAAGGTGAATCAGATATTCAAAAATGAAGTAAAATCATGATTATTTAGAAAAAGAAAGAAAGTTGGGTGCCGAATTGGAACAAGAAAAGAACAGAGCACAAGCTGAAGCTGAGGTGTACAAGGAGAAGCTGAAAACAGCCGAAGAAGCAGCACAAAAAGGAGAACGAACACGGAAAGCACAGGTTGATTTGGATTTGAATCTCGTTAATTTCAATTAAAGTTTTCTAGTATTCAGAAACTGATTTTAAAATTTTAAATCTTATCTAATTTATCTAATTCATCTAATCTATTTTATTTAAAATCTAAATTTTAAAGTAAATTTTAGGAGAAAGAGCTCACTGATATGGCCAATCAATTGGAGGCTGCTCGGCAAAAGGTAAACAAGGAATTTCTTTTAAAACTCTTTAAAAACCTTTTAGATGAATCTATTTCATAATTAAAATCTATATGTTTAAAAATAGAATCAAAATAGATACTTTACAGAACGATCGTCAAGAGAACGAGCGCAATAAATTGGCTGAACAACTTGAAAAGGCCGAGAATGAAGCAATCGTCGAAAGAAAACAACGCGATGAAATGCAAAAAGGTTTATTTTGGATATAGGATTATTTTAAAATTCGAATCAACGATAAAATTAGATTGTTTTTTTTGCATTATAATCATTTAGCAAATAAAAAACTCGAGGCACAACTGCGAGCGATGAAAGAACAAATGGAGTTGATGCAAAAAGATCGCTCCAATTCGGATGTCGATCTCAAGAGGTTCGGGAAATCAAAGCATCACACCTTTCTATTGTCTAGAAAAGGAAATCATATCCAAAATTTTCTCATTTCAGACGTGATGAAGAAATTTCGATCTTGAAAAGCAAAGCTCTATCAGACGCGAATCTGATCGCCAAGTTGCAGGTGTAAATCCTTGAAAGCTCTATCAACAAGTTTCTAATCTGAAATTTACTCTTATAATAGAAAAATATTCTACTTTAGTCAACTCTGAGAGCATTGATTGCTCGAATTGAAGAACTTGAGGAGGATCTCGATGCACAATCAAGAGCAAGGAATAGGGTAAGTAAATAAAAGTTTCCTAGTGAATCAAATGATTGAAAATTCAGATTGAAAAGCATCGTAACGAATTGCAAGCACAATTGGATAGTATTAACGAGCAGGTTTAGTTCGAGAGTTATTTCTAGTGCTTCGATTTTAGTGCACTGAAGCGAAAGGTCAATTGACTGCTCAAGTCCATCTCAACAACACGAGAGCTACTGAGGTTTGAAAATTATTTTAAATGCTAGTCAGCAGAATAAAATTGCGCGTCAAATGATACCAAAATTAATTCAAAATTTAATATCCACGTAAAGTTGTGAGGCGAAAAGTTAAGTCTCGTCTATAATCAGCGAGGTTCAGGTTTTTAGCCAACAGCTTTACATTGATATTACATTTTGAGTTAATTTTGGTATCATTTAACGCGAAATTTTATTCTCCATCGAATGATAGTCAAAATAGTCAAAATCGAAGGGTTTGTGCTGAGAAAAATCTCAAATTGCCAATGGTAAAAAGGACCGACAGATTTTTTTTGTTAAAAGTCTTTTTAAAGTGCTAGTTAGCTATTGTTTAAACCAATCTAATTCAATTCTTAATTGAATTAGATCTCAGGGTTAAAGAAATCATAGAAAAGTAAACATGGAAACAAATCAAATTCAGATGGCTGAGCTTCATCGAGAAATCGAGCGTAAATCGCTCACCCACGAAGCTTATGTGGCTGATCTCTGCTCAATGCAATATCTCACGATCAGTCAACTCAGAAATCTATCACAACAGGTTTTTGTTAGAATAATTTTATGAAATATAAAGGAAAAATCCTAGGCGGCAACGATCGAGAATGAGGCATCACAGCTTTTGGATATCCGTCGAGCACAAACCTTGGGTGGTGCTCTCACTAGAGATAACACCGTCACAATCTATGATGAAAATGGCTCTCATCTATAAGAAAATTATTTTTAAATCTCGTTTCTCTTATTCCATAAAGTTTTCTTCTTGTTGGTACTTATGAATGTTGTCCTGGGAGTTTAAAGGCTAGTTTAGGAGAGTTTTCTTAGCAGTTTTCTTAGCTCTAAGTTTTTTTCTTTTTCTTTTTTCTTAGCTCTAAGTTTTCCTATACGATTAAAGCTTATTCTTAAAATCAATAGAATAAAATAAAATATAATAACAAAATTACTTTAGAAAAAACAGTGAATTCATAAGTACCATCATTTTTCGGCAAGCATTGCTCGGCCAGCTACTTCTCTTCTTTTTTTTGGCTAGATCCCTCTTCCATAGTGAAATAGAGAGTATAAATAGTTTTTTCTAGATTATTTCTTTAATTTTTATGCTATTATCATTTTATATCTTGAACACTTATCTCTTTAACACTCAATCCCCTTCCCCTTCTCTCTCTCTCTCTCTTTCTTTCTTTTTACTCTTATTTGTGCACTTTTTATGAAAACAGTTATTTTTTTGATCTTAAAACCAAGAAATCATCTTTCTATTTTCTTTTATTCTTTATGCTTTTCACCAAAGAATTTCTCAGGCATTCGTAAAAGTTTAAATTTTTAAATTTTACCTAGTGTGTGTGAATAAATTTTTTTAAAAGCTATGAGAACTTTCGTAAAGAACTCTCGTAAAGTTTTGTAAAGTTTTCTCGTAAAATTGAAGTCAAGTAGAGGAATGAAATTTGCGATATTTCGGAATTCCACCTGTCCACTCTTTTAGGCTTTTGGCAATGGAGTCGGGTGACAATTATCGACAAGAGAGAAAGCATAATGGAGAGAAGAAATCGAGATATGTGCGCCAATTAAAAATTGCAAAGAAGTAAAAGAAGCGAAAAGAAAACGAGAGACTCGCCGGTAGCCGGGGAAACGGTTTTGAGTAAAAAGGGGAGGACGATGGGGGGGAAAAAGGAACCGTATCACCGTTTTACCAATCATTTATTTCAGATTCATTTCCAGTCAAACGATTTCATTTCCTATTCGATGCCCTTTCTCTATCATATCTCCTGAAAGCAGCTAGTTACAGGTAAACTTTGACTAGGAGTAGATTTATAGAAGTTTGAGTAGATTGAAAAGGAAACGTTGAAAAGAAATCGTTGAAAGAAAATCGATCTACTTTATGAAACTCCAGAAACATATCGTAAAACCTCTAATAGTATCGTCCCCCGCCGCCCGCTCTCCGTATCGTCGCGTAGTCGCAAAAATTTTTTTACTAAATCATTTTTTTCTAAGCACCCATAATTTCTAAAAATACATATTTTGTATCAAAAAATAGCCCTGAATTTCAGCTTTCATTTGATCCTTAAGCGCACACTGTAGCATCAACGGGTGACGAGAAAAATGCGTTTAAAGTTAGACTACGTGACGCTCCGACCGTCATTATAGGCGAGCGCTACTATTAGAGGTATTACGGTAGATATTATAAAATGGACAAGGTTATGGTCGTTTTCAAAAGTCAGCTGGGGAGTGGGACAAATGCGACCTTTTTTTTGTGCACCTGGGACATTTGTGCACCTTTTCGCCCATTATAACAAGGACTGCTCTAGAGCCACAGAATCACTTGACTTGACTTTTTGTTTTTTTTCTGCTATTGGTCTGTAGCTTTCATTTTTTGATAGTATCTTTTGCTTTCCTGTCTTCTTACTGATAGTTTTTTCCACTCAAAAGCATTTTATCAATCAAAACATAACATTCTTTCATAAAACAACAAAACATTCAATATTGTTATTGTTGGGCCAACGAAAGGTTGCGAGTCTTAGCAAGCATCATCATCGTTAATAGCATTCATCGTTTTTCATAAAGCCGACATACAACGTAGCCATGGTGTGGATTCTGCGGTCACGAACTTCAACCTTCACCTGTAAAAAACATACGTTTTGCAATCAAAAAGTCCTAAAATTTCAGTTAAACTTTAGTACCCGGAAATCGGTCCTTTGGTCCGAGTGTTCTTGTGGATTCGAAATTCAAAGCCGCTCGCGTCATAAAACACTTCTTTATTCCTGTTTGATCGAGGCGTATTCGACAAAATTCTAAAAACAAACATTAATAAGAGAATACTTTCTAAATAGGATGCAAAGGAAACTTTATAGGTGTAAAACGGGAAAAGAAAGTGTACCTTGGTCGAGTTGGTGTCATCTTCCGAGCTTCTTAAAGTCGATTCGCAACTAAAAAAGCAATTATGATTCCTTCCACCAAAAGAAAAAGAAAAAAAAATTGAACAGAACAAATGGGGCTAAAAACGATTCTTCGGGTCTAGGGCAGTCCTTGTTATAATGGGCGAAAAGGTGCGCAAATGTCCTAGGTGTGCTAAAAAAAGGTGCGGAAACGTCCCGGGTGCGCAAAAAAGGTGCACAAATGTTCGGGTGCGCAAAAAAAGGTCGAATTTGTCCTACTCCTGTCTACTTCAGTTGAAAAAGCATTTGAAGTAAATTGCAAGTTTGTTCAAAAGCGGTTACAAAATTAAATTTTATGATGGGGGTAGTCAAAACAGCGCCATAATAGAAAACGTTCAAAACAGCGCCGTCAAATTTCTCAAAATCCAAAAACCAAGCCGGTTCAAGTTTTATACCAAAAAATTCCTTGCGTTCTTGGCTACATGATGGGTGAAACAGTTTTAAAAAAAAGTTAATATTTCATAGATAAAAAGAGCACTCAAAATGGGTCTCTAAAGATATTCAGTTAACCAACTAAGTATCACTCGACACACATTTTGAGTGCTCTTTTTATCTATGAAATATTAACTTTTTTTAAAAACTGTTTCACCCATCATGTAGCCAAGAACGCTAGGAATTTTTTGATATAAAACTTGAACCGGCTTGGTTTCTTTTGGATTTTGAGAAATTTGACGGCGCTGTTTTGAACGTTTTCTATTATGGCGCTGTTTTGACTACCCCCTGTTATGATAGTATTTCGGAAATTTTCAACTCACCGGCTAAATTTACAAATTCAAGTAGCACCTTTTTAGTTAAACTTTATCCGAAGAATGCGATTAACACATCATCGGGTCTATGTTATGAATAAAGATCGATCGGGTGTTTCGTTTATTGAAAAAAAGCTTTCTCACGCATTTTCGATATTATCCCAACTCAATATATGTTTATTTCTGAAAAAACGGCAATAGATGTGTTTATTTATCGGGATCAGAAGAGAAAAGGTCGCTGAAAACGGATCAAAGGGAAACGAAATTAAATGAAATCACTGACATTTTCCCCGCAAATCACCCTACTCACAATCACCAATAGAGTGTTTTTTTTTTTGGATTTATGCACTTTCTAAAAGATATATAAAGATCTACAATAGCTTAATTTGGATCATAGGAGGACTTAAAATGGTCAACCAAATTGAGCTGAGTAAAGAAAAACTCGGTGACGGTAGCTTTCTAAATAGAAAATAGTTAAAAATCGCTTTCTAACTAGAAAAGCTCGAAAGCTTTCTAACTAGAAAATTCTTTTAGAAAATGCCTAAATCAAGAAACACATTCTATTCACCATTTCCCCTTCATTCATCCACCGTCTTTCAGCTTTAAGCTTTAAAAAAACCGATAAAGCTTTACCAGCTTTAATTTAAAACTAGAAAATCTACCTACACTAAAATATATGCTATGTATACTCAAATTTCAATTATCATCTGCCTATTGCTTTATTTGATCCCAAACTCTTTCACTCTATCAATAAAACTAATCAATCTTTTAAAATGGCTCATCGATGAAATGCTTTATAGAATGTGTGATATCATTGATGAATCGATCACTCAAACAAATCGAAGTCCACCAGAAAGTGATCAGGTTGAGGAAGGAAAGCTTTTAATCAATATGAAAACTTTAGGGTAGTTCAAAAAATGAAAATGATGATCAAGGGGAAATTCTTGAAAATCGAAAAGAGAAAGAGAGCTCATCGAGTGCTCTAACAACTCCGCGAAGCCCGCAAAGTCCACAAAGTCCACAAAGTGTTCTAAGCTCACCAGTAAGTTTTAAGACAAAAAAAATTTACTAACGAATTTCAAAATTTAGTTAGAAGTCGAAAAAGTGACAGATGAGGGTGAAAAAATTTCCGATTCTTCAGTAGAGAAAGAGAAAAACGATGAGCTAAGAGAAAGAGATAGAGAAGAAGTGGAAATGGTGAGTGACAAGAAAGAATTCTTCGATTCTAATTCTGATTTTGACTCTGACTCTGACTCTGACTCTAATTCTAATTCTAATTCTGATTCTAATTCTGATTCTAATTCTAATTCTAATTCTCATTCTGACTCTAATTCCGATTCAGGAGAAAATCGAAATTTCGGATGGTGAGGTGACGGACAGTAGTGAGAAGATCGAAGCAACGAGAAAGGAACGCAAAAAGAAACGAAAGAGAAGCCAGTCACCGTTGAGAAGTCGAAGGTTCGAGAAAGTGGATATGAAATGAATAAATAGAAAATTAAGTAAAATAAGAAATCTAATGATAAATAAATAAATAAATAAATAAAATAAATATAAACTATTTAGTCGTAAGCGTCGACGCCGAGCGCGCTCAAGTTCAAGCTCGAGTCGAGGCACATTTGAAGGTTTCGTCTTGCCCATGTGAGCACCTTTTTTTGCCTTAAACTATCAAAATTTTAATTTAAAAACGAAAATTTCTACAATAAGAAATGATTCTTGTTTTCAAATGTATAAAATAGATGAATTGAAAAGCTTATGACTTTCGGGGGTGGGACAAATGCGACCTTTTTTTTTGCGCACCTGGACATTTGCGCACCTTTTTTTGCTGGAAAAGGCCTTAGGAAAGGTCGTAGAGCTTCAAAAATGTTTTCATAGAAGGGAATCGTATGCGTAGATTCCGAATTTCGACAAATCAGACCTCGATGACACGTCAAATTTGGGCTAAAAGGCAAAAACTACGCAACTTAACGCTTTTCCGCAGTTTTTGCCTTTTAGCCCAAATTTGACGCGTCAGCGAGGTCTGATTTGTCGAAATTCGGAATCTACGCATACGATTCCCTTCTATGAAAACATTTTTGAAGCTCTACGACCTTTCCTAAGGCCTTTTCTAGCAAAAAAAGGTGCGCAAAAAAAAGGTCGCATTTGTCCCACTCCCTGACTTTCTTTAAAGGCCGGATGAAGAAGAACTTGATGATGCTCCGTTTAAATGTGATGAATGTGGTCGAGGGAAGCTTTACACAATAAAGGTTTATACTAAAACCTTGTATCACTTGTATTACTGCACCATGTTTTTCCGATTTTATTTTCACTAACAATCACAGGAAGTAGCCGAGCACGAGATTCGTGCTCATGACGCTCGAATCCCATGTATGCACTGCAGCAAAGACAGCGAATCGGTGACCAAGTTTGTTGCATTCTAAGATTATCATATCTTTATATAAATTATAGATTATCGATTATATAGATTATATAGATTTTTGAAGCAAAAAGCAAAAGAATTGGCGCCGAGAGGAGTCGAACCAGCGACCTCTCTCTTCCGTTCGTTGGAAAGACGTGCGCGTTAACCACTCGGACATGCTCTAGATGGTGCATTGCCAATCGCTTCCCCGATCCCTCTAGATGAGTACTTCCCTCTAGCCCAAACGGCCGGTCGTGCTCTGTAGATGGGGCAGTGCGGGCGCGCTTGTCTCTAGCCCACACAACCCGGGTTCGACTCCCCCGTCGTCGGGAATTTTGATTTTTTATGGGGATGGGGCAGTGCAAGAACGCTAGATGGCGCGGTGCAAACGCACTTGTCCCTAGCTCACACGAGCCGGGTTCGACTCCGGCCCGCGTCGGCACTTTTGGTCTTTTAAAAATTAAAAAAAAAAATGTTGCACAACTATATGAAATTCTAAGCCAAACTAACTAATAAGTTATTTGAAATCGTGGGAAGACAGACGGGCAAACGTCTTAGTCCTTTTATATAGTAGATATAGATTATACCGGGTGTGCCAAAAAAAGTCAGTTCAGCGCGGTTTTTCTCAGAATTTCTAGTGGCTTGTTGTGGTGGAAAAGTGAATATTTTTGGCGGATAAATTTTTGAAACTTTGTTACTTTTTCTCGATTTCATGACTTTCCTATACATGAAATTTCTGAGCCACCATCAGATTTTTTGCCATAAATTTAAAACTTTTGTACTGGCATCGTAGTGAATAATAAATACTATTAGGATGAATACAAATTTGAACCATACACTTTATTGATCAGCGTTTCTTTAGAAAAAAAGGACACTTCTTTAAAAAAAAAGGCGAGTTGAAAATCTCTTATGTATGACAGATTATCATATGGGGGGAAGAGGCGAAAAGAAAAAGAAAAAAAAAAAAAAAAAAAAAAAAAAAAAAAAAAAAACCAATGTAGATGAATAAAGTTTTTGGCTAAAAAATTGAGTTTATATATGTCGTAGCCGATGAAGGATTTCAGTAAGATTTCAGTATGATAAAATGCGCACTCTTTAGAATGCGTTTTTAGCTTTTAAGTGCCTTTTAGAGAGCTTGAGTTTGTGGTATTGACTTGAGTCAATACATAGCTCAAGGTTTCATTTTTGAGACTTCATCGGCTAGCCGAAGAAGTCTGCCGAAGCCGAAAAAGTCTGCTTCTTCGGCTTCTTCTTCTTCTTCGGTCTACTTCTTCGGCTGAAATCCTTCATTGGCTACGACATATATAAACTCAAATTTTTAGCCAAACACTTTATTCATCTACATTATATGATAATCTGTCATACATAAGAGATTTTCAACTCGCCTTTTTTTTTAAAGAAGTGTCCTGTTTTTCTAAAGAAACGCTGATCAATAAAGTGTATGGTTCAAATTTGTATTCATCCTAATAGTATTTATTATTCACTACGATGCCAGTACAAAAGTTTTAAATTTATGGCAAAAAATCTGATGGTGGCTCAGAAATTTCATGTATAGGAAAGTCATGAAATCGAGAAAAAGTAACAAAGTTTCAAAAATTTATCCGCCAAAAATATTCACTTTTCCACCACAACAAGCCACTAGAAATTCTGAGAAAAACCGCGCTGAACTGACTTTTTTTGGAACATCCTGTATAGATTATATAGATTATATAGATGTCATGAAATGTCATTATATAGATTATATCTTATATAATATTTCAGATTAGCATCTCATATGCAAAATCGGCACCCAAATGAGCCGGTAACATGCCATTTTTGCAAACAAGATTTCGCCAAGAAAATCTCATCAGCTTCTAAAGACGATTGGGAGAATTTTCGGAAACATGTTTATCAAGTAACACTATTTTGAGGTATTTAATGAAAATTGATGGATTTAGGAGGTGTTGAAGAAGAAAATGTATGTGCACGCGTCAAAGGATTCGAAAGATAGCGATCAAGTAGCGCTTCGTGGAGTCGGACGGTGTCCGCATGGACGACCCGTCAAATGCAAGTTCGTCTTTAAGTCTAGAAAAAGATAAAGATCTCATTTTATCAAAAAGCCTAAAAGTTGATTGATTCAGAAATTTCCCCAATTGCCCGGGTGATCGCTGTATCTATTTGCATGGTTTGTGTCGATTCGATCGGGCTTGTCAGGTGAGTGGCTGGGGAAATATTGATCGACATCAAAATGCACTTCTATTAGGTAAATGCATAAGAAATGCGGATTTCAAAATTTTCATAAATTTCCAACGATAGAAACCTGATATCGATGAATGTTATACTATTTGTTATACTATACTATTTGTTATACTATACTATTTGTTATACTATACTATTTGAAAGTTCTAAATCTCCTCTACAAAATAGGCTAAAACGTGTTTCAATTGATCGAAGCATTGAAGAAATTTCGAGGGCGAAATGCGAGTGATCAAAAAAGGAATCGAGTCACTTTAGGGACAAGTTTAGTGTGGTCAAAATTGAGTTAGCGTGCCAAAATTGAAGATTTTAAAAAAAGGATAACTATATATGAATTCATTAAAAAAGTCAAACGGAAATGCATTTACAGAAATTTAGATAGAGCCTAAGTTCAAAACCCTCAAAATTCTCAAAAAATCGGCTTTTTCACAAAAAAGAAAAATTATTGTAAAAAAAAAGTTTTCCCATGAAATGATCCCAACTCTTAATTATTTTGAATGATATTTTTAGGATAATGATTTTAGGGCCGTCATTTTCCACTATATAGTCAAAACTGAACTCTTGTGAAAGTGGGGCTTTCAAAAAGTGCCCTTTCGAAATTTCTTCAATGGGTCGATCAATCGAAATTTCTTCTTCAATGGTTCAATGGAGATTCCTCGAATCTTCAATTTTGGGAAGCTAACTCAATTTTAACCACACTAAACTTGTCCCTAAAGTAACTCGATTCCTTTTTTCGCCCTCGAAATTTCTTCAATGGCTCGATCAATTGAAACACGTTTTAGCCTATTTTGTAGAGGAGATTTACAACTTTCAAATAGTTTATAACATTCATCGATATCAGGTTTCTATCGTTGGAAATTTATGAAAATGCTCAAATCCACATTTCTTATGCATTTACCTAATAGATTCTAGATCTAGATAATTTCTAGATCTATTAGCTAAAAGTTTAAAAAAATAAGCGAGATAGCAATGAAAATGAATACTTTAGAAAACAGCTTGTCCTTTTGATCACTCGAATCGACCAAGGACCTGTATGGCGTGTTTGAACGATCTCAAGGTAAATAAATTCAATTTAAAAATTTAAAATTTATCTTCAGGGTGGTCGTCTTCATGGAAATCGTAGTCGTCATTGATCAATTTTTCCCTCAAAAACTTTTGCTCATCTAATTCTTGATTAGCATTTGGCAAATACGACTTTCTCACTCTTTAATCAATAGACTTTCTCACTCTTTAATCTTTACTATTTTCATAGCTGCTGCTTTCGTTACTCAAGATTTTTGTTTTCAAAGTTGTCGATAGTTTTATTCTAGAACAATCGATAGTTTTCCCAAATCTCAGCCAACTCGCCATCTTTTTGTTCGTTGTGTGTGCAGTGTCAAACCCCCCATTCCCGGTGCATTTTTTCTTTTTTTTTTCATTTCAATTTTCCCTCAATTTTATCCCCTCAATTTTATCCCCTCAAATTTTATTTGTATAGAAGCGACAGCGTCAAAGCCGCTCTGTGATATGTTGTATAAATTAGAAAATTCTGTTAAATTCTGTTGGAAGAACATTTATTTCTTTAATCTTAAAGCAAAAAGAAAACTGTCAAATTGTTGTCAAACTTTGTGGCCTCGTCAAGTCAAAATTGAGTTGTGTCAAGTCAAAATTGAGTTGTGTCAAGTCAAAATTGAGTTGTGTCAAGTCAAAATTGAGTCACATAATCCTCAAATGTGTATCGTGAATAAAGGGTTCATTTTTCTTTCAGTAAATATATTGAAAAAGAATTTTTTTTCTCTATTTTTAAAGAGTTCATTTCAGACTTTCAAATAATATATTGGGTTGTCCAGTTATGAATGCGCGTTTTTTACTATTTTGTTAATTCCTCAAGATACCGAAATCAAGAAAAAGATATATATAAGTATTATTCGAAAGCTGAAGATCTCCTCTACATTTTGATATAAAAAGTTTTTGAATTTGTCCAGCTTTTGGGCAAATTGACTGCACAGAAGAACAGGGGGCCAAAAAATGGAAGGGTGCCTTTGGATCAAGTTTTGGCTCCGCTCAAATTGAGTTAACCGTTTGATGTTTGGCCAATAGATATATCAATACAACTTTTTTTAAAAATATAACAATTTCAGAGCATCTTTACTTTTCTTTTCTTTTCTTTTCTGGGCGGTTATTTTACACCATAAAACTTGAGGAATAGCTACGCTGAAATGGGTTTTTTTTTGAAAACGACCTCTCCCTTTGTGCAGTCAATTTCCCAAAAAGTTGAATGAATTCAAAAACTTTTTTTATTCCATAATGTAGAGGAGATCTTCAGCTTTCGAATGATATATAACACTCATATACATCTGTTCGATATCTTGAGAAATTTACAAAATAGTAAAAACGCGCATTCATAACTGGACAACCCAATATATGCAATTTAGATTTACAGTTGTTAGTCAATTAGCTAAAAATCGAGAAGCAAAAAAATCATTTCTCGATCGTTTTGGATCGCAATTTATCCCTTGACCTGGGCAGGCCTGTACTTGTCTTAGTTTAGCCTGCATGGCCTTCGCTTGACCAAGATGTTTCAATTAACTAGCATGCAAAATGCTAGAAGTTGCTTCAAAAGAAAAACAAAAACAAAAAGCTCCATCATGGGACCGAAACCTGATCTTGTGGGCGGAAGTGGAATGCGTTAGACCACCAACCGCCATCACTTCTACTAGTCCACCAACCGCCATCACTTCTATTAGGCCAGCAACCATCATCACTTCTACTAGTCCACCAACCGCCATCACTTCTATTAGGCCACCAACCGCATCACTTCTACCAGGCCACCAACCGCCATCACTTCTATTAGGCCACCAACCGCATCACTTCTACCAGGCCACCAACCGCCATCACTTCTATTAGGCCACCAACCGCATCACTTCTACCAGGCCACCAACCGCCATCACTTCTATTAGGCCACCAACCGCATCACTCCTACCAGGCCACCAACCGCATCACTTCTACTAGGCCACTAAGCCACCAATGTACATTTCACTCATATACATCTGTTCGATATCTTGAGAAATTTACAAAATAGTAAAAACGGGCATTCATAACTGGACAACCCAATAAAATAGAGTTTCATTTAGTCAAATAATCCTAAGAAAATCAAGAAAGAAAACGCTCAAATCGGAGCGCATTATTCTCTCGGTTTTGTAAAGAAAAAGGCAAATTTAACAGATTCATGAGAAAGCCGTCACATCCATTTGTATAATAAATGACTGGCGAGGTGTTCTTTGTTCTCTTGTCAACATATCTAGAGTAATGCGTTCCTCACGGATTCCTGCGTCATGTTCTTCACGAGTAATGCCTTTTGTAAAACGCACGCTTAGGAAAAATTACCGTACTTTCAGCGAAAAATACTGCAAAGAAATTGGTGCAAAAAATAACGAGCGACGACCTCTATACGACTCTTTTTGAAGATATTCAGCCGTTTAACTGATTTGGTGGCAAATTCCCTTCACAAGTGAAGATATTCAATCTACTCGACGTGTAAAGAGGATTACTCGTAGTTACTCGAGCAAAAACGTCGATTAATCGATTAGAAATTTACTCATGCAAATTTTACTCGAATAATTACTCGAGATTTACTCGCGAGGAACACACTCTAGTCATATCGGTGTCTCTTGACACGATGCACTCCTCATCGAGCATTGAAATGATTTCAAGTCACTGAAAATCATGAAAAAAGAGCTAAAATACTAAAAACATCACAACGAATTTGATTCAACCAGCATCTTTAAGCGGCTTCAAAACTTTGTTTATCGGTTTAAATCACTAGCAATTTTATTGAACTTAAATTTTCAATTGACTCGAACAAAGTTTGCGTGTTTTCCAAGATGTTGATTGGTGAACTTGTCAACATAAGTCATATCGGTGTCCCTTGACACGATGCACTCCTCATCGAGCATTGAAATGATTTCAAGTCACTGAAAATCATTAATTTTTATACATTTTTCTTGAATTCAGCTCAAAAAAAGCATCTGCCTTGGGGATTATTGTGTTTTTTGGATAAATTTCCGGGAAAAGGCGGCGAACACTACGGTGGGTGAAAGAAAATGTGATGGGTGGTCCTCCCTTCGTTTCCCTTTCCCCCATCTCCCACCCCGCATACAATTCCCAATTTTCCTCTGAAACTTGTTCAAAAGTATTTGCAAGTTGAAAAATAAAGTAAAATTCTAAATTTTAAGTTTAAAATCAAACTTTCTCAATGAGCTCAATGCAAGCTTGAAGATCCAAACCGAAATCGATAAAAGTCCATTCGATACCCTCTTTAAAATTGGATAAACATTATAACTAAAGTAAACTTTGTACTAAAAGCTTAGAAAAGCTCTTAGTTTAAAACTCTTGGATTTATCAAAAACTTTAAATCTATTTATTTAATTTTAGAGAGGGTATCGAATGAACTTTTATCGATTTCGGTTTGGGTCTTCAAGCCTGCATTTAGCTCATTGAGAAAGTAAGATTTTAAACTTAAAATTAGAATTTTACTTTATTTTTCAACTTGCAAATACTTTTGAACGAGTTTCATATGAAAATTGGGAATTGTATGCGGGGTGGGAGATGGGGAAAAGGGAAACGAAGGGAGGACCACCCATCACATTTTCTTTCACCTACCGTAATGTTGGCCCTCTTTTCTCGGAAATTTATGCACAAAACACAATAATTTTGAGCTGAATTCAAGAAAAACATATAAAATGAATGACTTTTAGCCACTTGGAATCATTTCAATGCTTGATGAGGAGTGCATCGTGCCATCGTGCATCATGTCAAAGGCCACCGACATGACTTATGTTGACAAGTTCACCAATCAACATCTCGGAGTTTTTTTAGTAAAGTTTTTGATAAATGCAAGAGTTTTAAACTCTAAGTAAACCTGTAAGTACAAATTTACTTTAGTTATAAAGTTATTTAAAAGTAGAAAAGGATTTCTTAAAAAAAACCAACCTTCGATACTCTTCTTGTTCCAAGAAAAAGATATGATGATTGAAGAATTGTTGAAGTTTTTCGTTCACAAAGTTGATCCAAAGTTGCTCGAAGGAGTTATGCTGAAAAAAATTTCCGGGGAAAAAGCGCGCTGATGCACAATGCACTCCTCATCGAGCATTGAAATGATTCCAAGTGGCTGAAAATCATTCATTTTATACGTTTTCCGTGAATTTCTTGCGTTTAAGCATCTGCCTTGGGGATTATTGTGTTTTTTGGATAAATTTCCGGGAAAAGGCGGCCAACACTACGGTGGGTGAAAGAAAACGTGATGGGTGGTCCTCCCTTCGTTTCCCTTTCCCCCATCTCCCACCCCGCATACAATTCCCAATTTTCATATGAAACTTGTTCAGAGGTATTTGAAAGTTGAAAAAATAAAGTAAAATTCTAATTTTAAGTTTAAAATCTTACTATCTCAATCAGTTCAATGCAGGCTTGAAGATCCAAACCGAAATCGATAAAAGTTCATTCGATACCCTCTTTAAAATTGGATAAATATATAATTTAAATTTTTTGATAAATGCAAGAGTTTTAAACACTAAGTACAACTTTAAATACAAATTTACTTTAGTTATAAAGTTATTCAAAAGTAGAAAAGGATTTTTTGAAAAGCCGACCTTCGATACTCTTCTTGTTCCAAGAAAAAACATATATGATGATTGAAGAATTGTTGCAGTTTTTCGTTCACAAAGTTGATTTAAAGTTGCTCCAATGGAGTTACGCTAAAAAAATTTCCGGGAAAAAAGCGCGCCGATGCTGCGGTGAGTGAAAGAAAGCGTGATGGGTGGTCCTCCCTTCGTTTCCCTTTCCCTACGCTAAAAAAATTTCTTCTTAAAGAATGAAAATTGAAAATGAAAATGAAAATGAAAATCTTACATCGAAAATCTTGAATCCAATTGGAATGGATTAATGCGAGTGAAACGATCGTTTAGTGAGTTTAAAAGAGTCTACTATATACAAAGCAGAAGAGACGTCTGTCTGTCCGTCTGTCCGTCTGTCCGTCTGTCCGTCTGTCCGTCTGTCTGTATGTTTGTCTGTCTGTCTGTCCGTCTCTCTGTCTGTCCGTCTCTCTGTCTGTCACAGGCACTTTTCTCGACGCCCAGATCGAATTTCGAGATGCGGTTTTTTGTTTGATAGGATTATGCTGATTCCGACCCAAAAAAATCAAGAAATCCATCAAACAAATTTTTTTAAAAACTCTAAAAACTGCAAAACTAGCCGAGCCCGATGTTGCCTAACTTCTCCTCAGCGCGCAGATGGCCGAGTGGTTAGAGCGCGCGTCTCTCAAAGAGAGTGGGAAAGATGGGTCGTGGCTTCGGTCCCCCTCCGAGAAAATTAGTTTTGTTTTCTTTTTAAAATGGATTTTAACTGTTGGAAAGTCAATTTCGATATTTTGAGGTATCATTTGAGGCAGGGAAGCTGTCTGGGAAGCTGGGAAGACAGACGGATCGTCTGTCCAAATAGCATGATGCGCAACATAGTCTAATAAGCTTGAAGTTCTCAAATAAGCTATGGAAAAATTAACCCAATATCCCTTTTTCCATGCTCCATGGCCCCCAGCCGCAGATCTTTGATCTGGATCACGGGGAAAGAGTGTTCCTAGATCTCGGCGCGGTTCTCCCTGGAGATTCCCATATTTGAGATGAGCTAACTATAGGAATGGGTTTAAAACAACTTGGATAAATGAAATAAATGAATCCCCGATTACGTTCAGCTTCAACTGTCCAGCAGGAAAAGCGGCGTTAGCCAAAAATCTCCCTGCTTACGAAGACAATATACTAGGTTGGTGCAAATGAAATTTCGTTTTTTTACAAACATTAAAGTCATCCAAAATTTTTTTTGATAACAATTTATTTAAAACAATAAGCACCATTATTATCTATGACATCCCTCCAACGTTGCTACAGATTGCGGATCCCCTTCTCAAAGAACGCTTGATTCTGTGATGCAAAGTAGTTGGTCACCCAATTTTCGACTTCTTTTGCATTCTTAAACTGGCAATTCTCAAGGGAATGTTGCATCGATCTGAAAAGGTGAAAATCGGAGGGTGCTAAGTCTGGACTATACGGCGCATGTGGTAAGACCTTCCATCCTAGCTTCTCTAGTTCCTTACAAGAGGTTTTTGCCGTGTGAGCTGGAGCATTATCACGGAGAAAGTTGATAGTTGAGGGATTTAGGCCTTTTTCACGCAAAATTTCGTCAACCTTCTTGAGTTGTTGAATAAAATAAGATGAATCGACTGTTTTTCCGGGCTCTAATAATTCAAAATGAACAAGTCCATTGATATTCCACCAGCAAGACAACCTCACTTTGCGCCCATGATAATCCGGCTTTGGAGTTGGAATTGGCGCTTGACCTTTGCTCAGCCATTGCCTTTTTCGAGAAGTATTATCAAAGTGAATCCACTTCTCATCCATCGTCAAGATATTCTCAAAAAAAATGGCTTCTTTTCGACTTATGGAGCAAGATATGGCTGATCGAAACGCGTGCTCCCAGATTCTCAACACTCAATTGATGTGGAACCCATTGTCCATTACGATTTGTCTTTCCAATTATTTCCAAATGGCGTAGAATTGTTGAATTGGAGATGTTTGGCAAGTTCTCGTGTTGTTTGCATTGGATCAGCTTCAATTAATTGTTCCAATTCATTGTTGTCGATGGCTGTGGCACGATGTCCATGCGATTCGTCTTCAAGGGATTCATTACCATCTCGGAATTGGGCAAACCAGAGCTGGCATGATCTTTCGGTGATAACCTGTTCTCCAAAGGCGGAACAGAGATCACGATGTGAATCAGCAGCGTTTTTGCCCATTTTGAAATCATAGAGAAGACACGTGCGCAGAACATACTTTTGATCCACCATGATCTAAAGCAAAAATCAATTAAAAAGTGAAAGCTCTGACTTTGAAAAAATGCGAAAATAAAGTAAATATCCAAGAGTACAAATGCACAAAAGAACATCAAATAAGCTCTTCAGATTAAAAAAATAAGAACATTTTATATCGACCGAAATTTCTTTTGCACCAACCTAATAATTATCGATTGGCACGACAACAAGGATTATAAATTTACGTTAGCCCTCAACCAGCAGTAGTTTTCAGTTGCATTAGCAGCTGAAAACAGCTGGTAACTAAATAACTTACTATTGTACAAATTCATAAAACCATCCATTTCAGTTCAGTGGTCTTCTCAACACGATCTTCGAGACGACAATTACGATGTACAGTACCGGACAATGAAATATCATATTTGAAAAACGGTCGTCACTTTCGCGTGTCTGTAACTCCCTTGTCTTCGAGTTTAAACTATTAGTGTTATACATTTTCTGAAAGCTCTTTTCAATGGCTACACAATGGTAATATTAATATTTAGAAATACGGTAAAGACAAGGGAGTTACAGACGGGCGAAAGTGATGATCTTTTTTCAAATATGATATTTCATTGTCCAGTAGTGTATCTCTTTCTCAACAACAAATCGCCGCGTCTTCAAAGTGGCCATTCTATGTCTCATTGCAGCTAACATTCTTTTTTTCATGTATTCTTTAAAAATTACCTTCTAATCAGGTTAGATTCAAATTTTATCTTTTCAATTTTATCTTTTCGATTTTATCTTCTCAATTCCATTTTCGAAAAACCTAAGCCATCTGTTGATGAGCCAAGTAAAAACGCGAAAATTAATGAAATGTCAAAGGTTGATTGGGTAAAACGAGAGAAAATCTTCACAAGTTTACTTTAAAATCCACTTCAACCACTAAAGATTAGCCGAAAAGAGACAAAAAGGAAAAAAAAAAAAAGGAGAATGGGTACTTTCCCGAGGGGACATCTTGGGTGTAATATCTGGTTCGGGTCTCTCCCCTTTCTGTCATCGTCTCTCTCATTGACCCCTCCTCTTTTCCTCCAATCTCCCCATCTCCATTTCTCCGAATCGTCAACTCACTTATCTTTCCCATAATCTTTCAATCAAAATTTCAATTACAATTAAACAATTTTCCTGTCGAAATTCGAATGGCTCAGCCGACCTACGTGCGCTCAAATTCCGAGTCGACTTTCCGTGACGGAGCTTCATCAGTAAAGTTGGTCTTAACAAAAAAGAATTAGATCTTAATAGCTTAATAACTTTAGCATTATTTACTTTAATCTCGATAGTATTGGATTGGGATTACGAGAATGAAATGGCGCTAAAAATCAAAGATCAAAGAAATTTCTAAAACTTTTAGGAGATTTTGTCAAATGATACTCGTTTCATATAAGTAGAAAGGTTAACTAATTCTAGACAAAATGACATTTAAAACAGAGAACTCAAACAGCGCTTCAGCTCAACAAAAAGCCATTTTTTTCACAAAACCTATAAACTGTTATCTAGAGAAAACGGTTCGAGGGATGTTGCTGAAAATTTGGAAACTTATATAAGTGCGCTCTATCTACTTATATGAGTGCACTCTATCTTTTTTATGTAGACACTAAAGGAGGTTTATGTAAAAGAAACTGTTCAAATGATCGGCGCCATTTCATTTTTCCCCAACCCAAATAGTACTTCATTTTTAGAGATGAGTCCGAGCTCCACTATGCAGGTCTTCGACGAAAAAAGCTTTGCGCTCTCATTGCTTGCCTTGCCCTTATGTCAATTATTACCATTTTTCTCTTCGTTGTAAGTGAAGTCGATTTTCTAAATGATAATTTTCTAAAAGAAATAGCATCAATACGTAAATGTTGTGTCTAATTTGAATTGAAACAATCGCAAGCGCTACAAGGACGTGTTTTTTACCATTCTCTTGAGTGTTTCTTAGTTTTTATGAATCTATAAAAGGTTCTGCGTAAGAAGAAAGTAGAAATAGCATCAATGAACACTTGTAGACCCTTTAGCAAGCACTTATAACCTAATTTTTAAGATTTTTTTTGCGTATTTGGGGGTGGGAGAAGCGCTTGAAATGATTCATTTTACTTTTTCTGTTCTCCAGTTTGCCTATATGCCGTAAAAACAACGAAAAATTATAAAAGTTTGGAGGAATTAAGCCAGAAGGATTCTAATGAAAATTTACGAAACTCAATCCAAACGAGATGTCCGTGATTTCAATCCAAATCGGATGAAAATCCAAATCGAACACAACATATAGATAAACTCTCTAAACTTTTTAGATAAACTTGATGATCATTCGAACATTGCAAATGGATCAACACGGAATGCGCTTTCTCAAGTTTCACTCTGTTTGGAACACGAAAACAAAAGAGAAAGAAAAAGTGAACGAATGAAATGAGAAAAAAAAGCAATTATTTCAGGTTGTTCAATTCAGTGGCACGGAAATCGATTTGGGTGAAGTGGTGACATTGACAGGAAAAGTGACAGGACAACTTGAGAGTGATATGGATATTCAAGGAAGTCGAGTAGGTGAAAAAGGGAAACTCTTATTTTATCAATTAAAAAAATTCCACAAATGCAATTCTGAAAGCATTTTGATATTGATATTGTTTACTTTTGAAGTATACTATCAAGTTTTGTAACGGTCCAGGCAACGAGCTTTGCTTTCGTCGTTTCCATTCAATTTCCCAAACTATCTTACAATTAGTTCTGGCCTCCATTGTGGTCCGGCAACGAAAAGTTCCGGATTCTCCACTTGGCTCCCAAATGGAAATACCGTAAATACTGTAATAGTACCCCACCCTCATAATGACGGTGCGGAGTGTTCCGTAGCCTAGCTTTGAACGAGTTTTTCTCGACACTGGTTTATGCTACAATGCGCGCTTAGGTATCAAAAAATAGCCCTGAATTTCAGCTATTTTTTGATACCAAAGACGTATTTTTTGAAAGTACGGGCGCTTTGAAAAAAATGAAATACTAAAAAACTTTTGCGACTACGCGACTGTACGAGGGAGTTGGGGTACTATTACAGTATTTACGTTAGATTTCTTTCTCAATTCAAAGAGAAACACAAAATTTAGTGCGTAAAACAATACTTTCAACTAATCTGACAAAAAATGATTTTAAAAAAATAAAAATAAAAAAGAAACGACGACGCGGCGCTCCCATCGACTAGCTTCAAATGGCGGCGACGTCAATTGAATTGCGACGTTGCGTTGCGTTGCGAATTTGCGACAGAAATTCAAAATTAACATGAAGACTTTTAGAGATCATTCTCTACCATCATCTTAAGTAACTTTTTCATGATTTAGGTCATTTTGCAAGGCGGTGAAATAGGCTCTCGACTCACGCTACAAGAAACAGGATGCCGTATTGAAGGAGCTTCAAATTTTCAGGTACTTTTGTAAATGTTTCTTTAATGATTAATTTTTCAGAGTATAAGATCATTTTAGATTCCTTAAAAGACTTGTATTAAGGTGATATCCTCGCGAACAGGTCGCCCACTTTTTGCCGCTCATCAACCACTCGTTTCAATCGATTGGAGAATAAAGAAATTGAGTGCACAAAAGATTGTCACGAATAAAGTAAGGATCAAGAAATATTTATAATTTCAAATTCATCTATTTTCTAGATTCGATCCCCGGTGGATGAGTCGTTGTCAATCTCCGTCGACAATGTCTCAATTCGTGGGAATGAGGCAATCCGTCTAGAAGGGAATAAAATCAACTTTTCCTCGCCAAACTCCCTTGGTTTTAACACTTCGGTATTTGTAAAAGAAAGCGAAAGAATGAATTCTTTTAGACGGACGGCTCTTTGCATTTACACGGACGAATCTCGATCGGGAATCCACAACGAGAGTTTCCTTTGTCACAATCACCAGCTCTTTCAGCTTCAGTAGATGCATATCGGTATTTTAATTCTAATTTATTATTTATTTTATACCTAGCATTGATCTTAGGCACATAAAGTTCTTTAGAAACAGCAAATTTTCAAACTTTTTATTATAAAACCCTTTTTTGTTCCTTCTTTTTCAAGAAAATAAGTCTAAAGTTAGCAATAGTACTAAGCTATTGGATAATTAGACATCTGGATGAATTAGAAAATGGATATTAATAGATTAATTGATCCTAGACTAGGGAAGACTCTAGAGTTTAATTTTTAAGTCAATAGCAGTCAATAGTCAATAGTCAGTAGTCAATAGCAATTGAAAGCTTCTTCAGATTAGTTTATTTGCTTTGAATTACTCTCTTTACTGACCTTGATTTGAAATTTGGCAGCTTTATGAAAAAAAATCTTCTTATCTCAAAGCATATCCCGATTTTCAGAGTTTGTATCTGTAGCGGTGGAAAGTCGCGTCTTTTCATCGTTCCCGGCAACAAGCCTTGCATGGCTACTTTCGATATCTGCTGAATGAAAGAAAGACTTTTATATCTGCTGAATGAAAGACTTTCAAATTTCCCTCAAATATCGATCTCAATTTCACTTAATCGAATGTACATTTTGAAATAGATGTACTAAATGTAATAAATTTTTCTCTGAGTCAAAAAATTGAATGTTTCAATAAATTTTCACAATTGGTTGTTAGAAAATAAGATAAAAGTGTGAGTCAAAAGAAAGATTTGAAAGAAAGAGGGATTTGAAAAGGAAGATGAGTTGATAAGGGGAAAAGGAGGTAAAGGGAAAAGGGGAAAAGTACTGAATCATTGAATGGAAAATGGAATTTTATTAAAATTTGAGCAGTAATGCGATCAATTCTTGAAATCTATTGCACAATTAGTTTAGCAAAGTGTCAGTGTCCAGTTTTGAGTCATTTTTCTAGAAATTTTAATGAAAATCTGGTTGTTTATCAACTAAAATCACTAGGAAATCTATTGAATAAGATGTTAGAAAATAAGATAAAAGTGTGAGTCAAAAGAAAGAGAGATTTGAAAAGGAAGATGAGTTGATAAGGGGGAAAAGGAGGTAAAAGGGAAAAGTACTGAATCATTGAATGTTTGAAGACGTTGCTCAGATGACTCATTCAATTCCCCCGCAAAGAAGTGAAGAGATATTTGCATTTCGACAAAAAAAAGAGACATTCCTTTCTATTCCTTTCTATTCATTTCTATTTCATTTTTCTTTTCCGGTAGTTTCCTTTACAGATTCTTTTTTGACTTATTAGTTAACTTATTAGTTAACTTATTAGTTTCATTTTCTAAGTTTAATCTCTCTAATTCTTAAGTTTCTCGAAGTAATCCTTGTAAATTGTAAATTCTAGTTCTTTCAAAACTTGTATTCTTTTAAAAAAAGGTTATAAAAAGCTTTTCAGTAACGACATTTTAAGAAATTTTTAATAAAATTACAATTTGTTAATGGAAAATGGAATTTTATTATGGAATTTGAGCAGTAGTGCGATCAATTCTTGAAATCTATTGCACAATTACATCTATTGCCGCGGTCGACGATGTGCCGAAGCGACTTAGGGCTTGCATGAAGGAAAAAGGAGGAAACTTTGAGATTTAACTGTTTTTATTTTGTTATTTGGACTGTTGTTGTTATTTTCAGTAAAATTCTATAAAGCTTTTCTGCTAATTTTCTGAAGACCAGTCGGTCTTTTCATCGCCGGATATTTTGGCCGCACCCTGTAGTTTAGCAAAGTGTCAGTGTCCAGTTTTGAGTCATTTTTCTAGAAATTTTAATGAAAATCTGGTTGTTTATCAGCTAAAATCACTAGGAAATCTATTGAAATCGAATTTTCAATTGACTTTGACAAAGTTTAAGTGTTTTGTGAGATTGATGAGATTTAGATGTCTAATTATCCAATAGCTTAGTACTATTGCTCTTGTCATCAGTCATATCAGTAGCCTTTAACTGTCATCAGTCATATCAGTAGCCTTTAACTGTCATCAGTCATATCAGTAGCCTTTAACTGTCATCAGTCATATCAGTAGTCACATCTCATCGAGCATCGAAATGATTCCAAATGGCTCAAAATCAGTCATTTTATACGTTTTTGATGAATTTCTTGCGTTTATTGCGTTTATTGCGATTATTGCGTTTATTGAACTCAAAAAAAAAGGATTTTCCTCGAGGAATTACGGTGTTTTGTGTATAAATTTCATTAAAAAAAAGTGAATCGATACTGAAAAAAAGCATCGTAGGTGGTCCTCTCTTCGTTTCTCTTTCTTGTTTCTCTTTCTTATTTCTCTTTCTTGTTTCTCCTTCCTCCACCTCTCCTCTCATCCATAATTAACAATTTTCATCTGCGTTTAAAGCTATTGAAAAAATTTGAGATTTAAAGTTTTAAATCTCATTCTTCTTGTTGCTACACTATTATTTGAATTCACTATTGCATTCACTATTGCACCATTTTCCCCTCAACAAACCACGGCTCTATTTGAAATAGGTAAGCTGATACACGAAAAGATTTCTCATGATTCAGACGCCTCCTTTTTTTTTCTAGGTTTTCCCTTCTCAGTGCTTCTTCTCCATTTTTCCCTTTTCTGATAAGAGTGAGGAAAGCGATTGGCACAAAAAGCTAAAAACGGTCATTCTGTTCTGACTCATCTCCTTCTTTTCCCTCCATTTCCCATTGATCGTCCGCTATTTCTGAAATTCACATTCTTTAACTTCTTTCTTTTGTTACTAATGATACATTCTGTTTCTAAGAATCTCAATCGAGGGTTTTTTTTTGAATACGAGATGTTTTGTCTTTGATCACCTCAAAAAGAAGCCAGCCAACAAGCCAGCCAGCCAGCCGGCCCAATCTTTTTCGATTACTCATATGATCATATACAATTGTCTTGTCTTTCGCCAAATTTTAAAACATAAAAATGAAATCCTATTGATCCTCAGATACTATCCATTATGTTCTGTTATTTTTTTTTTTTAAACTATTTTACGTACATTTAAAATCTAGATCCTCTGTGAATGTGGGTGGGCCTTTTTGTGGGCCTTTTTGTGGGGCTACTTGCCCCGTGGTGCATTCATGCTCAAATCAATCCAAACTATCCACAATTCAACAATAATTTCAACAATGATTTCCAACAACAGCCACAAATCGTCCCAAATCGAATGCCTGTTGATGGTGCTTTTGCGGGTGGAGATTATCGACAGTACACTCTTTTTGAAGGTAGTTTGCAAATATTTGGTTCACCTAAAAGTCAAGGAAAGAGGGAATTTCGCGGTAAAGTTCGCTCTGAATGTTTACCATTAAAAGAGACAATAGTTTTCTTATTTTAAAACATTTTCCCTGATTTGGTATGCTTTTTTTATTTCTTTATTCGATTAATTTTTTCCTAAATGAGTTTATTCATATTGGAGTGGATAAAAGGATAACTTTAAACCTACCGCAAATACTGTAATAGTACCCCACCCCCATAATGACGGTGCGAAGTGTCGCGTAGTCTAGCTTTGGATGCGTTTTTCTCGAGACTGGTTTATGCTACAATGCGCGCTTAGCTATCAAAAAATAGCTGAAATTCAGGGCAATTTTTTTGATATTAATGGCGCATTTTTTGAAAGTACGGGCGCTTTGAAAAAAATGAAATACTAAAAAACTTTTGCGACTACGCGACTGTACGAGGGGGGTGGGGTACTATTACAGTATTTACGGTAGGCATAAATCACAAGATAACGAGTAAAGACAACTCTCAACTACAGCAATCAACTGCAGAACTCTAAAGCCATATGATCATAACTCTTTAAGACTATTTTTAAATTTGATCAATATTTTTACAAGTTTACAAGATAAATCTTTAATGGGAAGACTGATTGAAGTTGTTATTGAGAGTTATTGGAGGCTGGGAGTACTGGAATAACAAGTAAAGACAACTCTCAACTATACAGCAATCAATTGCCGAACTCTAAAGCCATATTTATTCAGGTCCAATGGTGATTTATGGAGAGCAATGGGGTGACTCAGTGGTTGCTGATGACACTCAATTTGGCCGTCTCATCCCATTGCATACATTCTTTCCATTTTATGGTGGAAAGTATAACTACACTGTGGTTTGAAGGATGATTTGGATTAATTTCTATTTAATTTAATTTTTAAAGATCTCTACAAACGGTTACATTGGATTCGGGTATTTTAGTGAGCAAACGAATACGTTTAAAGTCGGTACGTTGTTCAAAGAAAAGAAAAGAAAGATAAGAATCAAAAATTCTTAGGACAAGAAGTTGATTGGCCTAATCATGCAGATCCAGCAGTGATGGGTCCATATTTGTGCAAGTATGCGATTTCTAAAATCTTTTTGGTAAAGACAACGAAATAGACAACGAATCGGTGGAAGCAATGAGCAACGATCGAAAGTTTTTTATCGAATTGAGAAGCGAGCCGGTACAAGTGCACAACAAAACAATTATGGTATTTGAAATTGAAAATGTTAAACTTCTAAATATTCTAGGTGCTGAAAGATTGCATTGCCGAGGGCTTTCACACTATTTTTGTGATGGAATGTCGGAGAACTTTTTGAATGGAGTTGAGAGAGCGTTACAAGGTGGCAAAAGACTTTAAAACTAGAAACAAGAAACAAGGAAACAAGAAACAAGAAAACAACTAGAAACTCGTCTCTTTTTTCCTTTCTCTTCCCCCTTCTTCCCCTTATTTCCTTTTTCTTCTCTGCTAAATAGATACCGAATAACTAGTCAGCTAAGGAAGCAACGGAGGAAGCCAGCAAAGTAATGATTTAGCTGTCAGTGGTTAGAGCATCTACCTGCAAAGCGTTTGATTCAATCAAGCTCTGGGGTTCAATCCCCTCTCCGCAAACCTGACCTTGCCTTTTCTTTTACTTTATTAAATGATTAAATTCAGATGGAGTTGCTGGTGGTAGTGTTTTCCGAGCCGATGCCGCACTTGTAGTCACCTGGAAAGATATGATGCCGAATGTAGGAGATGAGGAATCCCGCGCCACTTATCAACTTGTTTGGGCTACTGATGCTCAAGTACCACTTGCCATTTCTTGCTCTTGTCAACACTCATTTTCAGGGTCATTTAGCCTATGCAATGACCAACTATCACACTCTGAATTTTGATGCTGCTGACATGAATGGGAACACGAGGACTGGGAGATGTCAAGCTGTTTTCAACGGTGGAAATCACACGGGTCTCGTTCAATTGGATCTCTCTGATTTGACAAAGATGAGGCCATCTTCGTTGGCGGAAAGATCGGGTAAAAATGCCTTTATTTAACACAAGACACAATAGAATAAACACAGAAAACTTCTATTATGCAAATGTTGAAAAGAAGCTATTTTCTTGCCAGCCGGGATCGAACCCTTGACCTTTCGATTAGTAGATAAGACTCCTAACTAGTCAGCTAAGGAAGCAACGGAGGAAGCCAGCAAAGTAATGATTTAGCTGTTCCACACGTTACTCGTGGTCGCTATTTGCATCGAGTGGATGATGTTGTGAGACATGCTGGGTGTAGCAATAAAACCGGAGGAACTTGTGAGTTGAAAGTTTCATTTAGAAACAATTCTAATCTAACAATAAGTCTCTTACAGTATACTCAAACGAGAAAAAACTCTAAAGATAATATATCCAGAATAAAAGGGTATCGACAGTCTACTAGATAGACTGTCTGTCTGGGGGCAGTACTCCTACGCACCCAGTGAACCGTTTCAAATAACTTATAGTTGGTTTAACTTAGAATTCCATGTAGTTATGCAATATGTTTTTAAATTTTAAAAAAATCAAAATTACGACGGGGGAGTCTAACCCGGGTCGTGTGGGCTAGAGACAAACGCGCTCGCACTGCGCCATCCACAGAGCACGCCTGGCCGTTTGGGCTTGAGAGAAGTACTCATCTAGAGGGATCGGGGAAGCGATTGGCAATGCACCATCTAGAGCATGGCCGAGTGGTTAACACGCGCGTCTTTCAAACGAACGGAAGAGAAAGGTCGCTGGTTCGACTCCTCTCGACACCAATTCTTTTACTTTTTGCTTCAAAAAATTACAATAAGATTTACGGTTTCTTCAAATTTAAACTGAACACTCAAAAATCAAAATTCAAACCTTTAGCTCCACTTCTCGTCTATCCAAACATCGTCTCAATGCTTGGCCAAGTAACCGTTGAAGTAAATGCTCTTTGTCTTGACCCAGCTGTCACCTATATACTTATGATTGAAAGTCGACAGGTAAACTGAAAACGAACCAAAATAAACCAAGCCAATTTTTTTTCCCCAAATTCAGTCAGCACCGTGCACAGTGTTCTCTCCATCGATCGCTCGATGCAAACTCCCGAAAATCCTCGATTGGGGCACAAAAACAGTATACTTTCAACCGCAAGGCGGACAGGCACAAGACGAGAAAGCTTTCGTTGGATTTATTTACTTTGGTATGTCGAGTTTTCTTTAATTTACTAAAAAAAAAGATCTCAGTTCCACCGACGCTTAATCCAACTCGTTTGGACATTGGAAATGTGGCTCAATGGTATAAAAATCCTGTCCCAACGACGCAAGTGATCAAATGGTTTCCGAGGAATTTCACCATTGATTTAGTAAGTTTTTTTTATTGTTTTTTTTTTAGATTATTTCTATTGAATTTCTTTTTAGTCTACTGATATTTTGGGCACACAAAGCAGAAATTATATGGACAACTCGATTTACTCGGTGCCTTTGGGTTTATATGTGTTTGGTTATCGAGAGGCTCAAGATGAAACGAAAAAGAAATTCATCCCGCAACACCGAGTGCTGGCCAAGTGCTTAAAATAATCGAATTTAAGAGGTTTTCTCATTTTTTAGACTTGCTAGCTTTTCAAATCGAGCTGATGAGGAATACCGGTGGAAATCCCAGGTCAATAGATTTATTGTTAAACTTTTTGCAATTCTTAATATTCAGATTGAGAAGCTGGATTTGAATCGAGTTGAGAAATGGTTTTTGACTGAATGGGAGCTGAAAGAAGAACTTTACACTTATCGGTTTGGGAACAAAATTATTTAAACATTTATTTAAACGAATCAAAAACAATACACAGCTCTAAATATAGCGAAGAAAAAACCCAAATAAAGGAGAAAAAAGATTTTTTTAATCGAGATGAACTGAACCATTAACTATTGACCTCCCGATTAAGATACGAGGCTCTTAGCCAATTCAGCCATGAGCATCATTCGCCATGAGTATCAATCAAAAACCTCTTAAGATTCGGCTACTTGAAACTCGCTCCACAACCATTGAATGAGCAAAGTGCAACAAAAAATGGACATGGAGTACATCCTGAAATACCAGAAGGGTAAATTGAAATGAAATTTTAAAGAAAACCTCAAGCATTCAGCATTGTCTCGGCACCAATCTCTTTACATTGGTTGTGGACAACATTTGATAACAAAGAGAGAGCAAAACTCAAAAATGATGGTCGAAGCGAAAAAGATGCGAATCTCGAATTTGTAAAGGAAAAGGTAATAGAATGAAAAAAAAATTAATAATCAAGATTAATATGTATTAATTTCAGTCTCGTGAAATGTGCAAGGATTGGTATGAAGAGGACGGTGCATTGAATAATTTCATCCGTGAAACAGGTAAAGACAATGAGACAGTGCTTTGAAAAAGTTGAAATCATATGAAAATCTAAAAGATTACGGTACTGATGGGATGAAGATGCTCGAGATTCTCATTTGAACAATGAACTCACTAGGGAACGCTCAGATTTCGAAAGCGCAAATTTGAGCAAACAAAGCTGATGCAAGTTGTCGCAAGACTGACGCAAGTTGTCGCAAGACTGGTCCAAGTCGGACACCGGCATTTTTAGTTTTTACCCTCTTAAATCAGCACAAATTAGAGATCTTGCTTGAAGGATACAAAAACGAACCCTGTCAATCACTTCCCCGACCCCTGGATACAAACTTTTGCCTTCATATCTCAAATGAGCAATATTTACAAAACAAAAAGTACTTTGTTCTTTGTGCAGCTGCGTAATCGCTCTTCATCTGGCAAACCGCCAGAGCATAGGGTGCCAAACAATCCCAAACCAGAAATCTTTAGAAACGAATTCCTCTTGTCCGTGTAAAGAAGAGCAAGCTTCAATGGATTATGGTCGTTTCATGCCACATCCCCGATGCAGTCGAGTATATTTTTATAATAAAATTCATGATCTATCAGCTAGCCGACTATAGAAAATAGAACTAGACAACTTTCGATTATCGAGCTGATTTCTATTTGTCACTAGTTTTATAACAGTAGCTTTAAGTTTTATCTGAATATCTGTTTCTAGTTATTCCGTGACGTCACTTGCACAGAAACGCTGGGCTCATCGAATTGTTATATGTCGGCGCAAAATGTGCGCGGTTCACAAGTGCGCGTTACTAGCGAAGGAGTGCAGGAAAAGTGAGGAGATTTACAAACATTTCTTTAGCTTTAAGCTCTTACATGATAATAAAATGCTTTAAGCTCTTACATGATAATAAATGATTTTAATAGAAAATAGAACTAGACAACTTTCGACAATAAAGTGACAATAAAAAGCTTTAAGCTCTTACATGACTCACTACGGGCAAACGTGTTGCTACGATGACAAGGGTTATCTCATGCAATCTTCTTATCAACCAGTTCTCAAAATTGACGACACGACTCCATATTCACCGGGTTTCCCAACAAGAGCTTATGAGCATGGAACCTATCCTGATATTGGAATGTTTGAGGTGAAAAGGAAAACAAAGAGTGAAAACTTATGAATTTAACCTTCAGGTGCCCGGTCTTTCGACTTTCCATCACGATATTTTACCGTACTATTTATGTTGTAAATACACAGACTTTCGATGTCAGCTTTTCTATTGGAGAAGACCATCAAGTGCTTGTCAAGCCTACGAGGCTGCTGTCTCTGGTATGAAGAATATGATTTTGATTTAACTAGCATTTCTTTTTAGGCTCTGTGATGGGTGGTGGTCATTTCTCGACGCTTGATGGACGACAATTCGTGTTCAACGATCCAGGTGTTTACACGCTTCTTCATGCGCATGCGTAAGTGAATTTTGAATTTCTAGATCTATAAATAGATCTAATTTCTAGATCTATAATTAGATCTAATTTCTAATTTTTTGAATAATCAATCATTACAGAACTCAATCAACTCCAGAAGTGCAAATCCAAGTCCGACAAGAGCGCTACCCTGATCGAAGTGTTAATTTTGGTAGAGATTCGCCTTTGCAGCCTTCCAAATGAAATTACAGGTCGAGTTGAATACAATCAAGATCGAGTTGTTCCATCAAATGTCACTGTGATCACGGGAGTTGCCTTGCAATCGGATGGAGCTGATACGGTAATAAATTTTCATTTCTTTCACCACAAAACTCAGGTTCACGTCATTTTGCGGAAAGACACTTACCGGATGCGTTACCGTACCACAGTGATTGTTGGCAATGTTGTGCGATATTTTGACAACATGATTCTGCAAAAGTTTCGAGGTTTAACTAAGCCTAAGCTAGCATCTTAATCCTAGAACGATAGGTGTCACAATCTATGCAAATAATGTGCACAAAGGGCAATCAGAGGTGTACGTGGTATTGGACAATGCACAGGTTTAATAGAATAGATCAAAATCTTCAAATGTTTTTGTAAAATTTATAGATTGGAGTCCGTATCCGGGAATCGTATGCAATGGATATGGATATCACTCGTCAATTCTACGAGAGTCCTGGCCTGCTTGATGTCACTGTCTCAGTACCGCCGCAGTACAAAGTGGTGAGTAAAAGCTATACAAAATATATTTACCTATCTATAGATAACAAGTAAAAGATACTTATCTATACAGGGTGTCTCAAAATTATGAAGTGGAAATTGTTAATTTTTTGTGGAATCTAATCGGAACCTAATCTGAAACTAATCGGAGCAATCGGAGCAATCGGAACCAAATCGGAGGCCAATCGAAACCAAATCGGAAACTAATCGGAGCCCAATCGGAACCAAATCAGAACCAAATCAGAACCAAATCGAAACCTAATCGAAACCTAATCGGAACCTAATGAGGACCTAATCGGACAATTTCCGGACATTGATCATTTTTTAATTTTCAAGAAATTTTATAGATACCTTAAAAATCATTGAACAAACAAAACGGTTCACTCTCTTTCCCTTAATCTGATCGTTTAAGTAAGGTCCGATTACATCTTTTCATTTCTTTATTCTGTTTTTAAGAATTCGGTGCTCTGTGGTCTTTGAGATTCCAATTGCAGCAGCCATCTTTCCGATGGAGTTTTTCTGTGATGTCGGGTTTCTTTGGATTCGTTGAAAGATCTTTCGAAGATTGATTAAATTGTTGGCAATCTTCCGCGTTCTAATCGATCTTCCAATTCCCCAGCCTCTTTGTGGCGCTTGATTGCTTTTGAAACCGTCTGGTGAGGCACACGAAAACTCGATCACCGATTTGCCATCCTGTGAGAGTCGAACTATGGCTGGTCGCAAATCCAATTGTGATTTCATCCTGAAAAAAAGGCAATACAAAAGAATTTTAGTGATAAGTAAGAAAAAGAACGAGATAAAAGAATAAATCTGTCAAAAAAGGATCGGCTCCATAATTTTGGAACACCCTGATATTAGGTTGGTGGAAAAATTCTTTTCGGATTTTTGGGAGAGTACCTTAAATTTGTCCAATTTTGACGTTTTATAGCTCATCCTAAAGCTGAATTCAATTTTTGCTAAGATTCTGAAAATGTGTGTCTAGGGGTTATTTTTGACGCTGATCACGAAACACATGTTTTTAGCCTAGGTTTCTGCACGGAAAACTAACGAAACGTGAAAACAGCCATTTTTTTACTCTGCCGCCCTTTACTAAAACAGCTGTAAAAACTTTTAGAAAAGAGATATCTCAAAACGGTTTTTACCAATCGATCCGTCTTGAATTCAGCTTTAGGATGAGCTATAAAACGTCAAAATTCGACAAATTTAAGGTACTCTCCCAAAAAATCCGGAAAGGACTTTTCCACCAACCCAATAGATACACTACTGGGCAATGAAATATCATATTTGAAATAAGATCGTCACTTTCGCCCGCCTGTAACTCCCTTGTCTTTACCGTATTTCTAAATATTAATATTACTGTTGTGTAGCCATTGAAAAGAGCTTTCAGAAAATGTATAACACTAATAGTTTAAACTCGAAGACAAGGGAGTTACAGACGCGCGAAAGTGACGATATGATATTTCATATTGTCCAGTACTGTATGTTTTCCATTTCAGCGAGCTTCAAACCATTTGCATAACAACGAGCGAGCTCGAGTCAATGGTTTATTGATGCCGTATCCCGAGCAAAACATGGGGTTCGTTTGAGTAGGAAACTAGAAATAGAAGCTTTAGAACTAGAAATATATAGTAAATATGTAGATTCGATTCTATTTTATCATGCATAACCTTTTAGTTCCTTTATAGTTCCTTTATATTTCTTCTTTAGTTCCTTCAGAGTTCCTTTATAGTTCCTATTTAGTTCTTTTATAGTTCCTGTTTAGTTCCTTTATATTTCCTTTATATTTCCTTTATAGTTCCTTTATACTGCCTTTATAGTTCCTTTATAGTTCCTATTTAGATCCTTTATAGTTCCTATTTAGGTCCTTTATAGTTTTATCATGCATAACCTTTTTTTTTATTCTGTTTTATATTCGATCTCATCATGCACAGCTTTTTCTAGAGTTTATCCAAATGTACTTCAATGGAGCGATGTGAACAATGAGGGATTGAGAAGCACACTCATTCAGCAATGTGAGCTCAAAACTTCATCTCTAAAATCGTTTTTACAGACAAAATCGGCAACCTCGATTATGAATATCAACCGGATCATCATGTTGAAGATCTTTTCGTCGCCTCACCACAAAACGAACAACTTTTCAATGTAAATCGAAATCTTAGACTTTTAAAAACCCTTTTTAAGGCTTTCCCTGATCATTTTTTGAAGAGTCCCACCTATACCGTTTCGAGCAAATACCGAAATCCGTAAGTGATCACAATTTACCATTCATAAACATTTATAAACATTTTCAAGAGTCGCCTATCCATTTATACCGATGAATGAGCAGAACTACCGTGACTTTATCAACTTCTGTAGAAAGGTGAGATAAAGTGATAAAGTTGCAGATCAAAATTGATCGTAGTGCAGATCAAAAAAGCTTGTGCGTCGTTGAGACTCGAACCCGCGACCTTTCGCTTACCGGGCAACCGTGCTAACCATTACGCCACAACCCAGTTGCCCTTCCTTACTTCAGAGGGAGTTAACTTCCTCCTCTCTGGAAAAGACGGTTCCATACGTCTCTTCCAGAGGCCTGGGGTGCGCTCGAAACTAGTTATGAGACCTTAGCCAGCATTGTAGAGTCCATCCTATAGTTGCAACTAATGCAGATCAAAAAAACTATTAGCCGCTGGGACTCGAACCCGCGATCTATCGCTTACCGGCCAACCGCGCTAACCATTACACCACAACGCAGTTGTCTTCCCTTGCTTCAGAGGGGGTTAACTTCGGTACTCGCTTTAAAAAAACAAACAATATATGCAGACTCATCTCTCTCAAATGCAACCCGACTGGGAAAAAGCGTTGCTGAAGCGTTGCCCACAAGTGTTGGCAATGGAAACAGCTTGTCAGAATGATGTCGCTTGTCTCTTTGACACAACAACACTCCAGGTTTGGCAATGTTTTTTATCAAAATAATCTCAAAAACATAATAATGTAGAATATAAACGATTTTTCAGTCAAAAATCTTGGGCGAAGACTCAAAATCGAATCAGATCAACTACCAGCTTCAGCGTTCTCAATCAATGCAACATTGTAAGCTCTTTCAAAATGTAGCACAATCCAACTTTAAACTCAAATTTATTCATGTATGGCTTTCCAATTGAAATAGTTTTTTATATTAATTGATAGAGAAAAGACTTGGCGCGCATCTAATGATACTAAGAATATTTAAATTAAACAGCTCAACATCAAGAAATTTGAGCTCAAAGTTAGATTGCTAATGCCAATCCAAGAAGCACCATCAAGAAGCTAGTTAACAGCATGCTGAGTCGAATATTTGGCCTGATCAGTCGTCAGGGACAGACAACAAAATATTAAATTGTTATTGTTATAAATAGACCTTGTTATCATAAAAATTGAACAAAAATGCAACAACGACACCAAAATTTGGGAGGTGGCTTATGGTTTTGCACCGGGTGAATTTGATTTTCGTTTTTTGGCTGTTACATTTTCCCTATTCATGCTATGTCGACGATTTTTGGGGTTTGAAGGGTTATTTTTGGTCCTGAATCTAACTACGTTTTCAGTTTTTTTTGTCACTGGCACGGGAGCCGCAGAAAATTGAAATTTAGGAGGTGGCGTATGGTTTTGCACCGCACTGTATTAAGAATATTGAAATTCAATATAACCGAACACGAAGAAATTTGAGCTTAAAGTTAGCTAATGGGAAAAGGTCTTTGATGTTTTGAAAAGGGCCTTTGATAACGTTTGTTTCGAAAATCTTCTAACTTTTAGTCAACTCTTGTGGCGCGATGAACATCGAATATCCAGAATATTTGATTAAGGTGAAAGAGATTCCAATTTTTTTTTAATGAAAATCATCTTTTCAGGGTCCATCTTCGGCTGCGAAAGCCTATGTTGAAGGAGATACTCTGCAATTCAGTTGTTTCGCCACTCATACGATTTATGGAGACACGGAATTCACTTGTAGATTTTTATAGATATAATTCTATAGATTTCTATTGATTGATAAAGACACTTGATAAAGAAAAAGTTTCTAGGTGAAAAGCACACAATTGCGCACGATTCAAGACATGGTGATGGTCAACACGCGTACATGATGAAATGGACAAGTGGAGGTCAACCATGGTGTAGACACAAGTAATGATTGGAAAAGAAAAAGAAAAAGATAATGATTAAAGAATTAAAGAAAGAATTAAAGAAAACGATTAAAGAATTAAAGAATTAAAGAAAAGAAACATTATTCTACTCTCTAAAATTCTAGAGCAAAAGACAATGTGCTGAAATGGTTGCAATGGAGTGCTATCGTTTTTGCCATCCTTCTCGTCTTGATTCTCGTTTTTGCCGCCTGTTGGGTGTGCAAACAACAGCGAAAACAAGCCTCATTATCTGAAGAGCGCGAAATGGTGAGTTGAAACAAATAAAAGAAATATTTCAATCATTAAATCATTTGCAGCAACCACTAAAAGAAAGGAAAAACAAACCGCTTTTCATCAAAACGCCATTAGCGCAACAATTTGTGCGACGGACAGAGACACCACAACACAAAGAACTAAGCGTACAACGATTCGAAAAAGAGCCATCGAGAAGGAGTTCACAAAGCTCTTTGCATCACACAATGTGAGTGTATTTCAAATTACTTTCGTTTCTCGGAATGATAACAGCAACTTCTAGCCAAGAAATTGAAGATTTCGGTTCTTTCGGAACTTTTTCTTTTAATTTCTTCTGATTTCGGTCCTTCTGATCCTCATTGTTTTTGTCTAAACATTGATCAATTCAGGGATGAACCACGAAATGACTTTTCTCTCGGCAGATCCACCACCAGTCCTCCACAATACAACGAGTACAAGCCAAGATCCGGGGGTAATGTTGGGGGTCCAGCCAGCTCTTCCCGAGCGAAACCCCGAGAAGAGATTTCTGTCTAGTCCACTTTTCAATTAGGCATTCTGCTGGTTTTGTTTTATCTAGAGATCTTGGAAATTCTTCATCTTATTCTTCGTTATTTTAAACTGGTCCAGCCAGCTCTTCCCGAGCCAGCCCCGAGAAGAGATTGCTGTCTAGTCCACAGTTTCTCTATCTAAAGATCTTCATTTTCTTCTTCGTTGTTTTAAATTGTTTTGTTTTATCATCTTGTTATTGATTGTTTGGAAATTCTCCTCTTTACGCAATTCACCCTTTTGCCATTTCCTATAATGATACTCATTTGTTTTACTGTTTTAACGATTCAAATTTCTGTGCGTTTATAAATTTTGTGATTTATTTATCAGAAAATTTATCGATTTTTGAGCATTTACCATTCCGAAAAGAGATCCCGCTCTTTCTGGTTTACGGGAAGTTCCTAGAAGTTTTAGTTTTAAAAAGATAAACGAATTCTTTTAAAAGAATAAACAGAAATAAGAAAATCACTGGATTGATCAAGGGATTGATCAAGGGATTGATCAAGTCATTGATCAAGCCATTGAACAAGTCATTGAACAAGTCATTGATCAAGACATTCTTCAAGTCATTGATCAAGTCATTGATCAAGTCATTGAACAAGTCATTGAACAAGTCAGTGAACAAGTCATTGAACAAGTCATTGAACAAGTCATTGAACAAGTCAGTGAACAAGTCATTGAACAAGTCATTGATCAAGACATTGAAAGTCATTCTTGAGCTTATTTAACTCAAGCTCATGTAATATTGGAGATATTTAAGATCAAAACTTACAAATCCAACTCTTACCTCAATGCTGGCCTCATCGAATGGTGGGAAATAAAATGTATCTCCTTCATTTTCCAACTCTGGCACAAAGGGTGGCTAAAAATTCAATATCTGTTATAAGAAAGAAATATTGAAGGAGAAAGATAACGATTGTAAATACTTGAGCTATTGTACTTGAATTTTCTCTGCTTCAACAGCTTTGAGATCGATTTTGGAGAAGAAGGGATGTTGTAAGACTTGAGAATCAACACAGCCAAGTCTCCTCGTTGGATCCTTTTCCAGTAACTCGGCAATAAAAGCCCTGCAAAGCTTATTTAGCAATGCAAAAGTTTATTTAGCATTTACTTACCTGCTTGTTGGCTCAATCTCATCGGGTATTTGGGGTTGAGCTTTCGTGATCAAATCATACGTTGCTTGTTGGGACTCACCCTGTTTTCAGTGTTTATGTTTTGTTGTTCGAAGAGTTTTTACCTGGAATGGTGGTTGTCCGGTGAGCATTTCAAATGTGAGAATTCCTGAAAGGATAATTTCAAAGAAAAAACAACTTTTTGCAACCTAATGCCCACCAATCAACGGGAAACTCGTGTCCACTTCGACTCACCACCTCAGGCGCTAGATATTCGGCCGTTCCACATAAAGTGAATGTTCTGAAACGAACGTTTTACACTTTTCCTTGCACAAGCGTTTTATAGTTAGATTTGTTCTATAGTTCTATAGTTCTATAGTTCTGTAGTTCTATAGTTCTATAGTTCTATTGTTCTATAGTTCTACAGTTCTATAGTTCTATAGTTCTATAGTTCTGTAGTTCTATAGTTCTATAGTTCTATAGTTCTATAGCTCTATAGTTCTATAGCTCTATTGTTCTATAGTTTTATAGTTCTCTAGCTTTAGCAAGTTAGCTGATCACCAACTTTCCCTGCAATCTTTTCGAGAAGCCGAAATCAGTGAGTTTCACGTGACCTTTTGAAGAAAACACAAGATTTTCTGGCTTCAAATCTCTATAAACCTAAACAAAATGATTATCGACTTTTGTAACTGATTTACGATCGCTAATCCATGAAGGAATTGAAGTGCGCACGCGATTTCAGCTGCATAAAAGCACGCCGTACTCGCCGGAAAGCGTTGTTTCGTGTAAAGTTGAGTGTACAGCTCTCCGCCACTCAAAAACTCGGTGATTATGTACAGATTGCGATCGGTCTTTGCTGTGGATACGCTGAAAAATTTGATTATTGAAACTTTAGATTTTGATTGGATTCTTTTGAATCATCAATTCAAACATCGATTTTGAATCATTCAAACACTTTTCTCAAGTTCGTTACTCTTCGAATATCCCTGAAATCTCTAATCCATCAATAAAAAGAATCGACAAATGAATTCTTGCAAAATCAAGAATGATTTCAAAATGATTTCAATCTTTTGAATCATTTTTTTTTGCATTATTTTCAGTCGCAAATTTTCTCAAGATCTTTTATCACCTAATCATGATTTTGTTTAAATTTTCATTCCAATATCTGTTTCCAATTCCAATATCCAATTCCAATATCCAATATTCCAATCATCAAAGATATCTGAGAGAATCAGAAATGGGCAATTTGAAAGGAGAAAGGGAAAAATGGTGATGATTGTTGAATCAGAGGAAAAAAAGAGGCAAAAGAAGAGGAGCTGATTCGTATTTTCAGCCCAAATTTCTTTTTTTTTCTTTTACCAATCTTCTCTCATTTCGCAAATGAATATTTAAATTGATGAAAAGTTTCATTCTCATATTGTATCATAAATCTTTGACGATTCTCTACTGTTCGCCATTTCCCTAAATCAAACCTATAGTGCTGAGGTAATCTCTTTAAGTAAAGTATAAAAAAGTGACTTTACTTGGACTTTACCTTGACACTTTCGTTGAATAATCGGTATTTGTGAATCTATTGCACGCTAAATTACCTAATTACCTAATTAGCATTTGTTTTGAAAATTTGCACATATAATATGTGCAAATATGCATTTGAAATGTGCTAAATGGTTTCAAATGGTTTTTGAATAGACGACGCCCGTGTTAGCCGGGAAATAAACGGGAAATAACCTGCGTTACACCGTGTTTTTTTTATTGGCCCACCGCAGATGCTCTGGGAAATCGCGCCATCCCCGGACCAAATTCTTACAGCTTGGGGGAACGTAAACTACTAAGGGTTCGAGGTGTTTCTGAACGTTTTTAGAAAATTCTTTTCAAACAGTTTACCGTATTCTCTCTAATAGTCGTGCACCCTGAGCGTCGTCTAAATTGATCGAAATCTCGAAAAGCGCTTATCAGAACCTATCGATGTGGGGTCGGAAAATGTAGCTGACGATGAGCTCTAGTGGGGGATTTGAGTGTTGAGCTTCTGGGAAAAGCTTGGAAACCATAAAATAGTCAGAGAAAATATGGTATATGCAAATTTTCAAAACAATATTGCAACAGATTCACAAGTATTGAATAATCTTTGCTCAAATATTTGCAAAGTCTTTTGGGTAAAAAAAATTGAAACAAACAGATGAAGAATGAAAGGATGACGGGAAATCGAAAGAAGACTCTTCTCACGATGAACGTGTTCAACTTGCTGAGCGGTAATCACCTGTAACTAACAGATTTTGATCTTTATCAAAGTTATTAGTTATCAAAATAAAGTATCAGAAAGTGTACGACTTCTTTTCAGCTACAGTAACAAGAGTAGATAAATGTTGAATAAGAAAATCAGCGTAAAATCTGGATCAGAACTTAGTATAAGAATTTTTTTTTGTGAAAAACCAACCTTTTGCATATTGATCACTTTAAGCGCATAATATTTTTGAGTTCTCTGATGTTTAACCAATTGAACTCGATTGAAAGTGCCCATACCTTGGAATTAAAAGTTTACTTGAGAGAAAAGAAAAATAAGTACCAATTGTCTTGATAATTTGCAGATCAAAGAGCTCAACTTTTTCAGTCATTCTTCAAAATATAAAGACAAGAAATTTTGTATAGTCGCTAGATCAAGGAAGTGATTTGCGGGATTCAATGGGATGGGGAAAAGAGAAATCCGAACGGGAGTGCCCAAACAGATCGCTTACACTTACACATTTCCTCTCTCTCTCTCTCCCTCTTTTTCTCTCTTTTTACTCACTCAGCCGGTGACTCAATGTCTCTCTTGACTCTGATCATTCCAGTTGGCATAAGAAAGTTTCAATGAATTGAAAGTGATGAAAAGAAATGAAAAGAAATGAAACGATTTTTGACAAATTTCGCATAGATGACATCGTTTTTTTTCATAAATGAGTTTGTTTATGATTTGCGAGTGTCCAGCATATTCTTTCTTTTGTTTTTACACGAACGAATAAAGAATTCAACGAATTCAATTTACTTTTTCGAAACCGGAACGAAACCAAAGCTATGGAAAAACTAAATATGGAAAATAGTTATTTATTAAAAAAACTTTAATAAATAATAAATTACCTAACATTAATCAGAAGTGTTTTTCGGAAGCTTTCCAAAGCAAGCAAACAAATCGGCGGGAAGTGGAATTGAACCCGGGACTGGAATTGAACGCCAACGTTTTGGAACTAAGCAGACTAACCCCTTGGCCGCCGCTGCTTTCGTTTCGGCTCCGTGTGGCCCCCTCTTATAAAGTGACGGCGCCTTAAAGAGACCCTTCACGGTTTGCCAAAAGTTGCCGAAACTTTGAACACGTTTTTCTCGAAAACCAGAGCATATGGAAAAAAAAATAAAAAAGCCGTATTTCTTAGAATACTACGGAGGCCTTTTGTAGCTAGGCCCGGTTTGGAAAATCGGTGGTATGTTGAAAGTGTTCTCTGGTAAAGCTTTACAAATGAATCGGATGAGCTCACATTCACGCAAACCGCAACAGACATCTTTCAATTCCTCAAATCGAACTAACCATTCAATTGAACATCTGCAACAGTACACTTAAGAGAAATTATAACGAGCAGATCAAGAACATTAATGCTATCTAGCTGTATACAATTTATCTAGCAAAGCCCAAGCGCTCATTTTTGTTTTCTCAAGTCTTTTCTCAAGTCAAGTCTGAATGTCCAATTGATTTATACACTCTCGATGGTGTCATTTGTCAAGTCGCGTCTTCCCATCCCTCATTTCTCCAATCAGAGTTGTAAGTTGATTCACTTCTTTTTTTGTTGTTGTACAAAAATTGCTGGATGGATGAATTGCCGGTGGGGAATTTTTTACCCGATGTCATCATTTGTCAAATCTTCAAATATCTTCGACTAATCGATATTCAAAATGCTTCTCTAACGTGTAAAGCATGGTTAGTAAAAGAGATGAATTTGATTGTGGACATCAAAAAAAAATAGGGGAAGAAATGGGACAGCGACAATTCGGCGTCTTCAGGATAGTTTCATGTACAAAAAACGCTTTCTCTGGTTTGTTTTCTGAGCTTCAAGCAGATCTATTAATGGTTTTGGTTTAAAAGATTGGTTTAAAAGATTAGTTTAAAAGATTAGTTTAAAAGATTGGTTTAAAAGATTGGTTTAAGGATTTTATAAGAAAATTCTCGAAATCAGAAGTTTCATCAAAAATTTCTAGGCATTTCTAGGCATTTCTAGGCAAAGAATCGTTCATCCATCAAATATACGTCATCCGATCGAGGATCGAATCGATTCAGCGATGTGTTTCTCTCCATCAATGAACAGTGTCTACTTATTTGGTGGTACAAATCTTCGAAGAGTTGCTGCTTTCAATGATATGTTTCGATTTGACATGGTAATGTCTTTCTGAATATTTTGAAATCTTTCTGAATATTTTGTAGCTTGATTTCAGGATCGTTTATGTTGGTCAAGAGTGATTACGAAACATTCTATACCACAGCCGAAAGGACAAGCGACAATGACAAGATGGGGATCGAATTGTATGGTTGTTTATGGAGGAAACGGACCCAAGGTGAGAAGAATCAACACTGAACTCTCTACCAATAAAATGTTAAACTCGAAATTCTTCATAATCTTTTTTTTCAGCCACCTTCTTTTGCCACATCGCCTTTCCACTCAGAAGTGTATTTGTATTATATTGATGAAGCCTCTTGGACGCTCGTATGTTTGATCATGAAAAGCTTTTATTCAAAATTCTGATAGATGAGTACAACGAATGAAGGACCCCGCTTGAGTGGTCATGCTGCAATCGTCATGCATGATCATCTCATCGTTTTTGGAGGTTGGAATAGTAAAGTTTTGGATGAAAAGTTGCATAGACAAGACAATGTTTTCTATAAATAATTTGATAATCAATCAATCAATCAATCAATCAATCAATCAATCAATCAATCAATCCATCAATCAATCAATTAATCAATCAATCAAGTCTTGCTTAGACAACTTTTATCAAATATTTTTTTTAAAATAAATTCAGGTCGCTTAGCGGAACAAGTTGCAAATCATACCTTGTATGCATTCGATTTGAAAAAAGCCATTTGGAAGATGCCGAAAATACAAGGGTAACAAAAGTGACACGATTCTTCAACGAAAATCTTTAGAGTTGCTCCAAATGGCCGATATGGAGCTACATTTGTGCCAATCACTTCTGGAAAGTTACTACTCGCTAATGGAGTTCCTTTTCTGAAGGATCGACAACCGGTAAGCACCAATATGCAACAGTTGACTAGAGCAATATGCAACAGCATTTAGGAACCGAATGAAATGGCTAATTCGAATTGGATTCTTTCGTTCAACCCCGAAGATTTTGATGGCCCTTGGACATGGACAAAGAAACTTGTAGTTAATTAATGTTAATTAATGATTACTGTAGTTTTATGTGATTAATGATTAATGATTAATGTAGTACTCAATTCTTAGGTGCATGGACTAAAATGTGACGATACAGAAGAAATGAGAAACAGTTGTTCGGCAGTGGCGTGGTGAGTCTTGAACAGCTTTACAGCTTTACAGCTTTACAACAAATCAGAGTTTTTGGCTTAAAAGAGTTGAAGACTTTCTGTCAGTTTCTATTCCAACAGCTTAGGTGGGAATACAATGGCCGAATTCGACTCGCCTCATTAGGCACCTCACCAAAACCGCAAACTTCACGCGACACTTTGTAAATGATTTTATCAAAGGGAACTTTCCAACAAAGTGACTCTAGATTTGCGAAAGAATACAAAAATATTGAAGACGAGATGAGACGGCTTTTCAACGAGATGAAAGCGAATCTCGAGAGGTGTTTTCGAGAAAGGTAAGGATGCGAAAAAAGCAAAAATTTAATGAATTTAGAATCGAGAAGCTGAAACGCATTCGTGAGGGTTTAGCTAAAAGTGATGATGAGGTGATTGAAATGAAAATTTTAATCAAAAATTTCTTTTCAGCTTCTTGATCCAAACTTGAGTTTTCTGAGTAGTGGGGGATATCGGCTCAATGTTTCGAATCTATGGAATAGAGCACAAGAAGCGAAAATGATGGAAGTGAATCGAGAAGAGGGGTGATTAAATGAAATTGATCAATTCTAAAATACGGGGAACTTCCAGACTTGGACTTTGCAAGCTGGATGCTCGAATGCGATCGATTGAGACGCGATCGGCTCAGACTACGGTATGCAAAAAGGCTTTTTTATTAGACTTAAAATGAATACAAAACCGATTGCGGTACAAAAAGCAGATGTTAGCAACTTTATCAATAGCTGCTTTCAGATCTCAGTGGTTCGCGAGTCAAAAGAAGCTTGTCTCCTCGACGACACCGATCTCGCCGATATAGTCCGAGCGATTCGACAGTCCATCAACTCCTTGCGTGAGTCAGAAGAGAAGCTTTCAAATGTCTCAGCTTTTCAGAATTGGACTATTATTCAAAGCCTTTTGAGCCGCCAGAAGGCTCATTACGGTTTCTCCTCAGAAGAGCCTGTCTACCGAGATTTTCACTTTTCCTTGCTGATGTCACCAATATTCTCAAAGAGGATACTTTAGTGTTAGTAGAAAAATGAGAATAATATTGAAATGTATCTCTAGATGGGAAGCGCAACCGATCGAAATGCGTGCGAGTCCTCTCTCTAATCGTTTCAGTTTTTTGGCGGCTAAAGGTTTGGCTAAAGGCTAAAGAGACTTTTAAAAGAGACTTTTAAAAAGCTCGTTACGCAGATTTCAACCACATTTAATCACATCTCAACTATATTTACAGTTTAAAGTCAGTCAGTCATTTTTAAACTCAAAAACATTTTAGGTGAGCTTCTCTTGCATGGCGGAATCACTGGGAACGAGTCTTGTGTTGGCGGTGCCTATCTTCTTTCGCTTGATAGAGAAGGATAGAGAAATTTTTGTACATAAACATTTGCAAAATATTTATTCGAACAATAAATTATTTCTTTTCATTGTGTTGTTGATTGACGAGCATTCCCATCGGCTCAATCAATTTTCTATCAATGCATCGGAATGCTGAGAAAGAGCTGTTAAATTTCAATGTCGAAATTTCAGAGAAAAACAATCAATACAAGGAAAGCGGGGGGAAAAAATGGTAAGTCTAGAAATTGTATTCTCTCAAAAAAAATCTCAGAGTTCAAATCTGACAATCTCCTCGATTCCGGACGATCTGAAAGAGAAACTCCGTAAGTTTCGTTTCGGGAAAAGCGCCCAAATGCAAGCGATCATCTTGAAGATCGACAAAGATACTCACAATATTATATTAGATGAAGAGTTTGAGGTAGGTTTTTGGGGAAAGATCGAAAAAAAATGATGATAGGACTGTACGATTGATGAGTTGCGTGAAGAGCTTCCCTCTCAACAACCACGATTTGTACTTCTTTCTTATGCGATTCGACATGCAGATGGTCGAACCTCGTATCCAATGTGCCTCATTTTTTACAGTCCACCAGGTTTGATCGATCATACAATTCTAGTGTTAAGCACGGTTTTAAAAAGTACAAAACAGCTTAAATAAAGATTCAACTTAAGGTTGCAGTCCTGAACAACAAATGCTTTATGCGGGCAGTCGAAATTCACTCGTTTCAGAGTGCGAACTGACAAAGGTTTGTATGAGAGAATTTGTAGAGCATCTTGATTGTTAGCAAAGGATTTAAATAAATACAAGAAGCTAACAAGTCTCACAACACAAAGAAACATCTCATTACAGAATTTCGATATTCGCGATGTTGACGATTTCACAAAAGAATTCATTGACTCAAAAGTCGTCTAAATGCCTTTTCCTAAAAATTTCTCCTTAAAGCTTTCAGAGATTCACTTAACTTATTGTGATACCATTATACACTTTGTTCACGGCTTTGCATTTATCGCTACATATCCGTCATTTGCTCATCCACTGTATTTGTTTATAAATTCATCAAAAAGCCTTTGGTTTCAAAGTATTTCACGTGAAAATAATTTTTTTTTATAAATCCTTTAATCACTGGTAAACCCCTTTAGATGGACATAGCATTTATATGATTTATGAACATTATACATTTATACATATATGAAAACGTAGCTACATGATGAGTCAAATGAAACGACAACTGATACACAACGGAATAGTTAGGGTAGACGCTTAGAATTAGTATGTAACTTAAATTTTAAGGACTAGCTACAATCACAATTTTGAATGATGAAAGAACCTTTATCACTATGTATATCAAGACCCGCTTAGTATGACGGGGAATTATCAGCAAAAATAACAACGGCAAGAGCGTGCTGATCCTAGCAATGAATTAAAGGAAATATAAATGCAGAAAAACAATAAACCGTGCAAAGTACCGTAAAAACTCTAATAGACGGGCACTCTAATAGAGAGGGGTTGAGAAATAGACGGGCATGTCTGTCTACTAGAATTTTTACGGTAAGTGAAATAGCAATTTGGAATTTTGAAAAAAAACCAGATTCATCAGGAACAATTAAGCGTTCAAATCTTGCACCATGATCGTGGTACCATTTTCTAGCCCGATGCTTTCCACCGTTAATCCATCGCCAGGTTCAGCGTTCAACGGTGATCCTCCATCGCGCTCATTCTCTGCACACAAATCGACATACCACTTTGGAGCTAGATTCAGCACCTAGAACAGAATGTTTAAATAGAAGCTATGTCAAATTTACCGTTCGGGGCATAACCGTTGCTACAGAAAAGTAAGTTGGGCAGGCTTTTTGTCGATAAATAGCATCAAATACTTCCTAAACAAAGTATAAGCTTCATCTGTTTTTTTTAAAAGATTCAACTTACATCAAGGCTAGTTTCTTTTAAAAGTTGAAGTATTGTTCTGTCACCAGAAGGGTAACGTACCTAAACGTTTTTATGTAATATATCTAACCTTAGTAAAACCAACCTGAACACGAATGTTTCCTTGCGTATTTTCTCCCTTTTCAACTAGATCAGCTCGATAAGCACGCAAATGCTAAAAATTTAATGATTAAGTGTGTTAAAATCTTTAAAGATTAAAATTTAAAGAGTTAAAATCACCTCATTCCGCAAGCGAGTTTTTTCTTCGGCATCACGCTTTGCCACTTCAGCTTGTTGGCGCAGATTTTCTTCCTCACGTCTAAGCTCCGCTTTTTCGCGATCCTTCCGCTGACTTTCCTCATATTCCCGATTTTGTTGTTCACGCAAACGGGTATCTTCTTCTCTTTGAGCTCTAAACATTGCTTTTCACAAAAATAAGGATCAGGATACTTACTTTTCGTAACGTTGAACCATGATTTGTGGCCGAATCTCCTGATACTTTGCCGTCAAAATTTGATAGAGTTCCTGAGCGGAAACAAGCCTTAAAACACTTTATATTGTAACAAAAACATAAAATTAATTACTTGTCGAGTCTCAAAACAAGATGCATTCTGCCGCTCTCAAAATACAAGAGACCAAGAAATGGATAACTGTGAACTCGTAAATTGAACGCAACTAAATTCAATTTAGTTGATTGAAATAGATTATAAGCAAAGCTACCATTTTTTCCTTCTGGTCGATCGTTGCCAGCTCCCCATAAGACAAATTCTGATTCGTTTATGAAACGAGAAACTTCAGGTGATGCCAAGGAATCTCGCAAGAAACGGGTTGACGCCTAAAATACACGAAATGATATACAATTTATGTTAACGGAAAAAGACGAAGCTTAAATTGAATATTCTAACAAACTTCTCTCTGTGAATGAAGGTAAACGAGAAGAGGCTTTAGTTGTTGCTTGGCTTGCCGTGCCGTTTCTGCAAAGGCGACATGCGAAAAAGGCAATTGCACTTGGGAGCCGGCAAGTATTCTAAAATCATAATATTGGCAAATTGAAAGCATGAATCATACCTAGACTGTTGTTCTAGGAAAGCATTTATATCACCAATTGGATCCGTTACAGCTGGTCGAGTATAACTCTCGAAGAACGCCACTAAAAATTAAAAAAGAATAGCTAATTGATGAACTCTTACTGAAAAACGCTAACAAGTCCCAGAAAGAGTGCCAGATAAACTGCATTGGCATAGTGAAGAGAGTACGAAACCATTGCATCCAACCAACAGGCGCGGGCCTTCCAAAATGTGCGCGGCGAACGGTTCTGAACAAACTAGATTAATAGCATTGCTTTAAAAGTTAACCAAGTAAATTCTTTCTTTTAGCCTCAATGATTTAAATAAAAAACGAAACTTACCGCTCATTTTGAATAGATCTAGAACGCACATTCCGTTGACGAAGTTCTACCTCATCATTTGCGTTGTTTTCATCATCATGAAAACTAAAAGAATAGTTATTAAAAAGTAGAAATAATAATTTTTGCCTTGCGCTTAGCGTGCCGCCTGAGCCAAAGAACAGCTGTACTGCTTCTTCCAGATTTCCGTCGCAATGTCGGAGAAATTGAATTGCTTTTGCATCATCAACTGCACACACATCCTAAAATTCAAAGCCAAATTATGTTTAAAAATAAAATTCTTACCTGAAACTGCCGAACAAGCTCTTCACTGAGATCACCCATGTTCTTGAGCAACGTTTCTGAAAAAAAACTTGATAAACACATTAATGCAAAGGCAAATGCTTCAAAAAAAAGTGTATCAAGACAACCAGTTTAAAGAAATTTGAGTCAAGATTACCCAATCGTTTTTTCGAAGTTATGGCTGAATAGACAAAGTGGAGATTGCTCAGAGTCGGTGAGTTGTTCGTTTTGTTAAGTACTCCGCCGAATTCGTGCTGGTATACGCGCTTTTCAAGAGGCAAGGGGATCGTATGCGTAGCAAATGGATGAATTAAAATGAATTGAAATCGGAAACTGGTAGAAATCGTTTTAAACCTGGCTACAATCCCAGTGGATAAGCGGGAGTGGGACAAATGCTACCTTTTTTTTGCGCACCCGGACATTTGCGCACCTTTTTTTCCGCACCTTGCCCCTTAGCACACCTTTTTTCGTGTTTTAAAAAAGCTCTAAAAGCTAATATTAACCAATTTCTATTCCAAAAGCTGTTTTTCTAGGTAATTTGAGGGTGTCGAATTCAAATTTTGACATAACAGAGCGTGTGGAACCAATTTGAAAGACAAAACGGCTAGGTCAAATTACAGAAAATTGTTGATTTTTCTCTTTGTATAACTCCGTCCGTTCGCTTCCACAAGCTCTGATATGCCAAAATTTCGATTCTACGCCCTAAAATTACCTAGAAAAACAACTTTTGGAATAGAAATTGGTTAATATTAGCTTTTAGAGCTTTTTTTAAAACGCGAAAAAAGGTGCGCTAATGGGCTAAGTGCGGAAAAAAGGTGCGCACAAAAAAAGGTCGCATTTGTCCCACTCCCATTTACGGTAGGTGTATCGCAACTGCATTTATTTTACTTTTCAATAATCGCCCGAGAAAAGTTTTTGATGAGAAATGAGATAAAAAAGAGCGTTAATCGTCGATTGTCAATCGTCAATCACCGTCAAAGAGCCGATTGAACGACCCGCAATTTTAAAATGAGAAGAAGAAAAATGTTCCGCTAAAGGCGTCATACTTTGAATTTCAATTGAAAGTCGCTAGATATAAATTTAACTAATGCAAAAAGGAAATTCTCTTTCTGCAGGAATTCGGAAAGTCTAGGTCTAGAAAGCAGAAAGTAAAACTCTTTCAAAAATAATCTTGTTTTTTTCAATTCCTCTACATCATTCAGCATTTTACTAGAACATATCACTCTTCGTTTAGCTAATATGCAAGTGTTATGCAAGTTTTGCTCTTCTGTTTTCCCGTACGGATCCCCACGATCTTTTTCCTTCTCTGAATCCATCTTCTTCTCTCTACTTGCCTAAAAACTAGCTGAACGACAGCCCTCAATCCAGGAGAACATTTTTTGTGTATGAGAGGAGAGAGGGCAGGGACAGGGGAGAAGTGTGGATGGGAATGAGACATTCCGGGATGCATGTGAGTGTCAACCCTTATTAGAGAGCATAATGAATGTGCATTGATCTTTCTCGCTGTGTCCGGCTCATTGCGATGAGAAAGGGACGGCTGAAGGGCGCGACGCGTGTATCTCAGCGCCGCGTCCGTCCCCTTCTCTCTCTTCTTCGCCTTTCGCTAGGGCCCTTCCACTAGCTGCTGCTAATTCTGTTTTCTCCTACTCTCTATTTGTATCTCTTCCGGCCGCGACGTGAATCCGTTTTCCTTTTTACCTCCTCCTCAACTCGGGGAAAATCAAAGTTACCCACCTCTCGTATCTTCCTTGTTAGAAGCATTTTCTTCCTTGTTAGAAAAGTGACTTTTAAAGTCACGAACTTATTTCAAAATCTAAGAATTTTAGAGAAAGTGTTTCCAACGAAAACGGGGTGGTGGACGGGTATCTAGGGCCACGCATGCATGCGCCCGGCTCGCCCGGCTGCCCTCCCCTGGGCCAGTCCGCCCCTCCTCCGGTTTAGGAGACGACCCGTCATTTGTGCTCCAATCAAGGTAGAACCAAATTCGAGGCACTCATTCAAAAAGCAAACGTTTAGTATCTATTTGGTGTATGTTTGACGGCACTGGTGATAGCTCTTATCATTGTCTTTCTGCCCTTAATACTCTTAGTACGATTGGGGTATTTTGTGGCAAAACGACGTCAACGCGATCATCGAGCCTGTTCATTGAGGTTTATTGAAAAACTTTGCCAATTTAAGGGCTAACAATCTATTGCAGACACTGTGATTTACATTGGCCAACAATCGGCACTAGTCCAGGAAGAGCGATCATCACTCTTCACAAAGAAACTGATGCAAATGCTGTTGCTCATAAGGTTTATCAACTTTAACAATTTGAAAAAATAAATAATTTAAGATGTGCCGAGTACTTGGCAATCGACCGACTGAATGTTGTATTTCAAAAGGACCACCGACTTCACCTGCTCGAGATGCTGTTGTGTTATGGGATCAAAGGTGTGTCTGTCAAGAATCAAAATAAATCTCCTTTCAGCAGAACGAGAGTTCAATGCGCTGAGGAGCTGAAAGCGGTTCTGAATGAGCCGCACGGACTTCCACTAAATGATTGTTCTTGCGTTGTTGTGCCCGGATTTCTTTCAGCTTCTGAGGTAACAGAAAGAAAAAGAAAAAGAAACCAGCTAATCATTCATTAAAGAGTTGCTCGGGACAATCTGTTCTCGTCTTTTCACTCCAGCCACGAACACATCCCTTTTGTTTACCTCGACTTTTAGCTCTTTACTCGGAATCTCAACTAGTTTTTGAGGTAAAACTGTGTAAGAACTAGACTAAAAAAGAACTAGACGTACACTCCGTGTAAAAACTATAAGGCACCCCCACTTTTTAAAAAAAAAACAGCTATCCATATAACTTTTGGCTAACGACTGATTATTGTTTTAAACAAAAGAAAAATTGTTTTTTTTTTTTGAAAAAGGTGTCTTATAGTTTTTACGCGGAGTGTAGGAAAATTCCAAGTCGAATCTAATTCCGCCTTTGTTTTCTTGGTCGATTCTTGGCCGATTGCTTTGAAATTTTGTCTACAGATAGAAATCAACATTTTCAGCTTCTAGACAAAATTTCAGAGCAATCGGCCAAGAAACGGCTGAGAAAACGAAGATGGAATTAGGTTTGGATTGAAATTTTCTCATTTCTAGTACTTGCACTCGAACTCACACATTTCAGGTAGAGCCAAGACTTCCAAAGCCTTTCATCTCAACAACACATCCGAGATTGAATGTTCCTCTTTTTATTTGCCATGGTTTTTATCAAACAATTCAGGTGAAAAAGAATATTGACTTTCCCAAATAACTTTAAAACAAATTTTCAGTTGGTATGCCGCGGACCACTTTCATTGGTCTCCCATGCATTCAAAAGAGAGCATCCAGTCTGGAAGGCGATGACCACCGACTCTAGATCACTGAAATCCGTCTCTATAACTAAAAAGTAAGCCAACTCAAAGCCAAGCATATTTTCTGTGATTTCTAGTCGAAAACCTCCATCAATGGCAGCAACTGAAGACGATTCGACTCTGATGTCTTCAACAGCGCTCGAGGAAGTCGTTGTCTCTCCCAAAACAGATCCAAATCATAAAATCAGCAATAGTAAGCAACAGTTTAAATGGCTTTAAATCATGTTATCATTTCAGTGTCAGTCTCTTCATCATCTCGTTGGGTGACATGGACAAAAGTGGGTCATGCTGAGCACCTATTACGAGCCGAGCGTCTCCTCCGTGCGGCAACAGTCGAATTGCTCACAGCACTCGTTACCGGCGCCCTCAGGCAACATTTCAGAGATCAAGTTGATTAGAAGATCAAATGAAAGAACCAAAAACATTCAGGGAATCCGACATCCACCAGATGTTGGCGCCTCGTTGTGCGTATCATGCCGCGACTTTGTACCGGTAGAAGCAGCTCGATTGTGTGAAGCAATCTTGCTTCCGCTTCGTTTACCCACATCAGTCGAAGGTTTATCTCCGTTTTTACACGGTAACAAGATGAATTTAGGCGCTGTGCCCCGAGCGTGGGCTGTGCAAAGACGAATGACAAAGGTGCTCGACGGGGTGCTTCCAAATGCGCTCAAAATTTCTCAATTCCTAGGTAAAATGGAGCACCTTTTTCGACACAAACAAATTTAGGTTCTCTATTGTTACCTTCGAATCTAGCGGAGAAATTCTCGAATGCTTTGTATGGCGATAATACGGTTCAGATATCGTTTTTACGAGCTGGAGGCGAGCTTTCGGTTAGTAGAAAAACGCGAGAATTTGAGGAAAGTTGAAAATTTTTAGTTAGACGGAATCCGTATACAATCGATGCTCATGTTTCCTGCGGTTAAAGAATCGGTTCGTTTTGAAAGAACACTCGAAAATGGTCTGCATGAATCTGCAAAAAAGCCGATTTCAGGTGCTAGCCTCATTCTGTTTTGTACAATGTGGTTCCGAGATGATGCTTTCGTTGTCTCTCGACAAAAACACCTTCCCGAATCCCTCAACGATATTAGCAAATTTTAGAGTAAGTTTCCCAGGCAAGCTTTAATAAATCCAAAAAGAAAATTTCTAGATTGAAGTGGAGCACTTGATTGACCAACTTTCTACTCGTTTACTAACTTTGTCCCAAAGCTCATTTACAGAAAGGATTCCATTCCTCAGGTGATCTTAATTGGAAAAATTCTTAAAAGCAAATTTTAGAATGGATCCCGACGCTGAAGAGTATTGTCGAGATAGCGAATCTTTTGCAAGAGCTCATCCAATGATCGAAAATCGCGTGGTTTCGAAAGTGAGTTCGGATAAGAGCTTTTAATTATGAGCATAAACATCGAATAATTTAGGCTACAAAAGTGTCTATCGAAAAAGAAGAGAGTGACTATACGCTCGAAGAATTGCAGCATTTGCTTACCACCGTGCAAGATGAATTGGATACGATGAAAGCAAATCCTCAAGTAAAAAAGTTTTTTAAAAGGAAATATGATTCAAAAGCTTTCAGGGAGATCGTGCTGAATATATTCGCAAGCTAACAGAGCTTGAAAATCGAATGCAGCGCTTTCATGAGTGTACTATGAAGGTATGATGAATCAAATACAAACCAATATTGAAAAAAATTTTAGAAGCTCGGTTCCGGAATCACCGATATGGTGCACAAGGACGCTTCATTAGCAAACAATGCAGTCACCGAACTACTCGCTCCTTATCGACAGGAGCCAGGTAATAAATCTCATAAATTGGCTTTTGCAACAAAAATGACTTAGGAATGACGGGCCGGAGATTCTCGCGTGAATACATTTTGGTCGACAGTGGCAGCAGCAATAGTTCTCGAAAAAACTCGAGGCATTCATTTTAAAAGCATCAAAAAACATCGATACGTGTCTTTTCGCTTATTTATTGTTCCACTTACTTATTTATCGGCTTAATCATATCCAATAACTGGTAATGACATTGACGTTTCTAGTTTAATCGTTGGCCTAAAGTCCCATCCGATTATTCACTTAACCACAAACATTCTGATCTGATTCAAATTTCTCATCTGATCTTTTCCTAAGCCAGTCAAATTTTACTATATTTCTAGAACAAAAGCTAAAAGCATTCCACCAAATGAAAGTACGGGTCTTACCTTGAAAACTCGTTCCAACAACTAACCGACCTTTTAAAAGTTTTGCTACATGTGTATAAGAATTTGACACGACCATTCCCGATATTTCCGAACTCATATTTGTATATTGGCGTATGCATATTTAAAAATAAATTATTCTCTGAAAATTTATGGAAATAAACAGCTAAAATATTTACAAAAATACCCAATCGAATTAATTTTAATTTGAATAAAGTCATCTATAAAATCGGGCACGCCGCAACATGCAGAACTGTGATCGCTATCTAAAATTAAAATTACTCAGAGTTGGGCAAACAGTTTTACCGTTTAGTGATGATGCTCGCGGTCCTTCTCAAAACCGACTCCAGGCACCCACTGTTCCGTTTCGTTATGGAAGAGTGTGTGGTTGCCATCTCCCCAAGGGAAAGGCTAAAAAAATTTAGATTAGAAAATTAACAAATAACAAACCTTATTGCGAACAGTTAAGTATGGATACTCTTTGTACTCGCGACGTCCTTTCTCATGGTGTTTCTGATGGTCGGCCAGCGCAGCATACCTAAACATTTTATGGTGAATATAGATAAAAAATAAATAAACATCGTCATAGCGAGGCAGGGAATAGAACAAATGAAGAAGATCTTGCGCCAAGTTTGCCAAGTGCCTAAAGCAAAAGTTTAACGTTTATGACAACTGATAAGATACCTTCAGCGGTTTTTAGCTGATGCCCAAGCGATTGACGATAACCATCAAAGTTGTTGGATCCATAGAAGCCTCCAGAAGAGTTCCTTTGAGTAGTGCGCATGGTGGTGGCACGAGTGGCCAAAGCAAGACGAGGAAGCGACATCCTAAATTTAAAAAATTATCCGCATAAACCCTGTACCCGTAAATTGAAATAAAGCAAAAAAAGTAAAGTAAAAAGATCAGTTAAAATATATACAAATAGCAAAAAAGTTAATCCTTTTTGAAGAAGTCTTTAATTTTCTTCTTTGGAGGCTCATCAACAGGCAAATCCGCTTTTTTCTTTTGTCGTTGTTTAGGATTTCCTTTCGCTTCTACCTTTGCGTCAATCGGTTTATGTTTAACTTGAAGCACCTTTGCTTCATTCAATCTTTGCTCATGTAGTAATTCAGCTCGAATGTCTTCAGGCAATTCGTTTAAGAATGCAGGATCATATCCCAAAGCATTTGGAAGCACCGATGAACCCAAACCAGTTTCCCATGGCGCATTGACAGCTTCCGTATTGACATCTTCCAAATCATCAGGATTGAAGACTTCCCAACCTTGGTCATCAACTCTGGAAGAAACAATAGCAGGTAGTTTCTTCTCGATGTTGCTCGTTTCACCACCTTCTTTCATCCAGTTTTTGAGTGTTCGAGTTCCGGATAAGACTCCACCAACAAAGCGCGAAGAACTGAGGGTGAGAACGCCAAGTGGTGGTTCCCAATTCTTTTTATCTGTCGCTTTATTTAACAATTTGAGAGCCCCCCAAGCAATCTCGTAAATGTCGTCAGGGTTATAAGAAACCATGGACAGTGTTTTAGAATATTGTTTCCAATTCGTGGTACAAAAACTCAAAATTAAACTGGTCGCTGTGCGTTTGTTAGCATTTTGGTCTTCGTGAAGTCGTTTGCAAAGCTCCTTGCTTAATCCTGTGATCCAAAATTGAATATCATCAATTTTGGCTAACGCACGTTTCCCTGGGAACTGCTTGCTCACTGTGACACTGCCTAAAAGATTCCTTGTCTTTACAACCTCTTCATCATGACCCCGAGCTACCTCATAGAGCCAGCGTGCTTGTGCGGGGAAACTTTCCTCCAACTTCGACAAATTAATCGCTGCCAATTGACCCATTGTTTCAATCCCAAAGCGATTGCACACACTTTGTCCAAATTTACCGCCCAAAAAACGAACATCTTGAATAGATGTTTTATCCAGAATGTTTGAAGCGTATTCATGGGGCATAAGTGTTTGCTGCCGCGGTTTATGACGGCCACAAACTAATTTAGCCATCATTTTATTCGTTGCCACTCCGCCCGAACAATAAAACTGCGTTTTTGACAAAATCGCGGCACGAAGCTGCTCAATCACCTCCCCAGCAACCAAAATTGAGAGGTGTCGAAAATCGGTTGCGCAATGTCCAGTAATCCAGCGTTCGAAACTTTCTTCACGGTTATAGCTGTCATTTTTATCCGCTCCTTCAGCAAGATGTGAAGTTGGAAAGATGGTTTTCCATTCAGACGCATATCTTCTCAAAGCTTCATCTCGACCTTCTGTTGCAATCATTTCTTCAACCAATTGCGTGAGATCCAAAAAGGCTTCATCTACGCTAGCCTTCTCAACAACAATCCTTTCATCAAAAGTGTTGATTATTTCAAACACCTCAGCCGAAGCAAGCCTGTATTTGTTGATGTCGGGTTTGTCGGCATGTTCTCCAAAGGGTACAACACAGATGTTCACTTCACTGCAGCAAGCTTTCACCTGCGGTACCATCATTCCGCGCTTGACTCCGGCTCTACGGGCTTCGTAGCTCAAAGCGATGACTCCTCCCAAGGCTCCTCTAGGTCCTGAAGGTTGTACAACGGCTACCGGTTTGCCCCACAGTTCTGGCTTTTCACGTTGTTCGACTTGTGCGTAGAAGCAATCCATATCGATCAAGCCGATTATCCTTGTTGGCGGTTTCAGCATTCTGAAAAAAAATAAAATTAAGTTCTGCAATAACATGTTTCTGACAAGTGAGAAGCTTAACGGAAACATATGAGCAACAACAGAAATGGTTAAATAAATTAAACGTTATACGTAAAACTAGATAAGCACAAATCAACTGAATGGAAGATTTTTTAGCGCGAGATGCAGGTGGCAGAGTCCTAGAAAGCGATTGCATACAAGATCACGGTAAAAGGAGCGTCTTTTAGCCAGTTAGATCACGTGCCACTCTTTCGCCCGCATCTTTTTCTATTGGTAACACAGAAACCCAGAAATTTACTCAAAACTCATTCAAAAGTGCTAAAATAAAGTATAAATTGCACTTAAATTAAATCGTGAAAAGGAATTTAAACGCGGATAAATTCTAGCAATACCTAACTGTGGGGATTTGAAAGTCGCGAATAACCTGGGTAACACAGAATACACGAAAGTTTGAGCATATCATGTTGGGGGAGGGGGGCACTTTTTTTTCCTTCAAAACCACTTTTTCTGGGGTAGTTTTATGCGTAGATTCCGAAAAACACAACGAAAGCTTGGGAAAATGCGTTTTAAGCCGAGTTTCGGGGCTCCAAAGTGCGCGCTTCCATAGTGTGCTTCACTATATTTATACCCAAGCTATCGACTATTGAGGCACTTTTCAAAGTCAAAGCTAGGGCCAAAACCATTTCTAACCACTAAATATTCATTTTTTAACTTAAATTGACTGGTAGAGGCAAAAAAGTTGAGAATTTTTTTCAGTTTTGACCGATTTTGACTCATGATCGAAATTTGGAAAAAAAAAAGTTTTTTTTTATTTTGCTCCTATTTGATCAGAAACGTAATCAATAGTTTAAATTATGCCAGAAAAAGTGTTTTTGGCTTCAAAAAATGTTTTGAGAGCCCATTTTTAGACCTCTTTCCTATGTGTATCCTTATCATCACACTGTATGAGCGCGCACTTTGGAGCCCCGAAACTCGGCTTAAAACGCATTTTCCCAAGCTCTCGTTGTGTTTTTCGGAATCTACGCATAAAACTACCCCAGAAAAAGTGGTTTTGAAGGAAAAAAAAAGTGCCCCCCTCCCCCAACATGACATGCTCCCCAAAGTTTGATGACAAAACTAAGTTTTTGATGAATTTATTTTGCTCCAGAACAAATTGAATATCTTTATCTTTGTAATTTTTAAATTTGGATTTTATTTGAGTGTTTAATTTGGATTTCCGAAATTGTATCTTGTGCAAGAATTCGGTTTCAAATGTTGTTTCTGCTCGAATTCAATTAAATTTTCAGCAATCCACTCCGCTATCATTAGAAATATCTTGAAGGTTTTAGGTGAGCTGCAGAAGAAAACTAATTGGCTAAATGTCTATCTCCTCTGCCTAATCTAAAAAGGGGAAAGAATCCCGCCTTTTCGAGTTGAACCTCCCCAGTCTTTCTTTAAACATTTATATGTATCTACTCTTCAAATAGTTATTGTGTTAAATTTTGCACATGTTCCCTTATCCCAAAACGACTTGATCCAAAGCTTAACGATTAAATTCAGGTGAACCACTCGTCATCTAAACTTTGGCGAAAATGCTTATCCGTCTTGCAATCCTCTTAACTCTCATCAATCTCGTGTTTGCCCAACTGCAGTTTTATGACGAGAACGCACAAGTGACTACATTGATGTAATAAAATTTGATTGAAAACGATTTTCAGGAGGCGATGCCCGCAAATCCGGCAATTAACTCCATGCAGAAACGGTAGGCAAATCTCAAAGTTTGAAATCATTTCAATTTTAGTTTCAAAGTAAAGTATGTTCGTGAGCTTTCTCGCCTCCAACCAAATACATAAAATGTGTTGCATGGATTGTTTACTTTGAATGAGCATAAATTCATTGATCAATTTATTGAAGTCTAAAGACAATAAAGAAATGGGGGGCAAGATGAAAGAAAAAAAACGCCTAAAGACTGTTTTTATTACCAGAAAGTAAATCGGAAAAGGTAGAGAAGAGAAGAAAACCTGTTATGGGGTGGCTGGAGGAAAAGTGGATAGGAAAAGGAAAGGAAGGAGCCTCCCCTCCTCTTGCTCTTCCCCAGCCTCCCCTCGTCTGCTCTATGCGTCCTCCACCAATACTTCATCGATTTTTTTGCTTGCTCAGTTTCTAATAGATTCGATTGTGAAATATTCGAGCATCAAAATACTAATCACTCTTTGGTATTTACAGTCTAGCTAGTCTGCCAGAATGCAGACTGCTGTATTCTGCCTGGCAGACTGCCCTGTCAGAATTTTTTTCTTGAATACTCCGGAAGTTTCTTGCAGATACTCAACAAGCCACATAACACTTTTCAATCAAAATCTTAAATGAATTTACTATATAATTATAATTCGAGCGAAAATCTAATTGATTTGTTTTTTTTTGATTGTTTTTTCGAGGAGCGCCTCTTCACCCCACGAATCTCGGACTCGATTTCGATCCACTGAGCAGCAGTTCTTTAGATTTTCCCCTCTTTACCCCTTCCATCCTTTTCTCTTTTCAATCTTTGCTGACGTGTTCCTGTTTTCTTTTCACTATTTTAATTTTAGATTTCTTTTTTTAGAAACTTTCTCACATCATGATTTATCATGATTAAGTCTTTGTTTTGATGTGATACATCTCTGTATCATTTCTTCTCTCTTTAACTATTCTCTTGGTACTAATAATTAAAAATAAACCCCTATATTGCAGTCTTCCTACCGTACTCCCTCACACTCAATTAAATGATACTCAGTTGTCGTTTTTTTTTATTTAAACTTGGCACTAATAACTTCGGGGGGTTACTTTGATTTGACTTTATCAGATTACATTTTTGATTGTTACAAAATTATTTTACTTTTTCTGGAATAATCAAACATGCTGAATCTATTTTGATAATATTTTTAGAAAGTTTTGAACAATTTTTATTATATTTTGTTAAACTAGTTGGAGTTTATTGATATTTTGTTAAACTAGTTTGCCTCTGCAATATTGCTAAGATGAAAATGAAGAGAGAGGCAAAATCCAACATGAAAACTTGTCAAAATACTTGAAAAGTCTCTCTAATTGATTAAGCATATTACCCCAGAAAATGCAAAACAAGACTAGAAAAAAAATAAGCGTAAAATAGGATCTCATCAAGTCGAGTCAAACTGGTCCTCGGAGTTTATTAGTATCAATCTTTCAGGGTTTACTAAGACTTGTCAAAATCATTCTTCATTCTTCAAAATCATTCCATCATTCTTTAAATGAAACCTAAAAGTTTTTTTTTTATTTCCTAGCTCTCACTCTTTTCACTTATAACAAAAAAAAGTGAAAGTAAATTGTGAATCGATAGTGGTGATCAATGCTTTAAATGAACAAATCTTCTAAGAATGTTAAAACTAGATATAACAATCTTTAATATAATAATTTTTCACGTTCTGACCAGTCAATGGTGATCAATGCTCGCATCACAATAATTTCATCTACCAACTTTAACACAAAAAAAACAAAAAGCTATCAGTCTTGGTGTTTAACTTTAACCAGATATTAGACTGAAAACTAGTTTTCTGAACTCATAAACTTCTTAATCAAACTAATAAAATCTGCCAAGAAGGCAGTAGAAAAAGGGAGTGAGTGGTGGAAGAGAGGAAAAACTACAAAAGGATACGGGGGTACACAGATGACTTGTGCTTGAAAGAGAGTATCTCTAGACCCAAACCCTCCTTTCTTCTCCCTATCTCTTCATCACACTCCTTCAGCCTGCATAAATTCTTGTCATTATAGTCAATACATTAATACTTCTCCTTTTTTCAATCTTTATCTTTTCTTTATTTATCTTTTTTTTTTTACAATAATCAAAATTTAAAGATTTGCAGCTTTTTGTGAAGATGCGAGTGTTTTTGATACCGTTATTTTTATTGCTTCGGCTCGGCAAATCCAACGAACAAACGGTAATCAAGAAAAAAAAATAAGACAAAGAAAATAAAGAACTTTTTCAAAGCAAACTTTTTCCAGGAAGAAAACGAAGAATTGAGTGAATTACCTGTAATCCACACGGCTTTTGTTCAAACCGGCAGTGAACTTCACTATTTTTCGGAGAGTTCATCCCATGAGGCACTTCTTTTTTCGGGAGGGCAGCTGAAGTTCGAGAAATTGAACGAGTTTTAACAGAAATTTCATTCTAGGGGCTCTTCGAAAACGTGGGAAGCTACTGATGAGGACAGTCCCCTTGTTTTCGATCCACCGATTCTCGACTTTGGAGACCAGTTCGTTTTTATTGAAAAAAGACAAAAACCCCCAAAGTTTAGATCGATTGGTTTACCGACTTTTCGACGCGTTCGCGTTAAGTCAAGAAGGAAAGAAAATGTTAAACTCGTCTCGATCATGGCCTCGTCACTCAATTTTCACACAACATTTTTTGACAAAGAAGTACCACATAAACGAAAGTCGCCTTTTGGTATTTGAAGAGAATTTTCTAGAAGCTGGCTTCACCTGACGAGGACGCGTGGATGGATGTAGCGTTTTTAGCGAGAGAAGAAGGACGAGTGGCTGGGCAATTGCTTGTGCATGTTCACGATGGAACAGTGCATTATCAGGTGACGATAGCATCAAATCGATGGCAATTCAAAATCGTTTTTGAATTGAAATTGTTGAGCAATTGTTGAGCATTTCTTTTTATATCATATTTTATTTCTAAATCTTTTCATAATATGTATTTTAGCTTCTTGGCACTGGAGCATATAATCCTTATCGTTTACGTCCATTTATTGGTACAAGATTGCCGATCAATGGAACAATTACAAGACCTTTGATGTTTGCGATAATCTTTGAATCTTTTCTAGTAAAGAGTTTAGAGTTCACAATCCACATGAGCATACTTTTAAAATCACTGAAGTTGAATCATCAGGTTAGTGGAAGAAATGGAAAGAAAATTTTGAATTTAGGAGGAGATGTTCATGTTGAATTGGCACCAAAAAGTGAGAACGCGGTTCTTGGGGCAGAACCAGCTGATCAAATGGTAACACAAATTATTCAACTTTCTAGAGAAACTTTTACAGGAGCTGCGTCCTTTCGAGACACGACAAATCGGAAATTTGTACGTGGTTGGTGGAAGCGAAATGAACACGACGATTTTCGTTCGTGTTGCTGGGCATCTCATTGCTTCGTGAGTGATCCATCTCTCTTTTTCTAAGTAGACTCACTTTTCAGATCACCGATTCCCAAAGAGTTTTATGTGACTTTCCCCATTGAAGTCACGAAGAAGTCCTCAATTTTCCCAAGTACCGAATATCTCGGTACGTTGCCGCGTTGCTAACTAGAAAAGCTTTTAAAAGTTTAGACTTTGGCCTCATCCGTCATGGAGATCGCTCAAAACCGCTTAATTTCTCGATCTACTCGTCATTAGCTAGAGCAATTGATTTTGAGGTGAGACAAAAAATGAAAGAAAAGCAAGTAAAACACGAATTTAGCAATTATATATCGATAAAGGAGATGGCAATCTAGCCTACATGGAATACATCACAACGCCACCGATTCGAGTTCCACCCACAAAACCATGGACACTACGTAAGTTGCCGAAAAAAGCCGATTTTTCATCATTTTTCATCATTCAATCACTTTTTTTCTAAGCGCTGGTTCATGCTAAAAATATGTTTTATATCTCAAAAGGACACCCATCCTTTTTATTTTAATTTGATACTAAAACGCGTAGAAACAAACGTACTGGTGTCGAGATCTGAGAGAGTAAACTTAGACTACGCAACGCTTCTATAGGTGGTCGTTTATAGGACCCTTTCTATTAGAGTTTTTACAGTTCAATCAATTTTAGCAATTCCTACACCATTGGTGAAAGTTTGGTTTGAATCATCGAGAGTGACAATGGAGAAAAAAGGACCGATTTTAAAGACACCCCTTGGCCGAATCATTGCCATCTCTCGTGGTGGCAATTTCAACACCACCATTCCATTTATGGCTAAAGTCTATCAAGGGTTTGTTTGATTCGATTTTACTTTCAAAACAAGATTTCTAGTGAGCTACTAGTACACGAGAATGACCTTTGTTTCCATGATTCTCTCCGACCGCCTTTCAAAAGAGGGGTACTTTAGTCAATCGCTGATTCAAAGTTCATCTTCGAGTTTCCAGGTTCGCCTCGTGAATGCTTTACCTTTTGGTGTGGCCGTTTGGAATGTCAGTCTTCCTGAAGATCTCAGACCATACATGACGGTTTGAACTTAAGAATTTTTTGGTTTTTTACAATCATTTACAGATACGACTTTTTCACCGAATCACAACGATCGCTCCTGGTGAATCGGGATCCGTTTTCTTGCTTAAATATAACAAAAGGGCTCCAGTGGGATTCAAGTTAGGGAAAATTTAGACATTATAATTAAATAAAACTTTAGATCACAAGTGATTGTTCAAACAAATGTCACCGATTATTCTCTCCCATTGACTTTTTATCATGGAAAAGTTGAGGTTGAATTGTACACAGAAGATCAGAAAACTTTCGACTTTGGTTTTTTGGAAAAGAATGATTCAAGATCGATTCGAGTTGGTTCATTCATTCATTGTAAAGTTTTGGGACACTCTTGTCAAAGGGTTTTTAGTTTGAAATTCGTAATTCGAATCCGGCGACGGTTTGGTTGAGAAATATGCGAGTGCCTCAAATGGATTATATGAAATTGTATAAAGTGGGCGCAAGAGAAAACAATGAGACAATTGTCGTCTACGAGAAGGGAATTGTTCAATATGTAAGCAAAAAAAAAGCGATAACAATGAAATAAATGAAAATTTTTAGGGTATTGATGTAGCTGTGGCACCGAATTCGACAACGATCTTTGATTTGATCCTTCGCTTGCCTCCGGATGCATCTGAAGGTTTTCTTCTTTTTCAATTTAAATAATCGAATATTTAGATAAAGAATCAAAAGATGAATTCACATTTTCGGTGGAAACAGACTATGAAAGCCGACATTTTCCTATAAGTTATCAAGTAAGAGACAATGCTATCAGGTTTTCCGCTTTTTTTAAAAGGTTAATGAATAAATAAACCAATCGATCTATGATTTGTTTTATCAGAAATTATATTATTTACAAATTGCTCTTTAAGAAATTCTGAAAAGCTCTCGTTAGTTCATTTTTTTTAAAATTTGAAATCAAGGAGGTAAAAATGATGAAACTCCATTTTGCTTTGAGTTCTAATTTAAGCACTTTTTGTTAAAGAAATCTATTTTTCTTATTTCTATCTATTTTAGATAGATAGAGAAATATCTATTAGATAGATAGATAGAGAATTTTTTTATAACATTTCATCAAACCTTTTTCATTCAATGTCTATTGTAAGAATTTTAGGAAAAAACAAGAATTCCCGTTCGGATTTTGCTCTAAAAGCTTTGCTTCAAATTTGCCTATAAATAAGCTAAATGAAATAGTTAATCTTTTGGGGTAGGCTACTTTGCGCCAAATTTTTTGCGCAACAGGGTCATTTGCGCAACTGGGTCGTTTGCGCAACTAGCGATAACTTTCTTCTAAGTGGGCCAATCTTTATGATTTTGGCTTCATTTTGTAGATCTCAATAAGTGCAACAAAATGAAACCAAAATCATAAAGATTGGCCCACTTAGAAAAAAAGTTATGGAGAGTTGCGCAAATGACCCTGTTGCGCAAAAAAAATTGCGGAAACTAGCCTACCCCAGCCTTTTTTTTGATTTAAAGCAAAACACACATTGATTGACTAATGTTTCATTTATAAACGAAAATTTGAGGAAAAGACTTTCTAAAACTAATACCATTTTAAAACCATTTTAGATCTCTCGAGGCAGTCTACTTGCGATTCCAGAAGAGCTCGATTTCGGGAAAACCCATCCAGGAAAACTCGCCTATCGTTCCTTAAAAGTTATACATATAAAGAAAACAAAGAAAATTGAGAAATATAGGTGTTCAACGCATTTGATATGGATATGACGGTGACAAGACTGAGCTCTCTCGAAAAAGATGTTCAATTGCATTTTGACCCACTCGACTCAGCAAAGCCACAAGTTCTTCGGTAATCTAGATCATTTTGCATTAATGATTCATTTTATTTCATTCAAGTTATTAAAACCAAAAAACAACTCTAGATCTGGTCGAGTAACAGATCTTGGCCGTGTCCTACTCCATCCATCACTCGATTGCCCATTAAGCGATTGTTATCTAGGCATGCCATTACACACTGCAGGTATCTAAATAAGAAAGAGCTCAATATCAAGAATCTAGATGGTCAATGGTTTGTTCATGGACTGAATTTGCCGAATAATCTTGCTCAAGTCGATAACTATCTCTACAGGTGGCATTTATTCTTATTCAAAAAAAAACGATGTTATTTTAGAAGAGTGCGAGGAAAATTTGATAAAATCGTGAAAGAGAATCGGCATCAAATCAACGCTACAGTGACTATTGACACAACACATGCTAAGAATATACAGGTTTAAAGCTCAACAAGCAAAACTTTAAAGCTCAACAAGCAAAACTTTAAAGCTCAACAAGCAAAGCTTTAAAGCTCAGCAAGCAAGACTTTAAAGCTCAACAAGCAAAACTTTAAAGCCTACTAGCGTCGAAAAGCTATGAAAATCTAAAAGCACTGATTTTTAAGCTATTGAAAAATAGCCAATCAGCTTTTCTATTCGAATTTTAATTCAGGTACCTGTGAAAGGAGAATTTGTGTGGCCTCGTCTCCTCACTCGAAGCTCCATTCATTTTCCATTGACTGCACTTGGAAACTTTACTGTAAACGTTTTACATTCCATTCAAACATCAAACCTTTTCAGATTGTCAATCTCACCTTGCAAAATCCGTCTTCAGTGCCCGTCGTTGTGCAAGTGATTCCATTGGTGATCTATCCCGATGCGGACACTCTTGTCAATCTTTTCAGAGACATTCTATTGACACCACTTACTAGTCAAGTAAACTCTTTTGAAAGTCATTTGAATTTCTAGATGAAACTCTTATTCTGTGCATGGTTTATCTGAAGTTCTAGATTGAAATGAATGAAACGCTAATGTTTTCCTTGCGAGACACTGAGCTGTTCACTTTGAAACCCGACTCACCCGTGCCCCAGTTAAGAGAAGAGCTTGAGAAATCGCTGAAAATGACAGTTCCAAGGTAAATGTCAAAAATCATTTAAAAAAAGAACCGAAAATATTTTAGATTTACGTTATCAATGCTTCTCAAGCCACATATGAAAGTCAGAATTCGATTGGGATTTTTGCCTTCAGATTATCAACTTCGATCAACTCTTCTCTTGATTCGGTTTGATTATTAGAAATTGATCATTAGAACTTGAAAAATGCAACTTGCAAAATCTATAGCAGATTATAATATTATTTTACTCGATGAGAATGATACGGTTAATTAAATCAATTAATTTCTTCACATTATTTTAGTAACAACTTGACGGTGATTGAACCAGTGACTGTTTATGGACGAGGCGCAAGAATTGGGATGCAAGTATGTCAATCTAGAAATCTGAGTAATAAGGCCCTATCCTGGCGGCAATGGGATACGGCAATGGCTGTGTAGCTCATTGATAGAGCGTTCGCCCGATAAGCGAGAGAGAGTTCCCGGGTTCGAATCCTGGCAACGACGATATCGATCGACCACCGACCATGTCGATCGACCACCGACCATCCCCATGTTTTGTATTCCCAGCCCCAACCCATACCTCTCTTCTGACTTCTGAACTCAATAATGTCCAACTTCTGAACTCAAAAAATAGAAATCAACAAATAGATTCACTAATTTAACCATTCAGGTTGGTGGAATCGAGTCTCGTTCAAGAGTTCCACTCCTTTTCGAGATCAGACACGATCATCTCACCGATTGCAGCAATCCGAAACGTGAGGAGAAAACTTTATTTAAAAATAAACACCTAACATCTTAGAACTAATCTTTTAGAAAAAGTAGACTCAATTTGCTGCTATGAAGATAGTATGTGCTTTCATTTTTCTTTTTGATCCCTTTGTCCTGTTCAAAATCCTTGTGTGTCTCTTCAAGTTACCAATGTTCTTCAAAAGCTTAGATCCAAAACAGTATTTCATAGTTTTCTATTTTCTCTGTTTCATCCCAATGTCTTTTCTCCATTGTCGGTACAAAAAAAAAGGTTTGTTAACGTATTGAACACTAAAATTTCAGGATTGATGCATCAATTGACGTCGACTCTAACTGTCAGAAGACCGTTTTTAGTGCAAAATACTGGAGAGGTGAGTTGAGAAGAATTTTCTGATTTTTAAACATCAATTTTAATTTAATTTAATTTAACATCAATTAAATCAACAATTTTAAACAACAACAATTTTAAAGAACAAGAATTTTAAACATCAACAATCAACAACAACAACAATTTTAAACAACAACAACTTTAAACAATAACAATTTTAAACATCAACAATTTTAAACAACAACAACAATCAACAACAACAATCAACAACAACAACAATCAACAACATCAACAACTTTTCAGGTACCATTCAGTGTGGTGAACATGAGTATCAGCGGGGTTTCATGCGAGAATCGCGGTTTCCGCATCTTGAATTGTGCTCCTTTCCGCCTTGCCCCAAACGATACATATGAAATTCATGTTGCGTACGTTTCTCTTCTTTGCCTTCTTTTCTATAAAGCACCTAGTTTCACACCGGATTTTCTCTCACACGTAAACGAGGCGGATCTCCAGTTGTACATGCACATGAATGGCAGTGCTTGGGTCTATCACATTGCGGCCACTGTACCACAAGATATGATGGCAAAGTGAGTTCAAAGACTTCGGCAAGTTTGCATTAAGATTTTGTCGACTTTGTGTTTCCTATTTTGTGTCCTAGCTTAGTCGCGTCGTATTTTGGGTTACTGTATTCTGTGGGTAAAATTTTTGACAAAAATCTCATTCTGATCATTATTTTCAGCAGTAAACTAATTGATTTTAGTAAACTAATTGGCTATAAAGCTATCAATAAAGCCATTCCTTTTCTGAAAAATGTACAAAATGAGGCTAAATTGAACTTTACGGTCCAAAAGGTCAAAATAAAAAGTCGAATTTTTTGATCAAAAAAGTTTTCCCCATTATTTTTCTGTTTTTTTTGTGCATAACTAGGCATAGTAAAGCATAAAAAAGAGTTTTGAATGTATTTTGGTTCTGGAATTAGTTCAAATTAGTTCAAATTAGCTCAAAATTAGATTTTTTTCGATTCAAATGCAGCAAAGTTGAATGAAATGAAAGTTTTTTTTTGAGTGAGAGCAAAAATTCATAAATTCAGATGTCACATGGCTCTCCCCAGGCCGCCATTCGAGAATCTCATGTACTACAGCTGTGCCACTGTTTTGGCGTAAGAAAGAGTTGAAAAAAAAAGTCTGTTGACAAAAAGGTTTTCAGCTTCACTTTTGTTTGTGTGATTGCTTGTGCCTATTTGGAAGGAGATCGAGCAGTGACCTGTTCGATCAAAGAGATTTACAGTAATATTCGACCGGTGAGAGAAAATCGATTAGAACAAAAAAAGACATTTAAATAAAGGTTTTCGATCTCAACAACCTCACGCAAATAAAGGACGAAGTACCGAAATCGCCAAGTAAACGTAAGATAAAATGAATTAAAATTTAAACGAAACTTTTAGGACCAGACATTGGCACAAAACCAAGCACCGTGCATGCAAGAGAAGGAGATGGAGCACTCGCGAAATTCTTCTACTCAACAGCAAACACCGTAATCACCGTTGTTCATCGTTTGTGGAGCCTTACATTGCTCATTCGATCCACTGAAGACGCTCAAAGACCTCCAAATCCACCAAAAGTATATCATTTTTCTTAAAAAGTAATTTGATTTCGTTATTTAGCGGAGAGGCCCCGTACAGGCTAGATGGAGAGAACAGCGATTGAAGAAAAAAGAAGCCGAACAATTGACAAAAACAGGGAAAAAGATACAACCAGTCGCCCCGATTCCTAACACTCAACTACAACGAGAAACAAACAAGATAACGTATGAAAGTTTAAAAGATTTAAAAGATTTAAAAGATTTAATATTTTTATAGTTTTATAGTTTTATGAAATTTTAGAGCTAAACCATCCGTTTCTCCGAAAGCTTCTGCATCCACGAATGGGAAAAAGAAGAAAGAAGTTGATCAAAAAGAAAAGGAACAAAGATTGGAGAGAAAGATGCAATTACTTGATGCTGATCGTGAGTAGTTTTTTATTCTTAAAAAGCAAAGATTTGATTTAGATTCGGTAAAGGAATCTTTGCTAATTTCAACGAAACGACCGAACTCTCGAAGGCAATCCGATGCAGATGACAATCAGAGCAGGTTTGAGGGAATTTGGGAATTTTATAATAAACTTTTAGCAAATCATCAACGAGCATTAATACTTCAATCAGTGCACCACGCTCACAAAAATCATCAAAAGCCACTGCAGCTGTGCTACCACAAATGGCAAATACGAATGAAAGAAAACTATCTGAAGAGATGGATTATCAAAGACCAAGTCCACAGGTATTTAAGCACCTCTAAAACATTATAGGAAAATGTTCAGATCCAGGGATCTTTACTCCGAGAGCCGTCAATTAGCCCAGAAAGATCTCAGAGAAGCTTTTCTCCCGAAACATCTCATCGTTTCACTCGAAATTCTTCCCCGTCAGCATTATCCGAAACGTCGGATCTTCCCGAGTGGAATGACGAGAACGTGGAAGCATTTGGTTTGTAACAAAATACTGACAATGATAAAGAACTTCTAGGTGCTAACATTGATGACGAGCTAACTGAATTGGCGCTGGCCTCTGAAGCGCTCTTCTTGAATCAGGACAGCGATTCTGGTAGGGAACAATCAATGCTCACTAGCACAACCGAGAACACGGATTCGACAAGTAGGAAAGAAAGCATGATCAAAAACAAAAATGTTTTAGATAATGACAAGAAGAAAACCCAACGCGGTCAAAGGGGCGGACGGCGAAGATCAAAAGGAGAACAGAGAAGAGACAGCGAATCATCTTCACATGAACCATTCAACAAATCACAAGCCTCTTCCTCATCGGGAAGCGCTTCGCAGGGAAAACCATCTCAATTCATTCAAGAATTGACTAAAGAACGACGACAAAAAGAAGAACAATATGTGAAAGGTAAGTTGGGAAAGAAGAATTCAAAGCAACGATAATTCTTAGCCACTCTGACAACTCATCCACCACCCCCTCAACCGCCAACCGCTTTGGGTGATTGGCCAATGCCTCAACTTCCTGAATTCAATTTACTGCGCCCAGAAGAGCTCAATGTGATCATAAATGGCCCAGAAATGGTTTTACAACACTAAGAAGTTAATAGTTTTTAAATGTTTTAGGTTGGAAGAGGAGGAAGGCAATGGCCACTTGCACCGATGCCAAACGATTTGAGTGGTTTCTCGGGTCTCGGTCAATCATCTTCTTCCATGTATCCATTCTCACAACCGGATCGGGTTTATCCCCATCCAAACTCAGCTATAAATCCCACAAATATGAATCTGAATCTCGGCCTGGATTTGGGCTTTTCGTTATTTTCTGATTCTAACATGTGGTCAACTGATGTTAAGGTAAATCAAAGAAAAATGAAATAAGCCTTAATTATAATTATTTTTAGGTCGATCCAGAACAAGCTTGGGCTGGCTTTACTCAACAACCACAACAAGAGAAAGAAGATCACGATGAAAATACAAAATAAAGTTCGCTCAATTCTCAGATTTACATTTGAACACTATCAATTTCACAAGCCAATTTTCTTAAAACAAAATTAATCCTTTTTAGTACACACAGAGCACCTGCCCTTGTTTTTAAATAAAAGAAGTATTTATTATCCAGATCAAGTAAATAGGTAGCCACCTAGGAAATGTATACATGATATGGACTCAACACACCGAAACACTTAAAATTAGAGTATGTTCCTCTAAAGTAATGCCTTTTGGAAATGCACTACTCTAGAGAACCAAACCCTAATTAAAACATCAAAGTAGTACATGCAATGAAATTTAGTAAATAAAATACTAATAGTAGCATTGAATCACAACATCGGCAAGCATTGCCCTAGTCAAATGACAGGTTCACATCTCGTTTTTTAATTTTAGTTTATTTTACTATGCATCATAAAGATCTACTTAATTCCGGTTTTAGCAATAGAAAACCTAGAAAAGAAAAGGCTATAGTCACAGAAAGGAAATTATGGAAAACCGGAGACAAGAAAAAAAAAGCATCTTGAAAGATTCTCATGCATCTTGAAAGAGAAAAAAATCCATACACTATCATACATAGTTACAGCATTTGTTCATCTTGCGAGCTTGCGTATAGAAGAGCTTGCTCTAAATAAATAAATAAGTATTAACTTGCTGAAGTTGATGATCAGCAAGATAATGGTGGGTGAATCAATCAGAAAGTGATCAGACCTGATCAGAAAGTGTTTCACTTTTCTTCACAAGATCATCCAATTTTTCTCCACGGTCCAAAACTGCTTGAATCGTTTCATGCATCACAATCTTTGTTTCTTCAACTTGTTCCTAAAATTTTGAATTAGTATCCTTCATTGAAAGTCGGTCCAAACACTAATTTATAAATTTCATAGAATTTACCTGAACACGTGCCATCGGATCTGCTTCGCTAGGATTTTGCCATTTTTGAAGAAAAGCAGGCAATCCATCATAAGTGCAGTCTTTTTCATTCTTGATCGTGGCCTGAACAAAGGTATGTTTTAAAAAAAAAATAGAGGTCTCACCCATTGGCTCGATGAAACTTTAGTAGCAAAATCATCCAGTACTTTTGTAAGCATTGTGAAAGCAACCTACAAGAAAATTTTTAATAATGAATACAGTCGAACTTTGATATAATGAATCGCTTGGAACCGAAAACTTCGATATAACAAGCCTAAATGGTGCCTCAAATTTTCTGCGTATCTGCCCTGGACGGCTACTGATTGCATTTGGCTGGAGCAGCTACGCAGAAATTTTGGGCACGTTTCAGGATTTGAAATTCGTTGTATCGAAGTTCGATTGTAAATACTTATACACACCCGTTGTAGGTATTCTTGATCGGTCACGCAGACTCCTGCTAATCCGTCAGCTCTCACGTAAACATGTAGCCAGTATTGTTGCTCTAAAGCCTTCAGTTTTGGATGGAAAATTGATAGTGTTAGTTTCTGATTGAAACACCTACCAGAAACAGAAGTGCGACTGCCCAATCCAGATCGCTCAACAAGCAATTTTCCAGTGAAATTCATGAAATCCTAAAATTTTTAAAAAAGATATTTAAAAAATATTACCTGTATCGAACTTCGATTAAAGAAACTGAAAGATGATAAATCCGAAGCCCCTTTCAAAAGTTGCGCCTACAAAACATTATTAACTTTTTTCTACCCGTAAAGTTAACCTGTTCACTACTTTGGTCCTTATTAAACACAAGGATAGAAAAAATTTTCATCTTTGAAGAATAAAGAAGTCTAAAACCGAATTTAAATTAAAGATAGCGTAGATTAAGAAATTTGCAAAAGCTATCGAAGTTATCGACCTCCTCACAGCACGATTTTCGGTTAAACGTTTATTAAAACCAACTTCCATATCACATTTTGGACCAGTTTAACAAGCCTATTAAAAACAAAATAATAAAATAATCACAAACCCAAATTGAGAAAAGGCAAATCGATGACAAAATTTATACCTAATTAATGTCCATTTATTGAATGGATATCTACTGAACACCTAAACAAAACAAAATGCACACCGAACACAGTAAAAAAATACCCGAATCGTAAACAGGTGACATCGCAAAGCTGCTAATTTCAAAATTTAACACCTAAAAAACAAACTATTGGATACTAATAAATTTCGGGGTCACTTTGAGCTGATGTGGTCCCCCGAACTTCAGTAGTACCAACTAGTATAAACGTGATCGACAAAGCGGTTGGACGACTTGTAGCCACTTTTGCGCAAACAACTCCTCGTTGAAGTCCTTCGACTTTGTTCTGGCCCGTTCTCGAATTGCAGACCTTTCTTCTTTGGAAAGTTTTATGATTTCCAAAATTTGATCAGCATATTCTAGAGGTGACAGTAAATAGGCATATAAAATTTAAAGAATACCTTGAGCGGTTGCAGCAAGATATCCCACTCGATTGTTCCCTGTAGCTGGTACAACAATGTCCATCAGTGGGCCACCTGAGCGAAAAAAACTTTTAGGTTGAACTTTTCACTTACCAGAATTATGAGCAACCATGATCGTTCCAGCCGCCACTCCCTCTACTACAGAAATGCCAAAATGTTCATTCCACATTGTATGAATGGAGATCAGAGAAGACTAGATAAACAAATATACTCTACGGAAAAGTTATGAAACTTACGCTTAGATTTTCTAACAACACATCATATGGCACATTTAGACTCCAATTTACCAATTTTGTAGCACCGATTTTCTAAATCCAAGCTCTTTGACAAAAAAAAATAAAAACAAAACCTGTGCATAAGCTTTTAATTGTTCAACTCGTTGTAAATCTTCGGCATGTCTACATCCTCCTACTATTCTCAACTTTGCCTAAAAGCAATTTCATTATTTCTCTGACAACTATTACAAACCTTTATTGCGAAACCAGTCTCTTTGAGGCGGTCGTCTAGCTAAAAAGTGGAAGATTTTATTCCGTGACAATTAGCTTTGTTATAAAAAGTCGGTAAAGAGAATGAACGCTTCAGGAAAGTTACATCAATGAAACTATAGTTCCACAAAAAAAATTTTTCAAGATTAAGTTACTTACCAATTTAATGATTTCAATTTGCAGGGCATGATTCTTTTCTGGACGAATTTGGCCAATCGATAAAACTTGAACTTCCGAATCGTTTTCGAGTCTAAATATAGAATTTTCCGTAAAATGCAGGCAACACAAAAACTCAATAATAATTCAACAAATACTTTTGAACTAATTAAACCAAAATATGCAAATCAAATTTAAACTAACCTCTCCTCAGCTGTTGATTCAATCGATAACAGGGACTCGACATCGCACGGCGGAAAAACAATCTCAATGTCTTTGCGCTTCCAAATTTGACTTATATGGTCAGCGGTCCATCTAAAACATTATAATTAAGACACTGTTTTTAAAACCTACGTTCCATTTGCCATCACAACATCAGCTGTGCTGCCGATTAAGCCATATAAATATGCAAGAAGCTGATAATAGCGAAGCTTTACCTAAAAATGCTTATAAAATATGATACAGTATTTTAAGTAAATTATTTTATGAAAGAAGCTCACCGACGCTAACAGGGGATTCTTTGCCACCAGATCAGCATTGTTAAAAGCAGCTCTCCTTTCAGCAACAACTTTGATCATATCTGCAAATGAAAAACTTCCTGTTTCCAGACATATTTAGTTTAACTCTTTAAAGTTTAAAAAAAGAAACACTAACCACTTGATATCACCGGGTAGTGCACATAAGCAGCCACTTTGGCACCACCAAAAAAGCTGAAGATTTAAAGCATTACATTTTTTAAGTTAAAAGTTAAGTTTAAGTTAATATAACCGGGATAAGCTTACCGAAACACTGGAAGACTTAGTGGGTATCCCATTGAATCTATCATCACTTCCGGATTTAATCGGCACAAAGCCTCGAACGCAAGAATTCCTGAAAAAAAATGTTTAATAAAGCGAACAATCTTTAAGTGCTACCTCCTGCGAATATTTGAAATAGCAAAGTGAAAACAGGGTAAAGATCCGCTTCAACAAGACGACGCAATCTAATCAATTAATCAATCAATCGAAAAAAATTAATCAAATAAAACCCGGCAAATTACCTCAAAAAGACAAAATCGACGTCTTTTGGGTCTATTTCAATGTTAAATCGCTGTCTTGCCTAAAAAATAAGATGAAAAACGAAATAGACAAAAGGTCAACCTTTAACAAAATTTGTTCTTTCGTTGCATCAACATCCCCAGAATAAATTCGAAATTTGAGTGCCGCGTTTTGTTTACTGCTTGCATTTCTGAATTTAAACAATTAGCCAATCATGAAAAAGGTAACCTTAACAATACGTAGGCTCGAGATCTAAATACTGTGACCAACCTTTGTTGCATAGCCTTGATCGCACACCAAAGCACACGTTCTCCACCGCCACCCGCATTGCAATAGGGATGAAAGAAGGCGATCGTGCCAGAAACTCTAAATTTTAACTATGTTACCCTTTCATGCTAATGAAACTAAGCTATAAATGAAAATCCTCTTTCTGCACGTTTATTAAGTATTAATGCCTCCAAATTTTACCTTCGTCGTCGAAAATAAACTGCCAGCATCATAAATAACAGTAGCGTGGACGTACAAAATAGAAGAATATGTGAAAACATTGTTTCTTGAGCTGAAATCACGTTAAAATAAAAGAAACAAAAAATTAAAACGGAAATGGAATTAAGCAAGTATAAAATTGTTTGGGAAATTTCGGGCTTAAAGAGTTTCTTATCCAGATCATACTATTATACTATATGGAAGTGGTTTCCTTTGTTGATTTTTTTTTGCATTGCTTTAGTCAATTAGCTTCATCAGATTCGGTCAGTTGAATGATTATCCATTTGGTTACAATATGTGATGTGTAAAATGCGTTGAGAAACAAGTCGTTTGAAGATTTCAATAGCAATTTTATGCTTTCATCGAAAACAACAACTAAAGAGCAACTAGCTTCTGTACAAATTAGAAGTAATAGGTACTTTGGTCGTGACTAATAAAAGTGTTTCTAAAGAAGAAATACACGCTGGAAGCTACTTTTCACCCGTAAACACCGTTATAAAGGGCGTAAAGGATTTAAAAACCCGTGGTATCAACATTGTTCCTTTGTCGATGGTAAATTCGGGGTTGCCAACGCATGAGACTGAATTAGTGTAATCTCTTGGGAGGAAAAGAGAACCGATAGCGAGTGAATAATCCCAAATCTACTATATACAAAGAAATAAAACTTTTGTCTGTCTGTCCGTCACGCCTACGCGACAATACACATTACGTTAACATAAAATTACAAAAAAGGTGAGGTAGAAAGCTGAAAATTTGTACCCGGGGGTTTTCGGGGATGAGAAATCCGAATCTGCAATCAGATTTGTGCTACTTGCCCTCAGTACCTCTAGGTAGAATCTTCGTGCGGCCGCGTAGCCGAAGCCCAGCGCAATTGGTACCGTAAATACTAATAGAATGCCAGACTACGTGACTGTACGTCCATAATGACGGGCGTACAGTCACGTAGTCTAACTTTGAACGACCCGTTCTCCGCGCTGCTTTAAGCTACAGTGTGCGTTTGGGTGTCAAATGATAGCCCTTGAAATCTGGTATATTTTGGTACCAAAAGTGTAGTTGAGAAAAGCCTAGAAGCTGAGAAAAAAAATTATTTTCTAAAAAGTTAGACTACCCAACTGTACGAGAAAGTGGCGTTCTATTAGAGTATTTACGGTAATAGATGTAACGTTTTTTATTGTTTGGAATCTTGCGAAATATTAAATTTCTATGGCCTTAATTTTCTTGTGGCTATTTCGAAATTCCAGCAATTGTAAGACTCAAAGATCCATCAATTCATGAACACCTTGAACGGGTAAAACTCTCATTTTTTAAAACCCATTCATTTTCTTTACAAAAAAAAATAGCTATCTAGGTGATTATCTCAATAAAACTCATGCTTTCGAAGTTGCGTTTTTCGTTTAATTTCCCCAAAAATAGCTTTGAGCATCTTTATTTTGAGAACATGGCAATAACAACAAAAATAAACTATAGAAATTAAGTCGTTGACTAGGTTGTCAGATAAAAACAATCGAATTTAAAGAAGGAAGATATAATTCTGAAAAGAATGCACCAAATATATTATGCAGTGAGCTTGGCGAGAGCGCTCTCTAAAAGAGCTTTCTCTCCTTCATGTAACCGTCGAATTGCCGTTTTGATTCCATCATCTTCATCTGAATTACTTTTGGGTATTAAGATTAAGATTATATTGATATTACAGTAAGACTAGCTTGAGTAAGACTAGCTTGAGTAAGACTAGCTTGAGTAAGACTAGCTTGAGTAAGACTAGCTTGAGTAAGACTAGCTTGAGTAAGACTAGCTTGAGTAAGACTAGCTTGAGACTGACCCAATAATCATTGCTCTTACTGTATTCTTTTAAGACTCACTTTTTTTCTCATCTCCCAACTTTTCGTAGGCTTTCAGAAGCAGTTTCAGCCTAGTTTCCAGCCATTTCTTTGCCTAAAATTGTTGTTATCATTTGTGATTTACTGCTGAAAAACACCTTCACAATTGTCCCTTCACTATTGATGCATTCATCTGTGGGCTCTTCAGCGATCAAAATCTGCACAAATTCCAACAGTTTCTCATCAAAGCTTTGACTTCCCTAAAAAAAAACAGTCTGCTTTCTAAATCGAATTTCGATGATTTTTGAAATAAAAAATGAAATTTTGACTTAAAACTAACAGTTCGTAAATCAAAGACGAAAATATTCGACTGTGCAGCACCCGAAAATCCCAATTGCACAAAGCGATCCACCCGAGCATTGTAGTGTTTCTCGTTTTTATTGATTCCTAAATTTGTTTTGTGAAATAAGTTCAGAATGAATTTTTCAACCTAATTTTAGCCTATACGCATCATAATTCTTTTGATTCTCATCAGGAATGAAACCATTGTAAAGAAGGAAATCGGAATTTGTGCGTCGACCATAGAAAATGAAAAGTTGTTCAGTTGGTTCAAGATTTGCAGGGGTTACAATCTAAAAAACATTTGATTTCGGTAAGTCGAAACAATTTTTGACTTTTTTTTTACCTGCGCAAAGTCGGTTTCTCCGCAAAAAACAACGGACTCCTGATTGAAATTTGTGATCGAACGATGATTGGCCATATCAAGCATCGGGATTAAAGCTGGTATCTTAAATTTTTTTTTGTAAATCAAAAATTCTACGTAAAGTGTAACCATTTTCGGTTGCCCATTTGAAAGTTTCAGTTGATCGGATGGAATCATATTGATTCGAGTCGAAACACAACACATCGCCCATCGATAAAGGGAAAACGTGAAAGTATCCACCTTAAGAGTTAAACTTTACAATATAGTTAATAGTTAAACAGTTAACTTAACAGTTAAACAGTTAACTTAGCTGTTAAACAGTTAACTTAGCTGTTAAACAGTTAACTTAGCTGTTAAACAGTTAACTTAGCTGTTAAACAGTTAACTTAGCTGTTAAACAGTTAACTTAGCTGTTAAATAGTTAACTTAGCTGTTAAACAGTTAACTTAGCTGTTAAACAGTTAACTTAGCTGTTAAACAGTTAACTTAGCTGTTAAACAGTTAACTTAGCTGTTAAACTGTTAACTTAACAGTTAAACAGTTAAAATTAACAGTTATACTATTTTATGTTTAAAAAGCTATTCAGGTAATCGATTTTAATGATCTGTTTATACTGTTTTAAGCAATGAAAACTCAAACTCAAATAACAAACCGAAAGTGGTGTATTGTAGAAAATCGGAGGAGCTACAGAGTTCTGAAATTGATTGATATTTAAGAATTTTCAGAAGATTTTTGCTGAAAACCTTCTTGTTTTTATCGAATTCATCATTTTTCGCAATTTGTAAGAGAAAATATGCGAATTGACGGACAACATTTCGGAAAAGGAGAAGAGCCTCTTCGAATAAAGGTGATGGTTTCAGCTCCTAGAAATTCTTCAATTACTCAGCATTCATTTTTTGCAACTTTAATTTGATTCAAGAAAATTTTTCAACTAGCTTTTCATAGTTTTTAACTCACTTTTAGTTGCTCAACCGTGTAGTAAACGGGACAGGAAAAAGTTGATGGTAAAACATCGAGATACGGTTTCCACATGCTATCACCCGCCAACCTTTGACAACACACCTAAAATCAACGCTCAAAAAAACACAATCTTTCTCAAAACTCACAGAAATTGCGAGTCCTACATTGTCCATTTGTTGCAATAACAAATCCCTCTCAAAAGCTTTTCTAAATGATTTTTATTTTGCAATTCTTTTCAAGGTTTTACTTTAAAAACGGTGATCGCCTTGCTTGATCCAATGATAGCATTGCTTTTCGTGGAACTTCAACAACAATCTTAAAAACAAATAATATAAAAGAACAATTGAATTTCAAACCTCTCCTTCATTGATCTTTTTATTCGCAACCAATCCTAGCCCAAGTTCTTGTGGAAACTTTGTTAGCCTCAAATTCTTCACTTCTACTCCATGATCTTTACACCATTGAACAAAGCGATCAATTGAGCCTTTTGATCTAGAATTGATTGATTTAGAATAGATTGATTTAGATCTAGAATAGATAGATTGTTTTTTTTTGCTTTTATTTTTGAGATTACCTCTGATTCTCTCCACAAATCAGCGAATCTGTTTTGGAGAGTTGCGAGTGAATATTCTGGATGTAAACCAAAGCCGATCGTAACTTCAAGTGCTCATCCAATTGATCAACAGTGTTTGTAGGCGGGGATCTGAAAAGGGGTTTGCACAAAGAAACAAAGCTTTCTAAAGAAACAAAGCTTTCTAAAGAAACAAATTCTTTCTATATCAATTTCAAAAAGTTTACTTCGAGACATGTTCATCCCAAAGTGTCTGTACAGCTTGAACGAGCGCTTCTCTCATCATTCCATTCCCCTCAACTCCTTGTTTTTTCTTCGTCGAGCTAACCATTTATGCAATCAAATTCATCGTCTTTTTCAGCTTTAACTTTTCTGAAATAGTTTTAGAAGTGACAGTGAAAGTTTATACCAAAAAAAAATAATTAATAGATTAAAATAATTTTATGAAATTGGAAAACGAATCAAATTGGTAGAAGATGGTGTAAAAAATCTAAAAGTTAATGTAAAGAAAAAATGGTCTGTAATGGAAAATCTAGTGAATTGGCATAAAGCCAACAAACAACAATGGTCAATAATGGCCATTTTCTTGATCATGTGGATATGATTTGATTTGATTTCAGCCTCTCTGCAAACGATAGACTCAAATGTAATCTTTAGACTTTTGAGTCTAAAGATTTGAGTGCTTTTTTTCTATAATTTTCCTTTAAATTCTTCAGTTGTTAAGCTTCAGCTGTCTCAGAACGAAAAGAGAAATATATTGTGTGTGTGTATGAGAGATTTCTCTTCTCTTTTCATCAAAATCTGGCTCAAAGCCAAGTCGCTTGACTATATTCGGCAACTGGGCATTGGGAAATGCCCATTTTTTTTTTCGATACTATTACATCATTTACTTTTTCTGATCAAACTATCTGACTTTTAGATGACTTTAACCAATGATGATGATGGTGAAAAGCCGATCACAACGCTGAAAATATTGATTATTGGTGAGAGTGGAGTCGGAAAATCGAGGTAATCGGGAATCGGGAATCGAAACTTTCAGCTTATCCCTTTTTCAGCTTAATGTTACGATTCGTCGATGATACCTTTGATCCCGAACAAGCAGCTACGATTGGTAAATACATATTATCAAAAAAAAATCATTCAAACCATTCAAACAAACTTCAAATTCAAATCATTAGCTCTTTTTTCTTCAATGAAAAACTTCAGGCGTTGATTTCCGAGTAACGTCGATGTTGGTTGATGGAAATCGAGTCAAGTTAGCAATTTGGGATACAGCTGGACAAGAAAGATTTCGAACGCTCACTCCTTCATATTATCGAGGAGCACAAGGAGTCATTTGTGGTGCATGAAAAACGATTTCTATCTTGATAAAGAAAAATTTCAGTCTACGATGTGACTTCTCGGTCATCTTTTGAAAAACTAGAGCACTGGTTTAGTGAAGTGGATACGTATACGACGAAAGGTGATGCAGTGAAAATGGTTGTCGCCAATAAAATTGATATGGTTTGTTCAAAAAAAATTTGTGTGACTTTCAAAAATTTAATCTCAAATCTATAAGATTCACCTAGAGCTGAATAGTAACAATTAGTTGAATAGTTATCGAAAATCTAATCTAGATATGAGCTTTTCAGGCAGGTCGAGAAGTTTCAAGAGAGGAAGGGATCAAATTCGCAAAACGGCATCGGACACTTTTCATTGAAGCATCTGCAAAAACTAAAGAAGGAGTACAATGCGCATTTGAGGAGCTCATCGAAAAGGTTTGTCGAAAATTATAGCCTATATATCATCTATTCATACTATGTTTTTGATCTAGAACTTTATATGTCCAATCTAGAAATCCGTCCAATCTAGAAATCCGTCCGATCTAGAAATCCGTCCTATCCAGAAATCCGTCCTATCCAGAAACCCGTCCTATCCAGAAATCCGTCCGATCTAGAAATCCGTCCGATCTAGAAATCCGTCCTATCTAGATTGAAGTGAGGTCAAACGTCCGACTTAGAATCAAGCCGATCACTCTAAATCTAAATCTGATCAGATGGCAGATGACCAGATGTCTGTTTTAGAGTGATCGGCTTGATTCTAGATAATTTGACCTCATTTCACTCTAGATCGGACATTCGATCAGTCTAGATCGGACGGATTTCTAGATCTGACGGGTTTCTAGATAGGACTTAACACATACAGAAACAAATAATTGTGTGTAGAATCTTATCAAAACACATAAACCAAACCCTCTAAAAAGCCTTCTTTTCATATATAAACTGGAGGATTTTTATGTACAATACTAAAGCTTTTATGGTAAAAAAAGCTACCAAGTTGGCTACTAACTATAATACCAAACTTCTAGATATTCTTCTAGACATTTTATCTTACTCAAAACATTTTCAGATTCTTCAAACACCCGGTTTATGGGAAAACGATCGACCCGCTTTTCGATTAGGCCAAAACACAGCACGACAAGATGATGGATATTGTGGTTGCTAAATTGTCAGCAAAACCTTTATTGCTCAGTATTATTTGCATTTTTTTCCCATAGTATCCTTTAGTGTTTTGAAATGTCAATATGTTGTGTCCGATTTAGATTTCCGTCCGATTTAGATTGAACTTATCGCGGACGTTCGATTTAGATTACAGTCTATATCGGACGTCCGATTTAGATTCAATCTAAATCTTATATAGATTGAACAATAATATAAACATGCTTAATATATGTTCTTAAGCATTTTCTGTAGTTTTCTGCATTTTTCAAAGGTCTTTTATTGATTACAGTCTATATCGGACGTCCGATACAGATCGAACAAGTAACAGACCTTTGAAAAATGCAGAAAACTACAGAAAACGCTTAAGAACATATATTAAGCATGTTATTGTTATATTATTGTTCAATCTATATAAGATTTAGATTGAATCTAAATCGGACGGAAATCTAAATCGAACACAACAAAGACAAATTCCATCTAAATCCCCTAAAAAAAATCGTTGTGATTTCTTCTTTTTCCACCCCAGTGTCCACCCGACCTCAAATCATTGCCTACTTTTGTGAAACCTAATCAACCTAATCAACCTAGAGACTTTATGATTTTCATTTGTAAAAATTGTAATCAGCTTGTACATAAAATATGGCTTTCAAAAGTATTCAACAGTACAGGGTTGGCCAAAATTTCCGTTACAATGCTCACTCACGCGCAAATGCGAAAGCGAAATGGAAGAAAGCGAACGGTAACAACTTCAGCAAATGTCAAAAAAAAAGTGAGGAAGAAATCGGTGCGGAAAGTGTCACAAAAAAAATCGGGATAACGAGCGAACATCCCTTAGAAGAATCATGAAAAACAAGCTCATGTTAAAGATCCACAAGAAAAATAAATCACAAATGCTATCAGTTGACGCTATCAACCACACAAAACTGTTGATAGTTTGAAAAGGCTTGGGCTTGGGAAGAGCTGGATCGAAAAAGCTTGGGAAGCTTGGGAAGAGCTGGATCTCCTATACCTTCTCACCACGATCGACGCTTTTCTACGACGTTTGGACGCCTGTGTAAAAGCTATTGGAGATCTCTTTGAAAAGGAATAGTTTTTATGAATTGTTATGAGACAATAAAAGTTATTTTTAAGAAAAATCTTTGACCTTTTTGAGTTGCTTTTTATACAGAGACTTTTATACAGAGACAGATACATATGTAACGGTAATTTTGGCCCACCCTGTTAACAAAAAGCTAAAAAGTTCACACAAAAAAGTGAGAAAAAGAATTGATGTTTTTTTATGTTGTTTTTCTTGGAAAATAACATAAATACTTTTGAAGTAGTTAAATACCTTGAATATTTGGAAATTGATTTCATTTGATTTAACGATTCTTAGCAGTGTAGGTATTGGTATTGATAAGTGTAGGCATTGGTTTTTCGATAACTGTTGTTGTTGTTGTAACTGTTGTTAACACTGCTTACCCATTACGAAAGCGCAATCGCAATCAAGCTTTTTTATTTGAAAAATGTGCAATGGAAATTTGTGTACGAGACTAATAAACATGGTATATTGCGGAAATCATTTCATTTAGCAGCAGCCATGTCACCTAACAGCAGCCATGTTAACTCCGCCCCATTTTCAGTTCGTTTGCTCTTGGCAATCTACGTATTTTATTCGTATCTTAGCTGAGACTTTCATTCGACTTGAAATCAAATTTTCTATGGAATGAAGGCAAATTCAACGTTTTTCAAACAAACCCGTTCAAAGTAAACCTTTTTTTGTGTTTTTCTCGCCACTCATTTGACCAATTTGACTACACTTGATTTCATTCGATAGCCCTGATTAATATCTATCGAATGAAACCAAGTGTAGCCAAATTGGTCAAATGAGTGGCGAGAAAAACACAAAAAAAGGTAGTTTGCCTATGTTTTCAGTTTAAAGCTTAAAACGTTTAAAACAGAGAGAAATGAGAGACGACCAAAAATAGAAAAAAAAAACAAACACTCAGTCATCTCATCAAAGACCCCTCTCTTCGTTGATTCACGGTCCCTTTTCTCCTCTTTCATTCCAACAGTTTTGTCTGTGCCATCACGTGAATTTCTGTCAATATTTCAAATTCTTTTTTTTTTACTAGGTATTAATTTTGAAATTTACTGTAAAATAAAACTTCTTAACCTATAAAACGCCTTAACCTAAAAAAAGCCTATAAGATCGTTTCCAGAACAATTTTTGAACTTGAGCAAACTCAGGAAAACCAGTTTTATCCTCCAGTGTGCCGGTCGCGATTAGAGAGACTACAAAAAACAGTTTTGAAAGTTTCTTCATTTATTGTTATGCTTTTTTTTCCTTGAAAGGAAACTGATCTGTATCCCTAGAAGAGCACAGGTCGGCACACTTTTGCGGTAGAAGAGAGAGGAGAACCAGTTTGACAGTGTTTCTATTTGTACTCCCCTCCCTCATCCCCCATTCTTCAATATTCTCTTTCTCCAATGCCTGCCGTCACTTTCTAATAGCAAGAGACATAAAATGCCCTTGAATTTTCCTTTCTTCCTGTACCTCAGCCCTCCTTCCTCCGGAGTTTTGAAGATTTCTTGAGTCTCGAGAAGCTCCTCCCCCATCCACGTCTCAACTCTTTTCAGTTTTATTCTCATCCTCGCTTGCTTGTTATTCAGTTTCATTCTCATCCTCGCTTGCTTGTTATTCAGTTTCTTCTTATTTCTACATACAAACAGTTGCTCCACTTCATAAGGCCTGTTAAGCAGCTATACTTTTGAAGTACCGCCCTCAAGTGTCCCCATTGCCTAGGCAAACTACCTTTTTTTGTGTTTTTCTCGCCACTCATTTGACCAATTTGGCTACACTTGGTTTCATTCGATAGATATTAATCAGGGCTATCGAATGAAATCAAGTGTAGTCAAATTGGTCAAATGAGTGGCGAGAAAAACACAAAAAAAAGGTTTACTTTGAACGGGTTTGTTTGAAAACCGTTGAATTTGCCTTCATTTCATAGAAAATTTGATTTCAAGTCGAATGAAAGTCTCAGCTAAGATACGAATAAAATACGTAGATTGCCAAGAGCAAACGAACTGAAAATGGGGCGGAGTTAACATGGCTGCTGTTAGGTGACATGGCTGCTGTTAGGTGAAATGATTTCCGCAATATACCATGTTTATTAGTCTCGTACACAAATTTCCATTGCACATTTTTCAAATAAAAAAGCTTGATTGCGATTGCGCTTTCGTAATGGGTAAGCAGTGTTAACAACAGTTACAACAACAACAACAGTTATCGAAAAACCAATGCCTACACTTATCAATACCAATACTGCTAAGAATCGTTAAATCAAATGAAATCAATTTCCAAATAATCTCAATAATCTCATAAACGATTTCCCTCTGAATTCAAGCACTTTCTCCCATTTCTTTTGAGTGCCTCCTTGAAACTTTTTCCATTGATCCTCCTCCTCCCCATTTTGCCTGCCATATAAACGGGCTTTTCTTCGGCTGAAATCTTTTTTCCAACATTGCCACCGGTGTGATTTTCTTTGAATGCATTGCTTTCAATCATTTTTCAATTCACCAAAATGTTTCAATGTTTTTAATATTAGAAATGATTCATTTGTTCATTTTTTTCATTTTTTTCAAAACCAAACAAAATCTAGACTTTTTGCAAACAATAAAAAGTAGATTTCGAAAGTTTTGCAATCTTTTTTTTTGTCATGAAAGAGATATGAAAGAGATATGAAAGAGATTTAGAGGTGGGCGATTGAATCAATGTGGGACGGTGTTTCGGTATGGGTTGCTCGAATTGTGAGCTCGTATCCAAAAATTTGCATCTTCGTCTCACTGGCCATTGCAGGTAATACACATCTTTGTCTAATCTTTACATCTAACCATTTTCTTTAGCCATTTTCACTGCTGGTCTCACTTTTGCCAAGATCGAAACCGACATTCGACGCTCGTTTTCACCTCATGATTCTGACAGTGCCAAGTGGGTTTTTCTAAATATTTCGGGAGTGGGACAAATGCGACCTTTTTTTTGCGCACCCGGACATTTGCGCACCTTTTTTTCCGCACCTTGCCCATTAGCGCACCTTTTTTCGCGTTTTAAAAAAGCTCTAAAAAGCTAATATTAACCAATTTCTATTCCAAAAGTTGTTTTTCTAGGTAATTTTAGGGCGTAGAATCGAAATTTTGACATAACAGAGCTTGTGGAAACAAACGGACGGAGTTATACAAAGAGAAAAATCGACAATTTTCTGTAATTTGACCTAGCCGTTTTGTCTTTCAAATTGGTTCCACAAGCTCTGTTATGTCAAAATTTGAATTCGACACCCTAAAATTACCTAGAAAAACAACTTTTGTAATAGAAATTGGTTAATATTAGCTTTTAGAGCTTTTTTAAAACCTGAAAAAAGGTGCGCTAATGGGCTAAGTGCGGAAAAAAAGGTGCCCAAATGTCCGGGTGCGCAAAAAAAAGGTAGCATTTGTCCCACTCCCAAATATTTCTAAATATCTCTTTTTTTTTTGTTTTATTTGTAAATTTCTAATTTCTTTTTTTATTCTTTTATAAGTCTTTTCCAAGGCGGAATCCATTCTATTACAAAGATGTGCAAAAGTAAGTAAAAAAAGTTGCTTCAATTTTGGAAACTCTAACGCTAAATTGAATATCGTAGCTAGCTGCTCGCTAAATTGAATATCGTGCTTTAAAGAACTGGCGAACCCCTTTAAAAAATTATAGAAATAAACTAGCGTTAAAGAGGATTAAAGATTAAATTCAAATTCAAATCTTTTTTCTGAAGTTTTCGATTTTCTTGAAAACAACAAATAACTGAGAAAAAGATTTCCCTACATTTCCTCTTGTCATTTTTTTTTCACTAACTCGTTTTCTTTTTTTCGCTTTTTGCCAGTTTTACGAATTTGCCGAACTTATTGCCGAACTTATGTTTTCTTTTTTTTGCGAGCATTGCGTCGAGCATTTTACTATCCTCAAAATGCTGTAAAATGATTCAAACTCAAGATCAAATTTAGTGCTCAAATTTCAATAGATTTCAATTTCATTTTTACAACTTCCCATAGTTTATTACTATTGGGTTGATGGAAAAGTCCTTTCGGATTTTTTGGGAGAGTACCTTAAATTTGTCGAATTTTGACGTTTTATAGCTCATCCTAAAGCTGAATTCAAGACGGATCGATTGGTAAAAACCGTTTTGAGATATCTCTTTTCTAAAAGTTTTTACAGCTGTTTTAGTAAAGGGCGGCAGAGTAAAGAAAATGGCTGTTTTCACGTTTCGTTAGTTTTCCGTGCAGAAACCTAGGCTAAAAACATGTGTTTCGTGATCAGCGTCAAAAATAACCCCTAGACACGCATTTTCAGAATCTTAGCAAAAATTGAATTCAGCTTTAGGATGAGCTATAAAACGTCAAAATTGGACAAATTTAAGGTACTCTCCCAAAAAAATCGGAAAGGACTTTTCCATCAACCCAATAATTAGTTACAATGTTCAAGATTAATATCTTTCAAAAAAAATTTGTATCGACTTGTTCAACTTTCCCAACACGAGTAGATATCAAAAAACAGTAAAAAGAAACACCTGAAGAATCGGGGCAAGAAAAAAAAAGTGAGAAAATCGGCGTTGGGGGTGAATACTGGTATTCTTTTGCTTACTCTTTGAGACTTACTCTTCTCTTTTGAGATCAACCACAATGTTTTTGTGAACATTTTCTTTTCTTTTGTCTTTTGTGCGCAAAAGGCAGGCTGTTGGGTGAAGGACGATCACCAATTTTAGGGATAAACCTGAAAATGAAAGCAGCTGACTGACAAAAAAAAAGGCACAACTCTCATAGATCGATAGGATAAAACTTAAAAACAGAAACCAAGCCTAACTGTTAGTGAGATTAATTTGATCATATGATTAGCAATTGGTATAGAATGCAATTCGGAATTAGGAAAGAAGCAAATCTAAGCACTACTACAGTCAAACTTCGATATAAAGAACTTTTTTGGCCGGACTTAGGTTCATTTGACGTTCTTTATATCGAAGTTTGACTGTAATTTAAAAAAAGTTAGAATGAAAGCTTGTCAATCAAGATAACAAAGCTTTTAAATAAAACTTTATCACTTAATTTATTGCTGTTTAGTGAAGCACGACGATATCTCGATTTCTATGGACTTTCGGTTTATCCCACTAGATCTTTCATCTTATTTCAAACGAAAAACCCTAATGGTAACATTTTGAGGTAAAAAGGTTTCCCTTTTTTACATCCAAAATCATTCCTAGACCAGAAACACTGGACTTCATCAAGTCAATGGATGAGGAGTTGATGTCAGTGTTGAAGAGAGTCGATTCAAGCGATGGATTTCCTGCTTGTCATCCCGTTTGCAATATCAACTATGCATTTCAAATGTTTTTGGTAAACCTAAAATGAAATTAGAAACAAATCAAAGAATTGTATAGCATATTTATGTCTTTTTTAGTCCGAATTGCAAGAAGAACGAGCTGGGAAGAAGAGCACGATCGGTCTACGCCTTTTCGATTATCCTCGCTCGACTCTCCGTGGTGCCGAAGTCTTCATTGGTCTGAATATTTATGGAACAAAAATGAAAAGTGAAATGAATTTTCTAGAAATCTAGAAATTAAACTTTCAATCTACAGATAAACCATTTGCAAGCAATAGCTCGAAAATTGTGGCCGCGAATACGGTGATCCTTCACTATTTTAGTCGATTCGACACACCCACGCGAATCCGCGACTATAAGTGAGTTGACAAAGTGCGAAGTGACAAAGGCAAAGAATTTGGCAAAACTTTTCAGAAATCTCATCTTGAGCTTGTTTAAACGCTCGCAACTTTCAACCAATTCGACTAGTCTCGATTTTCATATTTTTGGCGAAGAAATCGCAAATCACGAGATGGTGCGAGGCGCTTTTGAGGTAAAAGAAATAAAGAAAACAAAGAAAACAAAGAAAACATTAACTTTAAAGGCAATCAAGCTAATGTCAATCGGTTTTGTGCTGCTTTTTGTTTTCGTTTCGTTCGTCATCCTTCGCACCACTTCAAAGCGAATGACTGTACAACTTGTCGCCACAACAAGTTGGTTTTTGAATTTGTTTTCAAATTTTACATATTATAGCTGAGAATTCAGCGTGTATTTTGTATTTAGTGTCCCTTACGAGTAATTTGTTTTTTTAAAACGCACACTTGGGAAAAATTATTGTACTTTTAACGAAAATTATTGCAAAAATTGGCGCGAAAAAATTACGAGCGCCGATTTATAGACGACTCCTTTTAAAGATATTCAGCCGTTTAATTGGTTTGGTGGCAAATTCCCGTCAAATGTAAAGATATTCAATTTACTCGATGTGTAAAGAGGATTACTTCGTAGTTAGTCGACGAAAAACGTCGATTAATCGAGTAAAAATCGCTCATGCAAATGTTACTCGAGTAATTACTCGCAAAGAATACACTCTAGTTGTATACATATGTGTTTCCTTGATGTTGATGATAAAATTTGAGTAGTTGACAAAGTTGATTTAACAATTTATTTAAATAGACCAAATAGATTGGGCAATCCTTTTGAAAACTAAAAGTTCGAAGACGAATTTGACCAAAGAGAAACAATGCTGTGAAATGGGGTGCTCAAAACAGTGCCGACCAAAATAATGCGTTTGTGGTTACGTTTAGTCTTTTTTTCTTATTTTCATTGGATGTAGAACAAAAATTATCTATCTGCTGTATTTTTTGGAGCCGTTTAGAACAAATCTGGGATGAGAAAATGCCAAAAAAGGAAAAAGGGCTCAAAAAGAGGTTAACTGAGCTTTTGTCGACATCAATTCTGTTTTAAGTGATCCCAAAGTATACAAAATGTAGATAATGTTATTCCGCATCCAATAAGAATAAGAAACACATAGAAACTGAATTGGGGAGAGGCTATTTTTGCTGTGGCGCTATTTTGAGCGAAATGAAACAATGCTGTGAAATGTCGGACAAATAGGGATACGGTAGGAGGTCCGCACTTTAGAAAACAGAAAAGTTAACAAATAAATAATCTGTGGGAAATGATTTAAAACAACTATTGTTATTCCCAAGAGTGTACATTGAACTTTTTTTAGTTTTAACTCCGATTCTGGCAACAGTTGCGGCTTTTGGTCTACAGTGTTATATGGGTTTCCCAATTTACTCGATTCAATGTGTCACACCGTTTCTCGTTCTTGGAATAGGTCATTCAGATTTGAATTATGAAAAAAAAACTATATTTAAGCCTTTTTTTACTTTAGCTATAGTGTCAATTTTCAGGAGTCGATGATGCTTTTATTCTCATTCATTGGTGGAATCACTATAAACATTATCGAGAAAGGTGAAAAGAAAATGAAAACTTGCGACCTTTTTCCGATAAAATCCTGGGTTTAAGCTTTAAAGCGTGGTAAAACTACCGTACCCCTCCTAATTTGCGCGAAATTTCATTTTTCTCATTCGTGTTCATTTCTATTTATTCTTTTTGCATTTTTCTGATGTGCTCGCGTTTGTTTTTGCAGGAAACAAAGAGGATAAAGCTAAGTTACGCTTTTAACAGCAGTTTTTGTGATGGAAGCTTTGTTTGTAGAGTTTTTTTAGACCCACTTGCTTCCCGACGATCTGCTTCACGAACTTGATGCCAAATAATGTTAAGTTAAGTGGTTTTTATCATTTTCTATGGCGGAAGCTTTGTTTTTGTGATTTTTTAGTTGAAAAAGCGTTGCAACGTTGAAAAATACGCAAAAGGAATAAAATGGGGGGTAGGCTAGTTTCCGCAACTGGGTCGTTTGCGCAACTCTCCATAACTTTCTTCTAAGTGGGCCAATCTTTATGATTTTGGCTTCATTTTGTAGATCTCAATAAGTGCAACAAAATGAAACCAAAATCATAAAGATTGGCCCACTTAGAAGAAAGTTATGGTGAGTTACGCAAAAAAAGTTGCGGAAACTAGCCTACCCCATAAAATGAAATGAACAAGAAAGAAAAAAAATGTAATTTCGTGCAAATTGGAGGGATACGGTAGTTTTACCACGCTTTAAAGTGCCAACCCAGAATTTTCTCGGAAAAAGGTCGCAAGTAAATGAGAAACGATAAGCTGAAAGATAATTTTGTGGTACGAAAGATTTTAGAGATGTTCGCATGAAAAAAGTGTTGGTTGATGTAGGCCCATCGATCACGATCACTTCTCTCACGAATATTATCGCGTTTGGAGTCGGTTTCCTCACACCAACACCACAGGTTAGAGAAAATCACGAAGCAAAGTTTTTTAAAACCTAATTGATAGTTAGAAACAAAAAATTCTCACTTTAGATGTCAATGTTTTGTCTCTGTACATCAATCGCTCTTCTTCTTGATTACATTATTACATACAGGTGAGTGAGTTGTTGTCTTTCTTTTTTCAAATTTGAATCTTTAGCATCTTGGCTCCTGTGGTTTATATTTGTTCGCCAGCCCAAGAACCACCGATTATTTCACCACAAGACAAAGTGATTTTAAGCTCTTTTTTTTAAAAGATCATCAATTTCAGAGCCTATCACCGATCAGACAAAAGAATAATGAACTGGCTGAGAAGGTGTTTCGAGGGTATGCTCGAATGGCTGTTTCATCTCAAGGGAAACTTCTCTCAGGGCTTTTCTTGTTTGCTCTTTATGCCTTTTGTGCGATCGGGGTTTTTCGTGTTAGGTGAGTTCGTGATCAAGGTTGAAATCTTGATATTGGAACCGTATTGGAACCGTATTTGAACCGTATTAGATCTTGGTTTACAAAAGGGAATTGCAAAAATGCATCGAAGCATAAACTAAAAATGATATTTCTTTACTTTACTTTACTTTCAGATCCACCTTTAATCCCTCAAAAGCCTTCCCAGCTGACTCAGTTTTGGTGAAAGCCGTTCGGAAAATTGAGTTTGTTTTCCTGGATTTCTTTTTTTCAAAAATAATTTTAGACCGGTATTCAATCAATTTTTCCCTCTACATATCTATGTCTCCAATCCACCGAATATCACAAATCCCAGCGAGGTTTTAAGAATTCTTTTTTTCTACTTTAACAAATCATTTACAGTACTCTTCTTTTTATTCACTTGTTCATCACCTCGAAGGTCTTCCGATGGTTTATGATGGAAATCGAACGGTTCTCTTCCTTAATCAATATGAAAAATTCGATAAACAGGTGGGAAATAAAGATTTGCTATTGATAAAAAAGTCATTTAGACAACCCAAATGTTGTCCTCACTTTTCTTCGCTTCTGAACAAAATCATCCACTTACATTGCACAATTTGGGTCCTTTCCTTGACATTCTTGGGAATCCGCCAACGATTAAATATCGACGACCAGAAAAAAGTGGAGAGTGAGTGAAAATTTATAACTATTACTGTAATTGGATTGTAAAGTAATTTTTGAAGAAAAGAGTCAGTAAGTGGCAAAAGAAAATCGCTAAAAACTATGAGGAAGCCACAAATTAGACTGGCAAGGGAAGGTCACGAAATCAAGGTGGCTAATCGAAACCATCTCTTCGTCAAGCTCGTCAAGCTCGCAAGCGTTATAAGAGAGACCAAAAAACTTGTTTGCCAAATTCCTTGAGACCTATTTAGCAAAAACAGACAGCAGATTCAAAATCAGCGTAAAATTCTGCATCGGATGGTCTAGATCTCATTTCGATTGGCCTCCTTGATTTCATGCTTTTCCCTTGTGAATTGAGACTGATATTCAAAATCTAACTGAGAATTACTGTACCACTTTCAGCGAAGGTCATCTCGACGCTTTTGCAATGACAATCATTGCAAAAGGGATGCACGAATGGGGTGAACGGGCAAAATACGAGGAGCTCGTTCGACAAACGTTGAAGGTTTTAATAAACTTTTTCAAAATAAAATAACCTATAGGAATATCCACAATTCAATGCGACTCTCTTTGACGCCGATTCGGCGGTATTGGCTGTGATTTTGACAACACGCGATGATTTAATTGGATCGATTTGTTTAACGGTAAAAACTGAAATGATCGAGGAATTTGTGAATGATTTCTAAAGTAATAATATAGCAAATTTTAAGGAAATCAGGAAAAAGTTAACAAAATAATCTAAGCAAAACAAAGCAATCTCTAAAGAAATTTCAATTACAGGTGGCATGTATGGCTTGTGTCTGCGTGTTATTCATCTCCAACAAAGCCGGAGTCGTTATTGTAACAGCTGTCATTTCAAGCATTTGCTTTTGTAAGTCTTACACTTATAGTTAGTAAAATAAAAGTATAAAAAAAATGAAAATCGAATGTGCTCAGGTCTTGTCGGAATGTTATCGTGGTGGGGAGTTGATATGGATCCAGTGATGCAAGTTGACGTGCTGCTAGCGACAGGGTTCTCGGTCGATTATACAGGTAGATAAAAATGACAATATGCCCATCAAAGTTGGTGCCCATCAAATTTGGATAGAAAAAAGTGCAGTTTGTTTTGTATACTCACCTGTAAGAAGATAGAGAGAAACGGCGTCAAAGTTGACCGGCTTCTGCGGTTTTTTCTTAAGAATATTTCAAAAGCAGACTTGAGCTGCAATATTTTCCTCTAGCCGCTTTACAGTTCTGATCACTAATTCCATTCGATGAAGCAACTTCGAGCAGGGGAAACCTTTGGTGAACTGGATATCGGAAAGGGGTGTACTTTGCCCAAAAAGTCGCCCATTTCTTTCTTGAGGATATCTAAAGTCTGCACGAAACACAAAACTTGACCATAGATAAGGAATATATCTCAAAATAACCATGCTTTGTTTTTTCGGTAGTTACACAAAAAAAACGAAATTACTTACTGATCAGTAGCACTTTAGAAAGCGATAGCAATTTAATTAAATGATTTATTGTTTAGCTCACATTGCTTACCAATACTACCAAGCAAAAGGCAGTCCAGAAGATAAAATCTATCAAAGTCTCTCTGAGATGGCAATACCTATGTTACAGGTGAGAAGAAGGGTTTTATAGAAATTGATTAATGATTAGACAAGTTTTTTTTAAAGTTTTGAATAGTTAAATGGCTAAATAGTTAAATGACTAAATGAATAACTAAATGGCTAAATGAATAGCTAAATGGCTAAATAGTTAAATGACTAAATGAATAGTTAAATGGCTAAATGAATAGTTAAATGGCTAAATAGTTAAATGTCTAAATGAATAGCTAAATGGCTAATAGCTATAAATAGCCATTGAAAATCCAAAGAAAAAAAACAGAATTCAACAGAAAAAAAGAAAACAGAAAAAACAATTTAGGCGGGCATCTCAACTTTTCTTTGTATGCTGCCATTGATCTTCATTCAAACTTACACAATTGTTTGCTTTGCAAAGACGATATTTATTGGTAATAAGCTGAATATCTTTATGAAAATGGTAGATTTGAAAAAAAAACTGATTTTTAGTTGTTGGTTGTGGCCTTTATCATGGTCTTATCGTTTTACCGGTTCTTCTCTCATTTACCGGAAAAGAAACTGAGGTAGACTTTGAATAAACTTTGAATAAGTTTATGCTTTTCTTTTTATACCTATTATCTAATTTTTGATCGATTTTAAAAATCATATTATCTAAAGAAAAATTGAAATTAAAAATTGAAAATTCTAGAAGTCACTTCCACCCCTAATCGCTCCAACCGAACCACTCCTTGTCAGCAAAAAAAACGACGGAAATTAGATTCTACATTTAAAATATCTTCTTATCTTTTAAGCTTTATTATCAATATTTTGTCGAAATTCTATTCTTTGCTTTTTTTTTACACACGGGTGTAATCTATCTGATGTTATTATAAGTTCGACTATTTTTTTTGAAAATCTCTTTTCTATAATGTTCCCAATACGGGAATCGTATTGGAACCGTATTGGATCAAAAAAAGAACCGTATTGGATCAAAAAAAGAACCGTATTGGATCAAAAAAAGAACCGTATTGGTTCAAAAAAAGAACCGTATTGGAACCGTATTGGAAAATTGGTCATTTTGGTCTTAAAATTGGTCATAAAAATATTTTTATTCTTCTTTTCTAGTCGATCTTTGTTTTTTTTTTTTTTATTTTATTTGATCATTAGATTTTCTCAAATGAATACTGAAATGTGATAACACTTAAATTTGTTGTTATAACTACTGTAAATACTGTAAAGTTTCAACTTTCAACTTGCCTCAATGCTGGCATGAAAGACAGGCATGAAAATTTGCTGGCATGAAAATTTACCTAACAACAATATCTTTCCTTCGAAAGATTTTCACTCTTGACGTCTGAATATCCATACTGTAGTAAACTGGAAGTAAAAGACATTGTACAGGTTCTTTATGGAATAAAGTTTTCTCTTTCAAAACTATACACCCAATAAAGCAAACATCACAACTCTAGCTCTCACTCTAACTTCAACTCTAACTATCTTCCTTTACAGAGATAATTACATTTAAACCTATCTACATTCAAAAGTAAAGTCAATCTAAAGGCCTGCAAGTTATCAATAACTTCTTTCTCACAGAATTTAATTCAAGATTTCTTTTGGTAAAGTTAAAAAGTAAGCAACTGCACAAAAAAAAAGTGTAGAAGCTGGTCAATCGACAGTCTGAACTAGATGACTCTAAGTGGTAGACAGGAAAGGACGAGTCCCAAAAAGTGCATATGCTTTTTGAAGGATGGTAGACAATGGATAGGGATGGAGGGGATGGAGGGGATGGAAGGGATGGAGGGGATGGAGGGGATGGAAGCGATGGAGGGGATGGAAAGAGCGAAGAGGATCGTGTTTTTGGGGGCGGAGTTGTCAAGGAAAGAGAGAGACGAGGGAGGGGACGGTGCTCGGCTCCTTTCCACCCCTCTCCATCCCGACTCCCCGAAGGCTCTCCCCTTCCCGAGATCTTCCCCATAGACACAAGAACCCCAATCTGAACATTCATGTTGACACCAAATCACTCCTATCATTTCCTCATTCATTTGATTCTCGTCATTCCCGTCTTTTCTCGTGGACATCTCTTGATTGATCCCGAGTTTATTCGGTTGGATTCTAAAGCTTTAATTGTTTAGGCTTTGATTGCTTAGGCTTTAGTTGTTTAGGCTTTGATTGCTTAGGCTTTAGTTGTTTAGGCTTTAGTTGTTTAGGATTTAATTGCTTAGGCTTTAATTGTTTAGGGTTTAATTACTTAGGCTTTAGTTGTTTAGGGTTTAATTGTTTAGACTTTAACTGCTTAGGATTTAATTGCTTAGGCTTTAATTGCTTAGGCTTTAGTTGTTTAGGATTTAATTGTTTAGACTTTAATTGCTTAGGATTTAATTGTTTAGGCTTTAGTTACCATTTTAGAGAAGACTATCCAGAGGATCGAGTTCGACCATTGCCCACCACCACACTACCGGCTTTACAAATCCAACGAAACGATTTTCGATTAACTGGTCTTGATGGATTCCCAGAGGACATCGATGCTGCGATTTATGAATCAAAGGTGTTTGATTTGAAATTCTTTTTGAAATTGTTTTGTTTTTTTTCTAGGAGATTGAACGTCCTCGCGTTGGCTCCAGAGAGTTAGAAGCGAAACGCGCCCGAATGGGGTTGAGTGTCGAAGAGAAGAAAAAAGTCGATTATTATATGGGAAAGCTGAAAGATCTCCAACAGAATCTCCATCCCGAACAACTTTCAGCCAAGGTTTTTTGAGTTTTCTCCCTTTTTTTTTCTCTTTCAAATTGCCCCATCAAATTTCCATACAATGGCTCTTGTGCGCTTGTTGAGTGGTGTTGGTTTGAGAATAGGAAAAATGGGTTTGAGAGTCTCATAGTCGAGCCTTTTTTCTCTCCATTCAACGGGTTTAAAGTTGCAATTCTTTTTGGAGAAAAAGGAAACTGTTTCCAACTTTAAAAAGTCTAGATTTCAACCCAGATTTCAACCTATTTCTATACAAGTCTAGGCGTTCTTTTGTGGTCTCGTTTTTCCTGAAATGTGTCTGTGTTCCACCCATCCACCATTCCAATTTAAAGGGTGATCGATTTCCGTGCGCCTATCATTTTTTCAAACAAAAAAAAAAGCGATCAGTGAATAGGTTGACGCGAAAGACTCATGGCTCTCGCCTCATCACCGTCTCAAAACATTTCTCTTCATCTTCCTCTTCATCTTCCTCTCAAAACATTTCTCTCGCCTTTTCCCTTTTTTTTCTCCTTTCAACTACTTTCTCCTTTTTCAACTTTCAAATGACTTTGAAAAACATTTCACTATACTCTTTCTTATCTTAAAAAGTTAGTAAAAGTAAAAGTAAACTATATAAAAAGTTAAACACTAAAGCTTTATCTAAAATCTAAAGCTTTATCATCAGCAGAAAAGTACATGGAGAGTATGAATAAAAGTTTGATGAGTGGAGAAGAAGAGGGATTTGTTTGGAGAGGTTACACAATGGAATCTCTCTCTCTCATTCCTCTCCCCTTAGGGGTATCCAGTCTCTATCCATTTTCCCCATTTTCCCCTTCAGTTAGCAAATATCCTCTTTCCTAACTCAACCTCATTTCTATTCAAAGAAATTCAAATCGGGGGCAATGTGTACAGTGCATGTAACAATCCTTTACTTCAATTTTTGCGATTTGTATAAATTTTAAAACCCATAGCTAAACGAGAGAACAAAAAGAAAAGAGAAATCGATAAATGGAAAACAGTGGTGAGCTCGTAAATCATCTCTAATTGCTTGAGAATCGATGCTTGAGCTTGAGCTTGAGCTCTTTAATTGCTTGAGAAACGCAACCAAAACAAAGAGCACTAATGGAAATGGTTATTGAAATTGGGGCTTAACTTTGAAATCTCGACAATTAGTTTGTCTTAGTTTTAAAAACAAAGACAATTGTCTACAATTGATCCAATTTAGGATGAACTTGAGTCGAAAAACCCGCACGGATGGTATCGACGACTTCGAAATGACGTGACGAGTCCCGAAGAAAACGGAAATTATTTTGAAGGTACTATTTTTAGCTCTTCTTCTTCTTTTTTCGCCTAGACACTTAGCTTTTTTATATCGAGTTTGTTTTCGAGTTTTCTTTTCTCAAAAACAATTCAAAACACCTTTCAAAAGTTTGTTGTGATGATGGGAAGATTATTGAAAAAAGAAGGGCAATGGTGAGATCATAATCGATAGATAATATTTATGGGGGGATGAGATAATAGAAAAAAAAAAGGAAAAGTGAGATTTCTAGGTGATATCGTTCTTTTCCCCGATCAGGCCAAAGAGATCTACGAGCGAGCATTGAAGAGTGGAAAACGACGAGTCAAAAGGTTTATTAAAGAAAAGAAAATGATTAACTAAATGAAATAAAGAACGATATATGATTGTACAATCCTTTTATAGAGGTTTTAAATTGTAGAAAGTTTATCGGCTCTTCACTGCGACGCTGGGACCCAAAGCGACCGATTGTTTATAGTTTTGATGGATCTCATAGTGAGTAAAGGGAACTGTTTTATAAAATTAAGTTATTAATGAGTTAGTAAAGCAAAATAGTACAGCAAAATAGTAAAGCAAAATACATTAATTGTAATAGTACCGGTATTACATCTGTAATAGTAGCCTCCCTCCTCATAATGACGATCGGAGCGTCGCGTAGTCTAACTTTAAACGCATTTTTCTCATCACCCATGTATTTGCTACAGTGTTCGCTTAAGTATCAAATAAAAGCTGAAATTCAGGGCTATTTTTTGATACCAAAATCTTATTTGAAAAAGATCTGGGGGCTAAATTGATTGATTGCTAAATTTAAATCGAATTCCTTGGGATTAAAATAAAACGTACTGTAAATACTGTAATAGTACCCCACCCCATAATGACGTGCGGAGTGTTGCGTAGTCTAACTTTAAACGCATTTTTCTCATCACCTGTTTATGCTACAGTGTGCGCTTAAGTATCAAATAAAAGCTGAAATTCAGACCTATTTTTTGATGTACATGTATTTTTTAAAATTATGAGCGCTTAGAAAAAAAATGATTTAGTAAAAAATTTTTGCGACTACGTGACTGTACGGGGGCGCTACTATTAGAGATATTACGGTAGTTATCAAAAATCGTTTCTAGCCGCTCGAGAGCAACGAATCATTGAGTTGGCGTTAGAGCATTGGCACAACATCACTTGCCTTAATTTCATTCGGAATGACAACGCCAGAAGCGGGAATCGGTATCGAAATTGAAACAGTTAAGAGGTTAAAATAAAACTTAAGAATTGTCTTCACGGATGTGGATGGATGTGCATCGAATGTGGGAAGACATCCGATTGGTGAAGAGCAACTCGTATCACTTGCACCTGAATGCATTCGAGTAAGTGCTTGTTTGTTTGTTTTTAAAATTTAAGTAAATGCTTATTTCTTTTAAAATCGAATAGCTATTTTGTTTTTTAAAAACTCTCGTGAAAAAAGAACAAAAAAAACGAAAAACAATCTTGTACCAGGGTCATGAAAATGGATTCGACTTACAGACTATTGTATAGTACTGTTTACTTAGCAAGTTTACTTAGCAAGTTTACTTAGCAAGTTTACTTAGCAAGTTTACTTAGCAGGTTTACTTAGCAGGTTTACTTAGCAGGTTTACTTGCCAAAACTAAAGTATCACTATCCAAAGGTTTCCATAATTGTAGAAGATTGGAAATTAGAAAATTACGGTGAATTTAGTTAGGAGTAATCGCTCACGAAGTGGCTCATGCACTCGGTTTCTGGCATGAGCAGAGTCGCCCCGATAGAGATCAATATGTGCATGTACGATGGGAAAATATTGACAAAGTGAGATTTGAGATCTTCTTTACTTACTATTGAATTCTTTACTTACTATTGAATTTCCAGGAATCAAAAGGTCAATTCCTAAAAGAGGAGCCTGACGATGTGGACAATGCGGGAGTTCCTTATGATTATGGAAGCATTATGCATTATCGGTAAAGGTCAATCTTTCCACTCACCCCATCGAATCGAATGGATTTTAGGAGTAAAGCTTTCTCGCGTTTTGAAGATTTGTATACAATCAATACTTTTGTCGCAGATTATCAGAAAACGATTGGTCAGAGGTTTGAAAAAGATTGAAGATTGAAGATTGAAAGAAGGAACTTCTAGAGATCAACTTTCTTTCAATGATATTCAATTGATGAACAAAGTTTATTGTAATGATGTTTGTCCACAAGAGTTGCCGTGTCAACGAGGCGGTTATACTGATCCGAGAAGGTTGGTCAATTGAAATAGAATTGAAATAGAATTGAAAAATTGACAAATTGAAATATAATCATTACAGATGCGATCGTTGCCGATGTCCGGATGGTTTTAAGGGTCAATTCTGTGAAGAGGTGATGCCTGGGTATGGAGCAGTTTGTGGAGGAAGGGTTAGTTTAACAAAAAAAAAAGTTAACTGTTAACTTTCTCTGTTAAGAGTTAAGAGTCATGACGACTCTGGCTAGCCCGCTTTTTTTTGAATCCTTATAGTTTTTAGATTCCTGTCTCAACGCACGAATGGACAAGAATAGCTAGCCCGAATTATCCTCAAGACTTTAAAGAAGGTTCAGCTCACTGGGGAAAACTTTTTAGCTAAAGAAATTTAGGTCAAGAGTGCAGCTGGTTGTTACAAGCACCACCGGGAATGCTTGTCGAAATGCAATTTTTCGGTGAATTCGAAATGTATTGCAAAGTGAGGGGGAAACGATTTATTCGATTAAAATCCCTTTCCAGGTTCGTCATTCATTATGTATGGATTATGTGGAAGTGCGGAATTCGACCGATTTCGCGAATACGGGAATGCGGTAGATGAAGAGCAAAATTTGTGATCTTTTTTTGTTTTGTTTTAGATATTGCTGTTATGGCACTCCACAAACATTGGTGCATTCAGCGACGGAGGATATGCTAATTCTATTTCGATCATTTTATCGTGGTGGAAAAGGTTTTCAGGTAAAGGGTTTTTTTTTTGAAAAAAGGAAAATACAAATAAATCAAGGCTCGCGCAAGAGCAAGAGCACCAGCTGGTCGATGGGCACAATGGGGCTCGTGGAGTGCGTGCACGGCAAGCTGTGGAGCGTGTGGAACAAGAATGAGAACAAGGACATGTCCACAGGGAATGGCTTGCATGTAAGTGATTGGAAAGGCTTTGAGTTTGAGTCAGAGCTCAAGCTCAAGCTCTGATTGGAAGGCTTTGAGTTTGTTGTATTCGTTGTACAAGTACAGAAGCTAGGCATGAATCAATGAATCTATGAGTAGCAATTGCAGGGGTGTTCCCTTTGAGATGGAGGTGTGCAATGATCAACCGTGTTCGGGAATGTGTGCGCGACGAAAAAGCGAAGATGGTGAATGTGCCGGATTTCTTGCTTTACTACGTGGGACAAGATGCAAAACGTTTGTCATTTTCTATTCTAAAAAGAATCGACATTATGCCAGTTTTGTTAGCTGAATATTTACCGTAAATACTGTAATAGTACCCCACTCCCCTCGTACAGTCGCGTAGTCGCAAAAGTTGTTTAGTATTTCATTTTTTTCAAAGCGCCCGTACTTTCAAAAAATGTGTCTTTGGTATCAAAAAATAGCTGAAATTCAGGGCTATTTTTTGATACCAAAGATAATGACGGTGCGGAGTGTTGCGTAGTCTAGCTTTGAACGAGTTTTTCTTGACACTGGTTTATGCTAAAATGCGCGCTTTGGTATCAAAAAATAGCTGAAATTCAGGGCTATTTTTTGATACCTAAGCGCTCATTGTAGCATAAACCAGTGTCGAGAAAAACTCGTTCAAAGCTAGACTACGCGACACTCCGCACCGTCATTATGGGCGTGGGGTACTATTACAGTATTTACGGTAGATATTATTTCAATATTGTGCTGAGGCATTATAGTGTTTGAAAGTATCAACAGGAAACAAATTCCAGTGAACGAACAGTACTTGAGCCATGCCAAAGCGCTTGTTGTCCCGGTTTTACTCCTCGCGGTGGTCGATGTCTTCGATAGTAGAGAAAAATTTTACATTTGTCATTTATTTTTGAACGTTGAAAATAATAAAAAAAATTCATTACAATCTTATGACACAAAAGAAGTCGACAAAAAAGGGGAAATGACTATGACACATGAAAAAACTAGAGCTGAGAATCGTCGAAGTCAAAGGCGACAAAAAAAATGACGAGAGAATCGCGGAAAAGTTTTAAATACATTACAAAATCTTTAATGATCAAGAATTCGAAGATTTCCGGAAACGATTTTATTCTCGAGGATGGTTCCCGGAGCAACGTCGATACGGTCACCATGGTTCGCGATGATAATCACAGTGCCCTGAATTTTTGTACTGTATTTATATAAATTATACATTAAGATGCGTAAAAATTTTTTTATGTACTTATAAATTTGAAATGGAGAATTCGAATAAGAGCACTTTTTACCTTCAACGAGACATCACGACCAAACCACACATCGCCGGAAACAGTCAAGTGATCGAGCTCGATTAAATCGGGAATTCCCTGGAAATTTCATTCATTTTATCTTTTAAATCTTTTTTTTATAAAGAATTTTTGATACCGTATTTACTCTATTAGTGGGGTCCCCCACTATTTTTTCAATCCCCTTCCAGACGACCCCACTATTAGAGAAATTTAAAAGAACATAAAACCAAAGTTTTAAATTGAAAAGATATCAATTTTTCTCCGAAATTCTTGACAAAACAAGTTTGGCTTCATATTTTATTTAGCTTTAACCGTAAAAAACATTAACAAACAGTAAAAGAACTAATCCAAGAGATCAACAATTGATGTATCACTTTCGTTACCAATATCTTCTTCCAATTCGAGAGGACCCCACTAATAGAGTAAATACGGTAATCTATTTAATGTATTTAATTTAAATCTATTTTAAACCCACTTGGAAACGAGCAAGATAATCCTTGACTTTATCAAACGAAGATCCAAGTTTAACGAGCGGTGTTGTGGGGAATGATCTCTCTGATGAAAGGGTTAAACTGCCATTATCGATATCATAAAGGTTTGACCTAAAAAAAAGTTCATTTACATGTAAATTTTGTTGTTTTCAAAACCCTTACATCAAAAGCAACAAATCGGAGGTCTTTTTCACGGGCAAGAAGCGCGAGCGTGGCACGTTAATTCCTAAAAATGAACCTTTAAAATAATCTTCAGAACTTTATCACTAAACAATCAAACCTATAATATAAATTAGAATCTATTAAATTACGATATTCTCTTTGTTCTTTAAATTCTCTCACTTACCGCACGAGTTCTTGAAGTTCTTGATGGCGGCACCAGCGGCTGTCTCGAGTTGAATCACGTCCATGCCTCGATCGAGATGCTTTGGATTGACAATCACCTGAAATTTAACATTAATGAAAGTATATCGTTTATTGTCTTATATTATTTATTTAATTTATCCACCTCCATATCCAGTTCATTGTTGGAAACGACTCGACGAATCGCTCCGAGGCTTGCCCACAAGTTGTTTGTGTTGAAAATTCTAGAAAATTTCAAAAATTCGTACATTCTTAATGAGTTACCTGAATTTCGAGATACTCTTGAACTCATCCACGTAATCTTTTGGCACTTGAGCAATCTCGAGTAACATCAATTTGTCCTCGTATTGAATCAGTGTACCTCCCTTCACATCAGCACGCGTTTTATCGGTGACCTAAAAAGAAAATTTTTATAGAAACTTGATCTAATTAGACCTAAATTAGTTAATTAGTTAAATATAGATTTCTAGTAGTTATTATTTTACCTCCATCACAAATTCTGGTGGCTCTTGTCCTCCGGATGAGTTGAGCACAAAGTTGAGAATGTTTAGATCGACGGTAGCGCCCATATTGTCAATGTTGGACAAGAAGCAATACTAAAAGTAGATATTGTTATTTGAAAACAGCATTTTTTGATTGTAAGCATCGTTTGTAAACTAAGCATAACTAAAAAGCAATACTAAGCAATACTAAATTTGAAAAATAAATAGTAATAAAAAAATAATATTTTAGAAATTCAATATTTTTCACCTCTTTTCCTTGCTCCAAAAACTTGTCGAGAAGTCCCGAGTTGGCGAAAGCCTCATAGAAGTTTCCGTGACCAGGTGGATACCAACTGAATACAAAAAGTTTACAAACGATGCTTACAATCAAAAAAATGCTGTTTTCAAATAACAATATCTACTATATATAAAGCAGAAGAGAAGTCTGTCGGTCCGTCTGTGCCAAGCCATTAACAAAACGGGGTGGGATTTAGATTGCGTGGAACGTTGTGAACGTTTTCCGCTGGTCAAGTAATTATTTATAAAATAAATAATTTCATTTAAACCCACGCTTCCATGTCAGCAGTTCCCATATCTTTTGCAATCGGCATGAGAGTTTCTTTGTTGATGCGTGGATAACGAGATTGACAGAAAGAAATCACGGACACCTAAAATACTCATGCAAAAAAAATACAAATACAAAATAACTTTTCATCAAGACTTCAAACTTTCAAACCTTGACATTCGCGTATTTCTTCAGCAATTTCTGAGTGTCATCGTCGGTGTTGAAAGAGTTCATGAGCACAAGTGGGACATCCACGTTGTAGGTACGGTTGAGTTGCTAAAATGTCGACTATTCGACACAAAAAAGTGTGCCGACTATTCGACAATTTGGGAAAAACAATCAATTACGTTTTCTATTGCCAATTTTCGTTGTAGGGCATTTAGCCCGTTAACTGAATATCTTTAACGTTCTTTGCTTTATTTAAAGCAAAGAACAGAATTATTGACAGAATTTCGCGTTTCTTTTCCGGCGAGGTAGTCACATGAGCGCCAAAAATCGCTCATTTCAGAGCGACTAGATTTTAACATTTTTGCTTTCTACTTTTGCATGTTTTTTAGGGTTTTGCTTCTGTTTTTACACTTTTTTCACTTATTTGACCCAGGGCACGGCAGTAGAAACCAAATGCGCGGAAAAATTTGTTAGATTAGTTCGTATTTAAGGTTTTTTTGATGAAAATGTGCTAGTTTTATGATATCTTCCCCCAATAGCATTTTTTTCACCGTTTCTTGACATTTTCTTCTACAATTTGCTTACAGTTAACTTATTGTTTTGTTTTTAGGCTTATGAATTGCGCAAGAAGCGGCGACACGACGCAAAATCCGGAATCAAAGTCAAGTATGAATGAAGGTGTTTAATTCTTCATTTTCTAGACGCTTTTATCTGTTTTTATAATTGCATATTGTATTTTTTATCTTCAGTTGTTGACAGAAGTGTGTGTCCGCATCAAGGAGCTCTTCTTCATTTTTGGCGCTCATGTGGCTGACTATCTCCCCTTTTCCACTCATTGAAAGGAACAGACTTCTTGCAAGTTTAATAAAACTATTGTTTTCAAATTGATTCGTCAAATTGCACATCAATTTGGGAAAAGTTTGTCGATTATTGATCAAATATCACTATCAATCAAGGAGAAAGCCTCCGCAAAGATGGGAGAGGAAACAGTTCTCGTACAAACCAACTATATTCAGCATAGTTAGCAGTTTTTAAAACTGAATGCTCAATAACTATTATTATAGAAACTACCTGAATCTGCTGCATGGTGAGATCGAGGAAAGTCAAATCGTTTCGAACAGCGATCACAGATTTCGGCCCCTTGCAACCCATCGATGTACCCAAGCCTAAATCGGGTTACTATAAGCTTAGTTTTAGAATTTATAATGTAATTATAATATTAACGAGTATTAATAACTTAATAACTAGTATTTTTTTAAAGATTATGCTATTCACCTCCGTTGAGTTTGACGACAACAAGTTTGCTGAGCATTTGTGTGATATGCGATTCGGAAACAGGAGGAAGCTGGAATTAGTTTTGAAAAACTCAAATAGCTATAGCTGGAAAGCTTCAATTTAATCTAAAAAAACTATGAATTATTTTTTAAAGGTTACATACTTGTTTGTATGGTCGAATGGCTCCCTCGGGCAGTGGCTGAATCGCTTTCCATTCAATGTGGGTCTTAGCCCGCAAAAATCTAATCAACTTTTGTTTCATTTTGTTTTCATTTTGATTTTACCTCGAGAAGAGATTTCTGAATCCGCTCATTTCCCTTCGTGCTCCTTCAGTTTCGCCTTCTTTTGCCGATGCAACCAGCCTTGCCAACTCTTGTTCCAATGCTCCGAGCGTTTCCCTCTTCGTCGAAGATTTCCATTCTTCTGAGCTCTAAATTTGGATTTATAGCAAGAATTTTAAAACAAGATTTATCTCTATTATCTCTAGCTTTTTTAGCTCAAAAATAGCTAACTTATAATGAATCTATTCCTGAAGCTTTTCTAAAACATGTCAACTTACGCAAACTACCGTAACCCCTTACGTTTGTCTGATCATTGAGGTTTACAAAGATTACGAAAACGTAAGGTTACGGTATCTTTCGAAAGTTGATATAATTTTAGAAAACGGAGTCAGGACGAAAAGGACTCTATCTTTGTTAAAGCGAAAATTTCCTTTACATGTTTTGTTATGACAGACTCTTGTCGAAAATCCACCGTATCCCCCAGAAATCTTACAGCATCAACGTTGGGCAAAGAGTACAAACGGGCCAACGGGGCCATTAGAAGTGTTAATGGGGGAAAATATGAGGAGAAAAAAAAACTTGATCAACAATGCCAATAGAGAAATAGGAAACACGCTTTCCTTTTCCCCTTCACCCAAGCACACTTTACTGTGCGCAGATGAGTGAAAAGCGCAAGAAAAGGTGGGAGAAAAGAGCGATAAAAAAAAGATCTCCAGGATAATGGATGACTATCTAAACTGGCACATGGTGGCTCTCTTTTATCGGTTTGTGAGCGGTGAACACCACTCACAAAACTAGACGATTTTCGGTGAATATGGCGCCATTCCTATCAAGCTTTTATTGAAACTATAGTATTTTTCTTTCTTATGCATAGTTAGAGTTCTTGTTAAATGATTCGTTTTCTATAAAAGGTGTAGATTTTTGAAAATTAGTGTAATCTGGTTTTATCTAATCTACCGACCCAATAGAGGCGCAACACTTCAACCCCTCCTGACCGTAATACATTAGGAGGCACTACTATAAAGAGGCACTACTATTAGAGAGAATACGGTATCTCTTTTTAGATCTTTCGGTAAGTCTCTTGGTAATATTTTGGATCTTTACAGAAGTAAGCAAAAGATTGATTGATTGAAAACTAGAGATTATGATAGCTTTTGAAAGTTGATATCTTTTAAAAAGCTTTTGTTGAGAGAGTGAGAAAAAACTCTAGATACAAACCTTGGTCTCTTGATTTTCCGAGGTTTCGCGGAAATATCGAACGTGCTCACTAACACGCCGTAGTCGGCTTTGCGTATAAGACATTCTAATGAAAAGGGATTAGTTATAAGAAAAGAACTAGATTAACGATAAGTTCAAGAAGTATTCTATGGAAGAAGTGGAAGTATTCTATTTCAGACTTATAAACTTATAAAGTTTTGTTGTTATCTAGTTATCTAGGCAAGAAATCAGCTCAATCGCTCATTGAACAACAAATCTCAGAAAAGTCAGTGTGGAAAACATTTCGCCTTTTTGATATCTTTGTTATAAAAATGAAAAATAGAAATGGCAGAGAAAGGTGGGCGAAAAATGCGAGAGGGAAAACGGAGAAGGCACAAAACGCGTCCGCTCCAATCGATCTCACCATTTAATGCCTCCCGATCGAAGCGATGGGCGGGAGTGATCCACGAAATGCAACACGCAAAAGAGATAAAAATTCGATTAAAAGGCAGATTCAATTCCCTTTTGATTCGTGCATTAGCAATCGCATGTTATCACGAAGAAAGAAAAATTTTTTTAAAGAATTTTTGTATTGTCGGTGATTTGGATTTTGTTTGTTCAGCTCCTTTGAAAGCCGATGAAAAAAAAAATGAAATCAAGAAAAAAAACCGGATGCTAAGCTGAAATTTGTATGTAAAATGGGCGAGATTTTGAAATCAAATTAAGAAGTTCATTGAGAAGTTGACTCAAAAATCTATGCTCTATGATTTGAAAGTTTTCTGACAAGATAGAATATTTAGCCGCTCAACCTAACACCAACGGCTTGATCAAAAGCAAGTGATGCTTGCTTTTGATCAAGTTTTCCTCAACACCAACCGCTCAAGTTTTCCTCAACACCAACCGCTTGATCAAAAGCAAGTGATGCTTGCTTTAAAAGTTTTCCCCAACACCAACCGCTTGATCAAAAGCAAGTGATGCTTGCTTTAAAAGTTTTCCTCTAGTCGTCTTCTCCCATTCTCGAATATCAGTCTCATCAAAGTTTCCGCAAATTTTATGAATCGGAGTCGTAGGGGAAATTTGTGAAATCTCAGCCATTTTTCAGAAATAATTTTACAAGTGATTTTTGAGTAAAATAAGTTTGAAAAGTTTGAAAAGTTTTTCACTTGGGAAAATAAGCTGCGCTTAACTTGTAAGCAAAAGCAAATAGATGTAAGTAGTGGGCAAAGTACCCAAAAGGAATAGTGAGAGGAATTTCCGGAGGAGTAGCTGTTTGAGGAGAAATTTTTAAAGTTAAAAGATTTAGTTAAAAGATTCAGTTGAAAGATTACGTTTGAAAAGTGACGTTTGGGTAAATGTTGAGGGGAAGAAATTAAGACCGAGATGAGATAAAAGTAAACAGTTGGAACCACTTGGGCACATTTTGAAGGAGGAAAAGAAAAGAAAGGGAATCAACTGGTGAAAGGACCAAACAAGAATCATATTTGACCTCGTAGGCGAGGCATAAAAGGAAATCTTTTAAAAAAAGCGTATTTGTTTCACTTTTGAAAGTTCTCTAGACTCTATGAGACCAAAAAAAGTCGACTTTAGTGATACTACGTTAGTGACATAAACCATAATACTTTAAATTCCGAAAAACTGAGTCACCATCTTTACATTTTAAATGCAAACGGTGAGAACTTTGAGTGAAATATTGGTTTAGCCAGAAAATCTTTTCAACCTTTTTGAAATTTTTGTTTATAAATGAATAATTAGCCAATAAACTGTGGTTTTTTAAAATAAATGGATTAACGATTTCATTTAGCTCATTTATAGCCAAATTTGAAGCTTTGAATCAAACTTTTTGAAGCAAATCCAAACGGGAATTCTTTGTTTTTCCTAAAGTCCTTACAATAAACATAAAATGAAAACGGCTTGGTGAAATGTTACAAAAATTTGACTATCTGCCTAACTTTCTCATTCTCTATCTTTTGCTTTTCAGATTTTTTTAGAGAGCAATTTGCAAATAAATAATAGAACTTTTCTGATAAAACAAATCATAGATCGATCTAGACCTGATTAACGAATCCGGGCAAAATTTTCAGACAGTCTGCCTCGCTCTTCGATTTTTTACTACCCAAAGCTCTTTCGAGCATGAAACCCAGTTCCCCACAAGCCCTTATTTTAGGCTTCATTTTGATACTAAACAAGGCTAGGTCCTGCTCTGCCATTCTTTAGATTTTGATCATTTTAGATAAAAAATTTTCTGGACTCGTTAAGCTTATCGAGTCCGACGAAAGATTGATCGAAATCTAAAGAATGGCAAAGCAGAGCCTAGCCATGTTTAGTATCAAAATGAAGCCCAGAATAAGGGCTTGTGGGGAACTGAGTTTCATGCTCGAAGGAGCTTCGGGTAGTAAAAAATCGAAGAGCGAGGCAGACTGTCTGAAAATTTTGCCCGGATTCGTTAATCAGGTCTAGATCGATTAGCTCATTATTCATTTCAAAAATTAACCTTTAAAAAAGCAGAAAAGACTTTCCGGTCAGCATAACAGATTCTAAAAGCTTTGAGTTTAAACGAGACACAATGAGAAGGGTGAACGAACCTTATTGGATTACTGTAGCCCAATAACTTTCCTGTTAAAGTTCTGCCTATGCACACGGGTAAATTAGACAAATTTAGACAAAGTGCTAAATTTGACTAAGTACTAAATTTTTGAAAATCCGTCTAAGTCAACTTCAGTTGTTTGACAGGATGATCGCAAAGTATAGCGACAACTTTTTGAAAAATTATCTGGGAAATGTCCAATTTATTTCAAAAGTGGCAAATGTTATATAGAGAATTGTAGCCTTAATTCTCGACATTTATCTACCAAAAACTTTCTGATCTGACTTATACAACTCATTTAACAAGCGCTTGAAGGAGCACTAGTCGACATCTCTCCGGCAAATCTGTCATTTTTCACGATTTTCTACATTTTCTACATTGGTTATACTGGTCAAGTGTGATTCTTAATGTTATTATATGATGCTAAACACTATTTTTACATCATTGAAAAGCTTTTCTTAACAATTTTTAATAGAGAAAAGGGGCAAATGACAAATTCGCTGGAGAGATGTCGACTAACGCTCATTCAAGCGCTTTTTAAATGAGTTGTATAAGTCCAATCGGGAAGTTTTTAGTAGATAAATGTCGAGAAGAATTAAGGCTACAATTCTCTATATAACATTTGCCACTTTTGAAATAAATTAGACATTTCCCAGCTACTTTTCCAAAAAGTTGTTGCTAGACTTTGTGATCATCCTGTAATTTGGGTTATTTTAAGGTAAATATCTAGCAACTAGATATACTCTTTTAGGATTTATGAATCCGAAATCTCACCTGATTCGTAGGCATGCCAAAATAATGGTCTAGCTACGAAATTCTTTCGCCTTTTCTCTCTAATGCGAAATGTATGGGCGCCTATAAACCCTTATCGCTATTTGTTTACAGAAACCCGTCGCCGATTAGAAACAATAATAAGACTGAGAGATTCCGGCAGAAAAACAATGAATGGAAAATCATGTACAGAACATGATAGACAATGGTGTTTTGATGGGATTATTCATTTGTTGATTGAATTGAACGATATGGTAAATGGTCGACTCACAGCAAGAGCGGCCGCATCTCGTTCGGTCTCCAATCGCGTTCGACTCATTGTTTTCTGAAAGTTTAACGATTAAGTTTAAAGATTAAGTTTAAAGAAACATTTCATTGTTTGTGAGAAAAAGATTCTTGTAAAATTTTAAAGAAATTAACCGAAATTAACCGTTTGGATCTGTTCCATGATGATCTTTGAACAAAAGCGTGAATGTTTTCTATCAAATACCCATTAATGAACACTTTATATTATTTATAGTCTCTTTATAGCTGTGAAATCTCCGCCGGTGAGATCTATCAATTTGATAACTTTCCGAGTGAACGCCAATGGCTGAAAAGGGTGAAGAGATAGAGTAGGCACAGACTAGACTGACCCTTGCGAAAGAGAAAAGTTCTCGGAAATGATGATAAGAGCTTTATTGGATTTGAAAATCGTTAAAAGTTCGAAACTTTTTGCTGAAAGTCCTACCAATCGTCAACAAAATCTTACCAAAAAGCATGAAAAGGGAGGGAGATGAAAGGTAATCAATAGGTCTATCGAACAGTTGTTTACGAGAGATCTCACCCTTTCACTTCAACTTTTCAAAAAAAAAAGACAAAAATATTTGTGCTCATTGAGAAAAGCATTAAAAATGGACTTTCAACAATCCGAGTGAGTTGCTAGGGAAGGGATTTCAAAATCAAAATCCGGTATGTGAACCATGCGAACTTTTCAACCATTTCATAAAGCTCACTTCTTCAATTTTTCCTTCAAAACATCTTCATTTTTTCTTCAATAATTCGATTCGATAATTTACATCAATATCGATTATTAAACTAGGCAAGGAAATAAATCATTACGATGAGAAAAAGTTGACGCAAATGAGTCGGGTTGACGCAAAATGGTTGACGTGTTTCATGTTGACATCTCAAAATGTGCCAAAGCAATGGATATCATCCTCATTTTCTTCCCAAATTTTGTTTTCTCTTCTTAAAAACTATCGAAATCTTTAGATACATGAATGGAAGATTACAAATATCTTTTCAAAGTGGTTTTGGTCGGGAATGCAGGTGTTGGTAAGACGTGCCTTGTTCGAAAGTTTACTCAGGTATAGAAAAGTACAGGAAAAGCTGCAAAAGCCTCTTTACAGGGTATCTTTCCACCCGGACAAAGTGCTACAATAGGAGTCGATTTTATGATTAAAACGGTCAAAGTTGGAGATGATAAAATCAAGGTTTGAGATGAGATGATGGGTGATGAAAGAGCAAAGGATTTAGCTACAAATCTGGGACACAGCCGGGCAAGAACGGTTTCGATCAATCACGCAAAGTTATTACCGATCAGCACACGCTATAGTTTTGGTGACAAATGAAAATCTGAAGTTAAAAACTCATTTTTTTTAGGTTTACGATGTGGCGTGTCAGCCAAGTTTCGATTGCCTTCCCGAGTGGCTGGCAGAGATCGAATCATACGCGAATCGAAGGATTTTGAAAATTCTTGTCGGTGAGAAAAGATTTCTTTGGAAAAAAAATGAAGAAACTTTTCTAGGCAATAAATTGGATAAAGAAGAGGAACGAGAGGTGCCAGAAAGGATAGGAAAAGATTTTAGCGACGTCAACAATTTTGATTATTTTTTGGAGACCTCCGCTTTAGACGCCACAAATGTCGACAAATTATTTGAGCATGTGGCTGAGCGATTAACGAACGATATGAAAGCTGTGGACCAAAGGTGAGAAACATCAAAAGTCGAGATAAAAATCACAAAGTTTAAGATATCACGCTTACAAGAGTGAGCGCAACGACGCCGGCTCGATTTCACTCATGAATCGCGCTCAAACGCAAATCGATAGCTGCTGCGGGCGAAATTGAGATTTCTCAAAGAAAAGAAAAGAAACCAAATCCTTGAAGCATAATCGTTGTGTGTACAAAAAAAACTTCCTTTTCCCTTGCAGCTGTGATAAAAGTATTGTCAACAACAACAAAAAAAAATCGTCGGCATGTCTAGTCACACCATTTTTCCTTTGAATCTGATGGCACATGCTGGGACGCTTGTCGGGGTTTTACTTGACTTGTATAGCGTGCAATTTGGGGTCGGCTAGTTTCCGCAATTTTTTTGCACAACAGGGTCATTTGCGCAACTGGGTCATTTTGCGCAACTCTCCATAACTTTTTTTCTAATTGGACCAATCTTTATGATTTTGGTTTCATTTTGTTGCACTTATTGAGATCTACAAAATTAAACCAAAATCATAAAGATTGGTCCACTTAGAAAAAAAAGTTATGGAGAGTTGCGCAAACGACCCAGTTGCGCAAATGACCCTGTTGCAAAAAAGTTGCGGAAACTAGCCTACCCCTGCAATTTGAAACAAAACTAGCGTTAAAATTTATACCTATTTACCTCCAAATTTGAAGATACAAAAAAGATATTCAGCTAACCAGCTGTTTTTTATAACATAACAAGTGCAAAAACAAAACTCCCACAAGAATAATTGCATTTTCTTTTTTTACGGGATTTTCACCATTCTTCCTTTTTGTCCACCTCTGCCTTCATACTCACAATGTTGCCCTAATCTGTTACAGATTTCCCGAAAGGTTTTATATTTTATATGTATCGAGCACCCTTACACTCAAAATGTTGCCTTTGCTTCGAAATTTTGTCATTTGCACAAGCATCGCTATTTATCTTTTTCATCGTATCGACTTTCTAAAATAAATTGTCGACCCTATTCAACTCGATTGATCAAAAAATAGCAGAAAATTTTTGTTATCTCTTCGTTTAGCAGCAAAACAGTCTTTGTTTACAAATTTTATGAGACTTTTGTTGTGGTTGAAAGCTCTACATGATTTTTCTTTTTAGATTTGATTTAACAATCACGCGCGAATCATCATTTGTTCTATTTCGACACAAACAAAGAAAGGGTCACACTTGGTGAGTAATTTGTCGTTAAAATTATTGTAGAAATTCCTTTCTGTTTTCAGTTTTGGAAATAAAGATAAATTTGGGCTTTTCTTTCTTTTGCTTGACATAAATTGAAGTTTTAGGCAATGAGAATAACGCGGCTGCTCTTGGAAAATTTTCGCTTTCTGAAGAATCGGGATCGAATATTTTTTGCAAACAAACGAGAGGCCTTCAAAGATTTGTACAAAACAACGGGTGGCGCCATTCTTGTCGTTGCTGGATTTTTAACTCTCTTGAAGTAAGTTTTTGTTTTGTTATTAAAATTAAAATCACATCTAAAATTTTAAAGCTAAAAGCAATTGGTCAAAGTTTATCGTTTTTAACTTGTAAGATAATTTGATTATTGATATTTTTTTAAAGTTCTGAACCTTATTTATATCCAGAAACAAATTAATTTTAGGGAATTCGCTTTTCCGACACCGGACATGATCTACGATTTGCAGAAGTGGGTCTCTCCAGATTTTGCACTTTACTGCGAACACGGTGATTTGGCGGAGTACAATCTCGCTGTATCTTCGAATATATACGGGACAAAGGTGTTTTATCTTGATTATTTCATTGGATCATTTTAAACTCTTAAGCTAACGCTAGGGCTATATTTATTTGAACTTAGCAAATGTGAAAGTATCTAAATTTTTCAAACGATGTTCGAAAATGCTAAATTATATTTTTCTTATTTTAGCTTGAGGCGAAGCGTGAAGAAATTCGCAAATTGAAAGCGACACCTGCCGAGTCACGGATTGGTGGAGCCTATTAGTTGCCGAAATTAACTCTCTGGATCACCTATGGCCATAAGATAGTTTTGTAGTTTAGATTTTAGGCATCTCTCAAAGCGGGTTTAGATTTTTTGTTGTGTAGATAGATTACTTATTTTTCACAATATCGTTTCTAGAACGAAGATTAGACAAATTTGTTGATTGTCTTATGTTGTTTGTTATTCGCTTTAATTATGTTCGTTCTTTTTATTTCGTTTGTTGTTCACTTTAATTATGTTCGTTCTTTACGTTTGTAAATTTTTAAGTTGTCGATAAATTTGATGCGAAAAAATGTAAGCGTTATCTTATTGCGAATACCTGCGAATACTTTTTTACCAAATGCAAAAAAAATTGTTAACACTTTTAATAGAATGGAGGAAGATAACGCGGGAGATGTGTGTAAATTTGTGCAAAAACTCCGCGAAGGCGAGCTGGCTATGCGAGTGCGATTCGGAACTTTGGAATTCACAGCTAAGGTAAAAATATTAAATTGGTGATTTAAATAACCGTTGCTAATCTATCAACATTATGTGGTGGACAAAAAAGATACCAGAGAAATACTCTAGCTTTGCACATACGGAAATTTACTGGTACTTCAATCAACTTCTCGACCAATGGAGCCGATAGTTTTTGTCATGGAGCGATATCACATTAGGTCTTTTCAATCAAGCGATCTTTTCAATCCAAATCGTTTTTAGAAAAGACGAAGATGAAACACCCAACCTTTTCCCATTTTCAATAGTTTTTGCTGATGAGATTTTGCAGCTAATTCCCACTTCGACTGAACAGCGGGAGAAACTGATGCTGGAGGTTTGTCTAAAAAAGAACTCAAATAAAAATCTGACAACAAAAATGATTTGCAAAAATTCCAGTTAGCTACATGTTCACATACGATGACAACGGCGAGAATGGACGAAGTTGCCTATAAATTTTTCACTATGCAGGTAAATCAGCAGATAAGAACTATAAAGTTTTAACAAATTCAGATAATCGATGGTCAAAATGATGATCTTTCGCACGGATCAACTTTACAGAACTATTTTCTAGCTAATCCCTTTTCAGTTACACACAATTTTGCCATCACAAGTGTTTGTTTTACTTCAGATTATCAATCAACTTTTCTATTTAGAAAATGAATCTTCCTTTATGGCGATTTTCTTATAAAGAAGTGATGTGGGAATCGAAATTCAGTATCATGCTTCCATTAGAGATGATCAAATTGTACAAGAGGTGGAAACTAAACACTGAATCCTAAATAAGTCAAGAGAAATTTAGATGGGGTCGTGAGTTTGCAAATATCCTAGAATCGAAGCAATCATTTTATCCATCGACTGACATCGCCGGCCTACAAGACACACTTCGACATGTATGTTAAAGTTTGGGAAATATTTCAAATTCAATTTCAGGTCAGAGATAATCTGGAGATCTACGAACAATCTCTGGAGTTTTTGCAGGGTCATTCAGGTTGATGCACAGTAAAAAATAAAAAACCCCAAATTGATTAGTAGGTGCTTTGTTTCGGCCATCAGTTGAGAAGACGAGAGTCGCCTATGCACCAGTGCCCACAAATCTCCATATCCAGTACTTCAATGTGCAAGGAGAGGCGGCAAAATGCATAGTGACAGCTGGGACGGCCTCTTGTCTTCCCCTTCGATTTCATGTAAGATATTCAAATTGGGGGTTTTAGAAGTCAAAGGCAAATGAAACTATTGACCGTTCAGTGATGCAAAATGTGCATGTACACAATTTGCATCACTAAAATAGCCCAGTAAATCAAAAAACAAAACAAAAAATGCACTTTAGCACGGTGGTCTTGAGAAGTTGATTGATGGTGTGAAGATCAGTTCACAATGGATGAATCGAGCATTTGATTTGAAACAAAGTGAACTCGGTGATGTCAAGGTGAAATTTAAAAACGATCACTAACCAACATTATTTCTTCTAGAGAGAAATCGGAGAGTTAAGCCGTTTGCTTACACCTGAGAAATCTGCCTTAAAGACTTTGGATGGGATTTTCATTGAGATCTCGACTGGGATAAAACAGGTAAAACATTGGGAAAAATTGTATGGAAAATCGGAATTTAGGTACGAGAACGTTTGAAAGACATGTCGAACCGGATCCCTGATTGTGACTCGATCTCGCAAGCTCTTTCTTACTCAACTCAGCTCAATAATAAAGTAAAAACAAAGGATCATTTTCAAAACAGAAAATCTCTAGGTCGATGGTGTTCTGGATGCGGTAAGCAATCAGTTAGAAGCCTTGACAACTCAAATTATTTCTCTTGACACGAAAATTGCCACTGCTGATGTCACAGACAATGGACAAGTGAAAGAAAGTGTTGGGTAAATGATATTGAATCGTTTAGGAATTGGTTTTCGAGTCGATCAAATCAGCGATCGAGATTTCGCTAAATGCGGAACTTGAGCTATGCAACACTCTCTCTGAATGTCTCTTGCTCAGCTTTATTCGATCACTGAATCGTGGAAAAGCGATTACTCCTTATTTTCACGTACAACTCAGGTAGAAGAATCCGGCAAAACTTCTGAAAAATTCTTAGAACTGATTTCGTTCTTTCGCAAGCAATCACAATAGTGGCCACTGCTTTACTCGTTCGGATTCAACAAGGATGGCCAGTTGATGGAAATGGTAGGATTGATTTCAATGAGTGCAAGATATCAAATGAATATTCAGGAAACGCACTACCTCCTTTGTTAATCATTTTCTCATGGCTGTCTCCATATGGAGATGAAAAGGGAATGATTGAGGATGCCACGGAAGCCTGGTCTCTTCTCGGTCAAATCGTTTCGTTTAGGTATCTTGATTCATTCATTCCTGTATTCTACTGCCTTTTCTAAGATGTGTCAACTTTCGAAAACTACCATAACCTTTATTTTCAATTTATCGACTTCTGTCTTTCTGTATCTTTTTTGATACTTCACAGACTAGATCGAGTAAGAACAAGAGGTAGCTTTACTCGAGCGGGAAAACTTCTTTTCCTGGAAGATCACGTTTTAAATATAAATTATAGATTTGTACCGGCTCCGTCGACTTTAAGCCGTTCGTGTATTCCGATAATTGGTGGAAAAAGAACAAACATACAAGTAAACAAAAACAAGAATGCCGTAATAATCATATTGTAGGTGAGTCTTCCAATACCTCATGATGTTTATGAGTTACTTCCGCCAAATGTCGCTCGAGCCGACGGGTGGAGAGTTCAACCAGCCTACTTTAATCTCGGTACTTGTAGAGGGGGAAACCCATCAGTTTTTTGTTTATGTTACAGGCATCAACCATGAGGCAAGCCTTGCTCAACAATGGGGAGGACCGGCACTTGAATCGCAAGTAAATCACACCGCTCTGCTGGTGAGATTTAACGCCAAAGAACTCTATATGTTACCGATTTTCCGAAAGAAAAACTTTTCAGGCAATGCAAAACTACGTACATTCTTTGCCGGCAATCAACACCGTAGTCAAAGAAGCATTGTTTGAATTAACAAATACGGTAAATAAGAAGAGAAAATTCTGTTCAACAATTTCAGATTAATGCCGAGGCGTCGAGGAAAAATATGGAGATCTTCGAGAAAGCGATGGCACTTGCAGAGGCTCTCGGGGTACAAGTTGTGATTGGATGCAAAAGTGGAAAAGTGAGGAAGAGTTAAAAGGTCAATCATTAGAAAATTTTTTTAGGATCGAACCTCGATGGGCATCACTCTCGAGCAAGGGCGTCGATTACGAGAAACACACGGTTTCGATCACGATCAGGTATTTCTTCTGAAATTCCGGAATCTAGATCTCTTGAAGAAGAAAGACGCTTTTATGCACCAAATATCGACTAGCAAAGCTCATGATAGCTAACTGATTGCCAAATCTGGCTAGAATATTGGTCAAATCCATTTCAGGTAATGGAAATTGTGACTTGCCTGCGAAAAGACGGGGTTCGCCGCGAGAATTGTCGCAAAAATATCGGCAAAGGGGCTTACGCGTTTAGTCCTTTTCAGGTGAGTTGCGAGTAAAGCTTGGATATTATTTTGTGTTTGGATTCATGGTGATCTTGAGTTCAATCCTGAACCAGAGCCAGAGCCAGTCAAATCTTGAGCATTTCAGATGCACTTCATCCCGAAAACGCTTCGCCCGCCAGCTGGCACCTATTCGTCCAATATTACAACTTAAAATGAGACATTTCACTCATTATTTGATTAATTTTTCATTTTTAATAATATCAAAACAGGTTGTTAGAGAATTATTTTTAATATTTTAAGGTTTTGATTCGTGCTTGTTAGCGGTCACAGGTGGGACATCAACCACTAAAATATTATTGATCGGGTCTGTCAAAATTTTGAATTCATTTTCACGTAAACGGTCAAAAAGAACTATTTTTCTATAAATTGAGATAACTTTTACTTATTGTATTCTGTATTTTATTGAATTTTAAGACCAAAACTTGGCTTCAATGGCATGTGATCCTGATCCTTCTCTCTTTTCTTCTCTTCTCTTCCATCTTCTATATCATATCGAGATTTGGGGAGTGGGACAAATGCGACCTTTTTTTGCGCACCCGGACATTAGCGCACCTTTTTTTCCGTACCTTGCCCATTAGCGCACCTTTTTTCGCGTCTTAAAAAAGCTCTAAAAAGCTAATATTAACGAATTTCTATTCTAAAAGTTGTTTTTCTAGGTAATTTTAGGGCGTAGAATCGAAATTATGACATAACAGAGCTTGTGGAAACAAACGGACGGAGTTATACAAAGAGAAAAATCGACAATTTTCTGTAATTTGATCTAGCCGTTTTGTCTTTCAAATTGTCTTTCAAATTGGTTCCACACGCTCTGTTATGTCAAAATTTGCATTCGACACCCTCAAATTACCTAGAAAAACAACTTTTGGAATAGAAATTGGTTAATATTAGCTTTTTAGAGCTTTTTTAAAACGCGACAAAGGGTGCGCTAATGGGCAGGTGCGCAAAAAAGGTCGCATTTGTCCCACTCCCCGAGATTTGTATTTTTTGGTTGTGAAATGTTTTATCTACAAACACTTTTGATTTTTTTTTATTGAATTGCAATAAAGCTTTTATGAACTAGAGAACTTTCTAAAGAGTTTTACATGCATTACAGCCTGATTCATTCATAAACGGATCACCATGGTTACTACACATCTAAATTTTTTTTTTTCAAAGAAAAGTTTTCTTTACAGCTTTTCATCTTTCCTTTTGTTTTTATTTGATAAATTAGTTTTTAAAATATTAATATTCGATTAGAGATGAATAAGGGCGACAAAATCAATGGAGAAGATGTGTGGCAAGATCGAGAGATTCGCTTTGATGTTGATGCAAGGTAAAACGGAATTCCTGAAAAGTATTGTTCTCGATTGTGCTTGATGAAAGCTAAAATTTCAGAATGTTACGACTAATCCCGGGAGAGGTTCTTGTAGATAAAATTGATAATGTTGAAGACACGAAGGGGAATAATGGAGATCGAGGAGTGATGAGGGTGACGAATTTGAGGTGAACGAGTTTCAACTGTTTTCATTGCTTTTACAGTCGACTCTCGATATAAAGACTCTGTCGGGACCGCAGAATGGAGTCGTTATATCGAACATCGTTATGTAGAAGTAAGTAAGACCGGGGGATCGTAAGTATGAGTCGTTGTATCGAACATCTTTATATAGAAGTAATTAAGACCGGGATCGTAAGTATAAGTCGTTATATCGAACATCGTTATATAGAAGTAAGTAAGACCGGGATCGTAAGTATGAGTCGTTGTATCGAACATGTCGTTGTATCGAGAGTCGACTGTAGTTACATTTGCAAAATCAAAATCCTTTATTAGTTTCTTTTAAACTTCAGATTGATCTGGCATGCAAGTGCGATGCCGAGAATCAATCTTTCAATCGGTTATTCAACGGTGAATGGGATATCGGCAAAGAAAGCCAACTCGGTGAGTACATTGGTCCCATGGCTTCGTAATATTAGCCATGTTAGAATTGTTAAGATATACAGCTGAAGTGATTAAAGATACAATTCAGTACCTTTGATTAACCACCAATCTCAAAAACTCGATAAACATTTTCTAGAAAATTCGTGGTGAAGTTGAATCACTTTACATTATGGCCAAAGCTCCATCCACTCGTTTTGAGTTCATTTTTACGGCTCTCAATCCAGGAAATGTAAAGTTTGCATGTTATATTTTGGGAAAAATGCTTCTAGGTTCGACTTTTTACAACCGTCATGTCGATTCACCGGGCTTACGAAACGACAAAAATGTATCGAGAGTTGAAGGTGGAAATCCTATACCGTAAATACTCTAATAGTGGTGGAAATTCTATACCCTAAATACTCTAATACCGGCTTTTATTAGAATATTTACGGCATATTATGTCATCAAAATTCAGATGCGTGGAGCTGTGGTCGATGAGAATGAACAGCTGCGGATTTTACCTCTAGAGCAACAAGCTGATCGGATGGGTGGAGTTTGGAATCTGAGCAGCGATCAAGTAGATTAATCTCTTGTAAGCAAAAAAGTTTTTGAACACATTTTAGGGAAATCTGGGTGTCTTTATCATCACAAATGTACGCGTTGTTTGGTATGCGTCGATGAATCCCCAATATAATGTTTCCATTCCCTATCTACAGCTTTTTAGCTGCAGGTAGATCAGTTGAAAAGAATCGCAAAGATTTGTTCATTTCAGAGTTCGTGACTCAAAATTTGGATTGGCTCTGGTTCTGGAAACCACTTCTACAGTAAGGAATCAAATTTTTTCACGTAATTTTAAAAATTTTAGAGTGGCGAATATGTGCTGGGATTCCGGATTGATCCAGAAGAAAAACTACAACAGGTATACAGGTACGAACTCGAATTCAAATGGGAATTTAGGTATGCAAAGCGATTCAATCGCTACACAAATCTTTCATGATGAAGCCAGTGTTTGGGGTACAAGTGACACGAGAGAGACCGGTACTCAAAAAAAAAGTTTCAGCATTGATAGCGATTTGTAGGCAACGCCTCGTTTGGGCGCAACAGAAGCCATGGATACGGTAGAGGATGATGTGGAGGTGTTGGAAAAAATGGGACGACCTGACGCTTTTGCTGTAAATGAAAAATATCAAAGGCTTGAATGGGCAAAAAAAATTTAGGCCTATTTCTCGGATGGAATTGTTTCCGAGGAACCAAGACTACCGGTTTTCTCGGAGGAATTGGGGCTGGCCGTCGAGCAGCTGAAACATGGTTTCACGATCTCCGATTTGTGGACAATTCACACAGATTGATTGGAAATAAATATGCTCTTACCGTAAATACTGTAATAGTACCCCACCCCACATCCGCGCGAAAATGTGTTTTCTATAGGATTTTTACGTTTGAATAGCCGATTGACGCAGAAAAATGTGCTGAATCCGAAAATAAAAGAATTTTTGAAATCCCTTCGACAAATTTTTTAAAAATCAAGTTTTAGTGATTTTACTGTGTTAAATTTCAGCCATATTTTATTGTCGGAGCAAAATCTTGGAAACAAAAGCCTAAAACAAAAATGTAAACCGCAAGTTTTATTCTACGGGCTTTTCTCTATCTTTTGATACCAAAAGCATAAAAATTGATAAACCCTATAAAAAGTTATAACCTTTTGAAAATAAAAATGTGGTTCCTGGGTTATGGTACACTATAACGCGGATAGATTACCGTGACCCCAAAGAGAAAAAGAGCAAAATTAAACTTTTTTTTACTACAATCAAACCATTTTCGCTATTTTTCTTCTTTTCAAGATGATGTGTCGATCTCTGCGGATTTAAGTAAAGTTGTTTTTTTATGAACAGATGCTCTGCTTTTGAATTTTTCAGGCCTCGACAGGAATTAATCCAAGAAAGGAATGAGCGCACAGTTTGCAACGGTATATGTTAAACGTTTTGAAATAACATTTTAAAGTTTATTGAAACAACAACATTGAAAACAAGATTAATTAAAATCCCGCAGGTCTGATAATAAAATAACCCAGGAACCACATTTTTATTTTCAAAAGGTTATAACTTTTTTATAGGGTTTATCAATTTTTATGCTTTTGGTATCAAAAGATAGAGAAAAGCCCGTAGAATAAAACTTGCGGTTTACATTTTTGTTTTAGGCTTTTGTTTCCAAGATTTTGCTCCGACAATAAAATATGGCTGAAATTTAACACAGTAAAATCACTAAAACTCGATTTTTAAAAAATTTGTCGAAGGGATTTCAAAAATTCTTTTATTTTCGGATTCAGGGGAGTGGGACAAATGCTACCTTTTTTTTGCGCACCCGGACATTTGCGCACCTTTTTTTCCGCACCTTGCCCATTAGCGCACCCTTTTTCGCGTTTTAAAAAAGCTCTAAAAAGCTAATATTAAATATTAACCAATTTCTATTCCAAAAGTTGTTTTTCTAGGTAATTTTAGGGCGTAGAATCGAAATTTTGACATATCAGAGCTTGTGGAAACAAACGGACGGAGTTATACAAAGAGAAAAATCGACAATTTTCTGTAATTTGATCTAGCCGTTTTGTCTTTCAAATTGGTTCCACACGCTCTGTTATGTCAAAATTTGAATTCGACACCCTCAAATTACCTAGAAAAACAACTTTTGGAATAGAAGTTGGTTAATATTAGCTTTTAGAGCTTTTTTTAAAACGCGAAAAAGGTGCACTAATGGGCAAGGTGCGGAAAAAAAGGTGCGCAAATGTCCGGGTGCGCAAAAAAAAGATCGCATTTGTCCCACTCCCGGATTCAGCACATTTTTCTGCGTCAATCGGCTATTCAAACGTAAAAATCCTATAGAAAACGATTTTTGGCCTTATTTCGCGCGGATGTGCACCCCCCTCGTACAGTTGGGTAGTCGCAAAAGTTTTTTAGTATTTCATTTTTTTCAAAGCGCCCGTACTTTCAAAAAATGCGTCTTTGGTATCAAAAAATAGCTGAAATTCCGGGCTATTTTTAATACCTAAGCGCGCTTTGTAGCATAAACCAGTGTCGAGAAAAACGCGTCCAAAGCTAGACTACGCAGCGCTCCGCACCGTCATTATGGGGGTGGGGTACTATTACAGTATTTACGGTATGTCTTTATAATTGTCTTTATGTTCGACCAACACAACAATATTATATTTTAAGACTTTAAAAAAATTCAGCTTTTTTTGGTCTTAGGACGGCTGAGAAAAGGCTCGTACAGACGAACTGCTCTTTTATTTATAGTAGATTTTTGTAAACACATGTGGCTGGCCCTTGCGGGTAAATCCCACAGATTTAGTGTGGTATGTTTCTTTCAAGTAATGTGCTTTCTAAAACTTGTCAGATATCAGCGGCTGTTACTATTAGGCTTATCAGCGGAAAACGCTCACTATCGATCGCGTTTTCCACGCAATCTAAGCCCCGCCCCTTTTTGCCGTAATTACGGAGCGTCGCGTTTGCGCACAGACAGACGAACGAACGGACAGATGTCTCTTTATCCATTATAATTTTTCGAAATTGATGTTCTACTTTTCGTTTGCAAGCAGTTAAATCGGTACTATGGGCTTTGGGGGGCTACTTTTTTCACCAAAACTATTTTACCTGGGGTAATTGATGACGCTGATCACGAAAAAGTTATTTTTAAGGCAAGTTAGTAATGGAAGAAATATCCGTTTTTAAACCTCAAAAATTACCTGATTTTCAAAATCAGGTAATTTTAGGTTTTTTGATTGTTGGAATTTATTGCATTGCTGCATATCCAAATTGTGGAAAGGATGATATGATAAAACGGACATTTTTCCATTATGAACTTGCTTTAAAAATAACTTTAGGTTCGCCTTTATAATGCAGATTTCGTTCTTTTTTGAGATTTTGATTTCTTAATACGTTTGACATGGTAGACTAGCTTAAAAACGCGTGAAAACATAATAAATCCTTCTTTGTCTACAAAGCAAAAGAATGGCTGGACAAGCGATTCAAGCATTGAGTGATTTGAACTTGTTGGAATTTATTGCATTGCTGCATATCCAAATTGTGGAAAGGATGATATGATAAAACGGACATTTTTCCATTATGAACTTGCTTTAAAAATAACTTTTTCGTGATCAGCGTCAAAAGTTTTGACCACATGGAAACACTTTACACGGTTATAACCCGGATTAAAGCAACAAAATCATACAAATAACGACACAACGCCCGACTCGCTGAATATAAAAAAAAATGACACTGGTCGAGTGTGTCAATAAATTTCTCAGCGATGCGCCCATCAAACCCTTTTGCGCATGAAATAATTCAAGCAACTTTCAAAAATTCAACCAGTTTCGTGAAAACTTTTTTCTTTAAGTATTAAAGCTAGTAAAACGCTATATGCTAATATAGGTAATCTTTTACTTTTAATATGTTTGCTCTTCAATAGATCTTTTGTGCATTTTCATGTCTTTTGTGCAAACAATATGTTTTCATTTAGAGCGATTAAAGCTTCTCAATGTCGGAAAGATGTCGAGAATGACTGGTAAAAGTGGTCAAAACGGTAGAAGCGATCGTCACAAGTGAGGGTTTTATTTGCTGAAACAAACTTTTTTTACTTAGATCCGAATCCAGCTCCGACACCGATCGAGAACTTTATCGAGCGGCAAAACGCGAGCACTCTCCACCGCGAAAAAGGAAGGACCATTCAAGGAACTCTCCACCGCCAATGTAAACCTGTTTTAGCTTTAAATATGCATCATATAAAATATCTAGTAAAGTTTTTATCTGAGTTTTTAGGAGTCGCAGCCGCCGATCTCGATCTCCATCGCCATCAAATTCACGGAGGGGAGACTTTCGAGAAAAAAGGCGCTCTCGGGATCGCTCAAGATCAAAATCTAGAGGGGATCGGCGACGCAAAGATGAGAAGCGAAGGTAATTTCTTTGAAAAGTTGCCTCGTTTTCAAACGTAACCAAATTTATCCGTATCTAAAAATCAGCTTTAGACGTGGTCGGTCAAAGTCTTCCGAGAAAGATCGTAAAAAGAGTGAACGAAAATCGAAGCGAAAAAGATATAGCTCTGGAGAGTCTACGGATGATCTTGTTGAGTAAGTTCTTTATTTCTTATGAACTGGCTGTTTTTTCATTCTAGACTTCGCGAGGGCTCAACATTGGGCAGTTTGATAAAGAAAAAACAAGGCGATTCCGAGCACAAAAAGAAAAAGAAGAAAGGCTCAAAAGACTCTAGTTCTTCATCGACGAGTTTTGATGATGAGACGGTAAGCTTTTAACCTTAAATATTTGTATTTTTATTAAACCAAACCAAAGTCAAATAGGAAAAAAGTTGTTTAAACTAAAATCAGCGATTTCTAGCCCATCGAGCGTTCAAAGATTGCTGGATTGCAGGCACCAAGTAATGGATATGTGAGTTTATTCCGTGTTTTCTCTAAATTGTGACTTTAGTACCTGCCGTATGGAGCTTCTCTTCCTAATACTGGTGCAGGTAAAGCGCAGCTTTATGAACATTTTCATTTGTCAAAATTTCAGGCCCATCAGGAATTGTGTTTAATTCGGGCGATCAGGCGCCATCCATTTCAACTTTCCACATTCCTATGCCACCCGGACCAGCTCAAACATATTCAGTGATGAATATTCCCGTACCGCCTCTGATGGCTCAACCGATCCATGTAAGTTTTTAATTTGTATAATTCACCGTCTTTGTTTTAGGGAGCTGTTCATCAATCTGCTCAAAATCTCCCGCCAACCATTGCATCGGCACCCATTCATGCCCACTTTTCTTTGCAACAATCACAGCAGATTGTTGCCAACATTGCACCCTCAACTCTGGCAGAAGTAAAATCTCACTATAATGGTTCATAATAATCAGTTTTTAGCCCGTCTTGACCCATCTACCTCCACAGGCACCTCACCAGCCTGTTCGTAGAAAGCGTCCAACGTAAGTTACCTAGAAATTTGTAGGCCTATGTAGGTGCAGTGGGGAAAGCTGTAATTTTTGATTTAGGGTTCTTAATGCCGTTCAACGACCAGTCCATTTTGATCCATGGGGTGTTGGATTTGTCGAGCAATACGATGTTAAAGATCAAGTTGGAGAAGGAACTTATGGACAAGTTTACAAAGCCGTGAACAAATTTTCAGGTAATTTTCCTAGAATAATCATTAAAGGTTTCTTTTTTTTTAGGTGAGCAAGTTGCTTTAAAGAAAGTTCGGCTGGAAAACGAAAAAGAGGGCTTTCCGATCAGCGCGGTTCGTGAAATCAAGGTAAAAGCTCGTTAGAAATATTTGTTTCATACCATTGCTTTAGATTCTTCGTCAACTAGACCACAAAAATATTGTCCGCTTGATAAACATTGTCACCGATAAGACTCAAGTGGCAGATTGGCGCCACACGAAAAGTGAGGAAAAATTACGAGATTTTATATGCGCTCTATTTAGATTCATTTTATCTTGTTTTTGAATATGTTGATCACGACTTGATGGGACTTTTGGAGTCTCACATGGTTACTTTTACTGACGAACAGATTGCTGGCTTATTTAAACAGTTGCTAGAGGTGGTTGATGGGTTTTAAGCTTGATATATTTTTTCCAGGGTCTCGAGTATTGCCATGCCAAAAATTTTCTTCATAGGGATATCAAATGCTCAAACATTTTGGTGAACAACAAGTATTAAATGTTTTAAAGCAACTTTTCAATAGAATGTTATAGAGGGGAGTTGAAACTCGCAGACTTTGGATTGGCTCGATTATTTTTGCACGATGTCGATCGTCCGTACACGAATCGGGTACGAAAAATACTTTCATATCGGGAACAAGATCATTTAGGTTATAACACTGTGGTATCGACCACCTGAGTTGCTGCTCGGTGAAGAAAAGTATGGTCCAAGTGTAGATGTATGGAGCGTTGGGTAAATAGGCCTAGTTTTAATTTAAAATGAAGCTGTTTTAGATGTATCTTGGGCGAACTTTACAACAAGAAACCGCTCTTCCAAGGTCAAACAGAACAATCGCAGTTAGACCTAATCACTAAGGTACTGATATAGTTATATGTTTTATCGTTTGTTTGTTTGTTTAGATTTGCGGCTCACCAACTCCGCAAAACTGGCCGGATGTGGCGAATTTGCCTCTGTACCCTACTTTTATTGCAAAGCGGGTGCATCCAAGAAATCTAAAGACAGCGCTTGCATTGTGAGTTTTTATTTTCGTTATAACTTAATTGCAAAGCTATTTTAGTATTCCTCGGGCAACACTGGAACTACTAGATAAATTGCTGGCCCTCGATCCAAAAAAACGCCCAACGTGCTCTGAAGCACTCCGCCATCCTTTTGTTGCAAATATTGATCCCAACAAGGTTAGAAAATTCCTCTTTCTTTATTTTTCTATACGCAAACGCAGGTTGGAAAGAAAGTTCTCGGAAAAGGTTTGCACGGTGATTTCTCAAAAACCAAGCCATGAATTCTTCCCAGATTTTTTGATAAACTTGACTAGATTTCAAAAAGCTTTTGACAAAAAATCAGAGTGGGCTTTAGGTAAAAAAATAAGGGATTTCTTCAGCTGAAGTGACTTAGTCACTTTTTGAGTGACCAGCCTTTAGACAAGTTTTTAATAGGTTAATGGATAGGCAATGGGTCCCATGCAAAACCTAAAATGAAGTGCCTAAAATAGGGAAAATTTGTGATTAAGGGCAAATTTTATCTAATGCTTTAACTTTTCAGAATGACACAGTCTTGGAGTCGACTTGTAAATAATAGAGCAAAATGTTCTTGAATTGGTGGATTGGTTTTTAAGAAATTCCAGTCAAACTTTTTCCGAGAACTTTCTTTCCACCCTAATATTAAGGTAAAACCTCTAAGCCTGCCTATTGAACAAGATTGTCACGAGTTGTGGTCGAAACGATTGAGAAAAGAGAGGTTACTTTTATGATGAGCTATTAATTAAAATATTAAAAAGACGACGATAAGATTTATTTTCCTAATCAAATATATGCATAATGGATTCGCAACTTTTGCCTGTAAACCCCTAAGGTACTTTTAATTTCAGGTGTGTCCAAGCTCTACAGCAAGAATTGAAAAAGAAGCAGGAATGAATTGAAACTTTTTACCCTTAAAAAATAGTTTTTAATCGGTTATATTTAATAAACTATTCTAAATTGTTGTCCGTGCAATGTCACGTCGGGGTAGGCTAATGTTTAAAGCAAATTTTGCTCTAGAAGAAATTGCTCGCGAGGGGAATGTCTTAATTGCTTGCTGATGCCCGAACAAGAAGTAGTTCTTTTGCTGCGCTTAAATACAAATTACAACTACGCGACTTGACCGCGTTTGCCAAAAAAAAAATTGATATTTCGACATTATGCAGTGGAGCCAGCAGAAGTTCATTTTGGGGAGCTAGGAGACTGTTTCAATAGTGCTTGAGAGCAAAGCATTTTGGCTTTTCTGCTAGTTTAATACTTAAATCAACTGTTTAACAAACGCTATTACAGCATCGTTTCCAAGTGTTAAACAATTAGCTTAGGGCATTTACGATACCTCCGATTCTATCAAAGCTGACCTTTGACTTTCCAAACCTGTTAAAAAATAGTTTTAAAAATATATTTAGGCAAATGCGGCTGCAAAACTCTTCACAGCAAAATCTTGTTGAGGCAGCTTCACCGGAACAAATGGATACCACTCGTAAAGAAAGACCGGACATAGGTAAATACACACTCGTAACCAGATGGTGCAAAACGGGTAACTGTCCCCTCGGAAATCTCCAAATCGGATGCCTTAGCGTTATTTTCTTGAATTTAGTTGCCATGTTGATACAAAAACGCTCGATTGGTTCGATCCTCGCGGCGGTAGAGCAGCTCACGGACAACGAAGCCGAAGAGACTTTGCAGAAATGCATGGTATGCAAATTTACGCATAGAGATTCAAATACAGCAACACTAATTACTATTTCAGATGCAGAAGATCCCAAAGTTTCCGTTTGACAGATCGCGCCCAGCACGCATGCAACTTAACGATTTGATACAAGATCTTCTCAAATCTTCGGCGCAGTCAAAAGGTTAATCTATTTTGTAAATTCTCTTTCATCCTTATGTAGGTGCTTTTCCGGAAAACAAAGCTAAAGCATGATCTTCAATCGATCTTCAATCGAACACTTTCCACTGACTTTTAGCTGTTTAGCTGTTGGTTGTACTCTCAACTAGCGCCCGTTACCCAGTTTTTATAGCGCCAGTTGGGTGGGTACGACGCTCTTGTTAATAATTTTCCATTTTGCCTAATCTTTCTCATCGGATGTTCTGTATTTAAGGCTTAAGATGTTTTCGATCATGGGTGCTAAATGCAATTATTGGCTTATTCATTGTGTTTTTTAAATATCTTCGTTTTAATCATCACAAGGCGTTGTCGCATCAGCTGTGATAATATGTGATAAACGTTATTCCTTTATTTTCAAAATTTATTCATACCACAGAAAAGAACAGAAAAAATGCCTCTTCGAAATAAAGGCACTTCAGGTAAAAATTAAACAAACAGTAGAAGGGCTATGTTAATCCCCAATGACCAACGCTAAGATCGTTTAAAATAGACATTGATCCAAAGTGTTATTGAAGTAGAAGTCTAACACGCCCATACCGAAGGTCATATAATCCCATTAATACAATATGTGAAAATGTACAATTGCATTCTAGATACAACAAAAATACAACTAAACTTTGGAGGGTTCATTGCTTACCGGACTAGCAATAGTTTGATAGACTAGGATGCAACACTAAAACAGTTTCTGCATGTAGTCTAGCAAGTGAAAGCAAAAAAAAATTGTGGCCAAGCTGAAGCATGTTAATACACCCAATAAACATCGGGCAATATGGTTAATTTTAATAATTAGCCAATGATTAATAGTAAAGCGAGAAAAGGGTCAGATAAGTACAGATATTTGGAATGTATCTGAAATCTATGAGGGATGAAAGTTATATAAGAAAACGAAACCAGTATGCTGAAGCAGGAAATGGCGAAAGAAGATTTGTACACCCTATTGAACTCCGGGGCCGGGTGGTGGATCGTGGCTGGAACCCTAAACGGAAAGAAGTTCTACGTTGAAACCAAAGTAATTTATCACCTGGTCGTCATTAGGTCCTGGTTTTGAGGGCGGATCCGTGGGACGTTGTCGCAAAGAACGGGGTCGGAGGAAAAACAGTGCCAGCGCCAGCACACCTTAAAAAAGACTATCAAAATGATTTTGCGAAGATTTTTTTTTAAATTAACGTCGTGTGATTTTTCTATCAATTACTGTTTACTGATAATAAAGGTAAACTTGTTTGTTTAAAATACGACAAAAACCGCCTTTAACTAATTTTAAGTTGAATTTATTATAAGTTAAAATAGAAGACTTTCCGTTTCCCTCATATTCCCAAATAATTTCTAAATCAAACCCCAAAGCATCGTCCAGAGCATTAGGCTTCCAGCAGGACCTCCAGGAAGTTGAGCCGGGTCACAGTTTCCATCAACACATTCCGTTTGGCTGTCACGAAGCTAAAAGTATAAATTCATTTTACTTTTACCGCTCTGAGTTGTTAGATACGCGTGAATCAATATTATAAAAAAACAAGGGATCAAGAAAAATATCTATCTAGCTATTTGAATTCTCTAATCGTTCACATATTATATTCTATTAAAATGTGAGCAAAAAGTCGAATATCTAACCCTTACCAAAGAGAGTATCCTTCTCATGGCAGCCTCATGGTCGAAATAGCAAGCACATGGATCATCACCCATTGTCAAGTCAACTATAAAGAAGAAAAAAATACGATAACTTTCATAAAAAAAAGAAAAACTTTATTAAAAAGGAACAATGCAGGCAACAGATGTGGCATATCATCGCCTCAATTTAAATTTTTTAATTGAAATGATATCGAGCATCATGGAAGACAAAAATGAGGCGTGTCGAAAAGATTCACTGTCTATATCATCGGTTTTGAGAATGATTTTATTCGATGGCAGTGCATTCAGTAAAGCCAAAATTGTAATTAAAATAAATTTTTGATCATGAGGTTTACATCTACATGGGAATAAGCCCACGTAGCACAAAGCTTTACGTTGCACACAAGAGAACCCCTGTTTCTACCGTAGCCGCAGTGAGTTAGGGCGCTGAATAAAACTGACACCGAGGATAGCTCAAATACAAACACACAACTCTATGTATTTTGAAATGCAAAATTTCAAGAATTGCATAATACAATTTTATTTCTGCACAACAATTTCTAGTCATCAAAAAATTTGGAGTTCATATAATCCTGATTCTTGAGGCATGCAAAACAGAGGATCATGCAAGCACGTAATATTCATAAAATAAATATTAAATACAAATGCAATTCACAAAAATCACACCTAAAGCCGCTAAAAAATCCATGAGCAATTAATTGTTGAAATCAAATTGAGGTATTCCAAACCAACAAATGTCGAATCGTCTTATTGAGCACATTAATCCATTCAACAAGCATTTCTTTGTGATCAGCAGCCATCAAGACTCTGAAAACAGTTCAATCATTCTTCGTTAATGTAATTAAAAGTTATACTCAATTCATTAAGGTTTTCACATACCGCAGCTTTTCCATTTCTCGATTTGTGCCTTCCTTTGGTACCCAAACATCGATGTGGAAAGAATGGGGGAAATTTCCATGTGGCTCGACGATGGCTCCGTCTTTCGTACAAGTTGATAAAACGATTGACACAGCCCAACTCTAAAGTATACACATACTTGAAAGCCACTAAGTCAATTTTTAGTATTAGAATAAAAATGTAGAAGCAAGCAAAAAGAAAAAAAAACTGACAAATATGGAAGGGGTTCAAGACTTTTCTTCGCCGGTTTTTGCAAATATCGTGTACATGTTTTTTTCTCGTTAAATAAACTTTGCAATTCAAAAGTTTTTATAAAATTACGAAGCTTAGTACTTCTAGTTTCTAGAAATTTAGAACGGATTCAAAAAGCTTTCGATAGAAATTTTTTTGAAGCAAAAAAATAAAAACAGTCTGAAGGCTCAATACTTTTTTCCACTACTGTACCTTCGTGTTTTCATCTTCGGGACTACGCCAAAACTTCATTTCACCCTTCTCAAGAGCGCACCAATATCTGAACGGAATACAGATTATAAACGTTAACTTTACCACTAACCGAGTCCAAGAAGCCAATCCTTGTGTTTTTTGATAGAGTGAAAGGAATCCACGATGAGAAACTCCGGCTTTACCAGTGGCGAACCTAAAGCTCATTTATTTGTAGACATTTTTGAAACAAATAACACTAACTTTTGAATTTTCATTTGTAGTTCTCCCGATAGAGGGTGTTGTGGTTCGATCAAATGGAACTTGTGTCGATCCGTTCCTTTCATGTGAAGATTGAGTCGGCCAACTAAAGAACAGATGAATAAATGAGAATTTACTTAGACCCACCCAATTGAAAGCCTGAATCAAGGATTGGGTTGTTGTGCGACGGAGTTTTCTGTGTTTTCGTGGTGAAGCCAGATTGGATAGTCTTCAACGTTCCTCCTTTGATACGATATTTCTCTTCATGCGAGATATCTTCTTTTTTTGATCGCTAAAAAAATTTTGAATTAGAATGCAAAAAAGTTCTTATTTTTCTTGGTTATTTAATCAAATAGCTTACCAAAGCATACACTTCAAAGGTGCAGTTAAAGTCCGGTTGAATGTTTTCGATTTGTAGATGGTTTTTGAATTCGATTGAACCATTCTGAAATAATTCAAAATGCTAAATGAAAGCTTCCCTTACGTCATTAATGCCATCTTCGTTTGAAATCAACGCTGTATGAAGCAAAGTGGTCTCGCATTTAATAAGGATTATGAAATAGTAGAGGATATCGATATCTAAGTCCATGTTTAATGAGGCCAATTAAAAACATTTACCTCGAAAATGACTGATTAAGCCCTTCAAGAAGTCCTGCGACAAAAACAATTTGATTTGCGAAATCCGAAGACCACCTCGAGGAGCATCAATGTCTTGAGACCTCAGTTGGTCAACACGCTCCATCTCCGAGATAAGAACATTTTGTGTTTCCTTGGCAATCAGGAGTGCTCTTTGGGCATCAACCTCCTCACGACTTCCTGAGAATTTTCCCGATTGGCGACAGTACATTAAAGCCCGGGAAGCTTGAGCGACACGTTCCTCTTCGATGCCAATTGCTTGCTGAATGTGAGCCTAAAATATTCAAAATTAAAAAATTTGAAACTGTTTCTTTTACCGCAGCATCCACTCGTTTCTCTCTGTCATGATGTGACTCGGCTTGAATAACCTAAACACAAATGATTAAAAAGATTTGCAAGTTTAGTATTATCCGAGAGACTAGACCCTGCATTTTAATCAGTGTATCCAGTAAAAAGGACAAATTACTTTTTGTTGTGCGGCAGGGGTTTGAACTCCTGCGAAAACAATTTTGTCAATTTTGTCATCTTTTGCCGATCGTTGTTTGCGATAAAAAGAGACCGAATAAGCCTAAATATATATGGAAATATTCTAACGAATTTTTAGAAACTACCAAAGTAGGATCGCTGTCCGAAGAGTGCGTTGTGTTGCAGTTAAGTGGCTGCGACGGCTGCGGCGAATTTGCTGAGGCGAATGTCGGTGTGTAGGGCTGAATCTACACAATAAAAAAAATAACATAAACCACTCAACCTGAGTAAAGATAGTCTTCTCAGGCGATTCATTAGCGCTCGTCTCGTGCGCGGCTAAAGGAGCCAAACTGGTTGCTTGAGTTGGGATCTCTTGGTCATCTTGGACCAATGAAACGCGCGAACGCTTTTGTGGGCTGTTGATGAATTCGAAAGCCTAAATAGTCATGAATTAAAAGCAAAACAGGGTAGCTTCACCGCATCAATTGCTTTAATTCCATCCATATTCTCATTGGTATCATGTTGAAAGTCGAAATCATCAAAGTCGCCCTCAATCACCTCCCCATCTCGCTTTGGCCCAATATGCTCCTTTAATTTTAATTTTAAAATGCAAATAGCATTCAGTAGTAAAGATGGTGGTCTAATTAGGCTTTCCGAAAATGGTTACTTGCTCGAGAGTTGGCTCTTGATTTTCCTCCTCATCTTCCTCACTGTCATTATTGCAGGGCATCTTATTTGTCGTGTCCCGAATTTCGTCAATGCTCTTCCGCGTAGATTGATAAGTCGTTGTGTTGAGAAAAGGCAACTAAATGAGTTGTTTGAACATATCCTTCAAAACCTGCTCATCACCTTTTTCACAGTTTTCTTGATTGGGATTGCAGGGATTGCAGTTTCAGCCATGTGTCGCGCCGTCTTCAAAAGATCGTCTTCAGTGGCATCTGGATGGAGCGGTGCACCGGTTGTGGAAGAAAACTAAACATTAGAATGACTTTTCAATTATCCAAGAAGACTAACCTCCCATCGAGAACGCAGATTTTTTATGTTGGCTGTAGGAGCAACAATCGGTTTAGTAGATTCGTTGGGATCGGCACCTTGCACAATCGGCGTCCCCACTGCGCTATGCCAAAATGTTTGAAAAGTGGCTAACCGTGGCTTTACCTAAAAAAATTCCTTGTTTGAAAAAAGAAAAACTCAACCTCGGCCATCACTGCTGATTTGGAGATTGGCTTTTCGGAAGCCGGATTATTCTGATAAGCCGGAATTGAAGAGATGGCACCAGTTTGCAAATGAGGGCCATGTTGTGTCTAAAAAGCACCAGTAAGTCTACTTGAGAAATTTGTTCGAAACATACAATCTCCCTTTCATTCTTTGCGAGACCAGCATTGTGTTGACTTATTTCCAGATGACGAATTGGAGAAATCTCTGAAGATGGCCCTCGACCCTGAAAATTTAAAAAGCTTAACAGTAAAGTTTTTCTTACTTTTTTGCTTGCAGAAGTACTCCGCACAAACAAATTTTCATTAATGGGAGAACTGGTCGACTTTGGATTCTAAAACCGAGTTGGAACTTTAAAAAACAATAATACTCACAAAACTAATAGGCGAAGAGTGTATCCCGGAAGTCTAAAATAATAAAATGCATATAAAGAATATAGCTTTTCAATCAGAAATACCCAATCAATACTATCATAAGAGTACCTCATTTTCTTTTCTATTCAAAGAAGTAGCTGATTCATGTTGCACAACCTTCTAAAAGGACCTCATTACTGATTGAAATTTGTAAGTTGAACCTTTGTTAAAAACGTGTGGAGTCCAAATTCAGTTGACGTTGTCTCACTAATTGTTTCTTCATTGGTTGCAATCCGAAGTGATGTCTAAAAGAAAAAAAACAATGAAATTTAGTTTAAAACCTTACATTATTGAAAGGACCGTCCTTGATCGTAACCTTCTTTTCACTGCTGCCTTGAACATTGACTTTACCTTAAAATATAACTTTTATTAGCTTAAGATGTAATGAAAAGAAATAATGACAAACCTTTACACCAGATATGAATACTAACTTGAGTTTTTCAGTGGAAGATAGTGGCATTTTGGCCTGAATAGCTCGATAGGAAAAGGCGATTCCTCCACTCCGACTAGCAAGGGACCCTTTCTGTCTTCCTTTCCAGTTAGACAAGGCGGCTCATAAACAAATTCCTCATCAGCTGCTGCCAGTGCCGCAAACTTGGATCTCTAAAAAAGACAACTTTAAACAAAAAAAAAATACAGCCTATTACATAAACTCCTGGTGATGAATCTGGCTGACTCTCAGAAAAAACTTTTCTCGGTGATGTTTCAAATGGAGTTTTTGGTGAACCTAAAGTATATTTTATAAAGTGAAAACACAAGCTTGTATATGAAAAAGCTTAAGTTGTTAGAAAGGCTCACTTTTCATAAACGATGTTTGTGCATTCTCCTTTTCTAATTCAAAGCGGCGCGAATTTGCCGCGTCCAATATTTTCTAAAGATCAGCTTTAACCAAAAGACTAAAGTTATTGTTGCGACTCTGTCACAACGAACAAATTATCATTTTCTGAGATTGTATGATTTATTTTATATTTTCAAAGTGTCCCCCTAAGCTCTAGTTGAACATCTTTTAATTTTGTGGAAAAAATCAAACAAATGGGGCAGCTATGAAAGCTATGGAAGCCCCCTTTTTCTGCGTATATTTTTCGTAGCTGCCCCTTTTGTTTGAATTTCCCCACGAAACTAGAAGATATTCAACTGAATGGGTACGGGGGACACTTTGAAAGCATATTTACATTTGTACCCCTTCATTTGCATTTATCCTTTGTTTATACATATATGTTACGTCCGATTAAGAATGCCTCTGGCAAAAAAACGTCTCAAAAATGCCTCTGGCAAGTGTCAAAAACAGTTTTTCTAGGGTTTTCGGCCACGCTAAATCGATTGGTAGGATTTTTAGAATGTGTTTGTGACTTATTTCTTTTTGGTCGAGGCAGATTTAGCTGATATTCGGTAATAGGCAGTCAGTGGGGCTATAATAGTTGGAGGGCATTTCCCAACTTTTAACAACATTCAAGGCTCCTATATTTACTTAGGCTTTGGCTCCGCACCTTAGAGGCACGTGGCTTTTAGGCTATCGCCTGATTCCCCTACGGCTGAGGTGAGTTTCGTTCCAGCTAGGAGCCACGTACTTCCGGTACGAAACTCACTTCAGCCGTAGGAGAATCAGGCGATAGCCTAGGAGCCACGTGCCTCTAAGGTGAGGAGCCAAAGCCTAAGTAAACAACACGCAAACAATGCAGTAGCGGAAAGAGAGAGATCCGTAACACGTCTAGACCGTCAACAACACTCGAGGCGGCATCAAGCCTATGCTCAGCCAGTACTCTGGGCCATAGCCTAGTATAAGCTTAGTGTAGCTCTGAAAATATTACCAATCGATTTAGCGTGGCCGAAAACCCTAGAAAAACTGTTTTTGGCACTTGCCAGAGGCATTTTGAAGGCTCCGCCCACTGCCGCCGCTCAACCCGTATAGCTCCTTGTTCTCTTCCATCATTCATCTGGCGGTCAATAAAGAAGTTCTACTCGTCGCTCAAGCCTACCACAAGACAAGCCGAGGAGGCAATCAATTGTTTAACAAGGAAGCGGCCAACTCGTCTGACAGTTATCTTCTTACCTTTGTTCGATCGTCGAAGTCCTCCATCGCTCTCTCGTCGAAGCACGAGTGTTTGCGCCTGAGAAAAGAAAATTCTGACATTTGAATAACAAAAAGAAAGGCAAGAGATCGACAAGGTCAATTAAAAGTCAGACTAATTACTGAATTTCCCAAAAATTGAATGGATGCCGCTAGTAACAGAAGCTAGTCGCTGATAAGTTTCTGAATTCTTTATTCAAATAAGTCTGTATTCAAATCTTGGCAAAAAGCCACCGTTATCGAGAGTTGCCGGACGGAAATTTCAGACCTATTTGGATGAAGAGGAGAACTGACAAGGCCTTTTATATTAAATTCATGTTCATTCCGTGTAAAAAAAGTTTGACTAAATATCTTTATTTGTTTGAAAATTTGAATGCTTTAAATAGAATCGTTCGCCGTTTTCATTTGCACCTAGGATTTCAACCTTGTTCCCGATTTTGATCAACTTTTGAGAACTTTTTGCCTTTCTTTGCGGCTTACGAATTTTAAAAATTTGCACTTATTATTTTTCAGTTTAAAGTCATATTTCAAGTATATATATTGATGCAAAAGAGTGCCACACAAAGAGAGTTTCGCATTTTGAGCTCGCTAACATCATCGATAGCTGGGACTAGCCGAACTCTACACTCATCAAAATTAAACTTTTGGCAGGTATGGGTGCTTTGTTTATTATCTAAAAATCTTTCCGTTTAGGGGTATGAAAATGAGCGACATTATGAGCCAGGCGAGGAACCGTTAAAAAGAACTTGGCATGGACTCTCCTACGACTTTCGACGCTGGGCAAGACGATATCAGGAGGTTAGAGACTTTTTCCAATATAATATATTATTTTGTTTTTAGGCGAGAAAAGATGCCTGGCAGAGACGCCATCCCATACAACATATGAAACCTGCCGTGATGGATCACGAGTTATTGCCGTATAGAGCTGAGATCTTAATTATAGGTGGCGGCTTAACAGGTATCAATAGCTATTCAAAGACTATTGAACGAGTTAGATTAGGTTCGTCTGTTGCTTATTGGATAAAACAACGCTTCCGGGATGAAGATTTTCGAGTTGTCGTTTTAGAAAATAATGACAAGTTTCAACAGGTAAAATTGAAAGATAGTTTTGTTTAAAATGTGTTTTAGAGCTCTACTATGCTTTCTGTCGGCGGAATTTCTCCACAACATTCATTGGCAGAAAATATCGAAATGTCACTTTTTACGGCGGAGTTTTTACGTCATGCCGGGGAACATTTAAGAATTTTGGGTAGGCGGATTTAATTTTAATATAAACATTCAATTTTAGATAGCGATCCACCTGACATTCACTTTTATCCATGCGGATATCTACATCTGGCATATAACGAAGAACATGCTGAACAGATGAGAAATAACTGGAGACTGCAAATGTATTATATTGGCATTTTTAAAAGTGTATTGTGAGCTTTTAGAGAAAAGGGCGCACGAGTAGCGCTGCTCACTCGCCCGCAACTTGAAGAACGTTACCCAGGAGTAGTGTTTGATGGAGTTGTACTCGGAAGCATAGGTTTGCACTTTATCAATAAATTTATGTCTTGGATTTAGCCTTAGAAAATGAAGGAGTTTTTGATACATGGCAACTTCTGAGTGCGTTAAGAGAGAAAAATATAACACTCGGCGTCCAATACGTCAAAGCAGAGGTATCGCGTTTTGAAATTGCTTTGAAGATTGTATTTAGGTTGAAAGCTTTCAATTTATTGCCGATAGAATATTGCCAGAAATACATGCATTTGAAGAAGGTTCGGCTGCCGACGAATTAGCACTACAAACACGCAAAGTAGTCGGAGTACATGTGAGTGGACTTGTCAGTTTATGTATTATTAGCTTTAAGGCACGCCCACAAATGACTGATGCTTCAGCACGACCTATTCGATGCTATATGGCTATCAATGCTGCGGGGCCTTGGGCCGGAGAAGTTGCAAAGAAAATGGGAGCAGGTTTGTCGTTATTTAAAAGCTTTTTGAATAAGCATGCAGGAACTGGGCCTGGAGTGTTGTCGGTCCCGGTCCCCATACAGGCAAGGAAACGCTCTGTATTTGTTGTTCATGCGTCAGAGGCACCCACAGAACTGCCTATGATGGTTTGTTGTTAACCGTTTAACAAACCCGTTTATTTTTTCAGGTTTTGCCTTCTGGAGTTTGGTTGAGACAGGACAGGCCCGGACACACGTTTTTAGTGGGGAAACACATGACAAACGAAGAAGATGAATTGATTGATCACAGCAATTTGGAAGTTGACTACAACATATTTTACGACAAGATCTGGCCTGAACTCGTCAAATTGATACCATCATTCAAAGAAGCTGTGGTAACTTTTGATGCGAAAAACTTACTTTTAATTTTTATGGAAAGCTTTGAACGTATTATTTAGATAAAATCGGCGTGGGCTGGATACGAATCAGTAAATACGTTTGATGGAGTACCTGTGATTGGAGAACATCCGTTGCACAAGAATGTTTATATGGTTGGCGGTTTGGGACATCGAAATGCTCAGCATGCGCTGGCTGTTGGAAGAGCTTTTGCAGAAAGAGTATGTTTTTTTAGTTTTTATGATCATGACTATATTTAAGTTATTTGATGGCGCTTATGTGAATATCAATCTCCGTGGCTGGGATATGCGTCGAGTCGTGAAGAACGAACCCTTGAGGGAAAGTATGTGGCCATAACTTTTGTTTTGTTTAGGTTAGGGTTTTTAGCTTGTTTGTTAATTAATATTGTTGCATTAATAAATTTATCATTTCATTACTTCTCGAGAAGAAAATGCGGAATTGATGATATTTAACCAGAATACGAAAAAAAAGTTATTATTCAGTTATCAAAACCCAGTTCAAATAAAAACATGAGCAAAACGAGAGGGAGAACGAATAATTAGGAATGAACTAATGGATATGAGATAAAACTAGTTTTGTAGAATTGTAGAGCTCAAGGAAACTCCACGAGAAAGACATCAATGAAAGAAAGCGGAAACCCGAATAATTTATATGTACTTATAGTTATTGATTTTGGGCAATTGGGAATTTAGCACCAGTCTGTGTTTTCGCATAATTTTTGGTCAACGGGGTATGATCTATCGAAGAAAACTCCATTCACATACATTGTCGGCCAAAGCTTAAAACGCACTCTGTATTTTGGTCTTTGAATTCAAATCCAACCTTCACTCCAGCTCTATGCGTGTTCACCATCGAATAATAGCTGAGTAGTTCTCCTGTTTGAGTTGTAGCGCACTCAATCAATTTTCTAAATTACATCTTTTGATCTAGTCTTTGTGCTTTCTTTTTTTTCAGTCAAAACCTTTGTGTTCTTGCCGAAAGTCTGCTGAGACAGCGCGAGAAAGCCTCTCTCAATGTTTTCAATCCCTGGATACATGTCACTAATCCCAAATGACGACGTGGGAAATACTAAATAAACGTATAACGCCGTGAATTGTTCGAGTGCTTTTTTAAACTCACCGACATTGCACAATTTTGAAGTCTATTCAAGTCGCATTCAGTTTGTCCGTGCATGCAAGAACAATGGAAATTTCGATTCGCATCATAGGTGCAATCACCCTTTCCGAAAGAAACGATCTGCAAAATTTCTTAGTTTTAGTTTTTTTTATAGCTTTGACACCTGCAAATTCATAATTCCCGGTTTCGTCACATAGAAGGGCCAAATCTGTTCACGTAGCAATTTTGTGCAGTAGGGACATTGGGATTCGGTGAAAATTGTCACATTCACCTAATAATGAAGAAAAAAAAAATACCCATTTCTCGTATTCTATATTTTTTTTTTTATATTTCATACCTGCTGAGCGCTCGCAAAATACGGTAACACAATGCCTAGAAATAGGGCCACCCACATTCTGAAATTTTAATTTCAAATGGCAAGTTTCTTCTCGATTATGTATTTAAAGGAATTCATAGAAAATATTTTCCAACACTACACTCCAATAAGTCGCTGAGTGAGTGCGTAAAAGAAAATCGTTCACAAAAAGGACTCCGAAACGACAATGAAGCATGAATCGCCCGCAGCTATTTTTTTTTTTGAAGGAAAAAGGAAAATAGGACATATTTTTTGGAAGAGCCTAGTTCCTTGGAAGCTGATTCAAAGATTCTATATGATAAAGAGTTTAATGAGAAAGAAAGAACTAAAAACAACTGGCAAATGGGAGTACAATTTGGAAAAAAAACGGTGGTTCAAAGGGGTAGAGAAGACTGGAAAGACTGGGATTACTGGGATTATCCATGGAAAGTCGACCGGATGGGTGAAACGGGCCATTGCTATCCGACAGTCGAATGAATGGGAATGGCTTCACGTTTGGGGAGACAAGGAGAGAGGAAAGGAGAGAGAAAAGAACATTTACATTGAGATTCACATGAGGACAAAATTTGAATAGTGAATTCATGGCTTTGTTTGTGAAAATCGATGAAGTGTCAATGAATTTAGCATTCTTGAAAGTTATAAGAGTTTAGAAAACTGGAAAATCCTTTACTTGCTGTAGCAGGGTTATGTAGCAGGGTTACTGTAGCAGGGTTACTGTAGCCGGTTTACTGTGATACTTATGTAAAACCATTGGAAAACATGCTAAACAAGATAAAAGTATAAAACAATAATATATAATTAAAATATAATACTAAAAAAAGAACGAGATATAACAAAAGTTATGCTATAATTTAAGAAATTTAAGAAACTAGTAAACGACTAGAAGTGTTCGTTGGTGAGAATTCTCTTTCATTCCTACCACCGATCGACGAGATGAAGGGCATCGCCAGAGGTGCCAAATCGAGTAGTTATAGCAGTAAAGAAGAAAACGATTTGTGGCACACTTGAGAACCGGACAACCACTCTCCCATGCCCTCAAAGTATGCGAGAAAAGAAACAGTCGCAATGGGTGGCTTCAAGAGCTCGATACTCACTCACTCACCCAAATAAAACCCTCTTACTTTTGCATATTATAGGAACGCCCTCTAGAGCGTTAAACCCCTTTTAGGCACAAGTCTTTCATAGTAGACAATAGAAAAGACGTTGTTTTTATGAAGGTCTTTCTTGATGTGTGAAACTTTACAAGAAAAACTGACAATGAGTCGCCAAAAGGTTCGAGCTTTTAGAAAGGATCGAAATGTGAGATCCCTTTGTGAGATCGCGATGACAATGAAAACTTGGACAGTACAGAGAAGAAAACGCGATGAACCTTGAGGATTAAAGATCGCTAGAAAGACCTTGAAAGAAATTCATCATTGATTCTTGATTCACGTTTTCTTGTAATTCTAGAAAATGTTGGGGACTAAGCGACCAATAAGTTTCCAGAATAACACCATATACAGATTAAACAGTCAATCTCGAAAAGTATCATGGTTTCTTCCAAAATATCCCATATTTTCTTGTTCTAAAAAATAGAAAATTTGAGATTAAATTTAAAAAAAACAAGATTTCTAGCAGTAAAAATATTTTCTCTGATTTTGAAAATTAGCATATTCGTGTCTAATCTTTGCACAGGATTTAAATCTGAGTTTTAAGTTATGTAGAATAGTTTAAGTTAATTAGAGCAGTTTAAGCTATGTAGAACAGTTTAAGAAATAGTTAGCTATTTAGGTTTGTTATTTAGGCGTTTAAGCTATTTAAGCGTTTGCTTTAGGGTGGGAGTTTAGTTATGTAGGTTTAGCATTTAGAACAGTTTAAGTTATATAGAATAATTTAAGCTATGTAGAACAGTTTAAGCTATGTAACGTAAAGTATTAAAAAACAAAAGCAAAACGGTTTGCATGAAGAAAAGGTAGCGCTACAAAGGAAGGGGGGAAGCTGGATGAATGGGCGATTGGCTGATCGAAGAAAAAGATCTGAGGGAGAGCGAAACGGGTTCGCGGATCGGTCACCCATTCCCTCAATATCCTTCCCACCCAACAAACGGGTGAGGGAAAATGGGAGGGGAGACCTGTTTGCTTTTTGGGTGCCATCGACGGACCGAAATTCTCCCCTAGAGATAGGCAATGGGTGAATGGAGATGGGGGTGGATTGGGATGAGTGACTTTTCCCCCCACCTCGCTCATGCCAATTGACTCGTCGTATCAATTCTTTCTTGTTTTTTTTCTGCGCATGTACGTCTTGAATATTCCAGAAAGTTTTTATCTACAAAAACTCGATAAGAACAAAAACTCTTTTGTCTTTCTTTTCTAGAATAATCTCTCTTGCAAATCGTCGTCGTCGATGAGTTGATCGTCGAAAATCACCTGTAATTTTCTATAAACAAGAGATTTCTTTGTTGCAATCACTTGTTTTCTCCATTCTTCATCCTCTTCATCAAGCCGATCGTCGGAAATCTCGTTTATACCACCACTTTCCACCTAAGAATATATTAAAAGTCATTTTGATGATTTAATATGATTCGGGGAACTTTTACTCAGCTAACCGTTTCTAGCCATTGTGCGTTGTGCCAACGGAAGCGTTGCGTCGCGATTCGACGAGCCCACTCGATACTGTGCTCCTGAATGATTAAATGATTGGTTATTGGTCGAATTTTTAGTTGATTATTGGTCGTTAATTATTGGTCGTTGATTATTGATCGTTGATTATTGATCGTTAATTATTGATCGTTGATTATTGGTCGAAAATACATTTTGAATTTTTCAACTTACTCCAATTATCACAAGTGCCGTCTCACACATTTCCCGAATCGATTCGTTTTTATCATGCATCAGATCGATCACGTAGTCACCGAGAATCGAGTTTGAACCCATCAATCGATCGGATAGTTCCTGAAATGTTTATTTTCAAATAAAACTCTTTTCCTTTTACTTTATGTCTGATCAATTGAAGAAACAAGTAAAGAAGTTGGACAACGAATTCATCGTCTTCTTGCATCACTGAAAAAAAAATCTTTATTTCAATCTTAGTTATTGGCTTACCATGTAAAAGTTTTAAAAATGTGTCTAATAAAGGAACGAGAAGACGTGCAGCTGACAATTGAGTGGCCATCGATCCACAAAGAATCACCAACTTTAAATTTTAGCTTTTGAAAGTTCTAAGAGAAATTTTACTTGTAACTGCAGTGGTTGTCGTTCTCCGCCTTGTTTCCCGAGCACTTCTGTCATCCATGGTACGAGTTTGTATGCTTCGCATAAGCTAAAAAAAATCATTGCTTGTTTTTTACTTTAGTCTTAGCCATTTTCTGCTAACCTAGCCCAATCAGCAGCCGTATTGGTGGCAATTGTGCCAGCAGCTTCAAGACTGAATGCCGATTTGTTCTCTTCTACCGAAAGCCCGTCACTTTTCATCACGATGATCAATTTCGGAATCCATTTCTAGATTTTCTTTTTTCTTTATCAATTTTTTGTAACTTTACCAAGAAAAGCTCTTGCGTAGGACCTGTGTGGAAAGAAATATTGCGAATGATTTTTGCGATGAGAAGATCTCGACCCTGGTGGGCTTGTTCAATCAATAAATCGAGTCTAAATGGAGTTTTTTTAGGCGAGGAATACGTTGGACCATGGCCGACTGGCCAAGAGCCCTGTCTCTTAGTCGGGTGGTTAGTCTTCAATCCCGGGTTTTGATCGGGGGTTCAATCCCGCCGGCTAAGTACTATATTTTTTATGATTTATACCCTTGTCCGCGTGGTCCACAAACTAATTGAGCATTTCGTTTCTCGACACAAAGATTGATGAGAACCGCTTTTCCGACATCGGATGCTTGACCAGAGAGAAGATCGGACATCAGCTAGAATTCTACTTTTCAACTCTCAACAACTTTCACATACAATTTGAATGGCATCTGTATAAGTCATCATTGCTTTTGCGTCATCATTAATCGTCAATTGATAAAGAAGATGTAAAGCTTTCGTTTCTAAATTCAAAGGAAATCCAAAACCTCTTGTTGAACTTACTTTGTATTAGAGGTGCAATATGGGTGACAAGACCGGCTTGCACCATTCGAATGCGATTTTTCTCTTCAAACGACAAATTGAAAAGGATTCCCATTGCCTACAATGATAGATTATAATCTTAAGCTTTTTACTTACTTGTTTCTGAATTTTTTCATCATCAAGTGTCACCAAACCAATCAGTTTATCAATGATCGCATCTTGTTCCTGAAATTTCTTGATAACTTTTTGAGAACAATGAGAACAATCTCTTTACCAATGCAGCTTTGTTCTCAATGAAAATGCTCAATTTCAGAATGAATTGCAAAGTGGCAAGGATGAGCTGAGGACTGTCTTTTGAATCGAGACATCTAAAAAACAAGTTTTTGATTTATTTTTGAATCGTACTTCAATAGATAATTCAAGATGTCCCGTTTCACCATTTTCTGTTCGACTGACAGATCGTCGGCCAAATTCGTGAGTAGAGTTATACAAGCTGAATTGAGTTTTCAATGGGTTTTATCTCAAAGTCTACCAGCTAGTAAAACGTTTTGCTTTCGCAAGGCAACACGGTATTTCTTTGCCGATTGATCATCCCGAAGTGCCTCTGTTGTCCAAAGTTCGCCTCTTTTGATCTCGTGCTCGATTGCTGTCATGCATAGTGCGCCCATCTGAAAATTTAGCATAAGATTTTGCAATCAAGAAATCATTTTGAAAAATACACTTGTAAATCTCACATCTGAATAGCTTAGAAAAGGGATCTAGTTAGAACAAATGGATGGGGGTGGGACAAATGCGACCTTTTTTTTTTGCTGGAAAAGGCCTTAGGAAAGGTCGTAGAGCTTCGAAAATGTTTCGAAAATATTTCCATATAAGGGAATCGTATGCGTAGATTCCGAATTTCGACAAATCAGACCTCGCTGACACGTCAAATTTGGGCTAAAAGGCAAAAACTGCGGAAAAGCGTTAAGTTGCGTAGTTTTTGCCTTTTAACCCAAATTTGACGTGTCAGCGAGGTCTGATTTGTCGAAATTCGGAATCTACGCATACGATTCCCTTATATGGAAGTATTTTCGAAGGTCTACGGCCTTGCCTAAGGCCTTTTCCAGCAAAAAAAAAGGTCGCATTTGTCCCACCCCCGGCATTTTTTATTTTTTTTACGTCTTTTCGTTTTTTGGGAGTGGGACAATATTAAAATTTAGTCGCGCTGAAATTAACGTTTTCAAGCCTTTTTTTTTGCGCGGCGCTGATTCGTTCTAACTAGTTCTAAAAGGTTTCCGCTCTTCAAACAAACCTTGTGCTCTGTAATTGTTGAGTGAAAGCTCTCATAGTAGCTTAAATGTACGAAAAAGCGAATAATATTCGTTGCGAGATCAAAGTTCTTCTTCCAATCTTCTCGAAAAATGCGCACAAGGGCTCCAATCAAAGATTCTGAAATTTGATTTCATTTGAAACGCTAATCTTTTTACCGTTAGCTGCTAACTCTTGAAGATTATTGGGATCAGAGGCCAACTCGAGGATCAACGCCGTGCCACGAGTTTTCTCCGAGATTTCTTCATAAAATAATTCAATGTAGTCCTAGAAAGTTGGTTTTTAAAAATTTTATATCAATATTACTTCAATTTTCTCCATATTTGCTTTAATAGAGTTGGCCGAGCCTTGATCGGAGAGAGATGTCGAGCTTCCACCTGAATCTTGCTTGTGTTGCTTAGAAACTGTATACATGTATAGTTATTATTATAGATGTATAGCTACCGTAAATACTGTAATAGTACCCCACCTCCCTCGTACAGTCGCGTAGTCGCAAAAGTTTTTTAGTATTTCATTTTTCTCAAAGCGCCCGTACTTTCAAAAAATGCGTCTTTGGTATCAAAAAATAGCTGAAATTCAGGGCTATTTTTTGATACCTAAGCGCACATTGTAGCATAAACCAGTGTCGAGAAAAACTCGTTCAAACCTAGACTACGCAACACTCCGCACCGTCATTATGGGGGTGGGGTACTACTACAGTATTTACGGTATGTATAGTTATCATTTCTAGATATTTCTAAAACCTACGTGATCTCAACCCATCAGTTTTTCTCTTTTGCAGATAATGTATAGTGTGTTCTAGGTCAGCTCTCGCTTTTTCGGGTATTTCTCCACATTGTGCCATCACTTCGTTTGCCACTAATTTCACATCGATCACACTCGAGAGTTCACGGATTACAATTCTAAGAAATTTTGATTCTAATATTTAAATGAATTATTTGTTTTACGAACATCTTTTGATAGGTTTTTCCTGCAAAACTGCTTGAATTTCCGTCATTGATCGACTAAATTTTTTAATTGATTTCATTTTTCAATCTAGACCAATTTTCTTTGTGATTGACAACGTTTTGTTCTTTTTATACCTGAAATCTGACAATGATCGCCTGTTCAATTGGATGAGCATCAATGTAAACACTCGTACTTTCTCTAAATCTTTTGAAATAGGTTTTTATTTATTTATTAAGGTTTTTTAAGAACGACTAGCATTCTTTATTCGATATTTTCACAATTAAAAACTATAGGAAATCTGAAAATCAGCCTCACCTTGCCATTTTTGACTTCAATTATCAAAAAACACTAGGTAATCAATAATTCTTTATGCCGTAGGGAAATCATTTTTCAAAGAAGACAGACCAAATCGAGACAGCTGAATTGTAATGTAAAGCCGTATCACAGCTGATCGACTAATTGTCCCCTTTTCCCTTTTGTGTTATCCATTCTTTAGCAAGCACTCCCCCCCCTTCCCCTTCCCATCATTTGTTCTCTTTCTCAGGTCCTTCACCGATCCCTTTTTACTGTCGTTTTTCTTTACGATCTACGTCGTAAGAAATTGAAATTTTATATAAAAAAGGTGAATCTTTTTACTTCAATTTCTTTTCTTTAAGATTTTTTTGAAATTAATTTGTCAATTTTTAGAAAAATGAGTGAACCGGATAAAAATGAAATCACTTCTGGTGAGTTGAGAAAATAGAAATCGTTTGAAATAAACGATTTCAAAAGATTTCATAAGATAGAGAGTTGTTTATGTTGTGATATTGATAAAGAACTTGCAGTGAGTTTATCGACGGCGATCATTCTCGATGAGTTACCCGAGATGGGCTCATGGGCGGATATCATGCAGAATGAGGAACCCGAGATTTATGAGGATTCACATGTGAGTAGCATTAATGGAAAGATACAAATTTCATAATGTTTCTTTTGACTTAAAGTCTTCTCTTATCTTTGCACGAAACTTTTATCGATCTTTTATCGAACTTATCTATCTTTTATCGATCTTTTATCGATCTTTAGAAGATAAGAGAAGAGATAGATAAAAGATAGATAAAACTTTTATCTGTAAATTCTAATTATTCTACTTTTTTAAGCTTTTCCAGTTTCTACAATGTGTAAACTACAAAATTTGACTTTTTGTAGACTTTAGACTTTAGACTTTTTGTAGACTAGACTTTAAAAAACTTTATGATATGTCCTTCAGCAAGAAAGCATCGAATCCAATGATACATCCGACTCAGCAGCCGAGGAAAACGATGAAGGAAGCTCAAGAGAAAATACGATCAAATTGGTTGGTAAAAATGCAATAAAGTATAAAGCGTTCTAGTATTATAATTGTCAAATTTCAGCCAGACGGTCGACATGTTGTGGTAAGACCGCCGTATTCTGTGCGAGTGAGAAATGTGAATCCCCGAGCGACCACCGAAGATCTTTTCTTTCATTTTGGTGGACGAGATGCGGTGAGTTATTGAGGATTTTGTTCTTTTTTTACTTAATTTTTACTTTACTTAACATTCTAAGAAGCTCTAGTAATCAAAAAGCTCTAGTAATCAAAAGGGAATAACAGCTTGAGCTTACGTTAAAGTATTTTCGATGTCAGCGAATGAACGTCAGTGCTTTACTAACAGTTTTTCAATCATATTTTAAACTTTAAAACACTTTAGGGTTATGGATTATTGAAATAGAGTTTAGAGAAATGATTTTTAGGTAGAAGAAGTTGATTTTGATCAATCTCGAAGCGTGTGGACTATTCTAATGGCGACTCCTGATTTTCTAGAACATGCTCTCACTCTGCATAACTCGTACATGTTCTCTAAACAAATTCAGGTACAATAAGGAAACAATTATAGTTAAAGTACTGTTTGATAGATTATTTGGCTTTTGAACAACCATAGATTAGCTTAGAAAATAATGTTATTCAGGTGTTATCACCGAACATTGAAACGTCCGATGATGGATATGGATCGAGGTTTGTTAGAGTCTTGAAAAGTTGTGAAAAAGAGTCTAAAAATACTAAAAAGTCTAAAATCTATTTAATACTTTGAAAATAGTCATGTGAATTTACGAAAATTTCTATTTTAGAATGAACAACGGCTCTAACCGTGGCTATCGAGATTCAAGAAACTACCCTGGACACTCACAACAGTTCCCTCAACAATCACACTATTCAAATCAAAATTTTTCGTATTCGGTGAGCATTTTGATAGATTGTTGTTTGATTTATTTATGTTTTAGCAAGTGTTCTTTTCTAAAATGCTTTAGAGCAACATCCAGAGCTTTAGAGCAACATCCAACCGTTGATGACGATTCCAACTGCATATCATCCGAATGGATATGGAGCTCTGACCGCTCAGGAGAATCAATATCAAGGAAATCGAAACTATCCACAGAAATTCGATAAGCAACGATCGCAACAACAAAATCCCAATCGGGTTTACAATAGTCGAATGAGAGATCAACCGGGTAGACCATCGTTTGACTCGGATCGAGGAGACATGCCAGGGGAAATCTCTAAGAGGTTTTTTTCTTGTTTTATAATGAATTCAATAGTTATATATACAGTACTGGACAATGAAATATCATATTTGAAAAAAGATCGTCACTTTCGTACGTCTGTAACTCCCTTGTCTTTGAGTTTAAACTATTCGTGTTATACATTTTCTGAAAGCTCTTTTCAAGGGCTACACAATGGTAATATTAATATTTAGAAATACGGTAAAGACAAGGGAGTTACAGACGCGCGGAAGTGACGATCTTTTTTCAAATATGATATTTCATTGTCCAGTAGTGTAGCTATCCAATTCTCCAATTCAATACTCTAATCTAATACTCCAATTCAATACTCCAATCCAATCCCTATATACTACTTTCAGAACCTCAAGTGAACGTGTTTCCACCATTTCATTGGCTTCTTGTGATACTCAGAAGTCGACAGACTCCGTTGCTACGGTAAATTTTACAAATTGAGTTCAATTCTTGTTTAATTATAAGAAATTCTTCACTATTTACTAGTTTTCAAATTTATGGAAAAGTAAAAATGTTGGAATTATATTTTAGTCTTGAGTTTTGATTCTTTCAAGAAAACTTAACATAAGCTTGTGACAAACAGAAAAACAGACAAACAGCTATAGTGTGCGTTTTCTACAAAAGTTTCTAGACAAACAATTTAACGCGAAAAGCAATAATTTTGAACAAAAAGTGACTTTAACTTGACTTTAACTTTAAAGTATATATTTTTGTTTCTTTTTTAACTTTTAGATTTGTACAAAACGAGCTTTAAACCTGATCTATTGGTTTCCATAAAGATTGAACTTTGTAGATTCGAAAGCCGACGAACAAAGATCTATTTGGTGATGCGAAACCCGTGGATACAACGGCGAAACTCCTCGAGATTGAGAATAGAAAGAAAGATGAAGAAAAGAAAACGCAACAACAACAACAACAAAAGACAACTGAGGTAAGGAGATGGAAAAATAAGATCAAGACAAGATTCAGGCTGAGCCACACCATCCACGACAGTCTCGAGACGGACATCCACGTGATTCTCGCTACTACAATCAATCAGGCGAAGAAAGAAAACCATCGACGAGCACCTCATCGACCACGGTGATTGCGGTGAAAGAGAACAAACAACCACATAAAGCTGACGACTATGGATCTGTGACTATTTTGCCACGACCAAGCGTTTCAAAGGTAATGCAACGATGCTATTACATTTTCCTTAATCAACCCTAAAGGATTTCAAGTTAGAATTCAAGTTAACCAATTAAACAACTCATTTCTTCTGTTTAGGATGATCAATTCGATGCCTCACCACCAAATGATCCCATTCAACACACGACAAAGAATACGGTAATCTTTCTATAAAAGATCTTTTAAATTTATCAAATAAATTTTCAGCCTAGTCCTTCAGTGACAATAACTGAAAATTTAAAAGTGAGAACATTTCGTGGACAGAAAACAAGAGGACATTTCTCGAATAATCAAAATCGATCAAATACAAATCAGCCAATCGAGAGTCAATCAGTTAAAGGTAAGTCGATAAATCTTTCTTTTGAATACTTTACTTTTCTAGGTCATTACCGGGGTCGAGGTGGTGGAAATCGGGGAAATTATTCGGGAAGAGGAGGACGAGGAGGAACACAAACGAATTACAATGATCGAACAAATGTTGAAGGGTCGCAAGGCGGAGAATCGCGAACAGCTACTGATCGAAAGGTTTGTAGCGTCAAGAAAAACGCAAAACACTAACTATTTTTTTAGAATTCATTCACTGCACGCGAATCTCACTCGTTGAATGTTTCTTTTGAAAATACTGAGGTAAGTCAATATCAAGATATTCAAGATACTGAGATTTCTTGATTTTTTTTCTTAAAACAAATTCAATCAATAAGGCAAATGCTTGGCAAATGAAAAAAACAACCAATGATTATTCAATCAATAACTTCAATACTCTTTCTTTTGAAATACTGACGCTTACAGTATCTCCAACAGATATAAAATCTACTCATTTTAGAAATCGGAGCTGGAGCGCAAAAATTCAACTCCAGTTACATCATCAGCTCATCCAGAAGAGCCAATCCGAGGCAAATCGCAAGGATATAGAGGATCACAAAGAGGATTCAAAACTGGAAAGAAAATCCCACGATCAAGCACGCAAGAGCAAATAGGAAAAGGGAAAAATGAGACGGAGAAAGGTGTTGAGGAAAAGGTAAAGATGAAAATGAGTGATGAAGGAAATATTCATTTTAGATGACGAAGAATGAAAGTGCGAGTAAAGTTGAAGAGGCTGGGGGTGAGAAGGAAGGCACACAATCAGCACAAGCCATTCTCTCACTTCCAGAAGATGGCTCCGAGAAAGCATCCAAGGAAAAACGACGCAAGAAACCGAATAAGGAACGACAAATGGTAAGTAAAGAAAAAAAGATCTGATCTGGTTACGATATTTTTACAAATTAACGATTTATTTAGGGGGTGGGACAAATGCGACCTTTTTTTTGCGCACCTTTTTTTTTGCTGGAAAAGGCCTTAGGAAAGGTCGTAGAGCTTCAAAAAGGTTTTCACAGAAGGGAATCGTATGCGTAGATTCCGAATTTCGACAAATCAGACCTCGCTGACACGTCAAATTTGGGCTAAAAGGCAAAAACTACGCAACTTAACGCTTTTCCACAGTTTTTGCCTTTTAGCCCAAATTTGACGTGTCAGCGAGGTGTGATTTGTCGAAATTCGGAATCTACGCATACGATTCCCTTATATGGAAATATTTTCGAAGGTCTACGGCCTTGCCTAAGGCCTTTTCCAGCAAAAAAAAAGGTGCGCAAATGTCCAGGTGCGCAAAAAAAGGTCGCATTTGTCCCCCCCGTTATTTATGAAATAAAGAGTTGTACGTTGTGTAATAATGAATCTCTCATTGAAGATTTTTCAGCTTAACGCGATGCCAAAGATTGATGACAAAAAAGTGGTTCGACCAGTGAATTGTCAAAATCGCTTTGATGTAATTAGCAATCTTCCCGAATAGATCAATTGATTGTTTTCAAATTTTCTATTAAAACCTTTCTATTAAATTTCCTAGATATCCCAAAAAAAATTAGGTTTATGGACATTTAAAAAAAAAAAAAGTAAAATAATTAGAATTTTCAAATTTTTATAAAATTACCGTAATCCCAACTTTGACGCAAATTTCTCTTCCTATTTCTTGCCTTTTTTCCGGTTGGGTATAATTGTAAAGATTTTTGAAGTAAGTGATAGAATTTAAAATTTGAAAAGTTTAAAATCAACTGTTCCTTCAAATTTTTCACCTAAACTTCTGTCACTTTTCTCCTTTATAAATATATTCTTTGTTGTGATTCTTGTTATGTTTTATTTTATTGCTCGTACAAAAAAAAGGGTTCATTTCTTCTTTTCTTTTTCCCCCCTTCTCCCTTCTCTTTTTATACTTTTATTATTTCCTCTTTTTTTTCTCTCTCTCTTCATTTTCTTAATTTTCTTCATTTTCTTCCTTTTCTTCATCCTCTTCTTTTTCTTCATTCTCTTCATTTTCTTCTTTTTCTTGCTTCTTCAATCCGAATCAATGAATTATCCTTCCTTTTCTTACAAATTCACATTCTTTTTCATTTCATTTCTAATATCTTCCTATTCAAATATTATTTTTCAATAAAATACCTCTAAAATTTTGGAAACAAAACGGTTATTCGAAGCTTTACTTATATATTTCTATCTTTTATAGGCAATTTATTTGGGATTCGGTAAAATAAATTCTGTTAAGAGTCTGAAAATTGCGTAAAACTTCAAACACAGACCAAATGATGGAAGAAAAGCATAAAATTGTTACACTACAAAGCTTTGATAGAGCTATTTTTCTAAAGGAAATGTTAAGTTTTTTTTCAGTCGAGCTAAAGAAAAAGAGTGATTAGGATGGGAAAAATGAAAAGGAACACTTGAGATACCCCTTCTTTTCTGATCGTGATTGATGTCTGTCCCATGATCACTCATCAATACAAATCGAATAATCAGACAATAACGATTTCGTTCACTTTCTCTATTAATCAAATATTAAAAATATTTTGTTATTTTCAGTTTGTCCAAATCTTTCTTATCTTCCTACCGTAATCTATAGCTGTTTGTCGGGTGCAAAATAGAAAATGGCTACTGTAGAAAAAGAATAGCTTTAGTTTCGGCGATAGGCGAGAACTTGTGAATTTCTATTAGCACAAAATTTCTTAGCTTTATTGAGTCAGTACTTGCCATCTTTTTCCGAGAAAATCCTGGGTTGGCGCTTTAAAGCGTGGTAAAACTACCGTAGAAAAGATTTCGAGGAAATTTCATTTTTTCATGCTTGTTTATTTCATTTTATTTATTTTTTCTTTTCGTTTTTCTAACGTGGTCGCGTTTGTTTTTGCAGGAAAGAAAGAGGGTAAAGCTAAGTCACGTTTTTAATAGCATTTTATGTGTAAAAAGCTTTGTGCATAGAGTTTTGTGATCCATTTGCTTCTGAATCATCTGATTATGAAATTTGGTTATAGAAAAGTACAATTTATTTTGTATACTCTAGTGTAAAAACATGGAAAAAAAATTTGTGGGCTTACGTGAGGGCAAAGTTACGATTATTGGACTACCTACCCGAAAGTTGATTTAAACGTTATTGAGAATTTATGGGCTTACGTGAGGGCAAAGTTACGAGGAAAAGACTTTCACACAAAAGTTGACTTATGGTTCTACATACGAAAAGTTTGGAGCTGAATTCAACCAGCTCAACTCGACTAGCTCAATTCGACCAGCTCAATTCGACCAGCTCAATTCGATCAGCCCAATCAAAGTTGGACTACCTACCCAAAAAAGTCGATCAACTTAGATGGTCTATAACTCGAGGTATAGAAGCTGAATGGACTTTTGGTTTCTTTTAATGGAATCTTCATTAAATTTGGCTATAGAAGAGTAGAATTTGTTTTGTGATCCTCGAACTTGATGCCAACTAATGTTAAGTTAATTGGTTTTTATCATTTTCTATGGTGGAAATTTTGGGGGTAGGCTGATTTCGCGCTATCTTTTCTAGATGCAAATCAGGAGGGGTACTGTAGTTTTAGCACGCTTTAAAGCGCCAACCCGAGATTTTCTCGGAAAAAGGTCACAAGTGAATCTGTAATGGACAGTGGAAATCCGTTGAGAACCGTTTCTATTCTTTCAATCATAACCGTGATCTTAAACGATCTTAAACGTTGAGATCTTAAACGAAACACGAAAGAAATAAATCAAAGAGTGATAATCGAAGAACGGGAAAAAAAAGTCGGGGGGGGGATTTTATCGGTGAATGAAAAGGTGTTCCAAAACTCTCCACTAATCACTCATCAACCATATCGGTGTTCGGGGATTTTTGAGAGATTTACGAGAAGTCGATTCCTTTCTTTTTTCTTTCGAAGACAATCATTCTTTTTGGGTGAGAATTTTGTCACGGTTGTCTCTTTTGTGAATTCTCTCTTTTCCGACCTTGGCGATCCTCTTTACCTTTCATGATTTTCTTTCTTTTTTTTTTCAAAAGACACCGAGAGTCTTCCCATTTTTGCCGTAGATGCTTATCTGCCAGGAAACGGAGTTTTAATTTCAGAAAATCTCAAAATCTGTCCTTAAGTTTTTTTTTTGTTTTTTTTTTCAAACACTTGTTTCAATTTATCAAAAGAATTCTACAATTCCTAGAATCAAAAGAATTCTACAATTGCACAAATTTTACAGTGAATTTTCGGGAGTGGGACAAATGCGACCTTTTTTTTGCGCACCCGGACATTTGCGCACTTTTTTTCGCGTTTTAAAAAAGCTCTAAAAGCTAATATTAAATATTAACCAATTTCTATTCCAAAAGTTGTTTTTCTAGGTAATTTGAGGGCGTAGAATCGAAATTTTGACATATCAGAGCTTGTGGAAACAAACGGACGGAGTTATACAAAGAGGAAAATCAACAATTTTCTGTAATTTGACCTAGCCGTTTTGTCTTTCAAATTGGTTCCATAAGCTCTGATATGCCAAAATTTCGATTCTACGCCCTAAAATTACCTAGAAAAACAAGATTTGGAATAGAAATTGGTTAATATTTAATATTAGCTTTTTAGAGCTTTTTTAAAACGCGAAAAAGGTGCGCTAATGGGCAAGGTGCGGAAAAAAAGGTGCGCAAATGTCCGGGTGCGCAAAAAAAAGGTCGCATTTGTCCCACTCCCGAATTTTCAACTCTAAATCCAATCTTTATGCACTTTTGAATGAAAATTTTTGAGTGAAAAGAAAAACCATACATTGAACTATAGCAAGGAAATAAATAGAGCTGATTTCTTGCTGAAAAACATCATGAAAGTGCCAAAAAGATGGCCAATTTTCTTTTTTTCTTTTAGCAAGAGGCGCAAAATGTGATCATAAACCCTGTGAACGGAGCTGATTAGAATGAAATGAATTCACCAACGGGAAAACCATTTTTCTCGTCTTTTTCTTTTTTTTTTTAAACTCTTTCCTTTCACACATTTTAGTACAGTCCGCGAATTGCAATAAAAAAAAGTTGCTTTGCTTTGTGGTTTGGTTAACCGCTTTGTTATTTGTCTTGTTAGATCGATTGATTGATTTTTAAAAGAAATTGAAGATTTTAGAAAGATTTTAGCCACCAGTTGAGGTTTTTGAATTGAAGCACTTGTTTTTTTCGATTTTGTTGATGATTTTGTTCAGCATTGATAATCTATTCAAGTTTTTCTCGAAAAAATCGCTTTGCATTTTGAGTGAAAAATCGAGTTTTCGAGAGTTTGTATTCCCAAACCCCCAAACCCAATCGTTCCCAAACCCGGATTACTTTCACTCCGCAAAAAAGCGATTACTTTTTTAGACAGAACATAAGTGTCAAATTATTGAGTAATAAAATAAAAACTATTGAAAAAGTTTCCAATTTTCAATGTGGAAACCCATTTCCATTTTTAGTACTCATTTTTGGTACTCATTTTTATTATTCATTTTTAGTATTCATTTTTTTGTCGTTTCCCATTCTTTTGATAGATAGGAGTCAGTAGTTATTTACTGCTGAAGGGCCTGACAAAGAAAAAAAAACCTTTTATCTCTGATAACTGAATTCTCTGTGAACTCTGTGAACAAGCAAAGAAAGAATAGGAAACGGGAAACCATTGTACTTTATTGTTTATAACCATTTATTGTATTTTTTTAGAAATCTATAAAGTTAAACCCAAATTTCAGAATGATTTTCGATATCAATCGCTTTCATTTCTTTGTACTCATCACATGGCAATTTACAATATTTTTCGCATCGCAAATGCTTTTTTCGATCTTCTCGAATTATGTGCCAAGATGGAAATGCGAAGAAGAGGAACAATTTGCAAAGGTTTTAACTCTAAAAGCGTTTTGAATCGCTTAAAAGGTTTAAGGCTCAAAGTTTAAGTTTACCTTGTGCAGAAAAATGGAAATGCCTCTTTTCTGGCACTTTCTTGTGACACAAGTTTGTTGCTAAATGCGCCAGAAGGGATGTGTTTCTACTTTATAGCACAAACCGGATTTCAAAGGATATTTCAAATTTTATTTCATTTCATTTCAAAGTATCGAAGTATAAGTTAGTCTCAAAATCAAAATCTACTGAAATTTGTTTAGAATTGCAGTTCTTTTGATCGATGCAATGGTGTGGTTATTTGGGAGGATCGGGCATTCGATTCAGCTGCTCTTGAGTGAGAAAAATGCAAAGAAACCAAAAATTTTGCTATTTTTTGTCTAGTTTTGGCTGGGTTTGCGGAAATATGGCTTATTTGCAACAGCTCTTTTCACAAGTAAGGTTTCATAGATATTCTAATGCACCTGAAATTCTGTTGAACGATAGTATATCCGTGGAAATCATACTGTAGAAAAACAGGGGTACTTTTAAGTCAATTTGAAAACTACAGGTTCAATTTGCTGGTGTTTTGCTGGGAACTTTCTCATTTGGAGCTTTGTCAGATGCGTTTGGGAGAAAACCGATAGCCACAGTTGCATTGGCTCTTGGAATCTCTATGAACTTTATTACGGGTAAATCTTGAAAAGAAATTGCTTGAAATTCAGCAATTTTAGGAATTGTTCCTAGTTGGCAAATATTGCTCATCGTTCGTTTCTTTGTTGGACTGGCGATTGGTGGGTTTTGGAAATATTGGGTTGGTGAATTGAAAACTGCGGGCTATTGTCATATGTGACAGTTTGAGCACTTTCTTCAAAAGAAACCCATTTTGGTGTCAATGGAAAAGTTGTAGAGAATCAAAAATCAAGCTTATATCCAAATTTTCAGAACGATTCAAAAACTGGTTTTCAAGAAATGCCAAATTTACGAATTTTCACAAAACTTGCATTTTAAGCGAAACTTACTAAGTGTATCTTTTTGGAAATTTGGCTATAAGCGTAATTTTTGATTCTCTACAACTTTTCCATTGACACCAAAATGGGCTTCTTTTGAAGAAAGTGCTCAAACTGGGACATCTCCAGTCCTCCAGTCTCACACTTGTCTCACACACAAACCAAAATCCTACTACGAAAGAGGAAACCGCAAATTGCCTGTAAAATGGGCAGAAGTCGTCAATAATAATGGAAATTATTTGCAATGAATTGATGGTTTTATGTTGAATAAATTTTAGTTCAAAGTCCCGCAGTTTTCAATTCACCAACCTAATAGATAGAAATGGAAATAGTTGATTTGGTATTATTTGATTGGCCATATTTGGTATCTACAATTAGTACTTGACTATCTAAAACTTTGTAAAAGAAAACTTCTAGGTGGAACTTTGGTTGTGGTATGCACGTTTGTGATGGAGATGCTCCTTCCACAGCAACGTATGGCTCTACGGGCATTCTTCAATTGGGTAAAAGAAAATTGAAGATAGCAAAGAAACCGTAAAATTTTAGGGTGTAGCTCGCCTAGCTGTAACTCTCATTTGTTACGGATTTCCCGATTGGAGAACGGCGTCGATTGTTTGTGCTCTTGTTGCTGCACCCGCTTTGCTCATTGTGATTTTCATCTTCCCAGAGAGTCCAAATTGGCTTCATCATAAGGTTATTCATTTTAAATTCATTAAATTCATTAAAATAGAAGTTTTAAATCAAATTTGGATATAACTAAACGAGTTTACTAAACGAATTCATAAACCAGTTATTCAGGGTAAAACTCAATCGATGATTGACAGTGAAAAGAAGATTGCTAAATGGGCCGGCGTTCCTTACAAGCCAGTTGCGCATAAAAAGATTGAACATGCAAAAGTAAAAGAAATTAAACGACTCGTTTACACATAAGACTTTAGACTTTTTGTGAAATGATCAAAACCGGTGGTCTTTTTAAAAGATTAATCGTTTTGTGGACAATGTGGTGAGTGAAGAAAAGAAGACAAGAGTTTTATTTCTCGAACGAATCTCATCGTTCTAGGTTTTCAGCGTCAATTTGTGGCTATGCAACAGATCTCAATTCGAATACTATATCCGGAGATTTATATTGGACTCAAGTGTATTTCTCCGTATTGATTGCTGTCTCGAAAATGGTGAACAGTTCTTTTAAACTCTGCAAAAGTCAATTTCTAGGTTTTGGTGGTTGTTGATGCGAATTTCCCCGGGTTCTCTAGACGATTACTTCATCAAGGCAGTCAAGTTGTTGTCTGCATTTGTTTCCTTGTACTCACCGTGATGAGTATTAAAGAGTATACGGTAATGAGACATTGATTGTAGATAAAAAGGATTTTCTAGGGACCAATGCTTTTGGTGGTTTATTTAATGGGAACTGTTTTCATTGAGTATACGTGGGATGCATGCTATTTATGCGCTGTTGAATCGATGGAAACCTCTTGCCGGTTTGTTTAAAAATCAAAAATCATCAAAAAATAATGGAAAATGGAATTTAGCGCCTCAGCTACTGGATCTTGTTCTTTAGTTGCTAGAATTGGTGCAATCTGCGCTCCAACGGTATGAAAACAAAAGAATAAGCAATGAATAAGCAAAAGAATTCTTTTAAAGCTCAATCACCTTAACACAATTTGGCCTCCATCTGTCTTCTTGGCGGTAACAATAGTTGGAGTGATCAATCTATTTGTTTCCTACTTCTTCCTTGTTGAGACTAAGGTTGGTAATATTGAAAGCTGTATTGAGCGTAAGACTTTGACTGTATTATTGTATCAATTCACGTCTTTAGAATGTAAATCTGGACAATGTGACGATGGGAGAAAGACCGGAAGAGGGCAGTCCTATGCTAGTTAAAGAACAAAAAACAGATGATCTTGAATGATTCTTTGAATCGATACAAACAACCCCTCTAGCTTTCTCGTTACAAATTAGACATAGGCGACGAGTCGAGTCGACTCGTTGACTCGAAAATGAGTTGAGATTAGCATTTTTAAGGGTTTTAGAGGTCAAAACTCGAAATTTTCGCCTTTTCTTCATATCTCCTTTATAATTTAACGAGTCAGACTCAACTCGCAAAATTTTTGGCCCTTGACTTGACTCGAGCCGAAAATTTTAAAAACGCCAATGTCTATTACAAATGTTATCACAAATATAAATCCCTAGGAGTTTGTTTAGTTCGTAAATTTAGTGTTAAATCAGTAAAATTAAGCTCATTTTATCTCATCTTTCGTCGACTTTATCATTTTTTTTTGGCTTGTTGATTCATTAATTGTTTCCCGCGTTTAGACACAAAAATACCTCTTATCTTTTTTTGAACCGTTCACTCGGCTCAAAGTTAACTTCCGCATAATCACACTCTTTTTTTTTGTCTCTTGTGATTCTTTTTTCGGATTGATAAAGTCCTATTTGAAGTTGAGAACAACAAAACAGAAGGAACATTCTAATTGATATTTAAATTTAACAAAGAAAGACCTAATTGGACAATTTGACTAATTGATCATCAAATTTTTGCCATAAGCAACATTTCTTCACAAAAGTTTCGTTTCACGCTATTGATTAGTTTGTTTGAGCTTAATGTTTTGTGCAATTATTTGCATTTCCTCGAAATTTATCGATGAGGCAGACGTGATTCGCTTGCTCTCTCTAGAAAGATCGCGCAACGCGTCTGTGAAAAAAGACGCAACGCTTTAGAAATGATAAGAATTGTTTGGCTGCCCGATTTCTTTGCTTCTTTTCCCATTTTTCGGGGCAACCATGCATGCCTAGGTTTTCGAAAGCCGACCCTTCTTTGTCAAAGCATTACATAATATTAGTTTCTTCTTTCTCTTTTATTCTTTCTGACTAATTGAGTATTATTGATTGGTCTGGCTATTGATTTTTTACTATAATTGCATCCAGAAACACTATGTGCTTAGTATAAGTAGGATTTTGCAGCGTTTTGAAAGCTTACGAGCAATTTTCCATGTTTTTCTTGGTTGCTTTTTTGGAAAGTTGTTTAATTCGGTAATTTTAGGTCAGTATTGGATTTGGACATGTCGTCGGTTGCTGGTCCAAGTTGGGAGGCTGATATTATCACCGTGCCCACTCCAATCTGGCATTTTTCTTGGGAAGACGTTCAGGGGAAGGTTTCTTTTTTAGAGCTTGGCTTTGATAGCGTAAGGTCTAAGTGATTTGAGTTTTTGAAGTAACTGTGTGTGCGTATCTAATCAGTGGAGTAAATTTGTAAGTTGGTTCTAGTTTAAACAAGATTTGATTAGTCGAATCTCTTCAAAATGAGACTCAAATGTATCCGTTATGTAATTGAATATTTAGACTGCTTCTCGTCGGGATGGAATAAAATATGAACAAGAGTTGCAATTCCGTCAACGAGCAGCGCGTTTTATTCAACGTCTTGCAGAACGGCTGAATTGTGGAATGAAAGACTCGCGGAATAAAATGTATCTTTTTCAAACTTACTGGCTCATTTCAATATTTTTTAGCTCACAACTCTGCATTTGTGCTGCAACTGTTCACATGCATCGCTTCTTTTATTTTCATTCTTTCAAGAGGTTTAATTATAAGGTAGTTTTTTGAGCTTAATGTCTCTAATAGAAGTGTTAAGGATGTTTGTGCCGCTTGTTTGTTTATGTGTGGGAAGTCGGAAGAATGTCCAAGGAAACTGGATCATGTTGTTCGTCATTGGTGGGCGCTGAAGTTCGAGAGTTTTCCACAAATACCTGACAAGGTTTAAAAAGGTTTTGACTTTATAATTGGATTTCTTGCAGAACTACAGTGATGCTGCGCAACTGATCGTTACTTTAGAAAGTATCATTCTGCAAACGATTGGTAACTAAACTATTCATTTAAAAGCTCAATTATGGATATAGCTTTTGACTTGAAAGTTGATCTCCCTCATGCAATTGTTTTGCAACAAATGCAACAAATCAGTCGAGGTATGCTTGGCGGGGACATGGAAAGTATGTGTATGCCAGTTTATTTCTTATCCTTAATTTATATTGCGTTGTTAAATCTTATCTTTAATTTTCAGGACACAAGAAGCTTACCGAAGTTGCGTACTTCTTTGCGACTGATGTGTAAGTTTCTTGTAACTTTACAAATTCCAAATCAAAATCTTTTAGACTATGTGTGACTGACTGGCCTATCCGATATACTGCTTCCGAGATTGCCGCTATATGCATTTACGCCGTGTGCAGTTGGGCTGATCATCAGGTATCGCTTATTAGCTGTTTCATCAAGAAACGTTATTATTTTAGATTCAATCAGACAATCAGAAGCATCCGTGGTATAGATTTTCTCCGGAACTGAATGAGGACAAATTGCAAAGTAATGTATCTTGCCGCAAACACATGTAATAGCCTTTTTAGCTGCGACAAATGAATTCATTAGCATCTATCGCGTGTACACTGCGGCAAAAGAAGGACAGGGATTTGTTAAGCTGACCAAATTTGTTCAAAGGGGGTAGGTCTATATTTTTGCAAAAGGATAGGGATTTGCTACGCTGATCAAATTTGTTTGAAAGGGATAGGTCCATATTTTTGTAGAACTATTGTCCCGCGGCCAATCGATTTGAAACCGCCAATGCTTGAGAGTGAGTCTTTGCTGCCTCCACCGCCTCTACCTCCGGCAATTGCCGTGAAGAAAGAAACACCAGACAACAAGGTTTATTTGTAGAACTACACTTAAACATTTGCTTTAGCATACATCATCCTCTTCGGGCGGTCCTTCGAATCGTAATCAGCAAGATGTGTCTACACAGCTAGCGCCAAGTGTTGGAAGGGTCAATTTTATGCCTGACCTCAACAATCTCAGCAAAGTTAGCGGAGGTTAGTTAAAAGAGCTTTCATTCCATCATGTTGCTTCAGGTGAATTGAAGCCGTTTCAACAAAATAGTGGTGCAAGTACTGGCGGCTACCTTGATCAGCCAAAGGTTTTTTTAAAGTCTATATTTATTTATTTTTCTTAGCAAGAGCAAGAGGCTCTTTCACAAGAAACAAGCGCAAATACAGACCCAACAACACATAAGACACTTGTGCACAAAGAGGTTTTATTTGTGTGTTATATTTCCAAGAGCTTGTTTCTAGGAAGTCAAGGAACACAAAAAGCACAAAGAGCATAAAAAACACAAGAAGGATCACCGCGAGCGCTCTCGCGATGATGAGAAAAATGAGGTAGTTTTGTATACGGTTTTTTTTTATTTAAAGTTTTCAGAAATCTCATCGACAGCATCGTCGGGACGAGGAAAACCGGGAGCATCGCAAACGTCCTTATGACCCTCCAAGTGTTACGGGTAACGATGGCTGGAGCGGAAACCATCCTAATCCTCCAGTGTAAGTCCTTTATCGAACTTTAGAGCGTTTAGTTTTATGACTGGAAATACGTTTAGAATAAAATTGAGGTTTAAAATGCCTCATATGGAGGTTTGCGCAGAAAAGTGATTTTTGATCATGGTCCATTCACAATGCACTTTCATGCACTACAACTTCTGAATCTATTTTAAAATCTAATCTAATCTAAAATCCAGTTCCATTTTAATGCAAAAATAAACGGATTGAACCGCTGATTCTGGGATAAACTTTTTTAATTGCAATAAAGGGAACTTGATTATTGTAGTGTGTCTTGTCAGTCTTCTGCATAAATAGAATTCAGTTTTATTTTAGTGAAAAGCGACGGCCTCCATCTCAATCTCCATCAAACGAGTATCGGTCTGGTTCATACAATAAGGTAACTATTTTGAAGTGCACATTTATCTGTTGTATGTGGCTTAATCTGTCCCTGTTTTGTTAACCATCACCAAAAGTACTTGTTACATTGTATTGTCCTGATTGCGTGCTTATAGGAGCGCCTTGTTCATGAAAGGTATGCTTGCAAGCGAGAGAAATGCACGTGTCGCAAGAGTTCGCGCTACAGGAAACCATCGCCAAGACGCTTGCATAAAGCACGTGCTCAACACGAGGATACTTCAGCTTCTAGTTGCCTTGAAGAAGATGAACAGCAACAAAAGCGACGGCCTCTATCAAACGAAGATAGGTCTGGTTCATACAATAAGGTAACTATTTTGAAGTGCACATTTATCTGTTGTATGTCGCTTAATCTGTCCCTGTTTTGTTAACCATCATCAGAAGTACTTGTTACAGTGTATTGTCCTGATTGCATGCATATAGGAGCGCCTTGCTTGTGAAAGATATGCTTGCAAACGAGAGAAATGCTCTTGTCGCAATTATTCGCGCTGCAGAAAATCATCACCAAGACGCTCGCATAAAGCATGTGCTTAACGGATGGATCTTCAGCTTCTAGTTGCTTTGAAGAAGATGAGCAGCGATTTGCTAAAAATGAATACTACCCTGGTTTGTTTCACTCGGTCATGTATTGTCCACGTGTTTTTATGTTTTAACCTTTGTTCTGGCAAAAATTCGCAAATTACACATTTTTTTTATTTTCTCCATCTTATTTTTTTAGGCCTGTTCTGCTGCAAGTGGACCTTTTTTTGCATCAACTGATCTGGAAGATGGGGAAGTTCTCTAAATTGTTATCTCTCCATTTAACGTATTGAATTGTCTTGGTTATTTTAGGGCTTTTATGTAAAAATTATTGTGAGCGTTCTTCAATTCTCGTAAGGTTCATAGGTTTCGGGTGTACACTTGTATCGAATCCCTTAAAAGTTCATTCTAGCCATTCTTTTTTCAAACTATTTGCTTGTGATGTGCACATTTCAGATCGCTATATTTACACCTTGGTGAGGTGTATGGCTTAGGATATCCGATTATAAAGGGGTTTTTTTTCATTTCTAGGTTCTATCGATATCTAACTAGGTTTTGATTCACTTTCTTGCAATTAGATTTTGACGGGTCATTCATATCTCCTAAAGTGGAGTTATTTTTTCGTGAGAACGGTGATTTCTTGTTGTATTTAGAGCTTAATGTTCTCCCATGAAAGTGGCACCCTTTGTTTAAATACTCAAATTACTAATCAATCTTTCATTCTCATCAAGGGCATTATCACTTCGATTTCCATAGATTCTTTCGTTTCTTGTCGGGCTACACATGAACTCTTGTTGACCTAATGATGGTGATTTAACAGCCAATTTTCTTTTTAAAATTGATTTACTTTTTGTGCTTCACGGGTTTGTATTGATTTTTGCTCTTTTTGTTATTTATTTAGTTTTGACTTGTTTGTGGATAAAGTTCTAAAGTTAATTCATTAATCTCGCTTCAAAGCAACTGGGAACACAATACATCTTAGTGGCTAATATTTTGAAATCTAACTGTGTCCGTGTTCAGTTCGACAAGTTTTTGCATTGATAATTGAACAGTCTTTAAATAATTTATTTAAACGTTTGTGATTCAAACGGACTAAGAAAGGCGAGCACAAAAGTAAGACACCAGGTAGAACGCCAAGTAGGTGTTTTCAAACTAGTTTTTTTAGTTTTGCACAAACAAGAAGCAACGCACCATGAGATTACGCAACAAAGACCCTTAGGCGAATAGTTGATCCAACACTGTTTGCCCAAGAATTGTGAGAATGGCTGGTGTTAACTGAAATCGTTAGGCATTCATGGCATAATAAAAACGGGTACGAGTTTGAAAATCTATAAATTAGAATCAAGTAAAATGGATAAATCCAAATTTAACTGTGAATGACAGTAGCTTGTTAAAATCTAAGAAAGTTGTATTGGATTTAACTGGATAACAACGAAAGTTACATACCTGAACAATTGTAGGTCGAGTTTGAGCAAAAAGAGTTAGAAACGCGGTGCTCGACGAACGAACAGCTTCCGATGCGATGATCAATTGAGAGCCGGTGAATGCCGGCAGGAAAAGCTCGATGATTGAGGGGTCAAATTGAAATGAAGTCGAAAAGAGAACTCGATCCTCTCTAGTCACGCCGAATTTGTCACTAAATAAAGAAATTTTTTTCTTTGGAATCGAAATTTAACCGAAAATCGACAATGTTTGGCATGATGGCTGTCCAGGGTACGTCGATTTGTTTCGGCTTTCCAGTGGTGCCAGTTGTAGAAATGCGGTAGGCTATCGGAGTATTCGGGAATTTTGCAACTGTGTCCGAAATGGGGACCTGAAATCATTGCCAAATCATCAACAAATCATTACCAACTAAGTTACCAACTTTCTCGAGCAGTCCATCTTCTCGAATCAACCACGAAACACCATAATCGCAAGCGTGAATCTTTCTCGGGATAAAGCAGAAAGGGCATTCAAAATGAAAACCTTAATAAAATTATGCTTAAAACCACTAATAAGGCTTATTTTCAACACTTTACTTCGATACTTTACTCAGAAACTTAAAATTAGCAATTCTATAGAACTTCAAATCTCCAAAACTCGAGAGCCTCTGGGACGCGGTGATTGTGACCGACGATTGAGACCAAATTTTAAACATAAATAATTCATATTTTTAAAAAGTAGCAAACAGCTTAGGTTTTCTAAATTTATAATTTAGGTATTTACAAATGTTTCATCCATGATCGGGCAGTCATTATTAAAGTAATTCTTTAAGTTCAAAATTTGGTCAAAAGAGGTTCTGAGTTTTTGATCAAAATATTTAAAGTAATTGTTGAAAATGACAATTAAATTCTACCAAAAAAAAGTTACATGGGGATTGAAATTGATTAACTCTAGGCGGAGCAATGCAGAGAACAATTGCCCCTAATTCTTGAACACCCTGTACTAATGTAAAGCTTATCAAAAATTATTACATTGTCTCATAAAAACCCAGAGATTTTTGTTTTGATCAGTACTCGCTCACAACACAACGTTTTGTATTTTTCTTTTTTCTTTTTCATACCAAAACTTTCTTCTTTCTTGCACTAACATTCATTTTTTAGGGACGACATGAGAAGAGAGTTGCAGTCGATCGAATGAAACCAACTCGAGAAGAGATCCACGCCCTACTGCTCCAACGATTTTCAAGAGGGATCTCAGCGGCCAAAGCAGCACGAGAAATCAATCAATTTTATGGCAATAAAATCGTTGGAACAAGTACTGCATAGGAATGGCTACACATATTCAAGACGGGCAACAAGAGGATCAAACAAGAAGAAGTGAGGAAGCGGCCGACCCCCGGAAAGTGGATCGATCGATTCTGAGGCATCGACTCCTGCGAAACCCCGATGGATCAACCCGGAAATTCGCTGGACGTTACTATGGACGAATGACTGTGTGGCGATAGCTGTGAAAAGTGGAAAGAAATGGGAAAAAAACAACGCCAAATCCCATACGAAATGTCGGAAACAGTCCAAGCAAAAAGAAAGTGGACATGGCACCACTTCTGGAGCGAATACTGGCATGGTCGGCTTCCTCTTTCGTACATCATCACTCACGATCAAATGTGGATTTTCTATGATGGTCAAGTGTTACAACGGCAGTGGTTGAAGAAAGGGCAAGTGGGGAAAACGTGCCAAAACGGAACATCCACGGAAAGAAGCGAATGTTGTGTGTCTACTGGTGTTCGACAGGCGTCCTTTTCTGGAACTTCCCAAGTCAAGGCAAAATTTTAACATCGATGTTTATCTACGTCATATGCAAAAAGTGGAGCAAAAAGTCGGGAGGCTGCTCTATGGAAACAAATGGAACGGGCCCGAACTTCAGGATGGTGCAAGCTCCCACAAATCAGAAAGATCGATCGATTTTGTGAAGAACAACCTACACTGGAATATCCTTCCTCATGCACTACATTCTCTAGACATTGTTCCTTCTGACTATCACTTGTTCTTGTCACTAAAGGATTTCTTTCGTGGTAAAAAGTTCAAAGATGAGAGCGAACTCGAGGACGGATTGAACGACTATTTTCGCTGGCACCTGCTTGCTTGGATTTTACGAACCCAAGCTACCCCAACTTTCGAGAAAAGTTATAAATTCATCTGGAATATATATCATTTGATTCTGACTCTTTTTTATGTGTTAAAAATGAATGAAATTCAAAATATCTGGGTTTTTATGGGACAATCTAATATATGATTAACATTTCAAAATTCAGGTTTGGGTCAAGCGCTCAACTTGGTTCACATCGCCACCGTAGCCACCTATCGTCGCGCTTGCAGCCGCGTTCACGGAAGGCGTTAAAAGGCAAAGCTTTCCAATCTTTTTTTTTGCTTCTATCGATTTCGCCATATAATTTTTCCTAATCCACAAAATCTCCATCCGGTGTGCCAATCTTTAGCTTTACTTGTATGGTTGTCTAATCATCGAAACACTCAATTTTTCTTTAAGATTTCTTTCCTTTCCTATTTTGGGGGGCCAAAAAAAAAAATAAAAAAAAAATTAAAAATTTTTTTTTTTTTTTTTTTTTTTTTTTGGGGTTTTTGGGGAGGGGGGGGGGGGTTGGGGGGGGGGGGGGGGGGGGGGGGGGGGGAAAAAAAAAAGGGGGGGGTTTTTTTTTTTGTGGGGAGGGAATTTGTTTTTTTTTTTTTTTTTTTTTTTTTTTTTTTTTTATTTTTTTTTTTTTTTTTTTTTTTTTTTTTTTTTTTTTTTATTTGGGGGGGGGGGGAGGGAGGGGGAAATGATTTCTTAAATTATTTTTTTTTTTTTTTTTTTTTGGGTTTTTTTTTTTTTTTTTGTTTTTTTTTTTGTTTTTTTTTTTTTTTTTTTTTTTTTTTTTTTTTTTTTTTTTTTTTTTTTTTTTTTTTTTTTTTTTTTTTTTTTGGGGGGGGGGGGGGGGGGGTTTTTTTTTTTAATAAATGCATTTTCTATTTTTTATCTTCAGGTGTTGACAGAAGTGCGTGCCCGCATCAAGGAGCTCTTCTCGACGCGTCTGCTCATTGTGGCTGCTTCAAATTGACGCAACGTCTGGAGTCAAAGAGCGAGGTCACGTTTGGTTCATTAGTTTCCAGTTGTTATTTCTCTGTTCAGGCTCGTGAATTGCGCAATAAGCGACGACACAAGCTTTGTGTCTTTTTAATTTGGTGCTGAAAGTTTTTGCAACAATTTTTTTTACGTCTTTTCGTTTTTATAGTAGCGCATTTGCGTCGTCTGCTAAACTCGAATGGTAGCGCTTTGTTGTGATCGATGCCACAGTGCCCGGCGTCGCCTACACAGAAGACCACAATCACGCCATTTAAATGTCTCAACGACGGTGTATATTTCAAATCCTGTCTCTCAAACCAGATGTGTCATCAATGCCTTCGCTCATGTGCCCAATCAAGACTGACGGTGAAAAAATGCGGCAACTTCTTCTCCCTTTCATCACAAAAACAAATGGTCCAACACTGCAAGTTGATGGTCGTCTTCTAATCAGAAAAGCGCACCTTGATATCATTTTTGTTATCTGTTTTTCATTTGTTCGAAATAATTTTCAAGACTTTTTTATCTAGTAGTTTTTTTTAACTCAATCGTGTGCAAACGACGATTGAAGGTGATAATTTTTGTGCATTTCAGGTCCAGCTCTTCGCTTAGATGATGAGTTTGATGGCTCAGAATGTGATGACAGTATCGAATGATGAGAAAATACCACGAAAACGAAAGGTTTCTTTTAAAAAAGACTAGATGACCAACTTTTTTTGTTTTTTACACGAGTAATTATATAAAATTTGCTTCCTTTCTTATCTCCGGCTTTGCCGCACTTTCACCTATTGTCTGGGAATCTAAGCGATTAGCCGTGGGGGCTGCGTCACACTCATCCGAAACTCAACGGATGACTTCCTTATAATTAAAGCAGAATGGTAATTCCTAGCGATTTAGAACCCGGCTTTGCATTTTAAAAATCCTGTATCAATCGGTTAAATTAAGGGCTATCAAAAGGCATATTAACTATTTATTTAGCTCTTTTTTTATGAATCTTTATTCAGAGACTAGACGATGTCGATGTCGACAGCAACTCAACAACCGAATGTAACTCAAAAATCGACAACAACTCAACAACCTATAACTCGTTGTCGACAGCAACTCAACAACCGAATGAATGGAGCTCAACCGATTCGTAATTTTTAAAAAGCTTTAAACCTTTTTACCAACTAAGATCTTTTTACTAATTCTCAATTTTGGAATTAAACCAGCGAAATTAATAACAATTCAATAGTCAAAATTAAAATTAATTTACTTTTAAATAATCAATCTAATTTAGGCATATCATGAAGGAAGTGACCCAATCCGAGCCCGAAAAACGCCTAGAAACGTATATATTTTCAGCGGAGGGAAAAATCAACGACAAATCCGAAAAAATCAAACTTAAGTTCATGGTATCTAACTTTATTTTTAATCAAAAAGTCAAGATTGTTTAGTGTACATATCAAAAGTGTAACAAGATTTTACAAGGAAATGTCGCTTTGATTTCTCACCTCTGGGCACATATTGGTATTTTAAGGAAATTTATTTTTAAAATCTAAATTTTAGTTGAACATACACCTGCAGAATGCGGATATCGTAAACAGCAAAAGAATTTCTCGTATATCCAGTCGGTCACATGCAAACAATGTTTATTATCTTTTGTGTCACCGTACAGGTTGCAGGTAGATAATTTTTTTTAAGTGACTTCTTGATAGTTGTAGCTGACATGATAAAGTTTAATCTTTAGATTCATTACACGAAATGCCATTCAAGGATCACTGAGGCTGCCCTTAACACGGCTTGTCAGATTTGCGAGAAGGAAGTGCCCAGTTTACTTGAACACCTGGCCCTGCATCCTCCAATGGTGGGTTTTATTGAAATGTTCTAATGATACATGTTTCTCAGGTTGCTCCATATGCTTGCCAAGTTAAATCTTGTAAATATCGAAGTAGTCAACGAACGGTTCTTTTCGATCACTACATGCAGGTTGGACTTATCATTCTCAGTCATCAACGGCAAATTTTAGCATCACGCCAACTGCATGTATTTGTGTTGTCCGTTCTGCACATACACCAAAAAGCTTTTACAATCTCAACTTCGGACTAAAGCTGCCATCACTTGTCATAGCTTCGTTGATCATATTGCAGAACATGGAAGAGGTGAAGCTTAATGATGAAGTTTACCCGTTTTCTTTAGTTTTGACGAGATATCGTTGCTCCAATTGCGCCTACTCTTTTTTGAGTCTCGGCGACATGAAAAGACACTGGACTAGTGATCATAAGAAAAACGTCATCCTTGACCATCAAATTAAATGGACCATCAAGCAATTGGTAAACTTTATAATATTACTAGTTGTTAAAAATGTCTTTTAGCGTACAGACGCGTTCCGACAACGAGAAATTGGCTCAATTCACACGAAGGTAGAAAACTTGTTGCCAAGATTTGTTTCATTTAACTTTTTAAGGGTACTGACAATCGTGATGCGTGCATTGTTAACGAATCTTCAGCTCTGGCACGATCTGCTAAATGTAAAGGCATTACTTATGAAGAATTGATTTTGAAGTGGGGAAAAGTTGGTTTGCAAAGATATTGTCCTGCATCTTTCAAAATTTAGCTTCCCGAAGAAAACCCTAAACGTTCTCTTGCCACTAAGGAACGGTTCGTTGAATTCAATCTATTCAAGTATTTAAACAAATACGAGTGTGGTTTTGCAATGAGAGATGAAAATTTGGTGGTCTCACGTCATTTGAAAGACTGTGACTCTCTGGGTTTAACGAAAACAAAGATGGATCAGTGGGTTTTTCCGTTTTAATCGTAACATCTTGAGAATTTAGCTCTAAACAAGAAGACACTCAAGAAGATATTTTTGAAGCAAAAATCTTTGCCGTCATTCATCCAGTTCCAGTCATTCAAGTTTGTTCTTGAGTTGATCAAAGTTAATTCAAATCACATTTAGCCCTCTCTGCCTCAAATCACTACGATGGGAAACAATTTGGGAGTTCTTGATAAGATTCGAGACGAACTTGCGGACATCGACGATTTAGGATTATTGGCCTCCGAGAAATTTTTGATGTAAATTTTTGAAAATTTTAGACACAAATTATTATGCTTTTTAGGAAAGCACAATTCAATGACGTTTCCCGAAGCTTCCGTCAGTATGACGAATACTTTAGATCGAAATGATGAATGAGTAACCTTTGCTTTTGAAATTTTATGTTATGGTTAAAAATAAGTTATGTTGACTGAAAACACATTAAACCTTTAACAGCCAATTTTATTTTTTTTAATTGATTTACTTTTTGTGCTGCATATTTAGAGAATTTTTGCTCTTTTTGTTATTTATTTAGTTTTGACTTGTTTGTGGATAAAGTTCTAAAGTTAATTCATTAATCTCGCCTCAAATCAACTGGGAACACAATACATCTTAGTGGCTAATATTTTGAAATCTAGTTGTGTCCGTGTTCAGTTCGACAAGTTTTTGCATTGATAATTGAACAGTCTTTAAATAATTTATTTAAACGTTTGTGATTTAGAATTCAAACGGACTAAGAAAGGCTAGCACAAAAGTAAGACACCAAATAGAACACCAAGTAGGTGTTTTCAAACTTTTTTTTTTAGTGTTAAACAAGCAACCTACACCTCAGGTCATCGATCAAATGAGTTATTTTTGTCTATTTCTTTTTCTATCTATTTCTATCTATTTCTTATTTGGTTGATAACCTGCTAATTGTAAGCGAATTGTTATAATACTTCCTATTACCTCGATGTGTTATTGGAAAGTGCTGTACATAGGGCAGAACTGAAAAAAAAAATGTCCAAAACATAAAAGTCAAATCTTTTGGTTTTTGAATTAATTACACTGCGGAGGCCTTGCCCCTTCCTTTTTCAAAGGTCAAAAAACGAAAAGAATGCATATGACCACCAGGGACAAAAAGAATAGCTATACGAAAGCTAAAAAAAATACATTTTTTTTTTGTGCGGAGGACCCGATACTAGTAATTAATTTGGTCGTTGTGGGTCACTCCCGGTGACTGCCGGCAGCCACTATTCCCTGAGAGTTGAATCCCGAGTTATTGAGGTGTGATCTGTAGAGTCGAAAAAGACATCATCAATGCTGCTTTTCTGAAAAATCTCTTCTAGAGTTTCTAGAGCAGTTCTTCTTTCTTTACCTCCTCCCTTTCAACGTCTGGGTTAATCTCAAGTTCACCCATCGCATCTGCGATTCTCTTTGCGATTTCATCTCTTTCCTTTTCGCATGTGCGTTCTCCGCTGGCACTACCGCACCTAAACAATTGTTCTGATTTTCCATTAATTTCACTTACCATTCGACTCGTGTTGCGTGAGGCCCGTAGTCGCCATCTCCAATAACGATTGGAATACTTTGTGTTCCGCCATAGTCACTAGATGATACCTGAATTTGGTCACCCTTTGTTGTCACTTTATTTCAATTACTTGAACTGGCTCGGGAGCTTCGTTGACACTGAAGAATGCAAATTGTGGACCTTGCCACAAACGTCTGTGTGGAACTGAATACGTGCAAACATCTTCGACCTAGAACTTCGATAGTTTCACTTTCATTTTTCGTTTCTACTTGTCCATTCCACTCGGTATTCGGATCGATACGATAGCTATCAGTTCTAGCCCTAGTTGGAGACGAGTCAACAGTGGTCCAACGCATCAATGGAGATGCCGCTTGTAATGGAGTCACCAAGTCAGCTGTGTTCTTCGTTCTGAAATAATTTTATTGGATGCAAATTTGTTTTTAATACCTGTACAGCGTCCAACTCGCTTGCGGGACAATATCAAGCCTGATCTGCTCATCTGATGCTTGTCCGGTTGATCCATGCAACCCGTACTCACATAGAACTCCGTCAGCTGTTAGAACGAGAACACTTGTACTCTAAATTGTTTTATATGCTAAACAATGTTGTTCTCTCAACCTTGACATCGTGTACTGGTCTGCTTGCAAATGCTAGTGCCATCTTTGGTGTCTCCATTTTGCCTTTCTTTGTATTGATCGTTGATGACGACAAGCTGGTGTGCGTAAGATCGGTGGCCCAAGCAGAAAGGTTTTCGGTATTCAATCTTCTTTCCTATAGTTTACTCATGAAACAGAAATAGAAATAGAAACAAAAAAACAAACCCGAATCTTTTTAGCGGCTTTCAGCATTAGTGGTGGAGGGAATGGTCCGATTCTTGGATTACCACTAGCTCTGGCAAGCCCGAAGATCCTTTGTGAAGGGTGTTCTCTGAAAATGGGAATGAGTATGCGGTACGGTCGGCTCACCTCAAAATATGTTGTCTTTCGCTTTGTCTTCTTTGCCGAGCCTCATTGATCAACGAAGAGTCATGCTCACTAAGTCCAGCAGACCTAGAGAATTTCGATTGTTGATTCAAAAGCCCTCCTGCATGCGTGCGTGCTGTTGGGACTCCGCCTAAACTCCACAAAAATTTTGTTTACATTATTGAATTACCGTAAGGATTTATAGCGAATACATGCACAGTGCCATGATTTGTGGCGATGCAGAGCCAGCGTGAATCATTTGAGAAACACGTGGACAACACCTGAAATTCCGCGTGTTGAGAGTTGGGTCAATCTTTTCACCTTTGCCGGCGTGGTGCCCCTATTCAGAACATAGAGGTGTTGAGCAGTCGCTAGAACGGGAGTCGCCGAATGAGGCATCAACGAAAACACGTTGAACTCTCTTGCGCTAGCGTCGGCCGTCATCTGACAACACAAAATTGTATAATAACTCACCAATAGTCTTTTCACTCACCAATAGTCTACAATCATAGGACAAATCGATATGTGAAACGGGATCCTCTTGAGCCATGAAATGAAGTTTCGTGAATTCTTCCTAGAATTCTTCCTTCCTGTAAACCGAGAAAGTTGGACAAACCTCGGTTTTATTAAAACAGTCCAAACAAGCAATTGTAACCACTCCACGCATTTCTCCTTTCTTCGTAGAACCACTGACCGAAGTGACAGTTCTCGATAGAGACTAAATTGAGAATTTAAGGTTAAAAACTAGTACTATAGTACTGTAAAATAGTAGATTGAGCTTATTAACATATTAACTTTTTACCTTGACAGCTGAAAGCATTTGTCCGGTATAGGTGACATCGGGCGCCTCTAAAGGCTCAGTCACACCTCCAATGCTCAGAGTTTCGCTTCGAAGCTAAACTTTCATCATTTTGAAGCAGTTTTTTTAGATCTCACTTTTGTATCAGCCCACGCGAGATATGAAAAACGAAGTGCGAAAGCGATCTGCTGAGACTCGATCGGTGTTGTCTAGAAAAGTGATGTACTTGCACTCCACCCAGACACTCACTTCAATAACTTTTTGTTCTTGTAGAGTGTAATGATCACAGATTACAAGACGCGCACCCGTTGCTACGACAAACCACCTGAAAATTCGGTTGTAAAGGTTTTTGAAAACTTTCTCACTTTAGTGAAGCCTCAACCGCTAGAATCGGATCGGGAAATGAGAGCTTGTGCACCAACTAAAGCTTTTGATTAGATCTTTGTCTTTGATAATGTTTATACATTTCCAGATCCAAGTGAAAGGAATCTTAAACAGCAGAATTGATTATCGGTTCGTGACATGCTTGAGTCGACAAGACCAAATAATGGTCGATGTTCGGCAAATCTGAAAACAGATTCATTTGACTTTTTTGCATTTAGCATAAGCGTACCGATCTTTCGTTGCATCATCGATCGGTTCTGGATCACTGGGAAGCAATTTTCCTATTCGAAGTGGCCCTTGTCTCTCACTGAGCACTTCTTCGCAAACGCCGCTTTCCTAGATTCGCTTTAGTTACTTGATTTCACTTGTTTTACCGTGATTGTCCAAATTTGGAATCCGCGAGCCAATCCCAAAATAATGATGTCAATCGATTTGCTTGGATCACCATCTAAAATGAGATAAAAAGGCATACAATAATGATATTTACGTTTTAGAACTTTTTGAATTTCCACCCATTCAACTTTCTCTGGTTGAGAAGAGGGTGGAATTGTCGAAGACGAAGAAAGCTCATGAACGAGCTCAAACATCGATGACACTACATCCGATTCACTAAAATTTATTCAAATAAGTTTGGCATTGTTCCAATATAATGGCTCAATGTTCCTTAAGCTAGTGCAGTCGTTCTTCAACTCACGCAGGTGGTTGTGGCTTGACGACAATTCCCTTCGTGTATTGAGCCAAGTCGCGCGAGGATTGACGTGGTGAGCCTAATCTATTCAACGTCGAGCTCGATTCACGTCTAAAATTTGGCTTTATCAACTTTCTGGATTCCTAAATGCTACCTGTGCTCATAAAGTGCAGGCAAAGAGGCAACAGAAGGCGAAGGTGAGGCACTGGATCGAAGTGTAACAGCTGAATAGATAGATATTTTTTTTGTCTTAACTTGATCTCTCCTACTTGAGTGAGGTGGTGTAGAAGAAATAGGCACTGGGGGTGTCGGAGGAGAAGGAGGCGATTTCGAGTGACGAGCTTTTCTTTCCTATAAACTTTATCATCATACTGTTTCATAATTAAATGTGTCTTCTAAAAGTTGTAGTTAGTAAAAAGCTACCGTGCCTTCAAAGTATCTTGTTTAAGCTTAAGACCAGCTGGACTTAAGCCTTCGCTCGTTCAATAACGATCACAAACTACAGGATTATTGTGGTTTTTCTGGGTACATCTTTTAGAAAACCCCTTAATCTATGACCATAATCACTTACCATTTTTGGTTCTGGATCAGGAACAAAAACGGTTAAAGGTTCATCAGACGTGACCGGCTGAGCCGCCTCTTTGTCCAACAAGAAGTTTTCTTCAATGTCAGATTCTGGCGTTGGTTGCGGTTGTGGTTGCACCTGGAATTTCTTTTCTATTCCCCTTTTTCAGAAGTTTATGACTACCGAACTGGCTAGTCACGTGTCTATTCGCAGAATCAAGATACCTGTTGTACTGGATGCACGGCGGCTTGATTCTGATTTCTTTTCTTTTTCTTTGAAGTCATCGCGACGACTGAAGGAGGCGAGCCGTCGCGCATAGAATTGATCGAACTCTAAACGATATTTGAAATTCAATAATTGAAGAATCAAATTGAATTGGCAACAATTGAAAAGCAATAGTTAAAGAGCAATGATTGAACTAATTGCAGAATCAATGAAATCAATGATCCTTTTTTTTGGTAGTCAACGGAAAAAAAAACGCCAATGAGCTTCTTTTTTCTTGCAATATTATGAAATTTTGAAAAATATTACGTCTATTTTTTTCTATTACTTTAATAAATTTTCTTTTTGTATGAGAACCATTTCCATTATTTTTTCAAGCTATTTAAAGCTAAAAATAACAAAAATCACATGATGAAAGTGGGCGGGATTTGAGCTTAAATCAATTTATTTCATATTGAAATCATACTTTTAAGCAAAGTAAGAAAAGGAATCAAAATTTCATAAAAATTACAGAGATTTTTTTTAAATTTGTAAGCACGATCGAAGTGAGAGTGTCACAGGGCATGGTCAAGTGAAAACGACGACAAAAAGCTACGGGCACGAACACGTGACGCGGCGGGGAAAGCACGCAAACATCGGCCATGTTTCGGCGAAGAGGCGATCGCATGCGATGTCGCCGCGTCTCTCTGTGTCTATGAGAGAAAGCACGTGAGGGGCGGAGAGTCGCAGACACGCCTTTCTCTCGTCCTCTCTACCCTTTTCCCCCCTTTTTCTCTCATTCCCTTATACAGTCTACTCGTGCTTTTTCTTTTTTTTTTTTCAAAAGACCCGACTTGTTTTTGTGATCCACAAAAGTTCGTGCTATACAACATTTCGGGTACTTTTGAGGAAAGTGTGGAAAATAGACTGAAAGGTAATAAGATGAATTGAAAGTTTATGGAATGAAGTTGGAATAAAAGTTGCAAAGTATGATAGAAATGTTTTTCTTTAGCTGATGACCTTGAGTTTATCAGAGGGTTTTCGGATTGTTGATGCAACGAAAGAGAAATCGCGAACACTGGAATGGATGATGATTCGAGAAAAGGTGATGCTTTGCTTTTAGTTGAAATTGTTTAGTTTAGTTGAAATAAAACATGATGAAAAGATTTAGATAAATAGTTAAATTTGATGCGAAAGTTGATATCAAAAACCCTAAAATGAGATTGTTTTTAGATAAATCAGACAAAAGGGCGGTATCAAGAGTGTTTTCGATCCCCGATTGGCATAAAGATGGCTCGAGATAGCGATACAGTGATCACAGTACTCGCGTGAGATTTTATTATCAAAAAAAAGCTGTATTTTTTATTAAAAAACAAAAGTTGCATAATACAGCTTGATATTTAACTTGATATTTAGTTTGATTGAACTTGAATGCCCTTTCTGCTTTATCCCGAGAAAGATTCACGCTTGCGATTATGGTGTTTCGTGGTTGATTCGAGAAGATGGACTGCTCGAGAAAGTTGGTAACTTAGTTGGTAATGATTTGTTGATGATTTGGCAATGATTTCAGGTCCCCATTTCGGACACAGTTGCAAAATTCCCGAATACTCCGATAGCCTACCGCATTTCTACAACTGGCACCACTGGAAAGCCGAAACAAATCGACGTACCCTTGGACAGCCATCATGCCAAACATTGTCGATTTTCGGTTAAATTTCGATTCCAAATAAAAAAATTTCTTTATTTAGTGACAAATTCGGCGTGACTAGAGAGGATCGAGTTCTCTTTTCGACTTCATTTCAATTTGACCCCTCAATCATCGAGCTTTTCCTGCCGGCATTCACCGGCTCTCAATTGATCATCGCATCGGAAGCTGTTCGTTCGTCGAGCACCGCGTTTCTAACTCTTTTTGCTCAAACTCGACCTACAATTGTTCAGGTATGTAACTTTTATCCATTTTACTTGATTCTAACTTATAGATTTTCAAACTCGTACCCGTTTTTTACTCGTGAATGCCTGGAGATTTCAGTTAACACCAGCCATTCTCACAATTCTTGGGCAAACAGTGTTGGATCAACTATTCGCCGAAGAGACTTCGTTGCGTATTCTCATGGTGCATTTCTTAGTTTTAAATGTCAAAATAAGGTCTTTTTAGCCCAAGCTTATTTCAGATTGGTGGAGCCGCTTTTCCATTAGCCTTACTGAAGCCGTACATCGAGAAAAACAAACGCGTTCAAGTGTACAATGTTTATGGAATAACTGAGATCTCGTGCTGGGCTAGTATTCAACAGATTTTACCAAGGTTTTTCATGAATTTTTGTAGAGAAAACTAAGATTTAGCACTCGATTTGTAACTATTGGCCGTCCACTAATCGAGACATCGTTTCACGTTTCGCCAAATGGAGAACTTTCAATTGGTGGCAGTAGACAGTGCTTTGTTGAAGGGGCTCTAAGTGAGCTGATTTTAATAAGATATTGAAATATTTTGTATTTAGCAAATGGATTCACACCAACGGGAGATTTGGTCGAAGAAGTGGCGGATGGGATGGCGATTGTTGGACGAACGAATGATGAGGTATTCTGTTTAAACTTGAAAACTATTAATGTACAGCAATCATTTAAAATATCCCAAAATTTATTGTATTTTAAAAGTTTAAAAACTTTCAGTTCAAATTCAATGACATTCGAGTGAATCTGGCCTCGTGGGCAAAGAATATCGTCGAGCAAAAGCAAGCACTTGCTGCTGAATTTATCGTCTTTGAAAAAGTGACTTTTTATCACTAAAATGAATCAATAAACAAACGAATTTCGCTACAGTTTGAATATTTTAAATATCAAGTTTATATCATAACAAAATTTCAGATATTTCTGGTGTTATTCGTCGTGAATGCGGCTCCAACATTGGAAGCTAATTTCCCTACAGTGCTACGCCCGGCTAAAATCTTTCATCTAGACAGACTTCCCGTGAATGAAAATGGTTTGAGTTTTATTCTAATTTATTAATATTATCAAAATTAGGAAAAGTGGATAAAGACGAGTTGCAAAAAATGATTGTGAGAGATGGAGGGACGATTGAAAACAGAGAGAAGCATTTCTGGGATACGGTGGCTAAATATGGCATTACAATGTTTATCCTGTGTTTTAAAAACTTTCAAACTTTTTGTTTAGAACATCCGATTTGGGAATCTCGTTCAGAGCTTATGGAATTGACTCGTTTGCAGCCGCTGAACTGTCTTTTGAGGTAAAGTTTCAAAAATTGATCACCAATTGATCACCATTGATCACCATTCAATCATAAAAATCGTACAAATGTTCTGTTCAATTACAGAATGACTTAAAAGTTATTGAATTAAACAGAGAACATCTTTTCAATCATTTATATAGAGTGCTTTTGCTTTTTAGATGGTACAGAAAGTATTCAGCTGTAAATTTGTATCCGAGAGTTTTCGGGGACGGAGAATCGACTAGAGATATTCATTTTGTCGGGTCTGCCAATTCTCATACCCAATCTTAAATAAGATATGATATAAATATTTGATTTGGAGTTAGATCATCCTTTTCTTTTTAAGTCATAATAATCTTTAAGTAATCTTGTAATTGAACAGAGACAAAAAAGTTTAGATGAATTGCCCGAATCTTCTTGCTGAGATTTTGTCAGACAAAACGACAATTGAAAGCTTTCTCCGCAAGTTATTCTCAATAGAAGTAAGAAAATTTTTGATTTATAAAATGATTTAAAATCCAATTGCAGAAACAATCGAAGAGAAACTCTGATGAAAAGAGGGTTCTCAAGGCAGACCTGGAAACGAAATTTCGAACTGATTGGGCTCACGATTATGGGAAATGCGTAGACACTGATCCAAAATTGGTACAGATGTAAGTTAAAAAAAACTTATTTTCTCATGCAATTGTTTAGTGATGACAAAGATTGTGTGATATGTGGTGCCTATAATGGAGTGGTTGTTGCCCTAGAAGTCAACAGTGGAAGAGAGATTTGGCAAGCAACACTACCCGCTGGAATCGATAGCACATTTGGTTACAGTCCGGATTTTGTGATCATTGGTAAAATCCATTTTTCAGCATAGTAAATGATCAAAAAGTTCAGGTTGTTTGAATGGAAATGTTTATGTCTTTGATATCTGCAAAGACGAACTTCACTGGACTTTTCCGACAAATGGACCGATTCATACAGAGATACTGGGTACGGAGAAAGATCTCGAAAGTTGTTATTTTGATTTTCAGTAGACGAATCTGGTTGTGCCTATGTTTTTAGCAATGATGAGACTCTCTACAAACTGAATGTGTTGGTAAGTCTTAGTTGCCATACTTATTAAAGTAAGCTTGCCGTGCGAAAGCTGAACACAACACGTTCACTCAATCAACATTCGTACTTCAATCTCACTAAAGTATACCCGTATAAAATTATTCGATTGACAAGACTAATAGCAAGATTTGTCAGCTAAATACCTTGTATTCCAGCTTACGATTACGACTCGGATTACGGTATCCTAACAGAATATCTAATTTAACAATGATGACAAATTTTGTTTACCAAAGAATTTAGGAAAAGACTGTTGCCTGGACATGCAAGATAGGCTCATCCGGACCGGGAACTCCATTGAGAACAAGATTTTTCGAAAAGCTTGACAATGACTACATTGATGTGTTTTTGGTGGGAACATTGGATAAACGAATCGTATGTGTGAACCAGGTAAAAAGCAAAGAATGTTATTCTCTGTAACCTCTCCATTTTAGCACACTGGCGTTATTTTATGGACCACAAAGCTAGAGGGGCCCGTTTTTGCGCCAATGATCACCACTATTTCGAACAATATCTACGTCTGTACGGTGAATGGGATCTTCTATGAATTGGATTTAAAAACGGGATCAAAGGTAAGCGATTTGTAAAGTAGAATAAGAAAAATTGGGTCAAGATACGAAGAAATTTCTTACAGTTATTTCAATATGTGTTGAATGGAGCTGTATTTGCCGCTTGCCATTTCGTCGAAGAGCTACGACTCTGCATCATTTCTACGCAAGAGGGATCAATTCTTTTCATCCGAAAAACCTCAGTTCGTTTTATGTAAAGCCAAGTTTCCTCTCTCAATTTAAAATCAAATTTAGCACTGTTTTACGGATTCAAATCGATGGGGCAAGCTTCATCAAAACGATTTTTCGCTCGATTCTTGATAAATCAAGCAAAACCCTCGCTTTATGGCAGATTGGTACCGAGGGTATCATATATACAATCGGTTTGTTTCTAAGATCATAATCAATAATATTAGGTTGGCATGAAAGTTCGTAGAAAAAGTTTGTCCGTTTGCACTCATTTTTTTTACGAGTAATTTCTTGGAGTCGTCTTGTAAATAATAGAACAAAATGTTCTTGAATTGGTGGATTCGTTTTTAACACGTTGACGACATTGTCACCTGATGCTGTCTGACACAAATTCGTTCGCCTGGGACATTGTCACCTGATGTCAGGTGACATTTTTTGTCGAAAAAAAACAGCGTTGTCCCATGCGATTGTTTGTGCAAAAACGCCATTGTCGTCAACGTGTTAAGAAATTTCAGTCAAAACCTTTTTCCGAGAACTTTCTTTCCAACCTAATAAGATAATAAGAGCATAATCATAATCAATCAATTTCGACTTTCTTAGAAACAAACTGGGAATTGGATGGTGAAAACTTGAGTCTATACGGAGAAAAAGTGACGAGTCGAGCGATTGGCGATGGGGTGACAACGACGTTCACTCAACCTCTTTGTTTATCAAACGATCAAGAGACAAAGCTTTTCGTTGCTTCTAGAGACGACATGCTTAGGTGTCTTGTGCTCGTTAAATAGATACCATTTTTTTATTTGCTTTTTGAATCTCAGTTTATCAACGGGTTTATGAGTTTTAAAAGTGGCATATCTTTTAGTCTTTCACGAGTTGCTCAAATGTTAGCAAAGCTTTTATCTCTATTTCAATGATAAAAGTTTCAAAATTTTCTCTACAACTACAACAATACAAAACTGGATGACAAAGTTGTTAGGTTTTTTATGGTGTCAGCTGAAGCGTATTATTATTATAGAGCTAGTTTTTGAAAATCTTTTATGGAGGAATTGATGCTCTCCATTATTATGATGATTAAGTGTCATAGAGAAGCAGTTCTTACAAAGGTCGCAATTTCGATCCGTAGTGAGTCTCGGCGACTGAGTAAACGGGTTGAGCGAGCTCTTTCACGTTGCTTCAAACATTATCATTTCTCCTTTGCTGATGATTTTCTTCCTTCTGCTTTTTCTCTTTCCGGTAGCTAATTTGGTTGGTTTAAGATTATTATTCAGACTTAAAAATATTAAATTTGGGCTCTCGATGGACCAAGCATAGCTAATGCAAGAGGCTGTGAGCTTTGCGATTTTGTGATCAAGGCAGCGATCGCTCGTATTGAACGAACAAAAGGAAGTCAAGACGAGGGGTAACCAACAATAGCAAAAAAAAGAAATGACTTGCTTGCTATTAGGCGAAAAGCAACCTACGATTTCATCAAGCTTTTTCTTGTTCAACTCAGAAGTGATTTGAAAGCAAAAGATCTGGGTAGTGGCACCGTTCAATGGTTTGCTTTTTGGGACACAATGCAGGTTTGACAATAGCAAGCATTTCTATATCCAATTCATACCCATTTTCGCTAGTTTCACTAAGCTCAACAAAACTCAATTCTAGGGTGCTTGGGAAGAGCAAGTCGATTCGTTTATAAATGATGATCGAGAGCGAGCAATCATGCATTCGATTTGGAATGAAGTATGTCTATAACTTATGCAACAGCTTAGTAAGTTGGAATTGCCTGGAAGAAAAACTTAGGTGGCCGATTGGATGGAAGAAGCTGTTATTGATGCAACTCGGTCATCGAAAAATGAGGACCAGTGAAGATCGCTTCCAAACACCTAACAACTAACTTATTATTTGTGATAGAACGTAAATTTTTTGAGAGCTCGGGCAAACCAAGCCATCAATCATTCTTTTACTATGTGTCTTTGCAGAAAACCCTTCGTGATTCATAATGATTATTCATTTGTTTATTGAAGAAATAACAAGAACAAAGCAAATTGAACAAAGCACGAACGGTTTCTATTTTTTAACAATTTGAATTACGTCTTCATGGTCCAACAAATGATGAACACCGACCCGTTGAGGAGAAAATTTCGTCGAAGTTCCCCAAACAATGGCATATCTAAAGCTCAAATTTTAACATGTCTGCAAATAATTGCAAACAACTCCGATTCTCAAACTAAAATGAATCAAAAACAAACAAAAAGTCGACCTGAATTGACTAGCAAGAGTTCTATGTAGAGCATGACAACAGTGTTCTACTGTGGCTCCTCTTCGCAAAATGATACCATCTTCTTTTCCTAAATAACAATTGTATACGATTTATTAAACGTTTCACCTAAATCTGGTGCGTTTCCCGGTTTTTTAGTATACACGCGCAGCAAGGCTAGATACTCCCATATAACCTAAACTCAATTCAGGTGATTCGTGATACAAAGATAAATTACTTACATCGACAAGATAGTCGAGATTGAGGTTCATCTCACACGAGATTACTACATGATATGGCATTCTGCAATGATTGAATGATTGAGGTTTAAAGTTAACACAAACCTGGCAAGCCTGTCAACTTCTTCGATCGATATCTGGTCAACTTTATTATAAACATAAAGGCACGGCATGTAAACTCGGTTTCCTTGAATCACGTCAATAAATTCGTCGATCCTAAAATCTATAGTTTATTAAGCATTCAAGAACACGCACGTAACATCCTCCCGAAAAACTACATCAGCGTTGAACATTTTGTATTCGTGGAGCACATGCATAATGAGTCTCTCACTGCAATGCGTAAGTGGCACCGTATGTGTGAACTTTACACCGCCGACCTACACAAATTTATAAAAAATCAACGTAAGAACTTACTTTTTTCTGTTTAACATATATGTTTGGTGGTCTTTTGTTGAGTCGGATACCAACAGCTTCTAACTCCCGTTCCAGTAATGATCGTTGTTCATCACTTTTACCAGCATCAAGCATCATCAATATCAAATCTGCAGTTTTTGCGACAGCGATAACTTGGCGCCCACGACCTATATATTTTTTTTTAAAAAATCGAGTCAACCAGATAAACCTTTTCCCTGGGACGCTCCTTCGATAATCCCAGGTAAATCGAGAAGCTGAATATTCGCTCCCTCATGTTCGATTACACCTAAATGTGCCCTTTTAAAATGATCATAAATTGTAAAATAAGTTTTACTGAAAGCTGAATAATCGATGTTCTAAGACAACTAACCCGGAATACATGTGAGGGTCGTAAATTCATATCCAGCAGCTTCCGAATGTGTTTTTGTGAGATTTGAGAGTAGAGTCGATTTTCCAACAGAAGGAAACCCAACCTGAATGAGTTAGTTGTGCTTACAATTAAATAAGTGTGTAAAATAATATTAAGACACTATTAAATGTGCAAATTATTATTAAACCAACCATAGCAACACGAGCGTCTCCACTCTTCATCACATCGAATCCATCCCCTTTCGCGCCCGATTTTCCCGTTGGCTCCAACAATTGTTGTCGAAGCTTGGCGAGTTTAGCCTAAGATAATTGATAAAGCATTACCAATTGTTAAGCTTACCTTCAATAAGCCAATGTGATACTCGGTTGCCTTGTTCTTTTGCGTTCGCGCCATCTCGCGCTCAATCTCTTGGATTTTCTCGACGATCCCCATTATTAAAGACTCTAAATTTGGGTTATTTCGATGGCGAAAAAGCATATAGAACAAGTATTCAATAGAAATACACTTAACGGCTTTTCAAAGCGCAAAATATATCTCAATGTTTATTAAAATAATAATAACACAACGAAATTTGAGATCACAAAACAAGAACTCCAAAACTGAGATCCCTATAACACAAAAAAACACTTTGGCAGCAGTGTACAAAATTACAATTCAAAATACCACATTTAAGGCCTAGGCTGTCTATGTAAAACCGGCGGAATAAATAAAGCTTCGTATGTGGGTAACGATACCGTCGATGAGCCGTAAACTTCCTCATCATCGGGTAAAGACGCATGCGCAGCTTCGATCTAGAGATAAGGAATAACTTTTATTCCAAAACTAGATTTGCTACCTTTTCTTTTTCTGCGAGAACAAGCTCTTTTTGAAGTTTGAGCCATTGCATTTGCTCCACGTATCGATCTGAAGTGGCGCGTACATGTTTTAAACACTCCTCCAGAAGATTAAGTTTCTGCCTTCGGTTCATCACTTCTTGAGACAAGCTGAAGTCAAAACAGATGGTTTAGGGGAAATTCGAATAAAAATAAATAAATAACTTACCTTCGACAATAATCGCGCACCAATGACTCTTTCCCCATAACATCGGCAAGAATTTTACGAGCCTGATCGTAGTTTTTGATAAAACTCAGGGCATCCACATTACCAATATGTGGAGGAAAATCAGAAATCTTCATTCTAAAAAGTTAATACTTATAAAATGACAGCATAAATTCTTACCTAATGTCGAGGTTGGCTGAAGGAGGATCTGCAAGTTGGCCAAGTAAGTGAGTTAATTCTCCAGTCACTTTACCCATAGCTTCCGCGTCATACGCAACTTTCATCTAAAAAGAATAAATCTTAATATTCTACCAACAACGCCTTACCACTTTTTTCGGAGTCGGTATATGTGGTTCCCCCTTTGGTGAACGTGGAGCATTTCTTTCTTCGGTAGGACGTGTGCGACTCTAAATACTTTACCATTTACTTCAGGAACAAATATAAAACTTTTAAAACGAGATATCAGCAAATAGTATACTTACCTTTAACAATGAGCCCAGTTGCTTGATCTGATCCATGTCATACATCGTTCTATCTTGCCAAAGTTTAAGCAATTTCATTACGACAGGATGTAGTCCTTTGTCTTGCAGTTTTCCAGCAGCCCTGTATGTTTTAATATTTTTAAGAATAAATTTTAAGTGTTACTTTATCGCCGCTTCAATGACGGGCAGCATATCCATTGCGATTTTTGGTTCCGTTCGTCGTCCATTTTGGATGACATCGTTAGCCGTGTATAGAATTTTAGTGAGACCCTTGGTTGTACGTTCCGCGTCAATCCACTAAAGCAAACACATAGCTCCTAATTAATATATGAAAAAGCAAACCTTGTACCAATCGCGTATAATCTGATCGGAACGGTGATAAGATTGAATAATCCACTCAGAGAATTCGTTGATCGATAACTTAAAGTTTACAAAAGATATCTACATATTTTGGCAAAAAATCTAACCTGTGTCGATTTCAGTTGTTTTCCCCTGCTCAAAAAATCGTTTCCATCATGCTCCATGTAGACAGCTAAAAGTAAAACTTGTAATTTCAAATGTTAAACTGAGTATTCAGTTCGTAGGCTGAATCATTGAAATTTTGAATTTTTGGTACTGGGCAGTAAAGGGGAGTGGGACAAATGCTACCTTTTTTTTGCGCACCTTTTTTTCCGCACTTAGCCCATTAGCGCACCTTTTTTCGCGTTTTAAAAAAGCTCTAGAAAGCTAATATTAACCAATTTCTATTCGGTGCGCAAAAGGTGCGCTAATGGGCAAGGTGCAGAAAAAAAGGTGCGCAAATGTCCGGATGTGCAAAAAAAAGGTCGCATTTGTCCCACTCCCCAGTAAAGCTCTTTTTCGCGCGGCTTTGGTGTTTTCTCAAATGATACCTACGCTTAACAATAAGCAAATCCTTATTTGTACTACCCTAAATTTTTAAGCTGAAAGCTAGCACAATCTTTACACGGAAAGTTTCATTTAACAAAAAGTTAGAGCAGTTTTATAAACGATAGTTGATAATTGCACAAAATTGGTTAGTTGCATGCCGTAACATTTTTGGTTGTATGCAACAATCCCGTGGGGAACTTCATGTGTACGACACCGTACGTTGCCAACTTTCAAAGTTTATTGCCGACGTGTTGTTTAATCCTTCAGCATCCTTTTTGCACATTATTATTATTTTTCGTAAATTTTTATGTTTTTGGGTGATTATTTGAAAGTATTTATGATTTTTTTAGGTAATGACAGGCCAGAGAGCGTTTTTACGGGGTAACTCGTTAGGAGTTACCAGTCTCTTGACCTTTGCCGTGTTGGCATTGGCTTGGTGGGTGTCTTTTCTTCAAAGTTTAATAATATTCTTGTTTTAGGTTTGTCGGTTTTGCTAGCAGACTTTTTGCCATTGTCCGTTTCGAGTCAATCATTCACGAATTCGATCCATGGTTTGTTTGAAGTTCGTTGGATATTTAAACTTTTTTGTAGGTTCAACTATCGTGCCACTCACCAAATGGTGACCACAAACTTCTACGATTTTTTGAACTGGTTTGATGAACGAGCATGGTACCCATTGGGTCGAATTGTTGGAGGAACGGTGAGTAGTCTTTAAAATGTTTTGATAAGTAAAAAGCAAGTTGTAAAGTTAACTTGTAAATTAGGTCTATCCTGGTTTGATGGTTACTTCTGGACTTATTCACTGGATTTTGGAGATGATCAATTTCCCTGTTCACATCAGGTTAATAGTTTTTTTACGGTTTTTGAACACTTATGATTTAGAGACATTTGCGTGTTTCTAGCTCCAACGTTTTCGGGTTTAACGGCCATTGCCACTTATTTCCTCACAAAGGTTTTATCAATATCTTTTATAGTATTTAACTTTTTTGATTAGGAACTTTGGTCTGCGGGCGCTGGGCTCTTTGCTGCGGCCTTCATTGCGATTTCACCTGGATACACTTCCCGTTCAGTGGCTGGCTCGTATGACAACGAAGGAATTGCCATTTTTGCTCTTCAGGTAGTCAAGAAAAAAGCTCTGTTCATCGCTTGTCGTATATAAAACTTGTTTTAGTTTACGTATTTTCTCTGGGTCAAATCGCTCAAAGAAGGAAGCGTCATGTGGGGTTCACTCTGCGCTCTCTCGTACTTTTACATGGTTTCTGCTTGGGGAGGCTATGTGTTTATCATTAATTTGATCCCACTACATGTCTTGGTAGATTAATAAATATATCATTAATTTTATTTCCAAGTTTAGTTGCTCATTGTTATTGGACGGTATTCTTCTCGCCTCTACATCGCCTACAATACATTCTATATTCTGGGAACTTTGCTCTCGATGCAGGTATCAAAAGAGATCAAAAAACTAACAATATTTTTTTGTTTAGATACCTTTTGTTGGATTCCAACCAGTGAGAACCTCTGAGCACATGCCAGCTTTTGGAATTTTCGGACTACTTCAGGTAGTATGCTCTTATAGTTAGATTGCATTTGGTTGCATGATTAGTTTATTTTTATCATTAATTTTATTTAGATTGTTGCTGCTATGCAATATCTACGAACGCGTCTCACCAGAAGTCAATTTGTGACGATATTTATCGGTGGTCTTTCGGTGGCCGGAGTTCTTGGAACTTTTGTCTACTTTGTTCTCGTCGCATTTGGTAAAATCATTTGTCGCTATGTTTGCTATATTCATTTCTTTTCTAGGTTACGTAGCACCATTTTCTGGACGTTTCTATTCTCTCTGGGATACAGGATATGCAAAAATTCATATTCCCATCATCGCTTCGGTGTCCGAGCATCAACCGACAACGTTTGTTTACATTTTCAAATAAAGAACGAGAGGGTTTTTAGCTGGGTTTCGTTTTTCTTCGATCTCCATATCACGGCCGCCGTTTTCCCGGTCGGACTTTGGTATTGCGTGAAAAATGTTAACGATGAACGAGTGTTTAGTTAGTTTTATGTTTCCTACAAATTAACCCGATATTTTTTAGTCATTCTTTATGCTTGCTCTGCTGTCTATTTTGCCGGTGTGATGGTTCGACTTATGTTGACGTTGACGCCGGTGGTATGCGTTCTTTCGGGAATCGCGTTCTCGTATACATTTGAGCGGTAGGTGCGACTAACATTTATAAATTACAAAGTATATTTCTAGGTACCTCAAGGATGATCCGAGCAGCAGTCGCTCTGCTGAGGGTGGTGAAAAGGCTACTCTCTACGATAAGCCGAAGACCAAAAAAGTATCTTATAAATAGCCTGTAAGAAAATTTTTAAAACGTCTAGGTTTCTCAAAGCTCTGAAGGTGGATCAGGTGGCGAAGATGCAGTTGGAATGAACACAAAGTCGATTGTGGCGGTGGTGTTGATGCTATTGCTTCTCATGTAACTTTGATTTGATGGTATTCTTTTATTCGTACGAGTATTTAGGTTCGTTGTTCACTGCACATACGTTACTTCCAATGCTTATTCTCATCCATCCGTCGTTCTTCAATCAAGCACTCAATCCGGGTAAGTTGCATAGTTCGCGAGTTTTTTGTATTCAACGTATACTGAGGTATTTATGGTTTTTTTTATTTAGAGGAAGAGTTATTATGGACGATTTTCGTGAGGCTTACCATTGGCTTCGGGAAAATACTGCTGATGACGCACGTATCATGAGTTGGTGGGATTATGGTTATCAGGTAGATTGTTTTCATTAGCGATTATTGTGAAGAGATCTACTTAGATTGCTGGCATGGCAAATCGAACCACTCTTGTCGACAATAATACATGGAACAATTCTCACATTGCTTTGGTAATTATATTTATAAGCAGCTCATGCACTTTATTTTCAGGTTGGAAAAGCTATGTCTTCGAACGAATCAGCTGCATATGAAATTATGCGTGATTTGGATGTCGACTATGTTTTAATCATTTTCGGAGGTTGACTGCTCAAGTTTTACTTGTACATTGGCGTTTCAGGGATGCTTGGATATTCTGGAGACGATATTAACAAATTTCTTTGGATGGTTCGTATTGCTGAAGGAGAGCATCCTAAAGAGATCAAGGTAAAATATTAATTTTTAAATGTAATCTTTGATTTAGGAGTCTAACTATTTCACTGAATCTGGAGAGTATTCGGTTGGTCCACAAGCTTCGGAAATCATGTTGAATTGCCTCATGTACAAGGTATTTTATTCTTGGTCGCTGTCAACATACATGCAAATTAGATGAGCTACTATCGTTTTGGGGAAACACGTGTCGGTTACAACCAACCACCAGGTTTTGACAGAACTCGAGGCTACGTCATTGGCAAAACGGTATTTTTGTATCTCTAGTTGTGAACAGAGATACAAAAACGTTACTTATTTTGATTTTAGGATGTCACACTTGAGCACGTTGAAGAAGCTTATACAACGGAGAATTGGCTGGTGCGTATCTACCGAGTTAAGAAACAGGTCGGAGTTTATACACATCATAATAAGGCGCGATGAGCTTTTGGTCATGTTTAATTACTTTCAAATATTACGGTTGTAAATCTTTAGGTAAATCGCCCTGAAATCAAGTACACGGACCGTCATATCAAATCATCAAAGAAGGCTCCGGCGAAGGTTAGTTTTTGCTTACGCTACCAAATTAAAGATGTAATTTTAGGCTTCTAACAAGAAGGGAGTATTCCGGAAGGCGACAACCACCAAGTAGAATGATAGTGTGCAGGCTGATATCAAAACTTTAATTTATGAACTCAATTTCATTGCTATTTTCATTTGTAATTTATTTTCCCCTCTTCCGGGTTTTTCTTTGTTTAGTCTGGTCAACAACTTTGGTTGCAGGAATTAAGCTTTCATACCTGTCTTTTAAGCTTCCTTTTTAATGAATCAAACTTTCAGCTCTTTTGCTTATTGTTCTTCAACTAAAGGCAGCTTAAAGAGCCAGACTATTTTTTGAAAACCAAAGTCATTAAAAGCAAGTGGTAAGTAAGTATTTAGTGGGCTTTTGATCATTTATTAGGGGTTTTTGCACCGAGACGACCCATCATATCTTTGTACCATCATCACCTTTTGGATTTTCACAGGTATCTTCGCTCTACTTGATTTTGTGATATCTTTGGTTGGTTGTAAGGTGTATTTAAGTTATTTTGTTGTTTATTTATTGGCCTCAACTTATTTCTGTTCTTGTTGCATTGTTTTTCTAGAATAAATCAGGTTGTTCGAGTCAAAAAATACCATCAGGCACAATGAGCATACAACAATAGAAACCGTGAGGAAAGCCGCGGAGATCATTTGAGAACACGACCCTATCGGGAGTGCTGCTGCTGATTCAACAGAGAAAAACGTTTTAATGTTGTATTGCTTTTTTTTTGGTAACTCGCATGCTGGCTTTTAAATTCTAAATTGTTACTTCAAAAATGCGGCATGGAGGTATTTAAATATCCAGCAGAAACTTCATTGATTAAACTATCAATTGGAACCAACATCAATTCATGTTCATAAAGCTTTAAATAAAAGCTCGTATGAAACTGTGTGGGCAAGACGTCACAATTCCTGTCTGCTAATACCAAAGCGAGCATCTAATTCACCTGTTGTAGTTTCCACTAGAAACACTGCCACCGCAACCGGATAATTTGTTTCAACTTTTATTTATATCAATACACAATGTTAAAGTAAACAAAGATTAATCTAACAAAGAAAAGATAAGTTAATCTTTGAAGAAATTTAATCAATAAATTTATGGAAAACTTGAAAATTTCGAAAATACATGAATTTTCTGCTTCAAGGACGTTGTTTATAAGTACGCGTTGTGTCGATTAATACATAGTACATTAGAGGGGGGTACTATTAGAAGGATGGGATCCAATTACAGTATTTACGGTAGGTATATCATAAGAAAAACCTTACTGTTTCACTGCAAACTGGAAAAAACGAGAAGCGGGGAGCTCCGGAAGCTGAGAAAATGTAGAAATGATAAAAAAAAAATTTGTTTCTTCGCCTCTGGCGTTGGGCCAACGACGTTTTTGGAATTTGTAATTTTGCCTAATTGCCTACGTAAATACAAATTCCGAAACGAAACGTTGCTAAATCGATTAGTGGAAAATAGAAAACACTGCTGTTTTCAATATTTAAGCATGGTTTAACTTTGATCAATTAAACCAACACATCAGTAAGCTTGATGTTTTTAGTGCAATTCCAAGATCTTTACGGTTATCTCGGGGAGAGGGGGGGCTTAGCCGTCGTGGGAGCTGCGGCACTCATCCGATCGCCACTTCCGCCCTAACGTTGAATACAACCCTGGAACAGGGAACAAATCTGTTCTGCCTTGATCCGTTCAACAAATCTGGGAACAGAGGGGACAAATCTGTTCTGCCTTGACCAAGGCTTCATACTGTTACTGAAAGCCTAGAGGAGTTGAAAAATTTCAGATTCATTGTTAAAACACGATTTTAGACCATCCGTAACCGTAATGGTCCAGCCCGTAATGGTCCGTAACCCATAATGGTCCGTAGCCCAACTCCAGTTTATTTCTTTCATAAAAGTGAATTTTTTTGGTGAAAGGTGGCCAAAGAAGAAAAAGTCAAGAAGTGGCCGAAACAATATGGGATATCGGCTGTATCGGTCTCTTTCATCCTAAATCTCATTCATCCGAAGAACAATCCCTTCACAATTGTTCCCTATTTGCATACCGGGTTAGAGTGTTTACCATTCTTTAGGCGGGCAAAGTATCCCGCATTTGAACAATAAAATTCCCACTCTAAAGACACTTTTCATCGTGTTATATGTATGGCAAAAATATCTATTCGAATTGACGATGCTTTTCGTTTCTGAGGACACACTTGTGTAGGTTGATAAAAATAATTGTGACTGTGTGAAAATTGGTTGGTGTGCTATGAAAATAGAAGAAGAGAAGGGGAGGTGGCCATTAGGGATTGTGAGAACAGCTCTTCACCCCATCACCCTCCCCCATCCACTACTCATAATTTACCACTTATTACTGCACTCGACGAGACAATAGCTGGTTTGAGAAACTGGCTCAACACCACGCAGCAACAACTTTATTCGAAGTATTCAGAGGGAAAAGTATTATGTACAATTGAAGTTTTAGAGTAGAAATATGCACAAAGTGAAATCAAAATAAAACGTACCGTAAATAGTACTACAACTGTAATAGTACCTCACCCCCATAATGACGCTGCGGAGTGTTGCGTAGTCTAGCTTTGAATGAGTTTTTCTCTACACTGGTTTATGCTACAATGCGCACTTAGGTATCAAAAAATAGCTGAAATTCAGGGCTATTTTTTTGATACCAAAGCGCACATTGTAGCATAAAGCAATGTCGAGAAACTAATGTTTGAAAAAGGTATCAAAAAGTAGCCCTGAATTTCAGCTATTTTTGATATCTTTTTCAAACATTAGTTTCTCGACATTGCTTTATGCTACAATGTGCGCTTTGGTATCAAAAAATAGCCCTGAATTTCACCTATTTTTTGATATCAAAGACGCATTTTTTGAAAGTACGGGCGCTTTGAAAAAAATGAAATACTAAAAAACTTTTGCGACTACGCGACTGTACGAGGGGGGGTACTATTACAGTATTTACGGTAGGTATCTAGCTGCGATTTTGGAAAAGTACGCCTATGACTCGATCGACTGACTTGACTTGAATATACGTTTGCAAGATATTTCCATTGTAAATGATACAATTCATTGTGTAATCGTGATCGAAAGCAAAATCGTGACTCTACTAAACTGCTTTTAAGCTCTCTTGGTCTTTAGCTGGCTGCCTTTTCACTCCTCTTCGGCTACAGTAAGCTCATTGAGGCGGGCAGGCTCCACCCAAGGGACGTGGGTGGAGCCTGCCCGCCTTCTAGGGACTTTGGGGACACGGTCCATCCCCCATTCTCCTCATTAAGGCATCTGTCCAATAAGAATTTCATTATAGATTTTAATCTTCCGTTATTTTGAAATCCTCAACCTTCATTTGTTTTCATTGTGCTTTGAAAAACTAGAACCCGGATCTAGACTGAAGATAAAATTAGAATTAGAGTCCCACTCCTCAGAGTGGGACTCTAATTCTAATTTTATTTTCACGCTTTACGTTCAATCTTTCATTATTTAATATTTAATTTCCGATTCTTTTACTAAGTCTATCATGAAATAGTTTAGAATGACTCACACTTTGCCAAGGACCAACTCAGCCTCCAAGCCAAATGAGCCAGTCACCAAGCAAAAGATCCGTCGTGTAAAGGTAAAAATAAGAAATTTCACAAGCAGTACTTATCGTTGAACTTGTTAAAAAGGCTAAATTACAAAATGATTTCATGATTTCAAATAATTTCATTTCCAGGCAAACGGCCGTGAGCGACAGAGAATGCACGGACTGAACAGTGCTTTGGATTTACTCCGTCAATGTGTGCCTATCACCACGCAACATCAGAAACTCAGCAAAATCGAGACGCTTCGCTGTGCGAGGTTTGTTTGCTTGTTCATTTTCGATCCTACTATCTTTCTTGAAAGCTTTAAGTTGACATTTGGTGAATGCTAGTTGAATAGAATGCTAGTTGGATAAGTCTAGGCTAAAGAATTGAAAGCAATGGGATAGGGTGATGCTTGATGACTCGTCATAAACACAATCTTATGTCCTCGTGCAACCATAAGACGACAATTAATGTTTCCCCTCTTTTCTCATTCCTCTGTCTCAAGGAAATGGCTTTTTGATCGGTTACGGTAATTAGAAAAAGGCAGGTGGGCCTAAATTTCTCCCGCAGTCTTCCCATATCTTGACACTGATTGTTTTCACTCAAATTGTTTACAATCATCAATTCGTAATTGCTAATGATTTATTGTGCATTATTTAGAAATTATATCGGCGTACTACAGCGAATGGCTACTACTGGCTGGCAACCAACACCACTTGAATATGCTCGGATTCTCAGCGCTGGAATGAGCCAAACAACTACGAATCTTATCGCAAATATGCTCCAGGTAAAAAAAGAATAAACAAAACTATTGACAATTCTTATTAGCAAATTAATTTCTATAGTAATAAAGCAAAGTTTCTGTTAATTTGATAAATGAATCAATTTTTTGAGACTTTCAATAGTTGCTAGAGGTTTTATAGCCTCTAGTAACTATTGCAATGAGCCTAAGCCTGAGTAAACCAAAATTCAAATTCTCTGAATAGCTAAAAAAAAAACTTTTAGGTACCACCCCGTTTGGTGATGGGCTCTCCACTCACTCTTGGGCATCAAATGAATACCCTCCTACCCAACAACTATTTCATGGACACAATGCCGAGCAGCAGTGACTCGAGTTTCGATCTTTCCCCTTCACCCTCTCATCCTATTCACTCGCATCCTTCTCCCACTCATATGCACTACCCATTCCCACCACAATTCTAGAAATCCCTTGGGCTTTCTTCCACTTGTTGGGCATTGTTCTTGGGTGTTGAATCCCCGCTGTGCTCTTTTTTTTCTTCATTCTCTCAATTCTCCTCAAGTTCAAGTGGCCTAATTGAGCTCCTTCCGGTTTTTTTTTCGTCTATCTAATCGCTTTTGTATCTTGTAATAGCTGAGTATTCAAGTGGATTGAGAATTTTTTTGCACATTAGATCCTTTTTTTTGTGAAGACGATTTTCATTTGAATCATTTTCGTCTCATTGTTTCGTCAATTGTTACGGGTATATTGTGAATAAATCATTTGTTTTTGTTGAAATAAATGGTGCAAATTGTTCAAATACACAAGAGAAGATCACATCAATATTGAGTCGCAAAATCATTGAGATTTCAGCAGCAATTATCGCAATTTTAGAGTGGATCGAAATCGGGCACCTGGCAAAAGATTGAGAGAGAGAAAAAGGGGAATGCCTCTATTGTCATTCATCAAAATCAAACAATGAAACAAAATTCTTGGTTTTCCTTTTCCTGGTATTGTTTTGCAAGAAAGCTATAACTTGTTTTGACTGCTTCAAGATAGAATGTCTTAACTGCTTCAATTGGTATTACTAGATAGTCTAAATATTCCAGAAAAATATAAAGCCAAATAGATTTCTTCATTGCTTTTCATTGCTCTTCATTGCTCTTCATTGCTTGCGCTCTTTGTGAAAGCGCATTGACCTGAGAAGTGAGAATGCGCGAATGTTGGTTCATCGTTGCGCAATAGATAGAGAGATCGGCAAGTCTTTCTTCTTAAGAGTGTCCGAATCTCTCAAGCTCTTGATCTTGTTTATTGAGTGTTCAATTTCAATCTCTTCACGGCTTTTTGAGTAGTTGAGTGCCGATCACCTTCTTGAGAGCATGATTTCTTATGGTGTTACTGGTATACGAGTAAGAGCTTTAGACTGAAAATGGGTGTTTTCTAAAAGATTCTGTATATATTGTACAGTACTATTGTACAGTACTATTGCACAGTACTATTGTTATATCTATCTATCGTACAGTAATAAAGAACTAAGAAACCTGAAAAAGCACAAAGAAAAAGAAAAACCCGACTTTTTAGAAGAAAAGCAAAGCCCTTGATTTGTCCATTAATAGCATAAGGATGAATAAAATTAGGCTTAATTTGGGGAAAAGCCGACAAACGAGAAAAGAGAAAGGATGTTGTCAAGAGGTGGTGAGATGGACTGCCGCATGCAAATCGAGGCGGTTCCTTTCTCCTCTTTTCTCCCCATTCATTCAGATTGCCTTATTGGGTCTCTTTTTTTAGGAGTGCGACGTTTACAGTGTTTTGCCCTTTGACCGCTCTTCTTCTTCTTTTCCCTTTTCTCCTTTCATTCCCGATAAATCCCATTTGGTTTCTCCTACTGTTCACCCTACCGTAAAGCGGCGTCTTTTTCTTCCACAAATCTGCATTTGATCGATGAGTTTCTCGATTGATTTGTTTCATGAAATTTCTCTAGGATAATGGTTACTATCCATAATATGTATAAAGTAGAAGAGATGTCTGTTCGTCCGTCTGTCTGTGCGCAGCTATTGGCAAAAAGTGGCGGGGCTTAGATTGCGTGGGAAACGCGAATGTTAGTGAGCGTTTTCCGCTGGTTTATACTAGAATTCTAGAACCCAGCCGTTTCCTCGAGAAGAGAAAACTCAGCATCCCTAACAAAAAGAGAATAAAAAGTGTAACTTTAAAGTAAATACTGATTTTCTTTGCTAAAATAAAGCAAAGATCAAAGCTCAATCATCGCCGAGATTCCAGTGTGGAAATGTCATGGATCTGTCAACGGTCACAGCGTGAATCCCATCGAGAAGAGATTGGGGCTCAAATACCCGACCCTTTAATTAGATACGGTATATTCTCAAAATTTGTGCCTATGATAATACGGTTGAGAAAAGGAGAAAGACGGGGGAGATGTCCCGCGGCGACTGGCAATATTGGTGGCAAGGATTAGGAGAAAACGGGATTAGACTTTCCTTTAGACGTGAATCTCTTTGTACAAACCGCTCGAATGAATGCCTACTTTGGATACTCAAAGGATATTGTTTTTAGATTCACTGTAAAAATTGATTTTTTTTTTCTTTGCTTACAAAATATAAAATTGATCCTTCTTTGCTTTCTAATCAGAGTTCTTGGAGTGCAATAAATGAGAAGATTTCAGAGAGGAAAGGCTTTGAGGAAAGGCTGTGAAGAAAGGCTGTGAGGAAAGGCTTTGAAGAAAGTCTTCGAGGAAAGGAAATCAGAATTTCATGCTAGATAGACAAAAAAATGATAGCCAACTCCTAGCACTCATCAACAATTTTCTGGTAGCTCATTCATGGATTAGTGAAGAGTGCTTGAAAGTGTTGGGCAATTGTGGGTGAGAGGAGAGTGGGCCACAAGGCAAACAGGTTGTCCTTTTCCGCTTCTCGGGGTAATTGTTGATCGACACGTGTGTGGCTGTCACAATCAAGTATGCTTGAAAGTGAGGGAGGGATTCGATGACACACGTTTTGACCTTTCTCCTTTCTCCTTTCCATTCACTACACCCAAACTAGAATTTGCATTGGAATCACGATCAACTCAAGTGGATCCCACTTAATCCATCACCCATGAATACTTATCTTTTTTTACTTTACTCGCAAAACTTTAGCCTAAAATATTATAGGAAATAATGCTAAAAAGACAAGAAAAACTTCTAAAACTATTAGAAACTATAGACTGTTATTAGTAGAGTGTGTTCCTCACGAGTAATGCGTTTTTGTAAAGAAAAAGGCAAATTTAACAGATTCATGAGAAAGCCATCACATCCATTTGTATAATAAATGACTGGCGAGGTGTTCTTTGTTCTCTTGTCAACATATCTAGAGCAATGCGTTCCTCACGGATACCTGCGTCATGTTCCTCACGAGTAATGCGTTTTTTAAAACGCACACTTAGGAAAAATTACCGTACTTTTAGTGAAAAATACTGCAAAAAAAGTGGCGCAAAAAATCACGAGCGACCACTTATATAAGACTCTTTTTAAAGATATTCAGCCGTTTAAATGATTTGGTGGCAAATTCCCTTCACAAGTAAAGATATTCAATTTACCCGACGTGTAAAGAGGATTCCTCGTAGTTACTTGACCAAAAACGTCGATTAATCGAGTAAAAATTTACTCATGCAAGTTTTACTCGAGTAATTACTTACTCGCGAGGAACACACTCTAGTTATTAGGATGGCAACTTTGAAAATTTCGCTCACTTTTATAATTTTTTTAATATCAAAAGAGCTTTCTTCCCGCTTTTTGCATAAAAACAAACTACAATATTTTTTACGTAAACAACCTTTTCTTTTCGAAATTGCATCAGTCTTTTTGCGATTAATTAATTAATTTAATTAAATGGAAGACCAAAAATTTTTGATTTGGGCTGCATTGCTTTACGATTTTAAACAAGGAAAATTTGCGGCTGAATCGCATCGTACAATTATTTCTGTTTTTTTGAAGAAGAAAATATTAGCGATAGACATTGCCGTATATGGTTTCAATGTTTTCAAAGCGGCAATGAATGTCTCCAGAAAAGAGCCGCACGGAAGGCATCCTCAAGAAGTGTCAAACAAGGATTTGTTGATGAAACTCGAGAATGACCCAACACTCACTACCCGAGAGTTAGCGGAATTATTTAATGTTTCCCATACTGCAATTGAAAACCATTTGCATCAACTTGGAAAGAAAAATCGGGCGGGAAAATGGGTTCTACATGAACTGTCTCAAAGCTACAAAACGGCTCGTGTAAGTGTGAGCTCATTCTTACTCCAAAAGTGTAAGGCGAAGGATTTCTTTAATAGAATCTTAATGAAATTCTGATGAAACGTGGATTTATTATGAGAATCATAAACGAAAAAACCAGTGGATGTCCCAAAATCAAGAGATCGAGAGCCGAAAACCACTCCCAAACGAGATGCTCATGGAAAGAAGATCATGCTCTGTTGTTGGTGGAATGCAAAAGGTTTGGTGCACTACGAAGTGCTAAAACCTGGACAAACAGTTGATGCCGAACTTTATTCAAAACAATTGGTTCGAGTTAACGAGGATTTGAAGAAATTGGAACTCAAACCTTCAAGGGCTCGCTTTCTCCACGACAACGCCAAACTACACACGGCAAAAGTGACTCACAAAAAAAAAATCGAAGAGCTTGGCTAGAAATTGTTGCCCCACGCACCTTACTCGCTTGACCTAGCACCATCAGATTATTTTTTGTTTCGGTCGTTGAAACGCTTTTTGGAGGGAGAAAAGTTCGATGATCACAGCTCATAAAAGCACTCAACACATACTTCACCTCCAAAACTCCTCATTTTTTCGAGAATGGGGTCCGGGACTTTCGGATGGGAAAAAGTCATCGATAAAAATTGCAAATATCTTTTGGATTAAAGTTTTCTGTTTTCTATTTTGCGTTTTGTGTAATAAAGAAGTTTTGGTTAAAACGGACGTTTGAAAGTTGCCAACCTAAAAGAATTTGTTTTTTTTTTCAACGAAAAGGAACGAAAAGACTTTCTGGACAGCTTAATAGAATGCCAAAAATGTTAAATGAGTCAGAAGAATCCTGTTTTGAACCGTTATTCGAACAAATCAAAGGCGTGGTGATGATAAAAGAGAAAGATTTTTCGGGGGGTTTTAAAGAATTGAATGGTAAAAGTGATAAGAGGGCAGAGGGGAGGTTTTTAGCTTTGACAAACGGTTATGTTTCTTTCCGTTTCCCTTTTCTCTTCTTCAATCACTCGGCATCGATTACGTGATCACAAGTGGTTCCCCGAAGTCTCCCAACAACGGATGGGACACAAAGCTGATGCACGATGCAAGACATTATGAAACTCTTCAAACCGACGCAGAAACCGACGCAAAATAATTTGTATATCTCGGATCCAAAAGAATTTCGGTGATTCGTTTTATTGTCCTTTTTTTTTTAGAGTTTTTCTTTTCAGACATGTTAAATCTATTTCTCGATTGGAGGGACAACGAATGTTAGATGATTTGGAAGAGATCTCTAAACCACCTCCACCTAGTCATGGTCGAAATTCTCTCATTATTGGTTTGTCATTTATTTGATCACAAGATCACAATGATCTTGTCTTAAACAGTTCCCTAAAACAAATTTTGATTTAGGATCTTCTATTATATCGGAAAAAGATGAAGCTGATCAGTCAGACAGGTAAATTATTCTTTTTCTTATGATATTGTTTACTTCTAGTTGGACAAACTCTGAAGCAGACGATGAACCGATTGATCCTCGATTTCTCGACGATGACGAATCTGTTTATACGTATATTGATGATTTTCGATCAGTACGGTTAGTTGGCTGGCTGGCTGGCATAATTGGTTGGCTTATGAATTTTAAAGCTTCAGCGAAAGCACCTCTTCTCCACCACTATCCAGATCATTCTCTTTTGGCTCACTCTTCAGTGCCGCTTCTTTTCTTCACCCAAATAGCAAAGGTTTTTTTTAAAATTGAAAATTGAATCAAACTTATTGCATGGCTTAAACAATGATCAATTTTAGAAGGAAAACAAAGCACTCCTCCAATGCCGAAAACCCCTCCACCCCATCAACCACCAAATCCCAAAAACCCTCCCCCATCTCAGCCACCATCAACCCTAGCCCTTCCCGGAAAGTTTCGCAAAAACGACAAATCACCCAAAACGATTCCTAAGAATATACGTGTTCCACGCATAATTGAACCACAACCAACAACTTCAAATGAACTCGATCAACTCCCAAAAGTACCCCCAAAAAGAAGACAATCCCTTCCCGATTGCCACTCGCAACCGTCAACCTCTAATAATTTTTCCGAGTTTTTAATGATGATTCAAGGAGAACGACCTACACCACCCCCGAAAAGTTTTTTGGGAACTGAATCCGTGAAATTACCGATAAAAACTCCGGACAAGCCAGCTAGGGGTCGACCAGCTAAAGAAAAGAGCTTAAAGAATGATGCAGTGCCCCTGCCAACAACAAATCCACCAATAAGCCATTCATCATCAACTCCTGTCGTTTCTGAATTGATTTCTCGATTTCAAAACGAAAGACGAGCCGAAATACGACCACCACCTCAACCGAAACCACAAATCCAACAAAAACCACAAACCCAACAAAAGCCTGTTATTCAAAAACTTCCGTTCATTGCCCAGAAACCTGTACTTCCTGAAAAACTTATACTACCGAAAATATTTTTGGAAAAAGAGAGCACCAATGGTGATTCAATGAGATTCGGAAAGAGACCTCAAATCAGTCCTAAACCGCAGCCTCCACCAAAAATCAATGTTCAACGAGTGACAAGCACTGACTCACACAATTATCTTGTTTGCAAGAATAATTTTGGATATGAGAGAAACGAGAAGAACTTTGAGAAATCTGTAAAGAAAATCGACGAGGCAAAGCCGATGATTCCAAAAAAACCAATCAAACTTTTGGCACCACCACTAGCTCGGGTGAGTTTTTTTTTCAAGATTTCAACGCTATTAGAAATAGCTCTCTTTTACTCCACTAAATTATGAGTTCAATAAATTCTTACCGTAAATACTGTAATAGTACTCCACCCCCCTCGTACAGTCGCGTAGTCGCAAAAGTTTTTTGGTATTTCATTTTTTTAGTATTTCAAAGCGCTCGTACTTTCAAAAAATGCGTCTTTGGTGTCAAAAAATAGCTGAAATTCAGGGCTATTTTTTGATACCTAAGTGCGCATTGTAGCATAAACCAGTGTCAAGAAAAACTCGTTCAAAGCTAGACTACGCAACGCTCCGCACCGTCATCATGGGGGTGGGGTAATAGCTGAAATTCAGGGCTATTTTTTGATACCTTTTTCAAACATTAGTTTCTCGACATTGCTTTATGCTACAATGTGCGCTTTGGTATCAAAAAATAGCCCTGAATTTCAACTATTTTTTGATACCTAAGTGCGCATTGTAGCATAAACCAGTGTCGAGAAAAACTCATTCAAAGCTAGACTACGCAACACTCCGCACCGTATTTGATTTGTACTTATCTACTTATGCATTGTGCTTTACTTGATGATCTTTATACTTACCGTAAATACTGTAATAGTACCCCGCCGCCCTCGTAGAGTCGCGTAGTCCAAAAGTTGTTTAGTATTTCATTTTTTGTAAAGCACCCGTACTTTCAAAAAATGCGTCTTTCATATCAAAAAATAGCTGAAATTCAGGGCTATTTTTTGATACCAAAGCGCACATTGTAGCATAAAGCAATGTCGAGAAACTAATGTTTGAAAAAGGTATCAAAAAATAGTTGAATTTCAGGGCTATTTTTTGATACCTTTTTTAAACATTAGTTTCTCGACATTGCTTTATGTTACAATATGCGCTTTGGTATCAAAAAATAGCCCTGAATTTCAGCTATTTTTTGATACCTAAGTGCGCATTGTAGCATAAACCAGTGTCGAGAAAAACTCATTCAAAGCTAGACTACGCAACACTCCCGCACCGTCATTATGGGGGTGGGGTACTATTACAGTATTTACGGTACGTTTTATTTTAATCCCAAGGAATTCGATTTAAATTTAGCAATCAAGTCGATTGAAAACGGATGATACTGGAGTTGGTTCTTCGGTGATGAGTGATCTCGAGGCAAAGCTGAGAATTCGACGAGAAAAACTTGCCTCTTTAGACTAGATTCTTTTTAGTAAAGTTTTTTCTAAAATGTAAAAACTAACGAAAGTTACTAGGATTTTGGTAGTTTCAAAAAAGACCTTTTAGAAAACGTAGTATTTATTAGAAACACATTGTTTAGATTGATAATTGATAAAGTGAGTAAAGCAATCATTTTCAGATCATCATCCCATCATTTTCTATCTTTATTCATCTTTTCTTCTTTTCCACTTTTTATTTTCTTTCTCTTTCGGGTCCATAGTTTTTACTCTCATTTAATTTCTTTTTATGTGATGATTCAACGAACGCTTTACAGCCAATAAACACTAATAAAAAGAAGACAAAAAAAAAATTACAAAGCATTAACAGATATGAATGTTTATAGGAAATTATAAAGATTTTTCGTAAAGATTTATGGAGAAAGATTAGGAGAGAAAGAGTGAGAGATAAGTCTGATGAGTCAACCACTTTAAACCCCAACCATCCATATGAGCTCCGTTTTTTCTTACTTTTACAATCAGAAAAAGTTTATCCAATATTTTGGACTTTTTGCTTTAATTCTTGAATTTATTATGTTAATTTAAACTTTTTTTTTAATTTTGTTTCTGTAAGATGAAAAAATCTAGCAAAAAATGGATACTATAAGCTAACACAAAGATAGAATCGCGCTTTTCTACTAAATACGTCTATTAAATCTCTATTCAAACAATGATATTATTTGAAAATAAGTTGTTTGTTTGAAAAGAGTTTGTTTAAACGCTTGTTTGAATAGAGAAAAGACACAGAAAAGCCCCATATGGAGGCTGGCCTTCGAAAGGAAATCTCTCGCAAATTCATAAAAAGGAATGGTTAATATTTTTGAGTTAAAAATACTGTAAAGTCTCATTTTCTTTTACTAAAGTACGCCTAAAAGTAAAAGCTAAAAGTCTACTAATAGGTTGATGCATAAGTCTTTTCGTTTTTTTCGTACTTCTGTTCAAAAAGTAACAAATTCACCAATTAATCTATAGTTTGCTCTATAAAAAAAAGTGTTTTTTTTGTTCAATTTGCATCTTTTTAAATGAATTTCGGTTCACTTTCAAGCAAATTCGAGAGTGAAAAACGCCTTTTTCGTAAAAATCTATAAAAAAACTCTACGGAAAAATTGGCTGAATGAATTTCTCTGAAATTTTGGCGAAATATCAAACGTTTTTTTTTCTCTATCTTTTATCTATTGACACGAAGATAGGTTTTCTTTAGCTAAGGTGTCTAAACCGCATCATCGAGTTAGCCCTTTTTGACTACCCGACTTCATACTCTCAAGAAAATCCAGGCATTAAATATTTTTAAACCCGTTTTAATGTTATTTTGCAGAAAAATAATTGGGTTTTCTAATGAAATCAACCGTAGTTTAATTGGTGCATTTGTTGGCTTGAAACGGCAGACGAAAAGGAACAAAAACACTTATGCATCAACCTATTATTTTAAACTAAATTTAAGCAATTTTAAACTAAAATTTGTACTTTTATTTAAAGTTTTTATAGTTTCAATAGAATTCTTTAAAAAAAAAGAAACTTTTACTTCTCTGGAAAAGAACTTTCATTTGTTTTTTCATGAGAAAACGAACAGCTGGGCTTTTTAAAAGAACAAGGCTGTTAAAAGCACCCAAAATCCAAATTTCATCGGTATTTATTTGAAGACGTTATCCTGTTCTGCTTTTCCATTCTGAGCCTTATCTAGAAGGGCATACAGGCTCAGTTCTCTACTTCTCTCCTTCATTTTCTTTTCTTTTCTTTTTTTTTCTTTCTTCTCCTTCCTTTTGTGCCCTTTCCATTCGTGACGCATTGATTGCCATCCATCCAATCGTTTTCCCCTTTCCTTTGTCGATTTCACGTCTACAATCTATCAACTTTTGATTACTAGCTTGATAACTTCTTGTTAAAGGAATTCTTTTAGTGTAAGCTCATGTTATGATGGCGCGTCGACGAGATGGACCACTAACAAGCAATGACATTTCATTGCCACAAGATTTTCGGTAATACAATGCATTGTTGAAAATCAGTTCACTAAAAATTCAGGTTTCATTCGATAATTTGAATTGAATTAAATTGCAAATTTAGATTCTGAAATGGTATTAGATTTACATAGAAAAATAGCTTTTAAATGAGTAATTTGAATCATATTGAAAAGATCATTAGAAGATCAACTAGACGATCAACTAGAAGATCAACTAGAAGATCATTAGAAGATCAACTAGAAGATCAACTAGACGATCAACTAGACGATCAACTAGAAGATCAACTAGAAGATCATTAGAAGATCAACTAGAAGATCAACACGACAACTAGAAGATCATTAGAAGACATTAAAAGTCAACTAGAAGATCAACAGAAGATCATTAGAGATCATAGAAGACATAAAGCAACTAGAAGACAACTAGAGATCATTAGAAGACAACGAAGATCAACTAGCGTCAACTGAGTCAACTGAGTCATTAGAAGATCAACTAGAAGATCAACTAGACGATCAACTAGACGATCAACTAGAAGATCATTAGAAGATCAACTAGAAGATCAACTAGAAGATCAACTAGACGATCAACTAGACGATCAACTAGAAGATCAACCAGAAAATCAAATTCAGACATTTACAACATGTTGGCGTAAATTCATCAAGAGATGAAATAGTTGATGTAATGCTTCCACTCCCCAAGGCTTCTGCTTCTCGATATCAAGGTTTATAGCTGTAAAAAGTTATAGTTATATCGAATTTAAGTCTTTCATCGTGTCAATGAAACAATTTTTAGCTTCACCGAGAAATCGTTATGCGCAAAGTCCTCAAAAATCTGCATCTCCAGTTTTTGTTGAAGGTCGAAGCAGAGAAGTGGCTGTTGATGTTCCTAAGTGATTTTCTATCCAAAAATTAATAAAGATTCAAATTCTTTAGCTCAAGTCAAGAAAGTGAGACTTGTTACGAGAAACCACGTCATAGCAATTCTTCTCTAGAAAGCGCAAAGTTTGTTTTTCAACGAGATTCTTCAAATGAAATTCTAGAAATGCCGCTCCTCGAAGTCCTCGAATGGGTGTAAATAGTAAAGCGTCGAAAAAGTATTTCAGACTCTTATTTTTAATCATTTAATTTTTAACAGACCATCATCTTCTGAGGAAACACCGATTTTCGCTAGTGATTATCATGCTCGAAATGTAATTTGAAATCTCGGGAGTGGGACAAATGCGACCTTTTTTTTGCGCACCCGGACATTTGCGCACCTTTTTTTCCGCACCTTGCCCATTAGCGCACCCTTTTTCGCGTTTTAAAAAAGCTCTAAAAAGCTAATATTAAATATTAACCAATTTCTATTCCAAAAGTTGTTTTTCTAGGTAATTTTAGGGCGTAGAATCGAAATTTTGACATATCAGAGCTTGTGGAAACAAACGGACGGAGTTATACAAAGAGAAAAATCGACAATTTTCTGTAATTTGATCTAGCCGTTTTGTCTTTCAAATTGTCTTTCAAATTGGTTCCACACGCTCTGTTATATCAAAATTTCGATTCTACGCCCTAAAATTACCTAGAAAAACAACTTTTGGAATAGAAATTGGTTAATATTAGCTTTTAGAGATTTTCCTCTTTGTATAACTCCGTCCGTTCGCTTCCACAAGCTCTGTTCTGTCAAAATTTCGATTCTACGCCCTAAAATTACCTAGAAAAAAACATTTGGAATAGAAATTGGTTAATATTTAATATTAGCTTTTTAGAGCTTTTTTAAAACGCGAAAAAAGGTGCGCTAATGGGCAAGGTGCGGAAAAAAAAGTGTGCAAATGTCCGGGTGCGCAAAAAAAAGGTCGCATTTGTCCCACTCCCGAAATCTCTCAAAATTCTCTCCAAATTCTCTCAAATTTGTTTAGGCACGAAATATCCAAATGGGTTTAGATGGTGTACTTTATCAAAATGTACCCGAAGCATCTTTCGGACCATATAATAATATTAAGTTTGTTTTAAAGAACTCTTATTAGCAAAAATTTTCTTTAGTGCTCTTGGAATTGAAGCGCAAAAAGCACAGCCACCACCACTTCCACCAAAAAAGGAAAAAAAATGGACAATGCAACAAGATGAAGTGATTTTTAGTGTTCAAATGTTTAGATATTAGATAAATAATGCTAGAAATTGATAATGATAATGATAGAGCTGATAATGAGAATTTTAGGTGATTGTCGTTTTGCGGGAAGGTCCAGACAGTTTTGACATGGAACCAGTGCCACAAAAAGGCCGAGAGCCGTCTGTACAAATTAATATTGTAAGAATTAGCTTGTATTAATATTGTAGCTAAACTACTGGACAATGAAATATCATATTTGAAAAAACACTTTCGCACTTTTGCGCGTCTGTAACTCCCTTGTCTTTACCGTATTTCTAAATATTAATATTACCATTGTGTAGCCATTGAAAAGAGCTTTCAGAAAATGTATAACACTAATAGTTTAAACTCAAAGACAAGGGAGTTACAGACGCGCGAAAGTGGCGATCGTTTTTCAAATATCATATTTCATTGTACAGTACTGTATAAGTGTAAGACTTACAAAAGCAAATGCTTGAAATGACAACTGTTACAATAACGACTCCGGCTTTGTTGGAGATGAATAACACGCAGACACAAGCCATACATGCCACCTGTAGTTGGTTGCCAAGCCATATCTAGATCTATTTCTATATAATATATCAATATTCTTTCATTTATAAATCCAAATCTTTCAGCAACCGGCCAAAATTCGACCGCCCAGTGTCGCTCAAAACATGGAAAGGCCCGGTTTCCTCGGGATGGGCATGGGACTAGGCATGGGGATGAGTTCGTTTCTTAAAACTATATAACGAATCCTGGGTTTGGTTTTCTAGTTGAACTAGAAATTTCAGCTTTGGGATTAGGGTTGGACGATCCGATTCCAATCGATACCCCACCAAACTCCTACACACCACACGCACCCCCAACTCAAGAGTTCACTCTACCCGCTCCGCCACCACAAAGCGCAGTCGGTTTTTAGCTTAAAGCTTCTCTAAATTCTGTATATCTGATTAAAGTATTTAGCTCTTAAGACTGAATATCTTTGATAAGAATTAAAGAAGTTGCCATGTCTTGTGATAAGAATTGAAGAAGTTCTTCGTTTTCTTGTCGATTACTTTGTTGATTACTTCTTACTTTGTTGATTACTTTACTTACTCTAATGAAGAGGCTTACTTTATCGTTAAAAAATAGAATTAAGCTAGACTAAATTAATAAATTAAGCCCTTAATTTTTCAATTCTTGAATTTGCAAAAAAACCTTTGAAATTAATAGCTCACTTTTAAGCTATTTAATGACAAATGAAAGCTTCGGAGAGCTTGTATGGATTTTAGCTTTTTCCTTGTTCACAAAGAAAAAAAGCTTTTGCTCATTGAGAAAAAATACAATAAGAAAAACTTGGGTACTTATCAGTTATACCCTCACAAAGCTTATTAATCAACTAAATTAGCATCAAACTACTGTTTTACTTAGTTCAAGTTTAGCTATGCCTTTTGTAAGTGGGTCTAGAAGGATTTCTCTTGAACTACACATAATTAGACTAATTAGACTTGTTTTTATATACCATACACCTAAATGTTTGTGGGGGTATAACAAGAAAAGTCCCAAAACTTGTTCACTATTCGAATTTCTCAAGTATTCTTGAAACTTTTTATAATAGAAGCCAACAGTGTTGACGCGAAGCCTCTCAAGCGAGCCTCCTCCACAAAATGCGCCCATCTACGAGCCGACACAAACACAAAGGAAAAACATGAAAGTGAGCCCACTTTTTGAATTCTTAATACCGTATTTTCTCTAATAGTAATGCACCCCGGCCGAGCCGAGTTGGTGACTATTTTACGGTTTCCAAGCTTTTGCAGAAGCTCAACACTCAAATCCCCACTAGATCTCATCGTCAGCTACATTTTCCGATCCCACATCGATAGGTTCTGATAAGCGGTTCTCGAGATTTCGAGCAATTTAGACGACGCTCTGGGTGCACTACTATTAGAGAGAATACGATAGCTTTAACCTTTGCCAGTTTTGCTTTGAAAATTTCCCTTAAACTTACGGCTTTCAAAGTTTTCACAGAGGCTTACTTACAAGATATGCCAAATAATTTGGATCTCTTAATTTACAAATATTTATTGTAAATACAGTCATGGACAAAAGGCTTTCTTGGTTCTCAGAAGTTTGTTTTTCGTATACCCTATTTTCTCCAATGGTAGTACACACCGGCGAGCCGAGTTGGTGACGATTTTACGGTTTCCAAGCTTTTCCCAGAAGCTCAACACTCAAATCCCCACTAGATCTCATCGTCAGCTACATTTTCCGACCCCACATCGATAGGTTCTGATAAGCGTTTCTCGAGATTTCGAGCAATTTAGGCGAGGTTCTGAGTGCACTACTATTAGAGAAAATACGATAATCAAAATTCTATCAAAAATATTCAAGCTTCTTAAACCCATTTGAACTTTTTACAATCATAAAAGATTTTTCATTTTTCCGTAGGCTTATCGGTTATTGTAACTTTGAAAAGTACTCTAACCGACTTTATTTCACTCTCTAGCTAGCTTAAAACCTTTTTTCTTTTAAATATTATATATTTTCCAAATATTAGCATCTTATTTCTCATGTCAGAATCCATAAAGAAGAATAACACTAAGGATTCCCAAAGCAATCTCCTGCCTACATTTCGCTCATTTTTTTGTTAGCAGCACATTGCAAAATGTGGTCACATCATTCATTTAACTGCAAAGTGACGCATTATTTTTTGATCGTTTGATTTGATCCGTTTGATTCGCTCGTATCGTTTGATTCTGCGCTCCGTCCTCCCCTATCATCTGTTTTTGCGCCCATGCCCGCTTTTATCGATTAGTTTTCCGCCAAACACCAGCCTTTGATTCAGGAAGAAACGGGAGAAAGCGTTGACGGTATGGAACAATGAACAAATTCTCGATGAGACACCATCACTACCGGTGGCCGCTCCACGAACATCCACGAAGACCACTCCTGCTCCATTGCCACCAAGTCTTCCCGATATCCCGAAGAAAGTACCGGTAATTTGTTTAGATAACGACTAATGTTCTCTCTTGATTTCTGATTATAAAGAAACTTTCTTATTATATTAGGAAACGACAGTCGCTCAAATCTTACAAACCAAGCTTTAGCTATTTGTAAACCTTTACCATTTTGTACATAAATGCAAATTGATCACTTACTTAGCCATTCACTTTTGCTTTTACAACTTCTATAAGACATTTTCAGCCTCCTCGGCCACCACCACCCGCACAATCGCTCAAGCCAAACCTTATCTCAAAGAAGAACGTCGAGAGACAAGTAGAGTTGTAAATTTTCAATATTACACTACAAAACTTAGGCTGAGGAACCAGCTGCAGTTCGTGTTCGTGCTCCAGCTCCAGCTCCAGCTCCAGCTCCAGTTCCAGCTGCAGTTCGTGCTCCTCTTGCAAAAGAAACAGTTCCCATTGGACCAGCTTCTGCACAGATTGATCAAAAGCCTCGTGGTGTTTACACGAAACGATCGGAGATCAAAGTAAGTATAGATTTGGGGAAACGAAAACTATCACTTTTAATCAGCTTCAACGTGTGCGCAGTCTTCAAGACGATTTTGGGGGCCATGCAGACGATGATGAAGAATTTTCCGATGAGGATTTCTATGCAAATCATCAGCAACATTCGAGAAATCTGTAGGAAAGAGGGAAAGATATTTTTGAGAATACGTCAAATTTCAGTCAAGAGCCAGCTGGTGGAGGCGAGCATTTGATCGAACCCGATGAGGCTCCAAGCTTTCCGGTAAACATTGAAAGGATACGCTTTTGATTTGTTTTTAGATTCCGGCACCAGCAAGACCGCTTTATTTAGCTGAGAGAACTCAGCTTCAAGATAAGGTTAATAGTTAAATTGTTTGCATTTTTGAATCTAAACTTTCTTTTTCTTTCTTTTTAGACGATCAAGCAACTCCAAGAGCAGTTGAGCATTCGTAAAGATCGTCAAAAATCGCATGACGCTGAGTTAAAGGTTTGATGGTTTGAAAATCATAAAAATATTGTAAATCTAAAACATTTTCAACATATCATTGAAATTTTTAAGCAAATAGCCGCTGAGCTTCCGTCATTTGATGATGAAGAGAGAGACGAAGATGAGGAAACATTGATCAGTCAACCACCTGGGCAATATTCAAATCCAGTTGGTGATGAAAAAAGTCTCGAAACCAGTGTTGTTCTGCAAAAGCTCCTTGCTTGAAACAGATATGCATAACAGCCACATTTGACCATATTGTTGATCGCTTGCTAACCCTAGCTTTCCTCACGAGGCAAAGATATTCAGTTTTTAGTCTTGAAAACTGAATACCGTATTTTCTCTAATAGTAGTGCACCCCAACGAGCCGAGTTGATGACTATTTTACGGTTTCCAAGCTTTTGCAGAAGCTCAACACTCAAATCCCCCACTAGATCTCATCGTCAGCTACATTTTCCGATCCCACATCGATAGGTTCTGATAAGCGGTTCTCGAGATTTCGAGCAATTTAGACGACGCTCTGGGTGCACTACTATTAGAGAAAATACGGTATTATGTCTCATCAATTAGAGCTTAATTACCGTAATCTAGCTGCCCTTGCCGGGAGCTCGAGTATCGCCGGGAGTCGTTCATCGCTCGCGAAGTAGCCAAAGCAATTCTTCTGTGGGTTTAACTCAAAAATAAATCTAAATTGATTTTGCAAAAGATAACGCAAAAGATATACATTTGTGGATAATGAAAAGTGATGATGACGATGTTTTTAGATAACTCTCGGCCCTCCACCAGAACTACCATTCCCTGGACCAATGGTTTTAAACGTTTCCATTTTCATATAAATCTTTTTTTTAAGCAAAAAGCATCACCCGGACATTCGTCAGAGATGCACATTTTGACTGTAAATTTGAGTTTTTTTAAGGAGAAAAGCTACGATTTTAGGAACTCGATGACATGCTTGAGACATATGAGGAAGAGCATCAAGGAAACCAGGTGAGAGAGCTGCAAAAATATAGACAAATGTCATTTCAGGTGGTTACAACTGGCTCAAGCATCTACAACTCCGATATGCAATACATTCATCATGCTACTCGTAAAGAGACGACAGAAATTTCACAGAAAGGTTCTTTTTATAAAGCGAATAGATACCGTCATCCGGTTACTTTATTTTAGGTTACCGTAAATTTCAGTCTGTCAAATTACAATACTCAAAGAGGGCGAACTATTCAATCAATCCTGTAGACTGAATCTTAATTTTAAAGGGGTATTCCGGTCGTAAAAGTGATTTCTTAGAACCACGACTACTTGTATACCTGTTGCAATTGCTTAAAGGGGTACTCTGGTCCCAACAAGTGATTTTCTAGAGCCATGACTATTTGTATACCTGTTGCAATTGCTTAAAGGGGTACTCTGGTCCCAAAAAGCAATTTCTTAGAACCACGACTACTTGTATACCTGTTGCAATTGCTTAAAGGGGTACTCTGGTCCCAACAAGTGATTTTCTAGAGCCATGACTATTTGTATACCTGTTGCAATTGCTTAAAGGGGTACTCTGGTCCCAACAAGTGATTTTCTAGAGCCACGACTACTTGTATACCTGTTGCAATTGCTTAAAGGGGTACTCTGTTCCCAAAAAGTGATTTCTTAGAACCACGACTACTTGTATACCTGTTGCAATTGCTTAAAGGGGTACTCTGGTCCCAACAAGTGATTTTCTAGAGCCATGACTACTTGTATACCGGTCAACTCTTTTTTCGACTCTTAAAGCGACAAAATCTTACACAAATTCAAAAGCCTTATGGAAAAACGAAAGCTAATAGTTGAAGAGATTTTAGTGCACTATTTTAGTGCATTTTAGTGCACTATGATATTTCATTTGTTATTTATTTTATGATACCGCTATGCACTATGATATTTCACCAGACTAAATAGATCCTTTAGTCACTATTAATTTCCTATACCGTACCCCGTTTCAGCATTTCTTTGTCCTCCCTTTGTGGGTGTTCTAAAGAGCTTGATGGGTGGTCGAGCGCTCCCTTTTCCCCAACACACCTCAAACCCATTTCCCTCTCAGCAAAAGCGGCCTGTGACAACAATTTTTGCGAAATGAGACAAATGAAATGAAATGAACGAAATGAAACAAAACAACAATGAGAACATTTTAAGTACAAAACAATACAAGATTGATTCCAGAAATCAATCCCATCGTTGATCCAATCATGCAACAAGTTTTCAACAATTCAAAAATCAATGCACCGACTGTTGAGAATTTTGATTTACTTAAACAGGTAGAATTTTGAGTTCTTAATGTTTTCATTAAATGAAAGATAAGAGATGTTTTTATTAAATGGAAGATAAGATATTTGGATATTGAAAGACAATACTGTACTTATAGGTTGGAGAATATCCAGCGGGCGCCATTGGAGAAAATGTTTCAGACGACGAAAAGCAAAAGCTCGCTCCTCAATCGTCAAAGAAAACTGAAAAAGTAGAGAAATTATACATTTAAAGCTTAACAATTAGTCCTTAAATTAGCCTAAGCTGACAGAACTGCACTTCTTTGAATGGATGAAAGTTAAAATTTGATTGAATTGATCAATGACTAAAAAGTCACCATAGTTACTGTTATTTATAATATTAATACTTGTTCAGCAAAGGAGTTTTTAGAAAAAAGAGGCTCAATCTCAAAGGAAGTCAAGTCCAAATGACTATGCACTTTATTTGAACGTGAACAATGATGAGCAAAGAGAAACTCAAGAGCCAAAGGTGACACTTTTTAATAACTTTATATATCAAAGTCTATTAAAGACTTACTTTATCTTAAAGTTACTTTATTTTAGGTTACCGTAAATTTCAGTCTGTCAAATTACAATACTCAAAGAGAGCGAACTATTCAATCAATCTTGTAGACTGAATCTTAATTTTAAATAACTTGTATTCCGGCCGTAAAAGTGATTTCTTAGAACCATGACTATTTGTATACCTGTTGCAAGCAAAGGGGACCTGGCCCAAAAAGTGATTTCTTAGAACCACGACTACTTGTATACCTGTTGCAATTGCTAAAGGAGTACCTGGTCCCAAAAGGACTTCTTAGAACTATGACTATTTGTATACCTGTTGCAATTGCTTAAGGTGTACTCTGGTCCCAAAAGGATTTCTTAGACACGACTACTTGTATACCTGTTGCAATTGCTTAAAGGAGTACTCTGGTCCCAAAAAGTGATTTCTTAGAACCATGACTATTTGTATACCTGTTGCAATTGCTTAAAGGAGTACTCTGGTCCCAAAAAGTGACTTCTTAGAACTATGACTATTTGTATACCTGTTGCAATTGCTTAAAGGTGTACTCTGGTCCCAAAAAGTGACTTCTTAGAACTATGACTATTTGTATACCTATTGCAATTGCTTAAAGGAGTACTCTGGTCCCAAAAAGTGATTTTCTAGAACCACGATTATTTGTATACCAATCAACGCTTTTCAGTCTCATCTACAAGAATTGCATAAAAAAACCTTGAAAACACTAAAAATCCCGGAAAAACTATGAAAAACTGTCGAAAAATGCTTTTGGGAGACTAAAATGCAATGTGACGGAACATTTATATACCAGAATTAACTCTACCGTAGTTTTCGCCTATACTACGCTAACAATTTCAACCAGTAACAACCAGTAAAAGACCGTTAAAGATATTCAGCTAAGCAAAAAATCGGATTTCGCTGATGACTGATCGCTGATGGCCCCTTTAAGATACTGTAACTTTAATACAGTAACTATAGACAAATACAGTGACTTTAAGATACAGTAAATAATATACAATAACCTTTATAGTATCTTTATGATTTAATTTCAGGTGCAGAGCTTGGACAAGCGCCCATTAATGAAACCGATTCCAAAGCCGCGGAGAACTCGTGCTCCGGTGAGTTTAGAAGTGCAGAAGTATCTAATCTAATAAATTTTTGCAATACTTGCGATATTTTAAGAATTTATTAATATCAATTATTAAATAGGAAAGGTTTTTAATCTAAAATGAAGAAAAAGTGAAGCAAAGTTATACTGAAGAATTAAACCGAAGTAAAGTTATTAAAGTTATTTTTAAATTATGAAACTATTTTGTGAATTTTGTAATTTAACAATTTAAAACTGAATACCGTATTTTCTCTAATAGTAGTGCACACCGGCAAGCCGAGTTCATGACTATTTTACGGTTTCCAAGCTTTTGCAGAAGCTCAACACTCAAATCCCCCACTAGATCTCATCGTCAGCTACATTTTCCGATCCCACATCGATAGGTTCTGATAAGCGGTTCTCGAGATTTCGAGCAATTTAGACGACGCTCTGGGTGCACTACTATTAGAGAGAATACAATAGCTTTAACCTTTGCCAGTTTTGCTTTGAAAATTTCCCTTAAACTTACGGCTTTCAAAGTTTCAAAGGCTTTTAATGTTGGTTATCAGAAGTTTTTTTTCGTATACCGTATTTTCTCTAATAGTAGTACACACCGGCAAGCCGAGTTGATGACTATTTTACGGTTTCCAAGTTTTCGCAGAAGCTCAACACTCAAATCCCCCACTAGATCTCATCGTCAGCTACATTTTCCGATCCCACATCGACCGTTCTGATAAATTTTTCTCGAGATTTCGAGCAATTTAGACGATAATCAGGGTGCACTACTATTAGAGAAAATACGGTATCAATTATAACAATTAATAACTGTATAACTGTACTACGGTAACAATTTCTCGCCAAATAACAACCAGTAAAAGACCGTTTTCAGCTATTAAGATATTCAGCTAAGCAAAAATCGGAATCGAACAACAAATAAACTAAAGTTATCTATTAAATGTGATTAAATGAAAGATGAAAGTATTTATTTGAAAAAAGAAAGAAAGACTTGCACTTTCCAGGAAATCCAGGAAACTCCATCCCAATCGATCCCCTTTTCCAATCTTGAGGATTCGACAAAACCGTTTACCATTCGACTTTAAGACAAGTTTCTTGAATTTAATTTTAAGGAGTTTAAGTAATTTTATGCTTTAAACTCCACGAACTCTTAAGAATTATTCCCCAAGAACTCTTAAGAATTCTTGGGGAATAATTTCGTTTTCTTCTTCTTCTTCTTCTTCTTTCTCTAGTCATTCCTCTCATTTTATCGCTCATCTTCGGTGTTTTCTGAAAGTTATCGTCTTTTTTTTTAAAGAATTTCCATAGACTTTATGGCTTTTAGTTGTGAATAAAGCTTTTATTGTACTTCAATTTTACTCTCGAAAAGTTGCACGAATACCAAATTCCACATTATAGCTTTTCTAAAGATTGCTAACTTTTGAAAACTATTGTGGCGAATTGCCACTGCTCCGCAGTTAGTCAAAAATTCAATACAGAAGTTGAAATTCAAATTTGATGGAAAACTACCGAATCAGCACTAGACGAATCAGCGCCATTGTTGTAGCGATACTAAAAACCCATTATTTTAAGCTTTCTTTTTGGGTGAGTTTTTGTTCTCCCTTTTTTTCCTTTTATCATTCTTTTTTCACATTCAAGTGTTGATTTAATTGTGATAGTGCCAAGTTGCTCCAGTTTGAGCGAAGTTTGCCCTAATAAGGGAAAGTTGGATAAATTGTGCGTTTTCAAGAAGACCACTAGTGAACCACACCGAGACACGGTCTCACAAGAAATTATATAGATCAAAACATCAATATATATTTCTTACAACTATAGTAATCTTATCTTAAGTTTTTATTAAATCTACACATTTTTGGATCTTCGTGGAATCGAGATTTGGGCTAGAATTGGCTAAATCCCGTTGAGTTAAATCTAATATTTAACCGTTAAGTTAAGTCTAATATTTAACCGTTGAGTTAAGTCTAATATTTAACAATAGGACTTCTACAGCCATCTGATATTTAACGATAGGATCCTAGGCTGGTTTTTTTTGATTTATCCGGTCGAGCTTGGCTTACGGCCTTGCTAGAAAATCCCAGACAAGATTACGGTAATTTTTAAAACCCGAAACTTTATCGTTAAGCCAAATCTAGTCAAAATCCCTGCATAAGGATGAGCATTGGATTACGGTAGTTCAGAAAGTTGACACGTTTTAGAAAACGGGTTATAGAGAGAAACTGATGATGTTTATGCTATTTTATGCTAATTTCTTTACATTTACACATTATCAGCTTATATAAGTTGTATTATATTTGCGAAAATCATTTGTTATTTAATTGAATACTTTCGAAACGCATGTAAATTCTTGTAGTAAAACCCCTTTTTTTTGATGCTAAAAGGCTTAAAAAGTCATTACTTTTTTGGATAAATTTTAGATTAGAATTGGGAGAGGAGATGAGTTCTGAAAAAAAAAATGACTTTTGAACTTGCTAATGTTTTACTGATGAGTTTGCGAGATCTTTAAACAACATAATTTTCACCAGCAAGTACCGGCTTTATTTCCTTTTAGTAAAACTCTGTCTCTTTTGAAAGGAAAAGTGTTGAAGATGTTGGTTATCAGAAGTTTGTTTTTCGTATACCATATTTGCTCTAATAGTAGTGCACCCCGGGCTGAGCCGAGTTGATGACTATTTTACGGTTTCCAAGCGTTTTGCAGAAGCTTAACACTCAAATCCCCCACTAGATCTCATCGTCAGCTACATTTTCCGACCGCACATCGATAGGTTCTGATAAGCGGTTCTCGAGATTTCGAGCAATTTAGACGATGCTATGGGTGCACTACTATTAGAGAGAATACAATAGCTTTAACCTTTGCCAGTTTTGCTTTGAAAATTTCCCTTAAACTTACGGCTTTCAAAGTTTCAAAGGCTTTTAATGTTGATTATCAGAAGTTTTTTTGTATACCGTATTCTCTCTAACAGTAGTGCACCCTGGCAAGCCGAGTTGATGACTATTTTACGGTTTCCAAGTTCTCGCAGAAGCTCAACACTCAAATCCCCCACTAGATCTCATCGTCAGCTACATTTTCCGACCGCACATCGATAGGTTCTGATAAGCGGTTCTCGAGATTTCGATCAATTTAGGCAAAGCTTTGGGTTCACTACTATTAGAGAAAATACGGTAAATGAAAATTTCATTTCTTAAATCGCAACGATTGTTTGCAAAATTTTCAATCAAATTTACACTTTTCAAATGTTGCTTTAGGCTTTACAGAAATACAGATTTGAAATTGAAAGAAAGAAAAGAAAAAAGAACGAATAGATAAGAGACACTCTCCTCACTCGTTCCTTCAATCTCTAACATAAAATTCATGACTAATCTTTTCTAGAATCTTTTTCTTTTCTAGAATCTAAAAAGAGTTTTTCTCAATGCACAATTGTTTTTCGGGAATTCTGCGGTTTTTTTTTGAGCTCTCAATAGCCTATTCTACGTGAGCTGTAGTATCCAAGAACTGTTTCACTTCCTCTTCCCTTCTTCTTCTCTTCTTCTTCTCTTTTTCTTCCATTGTGATCCACAAAATATTTGAAATATTGCATTTTTGAAGCCAAAACCAGAACTTGTTTTTTTTTTGTAGATTGAAGGGGATAATATATGGCTGTGGAGACACGAGAAATGAGAAATAGCTGCTGAATATTGTTGAAGACTGAAAAGAAGAGAGAGGGAAAGACCCAGGAAAAGCTCAGCAAAAATGGGCACAAAAAAAAAGCTTTTTCCTGGCCTTAGAAAAGGGAAAGGAGATCCATTGTTGTGTATTTGCTCTCTTTTTTCCCCCATTTTTCTCTTCGTTGGACCCGATTTTCCCCCTGGGGGGACTCACAAATCCCCCCTTTTCTTCATCTCCTTTTAGAGGGTTAAGCCATTCATTCACTTTTTGATCGTCTTTTTGGTCAAAACTTACACAATATTCCTCTTTTTCTTGAAAATTGTCGTCAATCAGAGATACATTTACCAATGTTTCACTTGTTTTTGATAATTTTGGACAATTTTAGACAATTGTAGACAATTGTAGACAATTTTAGACAATTTTAGACAATTTTAGACAATTTTTGACAATTTTTGACAATTTTAGACAATTTTAGACAATTTTAGACAATTTTAGACAATTTTAGACAATTGTAGACAATTTTAGACAATTTTAGACAATTTTAGACAATTTTAGACAATTTTTGACAATTTTTGACAATTTTAGACAATTTTAGACAATTTTAGACAATTTTAGACAATTGTAGACTTATACCAATCACTCCGTGATACCGTTTTGAAAACCCAAGTGTTCTTTGAGTTCTTGTAAACGTACACTCTCTCAAAGACATTTCTCAAAGGCAAAAAAGTGTACCCAATTTTAAAGTTACAAATCTAATAAATATCTAAAAGAAAAAATATCTAATAAATATCTAAACTGTGAAGCAAAGTCTTAAATTAGATAATTTATAACTTTTATTTAGAGAAGTCGAATTCAATTGGCGTATTTAAATGTGTTTTCAGTGAAATGCTTGAAAGTATACTCAATTTTCAAGTTACGAATCTAATAAATATCTAAAAGAGAAAATATCTAATAAATATCTAAACTGTAAAGTATCTCTTAAATTAGATAATATATAACTTTTATTTTTTTAAAAATATTCAAATTCAATTGGCGTATTTAAATAGGTTTTAAGGAAAATAAGTTTATTGTGGCGAATTGCCACTGCTCTGCAGTTAATCAAAATTCATACAAGAAAGTTCAAAGTGGTGGATAAACACGAATCAGTCACAAATGATACAGCTGTCCGGTTGTTGTAGCTATATGCTTAACCCATTATTTAAGCTTTGCTTTTGAGTGTTGTTCCCTTGTGCTTTATCATTCTTTTCACATTCAAGTGTTGATTTATTGTGATAGTGAGTTGCTCTATTTGAGGAGTTGCCCTAACAAGGAGTTGATAAATTATTAGTTTTCGAACACCATTGACAAAGAGAGGTTAAGATTATATAGTAAGACCATATATTTCTTACATTTATCAACTTATCAAAAAGTTTATCGACTTTCAAGTTGCCAATCTAATAGTAAGTTTAGATTTCAGATTTCAGATTTCAGACAAGTTAAACCCCTGCTTTTAAACTCTAAATACAGTAAACAACTTTGTAAAGTCTCTCTTTGTAAAGTAAAGTTTGTGATAAAAGTCTGTGAATTGATTTTTATTCAATTCAAAGCTCGCTTTATTTTCTAAATCATTCAGAATTCCCCTCAAAAACTCTCATTTCCTCGAATCATTCATTTAGTTGATGTTGTTGGTGACAATTGATGACAAATGATGACAATTGATGACAATTGATAACAATTGATGATGTTGACAACAATTGATGACAATTGATAACAAACTTTCACATCGTCTATCAATTCATGAATCATTTCCATAACGCCAAACAATTATAATAATATTTCATAATTTCTTTCAAAACATTAATTGGTGTAGTTCAAAGTTCAAAGTTCAAGTTCAAAGCTCAAGTCAAATTTCGTGCTTTTTGTTAAAATGTTGTTTTCTGTGCGAAATTCAAAAGTTTTTCCTTTTTCTCTACCTTGTAGCGGGGAGTATTTAGTGTCAGAAAGGTTAAGAAAAGGGTTTCGAAAAAAAGAATTGAAGGAAAAGACTAGGAAAACCCGAGAGAAAAAACGACTCTTAAGCAAACTTTGGGTAGACCCACAGTTTGGGTAGGCCCTTTTCCCCTCTCCACTCCACTTTTCCATTCTCATCACTTTTGACCATTATTTTTAAACATTCAAAGTTTTATCTTAGTCTTTTCTCAATTTTCTTTGACTTTTCTATTTGTTTCTATTCGCCTTACAATTCATTTAGCTTTACAAAATGATGGCAATGACAGATGAACCGCCAGAAGAGTTTCAAGATGATGAAACAGTGAGTAACCAATGGCCAAAACTTTTTCTAAGCTTTTTCTAAGCTGAAATTAAAGAATAGCTTCGATAACTTATCTTTTCTAGGATTTAAAACAATTAGAAATATTGTATTTCAAAAATTGAAAGCTTTATTAGATTAAAATTTTTCAGCCAAGTGGCTCAGCGAGCACTAGTCCACAGCCTCCATTGCCGAGTCCGAGTCCGATTGAGAGAAAGAGAGCCTCGATCGAGATGCCACCTATGGAACTTGATCCGCTCAATCTTGTACGTTAACTAAATCATTTTTATTTCAATCATTAGCTCTCAAATACTTGAAAATAGTTTTTACTGAAAGCCTTAAACCGTTAACCATCGTGTTAGCTATTACCGTAAATACTGTAATAGTACCCCACCCCCATAATGACGGTGCGGAGTGTTGTGTAGTCTAGCTTTGAACGAGTTTTTCTCGACACTGATTTCATGCTACAATGCGCGCTTAGGTATCAAAAAATAACCCTGAATTTCAGCTATTTTTTGATACTAAAGACGCATTTTTTGAAAGTAGGGGCGCTTTGAAAAAAATGAAATACTAAAAAACTTTTGCGACTACGCGACTGTACAAGGGGGTGGGGTACTATTACAGTATTTACGGTAGGTTGGTGAACTGAAAACTGCGGGACTTTGAACTAAAATTTATTCAACATAAAACCATGAATTCATTTCAAATAATTTCCATTATTATTGACGACTTCTGCCCATTTTACAAGCAATTTGCGGATTCCTCTTTCGTAGTAGGATTTTGGTTTGTGTGTGAGACAAGTGTGAGACTCAAAAATCGAGGACTGGAGATGTCCCAGTTTGAGCACTTTCTTCAAAAGAAACCCATGTTGGTGTCAATAGGAAAGTTGTAGAGAATCAAAAATTAGGCTTATATCCAAATTTCCAAAAAGATACACTTAGTAGTTTCGCTTAAAATGCAAGTTTTGTGAAAATTCGTAAATTTGTCATTTCTTGAAAACCAGTTTTTGAATCGTTCTGAAAATTTGGATATAAGCTTGATTTTTGATTCTCTACAACTTTTCCATTGACACCAAAATGGGTTTCTTTTGAAGAAAGTGCTCAAACTGTTACATATGACAATAGCCGGCAGTTTTCAATTCACCAACCCAATATTTGACTGTGCTATTGTTAATGCTTTTTTCCCGTTTAACTGTATCATTGTTAATTCCTTTTTCCCGTTTAATTGTATAATTTTTTTTTCAGAAAGTCGATCCAGAGAACTCAAAGCTACTACAAGCTGTTCAAGGAAAAGCCAGTCATTCCCTCAAAATCGGTGTCGCTGCTTTCTCACCGCGAAATTTAATGAATCAAATTCGATAACGATAATTCCTTTTTTCCTTTTTGCATATTCTTCTAACAACGGGTAGATAAAATATTTATTTTTGGTGAGCGTTTTTTTTTTTTTTCATTTTCCACACACAAACGAAAAAAAAATCCTTTTCTAAAAAGAATGACGAACGAAAATGGAAATTAAAAGGAATATTTGCAATGCAATCACGTAGAAAAGGGGATGAATTTAGTGGTTTTTTAAATGGAAATTGTTTAAAAACAAGAGAAAAAACAAGAGAAACAAAAAAACCGGAAAAGAACCATAATCACAGTCACGGCGAAGATAGAGTCAAGCTGAGGGGTAATGGTGTTTTTTTCGGATGTTTTCGTGAAATGAAAATTTTCTGGGATACAGCTGAGAAATGGCTACTGAATAAAAAAAGGGAAATGATTATAAAATGATTATAAAATGATTATAAAATGATTTTTAAATGATCTTTAAAATGATTACCGTATTTCTTCGAATAGAAGACCGGGTAAAGAGTATCATCGCGTAGCAGCCCTTTTTAAGCCCGTAGCAGTCCTTTTTAAAATTTCTTTTCTGCATAAAAGCTTTCAATCAAGTGCTATAGGGCTGGAAAATGGCTCAAAAATACGACATGAGCTAACAGATCTTTGAGCCATTTTCCAGCCCTATTTTTTTATGCAGAAAAGAAATTTTTTATTTTTTTTTTTTATTTTTATGCAGAAAAGAAATTTTAAAAAGGACTGCTACGCAGGAGGGGGCTGCTACGGGCTTAAAAAGGGCTGCTACGCGATGATACTCTTTACCCGGTCTTCTATTCGAAGAAATACGGTATAAAATGATTTTAAAATGATCTTTAAAATGACTTAAAATCAAAAGCAGAAAACTATTCACAAGTTTTTTTGACAAAAAATTCTTTTTTTTTTCAAGTTATAAAAAGATCCATACGAGTTATAACAAAAAAAATAGAAAAATTTTTTTTTTAAATTTGGTAACCAAAATAAAAGTTTCTTTCAGCTTGCTTAATGTAAAGTTTTAAAAAAAGAAAACAAGAGTAATAGCTACAAAGTAAATTACAGTAAGCTACAAAAATTCAGATATTTTTATCATTTTCTATTTAGTTAACTTAGGAAATGAAAAAAGATCCTAAATTTTGACAAAAGAAATTCATTCCATTGGCTGCGGTGCCATGGCAGCGGCCGCCTCTTCAGCCATTCGACGATGGTGTAGCTGGAAATTGTAATGAAAATTGTAATAAAAATTGTTTAGAAATTGTTTAGAAATTGTTTAGAAATTGTTTAAAAGCTGATCTTTTTTTTTTAACTTACTTCTGTTTCCTCAAAGATAAGCCTTTTAAGATCTTCTTTCGGCAAATCGTCAAGCTCCATTTCGAAAGTGAACGGCTCTTCGCAAACCGGCTAAAAATGAAACGGTTTTTCATCTTTTATAAAGCTATCATTTATAAGTACCGTATTCTCCCTAATAGCAGTGCACCTCGGCTGAGCCGAGTTGGTGACTATTTTACGGTTTCCAATCTTTTGCAGAAGCTCAACCCTCTAATCCCCCACTAGATCTCATCGTCAGCTACATTTTCCGACCCCACATCAATAGGTCTGATAAGCGGTTTTTGAGATCTCGAGTAATTTAGACGACAATCAGGGTGCACTACTATTAGAGAAAATATGGAATTCAGTTCTTAGCAAAAACTTTCTTCAGCTGTTCAAAAAAAAGCTTCTCGTTTTTCTTTTAGTTAACTTTTAGTTTTCCATTATATTGTTAAGAACTAAAGCTTAAAATTATTTAAAATTTTCTTTATGAATCTTTGAAACATCGGGAAACATTTCCTGGAAAGTTAAATTCAAATTGAGTTACCCTATTCTCTCTAATAGTAGTGCACCCGGGTGAGCCGAGTTGATGACGATTTTACGGTTTCCAAGCTTTTGCAGAAGCTCAACACTCAAATCCCCCACTAGATCTCATCGTCAGCGACATTTTCCGGCCCTACATCAATAGGTTCTGATAAGCGTTTCTCGAGATTTCGAGCAATTTAGACGATAATCAGCGTGCACTACTATTAGAGAAAATACGGTATCAATTATAACAATTAATAACTGTATAACTGTACTACGGTAACAATTTCTCGCCAAATAACAACCAGTAAAAGGCCGTTAAAGATATTTTCGAGATTTCGAGCAATTTAGGCAACGCTCTGGGTGCTATTAGAGAGAATACAATAATTCAAATTTTTCTTTATTATTCTAAAATCACCTCATCATTTGGATCATAGTATTGCTCGAGATATGGATGAGCGAGCGCTTGCTCGATGTCAATTCGCTTATTCGGATTGAAGGTCAACATCTGAAATGATTTTTGTGCTTTAGTAACTTTTATTTAAATCTGCGTACAATAGACTATCGTAAATACTCTAATAGAGTACTTTCTCGTACAGTCGCGTAGTTTAACTTCTTTTTAGAAAATTATTTTTTCTTTCAACTTCTAGACTTTTTCTCAACTACACTTTTGGTACCAAAAAATACTAGATTTCAAGGGCTATCATTTGACATTTAAGTGCACAATGTAGCTTAAAGCAGCGCGGAGAATCAGACGTTCAAAGTTAGACTACACGACTGTACACCCGCCATTATAGGCGTTCTATTAGAGTATTTATGAAATGTAAATTCATTGCCAGTATATATGTTCAATAATAAACCTTTTCAAGGAGATCAAGTGCTCGTGGGTCAGCATTTGGATACAACCTCTGCCAAGGTTGCTTTGGTTTATGGGGAAGTGAAATGAGATAGGAACGGGCTTTCTCATTGAAAATACATTGAAGATCTTCTTGTGATGGAGAGCCGACAACGGCGAGAATCAGATTCAATTGATCGAGGTAGTGCTTTCCGGGGAAGCTGAAATGATCAGAAATTTGGCAAGATAAAATAAGATTGATTTTTGAGAAGATAAAGATGAAAGAATTAAGCAAAATGCTATTTTTGGGCAAAAGATGCGGGGCCGGGATTCGAAGGGGAGGCCGGCGACCTCCCCTCCCGAAGCCCGCTTGCCGAACGAAAGCTCTACCAATGAGCTACAACGAGATGTATCGCGCCGCGGTGCCGGGGTGCCGCGAGAATAGGCCTTACTAAATGAAAGTGGTCAATTTTGAAACGTACAGTGGTCGATTGTTGAGCATCTCTGCAAGAATACACCCGACACTCCAAACATCAATCGATTTCGTGTATCCTTTTGAATTCAACATAATTTCAGGTGCTCGATACCATCTAGATAAATGAAATGAAATGAAATTTCGATTAAATTAAATCCATTACCTGGTAGCTACGTATTCAGTGAGAAAACCAGTGTGATCTTGTCTCGGATCGGTAACCCTTGCCAATCCAAAATCACAGATTTTCAAATCACATGTCGTGTTGAGTAAAAGATTTGATGGTTTTAAATCTCTGTGCAACACGTTTGCCGAATGAATGTATCTAGAAGCTTGTTGTTTTCCTTTCATTTTTTCAACTCTTTCAACTCCTCACTTTAAGCCTCTCAAAATCTGATAGAGAAAATAGCAGATGTGATCGTTGCTGAGCTTTTGCGTCTTCAACAACTTGTACAAATCGGTTTCCATTAAGCATTGCACGATGTAACTGAAAGATTGAGTCTTACAAATTCAAACAACAGCAACAACAACAGCAACAACAGTAACAGCAATCACTAATCACTCAAACAAATAAACTTTGCGTAACAACTAACATGTCTTTCATTTGATCAACACTTGGCGCTCGAATGATCTCTTGAATGTTGATAATCTGAATGTTGATGGGATTTTTTTTTTCTTTCAATTATCAAATCTTTAAATGAACTTACATTTTCATGCTTGAATCGTGTAAGGATTTTGATCTCGCGTAGGGTTCGTTGACAGAAAGTCTGATGCTCAAATGGAGAGATTTTCTTGATAGCCACGCGCTCTCGAGTAATCGAGTCCATTGCGGAGCTGAAAAGTTGTCTTGTCTAACCCTTACAAGGGAATGATCCGAACTAGCCGAACGATTTCACTATGCCACTGAAATGCCTATCGACCATAGGGAACACGAAGCTCTTTTTATTTTTCGCCCATCTACTATATATAAAAGAGCAGTGTCTGTCCATCTGTCTGTCCGTCCGTCTGTCTGTCTGTCCGTCTGTCTGTCTGTACGGGCATTTTCTCGGCCGTGTTTTGACTAATAAAGCTAAAACTTCCTTAGAAAACCTTAGAATATACTGTAGTTATGCCATTTAAAAAAGATTCTAAAAGCAAAGTTGGGTTAAACACCCGGGAATCGAACGAGGATCGTGTGGGCGGTAGGGCTGCCAGCTGCAGACTGCGCTACGGCGACAGCGGAAGAGCGCGCCGTTAGGCGGGTTTTTCTCCTGGTCCTCAATGGTTCACAAGAAAAACGCTTGTAAATTTTGAGCGCCTCGGGGATATATAGCCTCTTTCCCTTCCCTCCTAGGGTGACCAGATGGTGTCGAGGTAAGCATCTCTGCTCTCAATCCTAGTACGCTTTTTTGACCCTGGTTCAAATCCGCTTGGGAGATTTCTTTTGCTAAACCTTTAAAAACTTTATTTAAAACGTACACAACCATTCCATAAGCTCCCTCTCCGATATAGGTGAGTGTGTGGTATCGTGGGCCGACTTCGAAAAGTTGCCCATGAACCTCTTCAACCGCGTTCCTCGTTGATGACGACTCTTCTGCCGCCATTTGCTCTGAAATTTTGTTTTATTTTTTAAAATTCATTTTTTCGACTATTAAAACATTACGATGAGAGGTTTGAAAGGAAAAAAGAAATCATTTAAATCAAAGAAAAGCACGAGTCCAATCTAAGATTTCCCCTCTTTTCATTTTTTCCGAGGTTTAAAGAAAGGGATTTCATTGCAAATCGATGCCCAGCGCTCATTAGAGTGCATAAAATGAGAAAAGATGAAAAGAGATTTGAAAAAAAAGGAGCAGAATCAACAGAATCCTTTTATTCAAGTATCTATAGGTGAAAAAGTAATTTTGAATTGTTTTTGACTGTTTTTGATGGATCAAAAAAGAAAAAGACTTTTTTTAATTTTAGGCTAACTTTAGGCTCTTCGCCCACCAGCAAATTACACTCATCTTTCACGTGGCTCTGAATGAGCAAAGCCGAAAATAAGAGCTTTTTTCTTTTTGAAAAGTTGCTTTTATAATTACCCCTCAAAAAAAAAACGCTTCTTTTACAAAGCAGATGTTTACACTCTTTTAGCGAAATGAATTTTTCTAAGAAACGTATTGGAGACGCAAAAAGACGTTTAGAGTTTGGTGAAAAGAAATTGTTTACAAAAGTTACCTTAGCATAGATAATGGACATAGATAATGAGCTTGAAAATGTCAAAAGAAATGAATTTCGAATGGGAAACCGAAACCCATTTATTATCGCGTTTTTCATTAACAATTATCGCTTAAATTTCCAGCTATACAAAATTGAATTCATCAATAAAAAAAAACAAAATAAATCTAAACTTTCATCTACCGTGTTTAGGAGATTTCTGTTTAAAGTATATTTCTCATTACAATATCGAAAAGGTAATTGTAAGAAAAGTTTAAGATATAGTATAAGATCGAAAGCGTTTTTTATTTTCTTTTTTTTTGAGGTAAAGGAAACTCTTTGGAATGCACACAAGGCCACAATTTGCATTTGAAGAGATGAAGAAATGAAGAGATGAAGAGATCGAGAGATGACCATATACCTCAAGGTTATTCAAAAAGAAAAGAAAATTTACAAAAAGGACTCAGTAGTAGATAGATATAGATAATAGAATCTTCAAAAAAGAAAAAAGAGATTTTAAAGTAAGATTTTTGTCTAGAAAAAAAGCTTAAAGAGTTTACACTGAACGGAAAGACGTGTTCTGGTTGTTGTGAGGATCATTTTAAAGTTTCAAAGTTGCCATTCTAATAACTAGAGTGTGTTCGTCGCGAGTAAAGTAATGACTCGAGTAAGACAAGACAAGAGATATTAACCAATTTCTATTCCAAAAGTTGTTTTTCTAGGTAATTTGAGGGTGTCGAATTCAAATTTTGACATAACAGAGCGTGTGGAACCAATTTGAAAGTCAATTTGAAAGACAAAACGGCTAGATCAAATTACAGAAAATTATTGATTTTCCTCTTTGTATAACTCCGTCCGTTTTTTTCCACAAGCTCTGATATGTCAAAATTTCGATTCTACGCCCTAAAATTACCTAGAAAAACAACTTTTGGAATAGAAATTGGTTAATATTTAATATTAGCTTTCCAGAGCTTTTTTAAAACGCGAAAAAAGGTGCGCTAATGGGCTAAGTGCAGAAAAAAAAGGTGCGCAAAAAAAAGGTCGCATTTGTCCCACTCCCACCAAATCAGTTAAACGGCTGAATATCTTTAAAAAGAGTCGTTTTTGAAAAGTCGTTTTTAAAAAGTCCTATTTAAAAAGGTCACTGGGGCCCAGAAAGGGAAGGGTCTGTGGTCGACCCCGTCCGATCTGCCAAGTTGAGCAACGTCGGCGCGGGTTAGTCGTGGGTTCGACTCCCATGGGTTCCCCTCCGAGCGCCCCAGCCCGGCCATCGGAGTATCATCGGCTACGACAACTACACTTCTGCCTCAGTAAATGTGGAAGCGGGTTGTGATCTGCGCTAAGTGCGAAGACAGATCAAATCATTATTATTATTATTATTAAAAAGGTCACTCGTGATTTTTTTTTGCGCCAATTTTCTGCAATAATTTTTCCTAAGTGTGCGTTTTAAAAAGACGCATTACTCGTGAGGAACGCACTCTAGAAAGACGTGTGCTGGTTGTTATCAATGTTTCCCCACAAAATGCCAAATAAAAACGAGCAATTCAAGCATAAAACTCTTTTGTAACTTTAAAATAAAAGCCAGAAATGCTTTTTTTACGTTCAGTTTTCTTTTTTTAACTCGAAACTCGAGTCCAGAAAACTCGAAAGATTGATGGAAAAGCCAAACTTCCCACCGGGACTCTATGAAAAATTCATTGCATCAAAATGGCCGAGGGAATTCTTAGCGATTCATTTTTCGATTTTCCTTCATTTTCTTTCATTTTTACTTTCATGCTTTTTTGATAGACTACCAATTTGATTCGTCCCTTGCACAAAGTTAGACAAATCTTTCCCCTCAAACGAATCCCCCCGTTTCTGAATCAGTTCCTTGGCAACCACAAAAGTCCAATTTCAATTATACTTCTCAAGTCAGTCCCTTTCCCATCGAAAAATAAGAAGTTTTAAGTCTCCAAGAAAAAGAAAGAAGAAAAAGAAAGAAGAAAAAGAAAGAGAAAATAAGACAAGAGAAATTCGAAAAAGACAAGAAAATTCCCGAGGGATTAGCTCGAGAGAGAGAGAGAGAGAGAAAAAAAAGGAAAAAAAAGATCACAAAAGTTAGAGTTTTTGTTTGATTTTTGGTTGAGAAATCGTAATAGAAATTTCTCTGAGACAGGGCGATAGTCTTTTCCCTTTTTGATCTTTTTTTTTTATTCTCGAGCGCACATCGATATTCCATTCGATCAGTGGACGAGACGGGGAGACGCCTATACAAAGTTTTTATGTGATCAGGAAAGAAAGGATGGATAGAAATGTTTGTGAGAAAGGAAAAAGACAAGCATACCATTCAGAAAAACAATGTAACAAATTAAATGGTTGTGGTGGTAAAGGGTAAATGCTTAGGAGTAACAAGTGTCCGACTTCGATCTATACAAACAGAAACAGAAACAAAAATCTATACAAACATTATCATTCGATTAGTGATCTAATGAAGAGCTCAAAAGTTCCTAAAGTTGCATTGAATCTTGCAAGCGCTTTTTCGTTTCAGTAAGGAATTTTTGGAAATGAAAAACATAGTTAAGCAATAGGTTTTCTTAAAGCTAAAGTGTGATCGCATTATCGAGCCGTCATCCTTTTTGAGTACTTTGACTACTCGACTTCACGCTCCCAACAAAAAACCAAACAGTATCCAAACGGTAAAAGCTCTAATAGAAGCAGGGCTGCTTCTATCACAATGGGCTGGTTAAATATCTGGAAGGAACGTGTAAATACTTGATTAGAACAGCCTCCTAGAGGAGCGTCGCGTAGTCGAAGTTTACTCTCAAACAAACGCTTATATCTTGACACCAGTACGTTTGTTTCTGCGCGCTTTAGTATCAAATTAAAGTAGAGAGAATGGGTTATTTTTTTGAGATATAAAATAGATTTTTAACATTAACCAGTGCTTAGAAAAAAATGATTAAAAAGTGGCAAAAGAGCCGATTTTTTATCATTTTTCAATCATTTTTTTCTAAGCACTGGTTAATGTTAAAAATCTATGTTATATCTCAAAAAATCACCCATTATCTCTACTTTAATTTGATACTAAAGCGCACAGAAATAAACTTACTGGTGTCGAGATATGAGCGTTTCTTTGAGCTTAAACTTAGACTACGCGACGCTCCTATAGGCGCTGCTTCTATTAGAGCTTTTATGGTAAGACATTTTCAGCCGTTTTAATGTTATTTTGCAGAAAAATAATTCGCCTTTCTAATGAAATAAACCATAGTTTAATTGGTGCACTTGTTGGTTTTAAACGAAAGTACAAAAAGAAAAGAAAAGAGTTTCTGAATAGTCTAATATCAGGCTTTATTAGCTTCTACTTAGCGATAATCCAAAAAAGCAAAAAAAGTGGCTTAAACATTTTGTGAAATCAAAAACCCCTGTTGACTACATAGCATTTTTGCTCGTGTATCATCGAAATGATTCATTTTTTTTAAAAAGCAGCCGATGAGAATTGAAATTGTAAGTGTCAAAAAACGGTATCGAAAATGAGGTAGAAATTTGAAAGCTTGAAAGGAGCTGAGGCTGAGGTAGAAAGAAGCTGAGGTAGAAAGAAGCTGAGGTAGAAAGAAGCTGAGGTAGAAAGAAGCTGAGGTAGAAAGAAGCTGAGGTAGAAAGAAGCTGAGGTAGAAAGAAGCTGAGGTACAAAGAAGCTGAGGTAGAAAGAAGCTGAGGTAGAAAGAAGCTGAGGTAGAAAGGAGCTGAGGTAGAAATTTGAAAGCTTGAAAGGTAAATCTATTTAGAAAGTTCTAACTAAAATGTTAAAGCAAAGAATTTTCTAGAAATTTTCTTATAAACAAATTTTTACTGTTTTTGGAGGAAAATTGTGGGAACAAGCGGATAAATTCTTAAAAAAGTGACATCGAAAAAACTGTCAGATAAGAAAAAAAAAGCGAAACGCAATGTGAAGAGATTTTGTGGGAGAAATGTTTTTGTGCTGTGTATAATGCAATGGGGTATAATGAGAATGAAAAATGAGGGAAAGGAGAAAGCGACGGGGAAATGAGGATGTGGGGGTAAGTGATGCAAATGAGGGTATGAAGGGAGGACGGGCTGAATCCCTTTGAGATGAAAGCATTCATTCTACCGCATCTCCATTTCCACACCCATAAAAATTTATAAGAGCCTCAAATATTTACATTCTTGACTAGAATTTTTCCGGCTAGACACCGCAAAATGTCAAAACCGAAGATTTCGCTAAAGGAGTTCGAATTAGGACCGATTCTCACTAAAACAAGATTTTCTCTGTTGAACAGGATGTAGAGAAATTGTAGAAAAATATTATCAAATTTATGGGAGAAATGTGTGCCAAGAATTTGGCCATAGCAACGACGAGGTTCACCATCACTCGCCCATCACTCCCTTTCCCTTTAAAGGACTCCAAATCAAC